GGGAACCATTATTGGTTATAGGAACCTACCCAACACGGAGAATCTGACATACTCCGATCAAGATCTGGCTAATATAGGAGGAATACCCCAACAAGACATGATGTCCGTTGATCGTTAATCGCGAGAGTAAGTCTCTTGATCCAGAAGATACGCCTCCTTATATCTCGTCCTCTTCTGCTCTTTACCAAAGTTGAAAGATGCCGTCCCTGCCAAGCCATAGCGGAACTTCTTCGTCACGTGTTGTTTAACTATATGGTCACGTGGTTAACTTTTTTATAGCCGGGCATGACGTCATGGAAACTATAAGGTTACCTAAGAGAACATTGTAGTTACGAGTATTTACCCCCTAAACTACCAATGATGTTATATTGTATCGTGGTGTACCTTCATTGCCAGCTATATTAACAACATTGTATAGGTTAAATATCCATACAGTTTAAGGAAAGGCTTGAGTTCTATAACTTGTGAAGTTAAAGCCCGTCGAAGTCAACAATAGGCTGCCGTCTTTATGGCAATGTGCCTCTGAGTTCCCTACAACGGCCATCGGGGTAGGGGAAGAGGCTTAACCTCAATCTAAGCAGTATTGAGCGTAATGCAATAATATCGGAAGCTGAAGGCTGCTAATACGTACCCCCAACGTTCTTACGTATCCACTCATCCTCTAGTAGCTCCTTAGCAGAGCTACGCTTGGCCGGATCCCACTGTAGCATCTTTTCCATCAAGCGTAAGAAGCTAGCTTTATCCTGCCCTTCTAGGGTGGTCTCTCGTTTCTCAAGCGGAACCCTGTCTCCTACAGTGACATCCGCACAGAATTCACCTGTAAAATGAGAAGTACTTAGCTAGGGTCTCACTTCACCAGAAAATGGAGGTATTGCTGGCTTACCATCCTTGGAAAGAATTTATGACTCAAGTTGCCTTTAGCAACAAGGTCCGGGGAGGAGGTCCAAGGAGCTGTATCATCTCCGCCAGGTGTGCTCGACCCCGATATGATTGAGACTCCGGGTCTTGGCCGCTAAACAAAGATCCGCCCTCAAATACATTCCAAATCTGTAGGGGTCAAGGTAAGTATTCTGGAACTTTGCGGCAACCAGCCTTTTCGGGCTTATTAACTTACCATACATCCAACGTTCCAGATATCAACGCTATACGTCCATGGGACCTCCAGAATCACCTCTGGTGCGCGATAAATATCGGGCTGGATATCTTCCAAATGCTCTATGCCGCCGGGCATAGCGGAGCCAAAGTCACAAAGGATTGGGGCACCCCATTCTCGGGGTGTTCCGAGTTCCCGGGACACGTATATTGTTCTTCCATCAAGCTCTTTCCTTGGGCAGGGAGCTTGGAGCTCACTTTCCATGAAATCATTGAATACTGTATCATCGGCGATACCAAACATGATATTGTCGGCCTTAAGGTCTAACAGGACACATCGGTAAGTCACTGGCAAAAGTTGAACACGACCGGATTGAAGAGCATACCGGCGTGTATGATCTGGCATTCCGTATGCAAGTAATCCAATGCCAAAAACAAGCGCTTGAGCGTGAATGCCAGAACTGGCGAAGGCAGTCTCTGAATTGGGTTGCGGTGCAAAAATGTTAACAAACTTTCCCCTAACGGAGGATGCACCAGGCACCGATGTTTATCTTCAGGCCCATCAATATCGAAAGAGTCCAGTAACGATCGAACAGCACGACGGCCTGGGTGACTTTTCGAGCCACGCTCTATACGTTGGTATATCTGAAGCTCCTGATCTAACTGCTGTCCCATGGATGTAGACCTGATAAAAACTTTAAGGGTAACATAACGACGGTAGCTAAATACCAGGACATAGGCAGGTCAACTCAGACAGTTAAATTAATAGGTGGCAGAGTTTTCTTACCTCATGTCTCGCGCGAGCCACACGGTCGAGCTGGCTCCAAACCCGAGCTTTCCCACAATCTGATACTGGTCCTGGAAAACGTCCCCTATCCGGACAGGATAGTACCGGGAGGCTACATAACCTAGCATAGTCTCTTCTTCGATTTTCTGGCTCACTGGTATCAGTGCAAAGTTCGAATTCGAGAAGTCAAGTGGTCGCCATGCCCGCCCCAGTCGAGGGATGGAGCGAAGGAGGGATTGCAGCATGATCTGTTCATATAGAAAAAGAGAAACTCAATATGGAGTACTTGGGATTGGATGAACGGGAAAACACCAACGAAGGATGACACCAGAGAAGGCCATTAGCTAGTTACATCACATGACATTCTCTGCTGAGAGCGATGAACGACTTGCTGGCAAGCGCAGACTTGGTTGTCCCTTTGATACGTGTCGAGATACTCCGTATATACTCAGTGTGACTTAAAGAAGTAAGATTAAAGAAAGGGGCGATCCCAGACCGAGCCGCCCTTTGCGCCATGCGGCTAGGAAACTTTAAGATGGAAGTAGTTATGTTTTGTTATGGCTATATCTATACTCCGTATATGCATATAGATTTAACACCGCACCGTTATACACAAGGTATTCAATAATAGTTCATACTTCATCAAGGACATATCACAGTAATCAACCCATCTGTCTAAATCTTATTCTGGTTGGCAAATCGTTTTTGACCGAACCTATACCCTCACCACACCTGTAAACGCGTTCTCCATTAACAGTCTCTGGCGACGCACCTATCGTCTTCCCCTTTTGCATCCCATCCCACAGCTCGTAGTCAAAGTCAAAATCCAGCTCCCGCACTGTAAACACCAACGCGAGCTTTATCTCAGACAAGGCTAGTTCCTGACCAATGCATTTCGTGTTTCCCAGTTCAAACGGGCGCCAAGCATTCTTAACAGGATATAGATCATGGCCCTCTGGGACTAAGAAGCGATCGGGTATAAATTCCATCGGACGAGGCCACAGGCCAGAATGGATGTGAGTCATTGTCGGCATTGTTTGGATGAGACAGTCGTAAGTCGGATACTGGATGCCGTCGAGCGAGAAGTTGAAGCTGGTACTGCCCTGGCGAAAGGTATTGGCTAAAGAGTGGATTCGTAACGACTCCTTGACCACTGCTGTCGTGTAGTGTAGTTCGTTTAGCTTATGCGGGCTTTGTTGCAGGACCTTGTTTGCTGATTTTGGGTCAGGGCCTAGCACTCGGTCGTGTTCGGTGCGCAGTTTTTGAAGAATGTCGGGATATTTGTTGATTTCGTAGAAAACCCAGCAACTAAGGCAGTAGTTAGAAAATGAGGGCTTTTTTTGGGCTTGAAGTTGAGGGAGAAAAGAGTGATAGATATCTAGAGAATCTAACATGGTTTGAGCCGTGGAATCATGACCAGCAAACAAGAACGCTTTCAGGTTAGCGACAATAATATCCATTAACTCGGGTGCGGGCTGCAGTCCGCTTTCTTTTAGAGGTTTGATAGCTAGGTCGATCACCGTTTTCTGATTCTTCGAGTCAAGAGCTTCGCTGAATCGCAGCTGTACCTGCGGTAACAGAATACTTCTCATTATCGCGGTATTGTACGATACCACACGTTTGAATCCGGGAGTAAGTCGTTCCAGCCTGTTTTTGATGTTCTTTAGTTTGACACGAGCAATCAAATTTCTTAAAGCCTTGAGCAGTGGTCCTGGTCCACTTGTTTGCTCATGGAGGTGAAGGTCGCTATTATCCCGTCTTTTGTTAGCGAAAAAAAAAACGGGCTCTTACTTGCCGAACAACAGCAAATATAGAGACTTACAGGGTAAATCTTGCAATAACGTCAAAAGTCAGAGCAATAGCCCTGTCGTAAAATGTAAACATTTTACCCCATTCGTGGCTGTCCGGGTTTGCAGTGTCTTTCAATATTTGGGCAAATATGGAAACTTCCTCCAGGATGGCAGGCATATTTTGAAAGACGTTTCTGGATGAAAAGCCTTGGTTCAGTATAGCGCGCCATACTTTATAATCCGCCATGTTCATTGATATCAAGTCGATCCCGTCCGTCACCGGGGTCAGCGCCCATCTGAACATCTCATGCCTCGGTTGAGGTGATTCCTGGGTAAGTTGCGAGCAGAGCTCAGGTGCGATAACCATGATGATGGGCTGAGCCATAAAGGGCCACACATCAAGATATATCAATGGCGGGCATTCTTTTGCGGTAGGAAAGTACTTCTGCCAATTCTGAACTATCTCCATCGACGTATACGAGACATGAGCATCGCGTGGTAGCCCTTCTCTTAAACTCTTCAACAACGGAAGATGGCCAAAAAGTAGTGAATATGGCTCAATAACGGGCTGTTGAAGACGTTAGCCCATTCCGCAGTTTGAATTCGAATATGCAAGACCTGCAACAAGCAGTCTGTTTTGTTTTGGTATTCAGATACTGGGTAGTACCTACGAGCCCGCTGGCTTTCATTTTGTAGAATCTCCGTCGAGTTGAAATAGCCCGGGTCAGAAAATGCACTAGCAATGCTGTAACCACAGCCAGGCCCGTGGCAAGCACGAGATTGGGCGTACTAGATGCGACGAGCATCTTGATCAACCGTCACTGTTTTTAGTTTCTGAGGGGATGGTAGAACACTCCAAGTGAGCGCACGTCTGTCTCATCTGATCGAGCCGGTTCAGCAGTGGGATTATACGTGTATTTATCAATTGTGGCCCCAAGGGAGAACCGCTCGAACCTCCGCAGAGCCGGACCTATCGAGTTCAAAGTTGGCACAAGGATAGGCCCTTGTAACATGCGGCTGAGCAGTCTTGAGCTCGAGCCTGTACGTAAAAACAAGTCCTTCTTGCGTGGCTGTGCAGCTTCAGGGAGTCACCATGATAGAACAAAATTATCTTTGTACAGCCAGACAACATTAGCAAGGTTCTTGCGAACCGTATATCGATAGGAACTTCTCTAACATGAAAAATAAATAGACATAGACTGGGAAATCCGTTCAATCATTCTAGAAACCGTTACAACACACGTTATCGTTTCCTTCTCCCCTCCCATCCTACACATAAGCAGCTCATATCCAAATGCCCCGAAATGTCGCTATAGAGTAGAGTGACATACCTATCGTGGCGGACGAGGCCCGATTATCTGCCGTCTTGCACCGAATCCAATTCCAGTTCCTGATTTATTTTGGCTGTCTCCTCCGAGATATCCATATTGATGTACATCCCATCCGCCTTCCCCTGGACCGCTACCGGCAGTATTAACACCCTTCTTGACTGCATCCTTCGTTTGCTGCTGGTTTTCTTCCCATTCCCGTTGCCGTTCACGCTCTCGTTCCATCTCTCTCTCAAGGAGCGACTTTGATGCCCACCCGCCAGCGCGGGTCTTCTGCGTAGATTCAACACGTCGTCTGTTTTCTTCGTCTACTTCAGCCGTAGATGAGAACTCCGGTGGGCGGTATGTTACCGGCTTTTGAGACGTAGGAGCAGGGTTATTTTGCAAATAGCGATCCGTGCGATTCTTGTTAACGTAGTTGGCAGGATCCGGCAGAGGGCGAGGTGAAGTTGGCGAGTTCACCTTTCTCGGTGGCATTGCAGGTGGAGTGGGAAGATCACGAGGTGGTAGCGATGGAGGCGGGTTTGCTGTTGATTCGTCCTGGTTACGTACATTCCATTCGCCTCGGAGTAATCGACGTTCCTGTTCTTGCGACGATAAATCGTAGCTCGGCTTCTGTGGAGTATGGCTTGGTCGATTGTTATCTGGACGGGGGGAACGAGCTAGAGGGCTGGCTTCTGGTTGAGGAGACCCGCGTAGAGCAGCCAGCTCCTGGCGTTCAAGCTCATACCGCTGTTCTCTCTCTTTTGCCTTTTCGAGTTCGAGCTCCAATGCCTTGATTCGCTCACTTTCGCTCGAGGGAGCAGCTTTTGATTCATTTAATGGAGCGGCTACCCCTCGCGAAGGCCGCTGGGCAGTTTGATATTGGCTTAGGAACTGACCATTTAACCTAGCATCCGCGGCCTCCCGCTTATGTAGTCTCTCCTTTTCCATTCGTTCCTCCAAGTCTTTCTCCTCTTGCTGTCGGCGGGCTTCTTCTTGCTCCCATTGGCGCTGTTCTTCTTCCCATCGCCTCTTCTCCTCCTCAACCTGCTTTCGTTCTTTTTCTCGTAGGATCCTTTCCTCTTCTTCCCAACGTTGTTTTTCTTCTGCCTTTGCACGTTCTTCTTCAGCCTCCCGATGTGCTCGCTGACGTTCGGCTTCCTCTGCTTGTATTCTTGCCTGTTCCTCTTCTTCCTGTCGTCGTTTCTCCTTTTCTGCCAGGCTAGGTACAGCTGGACTAGGAGTGGTAATCTGTCGCCGTGCACCGAATGCTACGCCGAGATTGCCTTGACTTGCGCCTCCTATGTATCCATATTGGTGGATATTCCAAGCAGGTGCTGTGGTGGCTTCGTCAGCCTTACTACTCCATGCACTGACAGTCTTTGCAGGAGGCGAGGCTGGACCACTTCTGCTGGACGGGTTTGTGGGACTTGCTCGTCCGATATCACTGACGTTGCTCTGTCCGCGGGACCGGGAGTATGGAGCACCAAAACGCCCTCCCTGGCTCGATCCACTCATTTGAGGGCTCAATGCACCGTTCTTGTTTTTCCCAATTGCGCCTGGGAACCTAGAAGGCTGGATAGCATATGCTTTGCGGCTGAACGCCCCAAGACACTGTAGAACTTGGGCAGGGTCTTTCGCCTCGTAAAGGTCGACCGTAAGGAATACATCGTGGGGAGGGAGGTTTAGAGGAGCCCTTTGACAAGCGTGTAGGAAATGAGATATATTTTCCATCTGGACGAATGGCATATTTGATTGTTTGTATTTCACGCCTGGAGGGCCTACCGCAAGATTGACCAGTCTAAAGGTTGAACCCAAAATTAGAAAGAAATATTTATTTATATATATAGAGACCTTACAAAAATAAACCATGACTTACCTGCATAATGCTACTCCATCCCTCAGCGCTTCGAGGAGGTCGCCATTCGGAAGTTTCTCCTGCAGCGTTTCTTCAATCCAGGTTCGCACTTCATTAGCTGCCTGAGGGGTATATTTCGACAGTCGCATGTTGCGCAGGTCCCTGTCTAGCGATGAAACCGATGCCATCGTGCCGTGATTCAATAGCTGAGCCTGTTGGTATAGCGACGCGAAGGGTGGGATGGCCGGGTTATCTCAGTGGGGTAGTTAATGCAATAGAACGTTTGACATGACCTGGGTCTCGGTGGTAGAGAAACAATCAAATTGCTCCTAGTGACAGAGACTTCAGAAGGAAGGATATCTACAAAGTGTCTGCGCGGAGAGCGACGGGTTGGATGTGGTAAGTATGTTGAAGTATGTTGCGGTGACGTATCTCCCTATAGATTAAATATCCTCCGCTTAAGGCTGAACAAAAAGTTCCGCCACGCAGCCTTCCTCAGCCACAATCTTTAACTACGCTCAAATTAACAGTTTAACGGCAATGACACGGTTACGCGCAGTATAACATCCAGACATGAGTCCGATAAACAGTCTCTGGTTCAAATGGAAGAGCCTTAAACTCCCATGGCGGAAGATGTTCCTTGTCGGTATGGGCCATTCTCAACCGAGCCAGCCTCAAATCAAAATCTGACATTGCAATGTAGGGAACGATCTCGCGGGCAACACGTACTGGGAATTCAAAGATGCCCTTAAACCCGGACGGTTTCGACGCATTGTTAAAGCCAGTCCAAAGATACACTATGCCGATGTCAAAGTGTCGCGTAAGCTGACCTCCCCATTCCAGTTCAGCATGGTCAAGAGACGGTATAGCTAACGGCCGACGATGGATAGCACAATGGCATCAGTGGCTTCGATACGTTCGACCCGAGGCGCCGACCATCGAAGAACAGCAGCATGAGCTCCTACGACAACAAAGGATGAAATACCTGGCTCAGCGTGCAGACGAACGATGGGCAAGTAAACCGTCATTCCTCGACACACCACAGCAGCAACCCCCTCCAGCGTTACAATCACACGAACCATCATACCATACTACGAGACCGAATGCTGCCGGGAAAGAGGAGGCTACAGCTGGGCATAACGCTGTTGACACGGCGGAAGGGCTGCAGGAACAAGGCCTCGACGCAACGGGGAGTAAGAAGGTCAAAAATCCCTGGGACAGGGCAGTCGGCGGACCTAGCGAGAACTGGCAGCCAGAATCTTGGAATCCTAGCGTTTCGAAAAGATGATGCATCGTATGAAACACATACTACAACACCAGCACTACGTTAACTGCAGATAATCGGCTTTCATAACCGCCTGCCGTGGCATTCCTACAGCATGAGGGACGAACGATAACCCCTACTGCATTCACTAGTCTCAAGAAGGCAGGTGAATAAACCCATTTGCAAATATACCCAATCCCTTAGGGATCTAGCATCCTACCCAACCTCTAGTAAAATATCATATGACCTACCCTCTGAGCATTTTCCGTTTTGCTATACTATCAACTCACTGTTTTCAGAGTCCGAAATGACTTCCTATTCCGTTGTTTGGAACTACTTTTCTGCCTCGAGCCCAAGGCATCTCCTGGATAAAGATATCCAACCAAATTTTTCATCTTTTCGTACGTATCATGGAGCAAGATCTGTGGATAAAGGAATAGATCAAGACTCGTCGCACTTCGCTTTACTGGGGATCCAAGTGTTTCTGAATCTATTAGCCTACCGGCCTAATGAAAGGAAACTTAGGACTCTATCTTATCTACAGCCTCGCTCATTGCTCTTTTTCACGGACCAAAATTGGGGTTGAATGACTATCTTTAAGTCGGTGGAGTCTGGTCCCCTGTTCAACCATCTGTTTATGATCTGATCATCAAAGAGCCCATCTTCCCGTTGATGGACGCATGCAAGTTTACCTCTATACGCCCTCCTCCACCATACCATATTATGGGGATCTGATGCAAGCTATATATGGCTATATATGCAGGCGGCAATGCGCCTGTTTTATATGCAGTATGCACAGGGCATGTTTCAGTTACATTCTTGTTGAACCGTACTATGGTGTCCATGGATAGAATGGTGTTTTTTTTTTTTCAGTAGCCTGGGAGATAGCCAAGATCTATCAATGGCCCAAATATAGATGAGCTTTAAGGATTTAGAATCGGTCAATATTTCTATTTGATACAGAAAACCTACAATAATAAGGACATACCCAAATACCTTGCTAATTGACAAAGTTCCATTTTATGTAAAGGTCGAAGGGATGTAGTTAGGAGTGGGAGCTCTGTAGAGAAACTGCTACACAGCTACCCCGGCCTCCGAATAATTTCTGAATAGACACATATTATAAATTAACGTAGTTCGTATCGTTCATTTAAAAGCTGTTATCGGAATCTATTTTACATTATTTCAACGTAAGGCAAAAATGCTGAGCACAACAGTGATCCGTCCCAGGAATGTAGATAGCTGAATAGGATCAATTGGAGGTAAAAGGGCAAAGGGCATAAGTCGAAGGAAATGTGTAACAAGCAGATTGCCAACATGCAATGTTTAAACCCCAGAAAAAAGGAGAGGTACAATAAAATAGTGAAACGCTTGTGTTTGCTAGAAGTAGTATTAAAACATCCCTATATACATGAAAGGGCAATGCATTAAGAAAAGGAACAAACGCCAAATGCATATTAAAAAGGCTTTAGCAAAAAACAGCCTCTAGAGCTTCGACGTCGCCGCCTGCTCTTCGGACAGCCATCAACGCAGCTTCGGAAAGCTTTCTTCTCTTATCACGAGCTTCTTGCTCGCGCCTTGCTTTGGTCTTGGAGCTTCCACTGGGAGCAACCCCTGATAGTAGCTTATGACTATCTTCTGGCGTAAAGTTAACGAAAGATACGTTCTTAGCCGCTTTATTAATAACATTATTGCAGTTAGCGCTAATGCTAGAATGAGTAGAGGTGTTGGATGAAGTTGCCTTGGTACATTTCGTGGCTTGACCAGAGAAACTAGCCGCTTTTCGAGAATGCTGTCCACGGCGCTGGTGTGCTGGAACGTGGTATCTGGACTTCGGCGATTGTTGCGGGATCGATCCTGGCGTCAGTCTCCTGCTTATTACTGGGGCCGACCGAGGAGCCCCAGATATAGTTGGTGCAGAGTGTGATATTGGAATGGAGAGGTGAGAGGTTTGGATGGGTGGGGGTTGATGGGTTCTTTGATGCTGCGGTGGTATATATGGAAGAGACGAGTAGGCTGGTGTCAACGCCGCCTCAGAACAAGGCAGTGGAGGAACCGACATGGCCGGCTCCTGGATAGAAGTGGTGATTTCTGGTGAAGTTGTATCCATGTGGATCATGAGGCCAGAACTCTGCATTGATTCTGGAATGTGGATAAACCGCTGGTGTTGATTTCGAAAGGGCATAGGGGTTGGTGTCACAGCCGAGGAATAACTTGCGTGAGGAAATGGCGGTTGCACGTTTGTATTTGAGATAGCCTGAGACGGTGCTGTCGTCCACCACTGCTCTGACTCATGACGTTGGATGTTAGGCTGGGAGCATTGGAAAACAGAGATGTCGATGGGCTCTGAATGCCACGAATTCATGGAAGGCACGTCGCATGGCTGGGATCGCAGTATTTGTCGTGGTGGAGGGGGAGGTGGTGATGTATGGCTTGGTATTGTAACCGCAATCGCTGAGTCCTGATACCGCTGGCATGATGGCTCAGAGCTATCACTAGTAGTCGGTATGGGCGGGCTGTGTGCCGTGTGGCTCATCAAGGTCGAGCTATATCGTGGTGTCGACATGGGTGTATTATTATCCAGGGGTGACCGATCGGAGTCTCTGCTCACGGTTGAAAGGTGTGATAGACTCTCACGCCGGTCCAAGGCCTGCGAATATGAAGCAGCAGCATTTGACGCCGAGCAGCCTGGAGACTGGACCATCTGCTGGATCCCGTAGTTCTCCAGGCGTTGATGAAACCAGTTGTCCTGGTAAGCCATAGTGCCACCGGGGGAAGGCGAGGAAGTGGGTGAGAGCGTGGGATCTGAGAACAGGTCGACCTTTCTCGTCAGCACGGTAGATCCATTTGATTTATGGTGGCGGGCTTCTCCTGTTACAGACGGTAGGTTGTACTTGTATATTTGCTGCTGTTGCATCCAGTTCGAGGCAGTGGGCCGCGAGGGACGGTCAGCGAGATGCTCCTTTGGATCCTGAAACAAAACCCCGGAATCAACATTGAAGTCGTCTTCTATTGCTAATAGCCTGCTCGCGTGGTCAAAGGTGTGATGCTGTGTTGAGTCCGCGTTTAGACCTGGCCCTGAATGAAGCGATGAAAGGTTATCATCAGTCCAGCGCCGGGTAGGTAGGTTGCCACTCTTCATCAAGGATAGACCTGCATGAAAGGGGATATCAACATCATATGAAAATGCTGTGCCTTTGTTGGCCGTGCAACTGGGAGACTGCATCTGATCATGGTGGCCCAACGTGTTACGGAACGAATCATTTATCGGGCCTGAGAAACTATGGGCTTTGTCTTCCGCTTGCGTCCTCGATTCCATATCCCTGGGTAAGGGCATCGTAGATAGGTATTTTTTTTTGATTGGGCGAAACAATTATTATCTCAGAAGGGATGGTCCTGCAGGTCCTGCAACAGAACGGTTGGAACAGTTCTGGGATCAATATCTAGAACTCGCAAAATGATGTCGAAAAAAAAAAACCTGTGTGAGCGATAAAGGACAGCCCCGGGAGGTTCCTTTTTTTTCTCCTTCCCTCTATGGCGGGGCTTCAGTCAGTAGTGGATGTCGAAAGGTGCTTCTATTCTGAGTGAGACAGGATAAATCGAGAAGCAGAAAGGGGAGCGGATATGCAGGCTGGATGCTGCGCGAGCTTATAATAACTCAGGTGCAGTGACTTATGGTGAAATGGCCGTGAACAAGGGACGCAGCAGCGCCATACCATTTCACTTCACCGATGTTCCAGGTTGAGGTATATAAGTCTCTCGGCGGAGGGACACCGAGGAAGATATCCAGATATATAAAACCAAGAAAAATGGCACAAATTTGGAAAGCGTGTGAGCAACCAAAGATATCCCTAGACACAGAGGGAGATTGGATGAAGATGCACAAGACCACAGAGGTTGAAACTGGTTATCCCATGAGGAGCCGTTGAGCTATCCATGCGGATTTTGCAGGAACAAAGAGCAGAGCAACGTTTTAAAGTTGGTATAGAAAACAAAGACCGCACAGTCTTCGAGTGTCTTGGGAGCACCTGATTTCCTGGGAGATTTGAAAAAAAAAAGAAGAAAAAGAAAAAGAAAAAGAAGGAGAGATAGGTATAAGCTTTCACAGGTGGGAAATAGTTTCTTTCAAGAGCTCTTGGGGTTATATATTATAATAAACAAGCTCATGCTCCCTACCGCAGCACGGGTCTTGAAATGGCAGGTCAGGAGATAAAAAAAGAACAATACTACATGAACTTCGGTGCTAAATGCCCGAGATGAACACAGCAGAGGGCTTGGTGCTGCGGTAGTAGCCTGTAGGTCGTTTGTACAATTATATGAGTTGATACAACTCGAGCAGCCCGGCGGTCGACCTGTCACGATGCCCCGTCGGTTGGCCCTTCAGCTGATGTATGTGGTGGCTGCTGGCGGGTAACGGGACGTCCTGGGGGGCTACAATGCCCATTTTTGGTGCTTCAAGTCAAGACGAGCTCTTATCTCATTTCCTCTTAGCGATGAGAAGACCCATGGTGCCGGGACAATAAGAGCAACGTTGATAGGATTGCCAGTGACGTGCTATACGCACTGTCCGATATTGATTCGTTATCATCTTTGTGCTCCTTTAGCTCCTTGGCCAGGTAAGCGGGACATTGATTCCGCCAGCCAGCATCGCTATCACTTCTGGGCCATGGGGCCCCCAAATAAAAATGGTAGACGTGGGAGCGCCATCTAATGCATCTAGCTCTCCTGGAGCCGCCTTGGAACAATGAGCCAGCAAGTGAGGATATGAGGATTGTCCATAAGTCTGTTATTTTTGTTCTGTATCTCGTTCCATTCGATGATCAAACAAAGGCTTCCTGTTAATCATCAGTGTGAACTTTATCCGCAATCCCTTTGTTTAGCAGGAGTACTTAAGTCGAGGAGGAAAACCTGGCTCTGGCTGGTGTATCACAAATGCCCTAGGCTTCCAGTGTATGGTTCGGTGGATTTGTAGTATCACTCAACCCGAGGGAGCGTTTCTTGACTGCGCCATCATCAACCTCCCGTCAGAGGGCCAAAAGCAGGGAGCGGTGATGACTGTATTCCAGAACGGTTGACACGTTGGCCGCGTTGCACAGAACGGCTATGATGCTGAGATATGCCGAATATTCATTCGAAGGACGATGGGAACATAAGAGCACTGTACGGAGTATATCCGTGAGGATCAGGAACATTTTCCTCCCACGGCCAATATGCAGCTAGATGGGATCCCTGCGATGACGCGCCACGGCGGAGGGTTTTCTTCGGCCATTTAGATTCGGTCTTAGGGCTCTGAAGACAACCCAGCGTAGGATTAACAAGCTGAGGGGCAGATATTTGATGCCTGGATGTCTGCTGGGTGTCTGCATGGAATCAACAAGACGGCAACACAGACAAAGGGGCTGTACCCAGGAACAAGCACGTAGCTCTGTAGAAGGATAGCGGTCCGTTCAAATATAGAAGCGTATAGACTGTTCATAGCCCAACTGCAGGTCGACCCGACCCTTTCCCTCCTCACGTTCAACAGCTGTCTCACGCGAGAATCAGAAATGCGCAGGTGCATAGCCTGGGAAATCCTGGCGGGCGAGGGGTACTTGTGTTTCTGGTGGGCTCCACGCGGGGCTGGAAGTACCAGGGAGCCTCCACTGTTTTGTCAGCAATGACGCCGGACACAGCCGCTTCCTCCAACCCTCAAATTTGGGGAAACCTCGCGACGTCACAGAACCTGCGATGCCACAGCTTCCTGTCTCCCACCAGCCAACAACACCCCAAAGACATAGTCAACAGCTGTCTAGAGACAGCGTCTGCCCTTCGATCCATAAACCACGGCCCTTTAGCTGCTCCTTCACTTCCCCGAGGAGCCCGCTGTCCTGAAGCCGTGTCCTGAAGCCGAGTTTTCCTGAACTCGCGCCGCGATTCTTTGTCTTCAGCTGCCATATCCTCCAACCTCGCCCCTATACCCAAATGCTCTCAGGCCTTAAAAACGGTGTTCAGATTAATATTCACCTCTTTAACTCCCCGTCCTTCAGCAGTATCCCTCAGTGCTGGAAGAAGGAACTTGATCTCGCGCAGTTTAGGCAAAGCAGGAATGACCAGCGGCCAGCAACCGATCTTGAGAGTTGGCTTGTTTCACGTTTGCATCGAGGCTGCTGAAGACTGTATCAGCGGAGAGACCGCTTGTTGATGGAAGTGAAGATAACTACCCAAGTCTAGATTTTTTCGCGTCGACAGAATGGCCTACTAAGGCCATCCCTTCCACCACCATGGTTTCTCCCCAGAAACCCATCTGGGGGAATTCCCCGTGTGTACTCGCTGTGGGCAACGACTCGGACGCTCCTCGCTTTCGACGTGTTCACTTCTCAAGCATTTTATCCTACAAAAAACTCGCTTTCACCTCGTCCGCACAGGATACCTAGGGTGTCCTCTGACATCGTCGACCGTTCCGCCAGAGGCGATATCAAACTCTACGTCGAGTAACACCACAACACCAGTGACCCCCAACCCCAGCCACCGGCGTTACCGACGCTTCACTTCCCCTCCTCAACAACTTGATACTGGTGACTTATCGCGGGGCTGGGAAGGACAGGAGAGCAGGAATATATATTTTTCTCGCTAGCCGAGAAGACCCCCCGCGCACTCCGAAGCAGAGACATTTCGATTTTGCAAGACATGTCCTTCCGTTGTGGCCTCTTCTTTGGTCTCAGTCCTCAGACAAACGCCTACTCTACCATCGTGACATACAAGACCGAATACAAGGAGCAAGCCAGTCCTCAATATTGTGCTATCATGTCGGCCTTTCACCATTTCGATCTGGGCGGAATGCGCCGTTTCAGCGCAGTCGACCCGTATCAGGGTCAGGATATACCTGACGAGCCCAAGGACGCCGAGACAACTTTTATATCCCCCGAATATGATGCAGCTACTATGGTGCGGTCTTCTACTCTTTCCTTCTCGGATTCCTCTGTATCAACCTTGCCAGACGACATGAAATCCGAGGTACAGCTTATGTTGAGGGAAAATGACCAATTTCGCATCGTCCAGGAGAACCCTCAGGAGCTGTTACAGTCCGGTGGAGAGAATGGAGATGATGAATTCAGTGATGGAACCGATATGGAGTCGTTCGGGTCTGTTGACGAACAACAGGGAAGTGTAGAAATCAGCCATTTGCCAACCACTGCCGAGGCTCAGGTTGAACACCCACTAATGGCCAAAGGATGCCGTAATGAAAATGGAGAAGAATGGAAGGACGAAGAAACCGACGACGATGAAGACGAAGAAGAAGAAGACGATGATGACGATGATGAAAACGATGACCAGAGCAACTGTGGTGACTACGACGATGATGAATTTGAGTCTGATGACTCTGATTCCGACCATGGGTCTTCTGTTGATGGTGACGAGATGACTGAAGGTGAGTGGCTAACCTATCCATATATGCATCTGTGGGTTCTTGATCATTCCATGTATACTGACTTCTTATAGATCTAGGGCTTAATGATGAATACTCCTTTATTTCCTTTTCACGCTCTGTCCACTTCGCTCCAACTCTTGAAACCGTGATTCCAACCAAAACATACGACTGGGAACTGGAGCCCCCTACCGAGCCACTACCATCAATGACTCTCCAAGAGAAGATTCAAATTGCCATCGCAGCAAAGGCAAGGTACTCGGATCCCGCAAACTTTGTCTTCGACGAAGACTACGAGGCCGATGAGCATCCCCACGACAGCATCGACCTCGACAAGAAGCTTCTAATAGCTTACATCAACGGCCTGCGTACTATCTCTACTCATGTCTGCAAGGTCATGCTATGCTCCCGCACACTCCCCAAGGACCAGAAGGGAACCGAAGGCGTGGAGCCGGACATCACCTTATTTGTCAACGAATACCTCGATAGGATCTCGAGCCTCCTCCTGGGTTTCTTCCCTAACTTATTTGACGAGGCCAGGTTTGTGGACATCCTTGAGTCTACTATGACGGCAGTGTCATTTGACGACGAGGACAAAGTGATCTACAGGCCCGGGCTGAAAGAGGCTCGAGAGCTTATTAAAGATGCCTTGGAGGATACGCTTGATGTGGGTGACATGTATATGGCCGATGACGTTACTCGGTGGCTCGCCAGTGAACTTATTGAGCCGCTCGGTCATCGGGCGATGGGGCTTGAGAAGAAGTGATAGTGTTGTCTGGACAAGACGAGACTAATGAGGACAGTGGATGTCGATATTTTCTTTCTTATTTCCCGTTGATGTGGGATACTTAGTGTCTCCTCTTCCTCCCACTAACTAAAAGCGAGGGTCCGGTTTTTCGTTCTATTTCTGCCTTACGATCTTGTGATACTTGGCTTTTGTCTTAAATTTCGCCTTATTTGCTCTGTTTCTGCTCCAGTTCTTCTTTTTTTCTAAGTTCAATGACATGCGGATAATGGAGATCTCGGCCTTAGTACCAATGGGAGAAAAAAAAATTCGAGTAAAAAGGGCTGTGGCGCGTTCAAACGTGTGAATAGTTTCTCTCTAGTAGGAAGATTGATGTGCGGAAAATCGCCACGCAGCCAACTACCACGAACTATCTATCCAAGCAACCGAATAATAGTTGAAGATCTTTATGATCTGCACCAGCATCATCCTTCGCTTTTCTTTGTTCGTCATTCTTTCTTGCAGACGAGTTCATGCATGCCATCTCCGAATAGCCCATTATGGATATCCGAATATTTGCTGAGACTAGAACTGGACCCTCACTTCTCAACGGCGCCCCCGTTGAACAGTGATACAGCCAACCGACTAACCAGATCGCTGGAAGCCAATAGGAAGGACGCAGATCTATAGCAGCCGTCGTTATTTCCTATCCTTGGTCTTAACATGGGGGTATTAAGCGGGCAGTATGGAGTAGTATGGCATCCCGATGACAAAGGATCAATCATTTGCGATAGATCGGATAAATGGGAAAGGTCTGCCTATTTCGTTCTTCTGCAGTTTATTTGGCTTGATATTGAAACAGGAGAGCTGGGAGTGTATATTAACATTAATGTACACGCAAATTAAGTATGCAATTGTATTAATCTATAGAGCATAATATATTGCTAATATATAGCGATGCAGCCCGGCTTGCTTCCGTGCAGTTGATTTAAGTACTGATGCACTCTCCGGCTAAGCCGTCGCACATAACTTGAATGCACAAGCATAACTTCTATAATTAGATTCGCTACGAACCTGCGATGAACTGGAACTGGAACTGTCTCTGAAGTGCATTGAGACATTCCTGACACGGCTAGAGGACCATGGACCATGCAGGAGGCATGTGTCAGACCGACAGGATACGGGGATGCCTGGGTTTCAAGATGCTCTTTTGCTCTTTGCGACTTGCCTACACGAGTTTCCGTAGAAGGTAAAAAATTAGTAAGTGCATTAGCCTGGCTGCAGCAGGTCTGTACACAGCCGGCCTTGACTTCTATATATGGCATGGGGAAGAGGCGGCTGGTTAAATAGTTATATGCACTGCGAGACTGGAGTGAAATCGTCGTCGGCCGCGGATGACTCCCAAGACCGGACTATGGACGGTGAGTGAGAAGGCAAGTTGAATGGGCGTGGCCAAGGATGGATGGATGGAGGGATGGAGGGATGTATATGTATGGGAAGTGCAAGGCTCAGGTATGCTTGCGTACCACAGGGCGATCACCGTCTTGAGCCTTGCAGAGTTCGAGTATCAACGGATAAAGTACGCACCGCAGCAAGAATGGCATGCTTTTGAGTTGCTCCAAGCCTTTCCTTCCATGGGAAGAGTTGGGCATCATATGCTGAATAACAACCTTGATACGGTCTCGGTCCGGCAGTGGAAGTCGCTTCTTGTATGTAGATGTTCCGGTAGAGAGTTGGCTGTTGGTTGTTGGCTGCGAATCCCACATTTTGGCAGTATGTCATCATTGACCAGAACCAGACATCAGTGCTGACGGATGACGGATGCTTCCTCCACAGCTCCGATCCGAGGCTGAGAAAAGACAGACGATAGTCCGGGCCAGAGTTCCGGCGTGAGATCTCACAACAGCCGTGGGTGGTTGCCTGGTCTATGTGACATGCTGTGTGGATTCCACCAGCGAAGTCTACTCGGGATTCTGTCAGACAGGCGACGGGTGACGGCCGTCGGACGAGAAACCAGCACAGGACAGAACGAGCATAGTTAACAACGGATCGAGTGATGGTGGAATGGAAAGCCTTGTCCAAGAATATAAGCATGATTGGGCCGGACAGGGGCTGATTTTAGGCCGATCGGAAAAAGCAAAGACTCAAAAAGTCAATTAAATAATATGGGTCCCTTGCGCAAGAGAAGAAGACGTGGAAGAAGAAAAGAAACGAAAAGAAAAGGAAAAAAAAAAGTTGGAAAAAAGGTAGAGAGACGGTTTCGCAGCTGATTGTGTGCTTGGTTATGCCGTCTCACAGCCTGTGTCAGCACTGCCGTTTGCTTGAATGGCCGGTGTTCCACAGGCTGAACGATAACGGGTGACGGTGAACCTCGTCTCGCGCAGTCACTGGATAGTTACTGGAGGGAATCGAAGCATGGATAAGACAAGTGTAGCCAAGTTGGGCAACGTGGAGGCGGAGCCATGTCTTTCTTTTTCTCTCTGTGTCGAGTGACTCCGGACATATCTCATACATCCATCCATTGATGAGTCTGGAGTATAGATGATATCCCTCCTGGAGTCCTCCCCCATGGGCTTAGCCATGCGTTTCGTTTCAACTTCCAGCCAAGGATTCGAGAAAGGATGGCCATCAGCTAGACAGCGCCAGTCCAGCATCAAAGCAGTCCCGGCAGGAGAGAGCTTCGACTATTCCCATCGTGCAGAACTAGTGGCCGCCATCGCGCCGCCCATCTGTGGTCCATGGTTCACTTGTAGCATAGCGTCTTCTCCATAGTAGCATAAAAGTACGGAGTAGCGTATTGGCGAGGACGAGGATCTGGTTCAGGGGCCCCGATCCATGGATGCGCCAGAAGGAGAGGAGCAGACCGGGAGGAAGAGCCAACGAAGCAGATCGCAGAGGGCCAGGGGAGCCCGCAGCCCGCAGCAGCATGGGGGGTGAATGGAGTTGTCGAGTCTAATCACTCTGGAGTAGATCTGGTTCGTATTTGTACGGAATAATATGCCGTGAATCAACGCAAGCCCCTTGCCATCCCGCTCCCATATGAAGATCGAAGATGCGTCTTGCCTGAGCACTGTCTTGTCTTTTTCCTGGAGGGAACAGAGTACCGCTTCGAAGGAGGAAGCGCCTCTTGGCCGAATGCTTTCTTTTTCGCCTCTCGCTGCTGATCATCGATATCTAACACGATACTGGGCGTGCTGGTGGAGAGAAACAAGCCCAGCAAGCCAACTGGGGACATCCTTACTCCAGAGTTACCGCGAGCACAGCGCTGCAGTTCCAGACACGAGAGAGACTCCACTGCAGGCCTTGGAGCACTGCGTCTCTTGACTGTACTAGCATTTGCGCATTCGAGGTGCTGGTGGTCGATAGCCGGAGGGCGAGAGTTGTATATATCGTCGGTGGTTCTGGCGGGAGGATTTTTGCCTCTCTCCCCTGAATCGCGACCCGCTACCTTAGCCTTACCTCCTCCTCTTCCCTTCTCATCTTCACACTCCCTCTCCTCTACTTCACACTCTTCCACTCCGTACTTTCGCTCACTCCTGCTTTCTCACCCGTCATTCATTACGCCGGACTACTGGCCAGCTGCAAAAGAAAAGAAAGGACATCGCTCCCCGCGACATGGCGGCGAGATAAACTCAAAACGCGGACGCCGGACGAGAAGCAGATATATACGAACATCAGCCACCCCAAGAAGCAAAGGGGGAAAAAGGAATATCTACTTTAATTAATACTCGTCCTTCGAGAATCCTCATATCTCTCCTCCGAGCGGGCACCGACACCCTCTCTCAATTCCGATCTTCTCGTTCCTTTCTCTCTCTCGTTTTTCTCCGCTCGTTTTTTCTTTGTGCTCGACTTTTGCTCTCTCCTGAAGACAGCCGGAACGCTTTATTCGGATTTATCTCTCTACGGGAGTTGTTTATGTAGGTTCCCTTCCCGTCGTCTGGTTCCTTGTCTCTCCCGTCTTCCCGCTGTCTCCGGGCTACGTCAAACCGTTTTCCCCTGGAGATCGTTGGGTGGGCACACCCTCTTTGTTTGGCAGAGTCGTTTTTATATCATCCGATCACCGAGATATATAGACTGATTATAGTTGGGCAGGTTATTCGAAATTCACGATATATATACAGCCAACCGAATGCTTGCGTGAAAAAGACAGTCCGGACTCCCATACAAGATGCAGGGCGACGCTCCGTCAGCATTCATGGTCGCCAGGCGCGCGAGAAGCACCAGTCTGTCGTTCGACCGTAATGCCAGTCTTGCCAGCAAGGCCGGCGTCCCATCGCCGCCACTGGTCCATCCTGCACCACAATACGTCGCTATTTCGGCGGCTACACAATTGATCTCTGCATCTTACGGGGTCAACCCACTAGAACCCAAGGAAGGGAAACCCAGCAACACCATCGTCACACCACCGTCACTCGTGCTCGTGAACGGCTTCCTCGACCATATACTATTCAACATCCTGCTGGCCGCGAAATCGACAAAACTATCAGCGATTAGGCCTGCTGTTTCGGATGTCCTCAAACCCAGATTGGCCCGTGCTGTTGTCTCCGCTGCAGATGAAGAGCTCAGCGAGTACATGGGTACAAGCGACGAGGAAGAACTAGCGGAATTCAGAGGCAACCAGGACCCCGCCGGCCATTTCGAATTGGAGCGATCATGGAAATTGACACGCTTACGATGTATGGTCTATGCGAGGCTGGGTGATATGGAGGAAGACGACGAGGAAGAACATCTACAGCGAGAAGGATTAAACGAAAATAACGGTCGTCCGTACAGGTTTGTGAACCATGTCGGGCTCCTTACACCGGCTGCAGCAATATTCCTTACCTCGATTTTGGAGTACGTCGCCGAGAACATATTGATTATTGCTGGCGAAAATTCCAGCACCAGGCTTGGGTTCACGAACGAAGACGACGAGAGGAAATACCAGGGTGGGCCGCTCGTGGTCGACGATGTGGATGTCGAGAAAATTGCTCTCAACCCGACGCTCGGGCGGCTCTGGCGTACCTGGAGGAAAAACCTTAGAGCCCCTATGCTCTCGCGGACGCTATCGCGAGAGTCCCTGGTACAACGTGGCTGCACTTCCAGGAATAGCACCCGCAGCAGCGTCGGTACTGTGGACACCTTCGACGGGTTCTCCGTCAACCGAAAATTTGCCTCCGATCCACCTGTCTCTGAAAACCCCGAACTCATCAACCCTGCCGAAGTGCCCCTGCCAATAAATGAGTACGATATTGATGAAATTGAGATGCCTGGTTTCACCTCACAGCTCGCCGTCGCATTACCTGCACGGTCAATGCGCCCCAGGAGCCTGTTCATCTCCAGCTCTGATATCTGCAGCACTCCTGCCTCTACAAGAAGCAGCTCACCGCGTGTGAAAGCCTCGCCTCGATCTAACAGCAAAAAATCACATTCTCGCTCCCAATCCCTCCCGCAGTCGATGTACGTTTCGCCTACCTTCCCATCTCCTACCCGAACGAAGCGTTCCGCGTCTTCCGCCGCCGAGTCTCATGATGAGCATGAGATTCTCGAGAGTATGCCCGAAGCGGAAGAGCCTGAAACTGAAGAGTCCAGGGAAGGAGAACAGCAGGCTGGTCCTGATTCTACCCCGGAACTCAATAACAACCAGCACTACCGCCCGGCCATCGCCAGAAAGATGAACCGTCATTATTCACTAGAGGCAGACGTCTCTCCTCCAGGCAGCGAAATCGACGACACAAACAGTGTTGTTTCCTCCTTACATACTGGACACGAAATGTCACGGCTGTATTCTAACGAGTCTGCGGAATCTGCCCGTGTGCCACAGGAAAGTGGTCATTCGGCCCGCATCACGACGTGGGACGACATTGCGGATGGAAATCCAGCATACTATTCCTCTTCGTCTCTCACCGACGATGAACAACCGAGCAGTGTGTATCGGGCCAGAGAGAGGAAGTCATCACGATCCCGAATGGCACCTGCTCCACCTACGAGTCACCCACAGGAAGACATGTCATCTACTCAAGGCACAATTGTGGAAACATCATTTATCTCACATTCCTCTCGCTCTACCAGTCAGGGACCACGACTTACTCCTTTGGCTGAGGTGGCCGACAGCACTCCTGTGCAAGAACAACATCCCTCCATCCAAACACAGCAACTTGCTGACCAAGTCTCTATATCCGGAGATAGCGAACGCTCTGCCACTCCACGAAGCCGGCCATGGCTCACAAAAATCAATACCAACTGTTCCACAAGAACGGCTCCTTCTGTGTCTCCAGGCTCAGAACGCGCTGCTGTTCAGCGAGTCACACCTCCGCCATGCAGCATCTCTCGAGATTCGAGCAAGTTGCGCAGGTCGGAGAGCACAGGCAGTCGACGTGAGGGACGCCCAATTACATCCGGCTCTGGTGTGTCGCAGGGCTCAAGCAGGATCATTAAGGGATTAAGCAGTCGACAGCCGTCGGACCTCTCGGTGTCTGTGAGAGGGTCGTCTGATGGCAGCGGCAATGGGTCTACGGCACTTGAGGATCTACTGAAGAGCGATGAGACGATTCATTATACCTTGACACCGCGAAACATGAGGGAGATGGAGGAAGCCGGTTCGCCCCGATGGGCAGCTACCCGACCAGATCTCACCGATTCGTTCGATACCAGTTCAATAATCAGCGGCAAGCATAGTCGGAAGACTGTAACACCTTCACTACGCTCTCCTTCTAAATCACCATCTACACAGTCTCCACTTGCTCGAAACCCGCCCAGCCCACCTCCAAAGACGAAACTGACTGCTCCACAAGCAAGAGACGCCAGAGCAGACAATACATCGGTTAGAGATTTCGCAAACTTCATCCGTTCCACAGGACCAGATCAGGGGTTACACCCAGCCACAGCCCAAGGAAATAACAATGTTCGCATCGCCAAATCACTTCCAAACTCCCCTGCGACAACAGGCTCCTTTTCGCCTAGTATGCTTGCTCCTCCAAGGGCATCACGAGATACCACACCTGGGACACGAAACAGACCTCGTCTGGAAGCCCGCCCAGCCGTCCTAGTTAGGGATAACAGAACATCTGAGCTCATCGACTTCATCCGTGAAGGTCCACCAGATCCTCAGGCTCGTCGCTTGCAGCAGAAGACTGTCGCTCCCTTCAGAGATACCATGAACTCAGACGATTTCCGTTCCTTCACCCCTACACGCACTGATACTGTCACCGGCGAGAGTTCGATGCCAAGCACTCAGGATGGTTCGATGGTGGCTAAATCCGTCGCTTCAGTGAACTCGCGCACCGCCCTAATTGACACTACCAACCGCTCTAGCAGCCGAGCCCATCAGCCTATCAGACCTTCTCCCACTTCAAACCCACGAGGAAAAGAAGGTTCTGCTCCCGCTAAAACGCGGCGACGAGTTAAAGACCCATACGCCATTGATTCAGATAGCGAGGACGACTACGATGACCAAATCGAGTCAACAAAACCAAAGGAAGAAAGTCTCGCAGAGTTTCTAAGAAACGCTCCCCCGCCTCCCCCGCCTCAAAAGCCTCAACCTTTCTCCATCAACGTACCAAAAACCGACGTCAAGCGACAAAAGTCTATGAGGACGCGTATTATGCGAAGCGCGACTCTAGATTCCAACTCGCGAGACTCACCACGTTCTTCTACCGCCACCCCACCCCCTATTCCTAGACTCGTCGACCTCCCCTCCCAGCACACCCACCCCGGCAAGCCACATGCATCTCTTAGTTCAGGGTCGTTTGTGGCTACAGTCCACGCGGACGAGCCCGATAATCAGTGGCACTCCGGTGGACGGTTGCCAAAGGGGATAGCGAAGGGCGCTGGTGCCGACGGTATATACAGAACTAACAAGTCTGAGACTGCAGCATTGGCAGATTTCTTGAAGAATACCGCTCCTCCACCCGCACCGGCCGTGAGCACTATGTCTTCTGTCAGCGGAATGAAGACAGGTTCCTCTGGCGGCTGGACCTTCAAGACCTTCCTACGAAAAAAGAAACAGGTGGTATAAAACCCAACCTGCCACCAATCGCATCACATCGCCATTCATTCCATTATCCAACGCCACGTTTCTCACTCTCTTTTTGGAAAATATTTACGTTTCCTCTGTTGAAATGTTCTACCACCTTTTTAATTAATGAAGACGATTTTCGGCCCCCCGCTACACTATACCATTTACTTTTATTTTACTTGTCTGATTTCTCTTTCGCTTTCTCTTTCTCGAAAACAAGGGCGGGAATGTATATTTTGTTTTATCAAGTACCAGCCTTGGCCATTCTTTCGACTAAGCAATAGTCCAGCAACTTTTATACATACGTCCTGCCTGAGCCAATTGGTTTTTTTGCTTATCTTGCGCATTTAGTTTTATCAATACCCTCGATCTACGCTCTCTTATGCACGCAGATGTGTCATATTTTCTTTCCCAGCCCTTACTTTCTACTTATACCACCAACCTTTTTCTCTTAATATCACTTTGGGCCTTATTTTTTGTTATATAATACTTACCTTTATCATAACCATCATGGTGAGATGCAAGTCATGAAGAATCTTTTTATCTAAAAGCAGTATCTATTTCCTAACGGTTTTGTGTCTTGTTCGTGACTATCTACTCTCCAATTCCTGTTCTTTTGTAAGATCGACTAGTCACGTGTACACTAAATTAAAAGCACCCGCCTCACTTGTTGCTGTCTAATTGACAACCAATTCTTTCTGCATTTCTTCAGGCTAAAACTTCATGGCCGCCAAATAATTATTGTAAGGGACATATTACAATACCTAAGGGTTATCAACTGTTCAATTTCCACCAGTGATAAATTAGATGCCTAGCAGATTGATAGCTAGTGCCTTTATATTGATAAACAAACAGCCTGTTACCTTACTTCATACGCTGCCCCTGCTTGAGATCGACTCCATCCCAGGAAATAGCAGAGGTGTTAGCAAAGGGGATGAAGTCTACTATACCTCTGTGAGCAGCATAAAGAGGGAACTTGACGTGCCACCAGCAGCTAGATGACACGATTCGTTGTGGTGGCTTTTTATTCTATCTTCCTTTACGGGTGATATCTAGCTACGTTCTTTCAAAGTTTCAGTGCAATCCACCGCTCTCTGACATATGATGGCCGCTTCAACGTCACTTCTATCGCGTTCTCCCTTAGAAAGGCTACCGTTGCTTGTCCTCGACTTAGTATGCGAATACCTCGCGGATATTGACTCTAAACGACGCAGTCTCTTCGCCTTCTCCTTGACAAGCAAAACCTGTTGCGATGCCGCTGCAGTTCAGAGGTTTCGACATGTTTACATTGAATATCAAGGATGGAAAAAGTTGAAATGCGATTTAGAACGATGGAACGAGATTCTAAATGTCAAACGGCGCGTACGATATGTGCGCAAAGTGGAGGTCGCTAACGAGAGGGAACCGCGCTTCTCGAAAGTAATTAAATATAAGACGGCGCTCACGGCTGAGAAGGTATCAGAAGAGGAGGCAGAAATAGGAGGAGTACGCTGGCAAACTCCCGAAATTACCGTTTATCCTCTGATGTTGAATTCGTGGATTCTCACGGAAAAAGAAAGAGAAAAAACCGATGAAGCCTGGTTACCACTAGCTAAGTTTATCGCACAGTTACCAGGCCTTAGGGATTTTATCTACTCGTATCCAGCTCAGATCCCAAGATGTATACTGTCAGCGTTACATCAGTATCACCCAAACAGTCGTCTTCATATATCCTCGTTCAATTTTCGGAGTCTATGCCAGGAAAAGGGCCGCCCACGCGATATTGACCCGGACGAATTTGCACTTGCAACATCGCCATGTCTATACAGTGTCACTTTGGGGTTTTCTCCCTATCGCGCATCTACACATGTGAATTATAATCATGAAGCCGTATTACAGATGGTGGCAACATTGGCACCAAAGCTCAGGCATCTGGATATGTGGAATCTTGATGTTGGGAATGCAATGACCATGGAAGGCTTTGACCCCATGGAAAAGCCACCATGGCAAGGGTATTTTGCGGATAAACGAAGACTGCCCCCGACGCCTCTTAGAGCGATAGGGGCCCTTCAGAGCCTCGTTCTATATGGCGAGTTTTTAGATGACATCACAAGCTGGGATGGCTACACAGATTTCTCGAAGCTACAGTCTCTTGAGATAGGCGGTTCTATCCAACCTGAAGGGCTGCAGGCCTTGAAAAAAATGGCTGAAAACAGTCAATTTAAATCGCTTCGCACACTTGGTCTAGATTCATACTCCCTTCTGGACGGAGATCGCGCACACATGGACGAGGCAACAAGCCTTCTGCTACAAAATTTACCTCCTCTCAGAGATCTGAAGTTAAAAGGGTTTGTTGCTGAGGAAACATTCTCCTCGATATTGAATCACCATAGGACTTTGCGCGAGCTTCAGTTCCTACCAGCTCGGGATACGGTGATGGTAGTGAAACCATATGTTGTATCATCCGAACACGTTCAGAGGCTCCAAAAAAACCTACCAGACCTGCAATATGTAACTCTGCGGATTCCTCGTACAATGAGCGATGAAAGAGAAGTGCGCATCTATCAAGCCCTTGGCAGATTGCGGCAGCTAAAACGCGTTTCTTTACTCCTCGATTGCTCAGACACCCATGCTCCATACACTTTTGGTAGAGCTGCTCCGCCGCCGCCTCCCGCCCCAGAGACCTTCCTTAACGCCGCCGTCGACTCGACCCTTGCGCTCTCCATCTTTCGTACCATATCCGATGCTAATACACTTTCCCGTTCTACTGGCTTGCCCTCATTCCAGTTCCTTCAACTGCAGGTCACTGGATATGGTGAGTTCGGCAACGATTGGGAAATAGGCCTGGAAACCCTTATAGAATTCATTGCGCGGCCATGGGTTTGTACGAGAGACCCTAGGGAGGGTCATGAAACCGAAGTTACTGTGAGAGAGGTCAACAAAGAGCAGAGAATTGATGAGATGAATAATTATGATATTCCATACGGAAGTATTTTTGACGACATCGATGAGTACACAAGTGTTTGGAAACAAATTTGGCCCACCAAAACAGGAAATTGGAGGGAAGATTGGTCAAGCGTCCCACTGGCTGAAGGGGTGGAATAGAGCATCCCATTCCAGGAGTGCCTAGGAGCCCTATAACATGTGCTGCAATAGTGAATAATTGCTTAACGCTCTGAACCGAGTCGCAAGAAGTGAACCAGACGAAGCGGATAGATATCATAGATCTTGGTGGAGACGTTGGCACAAGATATAATCCCATAATTATAATCGTATGTCATTCTGAAGCCACGGCCATTTCTTGTTTGTAGTATCGAATTCTCATAGATCTACTGTTGTTAGGATGGTATAAAGTTGGGGGTTTGTGGAAGGCCGGACTATCGATTCTCCGTCCATCTGCGCCAGGGACAAATATACGTGACCCTGAATGTTTGGCCTCGAGCAGCAAGCTCGAGCAGGCGCATATCCAGATAGCGAACGCATCTCCTCGACCGTTGCCCTTGTTCGTTCTCCTCCGCCGTCCTCTTTTCTCCCCATCCTGCCGTTTCCTGGCATTTAATTCTCGACGAAGACCAACATGCGGCGGGGCTCATCCATGGGGCTGCGGTCTCTCGAACTTCTCACCCTGCTATTCACCTTCCTTATTCCCTTTACGTCCGCCATACATTTCGATCTTATTCCGGGCACACATTCGGGAAAACATGAGAGATGTATACGGAACTTCGTGGGCCGTGACCAGCTCGTTGTCATCACGGCCACAGTAAGCGGTCACAAAGGTGATGGACAGGTTGTGAATATGCATGTACGTTGCCAACTTCCACCGCCTTTTATAAATCTATTCATTCGCAATTGCATAAGGTGCGGTACTGGAAAATAAAGGCTAATTGGCTCTCGATTGGATGGAATAGGTCAAGGGTTCCCTGGGTGACGATTATGCCAAACCAAAGGACATAGCCGGCGAAATCAGACAGATGTTTACAGCTAGTGCCGACTCCTCGTTCGATGTCTGCTTCGAGAACCTCCTCTCCGGCCGAAGTGAGCATATTACATCGCCTTCTGCTCTTGAAAACATTACATACTGGAACTCTGGCTAATTTTCTCCCACTTTCCCTCTTTACAGATGCTGGCAACAACCCTTCTCGTCAGGTCGAATTAGACATTGATATTGGTGCTGATGCACGCGACTGGGATGCCATCAAGGTCCAAGAGAAACTGAAGCCAGTTGAGGCCGATCTACGCCGCATTGAGGCAATGGTTAGTGAGCTTGTTGCGGAAATGGACTTCATGCGCGCACGAGAGCAGAAGCTCCGAGACACCAACGAGAGTACGAATGAGCGAGTTAAATGGTTTGCTTTTGGCACAATGGGCATGCTGGTTGGCCTTGGTGTCTGGCAGGTGGTCTATTTGAGAGCCTATTTCAGGTAAGCAAATTCATGCATAGATGACCCTTGTGCGTTGTATAATTTGGTAGATGCACGATTGACTGACTATTGCGACTGATCCATATAGATCGAAGCATCTTATTTGAAGCATCATAGTAAAGGTTTTGGTGAATGGCGAACTTTACCCTTTTTCACCAAGGGTTTTGATGAACTATCCTGTCTGCTCGGATTTTTTTGAGCAGCGTCTTATGTCACCCGGCTTCCTACTTCTTTCCCTAGATCTTCACCACATTTTACTTTCATAATGATGAGGAAATACGATTTGTAACTATGTCTGCCATTCAATTACGTTCAAAAGCTGTGTAAAAGTTTTGTACCCTGGCACATTGTAGTGCATTGACCATGATCGAAGGTAAACGTGCAACTGGCCAGTCCTATTTAATGCTCCAGAAGCACCCATCTAGCAAGTATGAAGTTTTCTCGTAGAATAGTAAGCTGAAGAATATATCGAAGGTGGCCTTTAATATGGGAGTTGGAGCTATTAAGTGGATGCAAACATGTCAAACATCGAATGATGTCAAAGCCTCGGGATTTTTATCGCAAACAGTCAAGGCATGGTTAAAGGCCGTTTATCTTCACAAAGACATATCAATTGCAGCTCTCCTTGAATACAATGGCTGCCGCGAATAATATATCTCGATCGTTAAGGCAGGGGCTGGCTTCGTGCAGCCGCCGTTCCCAAGTTCCCTCGACAGCTCTCTCACCAACACCGCGCGCGTGCTTCTCAAATCGTCGCAATGCCAGCATACCCTACGCGAACAAATACCCAATATCTAGCCTAGGCTATCGGTGTTTAAGCTTCTCTTCGCGATTGAGTAGCAATGGGAGCGCGAAAAACAAGGCTGGGATGGCGGATGAAGAGCTTGCGGCCGGACAAACAAAGGGTGAACTAGAGGTCGGGGAGATGGAAGGCATTACCTTTAAGGTAGAGCCTCTAAAGAGGAAAGGGGAAGATGACAGTACGAAGAGAGCGAGGCTGTTATGTGAGTGTTCTCTCGATGCTTCCATCCATACTACGCCAATGCAATTACACCAGCACCAGCATGCCATATAATCACCTTGTAGGTTCAGACGACTAATAAGACATTGCCATGATAGACCAGAGCCGCAAACGAGGAACTCTAGAGTCAGACCTGCTTCTATCGACATTCGCATCTACATATCTGGGCAAGATGACGAGGGCCCAGCTGGAGGAATACGACCGGTTCCTGGACGAGAACGACTGGGACATCTACTACTGGGCAACACAGGAGGCTCCATCTGAAGGAACTGAGCCTGCCTCGAAGCCCAAGGACGAGCTCACGGAGACATGGAAGAGCGGTGCTGCAAAGAGCGGCGAGTGGGCGCAGACGGTGGGAGCCTTCAAGCCCGCGTACCGTCCTGTGCCCCAGCGCTGGGCCGAGTCGGAGGTGCTCTCTCTACTGCGCCAGCATGTCCTCAGCAAGCGCGCTGGCGAGGGCGAGGGAACCGGCGGTGGCCTGGGGAGGATGCCCAACATCGAGCTCTTCAAGTCGTAGCGCCACTGCCATCTGTACAATAGTGAATAGACTCATCGTATTCTTATGTCTTGTATCGCTGTAGTGTAGATGTATCTGTATATCATTGTATATCGTATATCATTATGTCGTTGTTATATATCGTGTCGTTGTATGTGTAGTTGTAGTTGTCGTAGTTGAGCTCGCTTAAACGGTTAGGGTTTAGCGCGCACAAAGCGTTTAGGGTTTGCGTGGCCGCGGAACATCCTAACTTCCTGCGATTTGTGTGAAGGCCGCAGAAAAGAAAAAGGCACAACCTCCTCTGCTCGCCTCCATCCCCCTCCGTCCACCGCACCCTCGAGGATTTCCGAGAGCATCATCCAGACGAGCTCGAGTCTGCACATCATGGCTGAGCAGTTAGTCCTCCGTGGAACCCTCCAGGGCCACAATGGCTGGGTTACCAGCTTGGCGACGACGTTGGAGAAGTAAGGAAATTCACATCTTTGATCGAGAAGGACGATGGAAATGCTGACAGGCTGTTAGCCCCAACATGCTCTTGTCCGCCAGTCGCGACAAGACCCTGATCGTCTGGAACTTGACCCGTGATGACACCGCATACGGATACCCAAAGCGATCCCTCCACGGCCATTCCCACATCGTTTCTGACTGTGTATGATATATCTCTGGATCCAGTTCTTGATCTGCGAATGGGCGAGAAAGAATAAAGAGCCGTCAGACGGAGAATTGTGTGGCTAATGAAAATTGAAACCAACAGGTCATCTCCTCCGATGGTGCCTATGCCCTTTCCAGCTCTTGGGATAAGACCCTTCGTCTGTGGGAATTGGCTACCGGAAACACCACCCGCACCTTCATCGGCCACAACAACGACGTTCTGTCCGTCTCCTTCTCTGCTGACAACCGTCAAATTGTCTCTGGATCCCGTGACCGATCGATCAAGTTGTGGAACACCCTCGGTGACTGCAAGTTCACCATCACCGACAAGGGCCACACCGAATGGGTTTCCTGCGTCCGCTTCAGCCCCAACCCCCAGAACCCTGTCATCGTCAGTGCTGGTTGGGACAAACTCGTCAAGGTACGGACAATTCAACTTTTGCCAGTTTCATGCTACCCCACCCGACCCTTGTTTTCCAAATGATGTTTTGCAACACGTATTTGCTACTTCAGAGCTCCTTTGCGGGCCATGAGACCATTATTTCACCTTTGCCCTGATGGAAACAACGTCACTGTTTATTGTTCTTGTATTGAAAATTTCTCTCGGTTGAGATTTCACGCTTTTCAATGCATCTTTGCTAACAGTCGAGGCAAAATAGGTCTGGGAACTCTCCACCTGCCGTATCCAAACCGACCACATCGGCCACACCGGCTACATCAACACCGTCACCATCTCTCCCGATGGCTCTCTGTGTGCTTCCGGTGGCAAGGACGGTGTTGTCATGCTCTGGGATTTGAACGAATCGAAACACCTCTACTCTCTCAACGCTGGTGATGAAATCCACGCTCTCGTCTTCTCTCCTAACCGCTACTGGCTCTGCGCTGCTACCTCCAGCAGCATCAGCATCTTCGACTTGGAGAAGAAGAGCAAGATCGACGAGCTCAAGCCTGAATTCGAGGACAAGGGCAAGAAGAGCCGTGACCCCGAGTGCATAAGCTTGGCTTGGAGCGCTGATGGTCAGACTTTGTTCTCTGGATACACTGATAACAAGATTCGTGCCTGGGGTGTCATGTCAAGGGTATAAAAAAGCTTCTTTTTTATTCCTTTTTTGTCACATCTTAATAGCGGAGTGAGTTGTTTACTAGATAATGTCCAATGAAACAATATGACTGGTTGGGGATCATTCGGATGAAGCAATGCGGCAATCCCGATCAAGGGGGAAAAGGTTACACCCGTGGACAAAATGAAATGTGGTGTCGATAGTTCCCTGGAAAAATATTTACAAAGGATCTATCTAAATGGAAGCAAAAAAAGGTTCAAAAAGCAACTCCTTTTTTACCTTGATGGCATTTCTTCCTGGGTTTTCCTAGGCTTAAATTCGGCGTGTGAGCTACCGTATTGGTTGGAAAGGTTATGCTATGTACGTCTTTCACGAGTTAATGGAGGTTCTGCTTTTATTTTTTACCTGTTCTATCCCTAGTAGATATGAATATATGGTTCTCATGCTTTCCTATACGGCTGCAAATAGAATGATTGTGAAAAGTTGAAGGTTCAAGTATTCGGATGTTATACAGGTGATGGTACCTATGGTCCAAGATATCTAATTGGAATAAATATAATACAGTGGGGGATAGCCTCTCTTATTTCCGATTTTGTAGTCTCTTCAGCGCCTCGTCAGCCCTTTCAATTCCCTCTGTGAACTGCAATCCAACAGCTGAAGCCCTGGCTTTCTGATAAAACTCCACAGCCTGGCTGGTATTCTCTTGCATCTCGGATATTTCTCCCAGGTTATACAATGCCGTTAGACAGGCTTGGTCACACTGCTCATCTCGAGCAGACGCTTCGATGTGAGAAGCAACGTCTAACGCTTTCTTTGCCCATTCTGCGGCTGCAGATAGTAGTTGTTCACGAGAGACAGGGTTGATAGAAGATGACGAGGACAGTGGTGCTCCCAAAGGCACCTTCTGCGCATGTTCAGCCATCTGGCTTGATATATTATTCAGAAGCACGACCTGGATGCATTTGTTTTGTTCGCTTCCTTCGTCTTCCTTGAACAGGGACAAGGCTTGCATATATAAAATGGTTGCTAGGTCATTTTTGCCCTTGCCTGCATAGTGGTCTGCTAACTCGTTGCATGTGTTGCCCACATCAGCGAGGGTGGTATATGCATCCGCCTCGTCCGTATAAACGGGAAGCTTTAAATCTCTTCGTCGCTGTAGTTCTGCTCGACTGATGTTCACGGCAGATACCAGAAGCTTCTCCACCTTCTCTCCGTCCTGGGGATGTTCGCTAGAGTATAGCTCTGCCAGCTTTACGTTTATCCCCGCAACTTTCTTCATCACTTGGTTACGCAATATCTCTTCTTCTTGTTCCTTCTGCATCGCAGCCTCGTGCTCAGCTATGGCATCGGGATTAGAAGGATCAGGTAGAATCTGTTTCTCGTTCTGTCTCTCTCGGTCCAATATCAACTGCCGCCTCCTCCCCTTCTCAACCCAGCCTTCACAGTCGTTCCTAGTCTTCTCAAGAACTTCAATTGATCCCTTGGTAAGGCTCGCTCGCTCTAACATCAACGCTACCTGCAATCGTATCCCCAAGACCTCGTCAGAGTATGGGTGTAACCCCACTTGGTGCGCCGCCTGCAGCGCCTGTTTATAATAAGCCAACGCTGACGGTGGGTTAAGGTCTAGCTCGGTGTAGTATACGGCCTTTCGAAGCGGTATTGCTACTTCATTGGGGAAGCGGGTGTATTTCGGGTTCACACGGGTGACAAAGTCGTAGATCACATATACCAGGAGACTGGTGCTGCCCACTGCGAACATGAGCATTAAAGGGAATCCAATGGGGTGTTTTCGATGGACGGTTCGTGCGGCGATGCGGAAATTGTCTCTAAATCGCTGGTAGTATGTGTATGATCGGGTTTGAGAGCTGCATCCATGGCGAGGGAGTAGCTGAAGCTTTGGTCTTTGGAGAAATGCATGCTGTGAATAGATAGATCTTGTCGATTGCGATAGTATCGGACTGCGTATCGGCTGAGACAGGGCGCCAATGCGCCAGCCTAATCTTCTCAGCATCATATTAGAATATGGGATGCCATCAACAGTGATTGACGGGATCAGGCAAGCAATGCTGGTAACATGAGGTTTTTCGATAAGTTGTGATAAGGTTAAGTCTTTAGCGTGGTGGTTTTATCTAGCTGCATCATCTCCACCAGGCAACATCCAGCACAAGGATATGCGCAACATGACATGAACTAGCTATACATACTCGAATACTGTAACGAAATGTGCGGGCGATATGCTATGGGAATTGTATGCATGCTCCCCAACGCTCCGATAGATAAGAGACATGATAGTCTGATTATTCTTCGAAATAGCGGCTGGCGTTCATCCGACATCAGCTACAAGAAAGAGGCCAGCAGATTGATGAAGTCGCAGACGATGATGAAGTGAGGGAGACGTATAATTTTGCTCCAGGCAATTATGGTGCTGTTCTAAGAGCTGATACCCCTGATCATGGTGGCGTTGGCTCTGGAGCTATTGACGGAGAAGCTGTCGAGGAGCAAGAAGAGGATGCTGAACAGGCTGAGAAAGAAGGAAACCAGGGCACAAAATACAAGATCCAGGCTATGAAATGGGGACTGATACCCTTTTGGACAAAACGATCTCCCAACTATGGCTCCCTGATGAAAACTATCAATTGCCGTGATGACTCCTTGATGGAAGATCGAGGCATGTGGACTTCGATGAAGAGGAAAAAGCGCTGCGTCGTAATATGTCAGGGTTTTTACGAATGGCTCAAAACAGGCCCTGGGGGTAAAGTTAGGATGCCATATTATACCCACCGCAAGGATGGAGATCTGATGTGTTTTGCCGGTTTATGGGACTGCGTCAAGTACGAAGGTAGGTAGCGTCTATAACTAGAGTCTGTTGATTGGGATACGACTGACTGATATGAGTAGATTCGGAAGAGAAGCTATATACCTATACGGTAATCACTACCTCGTCTAACGCACATCTCAAATTCCTTCATGATCGAATGCCAGTTATCCTTGAGCCAGGTAGTAAAGAGATGGCCACCTGGTTAGATCCGCATATCACTACATGGACGAAAGAACTGCAGTCGTTCTTGAAACCTTATGAAGGCGAATTAGAGACGTATCCTGTCAGCAAGGACGTTGGGAAAGTCGGTAACAATTCCCCGAGCTTCATTATACCAATCGACAGTAAGGAGAACAAGGGGAATATTGCGAACTTCTTCCAGGGCAACAAAAGCGAGAAGAAAGGGAAGACAGAGAAGATACTTGACGGAAAGAGCGATAAGACGAAGGAGAAATTACGCTCCCCTGAACGGATACGGGACGAACACGCTCCAAGTAGTCAGGTGAAGAGGGAATACTCGCCGGATGAAAAGGAAGAACAAGCACAGGGGGATCACAAGAGGGTGAAGGTCGAAAGTCAACAAAAAGGAGCTATCAAAGCAGAGTCACCACCTCTTAAAGGACTTAGTCCCGCGAAGAAGATGCGAAGTGCAACGAGCAACGACACAAAGTCCAAGGCCGGAGTTAAATCCAGTGGTGGGAATCAACGAATTACCAATTTCTTCAAGAAGTGATTTAGTTGCGATTTATTCTCGATCTATGTACATATTTACCGTTTTTGTTCACCGTGTTGACTATCCGAGTGATATCTGTTATACACTTGTACTTATCCTACACGCCATCATAAATCATCTAATAGATCCGTATGGTGAAAGTAGAATGCTACCGACGGATCTTCTCCTCTTCGGACTTCAGTCTCTCTACCAGCTTTTCTCTCAGAAACGGACTAAGGCCAAGGCTAGGTATAGTCAGTATGAAATCGTAAATATAAACATGACCTGGATCGAGACTTACATTCCACTTCTCGTAACAATGCGATATGTTCCTAGATCCCCATAATGTTAGCAAAAATGATTACATTAACAACCGGCCCAAAAACGGACAGGCATTCATACCGCTACTCTGATAATTCCCTTTCCCTTCGATATTCCCCTGTCCGTCAACCTCTATACAACCAAAGATATCCTCGGGCCTGCACTCATTAGTATACCATCAGCTAAGAAGCCGGGGGATAACCTACGAAGGTATCCGGCCATATTCCGGCGGCTCCCTTGAGTCCGCAATGTGAATGAATCCGCCTCTACCCGCCGAGTCTGCACCCTCTGCCTGGCCATGCATGCGCGAGAAGAGATTCGCGCCTGACGTCGAGGCCATTACATATGCCGCGGAAACGGTATCTGGGTCCTGATACGCATGGTCCGCAAGCACCGAGTCTAGGATGGAGATGAATTTCGGGTTTGGGGAGAACGTGTTTGGTGTTGGAGGGAGGGCGGAGGTGGTTGTTGTTCCGATTGCAAGGGCAGGAGTTGGCGGGGACGTTGGTAGGAGGGAAAGTGTGTGATTTGTGCCTGACGGGTTGGGGAATGCGTACTATATAAGCTGTTAGTATGGCATTCAATTGATTATAGCTAATTGGTAGATGGGTATAGATGTGGACGTACGATGTGAGGATTGTTAGAGAGGGTGGACAGTTGTCTGTATAGAGCTCTTCTCGAGCAAAGGGTCGGCCGCAAGGCACCTATAAGAGAAGCCATTGGCACTTCAATCCGCTTGTCGTTTTGTTAATATCTATGTGAAATTGAAGGCGATGAAGCTCTTCCTGGACAACTTCGATATTTAAGTCACGTGCTTCGAGCTTTAACCATCGAGTTCGACTTCAACTTCATCCAAGCACGACACGAATACAAGCTATACCAGCGAATGTGACTGTGAGCGTGGAAGTGGATGATTGGGAGGAGGGATAGATGATGGATCTCCTGGACTAGTTCTTTGGATATCATGAAAAAGAGAGAAGCAGATCTTGAATAATACCCATATATATCGCGTTGCTGTGTGAACGCCAATCACAGCTACTTGATATCGAGAACAAATAATATTGATACCCATGAAACATCATCTCGTCCTCGGTTGATAAATACATATCTACGACAACCGGGCTACGCTCGATAACAACTTCTACAGCTTTACAGCTTGCTGCTTTCCCTCACTTGGCCGTCAACAATGGCAACACCTGCCAAAAGCAACGCGGCCAATGCCAATCCAGGCGCAACCCCGACGCAAATAACATCATCACCATATCCTGCTCCCGCGGCGGTGCCCATGGGACGGCCGTTGTCACACATCTCGCCGTCGACGCGTACGCCCTCACACCAGCAGGGACAGCATCACCTCCACCAAGGACAGCAACACCCACCTACCTCATCACACTCGCAGCCACCCACACATCAGTATACGCCTATGCTAGACGATGCAGCAGCGTTTAGCTCACCGTCTGCCCTGTTAGCGCTGGGATTATCCGGCATCACGCCCTCCCCCGGCCCTGGCGGCATTGCCATGAGCGCTGGCCTTAGTATGGGCATAGGAATGGGACTAAGCATGTCTGACACTATGGGAATGAGTATGGGGATGCCGCTGGACCTCCCCATGCACACGCTACCTGGAGCAACGGCGAAAGACACTGAAGCAGAAAAACGACGAAACATGTCTGAAGTGCTCTCCATGCTACGATCACGTGTAGCTGGACGTGGTGTATGTCGTGAATCCATCGAGAGACTCGGCATTCTAGAAGGATTCGAGTGTATGTGGCAGGAGAATAATTTAAGTATTGCGGGGAACAGCGTTGACCTGGAGATTGAGTTTGGTCAGCGAGATGGGGTGGATGCAGATGTGGTCAGGGACGTGACGCTGCGGTATGCTACGAGGGAGATGGCAGAGGGTGAGAAGAGGGAGGCTGCATCGGCTGTGTTGAAGGGCGTGTTGACTACGGATGGAGAGGATGGGGAGTGGAAGAGGGTGAGCGCCTTTCATGCTAATCTAACGCGGCTAGCGAGGTTGGATGGACTGTGTAGGGAGGTGAACTGCTTTGAGGCCGTGGAGGGAGTGTATGAGAGTATGCGGAAGGTGTGGGATGCATCGTCCGAGGAGAGTCGGTTCTGGGAACGACTGTGCAGGAGCAGCGTTGGATGCCCGACCATGCACTGTGGAGAGAACGTCGGTCTGGCGGTGCAGTACTGGGTTGACCAGCGGCGGTTCCTCGATGCACGACATACCTCCCTCGACGAGATCTTCACAGCCGCGTCTAGGCTGGAAAGGGGCAGACGCCAGCTATACAACGCCGTCATCGAGTGCGAGTCCGGCTACCCGCCACTACGCATATCCAAGAATTGGGTAGACGAACCTACACTACTACATGATACTAATAACACGACAGACGAAGAGACGAACGAGAACAAGAGAACGAACTGGCTGGAGCCGCCGCCGACGCTGGTCTCGACCGACCCTCTGCTGCCGTCGAGCCCACCCAACGTCCGCTTCGTGGCACGTCTCGAACCGGCCGTCCACGTACCCATCGTCGTGGCAGCAGAGATCTATAGACTGGTCGGGATAACGCTGCAGCAGGAGATGAGGCCTGCCGCGTTCGATGCGTTGGTTGTGCCTGTTGAACGGCGGACGAAGCCCGGCGGCGGACAGCATGTGAGGGAGGTAACCACCTTTGAGAACGACCAGGCGGTAGGCAAGAAGCATGTGTATACCTTTCACGCGCTCGAGCATGTGCCTGGCTTCACCGTGCGGGAGCTTCCCTTTTCTCACCCGCGCCAGGTGGAGGACGTCCTCCCTATGCTACGACAGTACGCCCTGCTCGGCAGCTTGCTGGACGTGTTTGACCAGTCAAGCAGCAGCAGCAACAAGACTGACGATCCTTCAGACGGCAGGGATAGTTTCACCAGCAACATTGACGCAGCTGAAACCCGGCTGACTTCGATCCTCTCGTCTAATGCGGCAACTCCAGCCAGAGACACGCGGATCTCCATCTCGCTACGCACGCCCATCTCGTCACCACCGTGTCTGCTGCTGGTCTTCCCTCTCCAGCCCGTCTACCAACCCGCCAGCATCACGATCGAGGTGAGGCCCGATGGCCGGCTGCATGTCCCCTGCACGAGCGGGCTGGTGGATCGCACGCACACGCGAGCAGAAGCGCAGGCCGAGGAGAGGAAGGTCTGTGGCTTGCTGGAACGCGTGCTGGAGACGAGCGAGGATCTGGGGTTGCTGGTCGAGTGGGTGGGCAGGTACACAAACCGGGCATCCCATCGATAGGCCTATGATAGGCCTATGTATTATGAGTGTATACAATGAGTATGGGCGTATCTGGTTACCTCGGCAGCGTATTACATAATAGTGTATGTAAGCGACTATCACGATAACGGGCACCAATCAGAGACGTTCTCTTATCTGCGCCAGCCACACCCAGATAGGCAGTCTAAGCGAGAGTATCTATACATCGTAACACTCTACATCACAGGCAAAGACCAAGTATATCTACATGTAGCGAGGTCAGGTCTCACCGCCTTCCTGCCGTGTTTCGAGGGATTTCCTTATCTGTCCCTCCTTATCTTCTGTTTCGGGCGATCTCGCACCGCCACCGCCCTGGCTCCGGTCTAGCCCGGCCTTCTTCCGCGCTTCTATTTTTGGGCCTTTTTCGCTGACATAAGCGCCCTTTGCCCACTGAAACTGCGCCTTACGTCATCCTGTGGAAAAACCCTGCCCCCCTAAGGACTTCCTGCTTCCACATTTTCCATTTAACCCGCTTATCAGCTTCAGCTTCCTCTCTTCTTCTTCCTCTCTTTCTCCCTTCTCTCTCCTTCTCTTCTATTATTTTACTCTCTTCTCGGTTTGCCTCTTCGGGTATCCAGTCCATCGCTAGCACTGCTCTGTCTTATCAGTACCTATCTCTCACCTCTACTCTTTGCCTCCCTCTACCTTTACCACTACAACACCGTCCAAGCAGGACTATCTCATCCACTTCCTCATCATGGTACGTTTCTATCAGATAATGCAGATGATAGAGTGATACTGACTGGCTGCAGGCGAACGTTCGTCGATCTGACGCTGAAAATGTGAGTACCCCACTATCAAGTATCGATATCGATATCGACACTAACATCGCCGTGACAGCTCAAAAAATATCTGAGCCTCGACCAGCGTGGAAAGGTCCTCGCCGAGTACGTCTGGGTTGATGCCAGTGGTGGCGTTCGCTCCAAAACAAAGGTCGGTGATGGCATCCTAGCTCTCGTTCCTTGGTTCCTGCATTAGCCCATTAGTCACCCGCACTTACCTGGTCCACGGACGTATATACTGACAGCATGCAGACTCTCAACACCGCCGTCACCTCCCCCGACGAGCTCCCAGAGTGGAACTTCGACGGCTCCTCCACAGGCCAGGCTCCCGGCCACGACTCAGACATCTACCTCCGCCCCTGCGCCATCTTCCCTGACCCTTTCCGAGGCGGTGACAACATCCTGGTTCTCTGTGAGACATGGGACGCCGATGGCTCGCCCAACAAGTACAACTACCGCCATGAAGCCGCCCGTCTCATGCGCACACACGAAAAGGAACAGTTCTGGTTCGGCCTAGAACAAGAATACACCCTGCTCGATTCCGATGGCTGGCCGTTCGGATGGCCCAAGGGTGGTTACCCCGGTGCCCAGGGCCCTTACTACTGCGGTGTAGGCACCGGCAAGGCCCAGTGCCGTGACATCGTCGATGCTCACTACAAGGCCTGTCTCTACGCCGGCATCAACATCTCCGGTATCAACGCTGAGGTCATGCCTTCTCAGTGGGAGTACCAGGTTGGACCATGCGAGGGTATTGCCCGTAAGTTACTCTTTCACTTCTTGACTTGAGTCTCAACTAACAGACGCAGTTGGTGATCAACTCTGGATGTCTCGCTTCCTCCTCAACCGTGTCGCCGAAGACTTTGGTGTCGTCATCAGTCTTGCTCCCAAGCCAATCCCAGGTGACTGGAACGGTGCTGGTCTGCACTCCAACGTTTCCACCGCCTCCATGCGTGCCGAAGGTGGCATGAAGGTCATCGAGGCTGCCATGAAGAAGCTCGAGGCCCGTCACCCAGAGCACATCGCCGTCTACGGTGAAGGAAACGAGGACCGTCTGACCGGTCGCCACGAGACTGGCAGCATCGACAAGTTCAGCTGGGGAGTCGCCGATCGCGGTGGAAGTGTCAGAATCCCCAGACAGTGTGCAAAGGATGGAAAGGGATATTTCGAGGACCGAAGACCCGCTAGTAATGCGGATCCCTACCAGATCACGGGTATCATTGTTGAAACTGTAAGTCCCTACTCTCGCTCTGCCGGCTACCAACTCGATACTAACATATCTCCAGCTCTGTGGCAGCTCTTAAACTAAGCGCCATCAACAACCACGCCCACCCACACGTTGAAATGTCTTCCCTTTTCATTCTTCTATCAGCACGTTTATGCCTTTTAATTAGACCTTCCACGCTTCGATGCCCATTTTCCTTTTTCTAAAGCTTTTCTTACTCGTCTAGCTTATTGTCGTTATATTTCTTTTGAGCTTACCCTCTATGGTGTCCGTCGTCGCTCCTTGCAATATGCTAGCAACACCCTACATATTGCTCCCATTGAAACAGTGGGATCGCGCTTGTTAGTTCGGTTTTAGTCTACACTACTGCTACTCAAGTCTTCTGCCTCTTTATAAAAAAAACTATTGCGGTCGACTCTATTATATCATTATCCATACCTTAATGCACCCAGCGCTACATGCTACGATACGCCACGCCATGCCATGCCAACAACTATTCCCCGACAACACCGCACACGGTTCGGTTCTGTCCGCGTTACGATTCCCGACCTTGACTCATTTACATGGCGTGTTCTTTGCTTTTTTAATTGGGTTGATTTGTTTCGCCCTTGTGGTGTTTTTGACTTGGCCTCGACTTAGGTTGAGTCTAGCCTGTCTCTTTAGCCTGCGTCTTATGTCTCTGCGTTTGCGGTAGTTATCTTGAAGACAGAGCAGGATGAGATGAGAGAATACATTCATTTACCACCCACAGTTACACCATACAGTTAATAATCAAGTAAGCGAGTAAAGAGTAACGAGTAAACAAGCAAACAAGTAAACGAGTAAACGAGTAAACAAGTAACGAGTAACGAGTAACAGGTAAACGAGAAACAAGTAAACAAGTATCAATTAAATGAGTAACAGGTAAACGAGAAACAAGTGTATATACATATCAACATATCGACGTCATATCCTACATTACTTTTACTTCATCAACCATTTAGCCCACCAAACTCCCCTCCAACCACGCTGCTCCTCCTTCTGCTTCCCCCATACCATCACGGCAACACAGATGGCTGCAACTATGCTCCCACCAACCATACCGCACATCACCCCGTTACTACCCCTGTACCCCCTCTTCACATCCCCTTCCCAGCCCGCATACAACGCATACGTACTCACGATACTCCCCAAATTACCCAGCCCGCTCACTATAGCCGTCGACGCAGCAACGCCTACATCACCGTACCTTGCCCCAAATAGCTCAGCAGTCAACGACATGGTGATGGGGACCGTCGGGCCAAGACCAAAGCCTACCACCAACAACCCTCCATACGCAGTCCAGGTATGCGTGAAGGTCGTAAGTAGCAGACCAGTCAACAGAATCAGACATGAAAAGATAAAGATGGCAGGCCTATGGTGGTGAAACGCATCTGATATCGGGGTCAGGATTAAGATGGCTATCAGATCCATTATCCAGATCGGCGCGAAGAGTAGTGACAGCTGTACGCCGGATAAAGAAGGTAGAGCTGCGCGAATAATTACTGTGCCGTAGCTTTGGACTCCGATGCCAACGCCGACGACGCCAAAGTACATTATCGTCACGGGCCAGAGGCGCCAGTCGCATAGTATGCGAAGAACATCGGTCCAGCCCCATTGTACCTTCTTATAGACGCGCTGTACGTCGGCGTAATGCAGCTCTTCGTCGGTGCCGGATAGTGCTGGTTTGGTGCTTGGTAGCCAGCGTAGCCATGCTGAGCGAGGCGGGTGCGATTGACCTGGTGGGACAGGTCGGTCGGGCAGCCACCAGAGAAGCGTTATGCCCATCAATGTCCCGACGAGGCCATAGATGAGGAACATCCATTGGAAGCCTACGAGGTTTCCTAGGCCGTCCATCTGCTGGAAACCAGCGGAGACAAGCCCGACGACTGCAGCGGAGACTTGGGCGGCAGTGAAGTAGAATCCTATACGCTGGCCGGTGCGTGCGGGCGGGTAGAAGAGTGATAGGTAATATGCCATGCCGGGCCACATGCCTGCTATAACGATGCCGAGAAGAAGGCGAAGAAGGCTATACATTGTCAATTAGCCCGGTACATGGTAGAGAGGAAGGAAAGCAACGTACTATAACGACCACGCGGCTTTGACAGCAGCCATCAATGCACCGATGACACCGACGCTGATGACTATGCGACTCATCCAGATATGCGGACTTAGCCTGGTCATGACCAGGTTCGAAGGCAGGTCGAATATGATATAACACACGTAGAAGAGCGCCAAACTCGTCGAGATCTGTCGCGGAGTCAGATGCAGCACCGAGGCAAGGTCATGGTGCTGCTTGAGATTCATCGTCTGCGCCAGCCCGACGTTGGACCGGATGGCAGAGCAGAGAAAGTAGAGCGTCCATAGCGGCGGAATGATACGCAGGTCCAGCTTGCGGTAGATGCGATCCAGCGTCTCCTCGTCTGCTTCTGGCACGTACGCAGCCTCCTGCGCTGTCGGTTCGTTCGAGGACGCCGAGTCTGCCTCCTTGGGCCAGTCGTTCTCCATCTTCGGTACTAGATCTCTCGTGAGTATGGAGTACTTCTCTAGCCAATGCCGATTGGAACGCTCACATTGTCTGTCCCTATCCATCAGCCTCCGGAAAATTTTGAGATGTCATAGGGGTAAAAAACGGTCTTAACGGCATAGGAGCAGGGATTATCGGTACCTAGCGGGCTTGCTGAAGAACATGCAAGCTATTCTAGCCCCTTGGCCGCGCTGCAGGTTTCGTACACGACCTGGAGGGGCGATGTCTCTATCCTTGTTCTCTATTCTATCCTTGTCTGTACCCTATACGCTTGAAGAATAGAAGAATAACGAGATGGTATCCCGTCCAAGTCTCAACGGCGAAAGTGAAGTCGCCGCTGTGGCTGCTGACTAACAACCCAACCTCCTGCCATACAAACCCTCTATATATACTCTATATAGGTGTATGTATAGGTGTATAGGTGTACAGGCGTCACTCCGTATAAATCTGTCTGCCATGTCCATCTACCGCGATCCTTCAGACCCTGTTGTGGGTTCAAGCGTCAGCTCCATCCACAGCATCGCCGCGCCATCCCTGTACATGCGGGATGTTGCGAATAATATCACGTCTATCGTTATCCGGGTGGGCATCTCGGTGGCTCATAATTGGGCACAAATTGCACTGTGATGCAACATGGACATCCGGCCGGGTTGGCTGTACTTAAAGTCATGATGCCTCTATTTCCTCGCCCTGAGCCCCTGTCGCATCGATCGACTGCTTAATTCATCTGGTTTGCTCTGTTGTTCTGTATATAATCGCAACATGGCTCTCGAAGACTTTCCGAATCATCCCATCTTCAAGCAGCTTCTTGAGTACGTACCTTTAAACGACGGCATTATTATACACGATCCCGAGCATGGCATCAACGCGAATTATGCCCGGTTTTTAAACGATGTCCTCGAACTCCGACGTACCATTCGCGAACAGATTCCTGACCTTCTCGACTCCAATGGAATCGTGCGTAACGACGGTGTATACATCTGCACCCTTGCCCCCGCGAGCTATGAGTTTTTCGTGGCCGCCTTTGCGATCTGGGCCGTTGGAGCTGCATTGTCACCGCTAGGTACGCCCTCTCCTGTCATAGAGGACTATATGTGTTTAACATATTATATCAGCAACCGGCATCATTCCAAAGGAAGCCGTGTATCTATTTGAAAAGAGCAAAGCCGTGCTCCTTATAGCTAGCTCTGGCCAACGTGATGCAGCGGCCGAGTATCAGCGTTGTATGAAGGAAGAAACTGGGAATACCATCAAGACTATCGGCGTCGATCTCACGATTCCAACTCCATCTACACCCCCCAATTACCACATTGACGAGCGTGCGGTAATCCCGGCAGCTCGACCGATGCTCCTTATACTTACATCGGGCACTACCGGACCCCCCAAGGGAGTTGTACGATTAGTTGTCCCATTAAACATTCGTGCCATGTTAAAGGCCACTAACGATGACCTTACTCTCTGCCACCGTGCTATCCACTGGGGCTTTGGCATTGGCCCGCCCATAAGCATGCTCTTAAGTGGGCTGGCTATATACGTTGTCGGTGCAGACCCTAGTCCAGAGATGATATGGACAGCTCTTCGCCAGAAGAAGTTGACTGTGGCTTTTGCGACCAACCTGACATTCCTTCGTCTGATGCAATATTACAACGAACACATAGCCAATCTTGAGCCAGACGTGGTAAAGGAGTACACTGACGGAGTGAGGAAGCTCAAGTACGTTGCCTGCGGTGGTGCAGTCCCTATGCCTTCTGTAGGACAATTCTGGAAAGATATGCGAGGTGGTCACCCTATAACCATTCTCTATGGAACATCGGAAGCTGGTGCCGCATTGGGTACACCTCCGGAAGGCTACGACGTTACGCAGGTGAGTCGCGCCGGTTTTTCCTTAATGTTCAATTCGTTCATCTTCTTTTTCTAACAAGGGGTTGCTGGCAGCGTGTTATCGGCAAACCACTGCCTGGTGTTCAGGTGAAACTTTCAGAAGGCGATCATGGTGAGATGCTACTGAAAGGCCCTGATTTGTTTGTTGGGTAAGTATAGCTGTCCTTCCTAGCCTTGTAGACAGACATTTATTGACATGGTTAATTAGCTACCTCAACAATGAAGCTGCCACAAAGGCAGCGTTAGATGAAAATGGCTACTATAAAACAGGCGATCTAGTACATATCGACGAGAACGGAAATTATATAGTAGACGGTCGAGTTAAAGAAGATTGTAAGTGCATTACCCCTTCTCCGCCATCTAGAAGCCAGAGGAACAACAAATCAAAAAAGAAAAGGAAAAGCCACGATACCCCGCTAATACCACTGCCCGCAGTTGTTCGTTCTAGAACTCTCAAAGTGGGAACTCTCGAGCTTGAGGATAAGCTATCAGATCTCCCTTACATTTCAGAAGCGGCCGTCATTGCCGTCCCGGATATCGAAATATTGCATAGGGTAGGTGTCATTGCCCGTCTTAAATCAGGCACCACCTCCGATGGCACAGATCAGGACGGACAACCTGTAAACATGCTTTATAAAATCAGACGAGACCTCACGGAGATGAAGGTGGAGCAGTATAAACTCCCCACCCTCCTACGCGTCCTTAAGGACGATGAGATCATCCCGCGAACGACTACTGATAAAGTGATTCGGAAGAAAGTGTTGGAGATCTTTTTCCCGCAGTCAGCGGATTGCAGGGTTGAGGATTTACCAAAGGAAGTACTGGCTTGGGATATAAAGAATGATAAAAAGGCTGGGTCAACGGGCCTGTGGGACTGGGCTGGAGCTCAAGATTAAGTATTTACTTGACGAATGCGGGCCCCTGGCCCTGACCCTTAGTAGAGCTATGTATATATTCTTAGTGTTCTAGGGTCTAGAGTGTCTAGAGTCCTTTCTAGGGAATACAGAGTGAATACAGGGATTAAGTTAACACTGCCTATGTCGTGGAGTAACAGTTATAATGTGATATATGCCGATATCAGCGCAAAAAAAAGGCAATTAGCATTGGGGGTATATATGCTTATCCTATCTAACTAGAAGGGATATTAAGCTTTGCATAAATAGCTAAACATAGAAGCTTGTGAATGTTAAAACAAGAGGAAAGTGTTTACTTTTTTAAAAAAGAGAAACGGCCGTTAAAGCATAACGTCATATCTGCTGACTTACGCTACACTCTGGGAACTTGGGCTGTTCGAGTTACCCGTTTCAGCATCGTGGTCAGGGTTTTCGTGCTTCTTTTCAGGGAATGAAGTCGTTTTCTCATCTTGGGTGATGCCAGCGCGAGTCTGGTGTTCTTCGGTCTCGTTATAGTCGATGAGAACTTCGCCGTTCTTGCCGTATCGTCGTGGGGTTTCGCGAGCAACCTTGACAGCTGTGAAGATAGACTTGGTCTTTCGGAAGATGGAGTCCATTTCCTCAAGAGAGCGGTAGGCGGTTTCAGGGTAGAAGAAGTAGACGATGGGGACGATGAAGGCGTTTCTATCGGTCTATTAGTATATCGTGCCAACCTAGCTCTGTACGCGGTTGAACTTACATGACTGCAAAGATGATGTAGGTCTTATATTTGATGGAGGAGAAAGAAACAGGAGTGATCATGACAACCATGAAATTGAAGATCCAGTTTCCTGAAGTGGCAAGCGCGTTGGCAGGAGCGCGGATTCGCAGAGGGACCTGGCAATGTCTTGTTAGCAATCGACACTACTGCGTAATAGGGGAGTGGAAGCTTACAATTTCTGCAGGGTACAACCAGGTCATACCAAGCCAACCGATGGCAAAGAAGGTGTTGAAAACAAAGAGGAATACAGCTGCGACGATACCGGCCTTGGCCTGGCCCTCGAAGCTAGTAGCTATGGCAAGCACAGCCATGGAAAGCGACATTCCAACTGCACCGAAAAGCATGAGTGGGCGACGGCCGACCTTTTCCACCACGAAGACAGCAATCCATGAGGCAATGAAGTATTCGGTACCATTACAAGCAGCAAGAATTCGCGAGAGGAAGGGATCAAGGCCGATGCTTCCTTCATAAATAGTTGCGGCGTAATATGTGATAAGATTGATACCCGAAATCTGCTGGAACATTTGGTTGACGTATGCGAGGACAACTCGGTGCAAGTGGCGGTCCTTGTCCATGGTGAACAAATCCGCGAAACCGCCCTTCTGCATCTCAATAACAGTATCCTTGATTGCAGAGAATTCCGAGTGGACAAACTGATCTTCCCTGTCCAAGTCACTCAGAGCGGCCAAAACGTTCATTGCTTCATCTTCATGGCCCTTTAATACGAGCCATCTGGGAGACTCAGGAAGGCCCATAACAACGCCCATGATGATCAAGGCAAAGACGATCTGGAAGGCAATGGGGAATCGCCATGAGACGGAGCTGGGTTCAAGGAAGGAAAAGCCAAAGTCCAGCCAGTAACTGAGGCAGATACCTCCAGTGATCAGGGCGCCTTCGACCATAACCAACTGTCCACGTCTGTGAGCTTTGGAGCATTCGGATTGCCACGTTGGTACGGTAGAAGTGTTCAAGCCATTGCCAAAGCCGGTGATGAGACGTCCAACGATGAAGTGCGGAAGACTGAAGGCGGATGCTTGAAGAGCAGCACCGACAACCATGACAGTTGAACCAAGCCAGATAGTCTTACGTCGTCCAAGCCGGTCACCGATCCAGATACATGCAATTGCGCCAACGAAACATCCGAGGTTGTACGATGCAACGGAAATGCCTATATTCACAATTCTTAGCTTGGAAATTCGCATATAGCGTGGATGTGTATGTAAGACATACCTTGAATGGTAGACCGGTGGTTGATTTGAGCCTCAGTGAGACCCATCCTTGCCTCTTTACTTATAGCAATCTCGGGGAAAACTTTCTCGAAAGAATGGAGGGTCAAAAGCCCGCCCATGACACCTCTATAGATATATGCGTTAGAGCTACCGGGGTTTCATAGATCTGAACGGGATAGTCATACTGGTCATAACCGAAGAGCCTAGTTCATGAGAGTTAGTATCAATGAAACGTCACGGTACATTCTGCGCATGGTACATACAAGAAATCGAGGCCAGCAATGACGCCAATCGCGATATTGAGCTTCGTGCCTCGCAGGCCGAAGTAACGGCTTCCCAACCCCATATTCACGGGCCAATTGACGTATCTCTTGAAATGATGCAAGTTGACGATGTCGTCTCTGGATGTAGGCAGAGGAGCTCCGTCGAGTTGAGAACAAACAAGTAGTTATAGCAGCTCAAGGAGGGAAAGTGAGGCCCAATCGGCGATTTCCATACAAACCCCCCAAACCAGTGGGTAAAAACAGCACGACCAAAGCAGGGGAAGCTATGAGATGCGTTCTGGGGGGGAGATGTGGAGGTTTTTATGTATTCCCACCTCTCGCTCCTACGGGCGTGACACGACATGACGATCCACGCATAAGAAGCCGCCAGCAAGAGGCTGCGTTACGGCATGGACGTCCATACCCCGGCGGTCTCCATATTTCATCTTAGCATAACGAGCGTAGCTCTCGGAAAGTCTCAGGGATGCAAGAGAACCATGCACGGCTCGCCCTATGTATGTGCCATGTAACACACGAGCGAACATGATGGCTGCGGTGGGTTGGCCGATGGAGAGTCAAGCATCCTATTGGCCTTCGGGAAGGATTCCATATATTTTTGCATCCCTCCATCCACTAAGACGGGAGTTTTGACTGTCGTGGAGAAGGAGACTGGAGTATGGGATTCATTCGCCTTTGCTTTTGCTATTCCACCTGAATATAGACGGTTCGATGGTAACCCCCACTCCATCGAGTTATGTCTACAGAAAGTTAAGTACGGCTATATAACTCTGGGCAAGGATGCCGGGTCTTCCAGAATCATTCGTTGCCATCCTTCTTTCTCCCGTATGTTTTTTTTATAGTTCCTGGTGGCACCGGTGACGCTGTGCGTAACATTTAAAGGAACAAGCCAGCAAATAAAAACTGCTCGTCTGCGCTTGGCGAACAAAGTTATATAAAGCGCTTTGAGCTTTCTTTTGGCGCTTCCTTCAAAGCCAAGGAGGCTTATATCATGTATTTTGTTCTTTGTAGCTGGTGAGATGGCCCAATTGCCGGTTTTGGGCAACCCGGCCCTATACCCCGTCAGATCCCAGCAGTTGGCCGAGAGCTCGTTCTTGTTGTTCCCGTCTATACGTGCAGTGCCCGGTCCGTGACATAGAAGACTCCTTTCAGTATCGATATCAACTTCTACTTCGTACTGCTTGAATGACTGTGTTAAAATCGGTGTAACGGCGGGCGGTTGATCAGGTTCAGGCCAGCGAGCGCCAACAGCGTACCCTTGCCCTCGAGCCAGCTTCGTGCCTTTGTTCTGCGACTGCATTTCCACAGTGGGGATACATGACGTGAGAGGCGTTGCTCGCAGGTCCAACCATCATGGTCGTGGTTGATGGATCAGGGACCGGGAAGAAGAACAAAAACGAAGAAAAGGAACCAGGGCGGACCTCGGCTATGGCGGCTGCCGGATATACAGTTACTCCGGGCCTTTACCTGCCTCTTTTCGGTACCTGGGCCGGAACTGCCTGTTAGGGTAAGCCGGTGCCACACCACCACCGACATCAGCAACATCAGCAACATCAACGTCAAGCTACAGGAGTTATAGTTACCCCAGAGTACTACATACTTGGATGAACGGTTACACGCCACCCCCGGATGACAGTGGCGCCTCCAGAGCATCGACGGAGCTTCGGTTGGTCGGTAAACACTCGGCTCCGGCTGGTCATTGGCCCTGTGCGGCATCAGGAGCAGCGTGGGACAACCTGCTGCAGGAGATACCCTACTCTGCCTTATATCCTGCAATTACGGAACACTTCTTGCGCATACGAATCTCTTCATTTGGATGACTACCTAGACTAATTGCTGCTGTAATACAGCTACCTGTTGTACAGTTCCATTATGTCTCTCAGGACAAAGCCCGGCTCAGTTACATACTTCGTCCCCCTTTTTTGCCATTTTCTTACTTTTTCTCCCTTTTTTGCTTTTTTTTTTCTTTTTTTTTTTTGCGCATATTCGGATGTCGACCTCATGTTTCTCGGCTTTCGCTCAATTTCGTCAGTTCGATGCTTGCTCATCATTACAAATCTCGGGGCTGGTGCCGGTGGTAGGTGGTTTGTATGGAGGTATGACCGCAGTGCTTTACCAGGTAGCCCCGCCATCTCCGCCCCCACCCCAAGCGCTTTCGGGTTCCATGACGGTTCCTCCAGTGGCTGGGCCGTTGTTGTAGCCGCCGATATCGTCGTTGGCGTCCTCGACGGGTTGGGTGCAGCGTCGGATGGTGTGGCCCACTATTGGAGGAAAATCAGCATAAAAAGTCCGGAGTATAGATATAGAGGTAGGGGTATATCATACTCTCTCCACAGTTGCTGCATTTAACCTTACTCCAGTCCTTTTTCTTGGTGCAGTCGCGACTAAAGTGACCCACTGTGATATGCATAGTTAGCGTTGATACCACTTTGGTCTGGCTTTACATGTTTGTCTGTACTCACTCTCTTCGCAGTTTCGGCAGGTCACGGTTGCCATGTTGCGAGGCTGGTCACAGTCTTTGGCAATGTGGTCCTCGTTACTGTGATAACATTGTTAGCATAGGTAGGCTTCAGGAGAAACAATAATAATCAACTAACCCGCAATTGCGGCAGGCACGCGAACCACCTCCCTGAGGGCAGTCCTTGGCGAAATGACCAACTACAGATATCCAAAGTTTTTAGCATAACCTTCAAAGGTCGCAGGGCTTTCGGAATTGATGATACCTTCATTGCAGCGCTTGCATTCAACACCTTCAGCAGAGCGAGGCTCAGTGCACTCAGAAGAACGATGGCCACCTTGTCTAGATCATGAGTTAGCTCTTAATTCACTGTATCCGTTAATCACCAATACATACCCGCAGTTACGACAAGCAAATCTATCAACACGTGCTTCTTTGCAGTCACGAGCACGATGGCCAGGCTGCTTGCAGTTGACACATTTGACTTCCACACGCTCGATGACAGAGAGCTCTTCCTTGCAGTTCTTCATGATGTGACCCATTTCTTAAAGGATGAGCGTTAGTATACGCAGACTAGGTATCAATATGAGTGTATCTTACGGCTGCAGTTGGAACATTTGGGGATCTGGCGATCGAGAGGGAAGCCAGCCTCAGCAAGACGTTCGAGGTTCTCCTCGGGAGTAGCAGGCCAGCGTTCCTTAAGGTTGATACGTTGAGGCTTGTCACTGAAGTAGAGGCCAACGACATACTTGCAGTTCAGCTTTCCTTGGAGGTTCACGATGGTGTGGCAATCGCCAATCTCGCGCTCCTAAAATTCACTGTTAGTGCTTGTCGACTGTTCAGCATCATCTTAAAACTCACAAGTCCAATCAAGTAGATGTTGAGCTTTTCTTGACGCAGAAGCCTCTCAATATCATCATACGTGGCCATGGGAACCGCCTTGCTGTAAATTTTCAAGCCCTATACAATTATGTCAATCAATAGCTCCTATGAAGACTGATGATAACTCACTTCACGGAAATCTTCTAAGTCTCTCTCCTTGCTAGCTTTCTTCAAAATTTCCAAAGCCTCCTCTGGGAGCTTGTCAGGAATATCATGCTTCTCAAACTTGCGGTTCTGAGTACATTCGATGGTTTTGTGGCCTGGACAGATATTAGGTCGAGTTTTTGGATGACATTTTTAGACAAAGATATGTACCTTCAGACTTGCAGTTTTTGCAGAGGTCCGGTGGCTGGTCCGGGCAATCAACAGCAGGATGTCCTTCCTTCTGGCAGATGCGGCAAGTTCCTGTGAAGACGCGAGGGTTTGGACAGTCGACCTTGTTATGACTATTTCGCCGTATGAGTATTAGTATGTCTGATATTAGGTGCTCGAGTATTCATACCCTTCTTGACCACAATTGAAACAGGCTCCGGTAGGCTTTCTTGGTTCCGGACATTCGCGTGCGAAATGGCCTTCCTGTCCACAGCTTTTATCCAAGAATAATGTTAGATCATTGAACAGGTGCTAGAGTGTTATTACTTTGGATGAAGTGGGACTTACTTGCGGCAGGTATCACCATTTGCATTTCCGCCATCGCCCCCAGCGGCCATGTTGGAGTCACCAGCGTCAAAGTCTCCTCCTTCATTCCATGCACCTCCTGCATCGTCACCACCGCCGTTCCAAGCGGCAGACTCTAATATTAGTTCATGTTAGTTAAATACATTCAAGCTGGAGAACCCTCGAGGATGACATATTGGCATGGAACCCCACAGTCAAGGGCCATGGCGCGGATCAAACAAAGTAAAAGCGAGCCTCGGAAGACAGACTCGTAGAAGCATTAGGCAGCGAGTGACTTACCGGCCTCTTGTTTCCAGTCACTCATATTGAGCAGACTTGACAAGGTAGCTGCTCTAGTGAAAGATTAGTTAAAATATACTAGCATAGATTATGCTGAATATAACGATAAAAAGCAGAAGGAAGACATGCAAGTTTCTATCACTAGGATCAGGGTGAAGAAAGGCTGTAGATGAAATGTTAATTGAGATGGATGTCAAAATAAAAATATGATGGTATTTGTGCGACGCGTCCAAAGTAGGTGAACGACAAGAGACTCGGCAAAGACTGACTTACAGATATGAGAAGATACCTAGAGTCTCAGCTCTAGTAAAGAAAAGTTATTAGGAATGAAACCCCAATATGTGGAAGGCCAACTATGAGTTGGTGGAGGGAAGTTGTTATGGGAAGATACAGGACGCGAGAAGAGAAAGAGAAGAACAACAAACAAGAAGGATGAAGAAATTTCTATAACACACACGTGCCTGACAATACAACACCTTGGCTACACTGGAAAGTCCTGTTATCACATTATAGATACTAGAATAGCAGGATAACTGGCCAGTCTAGATATCACTGTGACATCATGGGCCTCAATAAGGGATAAAGCCAGGACTACAAGCTATTAATATGATATCTACTCAAGGAGTTATATATAGAGTAGCATTTTGATATTTTTACTATGCTATATATTTGATATCATCCTTTCTCGCAGAGATTTTCATGGCTTGTTCGTTAATGCCAGACAGCGGCTGGCTGCAGGACATGAACAAACGCAGACAGGCCATAATGATATATACATAATATATGCATATTAGTTGGGTAATCCATAGAATAGTAACCTATCTGTTATCTATTCACATCAATTGATGTGTTTACACAAGAGTTAATAGCTTGGGTATAGGAGATATAGTAGCTCAACAATATCCATCATGTAGGCATTATTAATAACAAAGATAATTTCTTTCCCAGTCTTGGGGCCAAATAGAGCATACATTACATCTTAGGACATATTTGAGACAGCCTAGGGTATGTTCCAGGTTACTTGAGCATCTAAGGAGGCTTCAGCAACATTCAGATAGGTATAGAACTCCCCCAATTCCAGCAGACCACGGTAGATATTCAACCACATGGACCCGTCCTAAGGGGTAGCTCCATGTATCTAATATTAATATTAATACCAACATTAATATCATTCTAGCACCACCATGTCATTATCTCAAGATTAATAGTTGAACCTGAAGAAAGGACAAAGTTGTTCGACGTCAAAGCATAATGCCAAGACATACCTTACATAAGCAGCCAACATCGCGGTTGACACTTTGGCTTCGAGGTTGCTGGCCATGTTGATGATGGTGACCAGCATCATAATAATAAACAGGCAAGGCGACTGAACATGGAGCAGCCACAAGCACAAACACAGGCGCTGCCGGGCGACCTTAACTGGCGCCTCAGCTCCCATCCACTCACGCTGTTATTCTTTCTCGGATTCAGAATAGGTACGGATACCCAGGCAACAGCTCATAGCTTCGTGCATTTACTCTTTGGGAAGACTATAGCTAACATCTTGCTCAGGTAGTTTGCTCATGTACCTATTCGGAGTGCTGTTCATCAAAAACTTGTATGTACATACCCGGAATATAGCGTCTAGCATCCAATCTCAGGCTACTTACTTACTGTTGGACCTACAGCATCCTCGTCTTCATTATCACGCTCCTCCTCCTCTCCGCCGATTTCTATTACCTGAAGAACATCGCAGGCCGTCGACTGGTGGGATTACGATGGTGGAATGAAGTCAATGTGCAGACAGGCGAATCACACTGGGTCTTTGAGAGCTCTGACCCAAATACCCGCGTCATCAGCGCTACGGATAAGCGGTTTTTCTGGCTGGGCCTTTACAGCACTCCTGCATTATGGATTGGGTTGGCAGTCCTTGCGATTGTACGACTACAAAGCGTGATCTGGTTGAGTCTTGTCGGTATGATTTGACCCATCTCTACTGGGCTTGAACCCCATAAGACGATTTACTTATATATAACTGACCGACGTTATAGCTATTGCTCTTGTTTTAACCATCACCAACACCCTAGCGTTCTCAAGATGTGATCGATTCAGTCAGGCTTCGTCGTTCGCCACGAATGCGCTCTCTGGCGGTATTGCTGGGAATTTTGCTAGTGGCATGTTTGGAAGACTATTTAGATGAACACGGATATCATAGGGCCTTAATTTCAGCTCTTCATTCATCCATATATACTCTATCATGCCGCGCAAGTTACCTCAAATATCTCTGGCTGGACTGTCATTTGTTGCCCATTGGCATGTGGGTAACGAGTTCTTGCTTCAAGGTTAGGCGTATGGAGTTACCAAGTCGATGCCGCTGCTTGTAAACTCAAGAAACTTTGCGCGTATCCGATTGATTCTGTTATTTGTATCATATTTTATGCCATCTTTAATGGAACACTGATTTGAAACAGATTCAGTACTCTTTATGACGTTAGAGTCGCTATCCATTAAAGTGCGGACACATCTTTGGAAGAGAACGACATTAACCAAAACTAATATATTATAACAAAGAAATTATGATACCAAGACATCACATCTTTGCTCTTTTCTGCGCCCCCATAACCTTACGCATATGCTTAAGCTCCTCTCGAACAGAAAGATCTCGCAGAATCTCTTCACTTCCTCCCCCGACAACATAAACTCTCACATCGCGGCTAATCGCCTCAATTCTCGACCCTTTACCAGCCTTGTTATACCCAGCTCCACCCATAATCTGCTGAGCCTCACGACACACCTTCTCCAAGCATCGTGTACTCATAACCTTCAGTAAAGCAGTCATTCCGCCAATATCAATTTTTCGTCCGGTCTGCTCTGAAAGCTTGATGGTATAGGCTAGCTGATCCATAAACGTTTGACAGGGCTCGATCAGTTGGCCCATCTTGCTGATTTTTGCACGGATTACCTGGTTGGCTAACAGTGGTTGGCCGAACGTTTCTCGTGTCGTGGCGTAGGTGAATGAATCTTCCACGCAGACGCGTGAGAGCCGGATACAGGCACTGGCTAGGCTGAGGCGTTCTGGGTTGAAGTCTGCGTTTGTCATATGGTTAGCTAGGTTGATTCTTTTGTTAACTGGGGGGGTATCGGGTTAAGGAGCATCAATCGTACTAGACATGATATATTTGAAGCCTTCATTCTCCTTGCCGATGAGGTTCTCCTCCGGCACTTCAACGTCGTCAAACTCTAAGAAGGTAGAGCCACTTGCATAGACGCCGGAGTTGAACATTCGTCGTCTAGTGACGCCCTTGGCTGTTAGAGGGATAATCAGGAAAGATATACCATCATGACCAGGCCCGCCAGTTCTAACGGCTGCAGTGCAATAGTCTGCCCAGATCCCATTGGTAATCCACTTCTTTGCCCCGTTGACGATATAATGATTACCGACTTTCTTGGCCACGGTCTTGATTCCAGAGACGTCTGACCCAGCTGCGTGATAAATGTTAGAAACAAGTTCTATTCCCAGAAGCGTATATGACCGGCTAGCTTTTGGAACGTACCATCTGGTTCAGTGATCCCCAAGCAAAATCTAATATCACCACGAGCGACACTAGGCAGGTACTTCTGTTTCTGCTTCTCGTTTCCAAAGTTCATAATTGGTGGGCATCCAATACCATTGCCGGCGCTGAGACCCCAGACCACCCCGGAAAAGGCAACCCTGACCATCCAAATAAGTAAAAATATTTCAGTAGAGTAGGAGAGATAATTCCATGGGTGCATAGCACAGACATGGTAAACGATGGACCACATAGTCAAGATATACGCACCTGTTCAATTCATCGGTCACGATCAGAGAATGGAAAATATCCCATTCCCCAGGCTCAATGCCTGCTGGTAAGTTGATTCCCCCCATGTAATCCCTCTTAGACCTGTCTATAATGCAGAATCCATGCTCTGCGAAGCTCTTGATAGTCTAAGGTCCATATACGGTGGTTAGATAGACTGAGTGACAAGGTATTTCATACAACGTTCAAAAGGGTATATAGAATCACAAACTTCTTTTGGGACAAAGCCCTGCTCCTCCCATTCCTGAGCATGTGGCATGAGTTCCGTCTCTACATACTCTCGAACATATGCGCGTAGTCTCTTATGGGACTCATCGTGGTACGGGGAGGAATCCCGCGAGTACCATTGTGGTTCGGCATAGGGAATCGCAGAGCCAAACGGAGCTGTCATTCTGAATATCGTATAGCTATTCGATTTGAGAGAATCAACAGCTGCTGAACATGAGTATTTGACTGGCTGTTTATACTGGGAGATGGCTAGGGACGTAAACTCCCCCGGGAATGGTTAACAAGCACTCCGGGGTACGACAAAGTTTCTAGACCCGCGATGCCCTGTTTATTGGTATTAGAGCCTCGTATAGCAAAGATATATGGGACATGGGCTGTGTGGGCAAACATATAAAGTGCATAAAAGCTGTCCGAGGTCACGTCGCGGATTAGGGAGATGCCTCGGCAAACTCGGTGCTTAATTGGATACAAAGCCAAAGACTTTATCTCTAATCCTAATGAATAGAGCGATGATAGAAATACTTCAGTCTATAGGGTATGTATGAGTAAAGCGTAGTAATAGTGCACAGTTTATACCTCAGCGCATTTTGGCAGGGCTATCAATCGCCCTGCCTATTACGGTTGATAAATCCTACATGGTATATGTATATACATCTCAGAGTCAAGCTTCTACAGCTTAGATGGCTTCCAAACTGGACGCCGTTTCTCTTTGAACGCCTGCATGCCCTCGATCGCATTCTCTCCCAACATCAGCTTCTTCGCATAGTTGTCCCATATCAGCGTCGAGGCATGTTCCACGCTCCCCTGCTCCCATCCCTCTCTCACTCCGGCACGGTTGACGATAATGCTATCAGGGCTCATCCTGGCTATTATGGTGGCCATCTTCACAGCCTCCTTGATCAGATCGTCTGCCGGCACGATCTTCTGAACCAATCCCCATTCCATAGCCTCCTTTGCCGGTAGTGTGTATGTCATCAACGCCATGAGCATGGCCCTCTGTAGGGTGAGGATTCGAGCGAGTCGAGGAAGGCCGCCGCATAGAGCTCCTGTCCCTCGTTCGGAATCGGGGAGTCTGAAGTCTGCGTGTTCTGCTGCAATGACGAGATCGCTGTTAAGTATGATTTCGAACCCTCCTCCGTGCGCGTGGCCGTTGCAGGCTGCGATTATCGGTTTCTTGCCATTGCGTCGGGTGAGTCCTGCGAATCCAGCGGGTGGGTAGCTGACTGCTTTGGCGAGGGCGAGTTCGTCAAGTTTCTCTATTTCTAGACGATCTATGTTGCAGAATGGTGTAAGTAATTGATGTTTTGGAGGAAGAGCCAGAAACACAAATCAAACCTTTGATGTCCATTCCAGCACAGAACGCCTTCTTGCCGGCACCAGTGACGATACCAACTCGCCTATACAGTGATTAGGAGCAAAGTCTCGCAGCTATGTTCTATCCAGGAGTTCTCACAACTGCGGCTCCTCGTCCATCCACTCCCAGACACGCTCCATTTCCCACGCCGCCTGGAAGGAGAGCGAGTTCATCTGAGCCGGACGGTTGATGGTCACCAGGAGTACATGCGACGCCGGGAAATCCAAGAGCACGCAAGTCACCGGCGGCGGCTGGGTATCTGTGGGCGCAACCATGTTGAATACACCGATCGATCAACAACCAGCTGCTGGGATAGAACAGGTTGAAGTGTTCACCGTTTGACGCTTGACGCTGGACGCTTGAACGCTGAGGAATAAAACGAAGCTATAAATGGACGATCACACGACATAAACAAGGCGAAAGGAGGTCCGATAGTCCAACATATAACAGACCATCCGAGACGCTCAGGGCGACTCTGGCGGTTTTATGCTAAAATATGGGCTTTGCGAAGGTTTCTAGCCCAGAAAATGGCGAAATGGCGCTTGACGCTTGATTCGTATCCCAACCGTCACCAGGACAGCAGCTTGCCAGGCTACATTACCGTACAAATTGTATATCTACTCGAGCCTCGGGAAGTCGTCCGCCAAGTGCGGTCCTGCTGGGATCTTTTCGCCCCTAACGCAGGCAAAGGGATTGGGAAGAGCGCGGTGCATCCTATCGCCGGCTGAGGAACATGTGAAAAGTCCAACTCCTGAAGACCGTTGCAGTTGCAGGGGAGAGAGGACTCTAGCAGGGACAAGGATGGATATGCGGTGCATATTGAACTCAGCTGAACTACTCCGTACCAGCTTCGTGCCGCTGGATAATCACTTACCTGATATTCTCGCAGGCAGAACCCGGTCTATAATGAACCTGCATCTATTATTATCTCACGGCAGAGACAGCGGGATCGGCCATACGAAAGGACGACTCTACTATGTATAGCACGATGGAGTACGAGGGAAAGAAACAAATATAGGCTACCATCGTGGCCACGGCTTGTGGCAGCGGCTCCGCTCAGTGGAAGTCTCCAGCCCCAGTTCCCGCTTGATCGACAAGGCCTGCGAACGGAGTACGGAGTAAATGAGGGTGTCGCCAAATGTGCTGACACAGGTAGTGGCCTTTGGACGCAATTTATATGGCCTTCTTGGTGAGGCTTTAGACAGATAGTTGTTTTATCGCCGCTCGAGAATTAGGATATAACCACCTAAAAGGGGTCTTTTTATAGTAACTACATAGTATTCATTGATTTTGGGTGGGTCTTCCAAACAAGCTCGAATTTCTGTATTTATGGGTCTGCTATAACTTAGCTGATTGGTTGGCATTCTGTATCCTGATTGGCTTATGCAGTATTGCAGTAACGTGATCACCTTGGCGATGACTAAGCACCCCCCCCCCAATCAACTACCACTGATATCGAACACCAAACCGAGCCTAATATCGAGGGTAGAGGCAGTCTGGTGATGGCCTCCAATCAAGCCTGATATCAAGCATTCAATCGGCCTAATATCGAGCCTGATATCCACACTAATATCGAGTCTCGCTTCGACCATTATAGAGAGTTCACTCTCTATGGGAGAAAGCTCTTGCTTTGGACCTCAACCTAGTAACTATTATTATTTGACAAATAGTCTATATCTATTATGAGCTACCTGCCCAATAAGTAAGTGCCGACGAATGAAATAACCCTAAAAACTATTGAATGACTTGGAATAATGTAAGAACACACAACGCTTAGTTAGGGACACCTATCGCCCCTTTAGTTCAACAAACAATAGCCACGGAATCGTTCCTAAACAATAAGAAATTTGCCTAGAGCTTTGATCACATATCTCGATAGTGCACTCCCTTTTTACACCTCAGGTACCTAGCAAGGCCCTCCCACCATCCACTGTAAACGTTGACCAGTAGTTTCACCGCTGTTTCTAAAAACTGTAGGTACCGATAGACAAAGTTGGATCTGGGGCAGTCGCGCCTTTCGGGACCACACCTTCTCCCAACATTTGCATGTTGTCAATCGATACAGTATCGAGATCAACATAAATATGGACCCTAGTTTTGCCGGATGGGGGCATCATAACTGTGCAATGGCACCCATCAGGCAGTACTTGGCCAGTTGCGGTAATGGTTGTATCGCTATGGAATGAGCCCCTAAGAGGTTGTTAGTACTAGGCTCAAAATTATTAAATATAGGATGGATAATGGCATACAGGATCTTGGCCGAGGTTTTTCCCAATCGCTTAGCACTCGCGACGACCAAATGCTCGGTGGCTCCCTTCAACACGCTCTGGTCCACCTGATAAACAGCGGCACGCCCGGGCAACCCCGAAATTCCGTTAGGGCTCCATTTGATGGCGACTCCCTCGACCGTGCCTTCATAGGAATTAGGAGGGAGACAGTTAGGAAAGGACATGGCTTTTTTTTTAATTGCTAGATGCTTGTGGAAAGAAGTGGATTTTCGATTATAATGCAGGGCCTTCCCCAGAAAGGCGAAGAGCAGGAAGGAGGTAAGGTCAGGGTAGCTAGAGCATAAGGGATTTTTTCACAAGATATTTTGGAGATAAGGATAGCATGAGATGGATAGAAGGAACCATGACCTTTATATAGTCAACAGGTGTCCAATGAACCGGGGGTGGTGTTGCACCCAGGGTTAGAGAATGCTGCGGCCTTTCTTCGCATCCGAATAAAGGTCAAAATGTAGGCGGCAAGTGATACTAAGTCTAACGGACGAGCTCCTGACAAGACTTCTGCTCGCTCACTAGCCCTTTCAGCTGGTTAATTTTGGTATGTTTCTGCTAGATGCACCCAGGTTTGCAATCAGTTGATTGGTAGAAGATGATGGCCGTAGTTTTTTATTTTTTATTTTCGTTTGCCGCCTTGCCATTGCAGTTATCCGGGGAATAGCACATAGCTATTTGGCCATCATCTAAAAGCTGAGGTTCTTTTCTGTTGGTCCACTATTGCTGCCGAGATTTTTATTCTGTAGGCGCCTCAAGGATGTGTTCTAGGTTGGGGGTTTATCAACCAATCGAATTAACAGCCTTTAAGAAAGGCCAAATTAGGTCGATGTAGGGAGTTCCACAAAAGCTAGTGGGCGCTTAAAGAAAGATATAAATGTCTAAAAGTAGGCTGCTCCCCTGGAGCATGCATTGAAAAAAAGAGCGGTAAGGAAATCCTAGTTAGTTAGGTCACCTGACGAATGAATCTTTAGTGAAAGTTGATATTAGTGGAAGGATGTTTCTACAGTGGGCTTTCTCTCATGTCAACTTCCTCTCTTTTAATACATATTTCGCAGGTAAGCTGCCAGACTTTCATCTCTGTGCCAGTCAAACCCTTATACTACGCGCCCTTTACGCTTTGAGAAGCTTTACCATCACTCTCTTTGACATCGATAATATCCGTCCAAATTACAGCTGTACCAGTTATGGCGGCGACGCCAACAGCTCCCCAACCCCTCAACAGAGATAATGCTACAGATTTCGGCGACTTTGCACGCAACGAGGATGAAGAAGGTGATATCGAAGAGCTTGCAGAGCCCTGGCACAAGTATGCTACAAAGGAAACCCCACACGTCTTCTATCCTATCTGTCTCGGAGAAGTACTCAATAAGAGATATCTGGTAGAGCACAAAATCGGCTTCGGTGGCTTCTCAACTGTCTGGATGGCCTATGATCTCCAAGATAAAAAAGATGTAGCTCTCAAGGTGATGTCATTGGGGGAATGGGGAGAAACCGAAATACGCATGCAGGACGAAATTATTCAGAATGTACAAGATACCTCCCACCTTGTGACATATTTGGCAACCTTTATCCTCCCTGGAAATGTTGGTTACCACAGGGTCCTGGTGCTTCCCTTAATGGGCCCATCCCTTTGCTATCTTACTATGAGAAATATGTCTGTGGCAACTCGCATGTCTGCCGCGAAGCAATTACTAGTGGCCTTAGGGAATTTACATAGAGCAGGGATTATACATCGTGGTGAGTAAGCTCCACTTCTACTCTCCTCTCTAACGGTACGCATTCTAAAGCTGGTACTTAATAGATTTGAACGAGAGGAACTGTATGTGGGGGATGGCTCCTCTCCACAATCTTAGCCGCAGTGCAAAATATAAGGTACTCGGTCGACCATTAAAAGAGATTATACCAAATATCAACAACCTTTGGAAGCAGGGAGAGCTTGTCCAGCCTCTTAATGTTCCTAGTGACCTGCGTATAGACAAATTCTATCTTGGGGATTTTGGTCTGGCCATGAAGCTTGGTAGTCCTGTATCTCAATGCGGCTATCCGCCTATGGAATTCTGTTCACCCGATCGACTTCATAATAAGGGTTTAACTGTTGCCTGCGATATGTGGAGTTATATGGTCATCTTCTCTGTGCTTTACCTTGGCTTTCCGCCTTTCCCTTCCTTCCTTAAGGGGGGGATAATTAGTGGCATTGTTAGAAGCATGGGGCCATTGCCTAAAGAGTGGAACGGCCTTTACACGCATCCTAAGGGCCTCGATTCTTGGTATGACCAGAGTCAAACTACCGATCCAAAACATGACCTTGCGTCCACAATTGCATACTATCGTCCAGATAGTAACCCAACTGAGCGAAAACATGTACTGTCCATCATGACTAGGATATTCACTTATTGCCCGGAGAAGCGCCTGACCGCGACGGAACTTCTGCAGGACCCCTCATTCAAAGCTATCATGAACAAATATGGCTGCTAATAGCGTATTCCCTAGGTTTCCTGTACTGCATTTCTATTATTTTCTTACATACCACGGCGTTTCTAGCTCATCTTTTTGTGTTGTTTGCTCAAGGATTCAAGTGCGACTTTCGATGCGAGCATTCCCGTTACATACATAATTAGTATTATATGCTAAACATTTTTTTGATTGAAGGTAGCTTTTCTATACTCTCACTATTCCGAGGCGAAGATAGTTGTTTCTGGGCAAATGTAGCAATAACATAGCGAGGAATATTCCAACTGCTATCTAATAGTTAGGTAGTCTATAACCAGAGGGCCATACTATCGTGTAGACTTGATAGACACTTAAAGCGCCTGCATAGGCTAAAGGGTGGAAAGGTAAAGTTAAAGCTACGGATACGTGTGAATGCGTAGGAAGGGGAGGGAATTTGGGTGAGTCAGCAGAAAGGAAAAGCGGCGGGATTCGCGTACGAATCCGGAAGTGAACAGATACGGAACTTTATATTAACGCTCTGATATAATTTGTAGATAGAGCGACGCCGCAAATGCGGCATTAAATTTCTCCCACTCCCGGCTTAGCACAAAACGTGATAAGTGCGACGATATAACTGGTAGATGGGTGGGAGAGGAGCCAGGGTACGTCGGGCGCCAAGATGTGAAAGGTAGCGCGAGGAGGAGGGCCATCTATAACGTCGCGCGCTAGCACGAGGCGCCTTTCCTGATCTGGCACACTATACCGGATCGGGGAATTTGGTGAGGTCCAGGAGTACGGAGCGGAGTACTCGTCGAGCCAGAGTTCCATCGCGGGACGACTTGGAGATACAAGAGCGCCCCGTCTATTTGGCTAGGCTCTAGTTTTTCAGCTGTTACATGTTGCAGGTCCCCAAGATCACGAGGGCCAATTTCTCCCGCCCGCAGCAATGAGCGTGTTTAACAAGCTCGAGCACCCGGAGCACACGTCTCTCGCGCCCGATAATCAGCCAGCGGTGCGCAATGCTGATATGAATATGAATGGGAAGACGAAGACGAAGAGGAAAGGCGATGCTTCGCTGAGACGATTGACTCGCTGGTTACTGGACAATCAGACCGGTATGTCACGAAGGGCTTGCTTTAGCTTGGCCTTTATTCCTCGTATATCTAGCACTTATTGTCTCGTGTTCTTCTTCGATCTGGGCCATCGCTGACAATGCCGTACTGTCAACAGGGGTTTCCTTCTCTCTCCTCGGCGCGCTTGTTTTCGCCCATCGGCATGCCGTATGTGCAGCCGTACACATCCAAGTTCCTTTTGCTTTCCTATTACAACTCACGTACTGGGAAATATGCTGCTGGTCTTGATGATCTATATTTTGTTGCATTTTTCGTGGTACTCTTGACCGGCCTCCGCGCAGGTTTTATGGGATATATTCTAACTCTACTGGCCAAACGGTGGGGCTTATTTAAGAGGAAAGAAGTTGTTCAGTTCGTAGAATAGGGATAAATACTTATCTACTATAATGTGTTCTGGCCGCTAGGCGTGGTATTTTATACCTTCTTTTCTTTACGGCCAGCCGCGAGTTTTACCTAAAACTGACCTCTTCTAGTATATTTACTACAAGTCACCATACTTCCTTAACCTGGACGAGCTTTGGACTAAGTAGCCACAGCGAGAGCTCGGGGGACTTATAAAGGGGTATATGCTAGGGCAATTGTCTTTCTGGTTACAGCAGGTCCTTATAATTTATATTGAGGACCGCCGAAAAGATCACTAGCAAATACTAGCCTACCATTTTATTAGCATTGCTGCCTGTAGAGTCGTGGAAGGGTTCCAAGAGATGTGACAGGCCAGAAGGAATAGGTAGTGGACCCCGAAGTCTCTCTGCTGGACCGCTGAAGCAGGCAGGCTTTATTATCCGAGGAAAGTCAAAATAAACGCTCTAATAGGTTATTAGGTAGAAAACGTGACGCGAGACGAACTAGATAACTAGAAATATGCCGAATAGAACATCGTAAATAGTAGTAAAGCCGAGGTATTTAAAGCATTTAGCTAGCTATTCCTATATTAGTAAAGCTATAGATCGTGGGTATATATATGACTTATAGGGAAAACTAGATCGACAATATCTATTAGCACTATAATTAAGTTACCGACCTAGGTTTAGTAGTAGGCGTATGTTATGGGCACACCTGCACCCGCAGAATATCGGTCACGTGACTCACATCACGTGACCCAAGAACCGGGCATGCCGGGCGCCAGGGTCCGAGCAATGCAGGAAAGGGGTTCAGGGGCTGCACCCGGTGCAGCCCATATAACCAACCAAAGGCCCCGGGGTTCCAGGGGCCAGCGGTTGTTCTCAGCGTCAACCATACAGTATCTTCCCCATCCGTCCACGGTTCACCTCTTCGTTACGTATCCGGGCAAAACCACCCCAGTGCAGAGCTGGGGTCTTGACAGCGTAGCATACATTAACGAGGCTGTCTACTAGAACGATAACATCATGATCGGCTTCCTGTCCTTCCTTCTTATACTACAGGTCATGATGATCATATGGTCCGTGTCTATCGCCAGGGTAGCCATTCGCGTTCTTAAGGGCAACAGCGCGGAGGATATTAGGAGTGATGACGAAGAAGAAGAGGAAGCTGATGGAGAAGAGCTTGAGCGCGAGATCCAGCCACTCGAAGAAGAGGTCGGCGTCGAAGCCATCGACTTGAAGGGGTGGGCGCGTCGGACTGGCATTGGGGGAGTATCAACTTCAAGCAGCGTCAGTTTGTCTGGGCAGAACCATCGCAGGGAATTGCTTAATAGAATCGGGTGTGAAAAGCAAATTGATTGAGATATGCTCAAGGAGGATAGTCCTGAATAAATACTCGCCTTGCTATAATAAAGAGAGCTCCGTATAATGGTACTAACACACCTGCTACGCAGGGGTGGACTGATATACCCGTTGAAGCTCACAGCAGGACGATCCCTATTGTGAGAGGATAATTGCAATCCGCATTTCAATTCCCATTCTATTTTTTTTTGTGGCCAACACACCATAGGGACAGCAAACAAGGCGCCCAAAGGACAATTTTAACGATCTTCCTCAGCATCTTCCCGATGTCAAATATGAGGGCAGGCCTGTTGAACGGAGAATATGAGGACACCTTTATATAATACAGTGGAGGAAGAGGGCCACCGCCTCACGGCATGCGTAGAGGATGCCCGGGTGGATGCAGATATAGACGCAGATGTGCAAAGCGTCCAGGCGATTGACTAATCGCGGCTTGAGTCGAGATACTCTGCTCGTCCTGGCTCCGGCGCGGTGTTAGGCATCATTCCGGATTACAATCAACATATTAGCTCGTGGGTGCAAAGCCAAAGGCCATAATTTGAGGCATTCAACTTCTATCTGTGGCGCTCAACAACCCACTTGTTATACCACATATTTGGACCTGATCGATCTTTTCCAAACAAGTTGGAAACCAAGCACTAAGCAGACATCAACTGAGTCCAGAGTACGGAGTGCTTCTTCGCTAAATGTGAATTTAGCAGCCAGTCGTCCTTTAATAAAGGTAGAGCTCCATCCGTTTTATCTATCATTACGAAGTACAGAGGGAGGGCAGCACAGCCTACTCCGTACTCCGTGGAAGATGATGGATTGTCAAGGACCCGATGAAAGAGACGAGTCATGGTGGCGACCTAAGACCAATTTTGAAGCAGTCGATCAAGCCAGTATGCTATCATCTTCTCCTACCGCGGCGTCCTTGGGCCTCGGAGGAACTACTCTTTACTTTCTCTCCTCCACAGGGATAACATCGTGCGTTGAGTCGCATTTCAAGGCCAGCCGCAATGATCGGCTTGCTTCGACAGTGTTGGCCGAGAGCGCTTGATATAAAATATCGCTTGGATCCGCCATCGACCGATGTGTATTCCTCTACTTCAACCTCATCCTAGAACCATTGCCCTAAGCACATCGAAGTCGTCTATCAGAACCACTTCCCCTAATTTCCTTTGGATACAAATACAACCCCCAGCTATGCGACTCCTCTCCTTGATTGCGGCAGTTTTGCTGCTCTGTCTTTCTGCTATGGCAGGACCAGGTGATGTAGATGCACACACTGATGGATAAACCCCGTGATAAGGGATCTTCAACTCACAAATGCTTAAGAAGAGTAGTAATGACTTGGCTGGCCCTCCATATTTCTATCGTGAGATAGTATCTTCAGTCAAGTATAATAAAAATAGCAGTTGATTATCCGGATTTTGATCCTGCTCCTAGATAGGTATTCTCCTCAACATGACGATACATAGAATATCCAATACTTAGAGGTTGTATACAAGTACATCCCTACTCATAGTACGACGTCATCATACAACTTATACTTAGCAAGAAGAATAATGCCAGAAAATTTTCTGAGTTTGGATTGCTAGTTATATACTACTGACTTTAGAGTCGTCGCTATGTGCCAAGTTATCGCTAATATTTTCTCCAGAGTTCACATTTTTACACCACTTCCTTTAGCAGCTTTAAAGGCTCGACGACGTGCTCGAGAAATGCGCCGTGGACTTCTTGCTGACTGTCTGACTCTTGAGGAGTCACCTTCTGCTCCATCCAATCCCCGTCCTCAAAATTCAACGTCAGACACTTGCGAACCGCACCCGCAAATACATCACCGCATCGATGTATTAGTCTTTCATTCGTGTGCCTCAGGAGGAACTGCGTGACATTCTCTGGAATTCTCCCGTGAGGCCGCAGACCGGATATCATCTCTTCGGCACTCTCCCACAGGCCAATTTCAAGCATCATCACGCCAACTGAGTAAATGTCATGAATTCGGGTAAATGTCTCGCGTGGGGTCCCCCATCTCTTAGGATGTCTGTACACATTCCACTTAAGCTGATTGTCGTAGGGCCCTAGCGAGCTATCAGTTGAAGGTCTTGAAGCTTCGAAGCCACAAATCCGGATCTTTGCTCCTTGTAGGGCTGCCCTATCCAGATTCTCGTCCGGAAAGACGAAGAGGACATTCTCACTACGTAGAGCTCGGTGGACCCAGTTTACAGAATGCAGCAGGAAGAGAGATTCTGCGAGTTGGTGGCACATGCTGAAACGAAGCCCCAGTGAGGGCCTTTTATCAGGCCTTATGCTCCGATAAAGATCTGCAAGTGTTCTTATTGTTGGTGTTGTATCCGAATCCGAAATGTATGAAATGAGGCGGAGCTGGCCTGAACTTGCAGATATCTGGTTGCAGTATTTGAGGCAGCGCAACACTCGGAAGTCGGGATCGCTTTGACTATTCAAAAGCCTTACAATTTTGGAAAATCTCTCGTCTAGGATATCTGGTAGGTTCCCATCGATATCCAACGAGAAAGTGAGAGTTTCAACAAGTATGAAACTGTTGCTGAAGACGCCGATCATTTTACCAGATGGAAGGATTTTGACGTTCTTTACAGAATCCCATGATGTCTTGAGATCTTCCGGCAGCTTTGCCTGGTCTATCAATAGCTTTCGAAGTGCGGTTGATGTGGCCAAACCGGCGGCGCGAGTATCAGGGTCTGACTGCACCGCGTCCAAGTTTGACAGCACGTTGAATGCAGGCAATGGCCACCACGTATCTTCCAGAACAGCTCTTGTTCGCATTAGCCAGTCTTCGAATTCCTTGTTCAGCCGTGCAGCCTTCCTCTTCCCCTGGATCGCCCAGACCAATGGAACGAAATATGCCAGGCGCAATGTTTTCTGGCCTTCGGGCTCGTTTCCCGGAGCGATGCTGGTGCTTTGCAAAAGGATCCTCTCTTCGTCTACGGTTAGGCCAAAGTGATTTACAAACTCGGGATTTGACCCAGAAGTCTGGGAAGATGCGGCATACTTCTGCTCCAAGACGAAGTGGGCGTACAGTAGTCGCAAAAGCTCGCGGAGAAGTTGGACGACGAGCTTCTGGCTGTATTCAGGCAACACGTCGAAGAGCTTTTCTCCGTGGAGGAAGGGAAACTTCCCGGATTCAAAAAGCACCTTTTGCAGAGAATCGTAGCTATGAGAAAGTTGCTGGAACTTGAGGCCGAGGGTTGCTGCCTCTACCCCGTAGTGTCTCACATCGCTCACAAAGCTGTATCCAACTGTCAGCACTTTGATAGTGACTTCGGCAACACTGATAGCCGCCGCTGTGGTTTCAAATCCGGGCATGGTGTTGGACTCGTGGTGGGTTAAAAGCGTCGGCGATGAAGAGTATGCGGCGAGGATTCATTCCATCGCTTTCCCGATTTCTCTTCAAAAGGGAAATCAACTTCTGGCTGGCCTGACATTTGCATTATCGCAAGGCTTCGCCAGGATTGCGGGGTCAGGAGGGCGGGCGTTGGTAAGCGAGGCCAATGCCACTACATATGCATGTCTATGTATCCCGTCGACCGCGAGGGCAGACTATTCTATCCGGCTCCAATAACTGATATAATGCTGGATATCGGAGCTGATCGCCATCATCCTCACCATGAGTATCGGAGCCCCGATCCTATCATCGCGATCAGGCCTTGTCGATAGCCTTGCTACTGCTTTGAGGGATTATGGAATCGGTTCATCACCAGATGGTCCACCAGAAGAACCAGTCCCGGCTATTCCTTTGTTCGATTTTCTACGTATCGCCTCTGAGTCTGGCCTGCATCAATATCCTGGGGATATTGCGGAGCAAGGACTGTTAGCCGCAAGGATAGGTGAGGGCCTTGACTATGTTGTAGATAAAGTCAAAGACTTAGAAGGACGGGTTGTCGTGGTCAAGCATGTCAAGACTACGGCCTCCCCGGACACAGGATTCCAGAGCGAGGACAGCTCCCGAATACGCAAGGTCTTGCATGAGATCAAAATTGCCACTCACCCAGCGCTCAAAAGAAGCACGAATATTTTACAAATGAAGGGGTTTGGCTGGGAGCTTGCTGAAGACGGTCTAGCGATTCCATTTCTTGTGGTAGAGTATGCCGAACATGGCACTCTACGAAGCTATCTGCAGCGCAGCACGGTGAGCATGGAGACTAAATTCGATATGGCTTTCGACGCAGCAAGGGGACTTCAAGCGCTACACGCTCATCGCATTGCCCATGGGGATCTTAAGCCGGAGAATGCTTTAGTGGTATCAACTACTCCTCAGCATCTAACCTTGAAGATCACTGACTTCGGATTCTCGGTAATCTTAAAGGACGATCAAACGCACTATGAGTATTGGGGAACACCACACTATCGGCCGCCAGAAGTATATCGACAGACCGGAGATTCTGAGACTGCAGGATTAATCCCCGGGTCAGGTTACCGTGCGTGCGATATTTACACCTATGGACTCTTACTCTTGGAACTTCTCATTGACGGCGAAAAGTATATAACCCGTGCAAAGAACCAAGGTCGGCTGGGGGATCGAGATTCTGCCTTACTGTGTCTTTTACAGGTGATGGACATAGAATGCGATGTCCTTCCTCCGCTCAAGAATATAGTGGAAAGATGTCTTCTCATGGATCCCGAAGAACGTCCACAAATTCGAGAGATTATTTCACAACTCGAAGATATCAGGAGGTCAGTTAGATGCTCTGCACGCCTAGCCACGATCGTTATTAACTAGTTAACCATTTGAGAAGCCCTAGGGAAGTGCCAATTGAAGAAGAACTCACCCCATTGGCGTTCCAAGATTCAACGTCTACAGAGGACACCAATGATGTTGTTAATATGAAGCAGGTAATCATGGAGTACGAAGCCTTCTTTGTGGCTTCCACACTGACGGTGCGCTCACGCAGTTATTCACAACGCTTGCCGGTCGACCACTCGACGATGGGTCGATGCATGTCGCGCCTTGGAAGATCCAGGAATCCGTAGCCGAAGGCATTCACCAACGAACAACCCACCATAGATTTGAGATAGCTTCTCGAGCCTGCTTGGAACTCGGGATATGTTATTATTTAGGTTTTGGTGTTGAAAGAGACCAAAAGAAAGTGCTCCATTACATGGACCAAGCAGCAGCTAAGGGAAGTTTTGAAGCTCGTCGGATACGACATCGACTATATCAGGCTTTTTCGCAGCCGATGGAGCCGCTTGACTTACTGGTCAGCCTTGATGATCAAGAGGAACAGCAACTCCAGAATATACTGGTAGCTGAATCCGACAACCGCGAAGTCAACCCTTTCCGAGTGTTTGACGCGGTAGTGCAAGAATACTTCTACAGTCATAACGAGCTTACACTTCATCAAGCCGCATATATTGGAAACTTACCCCGTCTTGAAGAACTTCTTTGTCATATTGATGACTTCCAGGACGAACACGGCCGTTCTGCGCTGTTCCTCGCTGTTCAAGGCGGCCATTTGGATGCAATAGACGCTCTCCTCCATTCGGGCCGTAGCGACCCTAGACTTCCAGATGAAGATGGCCACACTGTGCTTCATATGCTAGTCATACTAAGCAGCGTAGAAGTCGAGGCTGCTCTATCGATGATTCTTCAAGTGTCTCCCGAGTTAGACTTGAATGTCTTCTCTTGGTCTCCTCTCGACGCATCGGAACATTGGGGCGAATTACGGGGTGCTCCACTTCATTGGGCTGTTTTGGCGGGAAACAAGGCGATGACCTCCTGCTTGGTGAAGGCGGGAGCACGCGTCCATGGCTGGCCTCCGGATCTATGTCCCGTACGCATCGCCGTTTCTCTGCATCTTTCTGAAATTCTTGAGATACTTCTATCGGCCATTCCCACCGGGGTCTCTCTCCACGGAGAAAATCTGCTATTTGCAATAAGCTCTAGCAACCCATTCCGCAGGTTACTCTTGCACGGGAAGGCTTATGTCACGGAGATTGAGAAGACGGTGTCATTGTTAGCAAGGATACGCCCCACTGTGGACGCAGACGAACTGTCTGTAAACGACAGCCCTCTGCGCAGACTTCTAGTAGTCAACTTTTCAGACAGCGATCAGTACATGGCAAAGGCTTTGATTGCATCCGGCACGGACATTGATGAGAAAGGCGGCTGGACATTACTGCAATCCGCGATAGTAGGGTGCCATGGCTCACCTCTGTCTTCGAACTGTCGGATAGCACTCGATATGATAGACAATCTGTCAGATTTCAGGCGGAGAAGCACCTATTATAAGCCAGGATGGGCTGCCTTGCATTGGGCGGCCGCTGGTGGCATACTCCCGGTTGTTAGAAAGCTACTTCAAGTTGATCCTGACTCCATCAACATTCGTACCCAAGAGCAGGAAGATAGGACGCCACTTCACCTCGCAGCGGAGGATGGTAAGAGCATTGCAGTAATCAAGCTTTTGCTCGCCCATGGAGCTGATCCCTCTCTAAGTACGTCCGGTCTCAAGCTCACTCCCCTTGGCAGCTTCATCAGCAGTCAAAGGAGTGAACTCAATAACGATATCCTGAAATCTTTACTGCACGCATCAAAACGAACGGGTTACCTAGCATTGGGTTTTGACAACTGGAATGTTATTCACTACGCTGCAGCTCGCGCTGCAGTTCTAGATATAGAGTCACTATCCGGTCACGTTCTTCTACGGACACTTGCCACATTTCCAGAGATGAAGAGTCTGATCGAGTCAACCACTACGCAAGGATGGACGCCACTTCACCTTGCGAGCTATTTCGTCGACTATACGACAATAAGATTGCTAGTTGAGGAGTTCAGTGCATGTGTATATGCACGAACATCGAAAGACGCATCAGCCTTTGACATCGTCATGGAGCGAGCAAGACATTGTCCTGATAACCTGCGCGGGGCTGACTCCCTTGTACGATGGAGCAGACTTGCGTATCGCTCTGCCCTTTTCTTGAAATGCAAATTGGAGGCAGTTGAGGGGCCGTACTATCTCACGCCGCTTCATCTTGCTGCATATATGGGATATCACGATGAGGTCGTTAGGCTTGTAAAAGAGAGCCCAAACGTAGTCTCTGAGATTAATAGGGAGGGTGAAACGGCTTTTCAGATGTTGCAAAATACGTTGCCAACTAATATAGAGTCGAGGTGGGCTACTGTGGTGCTGGATATGGTGCGTCAAATCCGTATAGGAAAAGACTGAACAGGGCAAGGGCAGGTAGGATAGAGCAATGGAACAAGCAAGCAATGAACCAATCAACCTGCTCGATGCTCAATATCAACGGTGCTCGACTTGGTGGCTCTGCTCGGTGCTCTGCCTATATATCTGCGTACTGTAGAGGAGTTGGATGAGTCTTCGGAACTACTAGTTAGAGTATTATTTTAAATCATCTATATAAATGGCGTGGATCATCCCATCATCCCCTATATATTTATAATAGAATATCTTTTTCTTAGCGCAGTTATATATAGTTATAGATTAATATTCTTCCGCTCTATCCTCTGTATACATAATTGAATATCTTTTTCTTGGCACCATCACGTGTGTACAAGGACTAATATTGTTCCACCCCGTTTATATCACGTGCCACCCCATCAAAATTAACCATTACCTAGGCATTATATAATAACGGTTAATTTTGATGGGGTGGCACGTGATATAAGCGGGGTGGAACAATATTAGTCCTTGTACACACGTGAAGTGAAGTGATAAGTGAAGTGATAAGTGATAAGTGATAACATACTGTTACAGACCATCTGCGGCGCAGCCCAGATAAATACGCTCATTGGACAACAAGATTCCGGAACGGAGTAACTACTCAAGTCACGTGATAGGACTGAGGTCCCAAATACCAAGGAGGACTTCAGGTCCACGAAGGGACCTGACTATCGCGGTCCACATATGGGACCTGAGAGGGTAGGTTCACGAAGGGACCTACAGAGCAGATGACGGATGAGGAACCGGATATACTCATGTATATAAGGGCACTCATCGCCCACAGGATCAAGAGTCTTATACTCGCGATCAAACCAGCTACAGTTTTACCATACTGCTCAATACAAAGCACTATTCCATTTATCTTATACTGCATTTATCGAATACCCTTTACCTATTGACGCAGGTCAACATTATCTTTATTACTCATAAGGACCTTCAGCCTTCATCCGACTAAGGCACTAACTGAAGCCACACTTGGAACTGAGAGATAGCCTCGCTATAGTATTCTATCTTGCCCCGGTACCGAGCCGTCTTCTACAACGACTCACCTCTAACCCAAGCTTTCCCTAAGACCTTCGTACCTTCTGTCTTACGGCAGGTGTGAACCTCTGATCACCTTTAGGTAATCAAGGAGCGCCGTCAGCTTGTGACATATATATACAGAGAAGAGATACAGAGATACAGAGGAGAGGATGTATACAGAGGATATAGAGGATACAGACTTTGACAATAGAGAACTTGCTATCTATGGGGGAAACTTCGAAGAGCAATTGCCGCCTAATTAACTGTTATATACCAGATCCTTATTTAAATGGCGAAGAGACTTGAACGGTGATGATCGTCGGTAAATTACGTTATAATAACAGAACTGTTCTCCAGGGGTAAGTGCAAGGCTTAGATGTGATGGAGATAAAAGACTGCCAGAACCCTGCCGAACCACCCTATATGAGAATACAAGGCATTACTAGCGACTTATCTTCAAATGCTTTGTAGTCTAGGACACATTATAGGTCATTAAATCTCTGTATTTATCGCTGTAAACAAGACGTATACTCCGTACTCCTCATCCCCTCACTGTAGACATTATGAGGGTTCCTTTGCTTCCCATGGCTTAATCCTATGATCCCAATCCGCCTGCACGTCACCCCGATACTCTGAGCTGACATGCACCTCTGTCACCTTTGTGATCTCATCCCTTTGCTGCTCTTCGTCTTGCGGCTCTATGGTCTCCAGCATGACCTCCTGGCTACTGGTTGCTTCATCTTGAATCTGGGTGTGCCCATTGTCATATTGAGACAGGGCAAAGCTCGTCCCCCCCATCAAAGAGGAGACACTGTATATCCCTCTAAAAACTCTTCTGCGGTTTCCTAGAGGTGCTGGCCTGGGTAGGCCGCCCTCAGGACCTAACCCAAGCGATGTTCTATGCGAAGCACTTGACGCAGAATTTTCCTGGTTGCGGTATCGTTTGTATATTGACTGTCTGCCTCCTTGAGAGGACCTTTCGTGGCGGATACGTTTAATTAGTGGGCCGAGGGTGGGCACACAGGCTGCAATAAGGACAAGGTATTGCTCAACTACCGCCCACGCAGCCAAGTCGGTGTTGGTCCAGGAATAGTCCGTACGATCGGTGAGTCGCGGGAGATAAGAGGCTTTTATAATAGCTCCAGCAAAAGCACTATTTATAGAAGGGTTAGAAGATATAACAAAACAAGTTTCAACTTGGGATAAGAGTGGAGCAGGGTAGGTTTTTTACACTAAACCAAGCGAGAGGATACTTGTAAGCGCAAGTTTGACACGTATTGGCATTTGAAGTTTAGATATAACAAATATAGGATACCCTGAAAGCACTAGATCTGATAAGGCGGATGAAGCTGTTGGGTTTATTATATTTAGCATATACCATATCTCTTTGAACAGGAAGCGTTCCAACTAACCACTTTGCAGAAATGTGTAATTGCGCAGGACACTTGGATCCCAACAAGTCCCGTTAAGGGTTTTATCCCAAAACGCATTAGGAGGCCGGCATTGGCCCACCATGATGTATACGCATCCTGTGTTGATGAGGGTCAGCAGGATTATGCTTGCGTAGAAATATATTGCTTGACGTTTGGCCCTCTCTATAACGCGTATGATGAGCAGCATGGCAGAGACCTTCCCCCAGTTTATACACATGATATGAAAGGGTTGCGAGAGCCAGGTGTACTTGAAGATCTGTCTATGCTGGGTGCTGGTAAGGTAGGCCGAACGGTGCCCAAGGCCGTCGCGGACAGCGACAGTGAGCAAGGCCGAGTTGACACATCCACAAACCTAATAGGAAGAACAACCACAAACAGAGCCAGCGTCAGTCCAAGTATATAGACCGTGTATGGATCATGAATAGAGGTATCATACAATAGCTAGGACCATAAAAGCATCATCCCAGCCCAGTTGCTTCGTGAGGTGGGTGCGTATCCACAGACGCGTGAAGAGCATTATGGCCGAAATGCTGAATAGTGTCCACATGGCGAATAGCACCCGGGGTCCCTTATTGTCGGTGGGCGATCCTGCTTCCATTTCTCTCGGTTATGGTGGGTTTCACTGCCGCGAAAGCATACGCAGTCTTTCAGTGTCAGATTTTGAGGCCGCGCCCGACTGAGTTTGAAGCAAGGTGACGGCCTCGAGGAGTTAAATAGACCATGCGGTTAACGGTATAGACGGTGACTGTGTGATGGAGGATAGCCTACTCCCTGTGTCGTACGGAGTACTAGACGCATGGCAGAGCGGTAGGTTTCAACAGCCGGTGTGTGTGTGTTTGTGGTCGACGTTCTGATCAATTGAAGTTGGCGGCTGTCAAGCCATCTTAAAACCGCGTAGTCGAGGACCCCTGCGATTTATCCGGGGGACGGGAAAATTCCATAGTTTAATAAACTTGAGACCAAACCATCACCACAACCTTGCACCTCCTGTAGTTGCGCATGGCTGGATAATAGGACCCTAATGGGAAAGCTATGACGGGTCGATGGCAACCACCCAGCGCTATTGGATGAATTAGGTCACATCTCCCTTTGATAATAATTTTCTTCGCGTGGAGAGGAAGTTTCGCTTACCTGTATCCTAAGCCAGTTAGATAAAGCCTGCTAGGATCACCGGTGGCTCACACCAGATGTGCGTGGCTTTCGCCGCCAGTTGAGGGCGAAGCGGGCTAACATTTCCATAGATAGGGGCTCAGGAGATAGATATCGATAGGCCACGGTGTTCAATCATGTCGATAATGACAGCTCTTTGCGTCTGAGCCGTCATATCACCGTTTTCTCATCGTCCTCTCATCGTTCTCCCATCGTTCTCCTGCCTCGATGGACGAGCGTCTCGAACATCCCAAATATGATTCGTCTGCTCACACGGTGATCAGCTGCGTTTAGCTCATTCTCCTTCGTATAGATCGGCCGATTAGTGTCCGCCCAACCTTCAAATGGTAAACTATCTATCAAATCAGTGCGGAATCACTCCATGTCTCCAGTCTTGCCGGGATCTCGACGGGCTCTGGGTGACTTCACGATCAGCCATACCTCTTATCTGGCCATACTTCCAGAGTGTATTCAAGATGTCTGATCGACTGATTCGAGACCATCCCGGCGTGAAAAGGTCTGCGCCGCAGAGATAGAGACTGGTGACTTATGGAGAAGGGGAGACATCTGTATACAGATACAGGCAGAGGGATACACATGACTAAGCGGGCACTGCTGCATTATTCGTCGAACGCGTTGAGGAATTCTTCCTGAACAGTTTCTAGAGAACTGCGAGAGCTCTTCCATGGCATCGTCAATCAATAGAATCCTAAGCGGTCAGAAGGCGTCATACAAACTGCTCGAGCTGTTGAAGCACCCTTCGCTCTATAAAGCTACAGCTTTAACGTCCACTGAGAGCCTTATTTCCTCATCCGCACTGAATACTAAACCTGGAGGTGAATTGTAGGTTTCTATCGACGTTGATGATATAATCTGCGCTGTGTTTTGACGATTGATTCATTTAGTGTCGTTGTTAAAGATCTTCGGTTCGAACGAGAGCTAGAAGTGCATCAACTACCTTCTATCCTGGCATGCCAGTACATCCGGCAGGCACTGGATGTTATTGAGAAAGGTGAAAAGGATGACTGGAGCCCATCAGAACCATCGGCGAAAAAGCGGATAGTGCTAGAATGGATGGACACAGACCTATGGCATATCCGTCCCTTTGGAAACCGTTTTCAAATCCGAGATTACCTGCTATTGTTAGTAAGTCTATACTGGAGGCTCTCGTTGTCTTCAAGGAGGAGAACGGAGTGCATACAGGTGCGTTATTGTTTCCTATATATGACCTTACTATTTATACGGGGAAGTCAGTTAATTAACTAGTTACTCTAGATGTAAGTCCCAATAACATTTTTCTTTCAGACCTTGATTCCCCAATTCCAACAGTCAAACTTGGTGATTTGGATAATGGTATGTTGTCATATACCCAATCATATAATACCCTCTGAACTTGAGTGCTGAATAATTCTTAAAGCATTCGCCGAAGGAGCTGCCAAAAATCATCGGCGCCCTCAGACCCACGAGACACGTTCTCCAGAGGTCTGGCAGGGCCTTGGAGTCTGGCATTCATCGGATATATGGTCTTTAAGCGTTACTGTACGTTCTGCATTCTCCATATAATCACTTTAGATATTGACCTAATTCGGATATAGATTGCCCATTGGTTAATATCGACTTCTATATTTGGCCCATCGGATAAGATTATCCAAGACCACCAGACGGCATGGTGCCTAGCTACAATATTTAGGCTCGTTGGGCATTTTCCGGCACCAGAGAATCCAGAATTTAAAGATGAGTTTGACCTTGCAGAGGCCCTAGAGGGCGGTGGATTCGTTCATCCTGAATCGGGTGAAGTAAAACCCTATATACCTGTGGGAACCATACGGGGTGAATTACTTAAACTACCCCGGGAAATATGTTCAGAAGCATGTATCGACTTCATTGAGCACTTACTTGTCATTGACCCTGCCAAACGTCCTACAGCTGAGATGGCTCTGAAGCATCCCTTTGTTAGCTCGACTACAATTTGATGACTACGACCTGATGCATAGTCTGTTTACATTCTAAGCGCTTAACCAGAGGAGATATAAAACTTTTCCAGTCACCATCTTTCGCACATGGTACCCTTTGACATTTCCGAATGCATCATCATCCCTACAACCTCTTCAAATTCGAATTATCAGAGAGCACTAACAATGGCCTGGTAAGTTCGCAAAGTCGTTGCTCAGGTTTTCGAAAACTTAACAAACACAGGAAAGTGCAGAGATGCGACCTGGAATGAATAGCCATGGAAGAGATGCGTTAAATGCTATAGGATATATAGCAGTACCCCTAGTAAGCACCACTACGAAGTATTAGTTTCCCAATTTCACATATGCTATCAGTATTACCCCAGCCCTTCTTATTCCATCTCGTTGAGTCTTGATCTTGCTTGCGGAAGATAATATGCCTCAAACAGGGGAGTATATATTTATCGTAAGACCCGGGTTTAGGTGATAGCTCCAGCTACCAATGTTCTCTCGCAATAAAAGCGTCTCTCTGAGGGGTTGTCGCTGGTTGTCGATAGCCGAGTCCTCTTCGTACGAGAAAGAAGTATACTATAAACAAGGTAGGAAAATAGAAGGCTGTCGCAGAATGGGTGAAGTAGTTGAGAATCACCATGGGACGTCGAAAGAGAAATGCCGAAGTGGCCCCGCTGCAAAAGTGCCGAGTCGCAGCTTTCCCCAGACTCGCATCAAGCCATTAACATGTCTACAACCAGCTATCACTAAACACAAGCAGACGGGGGCCACTCGCCATGGCTACCAAGAACGTTTTAAGGCGAGCTCTACTCTACGGTAAGTTGCGGGAAGCTACCATGGCAAGAGAGTTGACTAACCAGGCACCCGTTCAGTCCCTGGCTCATCCCAGCGAATGCTTGATAAATCCCGAACATTGTCCGTTGACTGTGTCGCCTACGACCTCGAAGACAGCGTCACTCCATCGAAGAAAGTCGAGGCTCGGTCGTTAGTCCGGGCAGCTCTGGATCAGCCGGCACCGGCAGGAATCAAAGAGCGCGCAGTACGGATCAACTCTGTAGGAAGCGGACTGGCGCTGGCAGATTTGACGGAAGTGGTGAGCTCGAGACAGTCGCATACGATATAATTCTCTATACTGACAGATTCAGCTTAAATCTCCCAATCTTTCGACATTAGTGGTTCCAAAAGTCGACTCCGCCTCGGATCTCACATTTATATCCGATGTGGTATCACATACACTCTCGAGGTCCTCCTTGACATCCCCCGATCGCCCACCAATATCGATACTTGCGCTCATCGAAAGCGCCAAATCATTAAGTAACCTATCCCAGATATGCACCGCCACTCCTCTCCTGTCCGGCCTCATTTTCGCCGCCGAAGACTTCGCGCTCGATCTAAGCATTACGCGGACCCCGTCGTTAAATGAGTTTCTCTACGCTCGTTCTGCAATAGTCACGGCCGCAAGGGCGTATGAGTTACCCTCGGCAATCGATCTAGTATGTACTTCATATAAACAGAGTGACGGGAGTGCGCCGTCGATTCTTGAAGAGGAGTCTAGATCGGGTAAACGATTAGGGTTTAATGGGAAACAATGCATTCATCCAACTCAGGTTGAGACTGTGCAGGGCATATTCGGTCCTGAGACTGGAGAGGTGGAGTGGGCTGTTAGAGTGGTGATTGCGGACCAGAAAGCGGCGGAGGCTGGGAGGGGAGCGTGGACGTTAGATGGGAAGATGATCGATGTCCCGGTTGCAGAGAAGGCGAGGGCGATTGTGAAGAAGGCTGAGTTGTGTGGGTTTGACGTTGATGGGATGAAAGAGAAGTGGAAGGACCAAGAGCCACAATAGGTTATATCCTATTTATGGAGGTCTCTACGGTGTACTTCGTACACTTGTAAATAGGAAATTACTTTTGAACGGTATGAACATGGGAATAACTTGCATAGTCTAAGACGCTGAGCTAGATACGCTGACGATTCCAAACCACCTATTAGAATGGGTACCACCGAATTAAACAAAATCTTACCCGCAAAGAGTGAGAAAAAAGCGCATCTAGATATTTCGCGAATAATGAGTATTATATCCTAGACCAAGGACTTGGAGGAATTCGCTAATTCATCAGAGTCGGTAGCAAGTGGGAAGGGGAGGTTGATTGGTAGAAATTCGTAGCGTTGGAATATACATCTCGATCGGTCTGGGTACTATTATCATGTATGGTCTCCGTCTTCATAAAAGCGTCTCGTTCGTTAATCGCGTGGGTCACTTGTTGAATTAGTGACTGGCTAGACCTTGGTGGCTGGACCATCTCGCTTTAATAGCCGAATCTTCCCCATCTTAAGAAGTGGAGCAGGTTCGGGAGATGACGATGATGCTTCGGCTGCAGCCACACTGCCATCTTCGTCATCTTCATCGTGAACGGCAGTAGGGGCTGTGACGGCGGCGTTGTTAATCTCTCCAACGTGATGTTCAGTGTTTAGTGCCTTTGAAGTAGTGGCTGGCGATGGTGAGTTTCGACCGCTGGCCGTGGTTGCTGCTGGGTTAATGCCGATTACAAAGGCGACGAATCCACCACGTTCACCAGGCACGCTGAAATCGCGAAACACGTAGTGGTGTTCAGTTAACCAGCCCTTGACAGCCTTGCCGACCTTGTCTTTGCCGTTTTTGCTATGGTGGCCACTTCCGGTGATAACGTAGAGGTAATGATCGCGAAGCTGTGCGCTCTCCTTCAGGATGTTGTCTAGATAAGCGATTGCCTCGGTAGGGACGAGACCGTGTAAGTCGATGTAGAACTCGTCGTCATTTTCATCGATGTGCTTCCGGCCTTCTTCGTAGAGCAGCCGTGCTGCTTCTCGGTGGCATCGTCGCATCGCGTCATTCTCCGCCTGTCCTCGTAGCGAAAGGGCCTTTGCGGCGCGAGCATCATTGCGATTCCAAGCTTGGGCAGCACTAAGAAACGTTTTAATATATGCGCAACAATAACGGAGATCAAAAAAGAATAGATATTTACCTCTGGAGAAACTTGTTCCTAACGTTACCGTGGGTTATAGCATCAACGCGATATTTCAAATATGGCTGAGTCCACTGAACACCCGTCTCGAGCCAGGGGATGTGCTTTGGTGACGGGATGGCTTGGGCTTCTGCACTAATCTCGCGAGTGCTGCTGGCAGACGATCGGGTTCCTTTCTGCACGCTTCTTCTTGTTGATGGAGACATGCGAACAGCATCTGCTAACAAGCTTCCGGAAGTTTCCTTGCTTTTATTTACTTCACGATGTTGGTTACCTCGTTTACCATGATGTTTTTTACCTGGTCGGGCGTTGAGAGCTTGCAGTGTTGGGAATGCTTCTGGATCGTCAACTGCGGGTGCGGATGTGTTTGATGATTCACGGTTCTGGTGTTTGCTTGTTGGTCGGGAGTGTGAACGTGACGTTGCCTGGTTCAAGACATTCTTATTTTTAATACTTGAGGAAGAACCTGGGCGCATCTGGGGGCTTCCTGCCATAAACTGCATCTGGCTCCGCATCTGGTAACTGCTACTCTGCCATTGATCTGTAGTTGAGGGCGGCTGGAGAGGAGGGAAAGCCTCATAGTTGTCTTGTAGCGGGTATGTATTTTGCTGAGAGTTCCCTGTATATCCGGAAACGCTTAAACTATCATTGCTGATTGTCATCCCCCCAATCAATGAAGATGGATCGTGAGAGAAGGGACAGGACTCTCCCGCAAGGCAGTTCCCCATAAGCCAGTATCTGCTACACGATTAGTCTTACGTCGTGCTACAAAGTTATGCATTGAGTAAAAACTTACTTGCAGACATGACTTGTTAAATCGTGACTGAACCGACAGTCCATCCGCAGACACTGCCCGGTAGACAGCCAATATTTACAAACGACTGGAGTGCGCGTGGAACCAGACGGGGTCATTGGTCGTGCTGGGTCCATAGCCGTAGACTTCCCGATTAACACGCGGCCTTCGTTACTTGACGATAGAGGCGTTTCTAGATGGTCCTGCTCGGTGAGTGATGCGATTGTTGCACCTAGATCATATCCGTTTGTTTCCAGTGCTTGTTCTATTTCCTCGTTCGTCTTGCGCTCACCCAGGACCGACCTCAGAATATCATATGGCCCCATATCCGGAGGCGCAACCCATTCTGGAGCAGCAGCACTCAGTCCCGTGGACGAGGCCGTGCTCCTCGCATCCTCATTGACCAGCCAATCAACGTTATCGCTACCCAAATCACCGTATATCTCTGGAGCCGGGCCTCGATCTGAAAAGGAGTATGTATTGAGATTCGGGCTATGCGGGATTGGCAGCACCTTGCCTAGTCGCGGTGATGGTCGCGGAGAGGTGAACGGAGACGCCGTCAAGGATCGAGGCGCGCGAGGAAAGCCCCCGCGAGGCACCGGGAAGCCAGACTGGGCCACGGGGCTCGACCCGGTATGCGATGGAGATGAAAGCGGAGTGGAGGAACGAGCCATTTGCCATGGCGCGGGAGAAGAGCGGCGGATAACGGTGTGTCGAACAGGCGGCAGTGCGGCGTCAGACATGGAGGAGTTGCGATGACGCCAGAGGATGTCGAGAACCGCGTTCTCCAGCGCCGTATCGGTCAGGGACGACTGTTCGCGAAGGAAAGCCTCCAATTTCTCGACCTTTTCTTCTTCGTCATCTTCCTCATTGTCTAATATCCGTAGACAGAGCTCGTACGTCTCCTCTGAGGCCATCGTGGAGGAAGATATGTCGAAGCCGTCGACCAGCAGAGCGGGGTTCCAAAGTAGCCCGGCGTAAGACTGTCAATAAGACCAACTGCGAGTATCACAATGGATAATGCGAAAACATGATGCTAGAGACAGAGAAAGGGGCAACTTTGACAAGAGCTGCTGCTGAAAGACGTGAGTATCCCAGAAGCTGAAGGGTCAGTGACGGGCAATTGCATTGCTCTGGACCTACCAACTGAACTAAGCCAAGATAGATGGAAGATCCAAGAGCGCGCAGTGTACGTAATTGGAGGACCAGACAGGCGACCAGCTAGCAGAGATGGACGCGGAAGACGCGGAGGAGCGTGGGTGTTGAAGGTAGAAGGGTGAAGCTCGCGGTGAAGATGAAGATGAAAGTGAAGGTGAGATGGAGATGGGGTTGGCGGAGATGCGGCTGACGTGGGACGCATAAACATCAACATTCGACTCGACAGCACCACTCGAGCGTCTGATATATGTCTAGATAGTCTACGTTACGTGGTACTGTTGTCTATCTACATAGCCGGTCGCACGATAGGGCGTGAATGCAAAGATGAGGCCATCGTTAGGTGCCATCTATATGCCTGCATTTGATATCCGTCTCGTCTTGTCTCTTGCCTCGTCTCTTGCCTTGTCTCTTCGCCTTCGATGTCTGTTGATGTGTTGATGTTAATGTGTTGTTGATGTGTTATGTTAATGTGTTAATGTGTTACTGTGTTAATGATATGTTGATGATGATGATGATATTGATATGCCCCTTTTCGAGATCATCCTTCATCCTTCATTCTATGCCGAGAAAGGCGTAGCGCGTTCGTTCGTGTTTTAGAATCGACTCCATATATATAAAAGTCATGGCTATACAGATACTCACCATATCGTATATATATATCCCTACGGAGGCCCATGGAGTCGGCTAGGAGGCTGATATAGGTTGGACGGCGTTGTCTCTGTCCGCGATGTTGCTGAACGACCACAACGGCCGTGTCACCAGCTCGGCCGGGGCAGCCCTGCTGCTCAGCGTCTTGACACAGTTTCTCTCTTCCAGGGGCACCGAGCTCTGCTCAGAGATACTCTGCTGGCTGATACTTTCGGCATTGTTCGCGGCTGCAGGACGGCCAGGTGCCAGCAAATTCTCAAGGGCAGGTCCCTTAAGCCATCCTGCCGAACCTGCGTCTGCGGCGTCAATATGGATAGCTGCCTTGGGCATCGTTACAGCTTGTCTTTTCAAAGCTGAGACGGGAATGATCGTATTCTTTGTAAGTGGTCATTCCTCTGTTTTATAGAGTTGCAAAGCTAATGGTAGAAGCCGGCATTGACGCCATTACTCCTGGTAGCTCAGAGGTATCTTGGTTCAAGCCGTGCGAGCCTGGCAGAGTCTGATTCTTGGTTACTTTCCCCCTTGGCCAATACGGTCTGGGGTACGTCAGTGGCTGCTCTGGCCTTTACCATCATCCTGTCAGACTGGGATTCTCGAGGACATGCTTTATCGGCCATTCCAGCCCTTGTGCTGTTCGGAGTCTATGTCACTCTCATGCCCAGAGATGAGAAGAGACCTCGCTTCCTTCCGTTCGTTGATATAGAAAACACCGTACGCCCGTTTTCATTGCGCGTTGTCGGTATGCTCCTTGTTGCCCTGGGTGCGGAAGTTTTTCTATTTGGTTTCCCTTCAGGTAGTATTTTGGTCACTTTGGTGTTAGGGCCGACAAAGGCTTTATCTTGGTTTTCTATAATTCAAACAGTATGTACCATCCTTTCCCAAAAGTCTGAATTGGCGCTTACCAGCCATAGGCTCGAGATGCTACCTGGCGTACTGCGGCTGTGACAGGCACGTTTAGCATCATATCTACGCTCAATCCATTTATGCAATCTTCAGAGGTCAAGGCTATATCACATGTAATAGCATCCTTCTTTGCTCTTGGCCAGACTATTCACACACTTCCCAAGCAAGCGCCGGCCAAGTCGGCGCTCTGGATCTTCTCTCTCGTTTCTCTAGGACCATACCTTGCCAACATCTTCGCTATCAACTCCGCAAAATCGTCACAAATCATTCACTACCGCCGACATCCCGTCGAAATATTGATGCGCAGTGACAGAAGCGACTTTGAAGACCTGCTTGAGAGACAATCCAAAAACTATACGGCTGCCCATGATGAATATCAGCGTCGATATAACATTGAGCCACCGCCGGGCTTCAAAGCGTGGTATGAGTTTGCGAAACTGCATGAGTCGCCCATTATCGATGAGTTTGACATGATCTTTGATGCCATTGCCCCATTCTGGAGACTAAGTGGTAAAGAGGTCCTTGAAGTCATGGGTCGTGCTCGAAATACGCCAGATAGCGAGCTCTGGCTCTGTACCTTCTATGGCACCCAGGCCAAGTCTCAATGCCATCACCCCACTCGCGCTTTCGATAGACACATCCAACTCTTATTCGACACCCTATTAAAGGATTTACCTGGTGTTATTCCAGACGTCAAGTTTCTTGTTAATCATCTTGATGAGCCGAGAGTTATAATTCCTCCACCGTCTGCGGAAGGAGTCTCCCATGGAAGTATAGAACTCAATTTAACCAACCTGTCGAGACAAAATGTTGTACGTCCACTTTTCGAACAGTGCTATTCCAGGGAACGGATGAACAGTCTGCCTAATCAGGGAGTGGAAACATATGGTCTCCCTTTTGTCACCAATCGCTCAGACCATATGGATCCTTGCAACCATTTTGAATACAGCTCTACGAATGGCCTCTTCATGAGCCCTACGTCCTTTCGCCTGTTTGAAGGTTTAGTGCCGATACTGTCAACAGGCTCGCCGCAGATGATGGGCGACATATTATACCCTAGCGCAGCTTATATCGAGTCCGAATTTCAATACGACGACGCACGCGACGTTGAATGGGATAAGAAGCGAAATAACCTCTACTGGGCCGGCTCCACAACTGGTGCATTTGTAGCAAATGACGACTGGTATCGCTACCACCGGCAAAGATTCGTCACGCTGGCTCAGAATTTGGAAACAAGGGGGCATTATTATATACGAGAAAATGGCGATGTGCTTCACAGTATAAAATCATCATTCCTCAACAGCAGGCTATACGACGTTGCCTTCACCAAAATATTCCAATGCGAGACGAAATACTGCAGAGAGCAGCGTGCGTATTTCCCTCGTAAGCCCTGGGCAGACAAGGACAAAGCATTCCGATCGCAGCTCGTGTTCGACATTGATGGGAATGCCATTAGCGGCCGCTACTACAAATTATTAGCCTCAAAGTCTGCCCCGTTAAAACAGACGCTGTTGCGGGAATGGCATGATGAGCGTCTAATGCCGTGGGTTCATTACATACCCGTCAGCCAGAGCATGGGCGAACTCCCCGAGTTAGTTTCTTATCTGGCGTCAACTGAATCTGGCCAGAGACAAGCTAAGGAGATTGCCGATCAAGGTCGAGATTGGTTTTCCAAGGCCTTTCGACCTGTTGATATGACCATATATACTTATCGATTACTGTTAGAATTGGCAAGGTTACAGGATCCAGAAAGACCTGCAGCTAATACGGATTCAAGTCGGAAACACTGATGTGCCAATTGGGAAATGCTAGAAATGGCACCAGGGGAGAGGAAGTTATAATATCCTTAGGGACCGGAGAGGTTTCTGTTAATAAGGCGTGGCTATCTCCATTCTCACCAGCCATGCCCAGACGAATTCCGCTAATAGGGCTTACGAGGGACAACCATGGGGATATTATTGTGCCCACGACTGCTCCTCGTCTCAAAATTTGGCAAAAAAAGATAGAAATATATACGGCTACCTTAAGAGGCGAAGGATTATATTACAGGGGCCACTAGGGGGATTGGTTTCAGTACAAGCACTCGTCCCGTAGTGCCGCTGGTCGGCACTTTTACAGAGCAATAGAGAGAGGTCGAGGAGGCGTTTTTCTCATCCGATTTTGACGAATATAGCAGTAGAATATTAGAATTCTTGACTCTTTGTTACGCACTTTATTACTTTTGCGTATTTACATTTTTATAGCACTCGACATTCTACTCCATACATGCTTGTAACCAGCCCTGAAATCCCGAGCCGGAGAATATGCAGAAGTCTTCGGAGATTTTACCCCTGAAGGAGCAAGAGCAAGGATGCTGACAAAGCAACCAGCTGGGGCTGGCAACCTGGAAAAGGAAAACGAGCTCGAGACCTCCCTTGCAGGACAAAGAAATTGATAGCATTACATTGTCTCTCTATAGTGAACGTCGCACAGAGGCCGTACGGAGTATATAACTTCTATGCAGCTCGCACGCCTCTCGCCATGAGGCTACACAGGTACTTCTATAGGAAGACACGCCGACTGCCGGTGGCCGTCGCCTTAGTCGTCGTCATATGGAGCGTCACCGAGGTTCTCTGGGTCCAGCGTGCCCTTGTCCGTCAACTCAACACTGAGCCTGGTTCGCTAGGAGATGAAAAAATATATATAACAGGAATCCATTGGAACAATGGTAAAATATTGCGAGAAGCATGGATACCTGCTCTCGTGGAATTAGTCAACGCCATCGGTCGGGACAATGTCTTTGTCAGTCTTCAGGAAAGCGGAAGCTGGGATGATTCCAAGGACCAGTTACGCCACTTAGATGCATTACTCGCTGAGAATGATGTTCCCAGGAGAATTATCCTAGATGACACGACACATCTTGATGAAATCAGCAAGCCTCCTGTAAGTAGCGGATGGATCAAAGCGCCTAGTGGCCAGACTGAGCTACGCCGAATACCTTACCTTGCCAAATTGCGCAACTCAGTGATGGAACCGCTATATGAAAGGAAGAAGGAGGGAATTGTCTACGATAAGGTCCTGTTTTTAAACGATGTGGTCTTCAATGTGAGTAGTACATGCATACCACCTTGATGTTTATTCTTTACTAACATAAGCTAGACTTTGGACATTCGCAGACTGCTCTCAACTCGAGCAGGCAATTATGCGGCAGCATGTTCGCTGGACTTTTCAAAACCGCCTAATTTCTATGATACCTTTGCTCTTCGGGATTCCGAAGGCCACGACCAACTTATGCAAACTTGGCCCTATTTCAGATCACGAACATCTCGTCATGCTTTAAAGAACAGCCAGCCTATCCCTGTTAAGAGCTGTTGGAATGGAGTAGGTTGGTATTCGATAATCTTAAATAGGTGTAGGCTCCATGTGACTGACAATATAACTAGTGGCGATGGATTCTGCTCCTTTCTACCAAAATCCGCCCTTGAAATTTCGCGGTATCTCCGACAGTCTTGCCAAGTTGCACCTAGAGGGATCGGAATGTTGCTTGATTCATGCAGATAATCCGCTGTCCAAAAATAAGGGAGTCTGGCTCAATCCGAATGTGCGAGTAGGGTACAGTACCCCTGCATACACAGCAGTTAACCCTGAAAAGAAATTATGGCTATCAACCCTTGCCATAGCTGGTGGCCTATGGGAAAACCGGCTCCTGCGCTGGATTACTACGTCGTGGTTTACAGAACATACGGTAAGAGGACGGCTATTCCAACATCAAGCACAAGTCCCCGGAAATACGGAGACTGGATCCTTCTGTCTGATCAACGAAATGCAAGTACTTGTGGCCAATGGATGGGCCCATCGTTAAAAGTTTCAGTGGATTGCCCCTTGTCATATACGGGCGAGTGGAAGGATGACTCTTGCCAAATTAGAGCATCAGCTAGGCCCCGACATCGTCCGCAGCATTCTGCCCCATCGATATGGGTCAGGTACGGAGTAGTCGGGGCTCAATGCTGGATTACAAGATAGGATAAGTCTCTTGGATTCTATTGTTATCATTTTTTTTTATTCTGGAGCAGGACACAAAGTCTAATACCCTGACTTCTCATGCCGGCTGTGTACAGTCATTCCTTATTGCCCTTCCAGGTTGAGTACTTGGCCATCGTACCATCAGCTCTTTCGAACGGCATGGTTGAGCATATACTCAACATGTACTTATATTTTGATTATGTTATGGGGTGCTGTGGTATTTATTTTACGGGCCTTCTTATCCCGATTGCATATTTTATACCCTCTCTCCATCTCTGGACTTAGCTACAATCATTTTCTACCCAGCCGTTTTCTTCTTTTCCACGCGGGTTAAAAGTGAACATAGTTATGCTGTTTGATTCTTCGTATAACCCGATGTTGCAAGAATGAGACTAGCAACAGGTTATATGGGTAACTTGGGTAAGTTGTTACGAGGGATTTTTTTTTGTAATTCAGGTGGAGGACTGAATTTTCTCGTTTAATCAAAAGTGACTGACTAGGGCTGGATACTGTACGTTTACAAAATTGGTCAATTGTGTATCGTTAACTTGTTGAAATATAACGAACTATTTTCGCTGATCAAACAGTTCACTGGACAGGCACATCAACAGCAAACCCTATCCCGCGACATCAACATATTCACACCAGCCACACCCAAAGTTATGGCACACCACCACTCTCCTTATGTTTTTGAGATTTCGGTTTTATATCCGTACCACACTTGAAATTGAAAAGCATTGCGAAGCTTCGTCGATTTAAATAGGTCCCATATAATACGGCATCCGGGTTTAAAGAGCTGGCTTGACAATCATTGACGAACATGGCAAAAGATAGCTTCGGACCGCAAATGTAGGCTGGGGCATGGTTGTGATGTGCTTAGATAGCAACGACAGTCTTGATATGGTCGGCCTCCTTGGCATCACCGACGCGGGGATAATCGCAGTCGGACTGGCCGCCACAACAGCTGCGGAAGTTGGAGAGATGCTCAGAAATTGAGCTGGCAGCGCAGTCGTTTCCGTTGGCGAAGATACCACCGAGCTGACCGCAGCAAGATTGGGTTTTGGCAGTGTCCTGGTTACCATTGACGTAGCATTTGCAAGCCAAAGCAGAGGTGGAGAGCATAGCCATTGCGGCAATGAGAATGTTGGAGAACTGCATATTGGCGAGTTTGGGTGGTGATTCAAATGTGTTTGAATGGAGTTTTGAAGCGGAGTGAGGAAGTGAAGGTTGAAGCTTGATGGATGATTTGGATAGAGGACGAGATTGAGATATTGTGGGCGGACATGAGGGTTTTTATATCCATCTGGCGGTTGTCCCTTGGTAGCCACGAGCTTGTGGCCCTCTATGGATTTCGGCATATCATGAGCGGTAATGCAGAAATGCAGCTTGAAGTTGCTAGCTCAGTTCGAGAAACAACAATGATGACGTGGTAGCATTGGAGGATGGCATTGTCCTTGGAGTCTACCTTGCATTTTTCATCCTTCATGGCGCTCCATCCAAATTCCGCTGCTTGAGAGCATGGGGATGTTACGCTTCCTTCCTTTGGGTGTCCACCTTTCTTCTCCTTATCAAAAAACAATGAGCTCAGTAGCTTTGTTGGCAATAAAAAACGCGAGTTGAGGAAGAATGCCGGATGAACCCCTAAAGCGATCTAAGCAGAAGGCATTCGAGGGCTTCGCCATCCATATAAAAGATATCCTGACAACCTCCGTGCTTTGAAGATGCATTAACAGTAATACCCTTGCTAGAGGAGTCATTTGTCATGTTTAATGAACATCTTACTCCGTAGTCTCGTACGATTTGGAGGATCAAGATCCCTAGGCATAGTGAGTAGGGTATCTTGCTCGACCGTAATGGGCCTTGCTCGGTGGTGGAATATTATACCGAGGAGTTTTCGAAGGGGGCTATTATTGCAGTGTCGTGATGATCTTTATCACAGGCTCGTTACTAAACAACGTGAGTTAGAAGCTATGGATCAGTTATCCAGCGCTTTCCAGGGGGACGTATATTTATGAATAGATATACAATTCGTTGATTGGCTCAAGGCAGCTCGGGATCGGCGGCTCAAATCCTACGGGGGATTTAACACTGGTTTAAACCCTGGAATTCAACCCTTTAGTGAGGTATATGCAGGTAGGCGTAGCCCCTGCAAGTGACTCGTTATTGAAGCTCCACTATCGAGTAAAAAGGCATAAAAAAGCACAAAATCAGGAATTATACTCCATACGAAACATCTCCACATTCCTAGACTACGGCCGACATTGGCTCGAGACTGTCGTTCCAAGGAATCTTGCCTTAAAGCGCGCCGAGTGTCCCGTAGGTCTGAGTTATGTAAAAGTATTACCGCTGAGCCTTGCTGATTATTAGTCTGTTAGGGCCGAGAGTTCAGGCCACGGTGAGACCAAAGTCGTCACAGGATCGTTCTTGTTCCTGGGGCGCGTCATCATGGAGGCTGCATTGCTTTAATCAAAACTGAACCAGCAAGCCCTCCGTACTCTCAGCACACTACCACATGCATGAATCTAAGGTTTCAATTTACCTGTCGTCCTTTAATGAAGATGACCTAGTAAACCGAATAGCCTAAGACGTCCCATCCTCCGCGTATCGGCAGCGAACCCATATTTGAGCCTAGATTCGGTCAATAGACGCAGAAATACGAGTTTCGTGGTATTTCATCGCGGTCGCTCCGTTGCAAGGAATGAGCGAAACCTCGGAGGCTGTATGATTCAGCCTGGAGAATTGATGTCAAAATTTCTCTAGTAGAATCCTTTGGTGAGTAGGCGTTTCGTACTCGGATACGGCCTGAACCTGTGGCCGTCTAACACCTGAACAACGGAGTAGGGACACCTGGATTTCGGCCGTTGCTGGATATTAATGCCTCAGACCACATAATGCAAAGATGTCTAAAAAGAAGAGCGACTCCAAGGGTTTAACGTGATGCTCGTCTGTTGGTATATTGAAGCCGTCGTCATAGCCATATAATAATGTGCTCAAGTTTGTTTAGGCGGAGGTTGAGAAATTAAGATTCTTTCATAATCGCGGGATAAAAAGCTTGTTTACACGTGATGAATGACATAATTGCGGGCCGAAACGTTAATTTTTTGTCACGTGATGAAATTTCCAACGACGGAGATAAATCTTTGTGAATCCTCCTAATTTATCCCACTAATATTTACTGATCTGCGTTTGGAGTCCATATTCTTTGTTTTGTGATTTCTGCTAATAAATATACTACTAACAGCCACACTAAAAAAGAGAGTGTTGATGAGAGAATCTCATGAATAACGCAGGCGAAACTGGAAGAGGGAACGACGGTGCACCACAGGCGGAGGACTCGTTAACAGTATAATGCAAACATCCAGATGGGATGAAGAAGATGCCATGTTAAATGGCTCCGTATTAACTAATGGTTGAAAACACCTCCAAGGTTCTCCCAGTTAGCGCCCCATTGTCCATTCCAATACCTGTGGTACATGGCGTTATTGGTTCCGAGGCCAAAGATATCGAGACGGTTGTTTGCCCATGAAACTGTAGTGGGAGCACTGGTGAAGACTCCGCCGAGAGCTTCCCATCCACCCCAACGTGAACCGTCCCACCATTTGTGATACATTTGGTTATCAGTACCAGTACCGAAGATGTCTAATCGGTTCGGGCCCCAAGCAACGGCAGAAGGAGGGCTGGTTAGAACACCGCCAAGGCTTTCCCAACCAGTTTGAGATGGCCCCCAAGCCTGTCCATTCCACCACTTGTGAAAGAGTGCATTGTTTGTGCCGATTCCGAAGATATCAAGACGATTTTCAGACCAGGAGACGGCGACAGGGAAGCTATTGAATACGCCCCCGAGTGCCTCCCAACCGGTAGCAGAAGGCCCCCATCTGGAACCGTCCCACCACTTATGATACATTTGGTTGTCAGTTCCAATTCCAAAAAGGTCGATTCGGTTAGCGCCCCAAGAAACAGCTGCAGGCTGGCTAACAAACACACCGCCGAGGTTCTCCCAGCCGGTCTGAGACGGGCCCCAAGCCTGTCCGTTCCACCATTTATGGTAGCAAGCGTTGTCAGTTCCGAGTCCAAAGATGTCAAGACGGTTCTCTGCCCAAGAGATGGCAGTTGGTTCGCTGCTGAACACCCCACCAAGGGCTTCGTATCCAGTCTGGGAAGGGCCCCAAGCTTGTCCATTCCAGTATTTATGGTACATTTGGTTGTCAGTTCCAATTCCGAACACATCAATTCGGTTTGGTCCCCACGAGACGGAAGTTGGCTCCGCAGAGAAAACTCCGCCTAGATATTCCCAACCAGTGGTAGATGGCCCCCAGCTACCATTCCACCATTTATGATATAAGCCATTGTTTGTTCCAAGACCAAACACATCAAGTCTGCCGGTCGACCAGGAAACTGCTGATGCAGCAAGCTGGTTGAGCAGTGGGAGAGCGTTCTCCGCTGCCTTACCGAGACGCATTTTCGTGCTTCTAGAGATGAGTTGTACCCTTTAATAGGTAACTCGCTACACCCCCAGATAATGTTAACGCATGTTGCAGGATTATTAAAGATTAAGCAGGGAATGAAAACATAAAACACAAACTTACCAACAGAAAAATCGAGGATAGCCTCTCTAATAGTTGAGAATTTGGGATCTAGGATGAACTAAGTCAAGCAGTGGGCGGTTGGTCCAGTATTTAAGCCCCCGCTGTGCTTCCTCGACACAGGGAGGACAGTCCTACTTTTCCATTCCCATGTTGATTCCACCACAGCTGAACCGGATTTCATGGGTTACGACTCTGCAGGAGCTGACTACCACGGTGTCTAGCGAATATCCGAGGGGATCCTACTTTGGATCAGAGATACATTGAATCATGTGGCTCGTCTTGCCCATGCAAGACTGCCATTTCGATTCTATTGTTTCGCTTAATATCCCCCAACATAGGCAGCGCTGCCGATGCCCTGTAGCTGGAGATAGTCCGTGCGGTACAATCGATGTGAAGTTTCCGAGGAACTATTCATCTGAGTGTCAATGCAACCACGATACACTTTCAATTGGACTCGCCCAGACATTGATGGCCGTCTTTGCCCTGGGTTCCCCTGTTCTGCAAGGCTCAATATTGGGGTATCACAAAAAATTCAAAATGACCCTTGGTGCCTGGAGTGGTCTATTATGTTCTCAAGCCCTATACGCCAGGTTACTGACAGCTTGATTTTCTAGGCTCGCCATGGAAGAAGGAATTACATCTTTGAAAATGGGACCCCGGCGGCCTTTAGAATGATAACATTCCTCTTAGCCCGAGCTTCATTGCCTGCCATTGACCTTAACATTGTCTAGCCACCGCTATGTCTCGCAAAAGTAATATGTTAAGACTTGTTGAATAATAAGATAGCTAACTTCCCAACCTTAGCTTGTATACCTCTTTTGTCCATATGCGCGCCGTAGCTGCATAGTACTAGAAGACGTGTTATTGTGTAACGTCTGTTCGCTTAACCCTGAACTAATGAAGAGCGGCTGGTTCCCGATTAATGGAGAGGATCATATACGTCTTTTTCGATCTGCAGTGGCTAGTCTGAACCATTCACCTAAAGCATTCAAGCTCGTACTGTGCGAGTACGCATCACTCCCCCGCTATTCGAAAAATGGCCAGCTGCAGGTTCGTGCTTCAACCGTACCGAAACACGTCAAATCAGATTCCCCTTTGACAACCCATGCCCTATCTGGAGCGCTCGGAACGTGAATAGAGGGTTTATCAGTTGGCCCCTTTGCTTAGACGAGGGGTAATTCAATCCCCTGGACTCAAAACTCAAAGCACTAATATAAAGCCAGGACATATATTAATTATTCAGGGTTTTTACTAAACAAAAATGCGAACTTACAGCGGAAGCAAGGATGGGAAGGTAGGCTTGCCATAGGTTGAAATAAATTAGAATTCAACCTGGTAACCCCTCTTTAATGTAACAATTTGTCCCCCAGATGTGAAGACTTGTAATGACAGCATATTATAATGCTGCCCAGCTTGAACACTGGGTACATCTGCTGCAGTGGGACCTTGGGCGACCAGCTGAAAAGTCACGTCACATTTAGATCCAGGGGGTGAGGGGAGGCAGGGTTAACTCAAGCTGCATCCGTCGCGTCTTGGCTCAGCTTGCATTACCAGCGGTTCAGAATTCAACATATCATGGCTTGCATAAAAAATGGCATCTATGCAGTCGAGATGCAAGATGAAGCCACGATCCGCTGTCTATCTCTGGCACCGGGTAATCCAGTCCATTAGCCCGCAGTAACAGTGGCGCGTCTAGGTGGAATTTCTGCCAGCAATACTCAGAGGCGGATAAACATTCACGGAGCGGAGGTTCTAATATAATAGACATGGCAGCTATCAACCTATACAACTTGATCCTTGACGTTAGCCTTAGGTTAGATGGCCGATTCCCCGATGTGGGCCATTCATGCGTGCAATGTCAATCTGCCGCCTTGGCCCGGATATTATGAGATGTTGCAGGTAGATCAGTAATCGTGGAAATGGACATTCCGCACACGATGCGTATAAAACTGTAAGGCGGAGATAGCATGCGCTCACGGTAAACAGTGTGATAGGGCAACTCAGCTTCGTTATCGTCCTAATTAGGGGACCTGTCAGCTGTACAGCTACCCCTTGTGTTCGAACACATGGAGCGCTGTGACAATGCATAGACCGTGGCGCATTACCCTATTCCAGGCATCAGTTACTATACTGCACTATTCCGAACGGGTACTCCGTGCATTAGTAGAGAATCATAACTATGAAGCTCTGTTTGTCGTCCACTCCCCATCAAGGTTATGAGCCTGCTAGCTTCTCCCCACAACGATAAACCTGCCACTCCCCTGTCAACATAACTTCACAAGGACTCGCTTAGGGTGCATGTTGTTGTAATGTATGTGTCCCCGGCCATTCCGGTGACCCGTCCTGGGTGCGTCTAGGCCACGGGTTATCCCTGCTATTAATGTTCAATGAGATATTTCAGATTCTGTCAGAAGGCTATAAACCTGATGTAGAACACTGGGAATTATCCAGCCAGCCGTCGGGCATGATAACCTGAGTCATGTGGGACAGGTCTGCTTGCTTTAGCCAAGGTCAACGCCAGAGCAAACTGACAGCTTTATCAAAAGCTAGGATTCTAGCTTTCCTTCAATGGCTTTCATTCGGGCATGGCGTATGGAGAAAGACCAATTCTTAGCTATTTTTAGTTGGCTCCCTTGATAATGTTTATATCGGCAAACGGCGGTCGTGATCCATGGAGGATGCATATTAGGTAGGCGATAGGTCTGAAGTTGAGCACCTTTGACCCATATCGCGGACACAATATAAAAAATAGACCATCCGGTTCCTTATTATCGGCCTTGAGCTCATCGAAGAGTATATGCTGCTCGTTCAATGGCCTAAGCGGTCTCGAACTACTGCTGTTCCTCAGTCCAGTTCTGTTCCTCGCGCTGTAGTTAGGCTGCAGAATGTTAGCGCAGCAAGGGAAACACCATCACAAAGGCTCACTTTGACTCCTGCGATCGGGGATTCTTCTAACCATCGCATTGTTGAAGTTGTTTGTCGTCTGAGGATGCGCTGTGGATGTTTATTTATAGCGTGCCAAGGCTGATCATTACGTAGCGCCAAAAAGCGATGTTCGCAGGATCTCCAAGCCTCGTTATTGCTCCTTTGGGCATCTCCAGGCAAAAAGGCCCAGGAACGCATCAGGTTCTGGCGTGGGCTTGATATAGATTTTTCAAGACTACTAGACGCTGATTGCATCTATATCTGAGTCGGAACCTTTCTTTTTGGCTTATTTGTTGTCCATCCGTTAATCAAGCAGGCAGCGGCGAAAAACTTGGACCACCGATCGCCTGAACAGCATATACCACAGCGAGGAACAGGCAACGCAGAAATACACGCTATATCGGGAATAATGCGCTGAAGTGAGATCATTTATCTACCACTCGCTCGTTTCGAAATACCAGCCGCTCCGGCTCACCCGAAGCCGTCGGTTGAACTGCTTTAGATATGCCTGCCGACCATCATACTACGCCAGAGTCACTCGCGGCGCCTCTTATGGGGGATGAACGGTCTTCGAATTCGCCCTCACCCTCGTTAGAGCCTGTACACCTGCCATGGAGTCGACCGCATACCGGCCTGAGCCGAAACAGGCGGAGTTCTATATTCACAATGCCTTCTGCCACAACAGATGCAACCGGCTTTCGTGATCGAGCAATCAACGGAATGGCGAGATCATATAAACGAGTGTCGGATACATTTGGAAAGATGACGATACTGCAGAGGATAGGGACGGTGTTCGCTGGAATTGGTGCGATAATCCTCGGACTTGGCTTCATGGCTGTTACGGGACAGATATTCGCATGGCTGGGACCCGTGGCCAAGGACTGGGAGAATGCGCCGCTTGCATACGTTATAGTATGGCTATGCACATTTTTGATATCCTTTCCTCCGATGGTTGGATGGTCGACAGTTGGAACTGTGGCCGGGTTTATCTTTGGGATTTGGAAAGGGTACGTTAACTTATTTGCATCCATTGTTAGCTGTGAATGGACCTCTGATCTGACATTTTTATATTGCATAGATGGGCGGTATATGCATCCGCAAGTGTTATTGGGTCGACTTGTTCCTTCTTCGTTTCGCGTACAGTTCTATCCAAGTTCGTCCAGCGGCTCATGAAGCATGATAAGCGATTTGCCGCATTATCATTAACCCTGAAATACGACGGGTTGAAACTTCTATGCATGATCCGATTATGCCCGCTGCCGTACTCACTATGTAACGGTGCTGTTTCGACTTTCCCAACAGTGAACCCGTTCATGTATGGTCTTGCCACGGCCATCATTTCGCCAAAATTCCTTGTACCCACATTTATCGGCAGCAGGCTGAGGATTTTATCCCAGGATGGCGGGGAAATGAGTGCTGGCTCCAAAGCAGTCAATATCATAAGTATTGTCATCAGTGTAGGAGCCGGTGTCTTTACAGGGTGGTACATTTACAAACGGTATGTCAGGTATTACCTCTCCTTTACATTCATTTTCTAAATCATGTTTCTGTTATTAGCACCCTTGCCCGCGCCAAGCAGCTTGAGGCCGAGGAGCGCGCCAACCTTCGTGGTCCAACAGCAAATAATCGATCCGACCCAGAGGGGTTTGAGGATAGCTTAAATGGTATGTCAGCACCAAACGCTCTTGCAAGGGACGAGGAAGAGGCCTTCGGTTTCGACGATGATGTGGCTATTGATATTGATGACGATAATATCGTCCTCGATCCTCAGTATCACGATTTTACGGATAATGAGTCGGATATATTTGCTGACGGTGATGGAGACGACAAAGACGAAGCTTATAAGTTACACCGACACGTGGATTCGAGATAATTTTATAGTCCCCATTCGAACTTTATCATTGTGATGATATGACTTCTTCGTTTTTTCACTTGAATTTATTCTTCCATGGTGTTTCTTTGGTTTGAGGAGGGTTTTGGTCAAGGTGTGTATAGATTGGATAGGTGCCGTTCATGGAGTTATTGCCTTGGTTCTTATATGGGTGGAATGTTTCACTGGCCGCACTTACTATACATATTATCTATCCTGTTAAACATGGCAGTCTAGGTATATATATTGTCTTGCTCCATATATCACTAGTCTCACATCCTTTCCGTATTACACTTAATCTCTATCCTCACAGCTAGATATTTAGCATTATGCATGTGAAATGATTTCTTGGATGAACAGATTCAATGCTTGTTCCTAGCATATATTTGATATGGCGCAGAGTTGGCATTTGACACAGGGTAAAAAAAATATCAATTACGTCAGTTCTTTACTTATCCTCGTCATAGTCTTGAAAAAACCAGTGTCGTTTACTTATTTCGTAAAGCTACGGGTCCTTTTCAACCGAAGTCTTCCCATTGTCCCATACATACTGCTCTGTTTTTTTCGCGTGTTCAAATGCGTCGTGAGGTACCCACCCATCGGGTTCCATGCCATCTCACTAATTAGTTCCATTATAGAATCCATGAATCTGAGAGCCAAGCTCAGCGCTACCCTTTTTTCCGCATCTTGCTCACTAACCACAACGGGGCATGGAGGAGTAGTACCGTTAGGAGTGCCAGAGACGATATTTGCCCAATCTACTGATATCTCCGCGATATCGAGTTGAAGGGGGTCGCTAAGGCCTTTCCATGGAGTACTCGTTCAGCTAAACGGCGAGGTTCATTATAACTGCGGGAAAATAATATCAGTACTTCGAACGTTAGAAATAGAGATATTACATACACCCATCTCTTCAGTAGCCTGTAAGTAAGGGTTCTCTATGTGTAGCCATGCTAGAGATCATCTTGCTCCTATGCAATACCTGCATACTCAGAAACGCCATGGTATCATAGATTGTGGACTGCACTATAAAGGCCAAATTTATGACCGCTGAAGATAAAAATTCCACAACGGGAATATAGCCTGGCCATTACCGGAAGTGAGGCCCTTCTCGGAGCCATCGAATGGCCAACTGACGGATTGCTCTATCAACTATGGTACTGGCAGCAGCACAGGTAGAAGTGATCCCTAGCAGTTGGCAGCACATGATCACATATTCATATATAGACAGAGGCCCTTTATCTGGAGAATATGGCCTTCATGATAGCACCGAGATGTGATGTTGTATAGTTAAAAGATGAAGTTAACTCTCGACGTCAAAATAACATGTCACGTGCTTCTTCATATTTTTTGCGACAAGCCTTCAAGGACAAGCCTAAGAACAAGCCCAAGAGCAGGCATCAAGTAGGTATATGGACAAGTTTAGGGGGCTAACACGCATCGGATATGAACAAGCCTGCCTTTGATAGAACATAAGGGCCCCTACGGGCTCACGGCAGAGGAAGTTGTCGATGTATGGCGCCACCTCCTCCTTTTCCGCATGTTCGACTCCTTTCCACACTAACAACTCCCCGGCTGGCAGCATGGAAGCTCTACAGGCGCCGAATAATGCCGCGGATGAGCAGGATAAGAGCCTGATAATTGAATCAGATATCTCGCCAGACAAGATGGGGATAATATCGATGGCCGCTTTGCCACAAATATCAGAGGATCAACCAAAAACTAACGGCGTGCACTCCAATATCAACCATCAGAGAAAGGAAGAAAGCCAGGACTCGAATGCATCTGATGGCAAGTCTTCGTCATTGTCCTTTTCCTCGCTGCCTTCCTCTTTCCCCCCGTCATTGGCAAGCTCTTCTTGTCCTAGCGAGCTATCGCGGGAACCTAGGTCAGCGGGGGATAGCCATGATGCTCCCAATGGATCGACGGCGTCGATATCAATTAAATCGATATTGCCTTCCGCTTCACTGAATACACGGCTAAAAGCAGCCGTGCCAGTCTCATCGGCCTTACCCACGGACTACGCTACTCTATCAAGCAGGGTAAAGCCGAGGTCGTCAATACCTGCACGCACCCCTTCGTCCGTATATGGGCAGCAATGTGTAGAATCGGCTTACGTCTCCAGACTGAACCCATACGCCCTTCACAAAGGCGAGCAGGAGTTGTTACAAGATCACTTGTGCCATCTCCATGTCACCGCGTACCTCAATATCCGAAACGGTATTTTGCGCCTATGGTCACGCAACCCTATGCTCAGCGTCACGGAAGATGAGGCGCTGGGGTGTGCAAAGGATTGTCGATGGATGCCGCTTGCGTCGGTTTCGTATAACTGGCTCGTTCGGAATGGGTATATAAATTTTGGCTGTGTCGATATCCCAAAGTCACCATCAACTCAGAAACGTGGACGTCGAAAGGATGGCCCGACAATTGTGATAGTGGGAGCTGGTATGGCTGGATTGGGGTGTGCTAGGCAGCTACAGGGGCTCTTTCAGCATTACTATGGCTGCTCCTCGTCCCTCAAAATAATCCTCCTCGAAGGCCGGAAACGAATAGGCGGCAGGATATACTCCCATCCGTTACGGAGTTTGGAAACAAACAAATTACCCCAAGGACTTCGGCCTACAGCGGAAATGGGGGCGCATATCATTGTTGGGTTTGACCATGGTAACCCCCTAGACCCCATTATACGTGCCCAGCTTGCGTTGCGTTACCATCTACTTCGGGATATCTCAACTATTTATGATACGGATGGATCTGCAGTCGATGAGATGAAGGACTCCATGGCAGAAAAATTATACAATGATATCCTGGATAGGTCAGGAACGTATCGGCACAAGGCGGTTGTCACTCCAACCGCTGAAGGAGATAGAGAATTAATCGATTCCGGTCGAGATACTTCCGCTGATGACGGGGTAACGATAAGGGAATTTGAAAATGCTGCAGCATCCGGGACCACTGGAACCTTATTGCCCGCGGCCCGACTTCGACGAGGTGTTGGACACAAGACTACAGATATCAAACCGATAGTCGGACCCCCTCTATCTGACCTTCAGCCTACAAAAGAGCATTCAGCAGCCGTGAGCTGTCAAGCTATGGGCTGGAAACTAAAAAATAATGTTTCTAGTGCCGATTCGCTATCCCTGGATGCTATAGCCAAGGTCTCCGATACCCAAAATCTGGGTGCAGTGATGGACGATGCCATAAATCAGTATCAGAGTCTCCTCGAACTTACTCCGAAGGATATGCGGTTGCTAAATTGGCATTTTGCTAACCTCGAGTATGCTAATGCCGCAAGCGTTGGCCAGCTCAGTCTATCTGGCTGGGACCAAGATATGGGCAACGAGTTTGAGGGAGAGCACGCGCAAGTTGTTGGCGGATATCAGCAGTTACCGCGAGGCCTATGGTCGCTCCCATCAAAGTTAGATGTTCGTACCAAAAAAGCCGTATCCAAAATATGGTATAACACCGACTCGGCACCAAACGAAAAAACTCGAGTTGAATGTGAGGATGGGGAGACTATCTACGCTGATAAGGTGGTCTTTACAGCGCCGCTTGGTGTGCTCAAACACTCGTCCATCAGCTTCACCCCGCCACTTCCTGAATGGAAAACCAATGCGATTGAACGCCTTGGCTTCGGGCTATTAAACAAAGTGATCCTTGTCTTCAATGAGCCGTTTTGGGATGTGCAAAGGGACATGTTCGGTCTACTAAGAGAACCAAAGGTCGAGGACAGCATGTCCCAAGACGACTATCGTGCAGGTCGTGGGCAGTTTTATCTCTTCTGGAATTGTATTTCGACCAGCGGTTTACCCATGCTTATTGCTCTAATGGCTGGAGAATCAGCCCACAAGGCCGAAAAATTGTCTGATACCGAGATTATCAATGGTGTAACCGCTCAATTAAGGAATATCTTCAAAGATAAGACAGTTCCGGACCCCCTTGAAACTATTGTCACGAGATGGGGACAAGATAGGTTTGCTAGAGGGAGCTACTCTTATGTAGCAGCGAATGCACTCCCTGATGACTACGACGCAATGGCTAAGTCGATCGGCAGTTTATATTTTGCTGGTGAGGCGACATGCGGAACCCATCCGGCAACTGTGCATGGAGCCTATCTCTCAGGGCTACGTGCCGCCAGTGAAGTTATCGAGTCGTTCCTTGGTCCGATTGATATCCCATCCCCCCTCGTACCTGCAAGAAGCAAAGTATCAAATAACGCTTCGATCCCGACCACACCGACTACCACCTCCCCTCAGAAGAAGCGAAAGGCCGTATCCACACCCAACGGCGTTTCTCACACCGCTCCTTCCACACCAACCGCACCAGCATCTGAAGATGTCCTTCGAAAAGCATATGATGAAGCTATGTGGGCTGCCATCATCTCCGAACTCGGCCCAGCAGAACCTCGCCCCCGTAAACTTGCCTTGAATCCTTTCCTCCTATACCAGAAAGACTACTGGTACATTTGCAAAACAGAATGTGATAACGCGAAATACAAGGCTACTGGGAAAGAAGGCGCAAAGGCCCCTCGCGACGAAATCCGACAAGCACTTGGACAAATGTGGCGCGATGCCAGCGAGGAGATCAAGAAGCCATATCTAGACCAGATGGAGGTCCATCGACGAACGAACGATGAGGATTTTGCGAAGTGGAAAGATCGTGTACTCGAGTGGGAGCGGAGGACGTATGAGGTGAAGGACCAGTGGTGCGTCGAGAACCCATTTGAGACCTTTGCGCAGAATATGAAGGATAACTATCCAGCAAATGGGATACAAGATGGTAGGCAGAAGATGAGGAGGACATGATGAAACTACAAAAACGAGGGGGGAGCGGTGAAGGCATGCAGTTTCTTTACTTCCTGTATACTTCTTTTCCATCTCTGGTTCCTTTCTTACTCTTTCCAGTCAGCATTATGGGAGTTCTGATACGTCAAGAGGATAGGCGTCATGAACGTTCGGTAGGGCACAGGCGGAGCGTTTGAATCTTTACTCGGTCAAGTGTACATTGCATATTTACTCGTTATTCAGGCATTTGTCCTTCAAGAGCTATAGTTGCAAATCAAGCTGTACCACCATACAACTCTAGTAAACAGAAAGGCTAATACAGTCAAGAGATTCGTGTATCTGTTACTACAATTTTCATCATGAACGTGTTTCTTGGATAGGTTTGGTAATGCAAGACTTGGACTTGAATAGAAAACAAGGTCTGTCTATAGAGAACAAGGATATCTACACGAATATGAAATCTAAACGAAAAGTAACAATGCAATCATGTCATCAGGCTCTAACGCAAAAATACACTTAAAGCTGGGGGTTGGTATCTTCTTTAATGGCGGCTTCGTGGGCGGCCTGGGCGGCAGACTCTCCCTCAGAGCTCTCAAGCTCGGAGATGTACTTCTCAGCTTCAAGAGCGGCGATACAGCCGGATCCTATAAAAAGGGTAAGTTAGTGACAATTCCTGAAATTATTGTTCAAGAGAATACATGTACATACCTGCGCTGGTAATGGCCTGTCGGTATCGCTTGTCTTGAACGTCACCGGCGGCGAACACACCGGGTACACTGGTGAAGCTTGTGCCGGGTCGGGTAGCAATGTATCCCTCGTCGTCAGTCTCGAGCTGATCCTTCACTATTTTGGTGGCGGGCTCGTGGCCGACGGCATAGAACAGTCCGCTGGCAGGAACAACCTCCTCAGCACCAGTGACGACGTTCTTGATCTTCAAGTGGGTCATCAGGCCACGGGGGCCGGGCTCTCCAACGATCTCAGTGGCAACGGTGTTGAACTTGACCTCGAGCTTGGCGTGGTTGAGAAGACGGGTGGCCATGGTCTTGGAGGCTCTGAGATGATCCTTGCGGACGAGAACGGTGACGCTGCTGCCGTACTTGGTCAAGAACATGGCTTCCTCAGCGGCGGAGTCACCACCACCAATGACGTAGAGTGGCTTGTTGCGGAAGATTGGGACAGCACCGTCGCATACAGCGCAGGCGCTGACACCGTTCTGCCAGTACTGCTCCTCTCCAGCGAGGTTGAGTCGCTTAGCGTTTGCGCCGGTGGCCATGATGATAGCATCAGCGGTGTGAGCTGGGGCATCCTCGGGGCCATCGGCGTACTCCTTCCATATCTTGAATGGGCGGCTGGATAGGTCGACCCTGGAGATGGTCTCGGTGATAATTTCAGTTCCGAATCGCACGGATTGCTGGCGCATGCTGTCCATCAACTCTGGGCCAGAGATACCGGCTGGGAAACCGGGGAAGTTCTCAACCTCGGTGGTGGTGGTGAGCTGACCGCCAGCTGCGGTGCCACCGGCAAGCATACCCTCGTACATGACAGGCTTTAGCTCTGCTCTGGAGAGGTAGATCGCAGCGGTGTGAGCAGCGGGGCCGGAGCCGATGACTATCACCATAAGTCAGTACTGAGACTCCTGGCGCAAACAATGAAGAGAACGACGTATCCTGCACCATGGATATACTTACTGACAACCTTGGAGTGCGCCATTCTGCTTGATATAGGACTTCTAAACGCTGAAGAAGGGTTTGAAAAGACGGAAGGGTTCGGAGAGGTGGTGCGTTGCTGAACTGATGTTACGGCGACCAGAGAGAGTCCAATACTTGATCGGACTGAGGCGAAGGGGAATCTGCGAAAGAATGAGGGAAACAGGGTGGCGGTGGTGCCTTTAAAGACTTATCAACGAGAGGGAGTCGGCGGTAGGGTTTGCGCGGTGGGGACGGAGCACGAAGGCAATTTGGGCGCAGGCGAGGGGTGTCGGGGTCGAGAGCGAGGATGAAGCAGAGGGGATCTGGAGCAGGGGCGCCACTTGCCGACCGCCAGCCAGACATCGATATTTAAAAGCGGTTTGAGGGTGGTTTGAAAGCGTGTTGCAGGCGCAAGTTGCAGCTTTCTCGCGATCTTAGAAATTCGAACGTTCTAAATTACCAATCAAGGATCGGATATTCTCGCAGTCACGTGATATGGGTTTCAGCCCTGGCTCCAAGACGCCCTGAAGAAAACAGATTATTTTTAACTGGGTAGAAGACGGAGAATGGACGAGAAAAGAGGCCAATGGGCGGCTCGGAATACGTATAACATGCGACGGGCCGATGCGAGGCCAATCGGCGTCTGCCAAATATTCTTTTGGGGTATAGCTAAGGGGGAGGATCAGAAACCGTATAGATGCCGATGAACGCCTCTAGCAGACCCAGAATAAACCCACATACACTAAAACAAGCAAAACAGGAGGGGAGGATGAAACATGCTTAGACGATTCCCCCCTCGTTCCTTATCTTCCTCCCTTTTTCCCTGGGGCTGGCGAGATCGCTGCTGATTAACCTCGCTGCCAAATGCACCCAACCTCTCGTGTCTAGAACCGCGGACGATCACATCGGATTTCAAAGAATCCCCAGCCATTTCTTCTTCCTCGGACGGTACGCCTCCACGCCGCTGTATCCATGCTCACCGTCACCGTCATTAGCCGGTTGCATGGCCGCATTGAAATAATGGTGTCCTCCCTGAGGCTGTGGCGGCTGCGGCAGCATCCTCGGTGAGGCCACTTCGCCCGTTCGGCCACCTTGGACGAGGCGGGGAGAGCCGCTGGCATCGTCGTCATAGTACCCGTGCCCGCCTTCCCCAGGGTTGGGCTCGTAGTCGCGATAGGCCTCGTTCTCGGCCTGTCTCTCCTCGCCTTTGTCATTGTTTGGCTCTGGCCCGTCGACCTGTACCGCGCTGTTGTTCTTACGGTGCCTGAGTTTCCACCATTGCTTTTTCTCGGCTTCGATGCTTGGTTCGAATTCTCCATCGAAAGATAGCGCAGGTACTAGAACGTGGTAAGGTACTGTGATCCCGGCCGGGTCTCGGGGCTTGACTTCACAATTAAATGTAATGTGCAGCCCGCCCTCGAGATTAATAAAGTGATGCAGGTCTGGCCCGCCCTTTGCTGCCTGCTTGATCTCTCGCATACTCAGGTCGGTGCGGCGTCGGACAAATTTGTTAGGCAGCGAGGAGCTATCGCCGTCGCCGTCACCGGACCCAGGATGTCCTGGAATGTTTGCATCGCTGTGTGTCTGCTGTGGGAAGTGACTCCCATCTCGTCGTGACCGTCCGTCATCATAGCTCATGCGTTGTGTAAACTGGTCTTGAGGAATAGGGTGGCTGATCTGTGGGCGCTGGCTACTACGAAGCGATAACCGCCGCATGAGCCCATTGGCCGGCTTGTCGCCCCGGGACATCGACAGCGTTCTCCCTAGCCTTCCCGGACGCAAATCGGTAGAGGATGCCGGAGAGCCCGGGGAAACGGTTTCATCTGGGGGTGTAGGTGGAGGAGTAGATCCTGCGGGCCAGCCGTTAGCTGTTATAGTTTCTACGGGACTATGTGTACACGGTAACATACCTGGGGCGTATTCTCTGATAGAACACCAGTTTCTTCTAGGCAAGAGACGCTTATTATTTCGTGGTCGTCCTTCCACGTCGTGCAGAAACACCGCTCGCATATCCTCAAGCGTCTTTAGATCCAGTGTATGCACCTTGTTGCGTCGGTTAAGGGTATCGGTCATGATTTCCGATAGGGGCGCATCCACTATTGGAGACGATATGACGTTTGGCATATATCTGTAGTCCTTGTCTTTAGGTATCTGTAAGTTGGGATCCGAGTAAAATTGGCCGATTGCCGCCAAGTTTGCTCCACCTCTATAATACAATGCGTTAGCAAATAGACATACAAGGAGTAATAAGATGTCAGGCGATCGATACATACCCCAAGATGGTAACTCTCATCGACTTCTCAGCCGCAAGTTCCTGGAGATCTTCAACTAGCCACTTTCGTTCTAGCTTATGTTGCTTTGCGGTCCATTGATCATCCATCTTCTCAGAGGTATTCTCGATTTTAGTGCTCGGGTTACGGAACACGCCATTTCGTCCAAGAGCTTTTGCAGGGCCCTTGAGAACTCCCTCGATTAATGTCTACTCCCTCGAGGTTAGTATACGCTATATTGCATGCGGAAGTCGATGTGATACATACTAGTCTTGGGAATGCAACCGGCACTCCCACCAACACTAATAGATGCTTCACTTCTCCCTTGACAATCTGTTGATGGCATCGATCCCAGATCAGGTCATAACTTTCATCAATCATAATATCCATCCTCTGAATCATCGTGTCAGTGGTGATACTAGGTTACAATTAAAGGAAAGGAGAGGGGATTACCATACCGAACGTTCAGTGCGGCAATCAATTGCCAGTAGGGCTACTCTCTCACCCAGATTCATGAGCAAATTCCTGCTCTTTTGTCGAATATATGGCCCCTCAGCCGAACCAAGAAGCCAACTTGGCTCATCCATATCTGTCTCCTCCACAGCAGTTTGATGCTGGAAGAGCAAGTAATACTTGAACGCAACATTTCCTAACCCGGCAAATACCGGAGATTTCATCAATTCATCCGTGAACGACCCGTACCCGCCAATAATATCATTATCGTCCCACATATTAACCATCGGGATCTGAGCGTTCGCCATTCCAAAGAGCCCCTGAGAGAACCAAGCGGCATAGTTTTCTAGGTAAAATTCCTCCAATTCTCCCTTGATATCCAGGTTCAGGGGGTACTCGTATTTCTCGTTTTTCCCTTTCATCTCAAGCCATTTCCGGAAATGGTCGGCTTCCACGGTGATGGGGTTATTGTTGATTTGCGTACCTCCACCGATCATGACGTGGAAGGGACGTGTTTGGTGAGAATTTAAAGCGTCACGCCACATTGGATCGGGACCACTGTATTTGTCCGTGTCGACAGACATACTGAATCCGTTCCCAGTGTGATATAAAATGTTCATCGCCTGGCCCTTTGCCGGCACCCAGAAGCCGACCACCGAGCCATTGTTGATGCGGTATGCAACATGTTCCTGCTTGTCTCCTAGTTCGATTTCCAAGCTGAACCGCCAGAACGTCACATCTCGAGCAGGATCAACATATAGTCGACTTGCTTTAACCACTTTGTATTTTCCGACCATTTCTCCGTCTATTCCTTGAATCCTTATGGCTGGCGGTAGAGAAACGCGGTGGCTAGCGCCGTAGTCGATTTGGCTAGGAGAGCGTTCGAATAATCCCTCTTCAGTTTCATCATAGCAAAGGTCTAATCCTTCCTCGATATGATCTACCGGTTTGACGTAGAGCAGGTTGCCGTTTCTTCCCACTTTACCCAAGCCTGCTATGGGGTCAACATATTCTGGCGCGAGAGGTGCAGCGTGATCGCCAGGGACATCTGATGGCGGGGGTGGAAGCAGATCCCTCGGCTGGGAAAATATTCTAAGCGTAGGTGGTGTGTCATAAAATGAAGCAGAGTCCTGGGTGACTATCATAATGGACCCTCTCCAGATCTCTCGCTCGGTGGGCCTGCTTGGTAGACCTACTATCTCCTTTGTTGTTCCTGTAAATCGAAGTAGAGGCCCACACTTTAGGTATAGAGGAGGATTGAAAGGTGTGTTTTCTATAGCAGCGATGTTAGCGGTCGTTAAGGCAGTGGGTATATAAAACGCCATAATCTAAACAACTTACTCTTGAGAGAGACCCTAGGCAGCCCGCTCTCGACGCCTCTATGGGCATTTCTAGCTCCCCTTCCACCTCGTCCTCTCCACTCCCTTTCCATCTCCGGTACTCGAAGGTCGAAATCGGTCAAACATAAACGACCGACAACGGCATGTCTCCATTCAGAGACTGGTGGAGGGGTTGGCGGAGGAACCGCGAATGAGACAGAGGCATGCTTTTGCTTAGTTTGGCCATTTTTCGGCTCCTCGATTTGCTCATGCGTTTCTGGCTCCATTTCTCTTGTCTGGGGAATCGGTTCGAATAATTCCCTAGGTTTCTGTACTTGCTGTCCTTGAGGTAGAGCACCTCTAGACTGTTGATCATAGAAATTCGGATCCGGGAATGGCGCGCGTTCGTTAAACCCGGGAGTGGCATCGTAGCCCATTGGAACAGCCTGCTCATATTGGAACCCTTCTCTTTTATCATCAGAAAACTGATCTTCATCTGGCTTCTTTGACTCGATCTGAGCGCTCTCGCGAAGCTTGTCTTTCTGCTTAGTGCTTAGACTTCGCAGTAGCCCGGCTTCCTCGATGGTCGTCGGCCTAGGCGCATTCTCCTTGTTCATAGCATTGTCTGGGGCAAGGTGCGGTTTACCACCTGCATCACGGCTCAGCGTGCGGCCATGGCGACCTGCACGAGCTTCCCTCAGAAGCATCTCGGCCTCCTCTACCCTCGCACGTTTCTCCTCCTTACTTATATCGTTCAGCGTAAGTTCTAGCTTCTTCAACGGTGATCGCGCTGGTGCCCATTCTCGAGCAGGCTTCTTGTTTTTCGAGGCGGACTGGGAGCTTTGGCGCGCGGTAGGTGATGCATTGGCACTAGGTTGTGACTGGGTTGGTGAATTGATATTTGGCGACGGTTGATGTTGTTGTGTCGATGGTGACTGTGAGTCTGCTTTCTGGTATGCGCTACTAGGGCTCATGGGAGTATTCATAGGAGTGTCTTGAGCTCCATTGGGCGAAACATTGTCGTATGGTAACTCCTCTTGGCCGCGTTCTTTGGCACGGTCCGCAAATGAGCGGAACCCGTCCCCTTCCTGTGACGATGCCTGGGGAGGTCGTGTTTGCGAGTCCGCTGACATGGTGTATTCGTCTTGGATAAGTGGTCGATCAGAGTAACCACTTGGATGCATGGTTCCGTTCCTTCTTTGGGCTGGTTGATAGTCGTCGAACTCGGGGGGTGGTCGTGACACTGATGCCCTACGAGCAGCCATTGTGCGGTAGGATGCTGAACTTCCAGATATATCTCAACTCGATGGCTCTACAAGCATCGTTTTATACCATCAGAGCTCTAGGCTTTGTTTTGTGGGAGGTCACCAAAGTCGGTAAGGCGCAATTGAAACTACTACTTAGGGAGGTTAATATATCACTACCATCAAGGACACCCAAGGAGAAGCTCAAACTCACCTCGGCCAGCACAAGATAGGATAACCGAGAAATGTAAGCGAGCTGCCAGGACGTTCTGCAGTTGCTTGTCGTATAAAAAAATTATCTCGATGCCGGATCAGCGTCCAAGCTAGCAAGATAAGCTCGATGAGATAAGTTGGGGGATAAGCTCCGGCGGCGGCGAGCTGCCAGATGACACTTCCAACGGCCAACGGGGATACAATGGCAGAGCGTAGAGACGCCGGATGATGATAGCTGTCTGGTCTATCGTGAGAACTGCGCTGCTCGAGGGTGATGTCGACTCTGGCGGTGCGACTGCGGTGGTCTTCGCAGGGCGGGCTTGTGGTGGCTGGCGGCGCCTCCACGTCATTGGGCGCTCGGCCTCGATTCCTTGCATAAGCACGCTCATCTTCAGGGATACAACGCCGGCGTCTTTGTTGACGGTGATATCTCGCTAGCTCTCTCGCTGTCGATGGAGGATGCGGTCCATGGTTGAGCCCGGAGGTCTACCAGTCCTTTACAAAGCTTGGAAGCTCCTTGACGCCACTGTGGCTCCATGTCTTGTCTCCTATCAAGTCCCATAACATCCCTTTCTAGGATGCTGAGGATAGACTTATAGACAAGAACGAGACGGCATAAGGCTACAATGAGCGAGTTTAAGGCCTATAACACGTTTGATAGGGGTTATATCTCAAAGCTATGGTAGGATGCTTCAATAACGAGATTCTAACCCATGGTCAATCCTTTTTAGGCACTGGTTTACAATAAACTGATCATTCTCTCATTCTTCTTTCGGACAGGTCTAGAGACTAGGGGCAGGAATGTGGAAAGCACGGCGAATCACTGTAAAATAGTTAGCGTGAGGAAGGATTAGTTGATTTACGTTCAATTTTACTAACAAGGTCCATTTCAGGTTTGCAGAGCGCGCCCTGATAATCAAATCGGTACAGCGCAACTCGTCTTCTGTCAATGTCATAGTATCCATTACTGATTCAAGTAGTGCTATCCTGAAATGATCATTATAACACTGAATGGCTGCAGCTTCATAAAAACGAGGGAAAAACCCAGCAAACCCCCAGTCGAGAAGACATATCGACTTATCCTCCATCAATATAATGTTGCGGCGGCAGAGATCCATATGACAGAGGACAAGCGGATACGCCGTAAGATCGACAGTCTTCTCCAGCAGTTCAATGCGCCGATTAATCCATGCATTCACATCTACAAGAGAAGAGAACTCCGTTTTGGCGCCGTCATCCCCCCACAGATAGCCATAAGGCACCCCGCCGCCAACTGGACCAGGAACAGTACCGCCTTTTATCTCTCCGAGGTGCGAGATGATTCTTGTCACGCGTTTCGTAATTTTATCATTGGCATCAAGGTTAATTAGCTCTTTCAGGTTCTGCCCCGGTATATATTCCATGAACAGGTAGCCCGTCGGCCACGCTGGACTGGACCGGTCCTGAAAGTAACGGTAAACCTGCGGAACTCGAACAATATCGGGGTCGACATGCTGGTAGGCATAATGTTGCGTCGCTGCCTCGCCGGGTAACACTCCAGCTCCGTATTTGACTGCAACGTTGCCTGGGAGTCGTATCACCCGGTCCCCTAGCTGGAAATTACCGAGCCATTTCTCCTTCTTGGTGCGGTGACAAAGACTGATAAGCCATGATTCAGGAGCGAGTCGAATGAAAGTCCGAGGCGCAAGCCAGAGAAGGCAGTCGGCGAGAAGAGTAATGACACGCATAATATAGACTTGAATAGACGGGAACGCGGGGCTTCAAATTGGAAACAATGATCAGAACGTAAAAAGAAAGCAAAAGCTGGGTGGTATAAATGCTCCTCTCCGACTTCACGAAGAAGTCATCTTAACGCCTTCCCATCATCATGTCGTAAATAAACACAAGAAAACCATGCACTCACTCAATTCAAAGAGGGGGGTCATGCTGAAATATGGGTTTTATATCGTTTTTCTGCGGCTATTTTAGCTCAGTCATTACCTAAGCTAACCGAAGCTCTATTGGCGCTTGAGTTTGTTACTATTATTATGGAGAGTAACGAACGGTTCCCATTGCTCCTTCTACGGAGTACCGGTTCCAGCGCATTTCCCATAACAGTACCAGGTCCATCTCTGTTTCAAGGTTTTCTTAAGATACCCGCCTTATTTATCTTTGATAATAATATTAACCTCAGTATATAGGAACTAGAACAGCGAGCCACAGCGAGCCACAGCGACAGAAACTTGACTAGCACGACTTAAAGAGCGTATTAGTCGACTTAGCACGAGAACTCTATAACTACTCTATGCTAATGCTGAAGCAACCCGTGCTGAGAATGCCACCATTCGTGACGAGAACGCGGCCATCCATGCAAAGCAGATAGTCATCGAGAGGGATAACGCTAATCGACGTGATATTGTTGATTAAAAGATATTCCTAACTAGAATTCATTGTGGAATTGCCTTATTCCCCGGCCATATCTATGGTATCAGATATCCACCTTGGCAGCTTTAACCTAATGAAGTACGTTCCTTCGTTTGTTGAGTTAGATATCTGTTTTGTAGGTATCTCCCAATCAGATGGCAGGTTATCCTGGCCTATCTATCTCTCATTGGTTAAGAAGTTTCTTTATTATCGCTAAGTCTAGGGGCCTTAGGGGGGTAGGCCTTAGGGAGAAGGCTTAGGGAGAAGGCATGGGGAGTGTACGTATAAGAGTATACTAGGTGCCTAGGGAGCCTCACTGTCGATCTACAGGAAATGAGTAGCTCAGAAATAAGGCGGTTGTGGAATCAGTTTCCAATGTCTATGCTTTTAACGAAAATCTTTGTGGTATTCTAATACGTTCTCGCTCGTCATTATATCAAGATTGAAAAAGTGACACCATATTTAAACATCTTTGGGTGAGAGTTGTGATTTGATCACCCTCATTTCTATTGCAAAAAATAAACAGAGAGCAGAATTGCAAACGGCAAAACAGTAAAGGATAGATACATGTTTTTAGTGGCTTTCGACACCCGGGCCTCATAGCTCTCTTCACATTTTTTGAAGAAAGAGGCAGAGTCGTTGGTATTTGGGAAGGGTATATCTGGGACTTCCTTGCCTAGGAACTTGCACAGTGGTTCCCATCCGTCTTCAACATCCCACTCCAACAGTTGATCTTCCGGCACAATGCTTCGTATCATCTCACAATGTTCCGTCAAAACCTGGATCGAATTTTGTTCAAAATCGCCGCGGTAAAACCAGTGCAAGGTGCCGCGGTAAAACGCTTGCTGGGCCCAAAAGAGGTCCGTGTTAAAGAAACTTTTAAACCAGAATCCCCAGTCTCTAGAGTGTACGATGATGGTATTCATGACGCTCTTATGCCATGCTCTAACGTCCCGACGCATGTTGAGGACGACTTTTGCCTTGGGGTATGCCGCAATAAGTTCCGGTGCAAAGACGTTAGCGGCATGATCAGTTATGGCCACACAGTGGCCCACGACTCGATCAAACTCGGCAGCTGATATGGCGAGTTCTTTCGAGCCTGGATGTCGTGATGCGTTGTGCTTCAATCTTTGGCGGTGAAGTAGATACCATGCCTTATCGTCGGGTGGGTTCATAATCACGTCAAACCCATGGTAGGTATGGTCGTAGCCCAGATGGAGCAAGGCTGCTCGAAGAGACCATGTGCCAGATCGAGAAGGGCCAACACAGAGAAGCTCCATTGGGCGTGTGCGGACACGGGAAGGCGGGCTCAAAGGGTAAAGGTAGTCTTTGATTTCCTCCATGACTGGGACCATGGTTCCTTGTTAATTCCCTGAACGCGAAGGTGGGTTGGGGTCACAATATGTGCCCAAGCCGAACCAGGACAGGAAAACGAATGTAAAATAAAACAAGAAAAGCAGAGTGCATGAGAGAGGGAGGGAGAGAAAGGGATAGGGAGGGAGAGGGAGAGAGAGTGCGTGTGTGGTAAAGGAAGAAACAGATCGAAGGAAGGGTATATATATAGGAAACGCTTCCTACTGGGCAGTGCCACCCTGACAATCGTTTGAGCCATGGCAATCTTCGGAGCCTAAGGGCCTGCAACCAGGTAAAGATGGTCGCCTTGGACCATTGTCAATCGACTGCTTCGGCGCGAATCATCATTTTTTTTAACTTTAACGATCAGTTATCAAAAATCGGTGACTTGGCAACCCCGGGCCAAATTGATGGGCAACGCGGCGGTGTCCCCAACCATGAGCCAGCTGACTCCAAGGATCCTGTAAGGGTTTGTCCGGATTACGAACTCGAGGGAGCCTGCTGCAGGACAGACAGGGTCTCTCCTTCGAGATGTATCTAGCTTATATGCATAAATACAACACGTGTTGTAGTAAAATATATCCCAAGCCCCTGAGGAGAATATATTTTGTGGTGCTTATATAAGGAGCTAATTTTTAGTAAGCAGAGTATATCTTATCACGTGTCCACAGGAATAAAGATGGTCCGAAGACTAATCCGGTTATCGGGATAAATATTATCCGTAACTCCAGTCTAAAGAAATATACGTAAATACTTAGTTATCACGATGAAAGAAGCCACATATTCATAAAGAAGGCTGTTTCGTTATATAGAATAGCTAAATGGAGCATTGTCGATGGGGTGTTGATAGATATGTATTAAACGAGGTGACGACTGACAGCGGCCTGGACCGCTGGTTTGGTTGTCGTATACAGGAGTGGCGTCGCCCCTGACGGAAGATCATCCAGCGGCGAACAGCTGCCATTTTTTAATTCCCCGGTGCCTCTTTTTCTTATATTAACATCCGTCTTTTATCCTTCGTTAACAGTATCAGTAAATTCTGCATTTAAAAATACTCGCGGTTGTTCTTGGAGTGGATTCGCATCGTAATTGTTCTTGCTATCAAATTAAATGTAAGTGGACTGCACGGCCTCAGGCTCCTCGAGCTAAACCACCCTGTTTCTCGACCATCCCGACCAACGACCCTTTCAGAAACCCGAACACTCCTTTACGGCTCTCGAGACCTACGGCCCATCTGCTTTTTTCACCGTTATATTCGACTCATCACATCGCGCGATAAATATTCCTCGCCTCGAATATTTTTCCGCCTAGCCTTAAGCACACGTCACCTTCTCCGGGCCCGAGTCGAATGCACGCCAATCGATAATTCCGTCGGGTTGAAAACCACCCGGTTTGCGGTCTTCCCGTAGCGCAACCGCGCAGATATGAAGCTTCAAAATATATTCCATTTAACGGCTCTGTTGATCGGTGCAGGCGCGACTAACGCTTCGTTATACCGCCGAGACCACGATGTCCATGATTATTTTGCCGTCCATCTACACTCCTCCGTATCGCCGGACCAGGCAGCACGATTACTGGGAGCTCGACATGAAGGCCAGATAGGAGAGCTGGAAGGACATCATACGTTCTCTTTACCAAGAGAAAGAAGTGGTGATTTGAACAAGATATTGGATGACCTACAGAGCAGAGCGCGTCGTCGAAGATCGTTGGAAGCTCGTGGGGAATATTTTGAAAGAGATGGACTGGACGGTGTATTATGGTCTGAAAAGTTGAAGCTGAAGAAGCGTCTGCACAAACGGGTTCCTCCGCCTATGCCACGAGGGCCCGTCGCTGTCAACGGCCGTTCACCCGACCAAGCCCCAGATCCTGCTGCTTCAACGAGACAGAATGAGATTGCAGGCACATTGGGTATCAGAGACCCGTCTTTCAAGCAGCAGTGGCATCTTTTCAACCCCATACACCCTGGAAATGACCTCAACGTTACAGGTCTGTGGCTAGAGGGAATCACTGGAAAGGGAACTATATCCGCCATTGTTGACGACGGTCTGGATATGTATAGCAACGACCTAAAGGATAATTACTTTGCAAAGGGCTCCTACGACTTTAACGAAATGCAACCCGAGCCCCGGCCCTTGTTGGACGATGATAAGCATGGCACTAGATGTGCAGGCGAGGTTGCTGCCGTCCACAATGATGTTTGCGGTGTCGGTGTTGCGTATGACGGCAAGGTCGCTGGAATCCGTATTCTATCCAAGTCCATCTCCGATGAAGATGAAGCTGTGGCTGTCAATTACGGGTTCCAGGAAAACCAGATTTACTCTTGCTCATGGGGCCCAATCGACGATGGAAGGACAATGGATACTCCTGGCCTTTTGGTTCGCCGAGCCATAGCCAACGGAATTCAAAAGGGACGCGGAGGAAAGGGCTCTGTTTTTGTATTTGCTGCCGGAAATGGAGCCCACCATGAGGATAATTGTAACTTCGATGGTTATACCAACAGTATCTTCAGCATTACTGTGGGTGCTGTTGATTGGAACAATGACCACCCATACTACTCTGAGTCCTGCTCTGCGCAGCTGGTGGTGGCATACAGCAGTGGAGGCGGCGGCTCTATTCATACTTCAGACGTTGGTGCCAACACTTGCTCGTCTCAACATGGTGGAACCTCTGCGGCCGGACCTTTGGTTGTTGGAGTAATGGCACTTGTTCTCCAGGTTCGTCCGGAGTTGAGCTGGCGTGACCTGCAGTATCTACTCGTTGAAACTGCCGTTCCAATCAATGCAACTGCCCCAGGATGGCAAACCACGAGTATTGGCAAGAAGTTCAGCCATGATTTCGGTTATGGCAAGGTTGACGCATACTCTACGGTCCAATTCGCTAAAGAATGGAAGCCGGTTAAACCACAGGCTTGGTTCCACTCGCCCTGGCTAAAGGTCTACCATGACATTCCTCAAGGTGACAAGGGCCTTTCCAGTTCTTTTGAAATAAAGGACGAGATGCTTAAGGAACATAACCTGGAGCGAGTTGAACACGTGACCGTCACTATGAATGTGAACCACACTCGACGTGGTGACCTCAGCGTTGAGCTTCGCAGCCCAAGTGGTGTAATCAGCTACCTTAGTACTACTCGATCTCAGGATGACGAGAGGGCCGGATATGCCGACTGGACATTCATGTCTGTTGCTCACTGGTAAGGCTATTCTAACTCCTTCATTTATCTATGTACACAGCTAACAATAGTTTTCACATCATAGGGGTGAAAATGGACTAGGAAAGTGGACTGTCATTGTCAAAGATACCCAGGTTAACGAATATAACGGAACATTTGTTGACTGGAGGCTTACTCTATGGGGAGAGTCCATCGACGGCAGCATTCAAAAGCTTCACCCCTTACCCGATGTTCATGATCACGACCATGATACCAGCATACCCGCCCCCCACGTTGATACGACCAGTGTCAGCCCAGGACCAACCAAGACCAGTCCTCCATTCCGTCCCACCGATAACGTTGACCGACCTACCAAACCAAAACCATCCGGTTCCACCACACCAGATCCAGCAGGCACCGCCGCATCCGCACCCTCGTCAGCACCCTCATCAGGAGCCGAACACTTCCTTCCATCCCCATTCCCCACCTTTGGCGTTTCAAAACATACCCAAATCTGGATCTATGGCTCTATCGGTCTAATTCTCGTTTTCTGCACTGCATTGGGCGCCTATTTCTGGGTTCAGCGACGAAAGCGTCTCCGCAACAACCCTCTGAATGAGTATGAATTCGAGATGGTGGCTGAAGATGAGGAAGGATTCCCACTCAGTGGTGCCGGTGCTGGAGGCAAGAAACATACTCGTCGCGGAGGAGAACTGTACGATGCATTTGCCGGAGGTAGCGATGACGAAGATCCCCTTTTCAGCAGTGGAGAGGACGACTCTCATGAGTACGTTGATGGGGATGAGGATGACGACTCTTATCATGATGATGGACCCGAAGCTACTACCCCAGTGTCTCCAGCTAGACCCTGAGGGACATGAGCAGATGTTTTACTTCGCCCTTTATTATATCCTTATTAGACGTGCATTTCTTCCGTCGGCTTCAGATCATGGCTTGTACTGTTTGATTGCATGAGTGATTCCCCGCCTGTTGTCTTCTCCTACCACTTTTTCTTTTTCTCAAAGCCTGTTATAACTATTTTCATGTTTCCAGATGGCTGGATATATTATACATCTCAACACCATAATTTTGTTCTTAATTGCGTTTTTTTATATGCTTGATATCATGCCTTTTGTACTAAATTTACATTTCTGTATTTGTTCCTTTTCTATTCTTATTTTTGTCTGAGTTTTACGGGTGTGCATTTGTCCCTATTTAGTTGGAGTGTTGTCTTAATTTTTGGCTTAATCAACAACTCAGCATGAGCGCCCGTGGCCTGACACGTCAGGGTTGGCGTACGCCGTCATGATATATAGACTAGTCAATGCCTAGTACTTGGACTAGCCTACTGTCCGTTTCTAGGGCCCGAATGAAGGATATGTTAAGACGTGCTATATAGAGATGAAGCACGGTATACTATAACGAGTTTCGCCGTTTTAGTAAATTCATAAATGAGATCCACTATAGCTTGTAGTGATATTCACTACTATGGAAAATCATAGATAAAAGGTATAGGCAGAGATCCTGCTCTGCCTTGGATATTCGACGCTATTGTCTTCTAGATCTAACACCCTTCATAAAGAAATCATGCCAAGACAAAAAGGCAAATTCGAAATATAAAACGAACAGTCAGATCAATAGCATCATCCTCGTTACCATGAAGAAAAGGAATGCTCCGTATCATTGGGTTAGACGCCTGCAAGAACAGGAATCACGATACTCCAAATAATAATAAAACAATTGACCATACACCATCTTCCCCACTTCATGCCCTTTGCTTAGCTTAACCTCGCCTGTTGATTTCAAGAGATCACGTAGGAAGCCGAGATACAATAAAATAGGCAGACGCTCTGTCGTGTTCTAACTGTGACATATTTTCGGGGGATGGGGTATTGCTAGCAGCAACGCTGTTCCATGATGGGTATCATAGTATCATAAGAGAGGAATGAAACGAGATATGCAATTCATAATCTCATACTGCCTTAGTGTGGAATATGAGTTTCTCAGTAACTCTACTCCTATTAGGAGTTGGCTGGTAGAATCTTTGCTCTGTGTGGGTGATTGGGTGAGCGGGTGAGCGGGTGAGTGGGTGAAGGGGAGAGAGGTGCGAGTTCAAGAATTGCTTCGTTGGCGTGCTGAACAGCATAAAAGTAGAAAGCGAGAGAGCGCCGTGAACAGAAAGATGCTCCTTTCCAGTTTGACTCGTCAAGAAGTGTCTTTTATGCGCTAAATGTACATCAGATAAAGGGCTATGCACGACCCGAGATAGTATGGGGAACATAAAAATAAAAAAAGACCAAATAAACAAAATTATGAACTCCAATGTTCATTCCTACCGCTGGCGCCCGGTCCCCATACTCCATAGAAGTTGTAAAAAAAAATATAAAATAGTATCGAGCCAACGAAAACTATATATGGGTCACGATTGGTTCATTAATATTGTCATTTCCATCCAGCAGGTCGCCTATTAAACAGGCGTTGACGAAGGTGGTAAGGGCAGCTTTTGGTTTCTCTATCTCCTGCGTTAAGGAAGGGGCTGCTGGGAAGATGTATTCGTATAAGAAGCCAGCTTGCTCCCATGCCGCTCTTAAAAGCGGACCGAGCCCCTTTCGTTGGCGGTCAATGGCGTCTTCCACGACTGGCACCACTTGCTCGTCAAGGTTGGTAGTTTTCAGTCCGTATCCATCGTGTACATGTCCAAATACGACAAGACGGGGCTTCACTCGCTCAATTTCTTGACCCAAGAAAGCACAGCCGCTCTGTAGGTCGCCGTCCAGATGTTTCGACGGTGGTTCATGCGTTAGCAAGACATCCGTTCCCTCTGGTACGGCTCTTGTCCACACGTCTGTGCCGCGAGGGACGTGGAATGCTCCTGTATGATCAGGGCTCGATGAAATGGACGGCGAGCCATGTATGGCAACTTCACGTCCATTTCCGTGCTCTGGGAATTGTAATGTAACGGATGAATCTCGGAGGTATATGACGCTGCCGAAATTCAAATCACAGACAGTTCTTCCCGGCACGGAGGGGTATCTGTCTGGGTTTCGCTGTGCAAACGGTGGGTCTAGGAGGACGTCGTGTTCGCCGGCGACAAGGATTTTATAGGTGTGTGGTTGGGCGGAGAGCCATGTCAGCTGTGCCTGCAGTTCTTCGAATGTGCCGTTGACCGTCAGGTCGCCGGCGTGGAGGAGAATATCGCCATCCGGCAGCTCAGGTTGCCAGTTATGTGTGTCCGAGATGCAAACTACGGAAATGGGGTGTTCCGGGGCGGATTCGGGCTCCGCCAAAGGTCGATAGCGTTGCCTCCCAGACAGTCTTGCTGTGAATGCCTGGATCCACCGAGTGAAGAAGGACAGGAGGTTGAAAGGGCGCTGGCTCAAGACGAAGGCCTTGTCAACGGGCATCGAGTCGCACATCTGAACAAGCCCATCCAAATAGCGAGAGAAGAGAACTCTATACATAAGAAAACAACACCTTCGAGGTATGGGGCAGAGCGAAAGCTTCAGTCAAAACTCAAAAAGACATGCTTCAACAAAACACAGAGGAGAGGGGGAGAAGATATAAAACAGATCAAGAGGAAGACCAGCGAAATCCGGGGACACACAACACTGGAACCGAGCAGGATTATATATCTGATATATATCACGGCCCTAAAAAGGGGCGGCTGCTGTGCGTCCGGGGGGAAACAGACAAGAGCACACCGACAGAGAGGGTCGTATTAGACCGGCCCCAAAGAGCTGCAAAAGAGGCCAGCGACAGCGATGCCCGTCAACCCGAGGCTTCCAATAGGGTCCTCTCGCCCTGTGGCAGACCTGCATCATGTTCGTCCATTCTGTCCAGGGGCGCAGAAATATCCTAGTATCCTAGAAAGCCCGTAATATATTCACATAAACCACAATGGCTAGCGGTTCCCAGCAGTCTGGTTTCCTATTTAGCTTGTGGGGAAGCCAGGGCGGCCGTATTAATAACCTATTGTTCTCTGCAGAGAACAATAGAAGCCTGCATGAAAAAGTGGCGCTAGTGTCACAGTCGCCCTTCCGCGATACGGCCGCGATACACGACTTTTCGCCGGTTCGATCTTCGACGAGAATGATTTTCGCCATTTTTATACTTCTTCTCAGCGCTAACTGAAACTCGCAGTCAGCCTATCGGCGCTCGTCGAAAATCGCTGGTCTGTTTGCCAGAGCGGTGGTGGTTGCACTGAGCAGGTGCTTGGGCTCACTCATGCCGTTGTATGCATATATCCATCCTCCTCACTACTCCGTATTCCATAATGGCAGTACTGTCCAGATAGCAGATCGAGAGCAGATCGTGGCTCGTTTGCCCAGATATATCACTTGCCATGGCTGAAACGTCGCAATACACACGGCCGTATCAGGTTCTGCCTGAAGGGGAAATAGTTGTACGGAGTCCCTGAGGAGACTCAGGATAGACGACAAGAGTAGCCAGCCACCTCCATCTCGGTGTGTTCGGGTTATCCCGCTTAGTGCTTCGACATTGCTATCGCTTATTGTAAGTTGAGGCTATATCGTGGCCATGCCTGTGCTGTATACTCCGTGCATAGTAAGCAATGACCGGGCTATAAATGACCGTCTCAATGCCAATTCGTCGTTGCAGCCCAAGTACGCTCCACTTGAGCATTTTGATAGCCGGCAGCCCCTCCAGCCGGTGTGTTGTAGATATGCATGGTGATAGATAGCGTGCCAAACCAAGGGGGGTCGTCCTAGCGTTTTACATCCCGCCCTGGGGTCAATCTTCTGGCCGGAGATGCATGCACGGGTGACTGAGGATTATTATTCACCAAGCTGATCATTTCTCGAGAGCCCTGCATTGGGACTGCATGTATCCTTGCAATCGTCATCAAGTAAAGGGCGCTTAAAGCCGTTGAAGATTGTTTACCCATCGTCCCGTCCATAGCGAATATGCTTGTCATTCAGACTATGTTGGCGCAAAGTCCCTCACATTAAGAGATCTGCCGGTTTGAGTACTCCGTAGACAGTCTATAATAGCCAGTATACTCCGTACTCTCATTGATATAATAGCTGTAGACGCGAGTGTCGTTGCTCGTTCTAAGATGAAGTAGAAAATGTCAGTAGGAACAAGCTCGGTCAGGCGCTAGGCCCAAAGAGGGAGATCCTGACATCATCAAACCACGTGATGCAAGAGCGTCCTTGAAGCTTCAAACATCGCGGCTTCAAGTTCGGGCTTCCTATGCGCGGTGCCGATGAGACCAGCTCGATCTTGCCATGAGCCCGCATTTTACATCCTTGTACTTGTATTAGCCCGCTATACCATTTTATACCTCTGTGTCAGCCGCAGTTAGATCTGTGGTCGCCCTATACCAGTCCTAGCCAACTCAGGCTCCTACATAAATAAACCCCCCACGCACACGTAACCGCGGCACCAACCATGGACCACAACGACTTCGATAGTGTTTCTTGGAGGAACGATGGGGATAGCGATGTTTCGCGGCCGGCAACATCGTATACTGATATTGACAACGCCTCGAGCTCGCGGGATGACCCCAATGGGAAGCGCCGAATGAGCTCCGCGGAAGATGAGGTCCTATCCCCAACTCACGAAGGAGCCGGTGGTTTTATGGGCGGTCTAGACAATGGCATGATCGAGTGTACAGTAGACACGCCGCTGAAGGAGAACGAGGGCACAAAGGATGTCTACGTTTCCTACCTTGTGTCTACTCATGTTGGTCTCCCTTGCTTGTTTACCTCTTATTATCACAATAATTACGAAGCCAGTACTGACGTATGAATGACCATGGCAATGGATAGACCAACTTTAAATCCTTTCAGAAAACAGACTTCAGCGTTAGGCGGCGCTTTACGGACTTCTACTTCCTCTACAACACCTTGTTCCGAGAGTATCCTGCTTGCGCAGTCCCACCGCTGCCAGACAAGCACAAGATGGAATACGTACGCGGAGACCGATTCGGGCCTGAGTTCACCCAGCGCCGTGCTTGGTCACTTCACCGGTTCATCAAAAGGATCACCCTCCATCCTGTTCTCCGCAGAGCCCCGGTTTTGGTCACATTTCTTGAATCTGGAGAATGGAACGCACACATGAGGATGCGCCCATCCCGCAGCTCCACCAATGCCTCCGATGGCGGAAGTAATATATTCGACAACTTTGCAGATACGTTTGTCAATGCATTCACAAAAGTTCACAAGCCGGATAAGCGCTTCACCGAAGTAAGGGAAAAGGCCGACAAGCTAGATGAAGATCTAAGCCACGTGGAGAAAATTGTTGCCCGGGTTGCACGGCGCGAGAGCGATTTGGAAACAGACTATGCTGAACTAGCTATGCAATTCCGCAAACTTGTTCCTCTTGAACCGGAGCTAGAGGTGCCGCTACAGATATTTGCCGGATCGGTAGAAGAAACATCCTACGGTATTCAAGATTTGAAAGAACATACAGATCAAAACTACCTGGGCAGTCTCCGAGATATGGAAGCTTACATTCTATCACTCAAAACTCTGCTGAAGACGCGGGAACAAAAACAACTTGACTACGAAGCCCTCGTTGACTATCTCAACAAGGCCGTGGCCGAACGCGATACTTTGACTAATAATCCATCATCCTACTATGCTACAAACCCACTAACAAGTAACCCTGCCTCGTTCCTGCGATCTAAGATGGAAGATATCAGGGGCGTTGACCACGAACAATCGCGCAGGGAGAAAGTGCGGAAGCTAGAACTCCGCATCGACGAATTAACCCGCGAGGTGGAGAGTGCCAAAACTACTTCGGAGATGTTTGATGAAGAGGTCGTACGTGAAGTTACTGACTTCGAACGCATCAAAGCCATCGAGTTCCGCGATACATTGGGTGCGATGACCCAGAAACAAGTCGACTTCTACCAAGGAGTCCTAGCCACCTGGGAGCGATTCATTGTGGAAATGGAGGTCGACGGTGATGGAGACGATGTGGGTGCAAAACGAGACGTGAAGGCGAAGAAACCCCAGATTGGAGCTGCTTGAAACGGTTCTCCGTTGCTTTTTTTATCCTTTTAGTATAGATGGGATTTGTCACCGAGTTCCATTACCTCCCCTATTAGCATGCCTTTTGGTTTTAAGTCATGATTGGCGTTATTCTTTTTGGATGATATGCAAACGAGAGAATATGAACTAATAACATATTTTCCTTATCCTCTACTCCAGCACGGAAATATACCTAACTTTTGCCTAAACCTTTTTCTCACCGTCCCTATCTAATCCGAGTTATCAACATGGCACAGGTCGCAGCAGCTTCTTTGTCTTCCGTGCTGAGCACCCACCACATTCCTCATGCTGTGCTACATATGCCAAACAAGACCCAGAGCCGTCCCACAAGCACTGTGCATAGCTGGCGGCTAACTGTAATTGGATACTCGATGCTTGATGGTCGAGTACCTAGATAAAAAGGTTCCGATCTGATCGTCTCAACGCCATATCTATACCGACATAGTATATAATAAAGAGGAAACGACACCGCTTCTCATTACACTGGCGATCCGTATGTATACTATTTTGATTTAGGAATGATATGCCCATTTGCTTATTGAAGGCCTCTTTACTTGCTTTACTCTGTCTAAGCAAGTGCAGAATCCTCCTATATCTATACAAAGGAAATGCACATTCTGAAGGCAGATCTCAAACAACCTACACAGTAATACCCTCCACCCTCCAGGCAAGGTAGATCACATTATAGAGTAAGACCGCATATATGAGACTCATTACTCGGAAGAATCGTGTGGTAGGATATACCGTCGTTGTATATCAAGAAGATGCGCTGTTCAGCTCTGGCTGGTGGACGGCAAACTTGAAATGCGACCGTCGCAGAAGAGCGCAGTGGTGTACCGGTTTATACTGTCTACCTAGACCGACAGTCAAACTCCTTCACTCGCTGAAGTATAGACAACGTAACCTAAATACTGGATTTAGGTCTGAACGCGGTCTTCCCAATGGATAAGGTAGGTAGACGTGATACACGTTGGGCCTGCGCGAGGTTGTAGTGTAACGAAATGCACTGTGACCGGAAGGTACAGCTACACGCATGCAGACAAAGGGAATGGCTGCAACATGGACAGTCGGCTCCTCGGCCTTTGAATCTATATGACCGAGCTGCTCCCTAGATCTGAATATATATATCAGCACCACCCATTCATTCACATCAACATTAATTCATCCAATACATCGATCAACACTAAGGTTTTATTTCAAAACAGCCAAAAATTCTCCTTCCAAGATGAAGCTCGCGTTCTCTGTACTTGCAGCTCTCGCCGTTCTCGGCCAGACAGCCATTGCTGGTGTCGCTGCTGTTGCTGGTGCTGAAGCTGTAGAGGCCGCCGATGGTTTGCCCGCGGAGATCATTGCTATCCACTTCGTGTGTCAAAATGACTTCCAGTGTTATCAGCAGGTTGAGATCCCCTTTTATCATTAACAGATAGCTCCACGGGCGTGCCTGGCTGCTAATTCATGATTGCCTCTTATAGTGTCGAATCAGAAAACACCGCAGTGGAACATGCCCAGCTCCCGGTCGTTCAAAGTGAGAGACATGCCTTCCCTTAAAATATTGTGTAGGAGACCTTCAGCTAACACCAGCCAAGCTTCTGCCACTGCTTTGATTAAGGGGATATCTTTGCTAGCCAGACGCTTAACGTCGAAAGGAGTGTCAGAAATGGGCCTTATATTGATGTAAAAGGCCGGTCAGGGATATTTATTTCATTTCGGTGCCAACTAATTGGCCCAAATTTTTTCATCTTCTTGTTGAAGGTATATAATTCGGGGGTATCATGTCGTTGCTGTTCGTTGTTGCTGTCAGTCGTTATGTTCCTAGGAAGAAATGATATCTATACTACTCTCAAGGCCCTGCAAAAGAAGTCGACTACTCCACGTGATAAGCAAACAGGCAAGGTGGCCGAGCGGTCTAAGGCGCCAGATTAAGGCTAACCTTAATTAGAAATATTCACTGGTGATCTCACCACTGATATTCTGGTCCTCGTTGAGGGCGTGGGTTCGAATCCCACCCTTGTCATTCCTTTTTTTTTTTCCTTTCTCGTTTTTGCTTACTAAGCAGAATCTCGGCCCAGGGCAAAGAAACGAACTTCCCAGTAACTTACATAGGTAGCTATATGCTTCAATGAGCAGACTGTGATAGCTACCCAGAGATGCGTTCCATACTGGGAGGCGCATTGCGCCCATATATATGCACATCATGCAAACGCGGCCTTCAGTCACAACGGAAGAGGTTTGCGTCCAGTCTTTCGCGGCAACCTGATATCTATGACATCGTGTGCGTTGGAGGGGGACCGGCTGGCCTAGCTCTACTGGCTGCGTTGAGTATGTTTGCCAGCTTGCCTTTGCTTGTCAAGAGGCTTCTATATTGCAATTGACTGACTAGAATTGTATAGGATCCTCTCCGATCACCTCCAAGCTCAAAGTCGCACTCGTCGAAAGCCAGGATATCACCAAGGCCAAAAGCTGGAAACTCGACTCTGATCACTTTTCCAACCGTGTCAGCAGTCTCACACCTTCGTCCGTGGCATTCTTGAAAAGCATTGGCGCATGGGACCATGTCGACACTTCTCGGGTCCAACCATATGAAGAAATGGAGGTGTGGGATGGAGTGACGGGCTCGAATATTTCGTTCAACTGGCCAGCTGGATTGATAGATCATGACGCCTCGTCGAAAACAATTGCTACGATGACGGAGAATGCGAATCTGATACGCGGTCTATTATCACGCATTGAGTCACTCGGTGATGATGTCTCCATCTTCTCTTCAACGAAGGTGACGTCTATCAGCAACGGTACGGATAACCCGGATGGACCTGATCTTTCGTCGTGGCCAGTCCTCACGTTATCCCCATCATCTTCAACTGAGAACAGCCCTGAGCTCCCTACCATTGCTGCCCGGCTTCTAGTTGGTGCAGATGGCATCAATAGCCCTGTACGCTCCTTTTCCGGCATATCTACGGACGGATGGGACTATGATCGACACGGCATAGTTGCCACGCTGAAGCTCTCTCCCTCAACATATTCCTCGCCCATGCCGGTGACCGCATACCAACGATTCCTACCTGGAATTGGCGGTCCAGTCGCCATGCTACCTCTTCCAAATAACCATGCAACCCTCGTCTGGTCTACCACCGTCCAGAACGCTGCATACCTCAAATCTCTATCCCCCGAGGCATTCACAGCAATGGTAAACGCTGCGTTCCGCCTCTCCATAACAGACTTGAACTATATGTTCTCCCTACCGTCCAGCCAAACAGAAGCTGCAGAGACTCTTTACGACCACGGAGACGAGCTCTCTTGGCGACTTGAACATACCTCCGTCCCTTCCTTTGTACCGCCAGAAGTAGAGACTGTCCACTCTAATACTGTTGCGGCTTTCCCGCTACGATTCCGGCATGCATCCACTTATATTTCACCGCGCGTGGCACTCGTAGGGGATGCAGCCCACGTCATCCATCCCCTTGGAGGTTTAGGTTTAAACCTGGGCGTTGGGGATGTCATCTCCCTCCACCGTGCGATTGAATATGCTATTCAACATGGAATGGATATTGGAGCTTTGTTAAGCTTGGAGCAGTACGCAGCTGATAGGTGGATAACTAATGCCAGCATTGGAGGTGCTTGCGATCTTCTACATAAGGCTTATAATGTTCCTGGATACGGGCCGTTTGCGTGGGCAAGAGGTGTCGGGCTAGACACGGTAAATGGCTTGTCGGCACTGAAGGGGATGATAATGAAACGGGCTTCCACTGCGTGAGCTACTTCTGTGTTTATATCCTGTTTTAATAGTTTCTGGAGGTATCCTCGCTGTATCAATATTATATTTACTCCGTACGAGTTTGAAGACACGGGTAAAACAAGGCAGAAGTGGCTCATTTCTATCTGTGAAGGTAGTAGTAGTAGGTATCCCGGTAATTAATATAAACAATATCTGCTCGCACCAAAGTTCCATAAAATGCATGCCCCTTTGAAAAGAAATAGGATATAGTTTAAGTCCCTAATTTAACCTCACTCCCTCTCTTACAAAAGGTCCTTCACCTTCCTCGCCATCTCCGCTGCTTCATCTACCGGCTCATCGGCCTGGTTCTTCTTCCTCTCTAGCCTCGACTTAATTTCGGCGGGGAGAGTGTTGATATCAATCAACAAACCTTCCTTCTCAGGGTGGCCGTCTGGAAGGCCCATCTCCTTGACACGGACTTGGCCCGCAGCCAGCTCGTCTTCACCTAGAATCACAGCGAACGGGATCTTGTTGCTTTCAGCCGCTTTGAATTGCGCAGGAAGCTTAGGCTTTACTTTATATGAGAATTCGGCCTGTAGACGTACATTAGATGAGAAAACTATTATAGACGGTTATAAAAGCAAGGAGGGCGGGCTTACCTTGATTCCAGCCTCCCATAGTGATTTGCAGATTTGCATTCGCTCCTTTAACAAGCCTGTGAACCCCTTACCGCCAAACGCCATGACGAATACGTCCACCTCGCTACTTCGTAGAGCATCTTTGTCATTTTCACGGTCCATACGGGCCTTGGTGATGGAGAAAATTCGATCAACTCCGAACGAGATGCCGACACAGGGTATTTGGGCCTTTGGCGAAAACATGCCGACCAAGTCATCGTAACGACCGCCAGCAGCAACACTGCCAACACCAACAGAGGGATCGTTGGATAGGTCTTCGTCAGCGTCTACCTTCTTATCCTTCTTTGCTGAGCGTTGGAGGGCCTGTGCTTCGGGTGCGGAGGTGGCTGTGGCTGGCGCGGAGCCTTCGGTGACGACCTCATAGATGACGCCAGTGTAGTAATCGAGACCACGCGCAAGACTCATATCAAAGGAGATCTTATCCAGGATATCAAAGGCTTCCAGGTAGTCCATTAGTAGAGTCATGTCGTCCAAACCGGCTTTGGCAGATGCGTTCGCGGTAAGCTTCTCATCCGCCAGCAACGAGTCGAGGAGATCTCTTCCTCCTTTTCGAACGACGTATGTTTGAATATTATCGGCCACCTCGCCGTCAAGACCCTTCTCGTCAACCATTTCCTTCCTAACATCCTCCCACGCTGATTTATCCAGTTTATCGACTGCACTGGAGATGGTCCTTATCTTGTCCTTTGGCACACCGCACACCTCAAACACACCATCCAGTATTTTCCGGTGATTGACCTTGATTGTGTAGTTTCCCTTCCAGCCTAGATCATCAAACACCTCTGTGACGATCTTCATAACCTCTGCGTCCGGTACCATGGGGTCAAACTGTGCACCCGCAATATCGAAATCACACTGATAAAACTCTCTCATTCTCCCCTTTGTCATTGCTGGCTGATCTCGTCTGTACACCTTGGCTAGGTGATACCGCTTTATACTGCGCACATCCGTGTTCATGGCCAGCCATCGCGCAAACGGCACCGTCAGGTCATATCGTAGCGAACATATCTCCCCACCCTGGTCCTGCAAGTCGTATATCAACTTGGAATCCTCGCCGTACTTGCCAGCTAAGATCTCACGGAGCTCAAAGACAGGCGTGTCCAGCGCCATGCCTCCGTGACGCTTGAAGACATTGGTGATGGTGCTGAAGATGTGGTCGCGGAGGAGAGCGTTGGAACCAGCCCAGTCCTTAGTTCCCTTGGGCGTTTTCAGCGTAAAGGAGGTTTTATTCTTGGGCGCCATGGTGTACGGCTGCTTGGAAGGCGTAGTCTGGTCGTGATAGCGGCGTAGGGAGGACGGCGAGCAGCGTTGTGCGAGGAGGGAGGGGCAGTTGACGGAGTTTAGAGTTGAGATGGAGGGGAGCCGAATTGGCTGTCGGGCTCGAACGGACAGTCTAAGGCAGCCAAAAACCCGCGGAACACACTGGCACGGCATCCAAAAAGATCGCAAGATGAAAAGAACAACGCAGAAAAAAGAATTGAGGGTTTAATCCCCTATATTTATACGCCGTTACTTCATGATTCATATTTTTTTGAGTCAGAGCCAGCATCAATATACGGATAATAGATTATCCGGTAGAAAAATACAAAGAGCAAAAAAGAAAAAAAGGAAATGCGCTCCCTAGCGGGGAATCGAACCCCGGGCACGACTGTGAGAGAGTCGGATGTTACCTCTACACCACTAAGGACTTGTTATGCTTGGGACCAGCCTCACTGAGTTATAGCATCATACTTAGAACATGACTATGCGGTGGCTATCAAAAGATATACCTAGGTACTCCGTAAGTATATGTGCATGGTAGATATTACTGTAGCTATATCATCAATGGCTAATCAAGGCTTAGCACAAGGACCCTGCGCTTGGGTGTATAGGACTTTGGGTTTATGGCGAGGCCGTATAGTTCCAAGTCTGCGCCCATTTATTCAAGGCCGCGGGCCGGGCCGCCTGCGTCTGTCTTCATGTGTAAAGTGGGATAGCCCTATTTGGCACTCCGCAGTAAGAATAGGATTTAATGCAAAGTAGACGCTAGGAAATACAAGACCTTTTGAGGCTTGGTGCCTGGACACTAGCTTTGTACTACAAGTCTTGAATACTAGACTTTTGTCAGTTGTGCAGCGGTTTGATGTTGAAGCGTGACGATTACAGTATGCATACATTATTATTGCCCGATTCTACAATATTCCAAGTTGATGTGCGAATTAAATATGCGACGAAGGCACCAGCCTTTGATTTCTCTAACAGAAATCGTAGATCTCTTGTTGTTTGCAGTGAGCTTTAACTTAATATGAATAAGAGACGGAGTCCTCCGTACTCCATAAACATTCTATAAGTCCTATGCTTAATATGACCAGTCTAAAAGGGCATCGTGGATTTGCTTTTGTTCTACTTCTACCATGTAGAACGGTATAGATCTGGTTCGCGCCTTGACTGCGCTCGATGTGATGGTCCAAGACTAGCCGTGAGGCACTATTTAAAGAAACTCTCGGACAAATGGGATAGAAGCCTTCATGACGGGCTATGCTAAGCGTGGGTGGCTCAAACCATAAAGGAACCCATAGCTGTATTCGTCTTTACTGCACCTCTTCGCTAAACAGCCTGCCGCTCTTCATGTCTTTTCTGATCATTCGACTACTTTACCTGCCTCAGCTTTGATCGCATTCAACTGCAAAGCCACTGCGCCACTTGCAAAAGGCTAGCATTCAGAGCTGAGTGGCTTTGGACTATGATGGCTATGAGTACTCTAGGCCCTTCCAGGGCCAAAACCGTCGCAGCACCTATTAAACCTCTTATAACTTGATTGAGATTCTCCAGTTTTATCTTTCAATCATATAACTTTCAGATTTATTTACCTCCATGAAACGGGCCCGCCTTTTTTACTTTGCGACGAAAGCAGCACTATGGATGGATGTCTGCGCAACGATACGTCCATCGGGGAGTTCCATTTCGGTAGTTGGGAGTCAGCGTTCGCCCTTAACCTAGCATGCGGGGATTCGATGTACATGCGCCCCTCGGTCGGGGGTGCAGTGTACCCCTGGGTTTATCTTGTACCAATAATCATCATTCACGGCCCGGTTCTCTGGGAACGGATATACCATTGGGAGAAGGTACAAGTCATAGCCTTGGGGTTGGCGATCTTCACCATGATCACCACTATTATGGGCTATTGGTCGACAAATTGCGCGCCCGAGCAGGTGTTGGTGTGGATGCCATTAACCGTGACGTTGGACGCCGGGGCTATGATGCAGTTGTACTTCCTCATCAGTGATCTAGACCGAGAGTACGGGTCCGTGTGGAGTACAGCATTCAAATCCTTGAATTTTTGGAATACCCCTGGCCGTAAGCCGTTGGGGGATCGAGAACGACAAGTCTGTTTACTCGAAGTCCAGGAGGGGGAGTTACGGGAAATTCAACGACGGCAAGACGAAGAGGAACAACAACAAGATGGAGAACGACGGCAGGGCAAGGACGCTGAGGAAAATACAGCACTAGGGAAAATGCAGGCCGAAAGACTCAAACGAGCATGGACGGCCGTCATTGCACTATTTGCACTTCTTGTCCTACTTGTGCTGCAGACTTGCGGTCTCGCCAAGGCAATTCAAGGACTGCGACACAAAGACATCAAGGTCTCCTGGTGCTCTCCGATCCTCGAGAATCTTGTCGTCGGAGTCTACAATCGCGGTGTGAACGGTGCGACTACCAACTGCCCGGATATCTTTAGCGTCAAAACAGACTCCAATAAAGGGATCGGATGCGTGAGCCTTCCAGGGACAAGACAGAAAGACTGGCTCATGGTAACAGTCGTCATACTGTCGTTATCGTTAGTTTGTGAACTATTCGATCTTCTGACGTTACTCTTTGCGCCTGTCAAAATCGAGAAACTGAATGGGGTAGATTTGCGGAGGCCGTGGTGCACTGTATGTTCCCTGTCACCAGAACACATGTCACGATTCAAATGCTAACCTGTATCACAGATGTTTGGAGGCATCGCTATTCTGATTGGGCTAGCTATTGTAAGCGGCTACCATTCTATGTATCTTCCCGGCGAGTTGTCCAAGAGTATTTGGATCTTCCGGCACGATCCCAGCAGCAATTCTTTTGGTGCCTGCGTAGGTCGAGTACATGCCGCAGGTCTCAGGGGTGCGGTCCTGGCATGGACGGATGGCCTGCTAGACTTTATGCACAACGTGTACCTGGGCCCTGACAACTAAATGATACTGTTATGTGTGATGGAAGGGACATGGATAAGGATTTAAAAAGGTTTTCTTAGCAATTTATGATACGCTTACTTATTATTTCCTAGCTGGTTCTTACATAATAACAAATCCTTAGTGGTGTAGAGGTAACATAGCTCTCTTTCACAGAGCCGCCCGGGGTTCGATTCCCCGCTAGGGAGATTTCTTTTTTGCTGTCTTTTGGTACGCCTGAATTTCGTATTTTCGGCCGTCGTGGTTAGTGTGGATAGGATATATCTTGGCGCTCGAATTTTTTTTCCTTTCCACCCCGGCCCTCTCTGTCCCTTTATCTTGCGCCCCGTCCAGCTCCTTACATAACAAAAAGTCCTTAGTGGTGTAGAGGTAACATCCGACTCTCTCACAGTCGTGCCCGGGGTTCGATTCCCCGCTAGGGAGCGCATTTCTTTTTTTCTTTTTGCTCTTTTTATTTACTCTCCAAGCATACTACTTACTTCTCGCTACGTTCGTTCCATTTAGACGAGATGATAATACCCCAACAGGCTGCCTCGTCGAGGCTATTGATCGAGCTTCCTGAAGGAACACGCCAGATCAAATATACCAATATAACACCTTAGGGAAGTAGTGGAGGAGTACTATATAAATGATTCCCAGAACCCTAGAAAACCTCCGCGGGAGCGGGCAACAATGAACAAAATAGGCTCGATATATAGCGGACGATTCAGTTCTATGATATATACTGCCAGTAGTAGTTGGGCCCTAAGACAGCTATGCATTGTCCAGAACAGTACATGTTAGACGAAAGTTGGGAAGATAAAAGTGCCCTGCGCCAAAGAAGCCATTACTATTGGTTAATGGTGTAGTATAAACAGAAGAATTAACGAGTTTGTGGGGTACGTCTTATAAAACAATGATTTTATTGGATATTCCTGCAGTCCAAGCCTCTTGCATTCAGCTGATTCTGCGAATTCACGGGGCTGCATTTTGATAAATCAGCCATTTTCTCATACAAGAGTTGGGGAGGAATCCAGACATTCATTCGACTTTTAGAGGAAGATTATCATCTCATGAGTAGCCCGACCTCTTACTGGCGGCACACTACATCTTTGACAGACATTTTCCTAAAAAAACAAAAGAATGGACCCCTCATCTATCAGTACGAGTGCGGCAGCCCTTGTCGCAATATCTGCTCAAGTTGTTCGGTTGATCAAAACCACAATTGAGAAGCTGAAAAATAGCGCGAGACAGTTATTACGATTGCTAAACCAGGTGGAGCGTGTACGGCTTCTTCTTGAACAGCTACGAGCCTTTGGTAGACGACTTGGAGACAACAGTACGCTACTACTTAGTTTTAATGATAGCACTTGCAGAGATACGATGGCCGACCTTCGGAATTTTGTCCACGGCATAGCCTCGTCAAAGGGGTTTCTTGTTGGCGTATCACCAATGGTCAATGAAAGTAAATTGTCCGATTTGCTACGGAGACTGCATCGCCATGAGGAGGAGATCCAGACGCTTTTGATGACAATGGCGACGTAAGTTAGATACGCCTTTTCTGGATAAAATGTCACTTAATTGAATGGACTAGGGGATCGACATTGAGAACAGAAGAAGAGGCGATCAAGATTAGCGAAAACGCCCTCTCGCGCGCTCGGGCTACGACTGCCTTTGAATCTACTGATTCCCAAGATGTAGATAGCAGTGAGAATACACGAAACATGCCCCAGGTATGGCATGGCCAGTGCTCCCGCCACAAATTTGATAATGATTATCGCACGGAACGTGACAGGCTATCGAACGCAGCATACGCTGGTGAGTGGGATGAGCTATTCGAAATCCTGAAGACTGCCAAACGAAAATATAACGAATCTTGGGTCAATTGTCCTCGCCTAAGTAAGCACCGTTGGCCTTGCCTTTGCCCACCTTAACATTGCCCTGCGCTTGTACTGAGAATGCCTCTAGGAGAGAACACGAGTGGGTGGACGCCTCTACACCAGGCGGTATTTATGTGTGCAGATGAGGACGAGATAGAGGCTTTGTTAGAACTTGGTGCATTGCGTATGTTTCTATCGGCGATAGCAGCACCAACATTACTGATGTTACCTACAAGGCACACTACGCACGATATACGCAGATCCGGATGAATTTCCGTACCCTGATCTGACCCCAATCGAAATGGCCCGTTACCTAAGCTACACACACATGTACAGCTTGTTACAGCCAGTCATTCGACACAATATTCCAGACAAGTCACTCGACTGCCTCCAGCAGCGGTTCCACGACCTTATTCGTCGAGAGCTGAGGGGTGATGTAGCACACTGCGACTCCCAGAACTTATAGTTCTAACCGAGCTCGAGGAGCCAGAGATGCGGTTCCCAGTTGGTTCCCCGGATGCGGTTAATCCTCAGGTAACTTTCGCCATCTAGTGTCAGACAACGACTATGCTAACAAACATCCAGGGGTATATATATCGCTTGGATTGGCGAGAGCTCCTCGTCAAAAGCTACGGGATCACTGGGCCTGATGAATCAAAGCAGTATAGGATATCAGAGGCGGGTATTGACGACATTGAGGAGGCTATTGTATTTGGAGGATAGTCACAAACCGCCCAATGATTGATGTAAATATAATCAAAGTAATCAGTCTGCAAAAGGAAAGGAAGAAACAACATGGATAAGATATATATTGCAAGCATTGTGGTTGGTCTAAATCACTCAGGAGGAAAAAGTATGCCAAGAAATATTATATAAGCACCTGGAAAAAAAAGAGGAAAAAAAAAGAGGAAAAAAAGAGGAAAAAAAGAAATCTCCCTAGCGGGGAATCGAACCCCGGGCGGCTCTGTGAAAGAGAGCTATGTTACCTCTACACCACTAAGGATGGTTTGATGTATGGCCGACCCGCTCATAGTATAAGTTCTCTTCTCCAGGCACCCTGCTATATCTACAGGGGAAGAACAGCATCCAACATTTAACATCAACTTCACAGCATCATCTCTACGAGGTTGTATTTCTAGACAAGAAATCTCAAGAACCAAATAATATCTTGTCACATAGATATAATCTTCCCTCCACTGCTTCACAGACCCATTGCAATATATTGAACATGATACTCCCAGGCCACCGCCTCGTCTCTCAGAAAATCATTAACGGCCTCATCTCTCCATCATTACAGGTCCAGCCCTGTGGCGTTGATTTGACCTTAAAAAAGGTCCTCACCTGGACATCAGCAGGCACAGTTGACTTTGACAATAGCCAACGCCAGACTGCCTTCACCAAGGAGATCAAGTTCGTCTCTACCGGCTCACCTGATTTGCCAGGAGCCATCGAAATCCCTAAAATCGATCATCCTGCTGTTGATCTTCCTCAGGGCTCATATCTTGTTGAGTTCAACGAAACTGTCTCGGTGCCTCTTGATGTGATGGGTCAGATCTTTGTTCGAAGCTCTCTATTTAGATCAGGAGCTCTACTGAATGCTGGAGTGATGGACTCTGGCTACAACGGCTCTGTTGGTGCACTGCTACAGGTGCTGAATCCTGCTGGTCTTCGACTTTACAAAAATGCAAGACTCGCTCAATTCGTGTTCCACCAGATGAGCGAGCCGGTGGATGGCTATAAAGGGGTGTATCAGGGGAGTACGACAATGGGTTAAGGGGGTGTTGAATGGGATGGTAGAATGGGCGATATGGTTTCTTGGATGGTGGTTTCTTGGATGGTGGTTTCTTATACCCAGAAATTGTACTTGCTATAAAGAACGGTCGGTATCATGTTGCCTCCATCTTATCCACGTGTTGTTCTGTTTCTCCGGGTTTGGTTGGTTTAATTTTATTAGAGGGACCTGCTATTTCGCCGTTACAAATCTCAAAATACGTTGCCCATTATTCCTACATACAGGGGCAGTTGATGCGATCTACCACATATTTAGACAACACAAGATATTGGGTATGCTCGAGGCAGCCGTAGGCAAGGAGAAGGCGTTTTGAGCTCAATCACTGCATTTTGGCCCTAGAATGACTCTGCGCATTCTGGAATTTTTCCTACAGCCACATGTGGGTCTGGTCGATGAGCATCGCCGATCCACTGCGGTAACTTCAGCATGCCACATCATGCAAGGAACAAAAAGTATGAACATCTATTACTATATTTAAGGGCTATCCCTGTTGACCTACCCCATCGCTTGAGGTATCGCTCTGCAGAGGACATTGCATCTTATTTGGCTATGCAATGCTAGACGGGCAGAGTATTGGTACTACGTCACCCAATGATTTCTTGAAACCTCTGCAAAATATCAAAATACCAACTGATTGGTAGGATTGTCTTGTTTGTACCATGTGATTCTACACTAACATAACTCAATCTTGTACTTGAGGCTCCAAGGCAAAGGCCAAAGGGTTCAAAATCGTCTTAATGTGGCACCGCGATCTCGAGGTACCGCTCCGAGTAATATGGGACAATAGATCCCCAGCTTTGGACGGCAGATTATCTAACATTGTTTCAAATAACTCCATGACCACCATTATTTACCTTGCTATAATAACTGAAGTCACCAGGATATTTGGTTGTCGGATATCGACACCCGTTCACTCAACAAGTCAGCCCGAAGCTATGGGCGGGTCCTAGCCTAGCAACCCACCCCAAACTTACGGCCCATGCTCCCACTCTCTCCATTCCATGGCCCCTCATATCACGTTTGATATGCTTGGATCGATGCGAACTGCGATGTATGGTTGTGTTGGCTTGGCACATATATTAGGCTCGGGACGCGCTCCACGGAACCACGGATCACGGAAAGGACAGGCAGCCGCCACAAGCGCCACCTTATGCTATCTCATTCACATATACATGGTTGAAGGACCACGATGGGGGGTTTGGGATGGTCTGGTAATATGCTCCGCTCAGACTTCCAGTTCGCAAAATGTTAAATAGGCCGGCGAAGGGTTTTGGCCAACGGTCCACGATATCTGACTTGTGTAGATATACCTTCAGCTTGTTTACTTCAACATCTGGTCATATTTGAATGTCCAATAATACCAGGGTATGGCACCGCAGGTAATCAGCATGAGCCTTAGATTGAGACTCGAGGGGGTAACATGGAACAATGTCTTGCTGCTATTCGAGAGGAGAAACTCCCAGACGATATAGGACATTGCGATTCGCCGTTATTATGTATTTGCTACTGGCGGTACTGTCTCGATCATTTTGCGGGACGTCCGCACTTTGCACGAGCTCGAAATGCACGACTAATAATGAGCAACGAGATTTTGCAAGATATGCCAACGATTAAGAAAAAATCTATTAATCCAGATGGTAGCCTTTGAGGGGACGTAGACCGTTACGTATGGCTTGCATGGAGTGACGCCGGAAAAAGCTATATGTGCTTTTATCGAACCTACACAACCAAACTTTAAGAGTGAATTGGGTGGTATGGATTTAACGCTGGATGGGTGCATAGATGGCTGCTGTGAGGCTGGACCATATGATGATGGTCAAACGGTTTGTCTGAGCATCACCGGAGCTGCTGCGTAGGATTGAGTTATACGGCGGAATGGCTCCAGGACCGACTGGCGAGTTAGGAGACAGTTCACTGGTAGAGGCCGGTCTAGAAGATGAATCGAGAGATCTAAATTGGCCATCAGAGGAGAACCGGATGAGAACCCTGAGTTATAGTAGGATTGTTATAAACGGAGGATTATAGGCAAGATTTGTCCAGCATGCATCCCTCCTGCTGCTTAGTACATTCTGGATAATCAAATCGCATGTAAACGGAGTAGAACAGCAATATATAAACTGTATAGTTATATTCACCAAGAGAGCTTTCCGCAGGGGTGAATGTTGATGTGGCGCACTTCCGTAAACGGCAAAAAGCACCTCCAGTCACAAAATGCGCTCTAAGCATAAAACCATCAACACCTACCTTCTCCAGCTACCGCATCTCGTCGCGCTTCTCTGCTCGCATAACTGCTCGATACTGCTACCTATACTCGCCGTCTTATGGAGGACGGTAACAAGCATGATCCCTGGCGCGTTCCCACGTGGATTTGTATCGCTCCTTTTTCCATTCCAGAAGAACTCTGTCTCTGCTCCACCGACGATCGAAGGGTCGACCACGACGAGCGTTGATATCTCGGCCATGCAGTCTCTCGCCAATCGCTTGGATGGGCAGGCAGGGACCTCAGCCAGGGTGGACGCCAACTATGAGAGCAGACACGGCGCCGATGCGTGGGATATGCAGTCTGCTTGCCAACTCGCAGGGAGCGAGAAGCAGGCATCGCGCAAGCCTTGTTCCCTCCACACCCTTCCAGCGATGCTAAGAGACTGCTAAGAAGCTGTTTAATGCGCCTTGGGAGACCAAGAATGGATAGCCTTCCCCGGCGGAGCTTGTACGCCATAAACTTCCGGCCAGGTGATGTCTTGGGAGCTGAGATGTGTGTGACAGTGTACCTCTCACGGGAGACAGCCGTTGAAGCCGTGGAGGCCATGGAGCCCATGCCGCTGTCAGGATGGAGTCGGAAAGGGGGGTCGAAAAATGGGGGAAAAGGATGCGAGGGGTGCGAGAGGCCCTGCCCATTCGCCATGCCGGGATATTATAGACGCTGTTATTAATCTGCGAACGGTGTCACGACCACAGCGCACCGCCCACTGTCTCTCCTCTCCTACTGGCGCCGGCCTTGCCCATGACCGGGACCGCTCTCCCTTCGACTTGACGGGGAGGATGCTGTGCTGCCAGTCAAGCGGTTATGCGACCCTCCTCGGACCCCCTTGTTACGTAGTTTGCGTCGGCCAAGCTGCGTTTCGGCGTACATGTAGACATGCAGCTATACCTACCCTACTTGTGTAGCATCGGACAATATCCAGTTACGAGAAGCGCAGAGTTAGCGGAAGTTTAGCTGGAAAGTTAGCGATTGCCATGCGTAAGGGGGGGAAGTAAAGTGCAAGTTGGTACTTTTAAGGGTGCGATGGGGAAGTACTTGAGACTGCGCCTAAACTCCGCCCTGAGCCAAGTACCTCCCCATCCCAGGGCCCAACCATCGAAAGCGACGCTCCGCTGCGACTCCCTTCGCTAGCTCTACCACATCCTCCTCATTCATCATAGACCTCTCTCTCCTCTATCCTCGTCCTCTCCTCTCCTCTATCCTCTATTCTTCCTCTGTTCTCTCATCACCTCCGCGCTTGATATAGTTATCCGCTCCTCTTGGCAAGCAGCCTTCCCACCCAAGGCGGCTCGGTTCTCCATTCTCGTCTCCCGGCTCGTTCTCCTGCTTGAAACCTCCTTCGACTTGTCTCTAACATCGCCCTCCGGCTGCTCTCCTCCGCCCTAAAGAACCCTCTCTCCTCTCCCTCTCGTTGCCTCGACCGTCTCGCTGCCCTGGTCGGCTCTTTCTCCGACTGTACCCACGGCAAGATCCGCTCTCTGTCGCTGTCGGCCCTCCGAATACGATACCGACTCTCTCTTTTGCTCAGCGATCTATTCTTACCTACATGAACCAACGCGCATCCTTATCGTGCTATTAATATCGACCGTCATTCCTACAGCTTACCCGGTGCATTATATATTCACAAGTGCTGGCCGCTGTGCGGCGGCCTTGGCTTGGTTGCGTGGAGGCGCTTCTCGGATTTTGGACTCTGCATCATGAGCTCCTTCTTTGGGAAACTCAGAGGCAATGGGGTACGTTATTCTTCTACAATGAATAGCAGACACCGTCACCCTGCTGACCGCCGTGTGTGATTAAGGCCAATAGCAATTTCGCCAACGCTGCCACAGCCGCGAAGAAGGACATCCCACCGGTACCCTTGACTCCGCTCCAGAAACTTCTCACAGACGCAGGCCCATTGAAAAGCGATGGCAGTGATAAGTTCTTTGGCATGGAGAATGTAAGTCTCTTGTTCTTGCCAGCTACATGTCGCATAGGCTAACCGTTGATGTATAGGCTCCATTCGCGAACACATGGTTAGTTATGGCCATACCGCGCCTCACTAAACTACCCTGGCTAACAAGTACTTGTCGTTTTCCGACAGTTACTGCAATTCTATCCTCCAATGTCTATATTATTCCGCCCCATTTCGAGAATCCGTGATAAACTACCCGCAACGCTCCCCTCCCGAATCCCTTCAGACCGCGCTATCAACCAACTTCAAATACCCGGACCCGGACATATCACTTGAAGAAGCACTTATGCAAACGAAGCTTAAACAACAGCAAAACATTAATGCTGCAAACAGACCACCCATCGCCGTGCAGAATCAGATCCAGAAACCCGAGGATAAGGACTCGCCCGAATATAAGAAGAAAATAGCGATGCATACTCTTCCAGTGCTGGAGACGACAGATAATTCGCAGAATTATGGCATGCAGGAATCACTATTTACTTCGTTAAAGGATATCTTCGAGTCCATCGCTGCGAGTCAGGAACGTATGGGCGTCGTTCGACCGCAACACTTCTTGGATGTCCTACGGCGGGAAAACGAAATGTTTAGAACAGCTATGCATCAGGACGCGCATGAGTTTCTTAACTTACTGCTCAACGAGGTGGTATCCAATGTCGAAGCTGAAGCAAAGCGAACGCCGGTAATAGGAGACGGTGACTCGGAATCAAGTACCCCAACATCAGGGTCTGCCGCAACCACCCTCGCAACGTCCGTCGGCGCAAAGTCTCCCTGCAACACTCGCTGGGTCCATGAGCTGTTCGAAGGTAAACTCACGTCCGAAACAGAATGTCTTACTTGCGAGAAAAAATCCCAGCGTGATGAGGTATTTCTTGACCTGTCTGTGGACCTAGAGCAGCACTCCTCGGTGACCTCGTGCCTACGGAAATTCTCGGAAGAAGAAATGCTCTGCGAACGTAACAAGTTTCACTGCGATAACTGTGGCGGTTTACAGGAGGCCGAGAAGAGGATGAAAATAAAGCGCCTACCAAGGATATTAGCGTTGCATCTGAAACGGTTCAAGTATACGGAAGATCTGCAGCGGTTGCAGAAGCTGTTCCATCGCGTGGTATACCCTTACTATCTACGGCTGTTCAACACTACCGATGACGCCGAGGATCCAGACCGGTTATACGAACTATATGCCGTTGTCGTACATATTGGTGGCGGTCCGTACCATGGTCATTATGTAGCGATCATAAAAACAGAAGACCGGGGATGGCTGCTATTCGATGACGAGATGGTCGAGCCCGTGGATAAAAGCTATGTACGGAATTTCTTTGGCGATAGGCCGGGTCAGGCCTGTGCATACGTCTTGTTCTACCAGGAAACAACCTTTGAAGCCATGCAGCGGGAACTGCAGAGTGAACATATGGCGGCAAAAGGAGAGAATGCTGACCTCGCAACCACCGCCTCTTCAAATGCAAATGGCGTCGCGTCTGCATCGGACATCAGTCGCGTACGCAGCGCAGTCCCTCAACTCCCCATCACGGACAACTCACCCTCCACCTCCTTCAACCCCATAAAGCAGGTCCCCAGTGCACCTCAACTGTCCACAATAGCCGACCCACCATCCACTGCCCTCCCTCCCGCGCCAGCAACGGCCCAGTCACCCAACACTCCGGTGTCATCCTCGCCCAACAAACTTCCTATTTCCTTGCCCCGTATCCCGCTAATGTCTCGAACTCCTGATCGTGCTGCTGAAATACAATCTAAAAAGGAGCGGGCACGAGAAGAAAAGGATCGTAAGGCCCAAGAACGGGAAAAGGAGAAAGAAGAGAAACAGAAACGCAAGGAACAGGAGAAGGCGGATGCACGTCAAAGGGAGCTAGCTAAGAAAGAAGAACAGTTGGTTAAGACCGCTTTGGATGCGAGCCGGCTTACGGCTAAAGAGGAGAAAAAGAGGCTCTCGTCTGAGAAGAAGAGACTATCGACTGAGAAGAGGCTTTCGGCAGAGGGGATGCCTGGTAACGGCGATGGGAACGGAAATGAAAGTCGAAATGGAAAGGAAAAGGAGAACGGACATGGCAACGGCAACGGCCATGGTAATGGAAATGGCAATGGATATGGGCTTGCTGGCGGTTTTGCGAATGGTATTAATGGTATTGCTGGTGGACTGGGCAAGCTGAAGCTCGGCGGTCGAAGCCTCAGCTACAGCAGAAAACATCGAGAAAACAAGGACAAGGAGAAAGAGAAAGTCCCTGATCTGCCAGCCTCTAGCAGCGCAACAAATGGCTCTGCCACCGCCTCCGACACTACTATATCTACCAATGGCCCTCTGAAACCCTTTCCCACTATCAGTCCAAGCGCCAATACGTCTTCTACCGCAGTTACAGATGCAGAGCAACCACCTGTCCTCGGACAACGCCAACAACTACCTTCTAGAGTATCAGAACAGCTCGATCAATACGAGAGCCCCTCTCAACAATTAACATCACTCCCTCAACCACCCCCCACGTCATCATCGCCGCATAAACAGCCCACCACACGACGAAGCCGATTCAGCCTACGCAAGAAATCATTTAGTGTACTCTAATACCAGCCCTGAAATCGAAAACGGAAAAGAGAAAAGTCTTATGGCGAGCTTACGTGCTACCTCGAATCTTCCAACATCATGACCTCGAATTGTACCACATATCAGAATTGACATATACATGCAAACATACACATATACATTTGGCTGGTTTTTGTCGGCGTTTTTCGTTTCAATGGGGAGTCGCTGCATATCAATCATTTATCTTTCCTTATTTTATTCCCTGCATATATTGTGCCTATCCATACAGTTGTAGGCGTCTGCCTACCTACCCATCTTACTCGCATGTTTATCATATTTATTCCTTTCCTTTTGCATTGTATATAGAGCTCTACCTTGGCCTCTCACCTCTCACCACCAGACGCACACACACAGCTCGTCCCCACAACGGCCTATATCTTCACGGAGTGCTGACGTCAAATACCCGTTCATTATCTACTTCAGCCTTACAAGTCACCCTTTACGTGATATGTCTTATGTTCTATGATCCATCATGATTCGACTCGCGGAAAGCTTTTGGCCTATTGTTATGCAATGCGCTTTGTGACATACGATGACTCAAAAGAAGATGAAGAAATTGTCATACCATAAGAATTCAGTTGAAGAGGTGGTGTTGATCTTAGCATGATATGATGTTTCCCAGCGCTACAGTTTTGACTACTATGCAGCCTAACTATTTAGAAATGAAAATGTTAAATGTTAATACTTTGTGATCTTTTACGTCCTGTGCAGCCAATTAGAACTTGAACGCATTCCATGTAGGAATAAGATGTAGTAAAACCGGCAATAAAACTCCGGTTCCTTTTTCATTACCCTCCCTTTCTAAAAAAAACTGTTGAGAGATGGAAATAAATTCAAACGGCGCCGCTCCATATGCACTTATATTCAATATATCCTCCTGAATCTACCGCAGTACACCACTATTCCTGCGTCGACAGTATGTTCTCGTATGTCCACAAAGAGACCGCCAACGAGGTATGCGGCGGCGATGAGCTTCAAATCATGTCTAAAGACGACTCAATGGTGCGTGCGGGTACGTGTGGTTCTCAGAGGAGGGAAAAGAAGGTATCGTAACGTCAAGTGTTCATTTGTATTTTATATCCCTTTAATTCAAAATATTCATCCCAACACCAATTCGTAAAAGATTACCAGCATATTTATAGCGATTAACGGGACTAGAAATTATTGAAGAGGCGAACACGTTAGAATGGGATGACCTCCGTGGTGCAAAGGCTTTGGGGTATGGTGGGAGCGCTTACTTCTCATAACCGTTCGGACACTTGCTATTAGATCGGCGGACTTCGCTTTAATACTGGTGTTATCTTGTGATGCGCCAAAGCCTGAATCATACTGTGTACGACTCCATCCGACTTTATTGTCAAGGTGTTAGCATTGGTTTGGATAACGGACTCGAGGGGATGCTACGACAGCATGCGGCGGGGGATTTACTTCGAGCTAGGAAGCGGTCTTCTGATAGGATGGCGATGGCATTTATTATTAGAACGACCACTAAAGACTCATGGTTAGTATTTGATCCCTTATAGCTTTAAGCTGGTAGAATATGCGAGTTGGGAGAGGTTGGAGCCAGGACGCTATGCGTTGCAGGCTGAAGGACCAGGTAGCTAGCAAACCTTGAAACAACTTTCCGAGGCCAAAGAAAAACATCTTGACGTTCCGTTCGAAGGGATATTTCACATTGAGAGACCCCGGGATAGGCCAGTTGGGGAAGAGTCGTATGGTGGGAGAATGACGCTGGAGTTGTCGAAAGTCACTACGTGGTCCTGAAAGTCAAGAAGATCTCAGGGAGCATCAACAAAACAACCAACATCAGAAATATCTACATCTCGACGCCAACATCCCACTCTGACTTTCCTTAAACCCCCCTAAAGGAGGGGATGTAACGATGGCCGCCCATGCGATGCTTTATTGCAAGTGTTAAATAATCAAATTCCTATTATCATTATCTCCTTTGTTACTAACTACTGTATAGGCATGTATACCGTTGGCGTCGTGTCCCTGGTATACCTCGTCTTGTCTCCTTTTAGCAAGGTCGAGGAATCCTTTAATATACAGGCAGTTCATGATATATTAAAGTACGGAATTCCTTCAGTGAAGGATCCTTTACCTATCCTCCGCCAATATGACCATGTCACCTTCCCCGGCTCTGTACCAAGGACCTTTGTCGGCGCTGTACTCCTGGCTGGTATCTCGAAGCCAGTGTTATGGCTTTTGAATGGGAATCCTCAAGCCAAAGGTTAGTTCTCTTAGATCTTTTAACCCGCGCTATTATATATGCTGATCATAGATTTATAAGTCCGCGGTGTCCTGTGGTTTATTAACTACTCTGCTTTGGCATCCTTAACTCGATGCGTGCAGACGGGATTTGGAGATAATGCGATGGTTTGGTACATTCTGTTTCAAAGCAGTCAATTCCATGTCATGTACTATGCTTCGAGGACTCTTCCAAACATATTTGCGCTCCCAATAAGTATACATACCCCGTTCCCTTCTACCTCATAGGTTCTCGTTTACTTATCAATTATAAATAGCTACTCTCGCATTTGCCTGTTTCATTGGTGGTCTTCTGCCAGGAAAACGCAGAAGTTCATATTGTCGACTATGTCTTTATCTGCTCACAATCGCAGGAATCATTCTCCGGTCAGAGATCGCAGCTCTGCTTGCTACAACTACAGTATACCTCTGGACTCAAGGTCAAATTGGGTTGCGCCGAGAAATAATTCCAGCGGGCATCAGCGGTGTGTTAATCGGCCTAGCTATTACCGTATCAGTGGACTCTTTCTTCTGGCAGAAGTTTCCACTATGGCCTGAGTTAGCAGCTTTCGGATACAATGTCCTTGAAGGGAACGCCTCTAACTGGGGCGTAGACCCGTGGCACTATTACTTCACGAGTGCCTTGCCTCGCCTTTTCCTGAACCCATTGGCCTACCTCATCTGCATCCCCTTCGCATGTTTGCTTCACCCATTACGCAAAGCAGCCTGTTCTATCACCATTCCGCTCATCGCCTTTGTCGCCATTATGAGCGTTCAGCCACACAAGGAATGGCGTTTTATCATCTACACAATACCCCCATTAACTGCAGTTGCTGCCATCGGAGCCTCATACATTTGGACCCGCAGAGCCAAATCTATTGCATATCGCCTTCTTTCCATCTCCCTTGTCCTCTCAACCTTAGCTTCCTTTGCAATGTCATTCTTCATCCTGCTGCCAATTTCTATGTCTAACTACCCTGGCGGAGTAGCCATGAAGTTAGTTCATAACTACGCCCACGGCTCTCAAGCAGTCATTTCCGTCCATATGGACACATTGACCTGTCAGACTGGCGCAACCCATTTCTTAGAAATGCCACCGCCTAAATCACCATTTGTTCATCTCCCTGGTTCCCCGGACGGGAGTTTTCCCGAGCTTAAAAGCGGAGAGTCGAGATGGATTTATGATAAGACGGAAAGTGAGCTTGAGAAGCAAAAGCCAGAATTTTGGGATAAGATTGATTATGCCTTGGTTGAAGATGAATCCATTCTCCGTGGAATGGGCAACTGGGAGCTTATTGACAATGCTTATGGATATAGTGGAATCCACATTGTTCGACCAGATGCGAATGCATGTTATGCATGTGGCGCTGAAGTTAGGATTCTACAAGCACTCTTCGGGGATACTGGCGTGAAGGCCTGGGAATTTATAAAAGCAAATGCAAGAAAGCACGTTACGCGTGGCTGGTGGGTGGAAGCCAGGTTAGCGCCTAAAATTAGGATTATGAAGCGCTTGCATTGAATGGTCCTGTGGCCTCCCAATGTTCATTCAGCCTTAAAGCGATTCTGTATGATATTTGAACTCTGTATTATCCGATGGAACTGGGGTCTCATTTAGGTGTTATTACGAGATGTCAAGACATATTATTGGTAGTTAGAGTACGGAGTATAATGGGAGGAATAATCCATAGTAAGCTTCCTAGATTGAAATAAAAGTATAGGAAATCGTATCTATCGATTCAAGGCGTCCAGCCTTTTCTCCAGGTCTTTCACCCATGGACCCATGACTTCCATATTCCCTTTCATAGTCTCTCCACTCTCCTTGACCTTCTCTTCCATCGCCTTTAGTCCTTCTCTCCACTGATCTATTTCCTTCTTCATATCTGCCTGGCGCTGTTCCAAAGCATCAAGGTCTTGACTCGCCGTTGCCGCTCCAGCATGTATCGCACGGAGAGAACGCAACCGCTCCAATATACTGGGAAGTAACGGATGCAATGAAGTGATGGTTGGCAATGTCGTGTATAGCGCATGTATTTTTGCAGTTTGCTCATTTGCAGCTGCATCTGACTCTATAGCCGCTGGGGATGAAAGTGTAGGGTCTGCTAAAGGTTGCGGTTCATCAGACGTTGCGGCAGCAATTCGAGCAGAAAAGGCTGCACGGGCCGCTTCAGTTGCTCGGTGTCGAGCAGTGGTAAGTGCTTCAGCGTCAGCGGTAAGTTTGCGGATTTTGCTACTTAACGCTTCGATATGGGGAGTTGTCGTTACGGGAAGAGGGGTGGGTTGCGCATTAGAAAGGGACAATTGGGTATTATTGGCAGTAAGGGTGCTATTAAGGGTTGAGAGTTGGGAAGAAAGGTGGTTCAGGGACGGGAGAATGGGTTGAATATCTGTATCCGATGGATCATCCGGTGAGATTGGGACAGGTGTGTTTTTCAATCCCAATGATGCTTCTAGCAGTGTAAGCCGCGCATCGAAAGATGCCGCTTGTGATAGAATCGAAGAAGTTGGGCCCCCAGCGTGTTGATCTGCACGAGTCCCATCCGTGCCTACAGCGCCCCGTTCCTTAGCACGATTGATATCGTGTATATCAGAAGAGAGTTTATGCGATAATGCTGCCTCAGCCGAGGGACCAGCCTCTTTTGAAGAAGTGTATAGAGTATCCAAAGTTCGGCTGAGCTCCATAATCCCTTCATCGCAACCGTCATCTGTGTCCCCCTGTTCTTCATCTTCGGTAGCGTCTCTTTGGGCTCTCCTGGTAGCAAGTTCTTCCTTCAACTCCTCTGCCTCCCGTCGTAGTCGAGCAAGTTTCCTTTCAAGGGTTTCGTCCTCTTCATCACTAATATCCCCAAGAACCTCAGTTCCGTCCCGATTGTGGTGCCTTGTTGCTCTTATTGTTCGGTATGACTTTTTCTTGGATGCGATGCTATCTGAAAAATCCACGTCTCTGGCATCGACTCGGGCGGGCTCGAAGTGAGAACGAGCTTCGTCGACCCGTAATCGACGGCCATCGATTTCCGGATTGGTGGATGACTCTGGGTCGAATGGCGATGACGAGCGTACTGTGGTAGTCTAGGGCGTCTCTTCATCAGTATTTCGATGTATAGGAATTGCGCGTATCATAGTCATGGCCATCATTACCGGCAATGTCGAAGCATCCGTTAGTTCTGGGGTTTCATAGATATCAGGAGCTAGGTCCTATAAGAGCTGTATATTAGCTACATGTGGTCATTCTCCTACGCTTGTTCAAATGGGAGGGCATACCAGGTCGGGGAGACCAGCATATTTCTTATTGAACGCCATCTCAGCAGTTCTTCGTTCTTGTCTCCCTGGTATTCGGCGTGCAAGTCTTCGTCTGCCCGTCTTTCGATGCTCCGCGCGCAGCGTTGATACTCTGATTATCACGTGACGACATCTTAAATTGAACCTTCTGCTTCCTTTTCAACCATATAGCAGAGCAAGTATACATGAGCTCACTCCCAACTACAGCGCTTCACAGCATAGTTATGTTTTACGAGGTGCATGCTCAGCTTAAATGGGACATTGACCTAGATATGCAACGCTGGAAGCTAAAGATGACTCGCTCCTATTTCTCCTACGGTTTGCTAACAATATTTAGCTACAGGAACAAGAACGCACAATGATGGCACAAGAACTGAGAAAGCGAGACAGCAGCATAAACTTTCGGAGATTCCATACTCCAAGAGCTCCCCTGCCCCTATTCCGGTCCATTCACAAGGCACACGAACGCTCAGGGGAGAGATGAAAGCGTGCTAATTTTATACACGGGGTTGACCTCAAACCACCAACCTCAAAGGACGAGCTGGTCTGGGGATTCGCATGTGCTTGCCACGGCGGAGCGCTGCTAGTTCAACTATCCGCCCCCTTTGTCGGGGACGGCGTCAAAGCCAGGCTCACAATTTGTCGATGATGCGCTCTGTTCCTGGATGCAACATAATATCCGGCACGCTTGGCGGAGTTCCCCACGTTAGATTCCGTCACTTCCACATGATAAATGCGAGCCAGGGTTGGAGGTCGTGGATTCCGAGGCTTTGCTGCACCACATATATTCAACATCTTCCTCCCAGGTATTTCTTATCCTCGTCTCATCTCTGTTCACCTCTGTCTACCCAGTCTCCGCATTTTTACTCACTCATTCGCCCTTTTTATTTTTATCCTTCCTATTACATAATATCTACGTCAAGATGGCTGCTCCAAAGGAAGCTACGGTTCACAACCTGACCGGTAACTGGAGGATGGTAAGTGGGATATTTTATTTCTGGCTGGGCTCAGGATCCCCTTGATGGACCAAACTGTGTAGCAGTTTATCCAGAAGAGAAATCCGTCCCAGGTTTGCCGTTTTGTTACATTTTGATTCAAAATGCGGGGTCTAATAGACAACTAGGATGCAACTCTCTCCGACAGCACCGACCCTACCTTGCAACTTGTAAGCCGTTTATCTCTAGCTAGCAGTTGCATGGGCACTGTAGAATTTAACAAAGGTTATAGCAAGGAATCTCGTGGTTCACCCGCAAGGCTATCGGCCTAGCCACCATCACTCTGCACGTCAAGGAATACACTGAAGGCGACATTATCCACATCGACATCGCCCAGACCTTGACTGGTGGAATCTCTGGCACCACCGAGAAGCGTGAACTCGGCTGGCACACCAAGGAACACACCGACCACATCTTCGGATCCGTCAAGGGCCAGACTCGCTTCATCGGGACCAAGAAGGACGGCTCCAAGACTGTCCCAGCCATCGAGATACAGACCAAGGCTGGCAAGCCGGAGGAGGACGCTGCTGTCGCTAAGTTCTTCAACGGAGATGTCTTGGCTGACGGATCCGCCTCTGACGGCTGGACTGTCGACGAGAGCGAGGGTGACGAGCCTTTCATCCAGAGTTGGGTAGAGAGTCTCGACAACGGTTGGACCGCAGAACAGGTATAACATCTTATTTCCTCCTACTCTTCCATGTATGCACTGCGCGATCGCTAACAATCTATAAGGTGTGGGGTTTCGAAGTCATCAACGGCGTAAGATACTATACTCGCCGTATTGCAGTTGCTAAGAACGGCGTCTGCAGCAAGGTCAGACTCGTCTACCCTTACCTCGGCCAGGACGAGTAATTTATGATCATCAACATCAGCCATTTACCACTTTGGAGAGATCTTGCTTCTTAGTGAAAGGGGCATATATGCACCCATAGACTAGATGCAGTTTGGTTATTTATATATCCATTTATCTTCGATATTTCTACTTATATCATTTTAGGGCTACGATTATGGGCCATGTGTGGTAGATGAGCTATTTAGAGACCATTTCTTTCTAATATTTTGTATAAGCAATATGATCATTCCTACTGAGTTATCCTTATACAGCCTACCGCTTGATAAACAAATATTACAATGTGGCTGCAGACCCCTTAACGGATGTAATTATCAAGCTAAAAAGTTCATACTGTGACATTCAACGTCCATCAAGTTGAGTTACATTCATAAAGTAATCGTGTAGTATAGAGTCACCTAAAAGGGTAAAGCATGTGCCAAGGCTTGCATGCGACCTCTGCCTTACGATCTCTTTAAAGGCTGAACTTTTTGATACCAACAACCAACCACTTAAGAAACCTCTATGACTACTAGCAAAAGCCGATCATGGGATCCCAAACACCCGATGGCCATCGTCGAGGCCCAGATGGTAGGGCAAAAGAAGCTACCTGTCTTTAGTTGTAAGCTACTCTGACAAATTGAATAGAATCATCAACCGGCGGTGCGATTGCTGCCGTCAATCCTCCCACGCCAGCCGCAGCAAGCGGACTCCTTCAAGGAGCACTCGAAGGGGAAGACGAAGATGGGGATGACGATGACGATGACAAGATCGGAGCTGACCTGAAGTCCGGTGGCCAGCCTAACAGTGGTAAGCCCATATAAAATTAATAAGAGCACACTTGAAGCTAACTTCAGCCTAAGGTAAGAAAAGAAAAAGAAAGAGTAACAAGAAGAAGAAAAAGAAGACGTTGGGTGGGCAGCAGACGACTCCTCCGAGGGTTGCGCTCGCCAACATATTTCCCGACCAACGATACCCCCAGGGCGAGATTGTTGAATATGTTACTCATAATGACAATCTCCAACGCACCACGACCGAAGAGGTTCGTCACATGTCTGTAGCAAACAACATGGATGAAGAGTTCTTGAATGACTATCGCAAAGCTGCTGAAGTCCATCGCCAAGTCCGCCAGTATGTCCAGACAATCGCACAGCCTGGCGTGTCTATGGAAAAGCTTGCCCAGGAGATCGAGGATGGCGTTCGGGCACTGACCGGCCACCAAGGCATTGAGACCGGTGACGCTCTCAAAGCTGGCATGGCATTTCCGACTGGACTCTGCCTGAACAACGTAGCCGCTCACTGGACTCCCAACCCCGGAGCTAAGGAGGTTCACCTCCAGTACGACGATGTCTTGAAAATAGATTTCGGAGTTCATGTCAACGGTAGGATTGTTGATAGCGCCTTTACCGTGGCTTCTAATCCAGTCTATGATAATCTGCTCACGGCCGTCAAGGCGGCCACCAATACAGGGCTCAAGGTAGGCAAATATCCCTTGTTCTGCATAACATCGGCAAAAGCTAAATAATATTCTAGGAAGCTGGTATTGACGCCCGAATTGATCATATCAGTGGAGAAATGCAAGAAGTAATGGAGAGCTACGAAGTCGAGCTCAACGGAAAGGTCATCCCAGTCAAAGCACTTCGGAGCCTTACCGGCCATAATATCCTGCGCTACAAGATCCACGGCGACAAACAAGTTCCCTTCGTCAAGTCCAAAACCACCCAACGCATGGAAGAAGGCGATGTATTTGCAATCGAAACCTTTGGGAGCACGGGAAAGGGCTATACCAGAGATGACGTGGGGGTTTACGGCTACGGTCTGAACGAGCATGCCAGCGCTGCTGGTCTTCATCATTCCTCTGCCAAGTCACTGCTTAAGACTATACGTGAGAACTTTGGAACTCTGGTCTTCTCCAGGCGTTATCTTGAACATATGGGAGTGAGGAATTACCACCTTGGTATGAGATCGCTGATCTCAAATGGCATTGTTGAGTGTTATGAGCCACTCGTTGATGTTCCGGGCTCTTATGTCGCGCAGTTTGAGCATGTGAGTATAGTACACGAGCTGAAAGGCTGTGGAATATAGGCTAATATGATTTTCTACATAGACTGTTCTGCTCAGGCCCAATTGCAAGGAGGTGATTTCCCGGGGAGACGACTACTAGGGAAAGGGGATGTAGGAAATTGGGGTGACAATTTGGTTTCGTTTTGATTCTCTGGAACCTTGGCTTCAACAGTCTTGGAAAAAAACAATTTGGTAAACGCATTCCAACATGCTTTACTTATAGCATATATCGTGTCAACGACGCTCATTTTAAATCGCAAAACTATCAAAGACACAAATTACTACAATATATATATTTCCTGGTTATATAATGTAGCAAGGTCACGTATTCCCGCCTCTCTTGCTGGGAGCCAAATTTGGTACGCTGTCGAGGATATCTGAACTAGAAATGCGCAACGATCTATGGCAGAAAGAAGAAATATATGTTATCCGCGAACACACTAAATAAAACAAAAAACAGACAGGGCTTTCTTTATCGTTTTCATTCAAAACAGGTTAAAGGGTGGTTAACTGTGGGTGGGCATGACAACGCTTGCCTTGTTGCTGATTGCGTCCTCACTTCTCCACAAGCTGGTGACGGTCTTCTGCTGGGTATAGAACTGGAGACCTGGTTTGCCGTAGAAGGTGTTTGCACCGCCACCAGCAATACTCTTCTTGTTTCCAGTGAAGCTGAACATGGGGAGCGGGACGGGGATTGGGCTAAGATAGGATTGGTTAGCTGGATATCTATTAATTGGGGACCATCGAAGGTGTACTTACACGTTGATACCAAGCTGGCCAGCCTCAATCTGGCGCTGGAACTTGGTGGCAGTTGGGCCGGAGCGGGTGAAGACCGCGGCACCGTTACCGTATTCGTTGGCGTTGATGAGGTCGATGGCTTCGTCGAGGGTCTCGACTTCGAGGCAGACAAGGACAGGGCCGAAGATCTCCTCCTTGTAGCAGGTCATGTGTGGCTTGACACCGGTGATGATGGTTGGGCCGACCCAGTTACCGTTGGGGTACTTCTCGGGCTTGAAGCCGCGTCCGTCAAGAAGGATGGTGGCACCCTCCTTTTCGGCGGTGGCAATGATGTCCTCGATTCTCTTCTTGCTCTCGGGGCTAATGACAGGACCCAAATCGGCACCCTCCTCGAATCCACCGTTGACCTTGAGGGCGCGGGCACGATCGGCGATTTCAGGAAGCCATTCCTTGGTCTCGCCAATCATGACGAGAGTGCTGAGAGCCATGCATCGCTGACCAGCGGCACCGAAAGCGGCACCGGCAATGGCGTTCAAGGCATGGTTTTTGTTGGCGTCAGGCAGGACGGCGCAGTGGTTCTTAGCACCGAGATTGGCCTGGACACGCTTGCCGTTGGCAGAACCGCGAGTGTAGATGTATTCACCAGCGCGGTTGCTGCCGACGAAGCTGATGGCCTTGATCTCGGGTGCGTCGAGGATGAAGTCGACGGTCTTGGCGGAACCGTGGATGATGTTGATGACACCCTTGGGGAAACCAGCTTCCCTGGCGAGCTCAGCGAGGATCATGGCCGCGCCGGGGTCACGCTCGGATGGCTTCATGACCAGGGTGTTACCAGTCATGGTAGCAACTGGGATGCACCAGAGTGGAATCATGGCAGGGAAGTCTACACTCCTTGTTAGTGAGAAAGCTAAGCAGCGGGAAGGAGTAACATACTGAATGGACAGATGGCAGAGACAACGCCCAATGGCTCTCTGTAGCTTCTGGTCTCCATGTCCTTGGCGACCTCGAGCACCTCGCCGGTCATCTGGGTGGTGATACCGCAGGCAGTCTCGGCCACCTGCAGACCACGGAGGACGTCTCCCTTGGCGTCGGCAAAGGTCTTGCCCTGCTCAAGGGTGATGCTAGCCGCGAGACGGTCCCAATTGGCACGAATCAAGTTGACAAACTTGAACATGATCTGCTGTCTGGCCATGATGCTGGTTGCCTTCCACCCTGGGAACGCAGCCTGGGCACTGGCAACAGCAGCCTTCATCTCCGCATCCGTGCTCTGGGGAACACGGGTGACGAGGTTGTTGGTGGCCGGGTCGAACAAGTCGATCCATGTCTCTGCGCGAGAGGCAGTGAACTCGTTATCGATGAAGTTGGCGGTGTCGATGGGGTTGGCGATGCGTTCGTGGTCCTGGGGGAACGAGGTAGCGGTGGAGGCTGCGGAGGTGGTCGACGCAGTTGCAGCGGCGGCGGCAGGCTTGAGCTGCTGGGCGGTGGCATGCAGTCTGCGGATGGCCGTGGCCGAGGAGTTCCTGGAGGAAGCCATCATGGAATTGCTGCTGCTCGTGGCGCCGGAGCGGGCTGCTGTGGTGAGGGAGCGAGTGAGGGCGCTGCGGGGAGAGGCAGCGGCGGCAAGGGAACGCTGAAACGCTGGCAGGCGGGTAGCAGCGCGGGAGGCCATCCTAGTGGTCTCTCGTCGAGCGTCTCGTTCAATTACGCCGGAAGCAGGAACTGTGAAGCTGCAGAAGTGACTGAGATAGCAGAAGTCGAAGTCGCGAATGTTCAGCAAGAGACAAGAGACAAGAGGAGAGCTTGGAGAAGGTTGGGCCGGCCTAAGTAGGAAACTCCCTCGGCTAAGCGCTTTCCGCCGGCTTCTATGGGCCAATCAGCATCGCCGCCGTTTGGCCGGATACGAATATTAGGTAAGCATATAAAAAAGGCAGGAAAAGAGAAGAAAAAGAGAAAGAAGAGAAGAAGAGAAAGAGTTCGTGGTTAACAGTTACTTTACAGATCAGACTCGCAACCTGGTACATAGAATATCTCTCTAGAAGAAGGAAGAGAAGCCCGTCCATCCGCCAATCCTTCCGTCCATCCTGAAACAGAGGATTACCCGATTCAACATCAATAAACATTTTCGCTTTCCATAGACATGACGGGTGACAAGACGCCAGCTGCATAAGAGTAAATAAAGAAAATGAAGAAAGAAAAAGGCGTGAAAGATGCATGCATTCTTTCTCTAGGCGCCACGTCCCCTGATGCACCGCAGACTGGCCTGGTTGGGTGGTAGTGTATGTATGTAATATGTTGGTAGGAGTTGATATTAATTTTTGTTGATCAGCCTTCGCACAACCTGGCTTAACCTGACTTCGCGGCACGCTTCTTCGCCTCTCCCTTGCCGCTGTCGGCTCCGGAGGCAACGACGGCCTCGGCGGCCTTCTCCTTCTCAGTCTTCTCGGCGGCCTTTCCGGTCTCCTTCTTAGCGGCTGGTGGGGCAGGGGTGGACAGGCCGAACATGCCAATGATCACGACAAGAGAGGCGAGAATCGCACCAATGGCACCGCCAACCTCAGGCACGGCCTTGAGGGCTGCAACGGGGTCATCCTGGGCGATAGTGATGAAGCGGTCGAGCTTGGCGCGGATGTAGGCCACTGGGTCCTCGGTGAAGGGGACAGCGGGGGTCTCATCATCGATCTCAGGGCTGAGCTTGGGTTTGCTGGCTTCTTCCTCAGCAGCTTCAATGGGGCGCTTGATGTCGTAGGTCTCAGCCTTGAGTTTCTCGGCGTCTTCGATAGAGTGGCCGATGTAGATGTTGTCAAAGAGGATGTCGTTTTGCATGGTCCAGATTTCAAAGCCAATCTACACCCCAATGTTAGTCGGTCAGGAATATAATAACTTCCAATAAAGTAGGTAAACTTACAGCTCCCATGGGTTCAAAGTTGGAGGGCTTCTTGTCCTCAAAGTAGTTGGGGTTGGGGATCTTCCTTGGAGCCCAGACTCCCTTGTAGGCTGGGTTATCAATCATAGGAGCGGACCACTTGCCCTTGTAGGCTGGGTTTCGGATCATGGGGGCCTCCCACTTGCCGCATCCAGAGCCTTCCTCGCACTTGGGGTTGGGGATGGTTGGTGCAATCCAGTCACCGTCTTCCTCGTCGTCCCAGTCCTCTGGCTTGACGGCTTCAGGGTCGGCAATAGAAGTTGGCTCGTCATCTAGCCAGTCAGCGGGCTTGGTGGCATCGGCGTCAACAATCTCGAAAGGAGCGTCCTCGTCCCAGTCCTCGGGCTTCTTGGCCTCGGGGTCGGCAATCTTCTCCTCATCAACCCAGTCCTCTGGCTTGGTGTCCTTGGCGTCATCAATTTCCTTCTCAGGGTTGACTGGAGGAGTAAAGTCCTCGAGTAGGGTTCCATTCTTGATGGCATCGCCGTCAATGCGGATCTGGAAGGACTGGTCCGGGTTGACGATGAGAGTGTAGAGGGTGGTGAGTTTGGTGACCTTGACGGCTGGGGGGGCCTTGAGGTGCTTCTCCTCGTATTCGCCAGTCTTGGGGTTCTTGTGCTTGAAGATGAAGTGAACCTGGCGAAGTATTAGATAGCTGTCCTAGTGTTTATACCGCTCAATTGCATCTCTTACCTTGTTGGTGGCTCCACATCTATCGGGGCCAAACATGATGACGTAAGGCGAGGCATTGGAGAATTCTTCGGAGTGAAGCTTCTTGTTCTCCTGTAGGAGCTTCATGTATGCGCCTCCACAGGTTAGAGAGTCTAAAAGCACGTCAGCATCGGAGCCATCTTGTATCTCCCCAAACAACCTCTTCGAAGGGACGTACTCTGAAGCTTAACCTCGTACTGCACAACGAGAGTCTTGCCCTTGTTATCAATCTTCTTTGGGAACTTGGCGGAAATCGCATGATGGGCAGCGGGATTCTTGACAACTAGACCCTTATCGCCCTCAATTCCCTTGAAGACGGTTGGCTCCTCGACGGCCCATTCACCAACATAGGCCCATTCCTCATCAGACTTGGCATCCTCCTTCTTAGCATGGGAGATGGCCCATCGCGAGTCCCATTTGTCGGTGAACTGTTCGAGGAATGGGGCTTTGATAGTTGTGGGCTGTTTACACCGTCAGTCAAGCTATTATAAGCAGAGGTAAGCTTCACATACGACAAAGGTAGGCTTCTCGATGGTAGAGGCAGTCTCCTTCTCTACCAAAGGCTCCTCATCGGCAGCATGGGCAGAGCCAACGAGCACTATCGATGAGAGGAGGAACGACGCGAGCTGGGCGTTGAGACGCATTGCGATCGGTCCTTCGAGCTAGCTTCAGCGGACAAAGCGGCTTGTCAACGTGGGGTTAGAGGGTAAGCAGGCAAAAGCGAGCAATCAGCAACAACAGGTCGATGAACAAGAGGAAGGGAAAGAAGAAAAGAAGAGAAACACGAAGGTGAAGTCGAGTATATATGCGAAGGGCGAAACGGAAAGCCGCTTGCAAGGTGGCCTCTTCCTGCCGCGGGTGCCATACTTCCACGGCTTCCACGGCGGGCGGGGAGAGGAGTGCGTCTGCAGAGGAAGCTATAAGTGCGTGTTCTTAGCGGGCGGTTACCGCGCGGGCCGATATATACTCCGGATGCTTAGTCATTTGTCATTAGTCAGCATCCATCCACTTGCGTTTATGTCAGAATCTTCGTGTGTACGGCGTCTTGGCAGTATCAGGCCAACGCCACTCCCCCCCTGCAGATCTGTTTGATTACGGCTCGTACGTACGCTACGCCTTCCCCCATATATAGAGGCCAGATATGGCCTGTTTCCCTAGTTATCATCATCATTCATCGATATTAGGCCTATTTTTCGCTCTTTGCTATTGTATCTTGGGCTTATAGGCATTGATTTGCCGTTCCGCTGTGTCCCGTAGAGACGCCATAATCGTACCGATCATTAGCGCGCTCCGATAGTTTATCCCACCTTCTATAGACCTGGATAAGGGACACAGCAGCCAGCACAAGAGGACATTATAGACGTCAGTTAGACTCAATTGGGCTTGTAGAGGCTGCATCTCACTTTTCACACCCTATTGACACTGTTTGACCGCATATTCTCATAGATAAGTGGCCAACATGGCGGATATCAAGCCAGAGGAGGTCCAGGAGGGGAACAACGACCATCTCGTTCAATCTGACGACCCCCAACATCCTGCCAATCTCATTCCGGAGCTCTGTCGCAAGTTCTACAGCCTCGGATGGGTCACTGGCACCGGTGGTGGAGTATACAGCCCGCTCTAGTAACATATATCTCATCCATCTGCTAACGCCTATAGACTTCCATCCGCCGCGGTGAACACATCTTCATCGCCCCCTCTGGTGTACAAAAGGAACTCATAAAGCCCGAAGAGATTTTTGTCCTCTCCTACCCAACCCCAAAATACCCTCCCGAGGCCCGTAAATACATCCGCAAACCTTCCGTCCTGAACCCTTCGGCCTGTACACCCCTCTTCCTCGCTGCTTTCGACCGCGGTGCTGGTTGCTGCATTCACACGCACTCCCAATGGGCTGTCCTGGTTACCTTACTCGTTGAGCGTGAGAAGGGGAAATCCGGCTGCTTTGAGATCAGCAACATTGAGCAGATCAAGGGAATCCCCAGGGGTAAGGGTAAAGGCATGCTAGGCTTCTTCGACACGCTAAAGATTCCGATTATTGAGAATACTGCATTCGAAGAGGACTTGACTGGAAGTTTGGAGAAGGCCATGGATGAATATCCAGACACCTATGCTGTTCTGGTGAGAAGACACGGAATGTAAGTATCCTCTTCAATACTCTGCCATGTTGGGATACAACTAACGTATGCTGAATAGATATGTCTGGGGCGATAACCCAGCCAAAGCAAAGACGCAGTGTGAGAGTTTGGACTATCTCTTCCAGCTGGCTGTGCAGATGCATGCTCATGGGCTACCGTGGACCGTCAATGAGTCTGCATAGACTGGCATCCTTGAACTAGATAGAGCCTACATAGATATATACATACTCTCCTTGGTACATATGCTGCTAGATAATATAATATACCCTCCATAATACTGTCAGTTCTAAGGGTGTAATTTATGGTAATGCGAATACCCGTAACTTACATAACTTACCACCACTTTCGTCATGTCAGGCAAACAGCTTTACTTTTGGAGCTCGCGCACTTTAGGCTGACATCCTCTGCCTCCTTGATATCGCGATCCAAACGCTTGCCTGCACCAGTACAGTCGTCACAGTAGCCAGCTGGTCATGGATCTGGAGGGCAGCGACTCCCCATGGGGCGGTACGTCAGGCATAGACATCCACTTCCCCGACGTTGCCGTGACGTGCTAACTGTTTGATTGACAGATGTTCCCTCCCACTCCAAAACCCCCGATGGCAAGGAGCCGGGTATGGCGTTGTTCCAGACATGAATTGATCTCTTTCGCTGACCAGAACTAGCTAAGGAGACCCAGGCGACTACCCAGCAACCCTCTTCGTCGTCCCTGACAGTCCCTCAATCACCTCCCACCGCCCGAGGCCCCCGAACTCCCCGTAAGGTCAGCGCACAGGTAGTCAAACTAGAACCAGCAGGAGACGTCCTCGATCCCCTTGGACCGCTAGGCGAGTCATCGTCTTTTCCCGTTGCAGACGTTCAGACGCAGGACCAGCGACCTGCACCCCCACGCAAGGAGTCGTTCACAACTCGGAATGTCCGGCCTACCTCTTCGGCGTCGCAGTCGTCTGGCGCAGCGGGCGTTGCAGCGCTGATGGAATCTGTTGATCTCGATGAAGATGGCAATACGACGCGGGCTAAGATGACAGGACCCCCACCAGTGCAGCCAGCACCAGCGTCGTCTACAGCAGCAGACTCCGGGCCAAAGCGCCAGAATCAGAGCATCAGCGTTGAGCAGGCCGCGAAACCGTCATTCTATATCACTGTTGGAGATCCGCATAAAGTCGGGGACATTACCAGTAGCCATATCGTCTATCAAGTTAGAACAAAGGTAATGGCATTTCTCTATCTACATAGATATATGTTCATGCGGCTAACCGAGGTGTTCAGACAACATCAAAAGCATATGTACGGCCTGAATTCGCTGTTACTAGACGATACCGAGACTTCCTATGGCTATATACATCATTGCACTCTAATAACCCAGGAATCGTCGTACCGCCTCCCCCTGAGAAACAGGCAGTGGGAAGGTTCGATACCAACTTCGTCGAGTCCAGGAGAGCTGCGTTGGAGCGTATGCTTAACAAAATCGCGGCCCATCCTACGCTACAACACGATGGAGACCTCAAAATATTCCTTGAAAGTGAAGCGTTCACCATGGACGTGAAAAACAAGGAAAACCGCGAGCCAGATCTTGGACAGAGCAAGGGAATGTTCAGCTCTCTTGGACTATCCGTTGGTGGGGGTGGAAAGTTCATAGAACACGACGACGTATGTCTAACAATTTCTTAATTTATGGCCATAGCCTTGATACTGACTCTAGCCAGTGGTTCCATGATCGAAAAATATACCTTGACGCCCTCGAAACTCAACTTAGGGCTCTCCTAAAGGCCGTCGACACCGTAGTCGCCCAACGCAAAAATCTCGCAGAAGCAGCCAGTGACTTCTCTACGTCTCTCCACTCCCTCGCGAGCGTTGAGCTCTCTCCCGCTCTTTCAGGTCCCCTTGACGGCCTCGCCGAAGTTCAGCTCCGGATCCGCGAGCTCTACGAACGTCAAGCCCAACAGGATGTCCTGACTCTTGGAATCACCATGGACGAATACATTCGGCTCATCGGTAGTGTTAAGATGGCATTCACTCAACGTCAAAAGTCATATCATTCGTGGCATGCTGCTGAGTCAGACATGCAGAAAAAGAAGAATACACGGGACAAGCTTCTGAGGCAGGGCAAGTCGCAGCAGGACAGACTTAACCAGGCTCATGCAGAGGTTGCAGATGCAGAGAAGAGGGTTCACCAGTCACGATTGTTGTTTGAGGACTTGGGTAGGGTAATGCGGAATGAGTTGGAGAGATTTGAAAGGGAGAAGGTGGAAGATTTCAAGTCAGGGGTAGAGACATTTTTGGAGAGTGCTGTTGAGGCGCAGAAAGAGGTTCGTACATACTACCAACATACCAATACCTCATTTTGGTGCATTATACTAACGCCTTTACTTAGCTTATTGAACTGTGGGAAACCTTCCTTCTGCAACTCGACTCCGAAGATGAGCCAAACCCCCATCAACCCGAAACCGCTCCAGCTTCTGAAAGCGGACAGGGCCACCAACATTCTGAAAGCAACGCATCTGCCACCAGCGCATCTAGAGACCAGGAAGAAGCCTAAATACTATCTTTGATACAGGACACTAGCAGATTTCCTACCACTGTGAATTAGGGGGTTTATCTTGATCTTATACCACTTTCCCTTGTTAAAAATATATATTCACACAGCGTCCATACATGATATCGTATCCCTTTCTTGTTCATGGTGAACCTGTCTTGTTTAAAGAAATATGTGGAAATTGATCATGTGTTATGTTTCTACTTATCCCAGATTGTTTAGCCAGTTATAGGAGTTTATGGCAAGGCTGTTTGAATATCAGGCGGTAAGTTACCAGACCAAATTATCCATAAGATATCACCATGTCTATTTTCTACGTGATTGAACTACTTACCTCTTGGTAATGAGAAGCCTAGACTACAAGCAAGATTAGCTGTATGCTGAAATGGGTAGAGAAATCATCAATTACAGTCGGCTCAAAATATCGTATAATTGCCCCTCCCAAAGTGTATAATATAGTACAATATCGTTCTCGACCCGGTCTATGCCATAGGAAGTAAAATGTGCAGTTCCAACTTTCAAATCGAAGAGAAGATATAAAACAGACGCATAACCCATGCCTCACAAAGGGCAGCACTTCTACTTCTTCTTCGATCCCTGAGTCTGCTCCTCCTGTCCAAACGAGCTGATCAAATCCAATAAGTTATCTTCATCCTCATCTTCCTCAAACTCTGACTCCACGACTGGCTCAGGTGCCTTTGCCGTCTCCGCCTTTACCTCTCCAGCCTCCACAGCGGCAGCATCGGCAGCGGCAGCAGCTGCAGCTGCCTCAGCGTCACTGGCAGATATCTTCGTGGTAGAATCCCATCCTCGTCCATACCTGTTTCTGAACGCAGCTAATCGACCAGCTTCATCGTCTTCGAGGTTAAGCAGTTTCTCACTGCTGGGGTTCCATAAGAGTGCATTTCGTGTGTCGCGTGTAGATCGGTAGACGGCTTGAGGAGAGGTGGTGCGGTGGGTGAATGTGCTTCCGTCCGAGAGCGCGATGAGTTGTGTGAATGTGTATGGCCGTTTAGGACGGCGGAGAAGGGTTGCGTTTCTGCATTGACTGCATATGAATGTGGTTTTTGGCGAGGCGAATTTTGATCCCGCTCGAAGAACGGGGGCGTGGAAGGACATTGTTTCCGATGGTGGATGGCTGGTTAAAGGAAACGAAGGGACCGAGCCCTGTCAATGGAGCGGTTTATGGCTTGTTGGTGGTTGCTTTATGACATTCGAAGGCTGTTGAAGATTTGGTCAACGAGATTGAAGCTATTCGCGATATGAATTTGATTACGTCAGCAATTTTTTTTTTCTTGACCTTGACCTTGATTTCCAGATCGTTTTACCAGAACGAGCAGCTGGAACAGGCACTATGAGCATTTTTATATCCGGAGACGTATGAGGGAGAGCAGCTCGAGGAGTTGAACGATGCATGCGAATACCAGGGCACGACTCTCGAAGCTGGTTATTAGGGAAGATGCTCTCCCTCGCTCGACCAGGGTCCCAGGGATTCTCGATGCTTCAAGCTACATATAACAGCGCCATAAGAGCGAGCACTGTTCCTCCACTACACATCCTTCCTCGCAGATACTATGGCGGTATAATACGGGCGATTGTCTCGAAACATGTCGAAAGCATCTCTGACACTCTCAGCCCGGTCCTCCCTCCGAACCTGCGAAAGCGACCCGACCTCTACCAGCATAGATCAAACACTGAGATCAACATCAACCTCCCACCCAGCTCCAATGCGACGAACAAGGACACAATTGAGCTAGAAGATGACATATCAACTACAGAAAGCCAAAGGGGCCTCGATGCCGAGACGAGTATCCAGACCCAAGTCCGCCGGTTGATGCGATTAGTTCCTCACCCCGTCGCGATCGTCACTTCAACAGAACCCAACTCTCCGCCGAATTCGGCATTCAGAGGAATGACCGTCTCTTCATTCAACACTGTGACACTGAACCCGACACCGGTTATATCGTTTAATGTGAAAACCCCGTCAGAGACATACAATGCCATCCGTTCTTCGTCACGCTTCCTCGTACACCTACTGTCCCCAAACGAGGCCATGGCAAGATTGGCATTGGAGTTTTCAAAGGGGCATGAAAATGTAGCTATAAGCGGGGACAACCAACGGTTATCTTTCTTTCGGTTTACTGCGCCGAATGATACCGAGACATTACCCTCGGTCCAGAATGGAGAGCCGCCCCGTTTGGTTATCAATCAAAGGCAGAAAGAGGCAGAGAAACAACATCAACAAGAAGACGGCTCGGTCTCACATTTTCCATTTATATTCGAGTGCCAATACCTACCTCAGAGCACACGGATCGGGGACCACGTTGTTATCTTCGGCACGGTAGTGAATGTCCTTTCTGAAAACAGTGTCCACGGAGACACCATGCACTCAGCGAGCGAGCTGTGTCTTTCATATGCAGACACTAGATTCTGGGAGATGGGCGATAACATCTCTCCTGCTTCTAAAAACTCTCCAACAAAGCGTCCGACTGTACATTAGCGTTGGGATATCATTTATAGGGACGGCGTTAAAGCACTGGGCTGGTTACTGTATATACTCGCCATTATCTTTTGTACTTTTTATATCGAAGCTACAAACTTTCGATCAGGGGCGCCCCTAAACAAGGGTCAATGGAAAAAAATAATTATGGAATCATCAACGGGGGTTCGAACGCTTCTAGCTTGATCCTAGCACCATCCCGGAGAAAGCATCAACGTAGCATTGGGTATTGAAATATTAATTAAACCAACTGTCTACCTCGCCTCCAGTTTGCCGCCACACCTCATTACGCTTTGGGCCGGTCTCCAGTCAAGGCGATATCTTGCATACTTATGCCGACAATTCGCCGTACATCACCAACATACATGGATTGAACAGAGAAGTTATCCGGAGCATCCCGAAGCCGCGAGACCAGAAGGGCTGGATGCATATGTATAGCCCGAAAGGGGTAGTTAGTTCCTTCTTATGCGACGTTTTGATGCACGACTCTGTTCCAAGTCTACGCCATGCATGGTGGGTAAACGACCCCAGAAACCGAATCAGATCTGCTTCTCCAACGCTGGCATGCAGCCACTGCTGCTCTCGAGGCCCAGTCAGAGCACTGGCTTCGTAAGATAAATGTGAGGAGTCCCGATCTCTGCATCCGAAATGCAACGTTTTGTGGAGAGCGTTGCGGAGGAACGGTCGACGTCTCGCAGGTGGCGTTCTCTCGAGGTCTTGCAACCTGGGGAAACAGAGTGCAGACTGCTCCCCGGCCGACATCACAACACTAGCTCGCCGTCCGTAACTCGCTGTGCGTCGAAGCACCTCCGTACCAACCCTACTAATAGTGCTGTTGGATATTACTTCCAACCTTCCATATGTGCGGATACCAAGAAGTGCCATGACTAAGCATAGAGCGGATCGAGCGGGTCCACGTGATAAACCGAGGCGGCGATCTTTTTTCAGGCCAAGCATCACTAAGCTTTCTAGTTCTTCATCGCGGGGGCTTATGCCGAGTCAGGTACGAGAAAGACATGGACGGAGAGGATGCGAGGGACAAAGAGACAAAGGGAGAGAGAGAGAGAGAGGGAAGAGTAGAAGGGAGAGGGAGAGGGAGGAGTAGAAGGGAGGGAAGAGTATAGAGGGAAAGACGGAAGATTATGGAAGGCTGCTATGGCTGCCGTTGGTGCTGGCCCCTGTCCGGCGCATCCGTCTGATTCGTGTCGGATAATAACTTCCCTGCCGTGAAGACTGAGCTGACGAGTTTGCAGGTACAGTCATGCCTTCCAGTAGATCTGCTCATACCTATACTTATATGGAGTACTCTCTCTCTCTACCATATACTCTTCTACTTCTCTTCTACTTCTCTCATATACTTCTGCTTCTCTTTTCTTCTCTTCTACTTCTCTCATATACTTCTCTTCTACTTCTCTTCTCTTCTCTTCTATTTCTTTTATACTTCTACTCCAAAGTTATATCTTATATCGCGTGACTAAGCAAATACAGCCCTCTCATTGGCGTAGAACCGCTGACTCAGCTGGCATTTTTTCACCGCAAGCGCGCCGCCGAGCGAGCATCTTAGAGAATCCGAAACGAGCGCTGGGCCAGCCTCTACGATCTCTCTCTCCTTTGTAGCATGGCCGGTTTTTCCTAAGGCACGTCAGTCTGCCAATTACGCTCTTGATACTGCTTTACCTTGCTGCAGGCGGACTCTGCGTCCCTCCCGCTGCCTCCAGCACCCTCCTCGCCCGCCCATTTCACTCTGGCTGACCCTCGCCAAGTGGATTTGGGCCTCGAAGGAACCGGCGCTCTCGACAGATATCCATGGCGAGGAAGAATCACCACGGACAGCGCAGCGAGTCAGGCCGTGCCTTGCCAGGGAAGAAGCTCGCCAAACAGAAGTCGAATGGCCATCTGAACGGCTCCCCGAACGGCCAGCAGGCCGGCAACAATAATAATAATATTCCATCTCCGCCCACCATCACCACCGCCAACAACAACAACAACAACCTCTCGACGCCAGCTCCCACCACTACCTCCGCCACCAGGACTCTGCAGAATGCTGATGGCCAGTCGATGGCAAGTTATGGTGTCAACGGCAGTTCGCATGCTATGGCCGGCGTGACCAGGAAAGAGGCAAACGGACGCGGGAGTCACCAGGTCAATGGAGGTGCCTTGGACGGCGGAGGAGGGGATACCGCCATGTCGAACGGCCACACTCACGCCCACGGTGCCGGTCACTTGTGCTCCTCCGCCTCCTCCAATGGTGTCCTGCCCGGAGACCGGTTCGACGAACCCTTCTCTCGTCGGACTGACAGGATGGTCCCAACCGTGAAGAAAGCTCATTCCGTCCGCAACGGCGTCAATCCACTCGTTCTTGCTTCGACAATTCTCAAGGCCTGTCCAACGTCCGACACCATCGCCATTCTAATCCTTCTCCTGCAGCTTCCTCCGATCGTTCTGACCCTGGTTCAATTTCTCTACGCTTCCATGACCTTCATGTTACCGGCCGGCGTGTCTACTGGAACCCTGACATCCAACTTCGACATCTTCCAGGGACCCGCTGGAACTCCCTCGCTAAGTACAATGATTGCAATGGACGGCTTCTGCCTGCTCGTATGGGGTCTGTTCATGTGGAACTGGGCGAAGAATTTTGCCATCGATCTCGCACATGTCCAGGTGGCTATTGCTCTGGGAGCCGGCAGTTCTGGAGATACCGGCGGCGTTAACACGTTCTGCGTTTCCATGGTGCTCATCGTCCATTTACTACGGAGTGAAGGCATACAGGCATTTCTTTTAGGGCATTTGTTTTCAGCAAAACTCCTCTCCCCGGATACCGTAGCGAAATATTCCTACCTGATCCCTGCAGAGTTTCGACGTCAAGACCATTCTTCACCTCCAAGTTGGATAGGGAGTCTACTTGCTGTACATATTTTGGCGCAGGCTGGAACGGCGATGGCGAGACGGTCAATGGCAAAAAATCGGTCCTCCCCGCGCAACAAAAATAGTGAACGATCAGGAACGGACGCTTCTGCTGGAACCCCGACCTTACCCGACATCTCCTCTCTGGAACCATCTACCGCTTTATCCTCAGGTATCTCATCAGAACCACCGCTATCAAGCTCCGGGTTGAAAGATACAACGAGGGAAAGGGTGTCCACCGTCAAAAAACGACGCCGTCAGGCCAACGAGGCGAGAAGAGTACAACCTTTTTGGGCCGCTTTGGCTAGCACAAAATTTACTGTTACTAGAGAATATGAACGATCCCGGAACGGAAACTGGTACTCGCCAAACGTCCCTACTTCGGAAGACGATTTGGATGGCGTATCACCGGATAACGCATTTATTTGGATTACTGGCGTTGATACTTCAAGCATCGAGTTTGCTGCAAACGATTTTTCAATTAGCGAAGATGCCGTTGACGAAGGCGCTGCGTATGGTGCCACGGGACCGTTTTACGTACGTGTCAACGGTGCGCACTGGGCTGCTGTTACACTGTCTAAAATTTCGGATACTTCCAAGGAACCTGCTCTTGTTCATTGGAGAGGAGAGATATCAGGATTAGCGCCGGACTGCACGTATACGTGTAGTTTTGTGTGTGTCGATACAAACGAGGAAGTCTGTGTTGTGAGCGTGAAGACACCTTCGGCTCCCATTACAGATCAAGGTGAATACTTGTACGATGAACATCATCGATCCATCATGACTGACCATATCATAGTCGTTACGCCTCCTGTCGCTTTATCCCCTCAGCAAGCTCTACGCCCTTCATCTCCATCAACTACCGTCAAGAACTCCATAGTCAACGCCGAAGCCAAGCTCAACGAACGTCGCGCCCGTCTCAAACGCTCGCGGAACAACCACAAACTCCATCTCTCCAAAGTCAAACGTGAACTCGACGGTTTAACCCACAGACTGCAAAGCGGCGGAGACGAAAGTCGACAAAAGCAACGCTCCCTTCAACTTGAACGAAACATCCGCCAAACGGAAGAAGCAACCGCCGCAATTGAAATTCAGCTTGAGAATCTAGAAAAGTCACCAGGCCCAGGCGCAGAGCTGGAGGAATGGAATTCTCGAAAGGCCGCGATTGAGACTGAGACTGCAAAGTTGAAGACTCTGAAGCGGGAACTTGAGGCTGCTAAATCTAATATGGCAAGAGTCGTCGCATCTTCCGAAGCGGAGCTGGCATCTACCGTACAAAAGAGGGAACGTCTCCAGAGCCGTCTTAATCGTCTTGCTGCCCAACACGAACGCATCACCTCTTCTACCAATGCCCAGGATCTGGCCGAACGCGAACAGCAAGCCCAGATGCAAATGGCTCAATCAGCCATGTATAGTAGCTATCTGCCGGGGACAATGGTCCATAAGGTATGAACATTGCACTTCCTCCGTATCCTATATATAAACCAAGTACTAACATCATACACCCAGGTGCCAGCGAGGTTTCGTCTTATCCCTGCTTGCGGCGGCGACCCCAACCTCTTCATCGACGTGGAAATTGCAAACGATCCCGGGAGTAATATTCAAAATATATTTAGATCTGATCTATATAGATTGAACTATAACCCGCTTACGTACACCGGTATAGAGCAAAATATACCGGTAGAGATCGCCACTGAAACCAGCGCTGGAGTCGAAATTGAAGTCGAAGTCCGCGAAAGCCTTCGAATTCATATGCAAATACTTAATCCGGCAGGCGTACCCATTACGCCCTGGTATGTTGAGCGAGCAGCAATCATCGAAGATGGAGCAATAGCGGCCGCAGGAGGGGGAATGGGGATGTATCGGTACTCGGGAAATGGGATGCGACAGTATCTACATTTTGCGACGGGTGCGTCTCCATCTCCGGCTCCAGCTCCAGCTTTGGCTCATGGGAACCAAGCTTTATATGTAGCTCCAAAACAGGGCGAGATTATAGAGCAGTTACCAATTATATAATAAATAAGTGAATACTTTGGATCGCGCATCATAGTAAACGGCTAAAACGCGGGTGGTCCGCAGCAATATATACAAAGGGGTTGGTATAATAGTTAATCTATAGCTGGTGAGTCTATGATAAAAGAAACTTGCCATAGGTGCTGTATATCGCCGTACGGTCTACTCCGTATACACAATCATCCACCCCGTATATGGACAGTCAGCAGAGGCCCATCTATTATCATTACCTAACTGCTAGCAGCAGACCCCATACTTTCAACAGCATCCGCTCTATCCCAAGTACCTACCTCCAACTCTCTAACCCTCATCTCAATATCCTGCACCTTAGCCCTATTCACCCTCTTAGCTTCCTCTTGAGCTTCCCATAACTTCCGATACTGGACAAGCATCCACGCAGGCAAGTTTGAAAGCTTCTTCGCAACCCGATAGTCATATAGAACAACATCCTCCTTACATCGAGCCGCGGGTCGCTGTTTAGCTTCCGACATGATAATTACGTCGAGATGTAAGTTGGAGAATGGCGCTGGATTAGTTGCTGTCGGGGACGGTGGTTCGTTTGATAGTTTGTGATAGACGCTTATTTGGTCGGGGAACATCATGGGCTAGTGATATTGTTAGTGGAAGTTGTATGCTGTGGCGTGACCATGGGGAGAGAAGACTGACGAATTTATAGTCGATTTTGATGCTTTTTAATATATATCCGATGCTCTTTGAGCCCATGAGCTGGGACCATTGTTTCTTGTTTTCGGGATCATGGTGGACGGAGATGTTGCGGGACCAATTTACTCGGCCTGTTTCTGCGTATCGGACGTACATCACATTGTTTACATGGCCTATATTGGAACCGTTAGCTTTGTGGATAATGGTGTTTGGGGACGGTACATACCCTGTTCTCAATTGAGATATTTAGCAATGTTTAGATGAAGTTCAGCTATGATAAATGAAATATATCGATATATGTCTATCGGAATATCTCTGTTCAAAGTAGTCAGGGGAGCATGTATCTTACCATGGAATCCTACATAGACGTAACCATAGAATCAGCCAAACTATCCATAGGAACCAACTCCTTCAGTCCATGGGAAATACTATACCATCTCTCCCCAAACAACGTTATGCTTATGGAGCCCGCTATATTTCTCTCCCGTCAGGAACCCTTCACTGCCCGCAACCAGCTCCCTCCAGTCCCGCGCTATCTCCTCCAGTACCCCTCCAGCAACAGGCACCAGCTCCGGCCGCATCCCAAAAGCGATACATTTCCCAATCCGTGTCTTTATCCTTGATAGCCACCTCGGGTCGAGCTGGGTACTGGAAGTTGTGCTGGACGACGCATGCGAATGGGATGCTCGTCGGGAAGATGCAGGGATAGAGCTAACGAGATATCGACATGGGGAGGGGCCGGGTATATAGAGAAATGGCGAGCTGAGGGCGCTGCGAGAGAGGAGTGTCTTCCTCGCTAGATTCGTTGGTGACGACATGTCGATGCCTTGCCTCCAGTGTGTTCTGTATAACGTTGCAAGCACTCAATCGCTCCCATCGAGCCCCGTTCTTCGTTTCCTGGGGCAAAATGTCCACCTTTATCGGCCCTCGGCTCTACGGGCCGGCGTTTTTTTTGGGAGGAGTTGACCACGTGACCTTGGTCCGGCTGAACGGAAGAAAGAAAGAAAGGAATCTTGGAATATGGAGATGGAGATGTTGATGTCAAACCATCCAACGAAACAAAGAAGGACAGAGACCAGACGCCAGGTGCCAGGTGCCAGGACGGTGGGACTGGATTTATGCACGTCGGCAGCTAGTCTATGCTTACTTCTACGTCAGCCGTTGGAGGGAACTTGCATATATATCATTGACAGGTTGCATATGTCATTGACAGGATGAGCGGGCCACTGAGACACCGGGTGATAAAGATCTATAAAGGTGGGTGATGCCGTCGATAGCGTTATGCTGGCTTCCCGTGTTGACTCGGCTGTTTAGAGCTTCTCTTCCTTGGTCGAGACTATCCGCTGGGATACTCGTACTTTCGCGAACGACTACATCGCGCCTTCGCCAGCCAAGCAGACATCACCAACGAAGAGGAGATCAGAAAGGGCATAGAGAGGGCCGAGTTTGTGAAGAAAGAAGTGGAAGCATTGTAAGTGGACAGAGAGAAAGAAAGTAAACAAATTATATACTCCGTATAGCCCAAGGTCATTAAATACATGCCAACATCCAACCTCGCCGAGTACTCCTTTCCCGTCGTCCGAAAACCGCTCCCTCGCGTCTATTGAATATATACACCGTTTGAACCTCACTTTTCATCCATATATTCACCCATGTCCCATGTTCATGTTCATATTTTTCCGTTTGACTTGGTTAAAAAGTGCCGCCGTGCTAAACTTGGAAACCCCAAATACAGGTACTACCTGAAACGGTACCGGACGCTGAAGAAGCGGTACCAGACCCCAAGCAACTGAGAGACAAGACAGTAAAAACCGGCTGCTGGTTCTGGTGCTTTGATGTGAACTGATTATTTTCTGTGGTTGATCGAGCCTATTTCTTTCGTCCCCACCAGGCGCCGACCTCGAGACATTCGCCACTGGCCACTCCTCCCTTCTGCATCAGGTCGGTGGTCATGCCCGTCCACCATCGATCCCACTCGGCCTGGCCCTTCCCGCTCGCCTCCATCAGCAGCGGCTCCATGCTTTCGATCAGCTGCACGACTGTGAGCAACGTTGTCTGACGCAGAGCCATCTGGTCTGCCGTTAGCGGTTTACCGTTCTGCTTCTGCTCCCACTTCACTTCTCCGAGCGGTATAGCGACACGCCGACTGCCGGAACTCTGGAACGAGTCTGCCTCCGAGGAGAAGGCGAGACCGATAGTTGCACAGGGCATGGTGTTGAGTCTGCGCTCCTCGAACGCTTTCTGTATCCAGGTATTATAGTCGTTTAGGTATTTGTTCTGGGCGTTGGTGAAGGGCGTTGCGGATGAGATGGTATATGTACCCGTGATCTCTGCCTGTTCCTGGTACTCCTCCGACTTCCCGGGGACCACGGGCGGGTTAGGAAGCAATGTTCTATAGACCATATCGGAATCCCAGATCTCGAGCACACCCCCAGACTTTAGCACGCGCAGTGGTTCAGCCAGCGTACCCCCAGCCTTCAGGTCGGACGTAGGCCCACAAAGCGATACATCCTTGATAAAGATAAAGTCGAAGCTCTCGTCTGCAAACGGCAGCGTACCTTTACGTAAATCATGCCGTTTGAACTGCCAATCCACACCCTGTTTTTGCTGCAAATCAGGGGCCAGGCTGATGATATCCAGCCCCGTAAACGATATATCGGTATGTCCCCTGTTGGCAAAGTACTCGTGGCACGCATTCGTCCACAGCCCACACCCACAGCCCAACTCCAGCACCCTCTTGGGCGGATTATCTGCCGTCGAGGGCGAGCAGAACGGCCCACCCCAGACGGTCATGACGATGAGGGAGTGCAGGGACTGGCGGTGCACCTCGGGCACATCGCAGGGCAGCGGATACGTGCTGTCAGGGTCGCGGAAGTAGGTACGTCCATTCTGTTTGCCGAGCGGATATGTCGTGTAATCTGTCGTGGCTAGGGATGCGATGGTCGACGAACCGCCGCCACCTGAAGGGACGGGATCTATGGCGGGTATCGACATCATAGGTGCGTGGGGAAGGAAGACATGTTTGAAGTCGACGGCCGAGACGAGAGTGGGCGGAGTGTACTGGTAGTGATGGTTGTAGTGGTAGTATTTGTTCTCGGTACTGGCGTTGGCGTTGTTGTTGTTCGAGCCGCGGGGGGGGACGGCCATGGTAATATTATGCGAACTAACCTGCAGGCGATGTCTGTTCGGAAGATCTAGTTTCTCCTCTCTCTCCTCTCTTTCTCTCTTTCTCTCTTCTGTATCTTTCTTCTCTGTATCTTTTCTCTTCTCTTTCTTCTCTTTATGTATCTTCCTCTCTCTGTATATCTCTCTCGTTCTAGACGGAGTGTCTCTACCAAGGTCAAGATATGGAGAGGTGAGATCGAGATGAGCCGGGATGCTGGACGGGGATGAGACGGCTGTTAAAACTCTTCATTTAATAAGGGGCCCGGCTCCCGCGAGCGTGGTGGCTTGCGGGGCGCAAACATGGGCATTTCGATCTCGCATGCTCTCGCTCCATCTCTGTCTGATGCTGCGGGATGTGGATGCCGTCTCCCAGTCAGATACCGCGTATTCGAGGCGTGGGCAGCCTAGTTCGACTCCATGCAGAATATAGATCGAGTTACGAGATACGGTGAACTTCGCATGGCGGTTAGTCTGGAATATTCCTACTAACGACTGCTGTGTCACTGTTCTGCAGCTATAGTGAAGTATCCATTTAGACGTCGTCTATATGCATATGCAGTATTTAATAGTTGATATGTCTAGTCTGGACTGTCTCATACGTATCTTCTATCTTCTATCTCTATCTCAGTAAGAGTATCTTAGTGAGTAACTACTATCTGGTAACTACTATCTCAAGCATGAGATGTGTTATACACATAGCCTGTCAACTATCGTAGTCACTCAGGACGTAGAAGGACTATATCGAGTGAATAGGGGTCAACTCTACCACCTATAACCAGTCAACACTACCACTTCATCTACCAGTCTTCATCTACCACCACTATCATCCTACTGACATCATCTACCATATACTACCATCTACTATCCTACTGTCATCTATCATCTATCATCTATCATCTATCCTACTATCACCTATACTCTACTGTATAGTATATGGCAGCGTGTCCTGAGGCCCCGTGACTCCACGTGACGTGAAGATTCTCCCACTTCGACCTTCCAGGCAAAACATCCAAGTCTGCAGCAAAGTGACGAAGGAAGAACCTGCAACGAAGACCTCGGACTCCCCTGCGCTCGACGGCCGCAAGCTACAGCTCCATGTAAGCAGTGAAGTCCTCCCCCAGCCCTCCTGTGACGCCTCTGACCTGCTCGCCAGCTGCTCCAGCTGCTCCAGTTAGCCACCTGCTCCTGCTGCTGCGGCTGTGACAAAAGGCGCCATCGGTCCAGCTATCCAGGTGTACTCGGTGAATTACACGCCGGGCCTCCTCGTCCGGACGCGCTCTACTACTCAACACCCAGCGGAACACCGGTCGAGCACAAAGGTTGGCTGGTACACCGGTTGGCCGCGAGTTTTTCCCCATCAGTGGAGGTTCCGCTCTCGGGCCTGATGTTGAAGAGACGAAGACCACAAGCTCGAACTCCCTTCACGCCTCCAACCCCGTCGTCTGTCTCTCTCCCTCGTCACCTGCTACGCCACTCGCTATCCAATCGAATACATCCGCGGTCTCATCTGCCTCGTTAAATGGCAGATGGTACCTACCGGTTCCAGCAGCCTGGGGCCGGGCAGTTTTACTTTCAGAATCAAACCCAACAGCAGCAGCAGCAGCAGCAGCAACAGCAATCTCAACAACACTCCCACCACCATCACGCGCACCAACGTCACCTTGTCCGAAACGGGACCAGCTCACCCACTGGTAGACTGAAATTCAATCCCGACACGCCTTCTCCGTCGCGCTCTCCTCCGCTCAATCAGTCTCCCGGCGTCAACTCGTTCAACATGTATTCGCAAGGCCACCAGGGCCAGCCGGTCATGATGAACGGAGCCCAGGCCCACCAGAGATTCGGAATGCCGATGCAGAAGTTTCAACATCCTAGCCAACACCCGCAACATCCTCAACAACAGCAACCGCAGCAGCAACAGCACCACGCACCCCACTCGCAATCCAACCCTGCCCTCTCTCACCAGCAACACAGCTACTCTGCTGGCAGCGGCCTGTCCAACGCGGCAGCCCAGCATTTCGCCACCCCGCATATGCCCAATGGCTCCTCTGCTAATATCGAAGACGAAGTCGACGAACCTATGAGTGAACACTGGCAGCAGCAACTACAGTTGGCCGCGGAATCCCGGCAGGCCAACTCGCCTCATTACTATGCTAGATCCGTTGCCCAGCAGACCAAGGGAATCCAATTATCCGCGCACCAGAACGATTCAAACGAAAACGGCACCGAAGAGCGTAATCGCGCCGTCGCCATAAAGGAAACTCGCAGGCAGGACTGGATGGCGATTGACTTTGGTGGCCAGGGACTACGCGCGCTGTCCAATGGCCTCTTCCACTATGCTTTCCTCGACAAGCTGTACCTCAACCATAACAAGCTGAAAACTCTTCCCAGGAAAATCGGCCAGCTGAAGAACCTCACCCATCTGGACGTCTCCAGCAATGAACTCACCGAGATTCCAGAAGAGATCGGCATGCTCACTAATCTAAAGCGGTTCCTGCTTTTCGATAATAACCTGCAGACTCTTCCGTATGAGATGGGCTACTTGTGTGAGCTTGAGACCCTAGGTATAGAAGGGAACCCGCTGAATGATGTATTAAAGTCCCGCATCATGCAGGAGGGGACGAAATCCCTTATCAAGTACCTCAAGGAAGAGACGCCGGGTACGGATTGTCGCCCAATCGGATAATTTTTTCTGCAGTGTGCTAACTTTTTGTCTAGTTCCGATGCCACCGTCTGACCGAGATTGGATTGTGTTGGACGAGAGCGGCCGTGGCTTATCGAAGAGCCCTAACGAGAAGTTTACGGTGCTTACATACAACACCCTATGCGACAGATACGCCACTCACCAGCAGTACGGATACGCGCCATCAAGAGCACTCTCCTGGGATCTACGTCGCGATCTCCTACTCAGCGAAATCAGGGGCCAGGATGCGGATATCGTCTGTCTACAGGAGGTCGACCAAGGCAGCTACCATGGCTTCTTTAGGGAACAGCTGGCGTACAACGACTACAAGGGCGTGTACTGGCCGAAGGGTCGTGCACAGGGCATGAGCGAAGAGGAAGCCAAGGTCGTTGACGGATGCGCCACCTTCTTCAAGGGAAGTAAATACATTCTTCTCGAAAAGGCCATGATCCACTTTGGACAAACTGCAGTTCGACGTCCCGATGCCAAAGGCCAAGACGACATCTACAACCGATTATGGCAAAAGGATAACATCGCCGTTGTCGTCTACCTCGAGAACCGCATGTCTGGAGAGCGAATGATAGTAGTCAACGCCCATATCTACTGGGACCCAGCATACAAAGACGTCAAGCTCGTACAATCCGCCATCATGATGGAAGAAGTTACACAGCTTGCCGAGAAATTCATAAAAATCCCCGCATGCACGGATAAAACGGCGTTCCGATTCTCTGAACCCGAAGACGAAAATGGAAACGAAAACACCAGCCCACCTACTCCCGTCGAACCCTCGCCTTCCATCGAATACACCAGCCCATCCCAGATTCCCACCTTGGTATGCGGCGACTTTAACTCCCGCCCTTCCTCCGCCGTCTACAACCTACTTGCCCACGGCCGTCTAGAGGAGGAACACCCAGATCTCCGAGACCGTCTATACGGCAACCTCACGCGCCAGGGCATGACGCATCCATTCACCTTAAAATCAGCCTATTCTGCCATTGGCGAACTCTCATTTACAAATTACACGCCGGGTTTCACCGACGTCATCGATTATATCTGGTACTCGTCTAACTTGCTACAAGTCGCCGGTTTATTGGGAGAAGTGGACAAGGAGTATTTGCAGAGAGTCCCCGGTTTTCCTAATTATCATTTCCCTAGTGATCATTTGGCGTTGATGGCGGAGTTTTCGGTCAAGAGTAAGAAGGGGAAAGTTGTGGAGGTTGATTTTGGTCCGCAACGGGATCGGGATAGAGATCGGGATCGATCTCGTGCATAGAGAAGGCTAAGCTGAGCTGATTGGTTTGGGATGAGTTGGGAGGATGGATGGTGTGCAAGCTAAATCTTTTCATGGATGGAGCTAGGGTGCTTAAGTGGTTTTTTCTTTTCTTACTTGCTCCTTTCTTTTATCTTATCATCTTATTCTATTTCGGAATCTTCGCCGCGAGTTGTTGTTCCCTTTTCCTCCCTCTTTTTTTTTCTGTTGTTGTCCATCGCCTCTTGTGTTCTCCCTGTACTCATCACTCAGCTCTTATATTCCGTCCCCTCGTTTTCTTGCATTAACTGTATCTTTTTTTTCTCCCTCCGTTATTCGTTCCTCGGGTATTGCTCTTGGAAATCATTGTTCTTTCTTGTTCCTCGTTTTTGAACCGGCGTGGTGATAGTGATGTACTTTTTTTGTTCCCGCTTCCATATTCCTTTCTTTGTCTTCATTATTTTTTTTCAACTTGCTTTCTCCGTAGCTGGTCTTTTCCGTTAAACTCAAAGGTTGATGGCCAATTTCTTTCTACCTTACCTTCTTCTCTTTTTTCCTTCTTTTTCTCTCCTATGAATCTCTGAATCTGCCTAGTATCTTGCAGACCTTGGTGTTCTGGTGAAGTGTGGAATGGGATGGACTGGCCAATATGGGGGTGGTGGAATGGAATGTAAGAAGCAAATGGATACAGCTCGTTTTTACACTCCCTCTCCTCCTGCTTGCTCTTTATAATGTTCCTTGCAAGGGATTCTGATCGTGAAAAAGGGCAGAGAATACGAATAAGGAATGAAATGGTCTCTTCTTCCACATCTTGTTCGCTATGGGAAACTGTCTCGACCCTTGAAAAGCTGAATATACTCGGCTCCGGTCGTACATATAACCTCGAGCTATATACTTTTCGGCGAGTCAAGACCGCTTCGTGACGCAATGTGGCTTGCGTTACTTGTCGGAGTAGAAGACAACTCAGGTACCTTGAAACCGTTCTATAAGGTTCGGTTGCCTAATATATCAGATATATAGACGAACGGGGTGAACCCTGTGCTTTTACTCTTCTAGCCTCCAGGAAACAGCATACGGCATACGTGCGTACGCCGGACCACATCGTGCATATTAGTGGTGCGCCATGGCCGGGGAAAGGGGAGTTCGTCGTAACTTGACACCGACTGGTCCCCGGCCTCCTTCTCCCGTATATGTCCCAGCACATCGGAGCCGTTGAAGTCGAACTCCGTTCGCGCCGTCCCTGGTCTGTCTTGCTTCAACAAGGGTCCATGGCTAACATTATTATTAAGCTCCCCCCGCTGTGGGTAAGGACCTCGGGTTCGCCCTATTCTAGCACGGATTTATCGGCATTGAATAGAACGAGAGAAAAAAAAAAGTACATATAGAGAGCTCCGGTCCTGGATGATTCATCAATGGCGACCCTGGTTTCTTTCGTCATAACCGTGACTCGTCTCTCATTTCTTCTGATCCGTTGTCCATAATCCGGTTTTATTGGGAGTTGCGGTGAAGATACGTGCTCATGGCAAGCTCGAATGACCCTGCTACGGCCACACTGGCCGCCGAGCAGGAAAAGGGCCATGACGCAGACAGAGAGATGAAAGCATCCTCGTCCTCCCTTGACGGAAGTACGGATTATTCAACGGGCATGGAAGGGCACAGGATACATGCGAGTAGCGAGAAGGTCGCCATGGAAGCCACTCCAGAGTCAGGCTCTCTGCCCCGTCCGTCGATAGAGGAGAAGCGGGAAACCCAGCAAGATGAACAGGAAAACCAGCATCGAGATAAAGAGGTTCCAGCCGGCGATAATGAGGCCAAGATGTCCAAGAGCAAGGTTGCTATCATCATGGTCGCTCTCTGCGTGAGTCCTTCGCCACCATTTGCCATGCCGGTATCTCATGCTCATGATTGTTTATATAGCTGGCCACCCTTCTTGCGGCGCTTGATATAGTAAGATTTCTCCTACCTATTTGACAAGCTTTAGGGATTAGCATGGTAGCTAAAATTCGATAAGACGATCGTGACCACCGCCCTGCCCACCATAGCGAGAGAATTCAATACCTCACAAGCAGATTATGCTTGGGTTGGATCCGCATATCTGCTCGGTGCAGCTTGTATGTGTCGTTCATTCGTCTAGCATTCTAAAATCATGTTTTAGCTAACGTCCTCTTTAGCATCGACTCCGTCATGGGGGAAAATTAGCGACATATTCGGCCGCAAGCCGATTCTGTTAACTGCAAATGTTGTCTTCTTGGTCGGCTCGCTCCTCTGCGGAGTGAGTGTCAATATCAAAATGCTAGTTGGGAGCCGTGTAATTCAAGGAATAGGAGGTGGTGGCCTTCTTACTCTTGTGAATATCTGCGTTAGCGATCTATTCAGCATGAGGTTCGTGGCCACATTCATCCTTAACCATATCAGTGAAGACTAATACTCCAAGCAGGACTCGAAGTATGTACTTCGGTATCATCGGAATAGTTTGGGCGATTGCTGGCATAATTGGACCTGTCATTGGGGGTCTAATGACACAATATACCACCTGGCGATGGTGCTTCTATATCAACCGTGAGTGGAAATTTCTTCTGTTCAGCCCACTGTCAAGAGATACTGACGATGAGTATAGTTCCCATCGACGGGGTTGCGTTTTTAATTATATTCTTCTTCCTCGAGCTGCACACGCCGACAACTCCACTATTAGCTGGTCTCCGTGCCATTGACTGGCTCGGTTCCCTCGCTGTCGTTGGTGGAACTGTGATGTTCCTTATCGGCCTCGAATATGGCGGCGAAACTTATCCCTGGTCATCTCCCACGGTCATTTGTCTGATTGTTTTCGGGATCCTGACGTGGGGAATCTTCGTTATTATTCAATGGAAAGTCTCCCGCTTCCCTGTGATGCCTGTGTGGCTTTTCACCCAGCGGTCCACCCTCGCTGCCTATGGAACCGTCCTCATCCATGGTGCCATATACACCTGTGGAAGCTTTTTCCTCCCACTATACTTTCAGGCGGTTCTGGGAGAGACGCCATTAAAGTCTGGGATACTCCTCTTTCCTAACGTGATCGCCGTCTCCATCGTCTCCGCGGTCACCGGTGTTTTCATTCGCAAGACTGGTCTTTGCCTTCCGCCGATTTGGTTTGGCACGACCATGCTTGTCATTGGTACCGGACTATATATCAACCTGCCATCTCATAGGTCGTTGGTGAAGATTATTCTCTTCCAATTGGTCGCGGGAATGGGCATCGGCCCTAACTTCCAGGCCCCTATCATCGCTGTCCAAAGCCATATAAAACCCAGTGATATCGCCACCGCAACCGCCGCCATAGCTTTCTGCAGAAACCTTTCGAGTAGTATATCTGTGGTAATTGGGGGTGTCATTATCCAAAACCGCCTCCAGGCAAACATACAAGAGATCCAGCACCTCTTGAGCCCAGAGACATTGGAGTCGTTGCGCGGTGTTTCGGCAGGTGCCTCAGTTCACATCATCCAGGCTCTTTCAGAAAAAGAGAAACAGCCAGTTCTCGATGCATATACAAAAAGCTTCAGTACCATGTGGATATTCTATACCGCCCTCGCCGCCATTGGGTTCTTTGTTAGCTTGCTGCTGCAAAAACAGAAACTTAAAAAGGAACATGAAATCACCAAAACTGGACTTGACGTTCAGGAACGAGAGCGAAAGGAAAGATTGCAGAGAGAAAAAGAGGCGAAGAGTAGTAGAAATAAGGCGGCATGATGTTGTACACCCTTGCGCGCGCGAATTGTACAACTCGGCGTCTATCAGCTGAGATTGCGATCGCCAAATAGCCGTTGATCGACCGGCGATTATTCCATTCTGCTTTACGCAACGGCTCTTAAATAGATTTTCCACCTCTCCACTTCTCGGGCAGTGCTGCATCTGCGTCAATCCCACTGGCTTGGATGACGTTGTTATAGATGTATATATAATTACCAACTCTACATGTTAATAATCTACAAAAGTTAATACATCTTTGAGCGAAAAGGAGAATTACCAGTAGGAATCATTTGCTATATCTGACAAGCTCGTTCTGCGCTATTGATTGGGATGGCACCACACTCCATCTCTTATCTAATCGATAAGATTAACTTCGAATTAAGCTTATTTTGAGTAGGCCCAAAAATAGATGTGTTCATTATTTGAAACTTATTCTTGACCTTCTCGAAGGCTTCTCGTTCTCAATATTTAGCGTCACTAGTAATACAAATGATAATATACAGTATATGGAAAAGTAAACATTAAACTCTCCCCATCCTCCATATGCCAACAAAGCCACCACCCACTACTCTTTCTCCCACTTTGGGCCGACAGACCATTACATGCTTCACGGCCTGAGGCTCCTCCGGCTCAGCGCTCTCCTTCGAGTGCATGGTGGTTTGGTCTTCATTAGCCAGGGTTGAATCAGATTCATCAAGGGACGAGTCTATCGACTCTTCATCCTCTTTGGTGGACGACGCCTCGGTTTCGTCCTGGGAAGCGGTAGGCTTCACGCTAGCCCTAACAACCGCTGCACGAATATCCCATAGTCTCCCGCCGCTAATCCCCGTACCCAGTTCAACGGCCTTTGTAAAGATAAACGGTAGCTTTTGATCCCGAATCATCTGAAAACAATCGCCTATTTGAGTGATACTTGGAACGAACACGGCCAGTACGCCGTCCGGTTTAAGAACGCGTGCAACCTCGGGAATGCGAGTTTCTACCGACGGCATGTCTAGTATGGCGTAGGATAAAAAGGGCTTTAATTCTTCTGAAGGAGGTAGCTTCGCGGTTCGGGTTTCGATTTGGTGTTGAATCCACTTTTCCGCGCTGGATACGTGGAAATCCACACTGCCGGTGTACATTCCCCGTCTAAAGCCACGCACAACTTTTTCAGCGTGCGATGAGACTTTGGGAGATATTTCCACAGTGTGGAGAATTGCATTGCGCTTAGCACGCCATGCGTCCCAATCCTTTTGTTTTGTTTCTTCAACCTCGGTCCTTTCAGGCGCATTGGGCGTGTGGCCATCGGTATCAAGAATCGTTCGTTGGGTGGCTTCGGGGATAGGTGGCGGGTATGTATTTGCTCCATTTATAGCTCTTGCAAGATGCAACGTTAAAGATCCATGGCCTGTGCCAGCTTCAAGAATCTCTAGCGGTTCTTCATTCGGTTTTTCGTTCGGTGGAGGCGTGTGGATGTCCAGAAGCGAGACTATGAGGCTTGCATCTGGAGCATATATCTACTAGCGGCATACATCAGTTATACGCAACATTCACACAGAAAAGGCGCTCGTGTACGGGTTATTTTACCGGAGTGACGAGTCGTGGAGTGAGAGAAACGTATTCTTCGAGGGTAGGCTGTGTTATCCGAAAACTGGCACGAGCTACAGAGTCAACAATTAGTATTTAGGTCAATATTATACCACTTCTGGAAGGAGATCGTCATAGATACCATTATGTGTTTGTACAACGTCTCTCGCACTTTTCCCGATAATGTTGTTGTGCTCAATATATCCGCCGCGCACATCTGTTTTGCTGTCTTTCGCGAGAGGCTTGGTCAACGACGAGGCCTTGGTTGTGGTTAATATTACCCTATCGCCCTCTTTAGACAGTAAGTAAGCATATGGCTGGTCATAACCCTCAAAGGCCGTATTCTCTACCTTGAAATGTCCCAGCATGGGTATTAATTGACCGCGCCTGGCGTATAAAGGATGGCCTGGAGGATGCAAAAAGCCGTCTAGGAAAAGCTGAAAAGAGCGCCATCAACTGAGTCTATTTCCCAAAAAATGAAACTATATCAAAATAATAAACTGTCTCAAGATATTGTCGCGTGCAAAGCTCCAAAGGTCCCAGGGATCAATCTTCAAATAAATTCCTATGGCAAATAGTAACTCCGGTCCCGGACTGTCGTCACAAGCGCAACCGTGATCAGTTTCCCCTTTGATAAATAAATCTCAAGCACCGCCAGGCTACTTCACCCTCCGCGCCGGATGGCCTTTTGATATCCTGCTTCTCGTTTTTGGGAGCTCGCACAATGCGCACAAACCTCGAGTCCGCCCAGTTTTTCAAAGGCCTTCATGCACTAAGGGCGAGCTAAAGAAACCGTGATACGTTCCCCTGGAACTGCTTTCAAGACGAAAAGGAGCCGTAGGAAAGATGAATCGCCGAATCGTAAATATTGACGACTTTTGCTTATTTTCGTATATATGTTTTGCTTGGGCTAATTACATTTGTGCTCTAGATCCGGACCGTCATCCAGCTGGCCGCCCTTACTGCAACGATCATCATCCTCGTAGTCATCCTCGACAGCCAGATACGTGTTCTTCCGGCCTCGATACATGACCATCTACCGTCTCATCATCCCGGGCTCGTTGTCACAGAGCTTACAGTAGCCACCTGTTCCTCCTTAAACGTCTTTTCAAGCTGTACCTTGGACCCGAAAATATGGCATCGGATCGAAAAAGATCTATATCTAGGTCAAGGATGGACCTCGAAAGCATATCTGCATGTGCAGCGCAAGAAGGGGACGGAACTTCTTCCGACTGATAAAATTGTTGTCGACCTGAAAATGGGCCGACTAGACCCAGGTGCTGGGACCGATAAGCAATGGGAGTCGCGGCCTGGAGGCATATGGATATTGAGGTTGCCACATTCAACTGACTCCCAAAAATCGATCACGTCTGTGGACGTCCTGTTTGGTCCGGATGCAGTTGACCCTCGGCCTAACTGGGAATTGAAAGATATTCCATTACTGTTAGATTCTAAGAGTGAAGCGAGACTAAGTGTACGGCGAGGGCAGAGTGGGAAAATTGAGCCACCAGTTCCAAGGATTCGGAAAGATGGAAAATTCAAGATTATGCAAGTGGCTGACCTGCACCTTGCGACGGGCCTCGGTCGTTGTCGTGATCCGATTCCAAAGCTGGAGGGAGGTAAATGTGAGGCGGATACTAGGACCTTGGAGTTTGTTGACAGGCTCCTGGATGAAGAGAAGCCGGATCTAGTGGTGCTAAGTGGAGACCAGGTTAATGGTGACACGGCACCCGATACGGAAACCGCAATATACAAATTCGCCGATCTTTTCATTAAGCATAAAGTCCCATATGCAGCTATATTTGGGAACCATGACGATGAGGGAGACCTCGATCGTAGGTCACAAATGGCCCTCATGCAGCATCTACCTTACAGTCTTTCCAAACCCGGACCCGAAGATATAGATGGCGTGGGAAATTATATTGTGGAAGTCCTCGGAAAGGGTTCTGCTTCTGCATCAGCATTGACGTTATATCTCCTCGACACTCACAAATATTCTCCCGAGGAAAAGAAATATCCTGGTTACGATTGGCTGAAATCAAGTCAGATAAGATGGTTCAAATCAACAGCGGAAGGACTTCGAAAGGCGCATAATAAGTATACGCATATTCACATGAACTTAGCGTTCATCCATATTCCTCTACCAGAATATAGGAACCCCAAGAACCATTTCATAGGAAACTGGACTGAACCTCCAACTGCTCCTAATTATAACTCCGGCTTTAAAGATGCGCTTGTGGAGGAAGATGTGGTCCTTGTTAGCTGTGGACAGTAAGTGATACCCTCCAGTGGAATTGGAACCCTTTATAAGACTTAATTTGTTTAATATTTACGCATATGGAAATGTTACTAACGGCTACTAAAGTGACCACGTGAATGACTATTGCATGCTCGAGAAAAATGCAGATGGTAAACCAGCGCTGTGGATGTGTTACGGCGGCGGTGCCGGCTTCGGTGGATACGGTGGATATAACGATTTTGTCCGCCGTGTCAGGTTCTTTGACATCGACATGAACGAGGCTCGGATTATGTCATACAAACGACTCGAATGGGGCAGAACTCGGGAACGGATCGATGAGACCATGCTTGTCGATGCGGGTAGACCATCTGGGCCAGGTGCTTGAGCAATGAGAACAAACCTCTTCTCCTTGGACTGAGATAACTCATAAATGGTTTCGTTTCTACATTTTTCGTGGTCAGGAAACACATTACTCGATCACACATTCTACTCATTCCGCTGCACACTACTTTGGATTTCAACTGTGTTTATATACTGCTAGTCTGGGGTTTCCTTAGGCGCTGGAAATTGCTATAATACGCCTTTATCGGCTATGTTTTTTACTCGGCGCAGTGTGGTTGGGGAGGAATTATGCCTGGGACGATATTTCATGTCTTATTAGAGATAAAATATCTTACATTATTCGTCTTTCTATGAGCGGGCCAGTCCCATTAATTTAGGGTTATAGTTATAAATCTTACGAACTTTTCCTACCGAAGTATAATCTATAGACATATATTATATTTCATTTATTTTCTTCACCACCATTTTTCATAGAACACTCTTTTCTTCCCAGCTTCTATGTTTTCCTCGCCAAGAAGCCTCTGAAGATCTCTAACAAAGCCATCAGTCATTGCTGGAGGCCCGCAAACGTAGCATACAGTGCCCCTCTTAAATTCTTCATCCTCACCTACCACCTTTTGTAAATCTTTTATGGTAATGCGGCGATCGTAAATGGATATTTGGCCGCGCTCGTCCCGTAGGCTGAAAGGAATATTGATTTCATCGCAGCCGCCGCCTCCTGCTGCAGGCAAATTCGTGACAAACAACTGCAAATAGAGAGGGTTAACGTTCTTACCCTTCTCTGCCTGTGAGTGAATGATATTGAGAAGACGATCAAGGAACATAATCTTGGCAAGCGGGCCCATGTATTCATTATTTCCGTTATTGCTAACCCAGCCAGATATTGCCATATCTGTCGGTGTAGATGAGGTATCATTCTGCTCTTGGGGGATTCGGCTCGAGTATAAAAGATGAACCTTTGTAGACGTCGGAAGGTTCGAGTAGGTTTGATAGATATTTGATATCATCGAGATGAGGGGGCTGGTAGAATATAGGTTAACCAATGTTCTAAGTTCCTACTTCTATACTCCCTATGTTGACAAAAAGTATTCGTATAGTAATGAAATTATCATTCAAATTGGAGAAAAAGGGGTAGGAAAACATACTTGATGCCTACACCGCCTGCCACAAATATGATTTTTTTGATCTTGTCTATAGGTATATCATTTGACGGAGGCCAGACAAATCCGCCTCCAACCCTTACTTTAACGTGGGAATTTACTATGCGTTCGATGGGCTGCCAGAACCACTTCGCAGCCGGATTAGATGCCGAGTATTGAACAGCGAGCTCAACATATGGCAATATGTTCTCGCCCCCCTCCGTAGAAGAGACATCTTTAGGGGTGGATGTTATTGTGAACCCGCCAGCATGTCGAATATTAGGGATGTGTACGTCCAGCCATTGGCCGGGTAAAAACCGGAAAGGGGGGAATTCAGTTTTGTCGGAAGACTAAACGTTTTCGTAGAGCATAGGGGTTAGTATATAACCATCATTCGGATATATGCATATTTGGGTATATATGTTGACCTGTGATGCGGCAAACAAATCAGGGAAATCGTCGAAGAAGGATCGCATATTCCCAGAATGAGCTTCTCTGGATGGTAATAACTTGTACAAAATTCAAGATATGGAGTTGGAGTGGCTTTCATACACTCTCGTGGTCGGCCTTGGTCCAATCAAGTGAAGAGCAAGTAGAAATGACATTGAAACGGATAAGTCGAATTTTCGGGTTAAACTGTGATACATGAGATACACGGAGCCGGTAGAGTGAGTTCTGACGAGGTTCTGTCGCAGTCCGAAGTTCGTGTGGCTTGCTTATCGGCGTCGACTCCGTGGTATCGTTGACCATTGTAGTATATCGTAGTCGTTCAATTCTATAGATCTTGTGAAGAGATGTGATATATCTCAAGGGCCGTGACCCTAACATGATAGACCAGGGATGTTGATCTATAATATCTTCAGCTGTTCAATGTTTGTATCGTCGTTCTACTTTGATGTCGGATATCAAAATGCTTATGTAATATTAATGGCTTATATAATATCAAATGCTTATATAACCTCCACGGAGCGGAGTTACTTTCTTCCTCACGCTATTTTTAGGTACATAGATACAACTTCAACAAAGACTTCAAAGGCTTCAAAGGCAGAACCGGAGATGCAGGCAACATTGATATCGACGCTGCCCCAGCTCTGCACCCTTTCTTTAGCGCCGGGCAATGCCTCAGGGTGGAGAAAGAAGGTCTCGTTCGGCCCCAGATGCAGGGATTTCATCACATCGCGTTGCTAGCGTGTGATGAGGGCGCAGGAAACCCCAGTCCTAGCATCATCATTGGTGGGCGCCGGCATAGGTAATCACATCACTCGGCCTGCACGTCAAGGATTTGCGACTCCCGTTGCATGAGCCAACCAAAGCATACAGAAGAGGTTCGGGGGAGAATGGGCGCTTACATCAAGGGGACCTCGCGACCTCAAGTCGGCCTGCTCTCGTCTCTCTCTTTTCTCAGACCTCTTCTCCCTCCAGCTGTCGAATCGTGGACCTGAGTTGCCAATAGCACTGAGCGACCAGAGAGATTGTTTCACCTGGCCACTGACGCTCGCCTTCGCCGCCGATACCTTCAGTCGGCCCCTCCTCTGATCAGGCTCTGCAGTTTACACTCGCTGTCCCGAGCACCGAAGGAAATGCAGCTTTGAACGAGATAGACAGCTAGCAGTAGTAGCGCAACATCTCCTTCTTGTTGATTGCATATACTCCCGCGGATTGCTACCTTCTCTGCGCTTTGCGCATTTCAGCTTCTCGTCGTCGCAAATATGGCCGGAATGGGATGTTTCTTGCCACGGAAATACCGGTCTCCCCTTGCATTCAAAATACTCCTCGTCTGCGAACTTCCCCTATCGGTCGGAATTCTAACACTTACTGGAATTGCGGCTCCCAATCTCTACCGGACAAAACTCTGGCAGGATGGAGCGGACAATGGCTTTAACAGCTCTCCAGACGAGAAAGTATATGCGCTTGCCAACTACAGGCCGTATACCACACCTAGGCCTTGGAGTCCATTGTACGTACCTTGAAAGGGCCCCTTGATACCTCTATATACTAACGCATCTGGCTCCTCGTAAATAGCACTACCAATTTCAACCTCGTCATAGCCGTCCTCAGCTTATTTTTCCTCCTCACGAAAACACCGATGTTTATCATGAACGTGTTCTATCCACCACTATCGCTATTAGTTCATGCGATTTGCGTCTTGCTCTACTCAATTGCCGCGGCCTTCCAGGCTTCTAGCGATACAACCGACCCAAAACACCCACAGCCTGGCCCACCGTGGTATATCACGAAGAACTGCAACGTTGCATCCCTCCACACCAACGTTAATTATTGCAACCAAGCTAAAGCGACCTTCGCTCTCAGTGTTGTCCTAGTGTTTGTCTCCCTTTCTTTGACGACCTGCACTGCATCCAATAGCTGAGCCACGCTAACTCTCAACTTCACCTTTTAGGTTTCTCTTCGCTTGTCACCTTGTGCTAGCAGCTATCTCCTGCTTCCCAACAGAGGAAGACCGAGAAAAGAAAAGATTGAAGGAGGAACGAAAGTCGACGCTGGCAGAACTCAAGTCGATTAAATCGCCACTTAACCCTGATGGGAAGATGACATTCCCGCTCACGACTCCACGAACCACAGCTTTTAATAGGCTCGAGGGAAACACGGATTTACCATTGCGCGACCGATCCGACAGCTACTCGACGATGCCACGAGAGGAAGAGACCCAGGGGATGTTCCAGAAACCCGAGCCTCAACAGGAGGCACAGATGTACTTCCCTCCACCACCTCAGGCGGCTGGAAAGGGTAAAGCGTAGACAACGCACCGTGCAAGCCTTTTGGCTATTGCGAGGGTGGTTTTAATGATATACCCAAAATGACACCTATGACTGGTGCGCCCCATCAACCTCTCGACTATGGTAGAGAGGGTATGTTTCGAATTCAAACAGTTTCCACTAAATACCCCTATATAACACACGCTGTGCCTGTTATCAAGCCCTTCTCTCCCACAGTTCTTCACATATATATTTTCTACCTTAATTGTTTCTCCTGTTTCCTCTGTGCTCTATTTTTCATATATAGCGACTGCTTCATATTCCACTCCCGAGTTTTGGATACTGGTGAATCTACACATTTGGATGAAAGTACATTCGGGACTACTGGGACTGGTGCTCACCTGGCTGCTTTCAATGTTAATCAATCATATATTTCTTGACTTCTTCATGGCTACAAATGTGACACGATCAGAGTTTCAGAGTAATCTCATTATCAGATAGCGGCCAGTTCCACTATTTTAGGGCGGAGTTAACTTACTCATGCTAAATAGCTCGTTATAGTCAAAGGGCGAGGAGTAGAGATTGTATATTTTCCAAGCTACAGATTTAGCCTTTGGACCCCCTTATAGACAAAATTAAGCACCATTCTTTGGGTCGCTGAGGATCTCCTTCAAAACCTGGCATCGACGGTTGACTTCCCAGTAGTCCTTTTCCTTCTTCCATCCATCAAGAGTGACATTGAAAGTGGTTTCGCTCTGACCGTATGTAGGGAAATCTTCGAGCCCATGGAATTTCTTTTCATTCTTTCCATCAGTGACGAATCGCCGAACATGTTCCTGAAATTCTCTTGCAAGCTTGACACTAGCGACTGGAGTAGTGATATTATCTTGGTAAAAGTAGTCTTATGATTGCAAAGTTAGTTAGGTGATCTATTCTATCTGGGATGGTATGAACACTTACAGCTTTGGTCCAACGCATGTGTGGCAGGGGGGATGGACATGACATATCTCTGAGCTTTGTGTGCATATGCCTTAGCAGTGAAATAAGCATTGCAGGCGAATGATATGTCTGTCACCCAGTCCCATCCAAGTTTAACAGCGAGGCCGGGAGGATATTCATAGAGTGATTGTATTTTCTTGATCGTTTCGTCGGAGGCATGGGGTATGGTTCCACGAACAAGGAAAGGGAACAGCTCTGGCATATGATCTGGCGGCGACTGTCCTCGTCCTTCGAACGCCATGTTGCTGACGGCAACTCGGGATGGTACCCTGTTATATCCTCCTCTTCCTGAAAAGATCGAGGGGAGCAGATCTTCGATATATTCGCCATCCACGACGGGGGCAAATCCAGGGCCAGGACCCAGGGCACCACTATGCCCATCTGTTACATTGACGAGGAGGTATTCATTTGCTTTGAAGAGGTCTTTCTCTGGCAACTTTCTCAAGCAATCAACAGACTTGCAATTTGCTGCTTGTAGCACTGAGTCGAAAACGGCTTGTCGACGACTGGGGTCTCGACGTGGCCAAACACCCGGGGAGGCTATGAATGCCTGAAGATCTTTATTAGCTTGGGCTCCGTAGTTATCAGGCCTGCTCATGACATACCCGGTTGAAAGGTAGGTCTTCCTTCCCGCCTTTAGCGACAAGCAAGAGGTCAATCATTCCTGCGCCAGCACTCTCTCCAAAGGCAGTGATCCTCCGAGGGTCTCCTCCAAATTTCGATATATACTTTCGGGTCCATTGCAGCGCAGCCAGTGTGTCGTGTAAACCCACATTGGCTTCTGTGTCTTCAGAAGGAGATGAACTCCATCCATATAAGCCCATGCTAGGTGCGGCTGTTAGACATCTGATAAATTAACCATTGTGCAGCGATGACATACCGATAGTTGCTAGCAACATATATGAACTTTTGTGTAGAACGGTCCATGTCCTCGAACAGGCCACTGCCATCTCCACTGATCCTGTTGAGGTCTTTGCTTCCATATGCATACCCACTGCCATGCACCCAGTGAATGACAGGAACATTATCTCCTGCTTTAACGCCCTCTGGGACTCTCACGTTGAGAAACAAGCAATCCTCGTGACCCCAAGATCTTGAAGGGAGCCCCTGTTCAGGAAATATGTTTGGAACGGCGCTTACACAGTCCGTCGCAAACATGGGAGCAGAGCCATTTTTGATCCCTGGTTCACTTGGAGGAGGAGTCTTGGGGCGTCTAAATCGCAGGGGACCGAGCGGAGGCTGAGCAAAGCGGATGTTGTTGTAGTTGGCATATTTCAACCCGCTGGATGTTTCATTGACATAGGTTGGAGCATGGACGGCGTATCCAAGGTCGACCTGAGGGAAAGGAGAGGCATCTTGATGCGGGTATCCAGCTGCGTAGGAGAGAGAAGGGACGGCAAGGAGCAGGAGATAGCTCGCCTTTGGGACCACCATACTTCCAGATCTCGATGTTTACAACAGAGAATAAATAGTATGAGATATAGAGCAGGAGGATACCCCCCTTTTTATGCACGATGTTTGTCTTGGAATATATATCCATGTCCCTCCTTAGCCATGCCAGGGGGTACAGCCTGACTCGGCGGCTTATGAGAAGGGCGCCGTATGCGTGGCTGTGGACCGCGTAGTTGATACGATTCAAAGGATCAATATCACGAAGTTGATCAGTATAAGGAGCTGTCTATCCAATATACTGCGGAGAGGCCGGAAATGGGTTTCTCAAAGTTCTTAATTGTCGTATTCTAACGGCCCCCAATTTTGACCAGCACTGAACAGTGATCGAGCAGCCATCGCCCAGGTTCAAACCAACTCAGTGCAGCCTGGGGAATGCAAGATACGCTCGCAACCAGCATAGTAGATAGGTTCTTCTTCGATTTGCGGTTCGACGGAAGATGAGCAACAAGGGATGAGTATGTTGGTGCGACCAAAACCTGGTCACTATATAGAGTTAAATATCTTAATTTTAATGCTATTTTTATTTCCTTTTTTCAACCTTTATAGTTATTTATAAAGCAACCTCCTCAAACCTTTAGTCTTACCAACATGAAATGGAACACTTCGGACGAGGTGACCAAAAAGGGTTATATAGACTGCACATCCAGAAGTATACTGTTTATGAACCTATAAAGGATGTCAGAGCAAGAGGTTTTTAATAGCGATCAGCTACGTTACTCTGCCAAAGATTTAATAGACTCTGCAGAGCTCTCGTCCATCGAGCATCTTCAACTTGGACTTCTTCTAATAAACACCGCCTCAAGAGACGACACGGCACGGTTCATATTAAAAGCATCGCAAGAGCCCGAAAAAAGCATTGAAGACAGCCTTAGGTCCATTAACCGTGGTCTCCAGGATCTGGCCCAAAAACGTAACGCGGGATCCATCACTCACTCACTGGTGAAAGAAGTATCTAACATGACGAAAATAAGTCTTGCCAGATGACGACGCCATATCCCCAGAGATTACTGATGCTCTAAGAAAGAGGGAAAATTCACGATGCTGCGTATCGGGCCTGGAGAATGGAGTGCAAGCCACATATATCGTGCCGCCGTCAATATTAGGTGATCCGGATCTGTTGCCTGGAGTAGGTTACTCTTCTCCTACTATTCGTTCCGCTTCTTTATTAACAAGATTAGGGAGCATTAAGGCCTTACCTGGAGGCCGCAATATCCGCTGAGACTGCAAACAAGCTGTTCTCCTTCCTAGAGAGTTGCACGCCAGAGAATCAGCTCCGGAACCTCTGGCTCATGTCACAGCCTGTGAGATCAGCCTTTCGAGATGGACGCATGAGTATCCGGAAACAATCTTTCGGGGGCAGCTCTGAGATATATGTGAGTTCTCTTGCGGTTGACTATTTGAGGCACGAGTCCTAACTCCGTTTGAGTGGAATGTCCGAAAAACAACCTCCATGGACCCGCCAATTCCTGGACTATTGAAAGAGAAGTTTTATACTGAACCGTCATCGCCGGACGAGGAGCGTTTACCATTGCCTGAAGCCTTTTTGCTCGAAATTCAAAGAACGTTTGCATTCATAAGACGTTATCAATCGCTTGAGACGCAAATTCAACAAGGCTGGCCGAAGGCGCCGCAGCAAGGTTTGTATTCTAGTCTTCCGCGTCTGGTTTTGTTCCCTACCACTAATTCATGGACAGGTAGACCGTGGCTTAGAAAGCTCTGTATACCTTTGCTGCAATGTTCCCTCGCCTTCCTCCCTGCTTTCTTGAAGACTGCAATCTATAAATTTTGCATAAAGACAATGGGTTCCTGTTTACACTCCAGTTCTTCGGATGTCATATCCCTTCCCCTAAGCCTATGTTTAAAATTTGGGAAGAGGGTCGACATGAATGAGGCTAATGCTCTTCGCCGCGTTGCGAAACACACATCTATCCCGGCCCCTCGGCTAATCGATTTCACTCAAGATAGCGATAGGACTGGGTTTATGCTCATGACGAAAGTAACCGGATACCCAGCAGAAAAAACTTACTATCTCATGACATACGAAGAGCGAGAACAACTTACAAGGGACCTTGGGAAATGCATCTCCCAGTACCGTCGTATCAAAAACCATAATGAAAGTCTCATCTGCAACACAATTGGTGGGCCGATTACGGACCGCAGGACGGATGATATTCCGTATGGACCATATATGTCCAAGACTGCCATGTTGGATGATCTTACTGGAGGGCTAGAGGAGATCAGGAAAGACAAGCCGCTCTCCATGCTGTATGAAAAGGAGCACGGAATTTGCTTCACGCACGCTGATTTACATTTATCCAATATCTTTCTTGATGGCGGTCGACTCTCTGGTATCATTGATTGGGAGAATGCAGGATTTAAACCCGAATACTGGGAGTATACTGCAGCAATGTGGCCGTACATGGGTAACAAGAGATATGCTCGAAGACTCTTGCTTGCCTTTGATAAAAACTACGAAGATGAGTTGGAAGCAGAGATGCTAGTGTGGCGCTTAAAGCCTGTATATTAGCCTGTTAAGGCTACATTTGAATATTATTCTAGTTCAAGGTTCGCGAACAGTGAGAAGGACAGGTGTTCCGTAGCAGGGAAGTTAAGATATTTAGGAGTGAGGCTATAGTTAACTCTCTATCAATCCGGGACCGGAAGGTTTTGAATATCGCCGAAACTAAAAATTACGGAGTTATATTAAAACCATGTTTGCTGAGCAGGCAGCAAGACTCGTTTTTCATATCAGACTGTAAATAACTAGTTATCTAGTTATGGGCCAACGCTTTCGCTTCGTCGCACCCCGACGTCGTGAGCGACTTAACTGGTATTGCAAGCCTGGCGAAATCCTCCTCGGTGAATCTGCCACGGACATCGTCACTCTCTTTGCTAGGCCCGTTGTACCTAAATCTCATGGCTCGAGGGCTAAAGCCACAGACAGCTGGCTAGAAAATCCATATCTCATCCGCCAAAAGCTAGTCACTCCACAGAAAAGACTACGGCGACAGTCAGACTTGGGTGTTGCTACATATACTCCCTCCTACGTCGATGACACTCAGTCTCATACCCTAGAGCTTCCAGATGAGATCCATAAGACACCATCTCACTCCAATGACACACGGTCTCGGCTCTTGGAACTGCCAGTCGAGATACATCTTCTTATTTTCGAATCTCTGGGCCTTGAAGATGCCTTTCGTTTGGGCACCAGCTGCCAGTATTTCTGGGGAGTCTTGAAGCCTCTAACTGCACGACGCTTTGCAGGCGAATTTGGCATCTGGGCCGGAACACCTGTTGTCTGTGTCAGTAATAGATGTGAACCAGGTGGAGATGCTGCTTATCCCAAAGGACTGCTGTCCGCCGATGATGTTATAGAGCTAGAGCAAGGGCTATTGAAAAGTGAACTGCTAGAAGATATTCGGCCAGAGAAAGATGGATACGATGGTCCAGCAAATCTCTACTCCATGGCCATGTATCGATACTCAAGGGTCACCGAGCAGACATTTACAGAAGGATTCATCCCTTCACTACTTCGCCCTGCTGCCGAGTCCATGCAGGATATACCTTGCCCGCCGGATGTACGTGAAGTAGCACGCCTACGGCCCTTTGATTTCTATCCTACAACTCGGGAGTGGGTTCTCAGAAATCTAACAACCCGTGAATTTGTCCGCCCAACGGCGGTCGCTTTACGTGAAGACCTTATTCACGGCCCATTCATCGACATACTAGGGTACGGAGAAATTATTCTCTCTAAAACTTGTTGGTCACCGGGAATCTATAAAGGAGTCTGGGCAGGACACGCCCTTGATATCGTTCCCTCTACATACTTAAACGACGATGGGCTATGGAAGGATATTAGCCGCCAGGTTGCTGGGGAACTCATGGATATTTGGGGGCGGGGGTATGGTAATGATTGGAAAAGCCGTATCATCGAGTCTAATGTGCAACGCGCCAGCGTCAACCTTGCTAGCTTTAGATTCGAGTCGTGAAATAACGACTGCAGCGTCCCCGTTGAAAAGGAGTATTATATTCTAAGGGATTACCCAAAATGTATAGGTTGATATAAGCTTATTATCAAACTCCCGCTATTAATATACATGTAGATACCCCATGCCCCTACTCTATGCAATTATAAGCAGAATATACATCTTTCTATGTCTCATCAGATTTCCACATCGTCAACAGGTCCTCCGGGAGATCCTTATCATATGTGTCTGAAGCTTTGTGCAGCTTCAGGATAGGTTCCCCCGGGAGAATAACCAGCGCATACGTACCCTGCGGTGCGGCCCTCACCATTTCCATAATCGTTTCTAGCAATGTGACCAGCTTCATCAGCTTTTCCCTATTCTCATTCTCCCATTTCTCTAGCTTTCCGTCTTGAATAAAGTTCACTTGGCTTGCTGGCGAAAAGATTCCGTCCCCTGTATAGCGGCCTTTGCATAGAAAGGGCGTTTTTGAAAACCATAGCTGATCTGCGCTTTTCGAGATTCTCCGTTGCGTCCCGGTTTTGATCTCAACAAGACGAGACGAGTCGACCAAATACCCTTGATTTCGCACAGTGTAGCCTGTGGGTGTCTCGTACGTGCTGATCACGGGCTTATATCCAAGGACATCGTTCGTGGATCCTCTGCAGGCATCAACTTCAAACCGGAGTATAAGGTTGATGCCTCCAAAATTGTAGTGGACGACTCGATTGTGTATCACACTGTCTCTGATAAAATTGGGCTTTTTAGTCCAAGCTCTTTCGGCTTCATGGCCGTAACCATCAAAACCAGAAATATAATTAGTAGTTTTGCGGTTCCAGCAAGTGAACATAACTGTGGACTGAACGACCTTGACGCCAATACGGAGCGAGCGTGTGCGCTTCTGGCCACAAACAAAGGCCAGGAGTACACGAAGATTATTCCTGTCTGTAACAAGATCGATGCCTTTCATGTTAAAATTGGGCTGAAGGGCAATGATGGCCCTAAAGAGAGGTTCCAGTGGGCGTCCCGGGAATACATGACGGTTTGGATCCCGTAGGAAGAGACCCTGATCCTTCTTTACTTTCGTCAGTCCGGGAGGAGGAGCCCAGACCGATGGACATCCTGGGTAGAATAGGCATCAGCAAAGTAAATTATCACACCACTTGAGTTAAGTGAGCATATTCACCGGGGACGACAACCGTCCTTCTTTGCCTTGGGAGTAGATTGTACGAGGTGAGAGTTGCGAAATCTTTAAGCAAGGCGGATGTGTTTGGTTTTCCCTGTATTGACTCAAGGGGTATCTCTCCCACTACTGCTCCAAGGCCCTTTAGAAGCGATTTGGCAGTGCGCGTCATCTCGATTGGTGTCCTGCCCTGGCCTGAAAATTTCCTTCATAGGGCGTTTGTTGACAAAAAAGTCACCATGACTAAGGTTGCCACAGGGACGTCTCGATAACGACCAAACCACCACATTTACAAGCACTCAACTTTCGAAGTAGATGGTACGGAAAGAAAGTCTTTTAATTATCTCCTGTAGTTAATTAGGTACAGGCTCTGATTATAACGCTACATCTAACCTATATGGAGTGTTGTTCGTGCTAGGAGCCAACAGCTCTTCTCCAGACTATCGCCGCAAGTGGCTCTTTGTGCACATAGGCCCTGGTAATTGCACAATCGAGAATTTCTACTGGCTATTTGATAGGATGGATTGATTAAACAACCCCATATGTATAGAAATGATGTCTAGAGTAAAATAATGTGGTGGCACAACCAAAGCGAGTGGCTTTATCTTGATAGAAAGAACCCAATATATGCATATGCAACCAATACTGTATAAAAAGCACAAAAGCAACGTGCTAAAACGCATATATCCAAATACCCCTTTGTATCCCCTTGACAATAAGAAAAACTAGAAGCCATTGTCTACCGTCTGCAAAGGAACATAGCCATCTTCCTCCGTGGTTTTGCTTCGCCTGCCCATAACGCGAGACACAAGACCAAAGGCACCGGTCCAATTCTGTTTCGCAGAGGAGATTGGTGATGTGAAGGGAGTCTTCTTCCACCATTGTCCGCCTTTTCGGTACGCCTGGCCCGTAGAATCAATCAGGCCCTCATCAATTTCCCTTTCAAGGCGTTCAACCTTGAGCCAACGTGGTCGTTTCCAGAATTTGAGAAGTAAACTGCTCACCACTACACTGACGCTTGACGCCGCCATGGCAGCACCGGCAGCCATGGGGTGAAGAGACACACCACCGAATGGTAAAAATATTCCCATTGCGAAGGGTATACCGACGGCGTTATATACGCAGGCCCAAAGGAGATTGAGTTTGATGCGGTTGAAGATTGATCTCGACAGGCAGAGACTGGCTGGTACGGAAAGTAAATCCTCTGGCCTCATGAGAACGATGTCGGCTGCCTCCATGGCGACCTCTGTACCGGATGAGAGTGCAATTCCGACAGAGGCGGTTGCTAGAGCAGGCGAGTCATTGATACCGTCTCCAACCATTGCGATTGGGTATTTGGGTGTCTGCAGTTCGCTTATGATCGATTGTTTTTCTAGAGGGCTGACTGAGGCATGGATGGCGCTTGCGGGTATGCCGACCTCGTTTGCAACGGCGAGGGCGGTGTTATAAGTGTCTCCTGTTACAAGAGAAGTTGTAAGGCCCATGCGGTGCAGAGCTGCAACGGCAGCTTTCGCGGAGGGCTTGATAGAATCCTGAAGCCAGATTGTGCCGGCATATTGATCGCTAATAGCAACATGGATTACTGTCGCGGTTTTCAAAGCATCGGATTTTGTTCTTTGTTGTTGGGGCTGAGCTGCTTGAAGGTCTGGGTCTGCGGAAGAGGGAATCTTGATCCCCTTCGAACGGATGAATATTGCGTTTCCAATGTGGGCGCTGTACCGTTGACGTTCGGAACCTGCGGCTGGCTCAACCGTTGCCGAAACTCCCTTTCCGACCATCACCTCGAAGTCGACCACAGCACCATCAAGGGGGTCATCATCTGATATTCCGGATTCAGACTTGGCTTTTGAAACAATGGTATTGCCAATTGGGTGTTCGCTGGTCATTTCCGTTAAGCCTACAATGACCCACCAGAGCCGGCGTCGCCACTCATTCGTAGACCACGTTGGTTCCATTTTGGTCTCTGCGACATTCGTCCTTCCCATGGTCAAGGTCCCGGTCTTGTCAAATACAACATGTTTGATCTTGGTAGCAGCTTCCAGCGCCGCACCACCTTTGACCAAGATGCCGTGTTCAGCTCCTACACCAGTACCGACCATGACTGCAGTTGGCGTGCTAAGTCCAAGGGCGCAAGGACACGCGAAGACAATGACCGATATACAGATCTTCAAGCATACCATCAGTGTTCCTCCACTACCTTCTGTAAGGAAGACTTTGGGTGGATGTGGGAGGAGATGGCTTAATATCATCCATCCAATAAAAGTAACGAAGCCCAGAGTGATGATGGCGGGGACGAAGTAGCCAGCAACGGTATCAGCCATTCGTTGAATAGGAGCGCGGCTCGTCTGTGCTTCCTGAACAAGCTTGACAATCTGGCTCAATTGGGTATCTCTGCCGGCTCTCGTTACACGGAAGTCTGCCCATCCAGTACCGTTGACTGTACCGGCAATTACATTTTGACCAGGAAATTTGTTGATAGGTATGGCTTCTCCTGTCACCATACTCTCGTCGACATACATTTCACCACGAATGACGACACCATCGGCGGCAATTTTGTCGCCCGGCCGAATGCACACGATATCGCCGACTTGAATAAGCTCAGTAGGGATGACTCTTTGCCCTGTTTGAGCGGCTGCTGGCGTTGATTCTGGTTTGTCCGCAGAGGTTGACGTAGAAATTTTCTTCCAGCCTTCAGCCGCCTTTTCAGCAGCAACTGGGTCCTCGTAGATTGTTGCCATAGAAGGCGTAAGGGACATAAGCCGTGAGAGAGCGCGTGAGGTGTGCCCCTTGGCTCGGTTTTCCAACCACCGTCCCAGAGTGATAAAGGTAATAAGCATTGTACTGGTCTCAAAAACAGTACTCGGTTTTGTGTGTGGCGGTAGGATGACGGAAACTAGAATTGCCAAAATGCTGAAGGAGAATGCAAGGGAGGTGCTCAGCATAATGAGGACGTCCATGGTTGGAGAGCCATGCTTTAGCGATTTGAAGGCAGCTCGATAAAACCTTAGGCCAATTCCGAACTGAACAGGTAGCGTAAGAAGTAGGCATACAACATCTCCGAGGAATAGCCCCGGAATTAGCTCTACTTTGCCGAAGTCGAGGAATGATAAGTACATGGGGAATATCATGCTTATTAGCATGACAGGAATGGCGAAGGACAATGAAAGAATAAATGCTCTCCGCCACTCGTGGATCTCTCTAGTCTTTGCAAGGGATTCAAGCTGGGCATTATTGTCATCAGACTCGGCGAGAAGCGCATTATAACCAGCATCTTCAAAAACCTTGACCACAGCTCGGATTCCTATCTGTGACGAGTTGAACGATACTGAGACCTGTGAGTTCGAGAGTCGAACACTTGCGGCCGAAATTCCGGGGTTTTTGAGAAGGAGATCCTCCAGTGCGGTGGCTGAGGCCGCGTCAGGTACTCCGTAGACGTTAAAGTTGAGAGACGTAGAAGTCGTGGAGTGAACAGAAGTATCTGGTTCGGAGGACAGTATTCGCGCGTCAAACCCAGCATCCTCAATACACTCCGCAATTTTGGATGCAGGGAGAACAGATGGGTCATGGACCACTACCGCGCGCTCCGCTAACAGGCTGATATTGAAACGAATCAAACCTGGCAGTCCTGTGACAGCATTATCCACAGCCGAAGTGCATGCGCCGCACGTCATTCCTTCGATGGAAACTGTGGTTTTCATCTGCGCGGATACTTTCCCCAAGGAAGGGTCGTTTGCAAGGCCCGACTTGGACGTTTTCGACTCTATGACACTCGCGTCAAATCCCCGGTCCTCGACGATCTCTGCAATCTGCTCTGCAGTAATCACAGAGGGATCATGTACTACAACAGCCCTTTCTGAAAGTAATGATACCGTCACTGATTCGACTCCGGAAACGTCCGTAAAGCCTCCCTCCACGGCAGACGTACAAGCACCACACGTCATTCCTTGTACCGAGAGAGTTGTCGTGCATTGCGAAGGCTTCGTCGCGTTAACTTGCTTGTCGCCCTTTTCCTGCGGTATATCGGTGCTCAAAACCTCGGCATCGAAACCGCGATCTTCGATCATCTCTGTGATCTGCCCCACCGATAGGACATCCAGATCGTGGTGTACCACGGCCCTTCCCATCATTAAACTGACCGATACCTCTCCCGTTCCCTTGACACCCTCAAATGCTGACTCGATCGCTGATGTGCAAGCGCTGCAAGTCATACCATCGACTTTAAGGGTGGTGATAGCCATGTGGCTTGCTGGAGCCATGCCGGCGCTAGCACGTCCCGCAGGCATGCTGCTCCCGGGGACAGGCGGTATGGAGGGCGCCATCGTATGTTAAGACCGCAGACGGCGTCTATCTCAGGTTCATATGGCTAGAGGTTGGTAGGGCGAGAGATGTGAGGCGTGAGAGAAGGCTTGCGGAGAGCGGCAAACCCGGACCAGCCAGGCCGCTGTAGATGTGCGATCGCGGTTCGTGAAGAGGAATGTTCGGGGCGTTTCTGGCGAGCGGAGAAAGGAGAGATGGTCTCTATATTCTTAGATATGGTATCATGGCCGCTCGAAGGGAATAACGGATGCCCGAGGCAAAGAGGTGAGTGCTGGCCTTGCGGAGGTTTTTGAAGGAACGCAGGCACTTAATTAAAAAGCGGCTCGGGGGGAAGATAGAAGGGCTTGCTGACTCAGCTCCCGGCGGATCCATGGGAGGCCAAACCACCCTTGTTCTTCTTTACCCCCGGATGCGATGCGATGCAACCTCTCATCGCCTGATCCCTGGGGCGAGTGCTGGGGTCAAACGGGCGGGGATAGCGGCAAGATGGCGAAGAGGCGGTAGGCACACTTCACCAGTCGCTTTATTCCTGCGGGTTCATGTTTCTTGTCGGCTCCGTGTTTGATGTTCGGACTCGGAGGAGGCAGAGTCGGAAGAACAGAGGAGCGATGAATTCACGAATGATGAACGCTACCAGCGACTAATCCCCTGCTAGATATGCTCATTGGCTAGAGTCTATTTAAACCCTGTTTATTTAACGTTGGGTGCCAGAGTCGACATCTCTTTGTCCTTCGTATCAACCCCAGTCAGGCCGGGAAGCGCTTTCGTCAACACGCCGAACGGAGAACTTATTGTCTAAGCTAGACGGCTGTCTTTGAGGAGGCTGAGCATATTGTCTCGTCAGACAGGCAGACCGAAACTGCACCTTTGACCGGCCACTCGGAAAGCATGGAACCAACTTTTCACCAATTCGCCAGGCTTCCGGTCGAGTTGCAGACCATAGTTTGGGAGGCAGCTTATTCTCTCTTGGAGCCCCAGGTCATCGAGGCTGAACGCGCCCTACTCGATACATATGGTTATATACGCGATTCCGATTACATACTTGCTGGGTTCCCGAACACCCAAGAACTAAATGGTTTTCTGGTATTTCCCTGGGTGCTGAGGCAAACCTCCATCCCAGCTGTCCTTCATACTTGTCGAATATCTCGCCGTGTCGCTCTTAGGGCCGGTAGTTTCTCGAAACTCTGGACCAGTTCCGAGACCCAGGCTTCTAAACAGGTCTGGTTTGATTTCTCCACTGATATCGTTTATCTAAGGGGGCCTGACGTGCATCTACCCCGTCCACATCGTCCATTTTTAAGCGACATGGATCACTGTACACGTATCCAGCACCTTGCACTCCACTGGGGTACTTTTCATATTCATATATCAGGGCCCGTTATTCGTAAATTTTATGAGCAGCACCTGATTAACAAGGTGATCAGGATATACAGATATCTGCCTGCCCTTACCGATCTATATTTCTTTATCCCCACCGACCGCACAAAGAATGACCATTATACGGATGGAACTGGCGGCCACCTCTGTGAGCCAGATAGCTACAGGTGCAGGGGCCTACCTATCGTGCTCCGGCCCATGGTGGAAGATCCAGGGCAACGAGCAACCAGTCTTCCATGGTGCTACTGCCCCGGGAGCCAGCACACCTGGAAGGAAGCATTGGCCGCGATAGAGCTTGATTTTAACTCTAAGTGGATGTGGGATGGAATGCAACAGGAGTTTGGGACGCAGGGTGTGATGGCCAACTTTCCTCCGCGAATTCACGGGAGGGTACTTATAAGGAAGGGGCCAATGGTAGACGAGCAGTCTGGTAATGGCGAGCCCTGTGGCTATGATTTTGCGGTGAATAAGCAACTTCCTGAAGGCCATGAACAGGAATAGGCTGTCTATATGCATACAGGCCACTCTCTTCCCTTGACCGGAATTTTTTTTGAATATTTTCACTCTGTGATTGCTCAATAGCATAAAAATAACGGGGAAAAATCACACGAATACTCCAAAGCAAATAAAGATAATACTAGCTATATAGAATGATAGGAACATTACAGTAGATTCGTGAATTTAGTGTCCTTGACATCTTCTTCTCCATGATACAAATGTGTTTCTATATATACATGTTTGCAAGGGTTGCTTAGTTTACATTGTTTGCATCCATATTCTCCGCTTATTAACTGGCCTTCGGAATTATATTAATACCCGTCCGATGAAATATCACGTGATCAATGGATATCTCCGATTACCTAATCACATCGTTGACTTCGCTGACCTCATAAGATGGAAACAGTTCAAGCTCCCATCCTTGATAAGAGTTGACTAGCTGTTTTGTGGCAGACTTCATCCCTAGCTGGGGCCTTGTGTATACGGCAGTCGGACAATATATCCCTATTGATCCTGGCAGTGCATAGTGGGATTTCGACACAGCATCTGGGAATATGGATCAATCACAGAAACGAGCCCTTGGGGCTATACAGCCATTCATCCACTTAGCGAACTCGTCTACCTCTCACAGCCCTCGATTCATTGCAAATATCATTACGAATGCTACCTCTGCTGCAAACACATTCATTTTCGCCGAGTTGCTTGAGACTCCAGCCGTCAAATCACTGGCAAACCCGGACACACCAGATGAATACCGCTCGTACTTAAAGTTACTGGAGATATTTGCTTGGGGATCATGGGAAGAATACCACGGTAAGCATTTAAACCTGAAGGATACTGTAGTTTGCATGTATAGCCTCTAATATATCTGTTCTAGCGACTCCCAATCTCCCCGCTCTGAGTGAGCCTCAAGCCCTCAAGCTCCGCCTTCTATCTCTCCTCACCCTTTCCACGACCCATAATCCGCTTACATACCCCATCGTAATGCAATCACTTTCTCTCAAAGATCATGTGGAGCTCGAATCACTTGTGACAACGGCGATTTACTCATCTCTCATCTCTGCTCGTCTATCTCCGACAACAACCCCACCAACCATAAACGTCACTTCGGTAGCCCCTCTACGTGACGTCCGTCTTCAAGCAGTCGACGGAATGATAACGACCCTCGCAGAATGGGAAGGGCGATGCCAGGATGTTGTCGAGGGAATCGAAGCAGAAATAAACACAATAAAGGCTGACGCAGCAAGGAAACGGGCAATGGAGAAAGATCGAGCCTATCGCTTTGAGAAGAGCGTCGGCGGATGGAATGGAGATCAGGATGGAGGGGATGGATCCAGTAGCTCCAAGGATTCACGGTCCTGGGGGTCATCTAGTAAGGAGACTTCACTCGGTGGTAGTGCGGCTAACGCTGCGAGACGGCTTTTCGGAGGCGGAAGTTCGTCAAAGGGCAATAAGCGGGAGTTCAATGCAACAGGAAGTTATTCGAATAACAGACAGCCAAACATGGAGATAGACCCTACTATGCATTCGAGGTCGATGAAGGCTAAAATCGAAGCGCAAAACGTTTGCTAGGCTCGGGGTTCACGGCAACCTACTTAACGAAACTGAGCATACACCAGTGTGCACGAGAAATAAAAAATTAATGACAATAAAGACTTTGAATCTGGCATCTAACTATGAACTATTACATTATGTAGGGCAGGGTTAAAGATTAAAGTAAGCCATAAGTCAAAGTGCAAGAAACAAAACAAATTTGAAAGCTGCGGGACATTATTAAGGGTATCTCAGGATGCAATAATGAAGTTGATAATATTGGGCAAACTGAGACAAGTTGACGATCCAAGTCATCAAAAGCCACTTGAAGGAAGATTTTTTGCTGCTATGTTGCAACGTGAATTTATCATAAAGACGTAAACGCTTGAGGACACCATACCTTACGCCAATGCTCGGTGGGGGAAAACAAAGGAAAAGAAAAGGGGTTGCAAAACATATGAAGCACAGAAGAAGCTTACTGGCGGTTTGTGTTGCGTGGTGAACATAGGAAAGGTCTCCGAAGGAACGCCATGACTGAATAAAAGGACATTAAAGGAGAGAGTTAGCAAATATGCCCTTACAGGCGGGTTCCAGGGACGAGGATGAAAAGAAGGCAAAGCGCGAGAGCAATAACCACGGCGAGAAGCAGAGATACTGAGGCTCGCTTGATGAGAAGGGCTCGAACATAGGGTTCGCGGATGCGTGTCCAGTTCATGAATGTGTATTCGCTCAGCCCAATAAGGGCGAGGATGGGGTCGATCTTGTATTGATAAGATGAAAGGAAGTAAGCTGCAACTGAGAATGGCAGGATCACCTATAGTATAATATGTTAGATATCAAAGTCTGAGGGATTATGGGAAAAAAATGATTGAAACATACCCAGCAACGAGTGTTTCGTGGAGTATCTGTCAGAATAACAAAGAAACCAGCCCAGAATCCACCTCCAAAGCTGACCAGCGCAATTACCAGGCGTGCCAGAATGCTTGGTGGGACCAGATTGCCGAGTGCCTTGGCTTGGAGAAATCCAGGGAAAGCATCTCGTTCCATAGCCTGGAAGACGTAGTCCTTTGCGGTATCAAAAACTTCCGGGTCATCTCTACCCTCTTCCTCGATCATGTGAACAACGTCTCCAACGATGCTGTCGGGCAAAACAACCTCACGTTCGGAACCAGGGAGCAAATAAGTGTATAGGATCCTGACGGCGCTGGCGCGAATGTCGGAGCGGGCAACCGTATGGCCTGGTGAGCTAGTGTCGTTGCCATTGCCGTTGCCGTTGCCATGGGAGATACCATTCAAAGCAGTACTGACGCGTCGAGCATGGCTGGGGAACGAGCCTCGTCTCCTCGAAAATTCGGATTCCTCGCTATTTCTCATCGAAGTCTGACCCTCAGAACGTAGGAAAGCTGACAATCGCTGGTCGGAGTCTTCGATGTCGCCATTTCCATTTCTGCGTCCATTGGCAACTAGGTTTGTAAAGTCCATAGGATTTCCATCTCCTGGCATCGCGCCTCGGTGTCGCTGGGACGCAGTAGAAGGTCTGCTGTCAAATTTCTCGGGCTCTGGGGTCTCGAGAAGAACTGAACGGCGTAGTTCGCGTACATAATGGCGGCATAGAGACATGTGTTGCGATACATCGAGCCTAGGAGTTGTTCACCAATGTTAGTTCTCCTGTACAAACAAATTAAAAGAAGAAACTTAGCTCAGCGTATAACATACCAGAAGTCCAGATAGTCCACAGAGCATTGTTGATCTCTCATGTAGATGTAGAATGAAAACAAGTCAACAGGAGCTAGAGTTCGCCTCCCCAGAACCTCCAAGAGGCTGGGAAGTCTGTTGCGATACTCATTCTCAAGAAGAGAGGGCGCCGACATGTTTATCTGCCGCAACAACAAAGTTCTTTCAAGTGAAAAGGAAGTTGGCAGTCGTTAGCAACAAAGACGTTTGTCTGTGGCTCTTTAGCGATCCGGTTCACTTCGCCTGTTGTGCTTATCACACCGACTCTCAGCGGTAAAAACGGCGTAGGACAACGGGTAAATTCACAGTTTCACCAGGCGCAAAGGGGCTTCAGATAAAGGACAGCTTAGCAGCAGTATCAAGGCAGTGAACGAGCAGCCCCTACTGTGAACAGAGCATCTTGGTGAGAGATGTCCTCCTCGCTTTGTGGCACAGGAGGTGAGGCCTGGACGGGAAGCCCAGGATAGGCAATTTCGCATTATCATTTTTCCGTTTTAACGCTTGGGCCCCAGGGGCAACCCGGAGAAAAAGCAAAAAAGAACCACGGCCAGGATGAACTCTGATGCATCTGTTCCTGTCTACAGATGTGCATCTTAATTGGATGAAACAGTTGCTAGAGGACACGGGTATTGCATTTCCTAGGCTCCAGAGACTAAACATACATAATTTAGCAGTAGCATCCCCCCAACCATACAGCTGCGCCAGCCTGAGCCCAAAAACACCATTAAACAAAGTATATAAATTTACATTAATCGTACCAGTTGGTTGACAGCATCAGTCAGCAAGGTGCTATCTAGGTATTAGCATCTTAACAAGGCCATATGTTAGTGGGAAGATGTGAGTGATTGCACTTACCGACCACTCTGGGATATTCCTGATCTGCTGCCACATGAACTTCTCAAGTTTATTCGCACTCTTTGCGTATGGTGTGCTCTCGTTGTTGTATTTCCGGCAGTTATCGAATATGGTTTTTGCATCCTTGATAAAGTCCTGTGGAGTAGGGTACATGTCCTTCTCGTGTTTCTCCTCCATTGTCGAAAGATCCATCGGCTCTGTTATAACTTCGTAGTAATCAGGGACTTCGTCTCGGTTCACAGGCTGGGCAAACGGCCATGCGGCACTGTGATTTTGCATATCATTAAGCAGATGTAGAAGTTGGTTGTAGTTGGGGCCATGTCTCGGCTGGCGAGCTAGCTCGTCCATATCGGGCGACCATCCGGATTCCTTGATGGCGGGAATGCTCAACGGGTCGATCTCAACTACCCCGTTCTTCCACTCCTTTGGCGGTTGATGAACGATGTGCGATCTGCTAAAAGCACGAATCTTGGCATAAACAGCTTCTTTTTGCTTGAGGACCATGCGACCGGCCTCTAGATACCGTATTTTCGGAAGCATAGAACACTGCATGATGGTACCTCCTTCGTAATCTTTTATATAACCCATCCATATGGATTTTTCGAGGCTGATCTCTTTTGTAAAACCCTGCTTCTTAAAATATCCAATTGCATAGTTATCTGCATACGTCAAAAAGTGCATTACGTCTGAGGTTGCTTTAACGTAATCCTATACATAGATGTCAATACTTGTCCGCCAGATTTCCGGTATAAAAGATGTAGGTAATACTCACTTTCAAATGAGACATGAGATGCGCACCATAGCCCTTCACCTGTTGGTCGGAAGAAATGGCACAAAACACGATTTCGGCAAACTGCCTTCCGTGGAATGGCCGGTACGTTATTCCACTGCAGCGCATGGTTAGTAAAATAGGTAGTCACAGATTATTAAAAGATACACCTACCCAACCACCTCCAACGGATGTTTCACAATAGCTATTGATAAATGGGTCCGGTCGTAGACAAGTCGGGCTATATAGTCCTTCGGCATCTTGGGGAGCTGTTTCTGGAATATGCATTTGAGGCCCGTGAGGATAATAAAGCTCTCTCTCGATGAATCATTGTTGACAACTCGAAATTCAATCTTCCCCTCTCGTTCTTCCAGCACCGCAGCCTGTCATTATTGAGAATAAGTCAGCCCTCATGCCCGACCTGGAATAATAACGACAGGCCCAACCAACCTTCTCAGCGTACGGAACCAGCTTAACCTTTTCGGTGTCCGGTTCTTCCTAGTACTAAATTAGCTTATGTTCCCTACGTCACTGCAATATATCTCGCCGAGTGTGCTGCTCACTTGGTCCCTTGTTTCTGGGGACTCCGTCCTGGCTTTCTTGATGTTGGCTTTGGAATCCGGGGTAGTGGCCTCCTCGGAAGCCTTGCGCTTCCCGCCTACGAAGAAATAAGTTAGCCTACGTAAACGTTACGGAATATAGCCGGAAAGAACTCACGATCAACTGCCATGGGCGCCATATCTCTGAAATCCGCGACTCTCGCCCAGCTTCAACTTTCGATGTCGTCAAGCGCGGAAAAGCGCGCCAAGAAGTGGCGGCTCTCGGCAAATACTTTATCCGATGAAAACTCGCGCTAACCCGATAGAGCGGAAACTACAAACTGTCCAGACAACTTCTACTTCTACTTCTACATCAACATCAACATCACATCCACCACCTATAGCAGCTTCAGCATCGACGTGTTGTATCACTGACTAATAATCTCATATTTGTTTGGACGGTCGAATTCTCCACGATAGCCCTAATGTCTTTGGAAGAAGTCTGGCTCTCTGCAGCTGCAAACCCCTTCTACCCAACCGTCCCAACTAAGTCTCAATTCTTTACAGCCTTGGTGCTTCTGCTAGCAGGTAAGCTGAGGACCATTAGTGGCCAATTACGGATCTTGACATGATTTAGCTAATCATTAACTAGGCTTTGTCCTTACTGGCATCTTCGCTATAAGTAAGCTAACGTAGCAACAAATAAATCCCGACGTGTTGCTGATGTTTTATAGATCGCTCCGCGCTTAACATCGCTATCCTTGGGGTTCCAGCCTCTTTGGCTTTCGGGTGAGTGGTTCTACCTTGATTGGCATTGCCCGAACTCTATCGCTCTAACAGTCATAGATTTGGTGCGGTGTTCATGATCTGTGCCGTGGGGGTATATGTTTAATACAACTCCCGTCTCATTTCCTTTAAATATATCGCCATTCTCGCTAGTTATGTAAAGTATCTGGAGTCTTTTCGTACACTAGTTTTAAAGATTTCTCTACTTGTTCAAGAAGACTAGGCAGTTCAAGCATCAACTAGCTAGGCTCCCACTGCCTTTGCCCCTCTGCCACCAGTGATTACAATGGATACCAGCAGTGCACCTGTTCTCTCAGCGGTTTCGACCTCTGTTGGCCAGCTTTATACCCTTCTCAAATGTATCGGGTTTTCTCGTCAGGCGTCTGTTCAAATAACCCCACAAGGTATCCGATTCTCAGTCGAGGAAGGGAGGGTTTTGCAAGGGCTTGCCTTCCTCGACAAGGCACTCTTCACAAGTTACATTTTCAATGTTCGAAATGTCGATAATGGCGTTACCCAGCCCGAGGAAGATGGCGACTTTTTCGACACGTCCCTATATCCCAGATTTACCATTTCTCTTTCCGCCCTCCTTGAGACTCTACAAATTTTTGGCATCAACGATTCATCACAAGGTCCCAATCAAATGATCAATGCAACAAACACCCAATCCATAAACGCATTCTCAACTCCCGCCCTAGGCATGCATCATTCTTGCACCATCAGCTACCTTCGAAAGGGGTCTCCTCTATGCATTACGCTGGCCGAGGGTGGGATTACTACAACATGCGAGTTAACCACATATGAGATTGAGGATTCTTCGTTGGACTCTACGCCTGGAGAATTTGATATCCCTCTGCAACGTGATGCCATCGTCTTCAAAATAATTATGCGCTCGACATGGCTTCATAACGCAATTGTGGAACTAGACTCGACTTCTCCTACCGTTTTATCCCTCTCTGCGTCTCCTAACAAGGCTCCATTCTTTGCCTTATCAGCCTCTGGTGGCCCGTTCAGTGAATCAACTGTTGAATTTGCCATCGACAAGGAATCATCAGATGGCGTTGACCCCGCCTATAAATCATTCAATGAAGATGGAAGCTCCAGGCAGCCTAGAAGAGGCAAGCTTGCGCCCACCGTCACTGAAACATTTCTCGTTCAACCACCGTCTTCAAAGTCTCGAGTGAAACAGCGGTATAGATTCTCCCTTGTGCGAAAGGCCTTACAGGCTATGGGAGCCTCTAGCAAAGTAAGCATCCGAGGAGATGAGCAAGGCGTTCTAAGTCTTCAATTTATGATCGAACTGGGTGATGGGGCTGGTGCTGATACGTCATTGGGTTCATCTACCCAAGCAGGGACTCGAACTGCTGTGGGAAATGTTAGTTTTATTGATTTCCGATTCGTACCATTGGTTGATGAGGATGATGGGGACCATGAAGGTTCTGAAAATGAGTAACTAAATAAATGTAGACTATGTTTTCTAGGTATAAAAAGGATTGCAGACGTTTTCTATTCATCCACTGATGTCAGACTAATAGCAGTATTTGGTTGCATAAGCCTTATCGTATGTTAAGTTTGAAACGAATATATAATCTGCTGATGCGTCCCCGTAAACTTATATTGCTTTAATTCTAGATATAGACTCCATAACCCCAAGTTTCCCAGTCCTATAATTCGCTTTAAAATAAAGATATAAGCAGTGTAAGAGCGTAGGTTAACTAATTAGTGATGAAGGTAAAAGTCGGCAGAATGGGGACAGAAATGTTAGAAAGAAATAGAAGCTTAGGTTCGTGTGGGGAGCCGACATGAGTAAAGGATCAATGTAGCTGAGTCCTGTTACGAGGGTATTTTGCTGTAGAAAACGCGCGGTGCAGATGATGCTCCAGAGTACTTCCACAGCATCGACGCCGTATAAATTGACTATGTAAAAAGGTTCCCGTTACATAACCTAAAGATGGATATTAATTCCAATTTTAACATCGCCAGATAAAAAGGTAAGAATCGTGTACTAACCTCTGCAATAGATTGTCTCTCAATTATGGATTTTTGCCGCTCGTTTCGTGACACTCTGTAGTAATAATCACAGAAATCACCGCATTGCATGCTTCTAAGGAACTCTTCATCGTGGGTAATGACAATTAACTGAAAATTCGCCTGTTGTTGACGTGTTCTGATAATATCATGTAACGACTCAGCGAGAGAACGAATATTATCACGATCAAGGTTCGTAGTTGGTTCATCAAGGGCGATAAGACCACAATTAACCCCAAAACATTCAGCCAATGCTAGCCTGATAATAATACTTGCAAGGACTTTCTGACCAGCACTGCATCGCCCTCTCATATCCATCTCTGCATCTTGCTTGACCATGCAAACACGATAGTTGTAGGACCTGTTGCCTCTTGCACTTTCGTTATCCGAGCGAATGAGTATAGTATCAACATCGGTTCCTCTGTAGGTTTTTTGCCATAACTCTCCGATGATACGGTTAATTTCCTCCATCTTTAAGCCATGGTATTTCATAATTGCTTTATCCAGAGCTCCACCATATCGTCCAAGGTCGTCCACGGCCGCTTTCGTTGTTTCCACTTTGATGTGCGCCTCTTTAAATTTGGCTCCAGCGTCCTTGTAGTCAGTGTTCCAATCTGCTAGAAGCTGCATCAATTGATCATCCTTTGACTTCATTTCGCCCATTTTGCTTGCTTGCTTCGCTGCGAGAGCGTTGTGTTCTCGTGTATTTCGTTCGGATTCTTCCTTGAATCGACTGCGGTCCACTTCTGCATTTTGCGACTCCAAGTCCTTGATCTCCTGGTTGACAACAACAAGCGACTTTGATTCCTGGCGATATCGAAGATTATCTGAGTACTGTCGCTTTGTGCTTTCACTATCCTGGAGGCGGGCAGAGGTATTATTAAGTTCGCGTGTAAGATCAACCTGTTCGGCTTCTAGGCGTTTGATCTCATCTGATATGTTCTGGAGTTCACGCTTACTTCTCTCTAGCTGAGCGGGACCTCCTCGTTCGATATAGTTCGTGATATCTTCGCTGGCCAGGTCTAGCTGGTGCAAACTATCGTTTAAACTAGAAACCTCCTGTTGTAGCTCTTTCTCTCTCTCTTCGCTACGAGCACTGATATCCTCGTACCTTGCCTGGGCTTTGGAGGCCTCCGGAACAAGGCCCTCGATGTCGTTATCGGCATTTTCAATCGTCTCCCGCTGTTTCGAATTTAGATTTCGGTATTCCTCTACTCGAGTAACGAGTGTGGTTTTCTTCTCGAGCTGGAAGTTGGTGTTGTCGAGCTCTCTTCGCAAATCGCGGAGTTTCAACTCAAGTTTCCCGACATCCACTCGTGATTGATTCAATTCTTGGTTTGTTTTACTGGCGGCCCGCTTGAGTTCACGAGATTTCTCACCGAGAGTAGCGATCTCGTCTTGAATGTCTTCCAGCGTTCGAGAGCTTCCAGTCTCCTCCTGTCTCGTAGAGAGATCTCGAATCTGGGTTTGTAACGTTGAGATTTCACTGTCATACCTCGCGATTGTTGTGATATTTTTAGACAGGGATTCAATGTCTCGTTTAGATTCTGTCCTCTGGGCCACAACATTATCACGCTCTTCTAATTGCGCAAGGAGGCCCTCCCGCTCCGATTCCAATTCGGATTGCTCTTTCTTAAGAGCGGGTATATCGGTGCCGGTAAGCCGAATCCATGTCTCATAGTAGCTACCCGCCTGTCGAACGTTCTCTAGCTCTGCTTCCCGTTCTTCAATCTCAGCAACTACGTCCTCGCCTGTTGCCTTCTTTATCAAAGCTTTGAGTTTGGTCTTGAAGATCTGGAGTTCCGATTCGGTCTTGAAGGGTCGAGCACAGGTCCTGCATACTCTTTTGTCATTTGCAGCTTTAAGACACATGTCTAAATATTCACCCAAACCAGCGTACTGATCTGCGTCCTTCCTGACCATATCTAGCTCTGTTTGCTTTTGTTTGACAGTTTCTGGATATTCTGTTGGATCGTCTCCAATTACTTCGTTAATTTTCTCTGCAGCATTCTCGACGTCGGCCTCGTGTTGATGAAGGCTCTTCCGGGCGTTTTTTAGCTTAAATTCAAGGAGTTCGAGTTCCTTACTAGAGCCATCCCTTTCTCGCTCCGCGGCGGAAACCAGGGCAGAAGCATCCTTGAGGGCGTTCTGGTAGCTTTGTTCAATATTGCTTGGGGTCCATGATGGGTTTATTAATTTGGAAATTCGATCACCATGAGCACCAGACATCGTTTCAAGGCTGCGCTCTCGATCTTTGAGCTCTTTTTTCAGGTGGTCTAATCTAGCCAAATCACCGGCTTTTTTGGTCCCCTGGATCAGCTCGGCATTCAGCTTGGAAGATTCGTCTTCTAGTGACCGAATTTCTGCTTCCTTCTGTTGAAGCTCACTCTCCCAAGAGGCGTTCTTAGCCTTTTCTTTTTCTTTTTCCAAATTCTGCTCAGCTTCTTCGATCCTCGATTCAATCATGGCACGCTTCCCCTCATCGACATCAATTTCATCGATACGGCGCTGGATGGTAGTCGCTTCTTTATCGTTCAAGGATATTTGCTTCTTCGCCACGTTCTTAACTTCCTGGAGAGCTGACTTCCGCTGGCTAAGCTGGTTGAGGAGAGTTTGAGCATCCTTCAATTGAGTCTGGGCCTCCCTCTTGGCTTTGTCCAGTGCCTGGTGTCGCTCTTTGGACAATTTTTGCATCCGTTCCATGAAGTCGTTAATTTCCATCTCGTCCAATTCTCCATCAAAACCGCGAAAGTTGTTTTGGCGGGCAATATCTTTTATCAATTTTCCTCGCCTTTCCACCTGTCTGTCGAACTGAGCCTTGTCGTTTTCATTTTTACCACACTCGGTTTGTTTGCGTCCCAACTCGTGGCGATTGCGCTCGATAAGTCCCTTGAGGTCCATATATTTTTCTTTTAAGGAGACTTCTTGCTCTCTATACTCCGCCTGTCGTGACTCGAATTGCTCTAAGGTTGACTGAAGCCATTCGTCTGACTCATCCACTTCAACAAGATGTTGCTTTAGGTTGTTGATACTGGTCTGGATACTTTTTGCCTCAATCCGTTTGCCTTCCAGTGCACCCAATATCTCCGCGTAGCCTTCAGATTCTTTCCAGGCTTTATCCGCCAGTTCAGCGGCTCGTCTCATCTCCTTTGAAAGTTCATGGCTCTCTTCTCGTAGCGCTTCAATTTCTTCTTGTAGCTTCAATGATCGTTTTTCGGCCTAACGAATAGTTTATCAGCGACAAAAAAGAGAAAACTTAACTTTCTAAAGTAATACTCACGCGATCAGCTTTATCCTTGTCATCTCGGGCATGATTTTCCATAATTTTATACTTTGCGAGCTCCTCATTTTGTTTTTTTCGCAGGGCTTTGATATTGTCAATGGCCTTAGTATACTTCAATGCTTCAAATATTTCATCAAACTTCTTCTTCAATACGGACGGTTCGCTCATTGGCCATAAACTCTCATCTTGATGGCAAAAGATAACAGAGTCAAGAACTGCCTTAGATACGCCCAGATATTGAGGCATTATTTGATCCAACTCGGCTACTCGTGACGAAATTGCTGTTCTTTCGCCTTCTTTGATCATTAAAAGTTGTCCCTCGAGGGTTTTTTGCTGTCGTGTCAACTTTTTGACAGTAAGCTGGAGACTTCTTGTAACCACCATTTTGGCACCTGATGTAGCCTTGAAGGCCAGCTTAACCTGTGCAAACACCTCCTTCTCTCCGCATAGCTTTATAAATGTTCAGCTTCAATTCTTCTCCTTCCATCGTCACTGGGATCAGGGTATATCGCACCTTGGGGTCATGGATAAAGGCACCGCCTTTACTGTTTGGCGGGAGGTCTCCAGTGGTTGCATACTTGAGACATTCAATAATTGTCTATCGTCCGTTAGCCATCAACCACTCGTTTTCCGCCTCCCGTCACTTGGTTTAATACCGTCTTTCCGGAGCCATTGTATCCGACGATTAGAGTGAGAGGGGCATGGAATTGGATGGTTTCGCTGCGGGTATTGTCGAACGACCGAACCCTATGCAGAACAGTTAGTAAGGTTATATAGTCCAGTGCATCTTCGGTGATTACTTACCCAAGAATAGAAAGCTTGTCGATTTTCGCTATGACGTGTGTTAGCTTGGTAGATGGAATGCCTCCGTCTGTTTAGACATACACCTGTAAATAATCATGTTAGCAAGAAATCAACTATGCCTGAGGGAGGAAAGCAAACTTACATATTTGCTACCTTCTCCGATAGAAATAGTCTATGTGTCGAACTTCATATCCTGATTTAAAGAGAGAGTGAACAGGCAGCGTCCATCAACTTCACTTCACGATCTCAAGTCGCCAAAGCTAAACGCTCATTAAAAAGACGCGCGCGGCAGAGGCACGTGGTCACGTGTTTCTTATCCTTATCAGGCAGCAACAGCAGCTTTTTACATACAGAAAGTCCATAGATCTACTATATTGCGTTACAGGAGCGATGATGCACAATTTGGTATCAAAAGCCCGTTAAACTAAATTGGAATGACAGTACTCCATTCTTGAACTCCGTATACCTTTTTCATCGCTCGTTAACCGCAAGCGTAACGCCCAATATGGATAAGAAATGAATATAGAAATACATGATAAGTGGGACAAAAGGCTCAAGAAAAAGGAGTATAGATTCATTAATCATTGGTCATCGGTTTACTTCTCGGCGCTCTCTTTATCCTCTGCTTCATGCATCGGATGCTCGGCCATAGAATCCTTTGAAGAGCTATCGGCTGTCTGGTCTGCAGCAACCTTTTCACCGGTGTCCATAATGTCAATGTCGCCATCCGCATCGGCCTCTGCATCCCCATCTGGTTCCCCGGGGGCATCTTCGTCGATCGTTTTGTCAGTCGTAGTCTCTTGGGCAGTTGACACGGTGCCTCCAGACGACTCAGGTTGCGGGGAGGTTCGAGCAAGCGACATTGTAACACCCTTCCCATCCTGCAAGCCGAGATCCTGCACGCCCAAAACATCTGGACCACGAGCATGAGGAACTTCTTCCCCGTTTTCAGAATCTAATACATGGGGTGCATCATTTTCCACGCCGCCTACCGTAGCATGTGGCCCTTGGTTGATATCACTGTCGTGAATGTTTCTCTCCAGAGGGGCATTACTTCCCGAGTGGAAGAGGGTCTGGTTCGAGTTTGGCGAGCTTTCACTACGCGTTTGGCCTCCAAGCTCTTGCATAATATCATCATCATCCGAGGACGGCGTCGAGTTGTTTAACCAAGGGATAGGGGTTAGCAATGCGCCTCCAAGAGATTCATCACTTCCAAGGGAGTTATCATTGAGCATGAATCCGGTATTACCAGACCCATTGACGCCATTTGCCAATGATCCGTCAAGAATGCTATCTGGTAGTAGGGATACTGGAAGTGGGAATATATCTGCCCCACTCGAGACTGAAACGACTCTATCAACGGCTCGTATGTAGGCGGGCAGGGTCTTGTAGTTCTGTGTAGGGCGGAGGATAAGTTCAGCAAGACGCTGGATTGTATGGGGTGGCTTTTGAGAGAAGTAAGACCTCAATGTATTCTTAATCGACGACAGTTCGGCGGCCAGGGGCGGAGGCAAGCCATTGGAAAGCAGCTGGGAATTTTGAGAATCCGAAATGCGGTCGACGGAGGTGGAAGCTGGAGAGGAGAAGGATGGCACAGGTGGCCTTTGTGGCGACTGAATCTGAGACGGAGGAGCATTCTCTTTATTGCTATTCGGTAAGGATTCGTTGGTGGGATGTGATGTGAGGGGAAGGGTTTGGACGGTTTCAAAGGAGCCGAACACCGGTATCTGGGGTATCCGGAATTCATTATGGGCTATCTGTATAGGTGTCAATATCCCCGTTTAAAGCTATAAGAAGGCGTCATTCGTAGTCCATACCTGGTCTAATCGGTCGAGCAGCGGCTCGAGAAGTGCAGGCCATTTCTCGCTAATTAAACAACCCGTCAGCGGCCGGAGAAGAAATCGGTGATCTTCAAGTAAACTTACTATACCATCTGGCCATCTTTGGCGACGAGCTCTAGTATCTCTTCGTCTGCGTATAGTACGTTGTTAGTCTATGAGGAGCTTGACGGGCTTGCAACTGGCTATCGCATTGATGCTTGACCGCTGCCCCTATGCGCGGTCATCTCCACGGCGGCATTGCAGGTCTAATTCATTGCGATGGGTATAAAGCAGAGGAGCTCAACCTACCTAAAGACATGATGCTAACTAGAGATTTGATATCCGGACTTTGAACAGACAGCTTTTAATCGCTAGTCGCGGATCTCGTTCCATCAAAGCTGCATGGCCGGAAAAACGTTTCTTGATGCCCGAACAAAAGGGTGTGTTGGCAACCTTAAAATGCATAACTCCGTCCAGATGTCAATATCTACTTCATACTTCAAGCCACGGCGGAGTATTATATACGGAGGGGCTACACCATGCTCTGCACTTAGGGATATATACACGAACGGTTACAGCCGTGCTCCCTCGGCGCCAGATGAAGATTATCCTGGGTGTATGATCGATAATGTCGTTAAACGATGAAGCCTTCGACGATTCAGGGTCCATCCGGGCTGAAATTGACCCTCAGAGGGGCGAAGAGGTTGTCCGTTCTCTAGGTCGCGCAGAGGAACTTGACCTGGCATCACCCAAGGAATGGAGCCCGCCGCCGTGTTGGCCCGTTCGTGCAAGCATTCGACCTGAAGAGCCGTTGCATGCGCTCGTCGTCTATCATACCATAACCTCAATGTGCAAGGGCGATGTGCCCTGTTGGACGTATATATCACAGGGAATGGAACGAATTGGCCAGAAAGAACTAGTGTTTACGATCTCGCGGAATATTGAAAGCGAAAAGGAGCAAGACTTCCCTAACGATCCGCTACGCTGGATGGAGATCGTCTATTCCATGGCAAAAGGTGGCTGCCCTGTGGATGAATTTGAACGAACAGAATTCCAAGTGGCAGACTTCCTTGGTCGATCCGATGTAAGTTGGATTGTATACTGCCCTGCTTGCCCTATTCCGAACATTGAAGACTCGTTGCTTCCAGGAGATTATTTGCAAGCCATCCCTCTCCTCGTTGCAGAGGCTGAAGTGGCGGATAAATATGGCCTAATGAGAGTACTTGGGCATCTGGGTGCTTTGGAGAGATGGTTCCCCTGGCCGCCTTGGTTTGATCGGTACCGCAATCCTTGTATTACCGCCTCCCAGATGCAAGGCTCGATCAGGGACCAGATGCCTTTCCAGTACATCAAAGGGCTCAGCGCTGTGAAGAAAGGGTCCAAAATCATCCTCCGAGTTACCAAGCAGGCCGAGGCTCCCCTGGTGGAAGCATTGCTCAGGCACAGCCCTGACCGGGCTTTCCCGTTGGATTCTCTTCATCACATCAACTCGGATTCTGGCCTGCTGTGGGATAACCGAGATCCGCAACCAAGAGGGTATGCCGCAGGAAGCTCGAACGAATGCATGAACTTGAATTATTTCGCCTTCTGCCCCGGCCAGGACGAGGACGAGCTACTTTTAGTTGAGGATGGATATATGTGTAAGTCATCGAAACAATTCAATCCACCTACTACTACTCTTTGTCAAGCCGGGGACTAATCATGCCCTCCATTTTTAATTGCAAATTGCAGTTATGCTAGCAGATGAAACATGGCTCCGAATTCGCGGTTGCATTGAAAGCCTGAGGTCATGTCATATTTCACTGGGCTCTGACCTGCGGTTTTTGCTCCGGTTGGAGAAACCATCGGCGCCAGATTATGCTAGCTAAAGCACGATACTATATTTTTGCCCTCTACAGAGATACATACTTGTCACAAGAATGTACCTGCTCCACATCAACAAGAACCTTATCAGTACATGGTACTGAGTGAATAAATATCTAGGTAGATCTATGAGGCAATTGATAGATTTCGGGGTTTCAAATACCCTCATTACGCTCCTAATTTCTTCTAAGAGAGAATGAATTACGATTAGCGACTACGAACTCATAATATAACGCCAGCTACTAAACGGTTAACATGCACTGATATTTCTTGCTACATATATCCAGAAAACAAAAGTAAAGAAGGGTCAAAACCTCTATTGTGCTGCTATGCTGCATAATTGAGAAGGACGTCTCGTTAAACAAGGAGCTCATGAATTAAAATAGTCAGTCTATTTCCGTCGCCATCAAATGATCTGCGCCGATTCACAGTTGAAACTCCGAGAGTAAAGACTAAGTCCTCGTTAAAATAAAGCAACTAAAAATTTAGAAAATGAAACCATGGGAAGGAAGCTCAAATGGGAAAAAATCTGGGTAAAATGAGAAAAGCTGAAGCTGGTACTAGTTAAAACTAAGCATGAAAAAATTTCCAGTGGGCCATCCAAAGCCGGGTATGTAACTTGTCATGACTGTACTAGAAAACAAGACAAATGAAATTCATTAGGTGGCAGTGTGGAATAGAAGGGCCAATTTTTTTGTATATATTCAGATGTAAGAAAAGCCACCGCAAGAGGAGGAGGACATCAGGTAGTGAAAGGGGGTGATTGAGGAAAAGAATCGAAGGTAATAAAATGAAAGCCATCGCAATGGACAAAGGAAAAGTCGAACTGGTGTATTCAAAGATGAGGAAGATATGAACAGGAAATAGTAAAGTAGGGAAATCAGAATTTTGAACCCTTATTTTAATGGCGCCTGTTCGTCGTTAAAACCAATTGAATTTTATCTGATCCCATTATACTCATTAGCCCAACTTTGGTTTGATTGTGGCCAGCCACCTCCAGCAGCGCCAGGGTTAAGCGGATCGCCGCCCATCTGTTGCTGCTGTTGACCGGGAGAATGGTTTAGATATCCAGCATTGACGGAATCCTCTTCGTCACCAAAGCCGAACTCTCCGCCAGAACTTGCGTCAAAGCTACTTCGTCCTCCGATGTCGCTATTATCGTCCACCGGAGCAACCATTTGATCCCACTGCAAACCCTGCAGTGCAGGATATTGAGCCAGTAAAGCAGCTGGTAGTGTAAAGGAGCCTCCATGTCCGTCCATGCCCTGTACTGTTAACGGCTGGTTGGTTGGTTGTAAGTGACCCTGTGGTGTGCCCCCTTGTTGCTGCTGGTGTTGCTGCTGCTGATTGAGGTTGTCTCGCTCGATAGCTTCTTCGTCAAGAAGAGGTTTTATGCATACTCTACCGGCCTCCGAGCGGAAATGGCGGCCAAGGGCATCGGCGCGGGCGAAGCGTCGACCACATCCCCATTGACGACCGCTAGACATATCGCCACGGCAGACGAATCTTCTCTCGCCAGAATGTAAGCTTTCGTGGCGTCTCCGATCATGCTGGCGGGCAAAAGCTCTACCACAAATGGTACAGACAAATGGTCTTTCATCCGTGTGGGTTCGGAGATGGGAACGGAGGTTATATGCTCGTGTGAATTTCTTAGGGCAAAGTGTGCATTGGAATGTTGCGGGGTGTTTCTGTACTCTTTTCGGGTCTTGTGGGTTGGATCCAGGTCGCTGGGGGTTTGCGAGGTCTAGAATGTAGGTACGATTGTCAAGGGATGAGGTTGACTGGCGTCGATTCTTGCTCGCTGGCGAAGCTTCCCGTGAAGATGGTGTACTGAAAGCGCCACCAGAAACCCTGGATGGTGATAAGGAGCTGGTGTTGGAAGTAGCACCACCGAGAACAGAACCAAGCGAAGATGGTGACATTGGCCGTGACATATATGGATCCGATTTACTTCGTCCACGAGCACCTAAGTTCGAATGTTAGTCTACCAGCGGGGTAAGATGAAAAAAGCGACAATAGAACAAACATACGGCTGATTGGAGGGCTTAATGTATCCCCATCTGCATTTAATTTTGGAGCATCCACGGTCGATGTCCTTGAAGGCGGTGCGAATTCAACGTTAATCGAAGGAGGGGTCATCTGAGCTGCTTGTCCCATATCCCCTGGACCAGTTTGTGCTTGGAATCCGGGCATAGACGGAGCTGATGTGCTAGAATATGGATCCTGGGTAGAATTTTGAGGCATATGTTGAGCCAGAAGTAACGAATTGTCTGGGTCTAATTCTGCGTTATGCAGTTGTGGTGAAAGACGAGGAGAGATATAGGGACTATGTCCTGGACTATATCCTCGTTTCTGTTCACGCTCTGATATCGTAAAGGTCTCCATTCCGAATGCATTGTCGTACAGGCTCGGGTCAGTTTGAGGGGGAAGGTGAGGAGATGGATGAGCAGAAGGATGAGCAGAAGCATGGGTAGAGGCATCGAACGTGTCATGCTGCGGTAAGAATGGTGAGTGTGACACTGACGAGACATCTGAATGCTCTGATGGGGCACGTCGATGGCCCTGGAAGGAACTCTGCCCAAGTATCCCTTGCCAGTCAGACTGAACACCACCGCTAGTAATATAAGCTGCGCTGGCAGGGTCTAGAGAAGTATGCCGTGAGTGCTGGGGCGTGTAAAACGTTCCCGGACTCGAAGCGGCAGCCGGGGAGGCAGGGCGGTTAGGGGACGAAACCGTCTCCGGAGGAACTAAATGGGGAGAGGTTGGCATTTGCGGCGAGGACAGTGGATGGGCAAAGTTTGCCGGGTTGATAGTAGGCTGCTGGATAGTACCCATCATTGCGTTAGATGTATTGAATCCCGAGGTCTGGTCTTGATGTGTGAAGGTGCCGAACTCTTCGAAATTAAATCCTTGGTCCGAATTGTCAAAGTCTGGAAACGGCTGGGAGTCTCGACTGTCGTTCACGCCAGTACCGGGCTGTTCCAGCTGGTCGAGGAAACTGGTATCAAACGCTTGGGAGAAATCCTCTTGTTGGTTGAACGCACGCTCTGGCGCAGTCACATTGGTGGTGAATCCAAGTCCGTCCTGAGATGTAGCTGCCAGGTAAGGGGTTGTGAAGAGAAACTGCTCGTTGCTTGACGACGTAGTTGTTGGATAGGTGTTATTGTTGTTATTCCCCGAAAGTGATTGGTCGGCGTGTAGCTGGTTGTTGTTGGTAGGGTCGGTAAATTGGAGCGAATTGAGGTTATTTTGTACTTGGGTGAAGTGGGAGTTACTATTGCTTCTCGCCGCTGACGACGACCTGGCCCTCCCGTTCTGCGAAGGAGCCTCCATCATGGCACACAAATGCTTGTTTATGTTCTTGTTTCTTGAAGGGAGGTTTGCCAGAAATAGACTGGCCGGTGCAGGGGTCAAGCTTTAGAGCGCCCAGCTGGCAAAGGGGACGTCCCTACCCGCCGAGGCTGATCGCGGAGATAGAAGCGTTATTCAGCAAGATAGACGGTTTCTCAATGATGGCAGAGCTAATTCGACTGGTCTCCTGCTTTCGATGACGGCGTGGCGGAGTAATGGTGGTGTAGAGGCTGTGGCAGTGGTGAGGGATGGTGGTGGAGCTCTAACCATCGGCGTCAAAAAGGCGATCGAGACGAGCGCGAGACGTAATTCCACCGAATCTAGAGGACGCAAGCAGCTTATACGGGGTCAGCTCATGGCGACAGACGGTGCGCTTCAGCGTGCAACCCACATGAAGTTCAAGATCGTGATGCTAGATAAAAATATATATGAACTGGCGCCTGAAATTGATAACGTCCAGCGAAGCCCCACTAGGTCCCTTCGCGGTGTTGGGCGTCTCGGCGAGTGCAGCAAGCGGGCTTCCAGGTCAGAAGAGGGATCGAACTGACGAAGCGCGGCCCCGGGACAGAGCAGGATGTTTATGTCGAGGGCGAGTATCGAGCAGAGGAGGCAGAAGAAGCGCTGGTCGAAGGATGCAGCAGCGAACAACGAGAAAGGACAAGAGGATGGGGGTTGGACCTGCGGGCCTTGGCGGTCGCCCGCTAACTAAGGGGGACTAAGGCAGCGTGATGGGGGTTCGACTTGCTGCTCCAGGGGAATATCCGAGAGAAGCAGCACAGTGAAGGGCAAGGGGATTATTCCACCGTGACAACTGTGATCGTGGCTGACGGTTTCAAGTATTTAGACCCCCGGGCTCTCCCCTGAGAGCTCAAGCAAGGCACCCGTGGTAGGCACATTCAAGGTCCGGCTGCCATATGTGTATACCGCCTGTCTATCGAAGCTGAACTGAAAGCTAGAAACTGGAGCTGTATGTCTAATAGATCGACTATGCCCAGGGTAGATATCCTCCTCGCGCAGGCTGCCTTGCTGGCCCTGACGCAGGTTCGCATCCAACTAAAGCGTTCACCAAGCTTCCTCAGGGACAAGCTGCACGGATCGTAGAATCCGTACCCAAAATCCCAGTCCTCTGCATATGCGACCAGCTTTGCGCCCAAGCAGTACACCCCAAGCTGGACGTTGCCTTGGATCGGGCTGTGCGTGGACGGGACGAGGCTGAGAGAAAGACCGTCGCTTTGTATATGGTACCTGATTGGCGGCACTAATATGGCGACAGGGACATGTAACACGCCAGATTCCCGCCTAATATGATCCATGGAACGATGCTAGCTGGAGGCTTTATTTCTTTGAAAGACCGGTGTGCGAATAGGTAGAAGCCAAGAGACGAGAGAGCCGTTCATTCGATGGAGGATATGCATGCCTTGAAGGTGAAGCTGATATCGATCTAACCTGCTACCCTCCGGCAAATAGTAGGCCTGTCCATTTCAAGTCTTGAAGTCCGTTATGCATGTACTGCCCCAAGTTCGCCCCCCGTTGTTCAAGGTCAAACGTCTGGTGTCTAGTGGGAACATCAGACTCCATAAAAGACGCTTTCTGGAAGCCATGTAAGGCAGAATTATTTATAGTAGCGGTGATTCTGCCTTATATTGATTGATTGACGTATCTGTTAACTATTGAAACGGCCGACTCTGGGGTGTTCCGGGGTTGTGTATGAGCGCTGCACGGGCTGCGCCACAACCAGGGATGAAGCACAAGATCGCTTTCCAAGCGTGGAACGGTGGAAGATGGGGGCCGCGAGAGGCCTTCGAGAAGCTGTAGAAGGGGTGCTATTTATATACCCGTTGGAAAGTGGGAGGCGAACTTGTCGAGGGAGCTCAGATGTTGTCAAAGGGTCCAATATTACTCCAATATCATCGCCAACCACGACCGTACACCGATGACCTAACACTGATGCAGCCTGAATCACGATCAATGCGAGATGCAACATAGAACTTTTCAACCCAATCCAAATGTATTATAGTATTATACACAGTTCAAAATTACAAAAGATAAGTAAAACCGCTGTCGCTGCCGGAAGAAATATGTGCAGACACCGGTTTTTTTTTCGGATTCCACATAAACATCAAGAAACGGCTTCAAAGCGTCGGGAAGAAAGGTCTCCTTTCTTCCCCATATATTAATTGATCCGTCGGTATACGCGTTCCCTTCCCTTCCCTTCCCTTCCCTTCCTTTCCTTTCCAAACCAAAAAATATAGGTAATAGAAATATAACCGTGCCAGATCCCCAAAAGTTAAGAAATATCAACAATGAAACAAAAGTATAAGGGGATATCTGTCTGCGAAAAAGAAAAGGGAGGGTAAAAAAGGCAAAGAGCAGAGGTATGCTATCCAAATTTTACAGCAAAGGGTGAGGAAAAAAAGGAATAGAGACAAAACTCCACGATGCCCATGCAGGATATGACGAACCGTGAAATAAAATATAGAGGTACGTGGGAATATATCGTATAATAGCCATGATATGATGCAGGGAAATAAATATAGAAATAGGAGGTATGGACATTTATAAGCAATGTGGGTGGAAGGGTGGTAGCGTTGCGCGTGTGTTGTGTGGCGTAGTGCTGTGGTGTGTGGTGTGGTGTTGATTATATATGTATGCAATGCACACATTTCGTCATTATGTCATTTCGTTATCTCGCGTATTCGATCAACGGAAGCTTCAAAGCTGAGTTTCATTTGTCATTCATCCAGGTATCATGCAGTAGACTTGCGTCTGCCGAACGTAATGCCCTCGTCACTAGAGTCGTCGTCCTCATCCTCGTCATCACCGTGATATCTTTGGTCATCATCATTAGTCGCCACGACGATAGGAGCAGGAGCTCGCGCTTTATCGCCGGTAACTGTCCTCGTCGTAGAATCATCCGTAACAGTATCGCCCGTTCGAAGCATAGGGTGGACGTCCGGACATGTACATGTGCCGGGGGCCTTCCCATTCCTCTTCTCATATTCACGATTCACGAGATACGTACTGAAGCCATCCGCGGATAGCGAGGAGGCGCCAGATACGACGGATGGGATGCTAGGGTGTGATGCGCAATGAGACATCTCGCTATTATAATCATCCATCGACGACGAGGACATGGTGATTGCTGACGGAGGGGAGGTGATTGGTCTTGCAATCGGCTGGCACTTGAACGGGTCATCGTCATAGCTCTCTGGCTCCAGAGTATTGAGATAATGCTCTGGGGAGGCGTGGATTCGGTAGTCGTCTTTGTCTACATTGACGATCGTTGCGTTGTCATGACCTAGATGGGGTGTTGACTCGGGGTTACGGAAAAGAAAATCGCGATGGAAAGGGGCAGGCGGCGGTCCGGCTATATTTGCGTCTTGTCGAAGCTGGTGAGACTTGCTCCGCCTGTGAATGGTGAACTTTGGAGGCGATGCGTGAGGGGTTGGCGAGGTAGATTTATGAGCGAGGTCGGGCGGATTGACTAGTCCGGTAGCCGATGCAGAGGATACAGCGACGCTGGGCGTTGAATGGCAATCCCCATCAAAGGAGACATGGTCTGACGATGGGGTGCTATCATGGCGTTTATCCCGAAGCTGTAAACTCTTGACGAGCCTGTTCCTAGCTCCTCCGAATATACTCATCCCGCCAGTCGATGAATTAAAAGACTCGCTTCTAATCGCTGCAGCAGGGGTATCATTACGGAGTGACATTTCCAGGTTTGTTGGGCGGATAGTCTTTATCGAGCCGGCGCTGGAGAGCGTGGAGATGGTGCGTCCAGGTAAGTCGGGACGAGGTTCCTGGGTAGGAGAGCAGTTTACAGAAGTCGGTGCAGTTCTTGACGTAGCTACACGGCCAAAGTAATCCGGGTGCTTTATATCATCTAGGTCGGGACTAACCACCAAGCTTTGTGATAGCGGATGTTCGCCTTCCCGGTTTGCTTTGGGGGTTCGAGTAATCTCTTCATCGCCTCGTAAGCTAGTCCTTCTCAGCTCTCGGATGATATCCTTGCCAATCGTCAAGCTGCTGCTCGATGAGACAGACTGTGCGGTATCGATGGAAGCGGCAGAGCTAGGCGCACGCCTGCGACCAAATATCGTACCGCTCCATTTGACGACGTTGGATCGTACCCGTTCGATGAACGGCATCTTAGTGACGGCACGAATAACATCGTCGTTGGAAACCTCAATTCGCTTGCCCTTGCTCTGGTATCCAGGATCGGTGTCTTCGATCCAAGCCTTTGGTTCTGGAATATCTCTGACAATCCATGGATGATGCTTGATCTCCTTCAGGGTAATCCGTTTCGTCGGGTCCTTGATTAGCAGACGAAAGAGAAGATCGTGCAACTCCTCGTCGACGACTTCATAGGCAAGTTCGCCTTCGGCGCGCTTATCACTACTCAAAGACGGTGACCTTTGAGTGTGTGAGTGGCCAGATACCGGATCGTCAGCCACCACCGCCTTTAATCTCTTGCTGGGGATGAAGACGTCGTGCCTGACAATGTTTTGGAACAGGCTAAACTCGTCATCAGCGACGAAGGGTAGCCTGCCATAGATCATCCCATAGAGAGTCACGCCGAGCGCCCAGACGTCGATTGCACCTGTGATCTTTGGGTCCTTGCCTACGGTGGATTCGCATTCGGCTCCTGTATAGCAGAGCTCTGGGGCATAGAAAGCCGGCGTCCCGACGGTCTTGGATAACTCTCGGGCGTCATCTAATTCCGTGGCATCGGTTTCGGTGACTTGCTCTTCATCCTCGTCTCTGATGGGACGTCCAAGGTATGATACTCCAAAGTCGGATATCTTGACTCGATGGTTACCTGTAACGAGCAAGTTGGCAGGCTTGATATCTCGATGGATGATACCTTGATAATGTAGGTACTCAAGCCCCAGGACAGCGTCCCGGAAGGCAGTGCGGGCTTCACTAAGGGTTAGGCAGGGCACGTAACCCATATCATCGTCATCGGACAGCCAGTCTGATTCAGTTTGGAAGGCCAGATGGCTAGACGCATTGCTGTACCGACGGGCGAACATTGGGTCCGAAGCGTATCCGTTGTACAAACTGCTGTCGCCGGTTTTACCGGCGATCTCTCGCATCCGCCTGTCAAACTCACCTGTGGAGATGAGCGAGTGTTGGGGAGATATCTGAAACTCAGGGGTATCTTGCGAATGCGCCGACGAGGCCGTGGGGAACTTGAAGATCGGTGGGTATTCGGGATCAAGCTCGTTGTCCGATTCCCCGCCATGCTCCAAGCTCCAGCCCGAAATGCCGATGTTCTGCATGCCTTTGGCCTTTTGGCGTTGACGCAGAGCTTCTATATGCCGTCGACGCAATTGAGTATTATGGACAAACTGGTGACTATTCTCGACGAAAGAAAGAGAATCGGGAATACCTCGTTTTTCACGGTCAAGTCTCTGTTTATCAACCAAAACGATCTCTTTCAGCCCTTTCTTTCGCCATGATATCTCGCCGTTCTCGATGTATTCCAAGACGATGTAAACTTTTTGCTGGTTCGGGTCATCGATGACTTCGAGCAGGCTTACGACGTTGGGGTGGCGTGCTTTCTTGAGGATAGCGACCTCTTTCTTGACTTTGTCTTCGGGGTTTCCTAGTTTGCCGAGACGACGACGCTTGGAGTATCGTTGCACAATCTTGATGGCGACGGACTGGCCAGTCTTCAGGTGGCGACCTAGTTTGACTTTACCGTGCTCACCGCGCCCAAGCTCCTCGAGAATCTCATACTCGTTTATTAATTTATTTCCGGTGAGTTCGTGGCGATCCACTTCAACGGTATGAGTTCTAAAATTTCGACGTAAGTTAGTATATCATGGGGCCGTTGAGTCGGTTAAAGGAAAAAAAGCAGACATACTCTTTTGGTTCCTGCATATGTGTCCGGTGCAAGTGTACACCAGGGTGTCCATCCTCGGACCCGATGGAAGGGGATGTGCGTGGTGTCCGTGTAGAGAAGAGTCCGGGGCTAGATATGGGTGTGTTGCCGGCGGTGCGTGAGTTTGGTGATGCATTCTGTTCCCGCACCCAGGGAGTGACTTGTTGTGGGAAAGCGAAATCGGAGTGTGAAGGATAGGAGCTCCGAGTGCGCAGGGTCGGTGATCTGTAGGGAGTAGGGTGTATCTGCTGCTGCAGCATGGCATACGATTGGTTTGGGTAGACGGGGAGGTCGTGAGATGGACCGCGAATTGTGGCACGGGGAGCGACCATGGGTATTTCGGTCAGCGGGCTCAAGGGAGGGACGTTGCTGGTCTCGGCGGATTGCTTGGGAGTGATTGCAGACTGTGCGAAGGGGTCCGAAGCTGAGATTGAGCTTGATATCGAGCTTTGGTGAGTGCCTGCCTCACCGCTAGCCGGATCAACTAGCGAAGGTAGAGAGCTTGAGGATGTGTTAGTCGAGGAGTCACGAGAAGTGTTGGACGAGTGTGGGCGGTACGGGAAGAGGTGAAACTTCTGAGCAAAGCTTCGACGTTCCTCCGGCCGACTGTCGTTGGGGATACTCTTCTGGCGAGTCAGAGTATTAGAGGTCTGTCTCGATAGAAGGCCCGTCGACATCCAGGAAAGCCTCGACGACTCCCCTTCGGCGGCCTCACACGCAGCATCCTGGTCCGGTTTTTCGTTTCTCGAGTGTCTCGTCGACCGTGTCCTCCGTGGCCGTCCTCGATCGTCTCCCTCCTCGGCCGGTTTCCTGTGGTTGTCCATCTTCAGGGGTACTCGGCAATCCCCCCACGTTCACCAACGGCAAACCAAAAAATAAAAAGATTGTAGAAAAACGAGTATCGACAGGAAAAAAAGAATAAACGAGAATGAAGAGGTGAGTCTTTCGACATGCACCGTTAAGCCTTGTTTACCAGGAGTGGAAGGAGATATTCCGTAGCCCGCATCTCTGGGATTGTGCGATGTCGGCGAAACAACGACGGCTTTAGTTGAAGGACAGAGAAACGGTCGCCATTGCCTCCACTCCCCAAAGAAAGAAAAGAAGAACAAGAAGAAGGAGAAGAAGAAAAGAGAATGAGAAGCAGGAATGTGTTCTCTCCCCCTCCTCGCGAGTTCGTTGGTTCGGACGGAAGAAGCGGTTGATCGAGGGTAGTATATAAGGGCAGGCGGCGGCGGTCTCGCCAATGAAGGAGACGGCAGACGAGAGCCGGGTTTCGATGCTATCTGGCGACGACCGTCGTTATTCGTTATTCGCTATTCGTTGGGCGTGCAGCCGTGCAGCCGTGCAGGGTGTTGTAGCACACGATCAAGCCCGAGTGGTGGAGTGGTGGACTTGGATGGGACGCCGGCCGTGTATATATCTGGGATGGCGAATCGAGAAAAAGGAAAGGGAGGGCAGGCTGGCTGTCGACGGGAGACAGATGCGCTGGCCGCAGGGGGGAATTGAGGCTGGCGAGAGAGCGATCGAAGAAACTGTCTGTCGGCCGGTCGATGGCGAAGGGGGATGGAAAGGGAAGATGAGGATGTTGAGGATGTTGAGGATAGCAGCAAGAAGGGACAAAAAGAGAAGAAAGAAGGCGTAAATAACAGCCAACGCTTATTACTTTATTACATACCAAAAAGAGGGTGGAAGAGGAGGGGACAAGTGGCGGGCTAGCCTGTTCGGGGTTAGTGGGCGTTCTGTGTATGGTCATTACGGGTACTTACGATACATGATACGCTCTTGGTATAGATGTTACATTACATACATAGATGATGTAGATGAGGATGTAGATGTAGTGTATAGATGTAGTGTATAGATGTAGAGATAGAGATGATAGATGAAGATGAAGATGAAGGTGTAGTAGATGAAGATGATGTAGATGAAGATGAAGATGAAGATGAAGATGAAGATGAAGGTGTAGAGATAGATGTGGTAGATGAAGATACAGTGGTAGATAGTAGATGTAGTAGGTGTAGATACAGTGGAAGATGCAGTAGATGTGGTATAGTGGTATAGTGGTAGAGTAGATGTGGGTGTAGATATTGAGCATCTACTCCGTACTAGATGCACGATCGCCGTCTCGCCGTGCTACGAGAGACGGCTGCTCGCCTGGATCGCAACCCCGGCTCGCCTCGAAGCCATCACCCGCTACCAGATCCAGATATCTATCCAAGCTACGGCCCGCGCATGCCTGTGCCCATCGTGCTATTTATACTCCCGTACTCGACTGCTGGCCAGTATGTTTTCACGTTACGAACCAAGTCGGAGCAAGGATGAGGCTTGCACGGCGCTAAAGTTAATGCTTTGATGGTGGCATGGACGAGCTAAAGGGACTTGATATTGGAGACAAACCTTCGCTAGTCCCCACGCTAGCGCCAGTTACAGGATGTCGAGGGAGAGTAGAGAGTAGAGTAGATGGAGTGATGGCTTCGAGATGATATACTTAGGTGCGGGAGATACGCCATCAGCAGGAGTTCGTCCTCCGTTACAGCAGCAGCAGCAGAACTACCATCGATCCTTGTATGGAAATCAAAGAGAACCAAAACTCAGATTGAATCCCCGGTTTCTGCTACGGCACGGCGGGATGTTAGCGCCTGGCCGGGAGATATGTGCGTCCTCCTCCAACAGTCTCTTGTATACGCATCTCCATCTCCGTCTCCCTTGCAGGCATAAAAGGTTGACAGGGGATGCGGTTCCGTATCGAGCGCCGTGCAGCACACTACGTATCCTACATCTTCCTCGCCTTGTACGTACGGGAGACCTGCGCATCAGCGAGAACGAAGCCTGGCGTTCGAGACAGTCATTATGTCTACATCCGGCCAATCGCACGACGCAGCCAACTATTCAGGAAGACGCACAGAAGTACAGGAAGACAGGAAGAAGAGGAAGACGGCCGAGTCCACGGTGGGTCTCATCCTCGGGGCCCAAGCACCTTTTTTTCTGGCATCGCGATATCTTACTGGAAGCGAGGACGACGATGTAAATACAGAGAGGGAAAAAAGAAAGGGGGCAAAGGAGAGGGACCGTTGATGGGACCACGTCTCCGGCAGGGTAGGAGGGAGCATGAACTTGAAACAAGCCTCCCGCAAGGAAAAGCAGAGCTGATATTATAATGCTCTGTGATATAGCTTCAGTCGTGGACAGGACATTACTAATTTCCTACTGTCATGGCCATCGTCGACGGTGCAAGTATGCAGGCATCGTCAAGGATAGGAACCTTCCATCATATACACGCCGATCTGGGGCCGTTCAGCGATAAGTTATGTCTTATCATAGCGATATCGTTAAGTCGACCCATATATCAAACCTTTCACTCCCGCTTTCTAGAAATGCTAGCTGGACAACGTCTCTCGGCCGCAGCCCATACACACAACCAAGACGCTGCTTTTCTGACCTGACCCTACCATGGACCGGACGATGCATGGTGATACTCGGGAGATCTCCGTCTCCAAGTACTTCGCACCAAGCTTGGCCAGGCCGTAACGCCATCCATCATCCCTTGCAAAAAGCATCGTTGATGTCTGAGCTTTGGCCCTTCTTTTTGCTCCTCGTCTCCGTACGCTCTCCATACATCGTACGTAAGGTTACTTAGCTTGCTGATTACCGTCGATACGTGTGGGTGTTTATATTTTCTTTTTTGGCGGTTCAGCCGCCACAATTAGAATTCCTTTTTTTGGGTTGTTCAGAAGAGGGACTTGGGTCATGGTGTTATTCAACAGATCCCGGTATCTTGGTCTTCTGGTTGGTACATCCGTTGCCCGTTGCTCGTCATAGGTCACCAACGGCCGAAGGCTGCAGCAATCGCAGAGGCAGTACTGCATTCAGCGCAGCACGGAGAGGGTTCCTGCTATCACCAGGCAAGGCAGGACTATGCCCGTCCAACCCCGTAAATATATAGTGGAATAGCGTTCCGAGGAGCATGTCCGTACGACCAACCTTGGGCACAACTGAGCTGTTTGTTAGCGGACCTCATCGCCGTAGATCCGCTTCACCCGTCACTATCACTGTCAGCATTCACTATTCACCTGGGCGAAAGGACATACCACTCGACTTCTTACCTTACCGCTGATTCTAAAGACCTATAGAGATAGTTGATGCCCAGCTCTCGTCAAAGCTAAACCCACATCTGTCATACAAGTACTCCATACTACGGAGTATGTGGTACATAACTGGGCAGCGGATGGTGGATAACCTTCCCCCGATCTCCTTAACATTAATAATTCCAAAAAGTTGGTTTTGGATAATTCCTCCGAAGACTCGAGGCTCTATTCCGCTCATCGTTCCATTCCGAGTCTTATCGTTTTAGCGCCTCGCTTCTAACGCTGGTGCAGGATGCCCTCCGCGGAAGCATAGGTCGGATAGCTACGGTGGAATACGTGATGTTGCAGTCGCGTATACATATAAAGTACTTCCCCCGAAGCCGTAGCTCTCACATGGCGATCGACCTCTGCTTTGTCCCCCAAAGCCCAGGGCACATACCAAAGGAAAAAGGAATAGACCACTCTCGACCTGGTATCGTGTTTTCCGAGGTAAGGATCGAGAATATCATATTTAAGCTTCTCGATTTGCCTCTCGTCGCATGACTTTAGAGCTCCAAGGATAGGCCCTTGAACTTCGGGGGGGGCGTCTGTCATCCACCAGTCAGCTTTCCAGAAGCCGATGTCTGTTCAGGTCCTGATCGAAATTTCCTGGAACCGTCAGAACATTCGAGGCGATAGGTGCGCATGGAGCTCGTCATATGGCCCCTATCATCGCCAGCCTTATGGGTAGGTTTCGAAGGGGGGAATGGGGTGATGGTGGTGGTGGCAGCATTGTCGTCATTCCGTCACGAGTTGGAGTTCAATGAAGTTGATATTTCACCTATCCCGGTTCAGCCATCGTCGTATGCGCCTTGCCCTTGCATGAGCATTGCCGCAGCGATATGCAAGGCGTGTGGGCGTGTGTGCGCGGCACGGGAAGCCCATCATTCCTCCTTCTCGCCCCCTCTCCTGCGCTGCGGAAACGGACGGGAAGCACCAGCCAGCAGGATTTGATAATTTAAATGCCCCCAGGCGGACGACCGGAATGGCGGACCATGGTTGCCACAGCCACCGATATACGTATTCCGTTTGTGGTTAAAGCGACTACAACGCTGGCGTCGTTTTCTTTTGTTTTGCTATCTAGTGACCTGCCTCTTTCACTGTGTTCACCTGCTCTCCTGTTGTGCAATCAAGAACCAAAAAGCATCCGTTCACCCTTGTATCATATATCATACCTTGAGGGAAACCGGCAGTGATGGTCGTGATGGTCGTGATGACCGTGATAGCCTTGGGTGGTAGTAGCGTCTATCTCGAACGGTGGTGGTGTGGTCGTCTACTTTCTGGTGATTGATTTCGATGACGACATTGGACCATGATACGTAAGACACCAACAGCCAGCTGTGTGGAATCGCAGATAGGACACCGAGTAGCCAACCTTCTTCCCTGAAGAACTCGGGCGTGACTTGACGGCCCTGGGCCAGGAGGGTGTGCGAGCTGCGCGCGGGCTTTCCACTAGCAGCAGTCCGGCGACGCAAAGTTAATTAATTTGTTCCTTGTTCGCCGTGATGGTGTGAAGCAGGTAGATCATGGATCATGAAAGCAAAAAAGAAGAAGTAAAAAAAAAAAAAACTTCTTCGCTCTCTGATATATCGAAATCAAGAGACCAAAAACATGTGCCCGGATATATATTGATGCGGCCCGAAATCAGGTGACTAGATGCCTCGGCTGTTGCCCGGCAACCACCAACTTTCTTCCTCGTTGTTGACATCTAAACAGTCAAAAGGGCCAAAAGAAACGACTCGGCTGCGCTTTGCTAGTAACACTGCATCCCGGCGTTGCTGAAGCGATAGAGTGGGAACTGCAGGATTTCCGTCAGTCATCTGGTGATGTTTGGACCGCTCAGAGGCCATTCCTGGTTCTAGAGCTAGAGGGGTCAACGGCCGTTTTGATATACGAATAAACCCCACAGTGTTTATATTTTGCTTTATCATTATCCCTCCCCTCCTCCCCTGGTTTGGACTCTCAAGTTCAGCAAAGATATTGGAAATTGCCAGGGACACTGCTTTGTTTATGCTGTTGGGCCGTTTGTTGTTATCATGTCGTGAGCCGTCGAGTCTTGACCAGAACATACGTACCGAACTGGCCGCCGCATCATTGTCTGGCTAGGCGATGGGAGGTTGACTAGTCCACGTTTCATTGTTGACAACAGGCCTAGGGGATCGGCCTTTTCAGTCGCAGACTCAGCATGTTCAAAACGTTCACTGCCAGCACTCTCATTGCGCTGGCAGCTGCAGACCTACCATATAACCCTTCGGCCTTGTGGGTGTCGACGACCTCTGGAAAACATGCAGTTGCCTATTTCCTATCACCTGCGTCCAACGAGGTCAAGTTCCAGTTTACAAACCTCACCAAATCATTCGATGCCGCCTCTCCGTCCTTCTCGAGCATCTCATCGCCTCCTCTCTCCTCGAACAACGTCAAAGCTATCGTTCCTATAGCCGATCCAGATGGAGTCCCTACCATATATGCCGGAGACTGTCAATCTAGCAACGCCGAAGTATGGCGATTTGAAGGGAAGACAAACGATGGCCCAGTTGCGGATAGGACATGGTCCAAATCCACCATTCAGCCGAAGAAAAACAGCGGAAACATGTCGTGGAAGGGCCCCAACTATCTGGCTGCGGGGGTTGGATTCTCGAGCCCGGATAGCGATTCAGCTCCTGACATCTACTTCTTTGCTGGGATGTGTCCAACCGCCGATGCAGGCCCGGAATCCTGGGTATCGGACGCTGAGTACTCCAGAAATATGACCTATCTCCAAACCAGCATGTCTCCGCCTAGTCCAGACTACAATATCGATGTGTTATCAATCAGATCCCCGCCTGTTGCCGAAGCAGGGTTCAGCATGACACCCCTTGTACCGGCATATTCGAATTCGTCCACAGGCGCCATGTTGCGTCACCAAAGCTTCGTACTTGCTGGCGGCCACACCCAAACTGCTTTTGTCAACATGTCGCAGATAGCATTGTTTTCACTTCCCGAGGAAAGCTGGAGCTATGTCACGGTAAACCAGGCACTTAGCGAGTCGTCACAAGCACGCCTGCCGGATGGTATCTCTGGAATTGAGCCTCGATCTGGCCATACTGCAGTCCTGACGCCCGATGGCAGCAAAATAATTATATTCGGAGGGTGGGTTGGGGATACTTCGGTGCCTGCACAACCTCAGCTCGCTGTTCTTGAGATTGGTGAGGATTATGGAGGCTCCGGTGACTGGACCTGGGAAATTCCAAAATCTTCGCCAGACGGACTGCCAGCGAATACCGGAATATTCGGTCATGGGGCTGCCATGCTTCCTGGAGGTTTAATGCTCGTGATGGGCGGATACAAAATACCCCAAAGGTCGTCCAAGAGGGCCAGCAATGAATTCATGATCAATGACCGGGCTTTCCTTTTCAACACCAGTTCCGGAACCTGGGCCACATCATATGCTGCCCCGTCGAACATTTCTGATTCAAACGACTATCATCGAGGTCCACTATCTACAACACTGCAGAAGGTAGGCCTAGGGGTCGGCCTTGGAATCGGGGTACCTGTTGCCGCCTTGGCCATGTTAGCCTGCTTCATTCTCCGCAATCGACGTTCTCGCGAGCATCGTAAAAACCGTGAGCAAACGCTCCGTAGTCTTGCACTGGGCGCCGAAAGGCCACATTTCGAGGTACCAGATCTCGACCTCGATGCAAACCAACCAATGATGCAAGTAGATCCTGCCCAGCGCTATGGGTTTGGTGGATATCAGGATCCTCACAGTCCCCCGTCCGGACCCCTGGCTGCTGAACGAACAGGCCTGCTGTTGGACAATCCAAGCCCGACTAGAGGCTTACGAGCGAGTGTACGTTCCCGAGGATACCAACCAACCCTTTTTCAGGACGATCCAAGACGAAACATTAAATTCTCCCAAATTCAGCCTATCGACGAGGGCGAGGAGTACGACGTCAGACAGTCGCTACCAGACGGAGATGTTGCTGGGTGTAGAGATAGCAAGATTTCTAATTCCTCAGATCCTTTCAAAGACCCTCCTTCTCCGTCAAAAGTCTGTTTCCCTTCACTTGTGCCACAAGATCGGTCTGGATCGCATGTCAGCGATGAGAATGTACACAATTGGGTACACACATTGAGTGGAGAGAAGCTCGAGAAGCCTCCCAGCATCACGTCAGACAAACAAGATCGTACTCTCTCGAACCTATCGGGCACGTCAGGGACTTCTTCTTCCTCTAATCGCACAAATCCAAGATTGCTCGACCGTTCTATTTCCCAGAGATCAAACTTCGGCAACCCCTCGAACTTCAGCCCTGAGAGAGGATATACTGCTGATTCCGATAGAGCGGCTCACAGCCGAATTGTTTTATCGGGAAGGCCTTCCTCCCAGCTTTCTTTCGCACATTTGCAGGCCGAAGGCTCATCGCTACTTGGAACAAACCCTTCTTGGATGCCACAACAGGACCCGAATGCACCTGCAGAGCAACGGCCGGGATCAGTTACTTTAGAATTGGCAGGGACCATTCGGCGAGTTTTGGGCTCGTTGAGGCGATCAGAAAATTCCGATGCTAATAAAGCAGCCAATCAGACAGAATCTCGCGCGACAAATCAACGAAGTTCAAGTACAAGCCCGACCAAAAGTTTCTACAGTCTACCTGAAGACGAGGAAAACCAGGTCAATCTAGAAGGCGCACAAGGAGTTACACAACGTCCGCGTCGGGCAGTTAGTACAAGCTCGTCCGCCCTTAGGTGCAAACAAGGAGCCAAAGATTGGAACGCACAGCGTAAATCAGGCGATAGTACATTCTTACGGCAGGGCAGAGCTCGATATGAGTCGCCATCCCATGAGGCCGGAAGTGTGGTTGGTGGTGCAAGTTTCAGAAGCAGTGAGGATGATTATGATTACGATGACGAAGATTGGGATGTCGAGGCTGCTGCTGAGGGCAGAGTGGTGCAGGTTACATTTACTGTGCCCAAGGAGAGATTGAGAGTCGTCAACGCCGGTGCTGGAGATACCATTGATGACGATGATGAACGTGATGACAACGATAAAAAGCTGAAACGGAAGGATGTCGACACCAATGATGATTATGATACCAAAGATAACGCGAAGGCTCAATCCCAAATTCCGAATCTATGAAATCTATTGACGTGTTTACAGATGGTGCTGATGGTAGCAGTAAGGCACCACCGCAACCATAGGTGAGTAGAGATCTTGGAAACTATGGTCTCATTTTTTGTTTTCTTTCTGTCTTCTTTTTGCTTAAATATTTTTGCAAGATACCGGGGCCGTTATTTCAACGCCCACAGAATGTGTTTATCAATCAATTTTTGGGTAGGATGGGAACTTGATATCGACCAGGCGAACATACAGGCTATACACAGGGGCCTTGTTTTTGTGCATCATCATTATGAGCGCCACTTTCGTTACTTCAATTCATACATGTATTTAAATATTCTTATGAAATTAGCAGTTCATTCCTCCAAACATAAAACATACCTGTTTCTCTCTGTATATCCATCTAGTCGTTATACATGATACAATACAGCTAGCCTTGGGGACTTATTTCGAGGTTTTCGGTATTCTCAGCCCAAAGTCGGTTCGCATTACTTGTTTCCTCGAACAGCCTTTCGGGTTCCTAAGCCCTTAGTTCCCCGGCCACACTTTGACATTATTATAATGCCCGCACGGGTTAATCTAAGCAAGGGTTGGCGAACGCTAGCTGTTGTTGGGGTGATCTTGAAGTTCATTTTACTTCCTCCCCGAAAACCCTACAGGGATAATGCAATTGCTCAATATGGATAGCCAACTAGGCAGCAATGTAATATAATATAAAGTAAACTGGGGTACTCCTCCGTACATCATCAGACATAAGGTTAGCTAAGTGCGAGAATAACTCGGAAACTTATCTTCCCTGAAGAAGGGTCCGCGCACCAAGCAAGCAGGGAATTTGGCGCCGGTACTGGTAGACAAACATTATATCCTGCAGATATACTTCATATTATGTTACATACGTATTCATTATAGTTAGCGAACTCGATAATCCTTGTCTTAAAGATCTATATATATGCCGCAATATATACAGATCCTTAAAACAGGTGTATCCTTGCCGCATCCCAGGGAATATCGCGCACGGAGTATTATAAAAGATGTGAATGGTCACCTTCAACCTATCCACTATTCATGCGAGCAGTCGATTTAATTCTCATCTGGGTAATATCGTAGGTAGACCTAGGATATCCTCAGAGGAAGCAGTGGCTGAGCTGCGGGAATGGGGCAAGATCATCCATGAAGCGCAGCACCACAGGGGTAACCATTATTCCCACGTAGTGCGTATATATTACTCCGTAGTCCATACGGATAAGATTTCTTCATGGATGGAATCATGAACAGGTATATGCCCCTTGTATGCCATGGGAAGTAGGGGGGTATTAACGCAGTTGGTATCACCGTAAGGGACCCATGATTGTGTTAGTCACACAATGGTGAATAAATTCCGAATCAATTTCAAGGTAGGAAGCCAGGTCTTCGAAAGTTGCACACCTGCCGCAATCCTAAATCGAGGTTAGCATGAGACAAGATATGAGTTATATAGTAAGTCGTCTAATATAAGCAAGGTCTAATATTGTACATAGATGGTAAGAAACGTATATCAATACAACAAAGCATAGCAAATAACCTATCAACCAACCAGTCGATGGATTAATGCCCAAGCTTACTGTTAAGCCACTTGGCAAGGCCTGAGAGTTCGCCGTTTGGAGAAGCTGACCCAAACGCGCCGGGGTATGCGCTATTTTGGCTTGCAGCCTTGGAAGCAGAGCTAAGCACTGATGCCCAGTCAGATATCTCGTGCAGACGCTTGTTGTGGAGAATCTCATGGACACATTTTGCTTCATGCTGTGCTATTTCGGGGTCTGATGATATAGAAATGTTGCTTTCGATTATTTGGCCAGATTTAACCCGTAAAAAGGCCTGAGTCTATGGTTGTAGGCCTACCGTTAGTGTGTCATCTTGTTAATCGTGGCGGAGTACAGGGTACAACATACCGAGGGAGAGATGGCAGCTGATGGCTCTGGTCTAGGCCGAGGATCTTCCTCCGTTGGATACGTAGAAAAGGTAAACTGGGGACATTGGTTGTACTTCCACTCCAAAGACTAAAACCGTTTTATCAGCTCATCAATCATCATGTGCACAAAAGACAGTGATGCTACTTACGTGGAGTTCTTGGACACCTTTGCACACTTCAGGCTCATTCTTAGCATCCTCATCGGTCAATATGCCAGTGACCCAGTTATTACCTGAAGATACCTCAGGGTCGTTCACGTGAGCCCTTTGAGCCTTTCGTAGAGCATTGCTATCCACGTTATACATCAGGGCAAACTCCTCCATAATTTTCTCAATTATTTGTTGCATGAGAAACGGCCGGACTGATTCATCCAATGCTGAAGATATATTTCCAACTGGCGATCTGACACTCTCAACACCTCTTGCCTTGATATATGGGCGGGCAGGTGATCTCAAAAAGAGTCCAATATCTTTGAGGTTTGGCGAGTCAATCAAACAGGTACCATGGTGCAAAGCACGGAATCTTGACAGTTTATATGCCGAGCCCGAGACTTTGACGGCCCGGACGGGGTTCTCCAGAGGCGGGCTTTCAATATCTTGATCCGTAGGTCCAGCCTTAACCACCTTTGAAGACGGTTCTTCTTGCGGATCCTGACCCAGGACAATATCGTGTCGCTCATTAACTTTTGTGTTCAAAGCACCAACGCCCTTCAACGCCCTAACCACCATCTCTGCGTGTTTGTCTCGATGGAAAATCGGCTTCGGGCAAATCACGCTAAAGTTCAGATTCCCTTCATCGTGGAATACAGCACCACCGCCAGACCGCCGCCGAACAAACAGCGCATTGTTATCGGCATTGTTTCCTTGTCCGTTCCCTGTGCTGCTCTTTAATAGATGCAAGTTTGTCTCGAGCCATGGGTTCTGGTTCCGTCCGATAACGACGCAGGGCCGGTTTATGTAAAGGAAGAGGATTTTGGAGTCTGAAGGCGAGTGTTCGTAGAGGAAATTCTCAATGGATAGGTTGACGAAAGGGTCGTCGGAGAGGGACTGGTAGATTTGGTGTTCGGATTGAGGTCGCGAGGCCAGCGCAGCAAAAGTCGACACTGGACGAGCAGCAACCCGTCTACTCGCCGTCCATTGACAGCCAAGCTTGATAGACTGCGACCATTGCAGCGAGTGTAATGGACGCGCTGAAAACATGAATCCAACTGACAGCTACAACTGCATCTTCTTGTCTGCTGTCCGCGATGTTGATGTAAAAGTCGACGATGCAGAGCTAAATAAAGAACTAGGTAGATCCGTCATCGGCGCTGAGTCAGCCATACTTACTTCTGGACCAGCTTCAAATAAAAAAAGAACGAAGAAGAGAAAAGTCGTCGATAGTAAACTCATAGATACCTCGAGCTGGCTGGTATTAAGCGACCGGACTCTTGGAATCGCTTCTTCTAGGTGTCACGGCCGTTCTTCCGTATCCATTGCCCATCTATCAAAGTAGCAAGACAAGGCCCTCAATCCCTGGCATTTATCAGTTCACCCCCCACTATTCAGCCGGAGCTTCAAGATGTCGACTTTCGGGGAGTATTTCAGAGTCACCACGTATGAACTGGGCCCTTGTTAAAGCTGTGCAGTATATTTGCTAACGGATTGACTAGTTATGGCGAGTCTCACTGCCGCTCTGTCGGCTGTATCGTCGACGGGTGTCCTCCAGGAATGGAGCTCACGGAGGCAGATATCCAGCCCCAGATGACCCGGAGAAGGCCTGGTCAGAGTGCACTTACAACCCCTCGAAACGAGAAGGATAAAGTAGAAATACAATCCGGAACCGAATTTGGTATTACATTAGGCACCCCTATTGGCATGGTGGTGCGGAATGAAGACCAACGGCCAAAGGACTATGGAAACAGCACTATGGACATGTACCCTCGACCCAGCCACGCCGATTTCACCTATTTAGAGAAGTACGGAGTCAAGGCTAGCAGTGGTGGTGGCAGAAGCAGTGCGCGAGAGACTATCGGTATGCGGCCGCCATTTATACCCGTGGGAGATGAACCCCCGTTAACATGACTATTAGGCCGTGTTGCTGCCGGTGCAATCGCCGAAAAGTATCTCAAGATTGCGCACGATGTAGAGATTGTCTCTTTTGTCACCTCTGTGGGACATGAACATCTCATTCCTCCAACGGCTGAGCATCCAAGCCCAGTTACTAATCCCGAGTTCTTGAAGCTTCTCGACACAATTGATAGAAAGACGGTTGATTCTTTCGCTCCCATTCGATGCCCTCACCCTGAAGCTGCCCAGCGAATGACGAAACTAATTGAACACCACCGTGATCTTTCAGACAGCATCGGAGGAACCGTCACTTGCGTCATTAAGAATGTCCCAGTTGGCCTAGGAGAGCCATGCTTCGATAAGCTAGAAGCCAAACTTGCACATGCCATGCTCTCAATTCCCGCTACAAAGGGGTTCGAAATTGGATCTGGATTCTTGGGCTGTGAAATCCCTGGGTCAATTCACAACGATCCATTCGTCGCAACTACCACTGAGGCTGGGAAAAAGCTGACCACCAAGACGAACAACTCTGGTGGTATCCAGGGAGGAATCTCCAACGGGGCTTCCATCTACTTCCGTGTTGCCTTCAAGCCACCGGCGACTATTGGACAGGCTCAGACGACGGCCACTTATAACTTTGAGGAAGGTGTCCTTGAAGCCAAAGGACGACATGACCCCTGTGTAGTACCAAGGGCTGTCCCTATTGTCGAGGCCATGTCTGCGTTGGTTATCATTGACGCACTGATGGCCCAGAACGGCAGGGAGGCTGCAAAGAATTTGCTTCCGCCACTGCCACGAACAATTCCAACTCGTCCGACCAGTTCCCCAGTTAAGAGCAAGGCTGAAGAGACGAAGTGAGGAGTTCATCTCCACTTTCTTGGCTTATGATACTCGCTCCAATCCTATCTTAGCATGATGTCGACTTACGTCTGAATGCGATGAAACCTCTCCTTGGATTTTAATGTTCATGTCATTTCATGCAGCTGTGATGGTAACTTTTGGTCCCTGTCAAACAAAGGCTTTCTTTCTCGTTTGTTGTGATTGAGGCTTAGTCAAAAATAAAATAGGAGATAGAGTGAGGAAATGGGATAGATCTTCTTTACTGGTGCCCAATACTAATTATTATTCGACGCTTTTTTGATAACCCCCGCTACCTAAGCCAGTAATCTTTCTCGGACCATGTATATCATGTATGCCTACCTGAGCTACTCATCGCTCGGCCTTGCCGAGTTAACAAAGGTCATCCATATGCACAGCATTCATAACCTTTTTGCTACTGTGTAACAGCTGCTAGTCGAAGTCATATACCAATGCACCTTCGTTGAGGAAGACACAAACTTAGATCTCTTTTTAGATACAGTGAAAAAGATGCATATCATCATGTAAATTGCATTAAAAAGAGCGGTATCAAAGTACAAAAACACAGCATAGCGCTAACCTCCACAAAACGCCATATGAATATCTAAAACGCAGAGGCTTCAGTATGGATCATCAAAGTAACATTTAATAAAGGGGAATAGGTATTTAACAGATAAGAAAGACATCATTGCCTTGTTTGGCATTAGTTCCGTCGTTGACGCAAGGAATAGCGCGTAGTAGGAGGGGCTGGGGGAGCAGGATGATCATTAAGATTAAGAGATTTGATAATGGATGGACTTGGGCCACCGTGATTTAGATTTAAAAATCTCGGCTGAGCAATAGGAGTTTGCGCTTCTGACGCTACTGATGATGCATAGTCAGATGCTGTAGAAGTCGGTGAGAAAGGGCTATCTTGCAGGGCGGAGTCGAATGATGGAGAGAAGGATAGGTTGGATTTTTGGGCGGCTGGGGTATAGCCTGCGTATACAGTCGAAGGAGAGAATGCTGGCTGCGGTGTCGCTTTCATGCGAGTACCGAAATCAGGGAAACTATTATTGTTTCTTTGGGGGATGATTCTCGTTGGAGAGCTGATCTTTTGGTTAGGTCTAATGTTGTTTGTGGGCTGCCGTCCGATTCCGATCTGTGGGCTGGTGCGTTGGCTGTCCGGGGAAAGACTTTTTTGTTTAGTGTTAAAGGTCGCAATCGATTCGTCTATCGATGGGCTTGGAGATTTGTTCTCCCTCTCCGTGCTGTCGAGTCTAGGACTCTTTGGATTGACAGGATCCTTGGCCATTAGAGAAGGACCAAGCCCAAACATCTCATGTCCCATCATGAAGGACACTAGGTATATTCCCGCATTCTCAAGGGCTACGAGGTCGTCGAGTTGACGAGCCCGTATCACGGCAAGGTATATGCAGGAAACAAGCTCGAAAAGAGAGAGCAGAATATCTGTCACATTCCAGGCCAACATTGGTTTCATCAATGATTCCAAAAATGAGAAGGCTGCCACAAGGAATGATATTCCCAGCACCGCAGTTTCAATAGATTTCATAGGCATGGTATAGAGCTTTGTGCTCGCCCAGAGCGCCAGACAAAAGATCAAGAGGGAAATTCTCAAGATATGTGATGGCGTGTTACCAAATGCTGTGGATTTGCGACTATCAGAAGCCTGTGTGGACTGACTTGGTTGACCATTACCCGGCCCATCTGCTATTGAGAAAGCTTGGTCGAATAAGTTTTCTAAACCAGTCTCGGTCGTGAGACTTGGAGGAAAGAATTTGGGTGCGGCGAAAACAGCGTTGGTGCGAGCTGGCTTAGGATGGTCTTCTTCCTCTTCCTCGTCATCTAACGAGAACAAGGTAGGTTGTAGAACAGGGGCCTGATGGAAAGGGTTTGGCTTCCTTTGGATTTTCTCAGGCTTCTGTGAAACTGGATTTCGCAGGTTCCATGAAGGCGGCTTAGAAATTTGAGGTAACTGGCCTTGAAATAGTGTCGAGGCGGAAACCGCTGGTACCTGATGGGAAACCGGTTTGATCGGGATTTGGAGCGGTTGCCGAGATGGAGTCCAGTCCATTGCATCGATATGATCCTGTGGCGGGTCAAGGGGAGGAGTTGGAGGTATATATGGCTCTGGAGTTGCCAAACGACGTGGAGCAAGGCTAGAAATAGGAAATCGTTGAAAGGTTGGCTGGCTACCTGGCTCAGAATTCTGGGAGTCTGGAGGACTTCCCAGCTGCGCACCTACGCTGCCGTTTTTATTAGCCAGCAGCTTGTCGGTATTATCGCTCCAGTTTACGAGCGGCTTCTTCTCAAATTTTATAGTTGATGTTGAGACGAGAGTGGTCTGTCCGAGGTTAGAATATTTGATCATTTTAACAATTAAGGGAACAGTAGAACTTACGATCAAGGTAAATACGGCCACGAATATGTGAATTGACGGTTTTAGCTGTGGATGAAGGCCTATTATCGCTGGGTCTTGCAGGCCAGCCCACGCCATAAACCTGACCATGAGAGCGACGATCTGGATGCGGTAGTACTCCCGTAGTCCAACCAATCTACCATGGTGACCTTCAACTTTGAGCCTCAGTTTCGGGTTCCACCAGAGGGAAAATGCGCCTAGAATCAACGATAGTCCAGCGTAGGGCACAAGCAAGGCGGCACATTCTCCAGGAACGCCCCGACTTTGGATAGAACGAGATATGCACTGTCTAGCGAAGGAGAAAGTCGATGATGAAGCCACCTCCACATCCTGCAGCCGATAAACAGAAGCAGCAAATGCTACGCCATCCCAGACCAGTTGACCAGCAACACTTGTCCAGAACGCGACAGCTCCTGTAGAGACTAGAAGACCCTTCCACTTCCACATCTGTCTATTTTGCTTCGATGATTTGCCCTTGCTACGTTCCATCATGCGCCGCAGATGGTCTGTTTTGGCGGCATATCCAGTCTGCCTGATACGATCGATGACTCGCGGTTTGCACTTCTCGCAGACTTGCGGGTAGCGTTCCTCTAAACTCCTCTTGTAGGAGGGATACGACTCTTCGTAGACAGCGTATTCCGGATGTGACGGTTCTGGCAGGTATGAGGCCAGCGTCTGAGTGAAGAGGTACTGGTTCTTCTGACATGTTGAACAGAAGATTGTAGAATCTGCAGCACTTGGTTGCTCATGCTCGAACGATTGCGCGACAGGGTCAGCGTACTGGCGGAATCGCTCTTCCGTCGAAACCTCAGCGGCCGGAGGATCAGTTATTTCGCCATTCTTCATATCATAGTCAGTTCAGCGATTTTATTGCGCATGAGCTAGATGGGAGTCTCTTGATAGAAAGAGCATACCTCGTCGAGATGGTTGACAGCCTGACAGCGGTCGCATTGCCATCTCTGGATGCCATTCTTCCATATCTGCTTCGAATTCCCGCCGCAGTAAAAGCATCGCAGTCGCTTCTGAAAAAAAGGCGCCATGACGGCCTACATGAAGCAAGCTGTAGAGGGAAGGCCGAGTTTGTTGTTTGGTTGTTGTGATGCTCGATCTTCATATTTTTTTTTCCTCTCGGTGGTGAGAGCGGGTTTAAGTCGCGCTAATCACCGAAGGAGCAAAACATCATTGGCAGGGAAGAAGAAAGTAAACATGGGAAGGTCGATGTGGCAACAACACGGATAAAGAATGAAGAATGAAGTAAGGAGAGAATGAGAGAAGATACCAGCAGTGAATTCTAGACTATTGTGGTGGACACTATGTGTGAAAGGGTGAATATCTATTGATCTAGGTAGTTGAAGGTGGTTTTCAATTGATACACAGAGCAACACAACTACCAGATGAACAGATGAACAACTAAACCCTTTGATACCCTGGGGCCACTGTGATCATGAACTATCTAGTTCTTACTGGGACTCTAGTCCTGCTGGCTTCTATCTCTCTGATTACGGTAGTTTGGACCCCTTCTTCAAGTCGAGTTTAGATACTGACGGATGATAGTTCTACATGCGAGTCTCAAGCAAGGCTCAAGGCAAGCAGCCATGGCGTCCGATCCATCTTCTTGTCGTCCTAGGAAGCGGAGGACACACTGAAGAGATGCTCTCCATGTTAAGACATGCTCAACTAGACCCTGCTTGCTACGCCAGACGCACATACGTCGTCAGTTCAGGAGACTCATTCAGCGCCAGGAAGGCCGTCGAGTTCGAGAAGAGCCTCGAAAACGGTAGACAGACCGACAAGACGGAGGGAGACCAAGTCCAGCAAGCAGCCTACACTATCGTGACGGTCCCTCGCGCGAGAAAAGTGCATCAATCTTTCCTGACGGCGCCATTGTCTACTCTGCAATGCCTCGGATTCTGCATGCTGCTGCTCACAGGAAGACATCCCGAGCAGCTCACCGCCACCTCAGGCGCCAGCACAGGATATCCCGACATCATACTCACCAACGGGCCCGGGACGGGAGTTTGCATCGTCGTTGCCGCCCGTCTCCTCCGCCTGTTTGACTACCTGGTATACCGCATCGTACCTCAAGGCGGATCAAACATCACCGCTCCATCCGATCCCACATCCACGTCCACGTCCACGTCCACTCTCGACTGCGAGCCCGAGTCCAATTCCCAATGCGGACCTCGATCACAACGCCGTGGAACCCCACGATATCTACGAACGATATTCATCGAGTCCTGGGCCCGCGTGACTACCGTCAGTTTGTCGGGAAAGATCCTTTTCCCTCTCGTCGACCGATTTCTGGTACAGTGGGATGGCCTGGCTGGTTACTCAGGGTGGTTTGGATTTGGTAGAAAGGCCGAATATGTTGGGACGTTGCTGAGTTAGGCGAGGCGAATGGAGTCACTACATATACATCATACATCATACATCATACATAAATTAGGCACCATACATATACGAGCTTTTTACGGGGTTATATGTTATGCCGGTCGGTAATTGAAGGGGTGCCAGGAGCTGCTGGATGGGGGCTATTTCTGTGCCTATATTAACTCTTTCGACATGTTAATGGATGGTGATGCAAGGAGGATTCCGGGTTCTGCGTCCCGGGAAGGAAAGCTGTCGCACTGCTGTGTTTTACACAATGCGATCGACCGGATGGTGCGACGTTGGAGGAGGAAGATGCATAGACACCTCCGGTCCGGCGTAAATATATACGTAATAAGGAAATAGGCTTGAGAATAAGCGATTATTAGAATAATATCGGTCGTATTATTACTCGATAGTAGCCGAAGATGCATAAGGCGATCAACGGTTATCCCTTGCATAACGGAGATCGAGCTCGTATCTTTCATGGCTAATAACTAATTAACTATTAACTAATTAACATGAATTGACATACACCATCCATCCCATCCTTAGATGTATAGATGTATAGATGTATAGATGCAAAGATGTATAGATGTATAGATATCGTGCACATGATTATCTGTGACTATGCAATAGTTTCTGGCACAACATACACGAGCCTGGACGCCGTGCTCCAGCTTCCTCTATGCATTATTGACTGTACCCCCGTACCACTTATACAATGCAATATGTGAGAGAAAGGGCTTTAGGCGAAGTACATAAGCGAGCACACCAGGTTAATTTACTTTTTACGCTGAGGTTTCGCCTGATAGCATATTTACTAGAAGTCTACGGAGTACTTAGGACTACTTGAGGGACTTGAGACTTGAGACTTGAGATGTCAATACGGCCAGTACAACAAGGGATGGTCTGTCCTTCCATCCATAATATATCTTCCATCTGCATGTGGAGATGGGCGAAAGGCGCGAGGTACGGGATAGCCAGGCCGACCTTGCTGCAAGTTACGAGAAAAGAGCTTACTAATTCATCCTGGCCTGGAGAGACCGAGGATGGAAGTATCCCGGGCCTTAAGAAGCAGGCGACTATGGTCGAACAGCCGGGAAGCCGTCCTGCTTGGTCCGCCGCTTCGCCTTGCTCGGAGGGAGGCCCAATCCGACCTGATTCAGTCCTCTCTCGCTACTCCGTATACAGAGTAGCATCGTCGTCATCATAGTGAAGACCCCGGCTAGCTTGACATGTTGCCTATACACGCCTTACGATCGATGGGCCGATGGAGCCTACCATGAGCGCGGTTTGTGTGTCGGGACGGCGAACACGAGCGACGGCAACGGCACGAAAAGCATGTTGCGGTCTAGCCAGCGTTACGGAGTCGATGCGATGGAGAAAGATGGATGAACATGGATGGAGTGGACGGGGTACATGCGATGGAGTCCGATCCAGTCCCATCCGCCCACGTCCGAAGTACTTCTTCTGTAGTCGACGACGGCGATGTGGCCGTCTGCGCAGAGCTGGGTGAGCGTCATGGGTTGATGCCGGGCTGTCCACGATATTGGTCGAATGTTACGTATGGGGTTGTGTAGATGGAAATAGAACGTAGACTAGACTGCAGAGTAACTTGCCGGGAAGGAGGAAAATGGAGAAAAGAAACGAATCAGGTATTGTGCCTCGCTGCAGCACAGGATGCGACTTTTTCTGTACACGAATTGCAAGGGCCGAAATTGATATCCTGCTGCATCCCTATCCCCGTCTCATCCACCACCGACTGTTCAGCCATAGAGACTGACTCCAGAATGACGACTTCAGGCAGCGACTCGCCTCGTATCCAGTCCACGGGTAAGGGCGGACTGAGCTCATCCTTGACGCAGGAACAGCTGTTGAAAAGTCTATCAGCTTGATGAAAAGAAAAGAAGAGAAAAAGCAGGAAGTCTGGACATGATCCGCAGCGGAGAGTAAATAATCCAACGGTTTCCTTTGCATTCTTTGAGTCTTTGTTTTCTTTTGTCTCTTTCTCTCTTTCTTTCTTTCTTCTTCTCTTTCTGTCTCTTGTTTGTCTCTTGTCTCTTCTTGCGGGTGACCGTAACCCGTAACCCAGATTGATCCTTGGTTCCTGGCGCGCCGTTTCTTACATCCTTTCCCTAAACCTTTTCGAAACCTTTTCCTATTTTCCGGCGGCTGGATTGGTTGGTATTCGGCGTCTTATATCCATCCTCAAGGGGTGGAGCCACGTTTCGGCATATTTTTATATTTTTTTTTCACGCTTTTCTTGCTTCAACCTTGGTTCGGCGGTCGTGGAACCTGAAGAGAGAGAGAGAAGAGAAGATCTTGGATCTGCCTGCTCGTCATGGCCCTGACAGACTGACGGCTGTGCAATTGACGGAACAGAGGGCATAATTGCTTTTCGGCCTGCCTCCCATCCCTGCGGCAGGTCTGGTCTGTTCGACGATATGTACACAGCAGCAGCAGCAGCAAGAACGACGAAACGAGGGGGATACAGTCGGAGAGCACCCTGCTTGTGTCTGCGCAACCGCGGTCTTGATGCTTCCGGGCGAAAGCACTTAAACCATCGCCTGCCCTGTAGTCGTAGGAGTATACGCCCTAACAAAGAATAACGGTGAGCTTGTTAGTAAGGCTTTATCTTCTTCTTCTTCTTCTTCTTCATCTTCATCTTCATCTTCTTCCTCGATGGCTTGACTGTCTATTCAGACGTATCGCTGGCCGTCCGTAACTGGTCCTCGTTTTTTCTTTTCTCTCTTTTCCCAAGCCGCCCACGTCAGTCTTGTTGCCCGACCGCTGCCTGGCCACCGCGAACGGCGCCCGGGGAGAAGGAAGAAGCACTGGAGTCGGAGAGCCTGTCGCGTGCCTCAACCCAATTGCAGTCCAGTATCGTCATCATCTCTTCGTCAGCTTCACTTCTTCCTCTTCTTCATCTTCCTCGTGACGCTGGTGCGTAAGAAGCGGTTGGCTGTCAACATCGCAGTGAAGAACACCGCCAGAACACCGCCAGTGAAGAAGAACAAGAAGAACAACGCTTCAAGAACAACACCGCGACTACCGCTGTATCCTCACAACCGCTACATCCTCGACCTGTATCGCGGTCGATCGTCACGCCCTTCCCTTCGCTGCATGAACTTCCTCGCTCGCTACTGGCCTGCGACTGCGTCTGCTTCCCCTCCGTATAACTATAACCTTGCTCCCAGCTCTTACGACCCCTCTACTATGCATCGCGGTCTATAGTCTTGCCTCATAAAGACGAACACTGCTCTACGGCCCTCGCGCACTATGCTGCGCTTATCACACCTCTTCGAAGCTAACCGGCGCGAAGGTGAAGCCATGCCCTCGCTACAGCCCGTCTCCGTCTCCCTCGCCCTCGCCAAACCACCGCCAGAGTCCCCAGAGTCGATGGCCTCCTCGAACCCGGGCTCGCCAGTCACCTCGCTCTTCTCGGCCAGGACGCATACTCGTTTTCCCAGCTCGGTCTCGTCGCTGGCCTCCTCTCCAGTCGTCGGCTCGACCGAGGCGTTTGGCGGGACGAAGACGCAGTTGACCGAAGTCAAGGAAGAACCGGGCGAGCGGGAGGTAAACTACGTCGAAGGAGATGGCTATTTCCGTAAGTTGTGACGTATACTCTTTTAATCGGAGAGATAAAAATGTTAAGGATAAACGGTCACTAACGTAAGGCTTAGCTCACTTTAATGATTTTCACGCAGCCGCTGCAGCCGCTGCATGCGACGACAGTCACCTCTCGCTCGACTCTCACGACTTTGAAGAAACAGACGTCTTGGACACGATCGGCTCGTTCAAGAAGCGGAGGTCGGACAGCAAGTCTCTTCGCGGGATAACCAGGATCAGCACTCGTTTCTCGTCGCTGTCGTCGAAATGGAAGCAGCCAAAGGCTCCCTCGTCGATCGCGGACACAGTCGCTACACGGTATGAAGACTCGCTCAGATCGCGCGCCAATTCAGCGACGTCTGCACTCGTCAGTCCGGCCGCCAGCTTGATATCGGCGCGGCAGAGCTTCTATGCTCCCTCCCCGGCAAGGACGACGTTCGAGGAACGGCTGAACGAGGCCGGGGTTGCGGGCCTCGATATCGACAAGGCCAACCAGACGTTTGACGGCGAGCCAGAACGACATGCCAGAACGCCGCTGCTCCCACCGGTGATGATGGACCTGCCACACATCGACAAGGAACAGCATATCGATTCCCCGCTGGAGTCTCCGTCCATCGCGCCAGCGTCAGATTCCCGCGACACGCCCAGCCCACCAATCACCTCCATAAGTGACGTTATGCCACCATCGTCACCAATCGTCTCTGCTCACCCGTCGATGTCGTCCATCAGTCGCCAGCTTGCCATGTCACGCTTATACTCCACCCGCATCGCCATATCCGACTCCGTGGACGAATGGTCCTGCAAACTGGGCCATGCAAACTTCACCATCTACCCGGAGCCCTACGTGCCCGAGATCTGTGACATGGAAGCCCTACACAACTTCCGCTCGAACTGGGAGGTAGCCCGATGCAACTATGCCAAACACCTTGCACGCACCGACGAACACTACGGCTCCACGTCGCATATATACCAGCTCACGGAGGAGAAATGGGGGTCCGTCAACAGTCAGTGGAAGAGCGACTACAGCCATGTGGTCGCCAACCTCGAGGACGGCGACGGTAACCCTCTCTCCCTCAGCCCGTCAGAGGTCCTCCATGGCTCTGAAGAAGCCGTCAAGATACCCGGACTCCATGACAAGAACAAGTTCCCGGACCTTGGAGATGAAGACATCGTCGGCCCCATGTCCGTTGGCCCTGGCCTGCAGCATTGCCGGTCTAGCGATGACAGATTCTTATCCAAGAAGGCCATCCTCAAGTTCTTACACGGTATCTTCAGCCTCCGCAAGAGCTCTTAGCCGTCTCTCTTATACCCCTTCATTTCCTGTACAAATACCCCCCATCCTATCCTATCTATCCCATGTCTCTTCTTTATTTCCTGCATAGTTTGCCCACGATTAATAGTCGTATCCCTTCCACTGCACCGCACTGGTCAAGCCGGACGACTGGAGTTACAATGTCTTTGTTTTCATGGTTTTTATTCCCAGTTTCGCTTCTACATCTTCCTTCCTTTGTCACTAGCATCAGATCACGAATCATGCATTACGCTCCTTATGATAACCCTGCATCCACACGCCATATCCTTATATGCGATGTGCCGGATGAATGACGCTCGCTACCGTTTCTCTCCTTTGTCATGACACTCATTAATGAAATGTTTAATCATGGCCTAAAAAACCCAGACTTTCCTTGACCTTGCTATTCCCCCATTTGTCTTATGCATCTTTCCTTTTTCTGCCCTTGTTATTATACGTTATAGAGGATATACATAGAAAGCGGCTCGCTTATGGTTTTTATTTATGGTTACGGTTTACGGCGCTGGAGCCCGGAGGCGCGAGGGCAGGGCGCCCTGACGGAAAAGCCTTTTCCACTTGCGTGGAACTATCTCATATCTACCTACCTTTCTTCTCTTGCATTGATTGTTTTACCATTTACTTTGACATTTGATATTTTCCTGTTGATGGCGAAGATGGAGATACGGTGGGTGGGATGCATATGGGGATGCAGATGGCCGATGTCCCTGAAAGAGAAAGGAGAAAGCCAGACGGGAGGACAAGATATGACATCTTCCCGCTCCTGAGGAATAACAATAACGTGGGACATGCAGCTTTCCTTCTTGTGCTATACTATACTTCATGCATCTCTAATGTTTAACATTCTAATTCCATCCATCACCTTTACACCCCTACCCCCATACCATACCATACTTCCATCCCTTCTCCATCTCCATCCCCTTCATCACAGGCACAGCACTTTCATTCCACATCCCTTTTTTTCAAACTGTTTCAGCCAACATGCAGCAAGCCGTTGATCAGGCTCAGCACGTTCTATGCATAGTTATTGATACATTCCCCAGACTTGTCTTATATATACCTATTTACCCACGCCTATACCCCCATCCCCATATACTCACCAGATGTATCGTTGCGTGTATGTAACCACACCCTCCCTGAGACACTCATGTTGATTCCTTATACCCTGCACTGCACTACGCTGCACTGTTGGCAGAAGCACAACCAAAAATAGAGACGAATGAAAACAAAAGTTATGAACAAAGAGAGCAAACTGATCTATACATTTACTTCGTACCTGTGCATGTGTATGTGTAAAGATCATATATCATTCAAGTCTATCAGTTCTATAGATGTATCTACGCACGTCTACTCAAACCCAGTGCTGGCCCCATATCCTCTTCACCTCCTCGCCTCCATCAAACTGAAAGCCAACCCTTACCAAATCGTTGAACCCCTCTGATACATCTGGCTCTTCAAACCGACGCACAAAGTCATTAAACGCCATTGGCGGAAGTATGGTGCGGGATTCCGGATTCAGTGATTCCTTATACATTACCGCATTATTAGATTATCCAGTCGGAAGAACGGAGGGAACCCGGCCGCCGAAGACAGCAGAGAGACAGGTAAGGCGGGGGAGGGGAAGAGGGCATGTTACACGGCATATAACGGATGGATGGAGGGGGAGAGATGGATGTATGGATGTATGGATGTATGGATGTGTGGATGTATGGATGTATGGATGTGTGGATGTGTGGATGTATGAATGAGAGGGGAGTGGTCAAGACATACCTGGTTTGGATTTGCGGCTCGTACGGCGTTGTTGTGTTTACAGACCGTTATTGGAGTAGATAGGTAGATGCATCTGATTGGGATATTGTGGGTTTTTGCAAGAGAGATCCATTCTTCGCGAGTGGATTTGTTGGCGTTGGTGTTGTCTGGAAGATAAGTATAGATGTAAGTCATGGCTCAATCGTTCATGGTAGGTTTATAGGTATATGGGCCGGCGGTGAGCCGGCTCCCGTATCCCGGTATATAAAAAGAACATACCAACTACAACAGACCTGCAGGCTTGTAGATGCTCGTTTGCAACTTTTAGACACTTCTGCCTCTGAAACATTCACAACATGTTAGCCGACGTGGAGACCGGCGGGCCAAGGGAGAAGTGAAGCAACATACCGTCTTCAGTATATCCTGATTCACCCTCTCATATCCTAAAGGTTGCAGATATTTCCAGTAAAACGTCGACTTCCCTGACCCCGGGCTACCACAGAATATCACGAGCTCTGTATCACTTTGTTTTGAGAACGGAAAGGGAGTCTTGTCGTCTCCGTCCGTTGGTGTTGTAGCGATATAGTTCTTTGGATCGAACACGTCGGCGGCCATGGGAACGGGTTGTTCGTCCCGAAAGAACTCCTCGGGCGTCTTGAATGGTATCCCGACGTTTGCAGCAAAGTGTCTAACAGTGTGCCATCGGTCTTAGCTCAGTATGCAGCCCAACACACGGGAAGGCGGGCGGGTGGCTTGAAAACGTACCGATCACAGCAGGAATGATCACCCTTTCTACCCGCCGCATCTCCAACGAAGATAGAATTCTCCAGATCTAACCTTGGCTCCATCCCATCCACATCACCATCTACATCCAATCCCAAGTCCTGGACCATCTGCATCCACATCCCCGTCCTGGGCTTCCTATATTCATCATACGCCGTGGCAGCATACATGCTAACCGAAACATCCAGGCCCAACGCATCCAGTACAGCCGTGACCTTCTCCTTCAGCGTGACCAGGCTCTTAGAGTCGGCATTTCCCGTCTTCGCCTTCGCCGGCTTTAGACTAACTCCCTTCTGGTTTGAGACGATGATGAGCGTGTAACCATCTGCAGCGAGTTGTCTCAGTTTAGACGGGACGCTGGGGTCCCACCATTTCCAGTCTGAGGCGGAGCTGGAGAAACGGTAGTTGGATTTGGGGGTTATGAGGGTGTGGTCCTGTTGCGGCTGGTTAGCTTATGCTTGTCCAGCCAGACATGTAGCCATGTAGTGGTATAGATATTGGCGTGCGTACAAAGTCGAAGGCAGCGATGCGTATCTTCTTACGCTCCTCTTTCTGAATTTCTTCCTTTGCACCAACGAGGTATTTGCCCACTATGCAGCTGTTGTTCACTATCTGCCATGACACCTTCTTCGTCGACTGGGTGGATGTCTTCTGTGAGGCAGGCTTGAAGAAGTTTGCGACCGTTTGGCCTAAGGTAAAGGTGTTAGTGACATTACGCGTATAGTATAAGCCATGGGAAGACGTACTGGTAGCTGATGCCTCTGCCTTTGGCTTCCGTTTAGCTGGCGGAGGTGAGATAGCGCGGTCAGTGCCGGGAAGAGTTCGTTTCGTGCCTCGTGAAGTCATTGTGAGGTTGCGGAATGGATATCTAACATTAATATCGTGGCATGCAGAGGTGTAGGGGGTTGTGTATGCTGTTGAGCGCACGAACGGACGCCGCAGCCACATAGATACTGTCTGATGTGTGGTAAAAGCAGTCGAAAGTCGATATACGATGCCCTTTGCTGCCTATTTGGGATAACTTTCAAGACGCGAACGCGAAGTCACGTGGTCATAAATTCAATTTATCCCAATTAGGAATAAAACTACATCAGAGGTAAAGACGGTGTAGTATGCAAGCAATTGACATTACGTGAACGCTCAGTGATTAGTAGTAGCAGTTTTAATATCGTACATCAACCAGGGCCATGATTCAGACCGTGCCAGCCTTTACTCTAGGATCAAGGGCCAGTCTATCAGCTGGCTCTAGTCGAATGGCCGGCCGGAGCTGTTCCTTCAACGCCAACATGCGCTGGGACGTCGACCTGAGCAGGTCCGGACTGCTGCTGTCCTGTATCGTGAAGCAGGCCTGCAGGACGTATCCTCCACTGGGGTCGAGGGGAGTGAGCTTATCGTACGGCGGGAGAACCGAGAGCGGCCGTCCAGGCCGTGATGGCTTCTGCAGCTCTGGAGGGATGATCAGTATGCGGTGGAGGAAGAGCACGGCGTCGTCTAAGACGAGTACGTTGCCTTCCACGACGTATTCCGAGTGGTAGCTAACCCGTTAGCATACTGAAGTATATAATGGTATGAACAATGAAGTAAACAAATGAAGTAAACAAAGTACACTCACTTGAACCCCCATTCGTTCAGGACGAAAATGTAGTCGTCCGGCAGCCGAGCGGTGCCCGCGAACCGCGTGGTCACTCCAGTCGCAGCTCCGGCGTCAGGCACATCCTTGAACTCGACCCTCCACTCCGCCTGGTCCTCCGCGGTGCCGCCTATGCTGTCTCTGTCGAGGTCGCTGACGACCTGGAGATGGTACATGCCAGAGCCCAGCATCTTGCTGAGCCGCTGGACGTCGCCGACCTGGGCCTCCTGGCCATGCGCCTGGCTGCCGCCGACGCGGGGCTTGATGAAGCCCGGCTTGCGGAAGGCCCTGAAGAGCAGCCGGCGCTCCAGCACGGCCGTGGGCTGCATGGCCGCCAACCCTGCGAGCTGGTGCAGCAGCTCGTCGTGCTGGGACGCGGGGACGGAGGCGAATAGGAGGATCTCGTGCATCTTGACCACCCTTTGCTGCTTTCTCCGCGATATCACGGTCTCTATCACGGTCTATCACGGACTATCACGAACTCCCTCGGCCCTGCTCGTCCTATGCCCTTATGGCCCTTATCGCGCGCTATCGCATGTTCGCTTATATAAGTCTCTTACTAAGCAGCCGAGCCGGCGCCGAACTCGGATGAACCGATGATCCGCCGATCGCCGAGATAAGGCCGCGCCCTCTGGCCAATCAGCGTGCGCCCTGCCCCTTATCTCTGGTCGCGGTTTTTTCCTTGCTCAACCTTTTCCGCCCGCGCTTAGTCATCCCTAGCTCCCTTGCCTCGAGCTCAACACGAAAACTCTCAACCTCAACACACACAACTCTCTTCTTCCCTTTCACCATCATCACTCGACCTCTCTCTCGATCACTATAAAGCCATATCACTGTTAAAGCACTGCTAAAGATCAAATACTACACATAAAGACGTAATCGACAGACAATGCAGGCCACCACCGTTCTCCGCCAAGCTGCTGCAGCACGACAGCCTCTGATCAAGTTCATGGGAAAACGCTCCATCCCAGGTAGGCTCGTCGGGAAGCACGGTACACGGTATAGACAGGCCAGCTAACAGGTGCAGCAACCATTGACCACACTCCTCAACCGCATCCCGCCTCGCCAACCCACCAGCTCCCCGACTCCTTCGTCACCTACCGTGCCAAAGCCCAGCAGCACGGCCCGCTCAACACCACCTACCGCCCATTCTCCAGCATCGGAGCATCCCCAGGCGCTGCTCTGGGCCCCGTGGCCGCTCGTCAGGGCGAGTACTTTGACCGCAACGACCTGCCCGCCAGATTCAGACGCTCTCCCTGGTCCCAGGCCGAGATCGATGCCATCGAGACCGGCGGGGCAAGCATGTTCGCTTGAACAGTGACGGCCTGAGGGTCGAGTGAAGATGAGGTGTACGCAATTGATGTTGCCGTACGGGTTGGAACGGATGGAACGGAATGATGAACGATGATGCACAGACAGAAACGGAGAGAGAGAAAAGCATGCATAGCACGACATATACCCACCTGACTGAGCTGGATTCGAAAGGGGATATATACACAACCACACGACATACCTGTATAGTTCGATTGATCGATTTGGGGAGGATGCATGCCCTCAACGGCGCCGGCGGTCCTTGTCTCTCTATATAACACCCTCGAAACAGCTGCACGGCACAGCACGGCGCACCACAGCAACAGCAACAGCAACAGCAACAGCAACAGCAACAGCAACAGCAACAGCAACAGCACAGCACAGCACAGCGAAGCACCACAGCACAGCAACCTAGCGGGACCGGCACACAGGGCCTCCCCCCCTCTCTTCTCCTTTCTTTCTTTTCTTTTATCCTTAACTGAAGCCTGGTTTAGTCTCAGCTTAACGGCGCTGGATGGAGTTTATCTTTTTTTCAAAGTCTTTTCTTTTTCCTGGGTTGGGCGAACATGTCCAATGCTTTTTCCATGGTTTGGTCGGAGGCTTTGGTTGGGCCCGGTTGGTCGGCCTCGGGTTTATAGCGACAGCGAGCAGAGCGACAGGCAGCTGGCTGGGGGATATGGAAAAAGGCTGTACTGTACCACGGATACTTCACTGTACTTACCTACCTTAAGCTTTAATATGCTATTAACTAGTATACCTACCCAGCCTCCTTCTTTCTTATCTTTCGGCGTTCAAACACCGACATGTATGCCGTGCCGTGGACGGGCGACTATAACAGGAAAACGGGACTCGGCCACACTTCTAAGCCCCAGGCTCGGCCAAGTTGATATCTCTCGTGATCGTCCCTCCCTGTATACGGACATGTAAAGCTATAGACGACCTTCCGTGCTTTCTCTTGCCCATGTCGCTTGGCCATGTATCTACCTGGTACCTTGTACATGTACATGTACATACTTCGTGCCCTACAGCAAAACCAGGTAGCTTCGGTCGTCCGGCTAGAACTACAACCACCTCTTGTTTTGCGGGATGCTACCCTGATCCGAACTTCTTATCTTATCCCAGATTCTATACTTGGCAGGATACGTACGCCCTTTGTCTGCTGAATGCAGCCGGCCAGTCAGACCTAACGAAGGTGGCTTGGAGTGAGTTAAACACTCCCTCGCGAGCATCCGGGTCGCCCTCCTTCTTGAATCATGTAACAACCAAGAGAAGATGAGGGGGGGGAATATCTCCGTCGTTTAGGTTGAGGTCAACCATCTAAAGCCGCATAGTTCAGCCAATGCAGGAGTAGGTGCCAACTTCTGGCCTGGAGCTGGAGCAAGCCACGCAAAAAGCAAAGCTTCTCTTACATTCAACCTCGTTACGTCGCTGCTCTCGACCGTGTATTTGTCGGGAGGCCACCGGATAGCCAATCAACAGTCTATACAAGTGTAGAGACAGGAGCTATGTCTCTAGCCTTGGAGGGAGATCTGACCATCAAAGAAACGGACGAGATAGGAACGACGATCGCGACGTATGTCTACCGCAGTTCCAAGGTCGAGAGGGGGGCAGAGAGTGTTGAAGTCATTGTATGTATCTGGATATCGTTGATCCTATATCTGGAGATAGCCTGCTATGCAGATACGTGATATCAGGTCATATAACGAGTATCTCATTAAAATATATTTACAATATTGTTTTACACTGCTAATTGTAATAGTCACCACCGCAGCCCTCGTCAACATCGTATATAACCTCCCTTTTGAACGTATTCCTTCCAGCCGGATACCCACACAGCGTCACCGAAGATTATCTCGAGTAAGCTATCCTCAAGCTTAATCACTTTGATAGGATGGCTAATCAACACCAGATATCAGATATATGTTCGTAGCCATTCCCACGTATAATGCAAGACCTAACTAAGCAGAACTCGTGCCAGGACTCACTCCAGGCATTCTCAAGCTCAATTGCAGGCCTCTTATCCTCCAGAGCAGTCCTACAAGGTGCGTATGCCGTATAACCCTATTTAAACCAAAACTAACATCCCACAGGCGTCGGTGTCGGAGATGCCACCGCTTCCCCGACGGCTGCATTGCTCCTTAACGTCCTCCAAGAAAGCATGGGCAGGATAGCAACCATCCTATTCGCTCATCGTCTCGGAACGTCTCTCGAGCCAGAATGTAAAATGTACAGACTGGCTGCAGACATACTCAACGATTCAGCCATGGTCTTGGACTGCTTATCGCCTGCCTTCCCTAAGCCTGTGAGGGTAGGGTTTCTTAGTCTTTCCAGCGTGTTGAGAGCATTATGTGGTGTTGCGGCTGGCAGCTCAAAGGCTAGTTTAAGTGCTCATTTTGCTCGATGGGGGAATCTGGGGGAGCTGAATGCGGTATGCCCCCTAGCCGTGACATTCCTTGTATGTGGTATGGCTAACGAGAGATAATAGAAAGACTCGAGTCAGGAAACGATTATATCTCTTATTGGGATGCTGGTATGGATTTCGTTACTTCCCCTGGCCATGGTCAGCTAAACTGAAGCATACGTCTAGGTAGGCAGCGTAGTGGTATCCTACGTCTCATCTCCGTTGGCAACATGGATTGCACTGCTGTTCCTCCTCGCCATACATCTGGCAACAAACCACGCAGCGGTCAGGGCAGTCAACATGACGACTCTAAACCGACAGCGTGCAAATATCGTATTCTCAGCACTGTTCGACGATGACCAGGTCCTCACGCCAGCGCAGGCGTCGAAAGAAGAACGGATATTCGAAAGTGACGGCGTACTCCGATGGAGAGCCGAATCTAATGCAGTATTTGGGAAGTGTCGGATTGGAGTCTCCCTAGACCAACTATTGTCTCTTCTCCAGTCAGACGATGACCGTAGGGGTGAACGAGGAACTGCATCCAATATTGACACCAACATCAGCCTGCCTGCTCTGATTGGCCTATTCAAAGACGAGGAATATATCCTCTACTTTAGCCCCCTGGATCGGACGGGCACCATTGTTTTGAAGGCCGGAGTCGGCGCACAATCGCAGCTCAAGGCCTGGAGCCACGCATTGCTCGTTTCTCGATATCTCGCGAGAACGAGTGCTTCGACAAGGGTAGACGAGAAACGTGGCGCGCAGGACGAGGCTTTCTTGTTCTCTATCTTGAAATGCACGCTGCAAGAACACTCGCAGGCATTTGACGACAAGATCCGGCGTCTAAGACAAGCTGGCTGGGAGACGGACACCGCATCCTTGGAAACCAGGCCTGGAAGGAGGGTCTATGTATGTATTTGATACAGATTGCACCGTGTATGTACCTATCTCGCCTATTGGTATCATTTATCCCAACCGCCGAGTATTGGGAGTCAAGGGTATCTATGCATAGTATAGTGTCCCAAGCATCACCCAGGCTATGGTATATTATTGATTCAAATCAATGTAATATCCCGAGTACCAGGTATTTGGATATTCACTCACCCCTTATCTCCCGACGAGCTGCTATCCCCCCAGTAGGTCAGGCCACCCTCATAACCGGGACAAGGCATCCAATCGTGCATCCAAACACGAACATTCGCAATATCAAATACCGAATGATTGGGATATATTGCAAACGTGGCTGCAGATAACAAAGAAGTACCTTGGTAAAAGTCGTATATGCAACCAGCAGCAAGATTAGCCTGTCTTAGCTACCTAATCTTAGCTCTTTAGCTATTAGCATCGCACCCCGGGAAGAGTTTCTAGTCCCCTCGTCGCTTTTTATCACCGGATTAGGTAACCCAACTAAACTCCTCGGTCTTTTTTTTTTTGCATTAGCGAGGGCGAAAAGGGCGGAAAGACGGAAAGGGCGGAAGAAGTAGAAGAATAGAAGAGGCGAAGAAGAAATGGAGCAGGCCAATGACATACAGTGCACTGCCGCCTATTATAGTTGCGCCGATGTTGATACATCTAAGATAGTTGGAATCTTAGATTGTATCTTGCCACCTGAAGGATAGCTAGATTCGTGCCTTGCAGCTGTGCCATGACGACATAAACCATACGGAGTAAGGTTGATTTGTCCCTGTAAGCGATAAGTCCTTCGGATATCACGTTCATATACTTGATATCAATATATGTTTTGTTAATCAAGATATGCCTGTGACGCAAGACGAGGGGCAGCTACATCTAGTAAAAGGTGCTGTTTTATATATATCAATGACGCCATACCTCCTATACGTCCCTCGTCGTGATCATCGAAACATCGATCAATCACGGATGAGAATCTCGGATCCGTTTGAGATGCTTCGTTCATCGGCAAGCAAAACGCGTCAGCTCCAGTCCACAAAAAGAGGGAGAACCCCGTCCCATCCTGATAACCTAAAACGGCACCGCTCTCTCCGAACTATCGAGTATAGTAATCTGAACTAGCAACAAGCATCTCAGCAGGACGAACGCGGGGTTATCTATCTATCTCGCCCCACGCAATTAACTGCCCCAGTCCGCCGGCATCTTGGGCCGCTGATCCGCGACCAATAGTGGGCAGAGATATAAGGGCAGGATACAACCATGACTATATCGACCAGACTAGCTTCGTGATTGTGACCATGGAAGTGGACTCCTTGGTCGTGTTTGACAGGCAACAACTATATATAAAAGTGCAAAATTAAACAGGAAAAGAAAAAAGAAAACCGAAACAAAAATTGGCCGGCAGTTCCGGCGACCCTGGGAAAGTCAACAAGCGCGAGGGATGTAATATTCATCCCGTTTGATGATGACATTGTGCATTCCAGTGATAAGCTAGGAAGCCATCTCCGACCTCTCCTAGGGGGGGGGAGTAGAATGCCGACGTCGACTAGGGGGTATAGTGGGAGGGCGACGATGGCAACGGGCAGATATATCACTATATCTTGCGTTTGACAACACATACTATATGCAGTAGAACGGCAGTTCAACGGTCACATATATATTATGTAGTACCCATATGTTGTCCTCCCCGCAAAGCTTGGCTGCACATCTGTCCAACGGTGGCCTTCTTGGCTCGTTAATCGGGGATCTAACTGATCAATTATCGATGGAAGGCAGTCCAGCTGAAGCCCAGTTAACCGTCCGTTCGTTCTTTAGCGGCCCGATAAACACGAAAAGTATGAGCTCATCCTTTCGCTTCCACACCTCCTTGAGGACGATCAAATGGCATGTCGCCATGTCATCGTGGCCGTGAGCAATACGATGTGGTATTTCACGCCCTTTTGCAGTTACTTGGCCATGATTTGCATATCAACCAAATCTAAGCAGAGCATTAACGTATTAACGTATTAACGGCGGAGACAGGTCCACACATATAAGGATGCTTTACACCGTATACTCGGTATACTCCGTACTACCAAGATATTGGTAACTGATCGATCGATGAATGACCGATGAGAGGGACATGTGATACTAGATAGTCTGCAGTCTCCAGGATCTACCTTGTAATAGTATCGTAGCGCGCAGCACCATTTGCGCATACCGTTCGAACCGAACGCAGATCGATCGGCCTTGATAATTTGAAGATTGAAATCTTATTTCCCATAGGACGATTGGCGAAGGCGACTTTGGGAACATGAGACGACGGCAACTCACCTCTACCGGTGAGACGGGTCTTGTGACGATCTGGTTCGACTCTTTCCCCGGATTATAGACAGATAGGCTAGAGAGAGGCTAGCAGGGAAACTTCACCGGGAACCGTCGATGGCTTATCTCGAATCCAGAGAATGGGAACCCTTGCTGAAACGGTGCGGACGGCCATTATTAATTAAACCCAAGGGCGCGCGCGCGCGGACATGGCGCATTCCAGCAATGACTGCTTTCAGACATCGTTCGCTCTTAGCGGCCGTGAATTGAGTAGAAGGGGAAACAGCAAGAGACGTGGCTGCAGAAGCTCGGGAGTGTAATGGCATCTACCAGACCCGATAGTCCGTCTCCCGAGGCAGCTTCAAATGCCAAGTTGGGATAATAATAGAAGCCGGTGTGAAGTTTGGCTGCAAGTTCGCCTGGGCTCCGTTTTTCGGAACAATCAAGCCTGCGTCAAGCCGTCCTCGAGCCTTCAAGCCGTGAGCCGTGAGCTACACATAAGAAGCTCGTATAGCGCTTGAATAATGGATTTGTAATAGCCAAGTAAGCCTTCCAAACGGAAAAGATAGCGCGGTTCGTCAAGCGAGAAACCTATCGCCGGGCTCATCTTACGCCTGATCGGGTCAAGAGGCAAGCGGCCATGGAGAATAATTCGCCCGGATACCAGTCCCCGATCCAATCAAGGATGCCGGAGCAGGGGAGAAAAAGAAAAGAAAGGGGGAATGTCCAAGTCGGCCAGTGAGAAGGAGACGGGCGAAAGGCCGAAGAAGGTCGCTGCATGGCGCCAGGCGGCGTCCGGAGGTTCGTTCAAGCTGGGAAGGGGGGAGTGAATATCAAGGAAAACATGTCCTCTTATGGACTTTATGGAACGATGATCTAGGTCATATCCCTAGATCCGCGAGTTTAACTCAACCGCCAGACGAGAACAGACGCAAACAGAGACCCAAAAACAGACGCAAAAAGACACAGACCATACAAAAAACGACAAGTCCGAAGTTAGTCGCAGGCAGACTGGTTCAGGGGGTCGGGGAAGGCCGAAAAAGCTCCTTCTTTGAGGGATGGCAATTCGAACTGTTTGATATCAATAGTCTCGGGCAAGGCACCACAATATAGGGCTTAGTGACAACAGATATCAGTCTCGCCATCGCATCGGCTAGTCAGGGCGCGAGAGGCGAGCAGGAGAAACACGAAAAGAGGAACTCGCCTACTGACGGGCTATAAACATGATTATATGGTGTGCAAAGTAAGAGAAATGGGTGTGGGTACAATCACAAATCTCTGTTTGCACTTCCGGGGATAGGGCGTAGGGCTGGATGGAGCCGTATCCCGATTACGGCACATTGAGGTGGCACATCAGGCCAGGAAGAGAAATCTCTGCTCGTCGGGAGAGTCGATAGCCGAGAGATAGAACGAGCTGGCAGTGGCAAAGAAAGTACCTTGCAGATACTGCTCAAAACGCTATGGAGTAGGTGATAGGAAGGCCGGCCAGCCGTCTACTACCTTGGCCCTATCAGGTATATAATGAACCATACGGATGTCAGGGTGACATGCCCGCTATACTACGATATCTGGATGGACGGATGGATGGATGGATGGAGGAACGGCGACCCCCGTCGAGCAACCACCAACCACCCTGCTCTTCGACTGCATGTGCTAGAAGGATTCTAGAAAAAGATAGAGATCCCACACCATTCCAGAACCTTTCTAGAAGGGAGATTGCGGCCAGCAGGGGGGTCGTCGCCCACTGTGGAGCGGCCAATATCATCCTAGCTGAGCTAACCCTGTCCTATACCAGACGGCATGCTAATGCTACGGAGTCTCCTCCTCGCAGTGCTAGAGTAGAGCTTTTACTCTTCCTGGCAACGCTCGGGAAATTGTCCGCTGGAGCAGTATACGATATTCCGCCCTAGCCAGACGCTTAGAGTGTACGTTTACGTCAAAAGATGGGGAATGGCTAGTCAACGGCTCGGAGTACGACGATCTCAGACGATAGGCCACCTTTGCTCGCTATCATGTGTTACGATCTGGTTCGGGGAAATTCCACACACTTGCCGGGCGTCCTATCCATGCGAGGGGTTTTTTTGTATCTCCCATGCATTCGGCGATTTGGGGAGGGGGGGATACGTGGTCTATTACGAAATAGTTATCCGGCGAACAAATAATCTATCCCATACCATTCCCACTTTATCTCTGGATAAACACGCAACTATGGATAGCCCTTGTTCAAAAAACGCGCGATTTATAAACAACGAACAGCGCAAGTCCCACGTTGACGATGCAGGTCTCTTTGTTGGAGTTGTCGTTGTCATACGGCGAAGAAGAAGAAGAGAAGGAGAAGGGGAAGGCGTTCTCTAGTGGCTTCCATGCGTCAACTGACCATTGGGCGTTGAAGCGGTGTGCGCTGTGCTCGAAAGATAGAAAACGTCGAGCGATGTGATAGGTGAGACGGGCGTTGAGACATCACGTCGGGCGCCCGATCCCTATCGAATCAGCCTCAAAAGGCGCCGGGCTGCATGTCGCTTGTGTACACACCAAACATCGAGCATGATGCTTAATGTGCCGTATGTAGCATTCGCTGCATATAATAGTACTTCGCCGCCCTGTAATAAAATGCCATGTATCGAATGAGCTGGCGGATACACGCATGAATTTCCGAACAGGTCCCCATAGCCTGGTACGCTAACCTATCGCCCTAACTCGAGCGTGCATGATACTATGGCCATGTTAGCAGCGCCTAGGAAGTAAAGCCGGACTCGTTCGACTTTGCTAATTATAAGGCAGTATCCATAGTACATAGTACATCGAAGCTCTCCCTGGTCGTCCGGAAAGTTTCTTGCTCCGTGGGAAGAGCACAGGAAGAGCAGATTGGGGCCGCAAGATCCGACATCGCGCATGGATCTCGATTCCCCCTTCATGCATGCCGAGTGAAATGCGTGGAGTAATATTCCCATCTTGATATTGTTATGGGCTTGTACGGCGCAGAGGTTGAAAGGAAGAAGAATCTGCCTGAAACAAGGAGGCGCAACGCCAGCCGCTGACCGGACAATTTAGACACTTTATCTAATTCCCCTATCGCAACGTTGACATCATGCATTCGAGCATTCTTTGCATCTCGTTTCCGTCTAGAAAGGAAAAAGGGCAAACAGGGAAACCGTCGAAGCACGCCACACGCATCCACGCCCTGTCGGGTAAAGGTATAGAGTTCCACCTTGCCTCCCAAACAGTCCATGCATGCATCGTTACCTGTCTCCATCGGATAAATCGATAGCAGTAAATCCAGCTTATGGAACGGAACCACTGGGTTCAAGAAGAACAATGACGATACTTGTGTCCAGGGGATCGGCGGTTAGGAGGGAAAAAAAAAAAGAAAACCTCCAACACCCCCTCCCCTGTCAGCGACTGGGATTACCGAATAAAGGATAAGAGGGTGCAAAAAAAAGAAAAGAGCAAAAAAGATGAGGGAGAGAAAGGGAAAAGAAAAAAGAAAAAAGATCGGCGGGCCGGGTAAGGATGTCATCGATGCTAAAATGCAAAAGTTGGATACCTTATGGACAGGTAAGATTAGTTCTTTAATCTTTTGCTCTGGTTTTATTTATTTGTTTTCCCGCCGACGGCGCCTGTGTAGGTTATGGTTATGGTTATGTATGCAATTGCAATTCAGCTCCATTGCCCAGATTAGGGTAACTGCCGTTTGAAACTGGTAGCGTGTATTGCTTGTCACCAGCTGATGTGCTTATGCTGTCGTCGGCAAGCGGCCAAGGTTCCAGAAGGGTTCCGGTAGACAAGGGAACAATCACAGAAGGCGGCCAGGCGGATGAGAACGAACGAACGAGCGAACGAACCAACGGAAGATGGAGATGGAAGACCCTTGCTGAGTGACTTGGCGGCTTCTGGGATGGAGACTTGGAGAGACGCCTGAACTTGGCTGTATGGACTTGTAACGAATGCTGTGAGACCCCTTTTGATAGCGATGGACTGATGGACTGATCAATATACGTGGCTCTCTGGTACGTAATCTGCGGTACTTTTAAACCTCAACATGGTCTCCCTTACCATCTGATAACGTACTCTCCCCTCGCTGAAAGGGATGACGGGATGATGGCCTGATGCCTGGTCTGACGCCTAGCCCTAGCCCAGGGTTTGGTTATATACCCGCCCGCCAGATTCGAAATGCAGCTTACAGCATGAACTGATGTGCAGGAGGGATGAGGAAACCTTCTTCCGGTTTACTTCTCACTTCTCTGCTTGGACGAGAGAAGTACCGTAAATCAGTACTGCGTATGTAGAATGCTCGTCCATGCCAAGTGTGGCAGCCCAAAGCTTCGCTCGCTCTCGAACCGCAAGGCAAGAGTTATTCCGTGAAACCTGTATACCTGTCGTGACACAGCTTCAGCTTGCTTGCCCTGACCGTGGCCCAATTCTAAATAGCCATATTGCTCTGTGATGGCAGCACTCTGGCGGGTGTGAGTGGGGGACACCTCCCCTGGATATTCTCGGTCGTACGTGAGAAGAAGACCCCTAGCATATGAAAAGTCTGCTCTGTACAACCAGACGAGCAAACCAGGAGACGAGGAGAAGAGAGAGAGAAGACCGGGTTGGCCTGGTCAAGTTGAGCCAAAGTCGACATCTAGCCAGCTGTCAAACCCGTCTATTGTCCATGTCTAGTCCCAGATGAAATTCTTCAGCGCGGCTGGTTCCAACTGGCTCTCAACAAACTATCGATATCCACTGCGTTGGAGAATAGATTGGCCATTTATTTACGCGCGCGCCCACCAATGCAACGGCGAGGGTGTAATAAGTGCCAGGCGGAACTGCCGGACGTCCTGCATGTAGATAGTCCACCACCGTCTAGACGCATAGACAGACTCAGGTACAACCAAGCTGGGCAGGACTCTCTGATAGTCATATCTTCGTCAACGGTTCGCTAAAGTCGATCTCTGGCGTCACACTTGCGGGTGGCAGCGAACAAGCACAAACCGTAAATCCCTTCTGGCGATCAAGAAGCCCAAGCCGACGTCGCGGTCGCCACCCCGGAAGCCCATCCCTTATTCTTTTTTATTTTTTATTTTTTCCTGGCCTCTTTTTTAATTTTCACTTCCTGTTCTGTATATTGCTTTTTCCTCTTCCTTTTGCCTTTTCTCGTTGCTTTTTCCAGTAGACTTTCGAACTTTCCCTGGCCTGGGGGCGCGGTCGTGAAGAAGAGTAGAAGGGTTATCGAAAAGTGAAAATAAAAAAAAATAAGAAATAAGGAATAAATCTGGAACTCTGCTGGCCCTTTCGATCTTATGGTGATATTAGCAGTCTTTTTTCTCAAGCATCGAAGGTTCCTGCTAACCTTAACGCCAGCAGGTCGGATCTCGCCTGGTATAGAAGAGCGAGGAAGACTCGCAGACGAGATTAACACGACACATCTGACACCAGACAACAGACAAACAGGCAGAGACCAGAGACACAGACAGACACAGGCAGAGACGGCGTTTGTTGCCGGGCGAGTCGCCGGCGTCCTTTGAACAAGATCCCAGAAGTATAAGATACAGGCCGTACAGCCCTTGTACCGGACCCAGTTTGCATGCTGCGAGGGCGCAAGGTATACCCACCCAGGTACCTCTCCACTTTGTTTGCGAGTCAGGGTACTTGGCCGACTACATAGACTGCCCGCCGCCCATCTCCTCTCTCTACATACTTAACACTTGACTCTACACTTAACACTCGACACTCGACACTACACTCGACACTTACACTCACACTCGACGTCGACAGATACGATACGCTGCTCAACTTCATATGCGCATACATCAGTCCACATTGACCATTGCCAGACCATCCACCAGACCATCCATAGACCGTTGACCATCCACCATCGAGTCCATATTGACCACAGACCATTAACCATATTGACCATACTGAGACGAGACGAGAGTGAGCTGAGCTGAGAATAGCTTATGCTGCCTACCTACTGTCACTATTAACATCTGCCCGGGGACGAGTCGCGGGCGGATTCATCAATCTGGCCAGCACGGCCTCTCACGTTAGATTCAAGGGGGAGGGGGAAGGGAAAGTGAGAGTGTGGAAGGACATCAGATCGAGAGACCTCGAAGGCAGCTCGAGATCGAGAAAGTCCTCGTCCAGCTCCAAGGGAATGCCATCAGGAGGCAGCTTGCGTTACTCGACCGTCACCATCAAACCCTCAACTTGGCACACAGCTACGCCCGACTCGTCCGCGTACAACTCGCCCGCCGCCTCCGTCCTCGACTCAGACGAGGAGAGGGTGATGGAAGGCTGGCAGTTCTCGCGGCCGTCTAGTCTGGCTCTTCCAGGTGGCCCGCTCTGCTCGCGACCGACGCTGGACGATGTGCTCTCCAACACCGCTGCGCCGCCATACACCCTCACCGCGTTCATGGCCTACCTGTCCCAGAACCACTGCCTCGAGACGCTCGAGTTCACAATGGACTCGAAACGGTATGCCGAGACCTACAAGGCCGTCTCCAGACAGGTCGACGAGTTCCCCATCCTGTCAGACAGCCCGCAGGCAGACCATCTCTGCATGCTATGGCACCGGCTGCTCTCTGCATATGTCATGCCAGGGTCTCCCAGGGAGATAAACCTTCCCAGCGCCGTCAGGGATGCCCTGCTGAGACACTCCAATCTGAGAAGACCACCTCCACCCGAGACTCTAGACGCTGCAGTGAAGCGAATACACGATCTCATGGACGAATCCATCTTCATCCCATTCTTAAACAGCCATGTCTCGCCCCAGTCGCAGCCGAGTTACTCCCGGGACGGCTCCCCAGAGGAGCGTGATGTCGGCCGCCACAAATCGATGCGACGGCGGCTATCACCGCAGTCATCGTTCGTCTCCCCACGCTCTAACGCCAGTGGTTATTGCTCCTATCACTCGTCGACACCCTCGACCAGCCCGCCTTCTCACCAGTCCATCTCCAGAACGACCACCACCAGCAGCCGCTCTTCGCCGTACGGCTACACCAGCGGCGACTCAGTGTCAGGTACATTGACAGACGACTCGGGCGGCAGTCTGCCATCCAGCCCTGGCGCAGGAGACCCGATGACTCCGCCGACAACCCCGCCGTCGAGTGACCTACATCACCATCACTCCAAGAGCCGTCAAGAAAACGCCTGGAAGAAGATGGGCATGAAGCTCGGGTGGAAGAAGAAGTCCGGGGGAGGCAGCAGCACCAGCAGCAGCAGTGGTGGTGGCCGTGGTTATTCAACAACCTCAGCTTCAAGGGACGGTCGATATCAAGACGACATGTATTAGATTGGCCTGTCTTGGCCCTCCTCGCTCACCATTAAACTACCATGTCCCATCGTGCATATGGCGCGGCCGACCGAATCACACCACACCACCCCTTCCTCCATCCAAAACGCCCCCTATTTCAACGACCGGAACGCGGATACGTCAACCCTAATGACTGCTTCTTCACTTCCTAGTCAACCGCTGGCGTGGTTCTAGGCCTCTTAACTTCCCTTTCTTATACATACTTTATCCTGACTTTACCTTGACACTTGTCTGATTATTTTCCCTTTTCCCTGCACTGTACGGAGTTTATACCCATGGCATGAGCATTGGCTTTGTTTTGTTTTCCTCTCTTCTCCTTTCATATGTTTTGCCATACAGCGATATCTATAGATGGAGAAAGCGTGTATTATGTTGCTTTTTCTGCTACCCTTTTAACGATCGGCCTTGTGTTGCCATCCCCTTCTAAAGATCATCATGTACCTAACTCTTCTCTACCCTCCTGACCTTGCAACCAAGGTTTCGTTTGCCTCGAGCCAGACAAACAATATGATTGATGAAATGACTAGCATTATCCTTGCATCTTATCCTTCGTCTGTATTGTATTCCGCCCGCCATGGGCTCAATCTGCACATACATAACTTAAACATGGATCACCCTGTGAGCTCGACTGCTTATTCTCCTTGGACAAGGGGCTCAGGGCAAGAGATGGACATGGGAGTTCATGCAAGAGTCTGCTTGGTAAGCGAGCTACAGGTCACGTGTGGTCGAGATTCAGGCGTTTTATCAAGAGAAGCAGATGAAGAAGATGAAAAGAAGAGGAAGAAAAGAAGAAAAGAAAGGAGAAGAGCTGGATGGGCCAGGTGGCTTGGTATAATATCATGCTATTACGTTTGTCAAGGTCTCTTCGCTGGTATCGCTTCCTGCTACAAGTCAATGACGGCATTCTATCAGGTCACTATGGTACTGTGTACTGTCAATGACGGCATTCATGAGCTGATATCAGTGAATGGATGCTAGAATGAGACCAGATATCAGTGAATGCTTCTTCCAAGCTTAAGATTTGAAGTATTTAAACTGATTCTTGCCCTCTTCTCCTTCATCTATACACACACACATATATATACATATATAACCCGCTACTAGAAAGCTTCTATAACAGCACGAGTCTAACAAAATGTCTCCCTTTCTCTCGGATATGCGCGATGGCGAGCTCCAGGAATACGTACCAGACCTGCAATGTTGGGAGTCGAATGAACCCCGAATCGATTCCCAGGATCCTTGTCGCATAGGTGGCCCGGGGTTCCTCCCATCATGGCCAGTTGAAATGGGATGCCTGAGGAAGCTACCAGATGCACTTTCAGATCGATTAACGGACATCGCGCTGACATGTCTTGAGGAATATGACCTTGACTACCACCGTGTAGAGATAGTACAACGATACTCAAGAGGCCAGACGCCAACACCCGCGGACAACACGGTATACATTTCCCTTTACACCCCGGTTAATGACGACTGGGTAGAGGCGCTTGATAGTATACTTTCAGCTACTGAGCAACTTCAGTTTGCTGGTAGGGTTGAAATGGTTTATCATGAAGCGCTGGATGGAATCAAGACGTATCCGCCAGATATTCCAGAACAGTTGGCGCAAGACTGGCCTAACATTGAAGGACAGATCACCAGCCAATTAGCAGTGTTGGGGGTTGATTGGAAAGTAGTTATGCTTGCCAAACGCGGCTATTGGGAGGATGATGCAGTGAACACGGTAGTCATCAAGGCCTCGGTGCCTTCAAGAACTTTTGCTATCACTACAAGAAATAGCATTTTACTTGCTATCCGCAATGCACGTTACGGTTTGAAAGTGGAAGTTGTCCGATCAGACTTTCTCTGGGGATCATTCTCCGAAGCACCTTCTCGGGGCCTTGAGAGCTCTAGCCCCGGCTGGCCCTTTGCAGACAGCCACAATTCGATGGGGATGAGTGTAGGACGGGTCGACACTCCTTTCACAAGCACAATCGGAGGCTACCTCAAATTCACAGACTCGAAAGGCCGCAAGGAATTCCTCGGCGTTACGTGCTACCATGCCGTCCGACAAGATCCTGCAGGCAGAGTGGACTCCGGTAAGTGCCAATAATATCCATATAAAGGTCCCTGCAAGATGTCTTCAAGGATACCTATATTTTATTTCCTTTGCTTAAGGACAGGCTTAACTGCAAATTTGACCCTATCCCTACGTCTATAAGCTGGTCCTTAAGCTCGTCCTTCAGGAAAGGAATAGAATATACGGACTCTTAAGAACATTCGGTAGGGACCTGTTTATTGGCTAAACCCTCAATTATTTATAGAGAAAGACTAACTTATTTCAAGCTATCCAGCGAGATGGGTCGAATGATCTTGAAATTCCGTGCCAATCTCCCTCTGGGCCCGATTTGAAAGCCGCGGCCAAATACGCCAACCGCTATATACCAATTTCGCTCAGAGGAGTTGAAGCGTTGGACGAGGTTTCACAGGAGACGGTGAAATATGATATCACGGTCAGAGATAGACAGCTGGACGAAATCAAGTCCTTTAACCCCCATATTGGGACTGTCCTCGCTACCTCGGGGTTTAAGAATGCATCGACACATGCTGGGATTAGCTCCCCCTTGTGTTTATTGGATTGGGCTATACTCCATGTTAGAAACGGCCGGAGATGCCACAATTACATTGGAGATATCAATCCTTCAATTCCAGAATGGCGTCGCGAGTCTCAATCCGTCAGCGGGATAGCCGATATTCCTGATACGGAATCTACCGTGATCAAAAAGGGCCGCACGACAGGTGTTACCCTTGGAGTGGTCGGAGGCCCGCCAGTTTTAGTACGTCTCGGTGCTGCATATGGTAATCTATACCGCCGCGCATGGCTGGTTTCGAGGGACTGGTCTAAATGCTTTGCACGCCCTGGAGACTCAGGGTCATGGGTGCTGAATATGTCTGGCCAGGTAATTGGGATATTGGTTGCGGGTGACGAGTCTGACGGGAGCGGGTTAATCGTACCAATGTCCCTTGTGGTCAGAAATATCGAGGCAGTGGCTGGGTTTCCGGAGGGCTCCCTGGACGTTGACTTGCACAGTCGGTAAGGATGCGTGGTTGATTTCAGCCGTATACGCACAGAGGCCATTAAAAGCACCTCTTAATGTCCTATTATACAGCCCTTGAGCTTACCCTAGCTATATCCTTCGACCTATCCTTGGGGAACGGGATAAATATAGGATGTATGCTTCGAAGATGATGGAAATTATTTGATAGACAGAGATATGTTTCCCCTGGCTGACAGATAGAACTACAGTTATATCTACTGGAAGCAAGGTATCAGTTTAGCGAGACACTGTTTTTAATTTTGCACGGCTAGTTGATGCCTATATGTCCATACTGTTAAGGACATCGCGTTATTGATGGGTCGCCCTAACAGCCCACAATATTCAGCAATGCAGTTCAAGATCTAGAATGCTCAATTGACTAATAGAGAAATGAAGCAGACTAGGCTATCTGGCCTCATCTTGTAGGCTTGTGGGGATATACTTTTGCTATAATTTATTTACCTAACATATATATCCATGCCCGGGGATGGAGGGTGATCACGGAAAGATACTACCCCTTGCACAAATCCACATCGCTTAACTCGATTGTCTCCACAGGCACCAGCATTGCACCGCTGATCCGACATAATGCGCAGTATTCAGTAGTCATGCCAATTTTAATCGAGGCCTTGGTTGTGAGATTCAGCAGTTAAAAAGGGTAATTATGCATGTGAAGGGGAACCGAGGCGTCTCCAGGCTCAGCTTCTCGAACGATGGGGCTTGCTGGGGTGCAGGGAGATGACAGGGGATAGAACGTTGAGAAAGCATCAGCCTGTGTTCGGCAAGGGGCCAATTTTTTTTTTTTCTAAAATTCTTGTCCCATGTCACGCCTGGGTGCCGTCTCGAGTACGTATACGGACGTGGGTAGGCATAGGGGTTATGAACGAGGTGGTATGTAGTCGGATACTTCCGGTTACTAGTATTTCATTTTTCTCCGCTTTGCCTGCTAACCCTTGTAGATGAGCTGACTTTTTTGCCCGTGTCCTTTTGATGTTGGAATACTTTAAAACTATCGTTGCGCAATTAATGTGTTGGCTACCTTGAAAAATGGTGGATTGACCTCCTCAATGGGGCGGGTTTAGGTTTGTCTTCAACGGGGGATGTATATATGTGGTATCATGTTGGTAAATCTCGGGAGAGAAGGAGATGCATATTGACAAACGAACGGGATGCGTGACGGGTTGTTCAGCCAGGTCTAGCAAGCATAACCGGAATATATCAGAACGGAATGATCGCTTAGATCAATGCGCGCACGTATGCTCGCCCCGGATGCATGCAATTGAGACAGGCAACAGTGAATGCGAATACGCAACGAATAGGCCGGTAAATAGGCAGGGGACAATGCGTACGCCAGCCCTTGAACAGTCGCAGCTAGCCAGGTGCCAAAAAATAAGGTTAGAGCAGATCATACCTGCATGCATTAGATCCTCCTCCCCATTGTCATCTGGGCTGGGAGCCTGCCATCGCCAGGGCGAGAATAATAGATTTTCAAAAAGATAGACGCTGAGCCATATGTAAGAGACTGGAGATCCCCAGCTTGAAGGAAAACACAGCATGCCACCAGCCCCATGGGCCGTGGGGTGAATTCGCATGGATGAATGCATCGATGGGGGGTGCGCCTTATAATAAAATATCCGAGCACAGCACCTAGAGCGCAAATGGCGCCACGGATGAGGCGGTCATTTGCGCGGTTTTCCAGTCCATGCCAAGGTATATCAAGGACTGCAATGCGACCATAGGCAATGCAAGGCGGGAGTAAGTTGTTAATTGTTGTAGGTTTCTTCAGAGTTTCATTTTTCGTACTGATGACCAGCATGGCGGAAGAGATATCCGGTTCGAATAAGAGTGGCTCCTTTCCACGGCTATGAAGGGTCAATGCCATCTTCCCTCTCCTTTCCCCCTCTTCCATTCCTCGTCCAACTCTTGGGATCGAGCGCCAGGTTGCAGGGGAGAAGCAATGTCGACGCCACAAACGCAAAAAATATGCCGCAGCCAACAAGCCAGAGCATGACTAGATTGGATGGATTAGATCACCGGGCCGCAAGAGGAACTAGTTGGTGTTCCAGCAGGTTCAGAGCACAGGGTATACCATCCCACAGCCCCCCGGCGCGCCTCTGGTTAATCAGCCATATACCAAATTACCCATAAGGCGTGGCTCGATCGATATATCCACCAAGGAAACGGACCTCTCGGCAAAAAAGCTATGCGTTCTTGATATCAACCAGACGTGCCCTCGGCAAGACCAGTTCTCAGCTCTCATCATAGCCAGTGCTATGATGACGTCACCCAAAGGTAGACGCAACGGCTTACACCGTTCATCCATATGAAACAACATCACCCACGCAGGGACCTTGCCCGTCTCCTTGAAAAAATACAACTTACTACAACTTTTCCATCCTTCATGAGGTTCAAGTGCGACTTGCCCGAAAGGGGGCTAAGTATATGATCACGTGCCTCTCCCCTTTGCAGCGAACTTGGCCTCAACCAAAAAAAATATAAAACTAATCTACACTCCAAGGCAGATTTACCATCCCGAACCTGCAGCGATAACCAAGGCATGCGCTTCTCTGCCAGGTTATAGGTTCGCCTCAAAACAAGCTTTGTTCCGTCCTGATGCATGGATACAGCGTTGATGGAAAGGAGGCAAGGGGCGAAGGTTAGGCTTGTCCAGCAGTCGATATGGGTGATGATTGGAGAGAGCTTCGGATCAGCTTGATCCATAGCGGGTAGACCACGTAACGAACGGGAAGTCGTTGGATTGCTTGATTGGAAAGGGGGCTTCTGGGTTTTTACACGTCGTGGAATATATTGTGGTCGGGTATTTTGGCTGGCGAGTTATGGGGTTGCACATCCGGCTAATATTGGATTGTACTCCGTACGATGGAGGCAGGAAAAGGACGATAATTAGCTCATCATATTATTCTGTGATGCAAAATTTTCCGTTGGTACGAGGTATGATCAAGGATTGTAACGTGGGGTAGGTATAATTATGCCTGTCCTGGTCTCTCTATAAGGCTGCAATATATGTAGTATTAGTGGATATCGGTTAATGAGAGGATGCCGTCTTGCGAGCAAGATGGCGGCCGGCATACTCCGTAATTAGTATCAGATGGAAGGCAAAGGGAAGCTCACTTATATAGGAATTAATATTATTATCGTTCTTTCCCTCCTTTCATCATAACTGAAATAAATAGAAAGGAAACATCAACAAAACTATAGTCTATCACCAAATAAGTTTCAATATTATACTAGTAAGCGTGAGAAAAAAAGGAAGTCGAAACAGAGATGGAAACAGAATCATCATTGCTTGCTTGCTCGCTGTGCAGTGTAATGCATGCAGTGTTGTATTTTGGGGGTAGACAACTGATTGCATCTTCCTTGTTGCAATTAGACGGATGGAGGGATGGACAGATAAAAAGAGCAGAAACACGAAATAACCAAACCATGAGGATAAGAGCGCAAAGAGATGATTTAAAATAAGCATACGGGCGGCGACGCAGGAAAGCAGGAAAGATCTGGGACAAAAAACGCCAAAGTATAGAGGACGGGACAGGGACAAAGGAGAAATGTGCAGGTACGGAAAAAGGGAGGAAAATAGCAGAGCAGATATAAGGCTGATGACAGGGAAAGTGGTGGACGACCATGGGGCTTAACCGAGTCAAAGGATATCTGCAGGTAGACGGAGGAGGAAAGTAGAGGAAACAAAGACTTTTTTAATCTTGCCGTTAGATTAAAGAAGATTCCCAGATGTATGTCGTTACCCATGAAATATAAAGATAGGAAATATATTTTTTTGCGGGGCTTTTTCCTAAATTTTAGATATCCTCAGCTGCGTGAGAATAGGCTGAATGGTGGATGTCCCATTCCAGATCGACGGTAGCAGAGTCATTGGTACAACGGGAGAAAAAAAAAGGCCTCGTCTTGCTTTGGTTGTTCCTGTAGATTGGGTCGCAACACAGGCCTGGATATACGGGGACAATGGAAACGAGAGTGTGTGTAGGTCAAGATCCGGTTGGCTCCTTTTGTTGAGTCGTGGCCAGTAGCGAGAGAGATGAAGTGGTGAGTCCAGGTCAGGCGCGAGAGCTGCATATAAATGGAAAGAATTCAGATTCGGGAAAAAGAGAGCAAGCGAGTGCCATGGCAGGAACAGGGACGGTTGTAGAGCGAGAGTCCCAGCAATATAACGGACGGACAGATGGATGAAAACCCCGAGATACCAATAATTATTGTAACAAGGCTCCGCAAATCGAGGATCAGATATAGTCGTTGCCTCAGCTTGAGAAGATCGGATAGTTGAAAAAGTAAATGTAGAATTTGGTGGCGAAGGGAGAAGACATGTCTCGGGATCAACCTTTATAACGCATCATCTTAGCTCAACAACATCACGAGTCATTCGGGACTCGAAACCTACCACAACACAATGCCTTCATCATCTTTTGCATGAACGTCGGTTCTGGTTCGGGTGCCCTTCTTGGTTGCTGTGCCTGGCTCGTTATACCCTGGTTAACTGGGTTGTTAACCCGATTGCTCGGAAGGTGTATGTTAGAGTTTTGGAACTGAGCTTGTGTCGAAGCTGTTGGTGTCGTAGCCTCGAGACCCCCCGCCACTCCGTTTTGACGTTTGACTTGCGGCACGCCTGAGGCGTTTTGCCGCTCTCGCGCTTTCCCAACTCCGGCTTTTGCAGGAGAAGGGGGCGGGGGCTGCGCGGCGTTTAAACGGTCAGCAGTGACGCCTGGTCGATGGGATGCTCGTGGTGCTGCCGAACCATGAAGATCACGAGCCGAAGAATTAGGCAGAGCATTGGCGCCGTGCAAGTGGTGGTGGGAAGAGTATGGCTTTGCCGCTTCCCAGCCCTTGCCGCCATTGAGTTTCATCCAGTCATACTCTCCGTCTTCCACATCGCCCGTGCTCTTGAGAGCTTGGGTGAAGAGGTCACGTAGGTAGTCGTAGTCGGGAGTATCCTCGAATCCGAGGTTTCGGACGTAGGTAAGGTACTTGGTAAACTCTTCTGCAAGGTGTGTTAGTAGCGTTTTCTCTTTTTGGCGATCAAGGTGCTGTAAAGCGACACGTACCAGGGAATCCGTCACATAGATCCTTGATGACGGTGGTCTGTTTCTTCTCGCCAATCTTTTCGTACTTCTGCTTGTTAGTGGCAGCCTTCAGGCCCTGCCATGGTAGACCACCACGTAGGAAGTACATGAACACGTGTCCAAGGGCTTCCAAGTCGTCACGACGAGATTGCTCCCTCCCAAGATGAGTGTTGATACTCATGTATCGAGCAGTGCCCGATAGCGACTTTCGCTCTCGGTAGGGGATATGCTGTTTAGTTTTCGGGTCTCGGTACTGCTTGGCCATACCAAAGTCAACAACGTGTATGACATTGCCGGCTTTCGAGTTGGGCCGACCAATCAAGAAGTTGTCTGGCTTGATATCGCGGTAGATGAGGTTCTTCTCATGGATAGTTTGTACTCGCGAAAGCTAACGAACCTGTTAGTGATGTGTCTTGTTGCTGTCGTTGGTAGAACCCACCATCTGCTTGGCGACCATGACAACGGTCTTTATGGAGAATCTGCGGTTACAGTGATCAAAGAGATCTTCCAAACTAGGCCCTAGCAAATCAATGACCAGGATGTTGTGTAGGCCTTCCTGGCCAAAGTAGTAGACATTTGGAATGCCAGCTGTGACAACGTCGTCAATAGATGGTCTCTATAGGCATCGATCAAGAAGGCGACTTACGGCATCCAACGAGTATCTTGTACGTCCGGTACTCATCTCGAAGCTGTGGAGCATCGCTCTTACGGGGTTCCTATGTGGTGGCGAGTGTAAGAGAATTTCCGCGAATGTTTCAAACCCGATCGACAAAAGTAAACACGGCAAGGCAATGGAGACGTACAAACTTGATGGCAACCTGCTGGTTGTTTAGAAGGTTGGTGCCCTCGAAAATGACACCAAAGGAGCCTTCACCGATTTTCTTCCCAACCCGGTAATGCACACCCACCACGTTTGACGAACTGGACGACATGGCTGGCAAACGGTACGGCCGTCGCGGTTAAGCGAAGGCAGTCTATAGATGATCTATTCGAGCAGTTTGGCCGGGTATATCTTGATATAACGAACTCTCCGTCAAAGTGTATAGGGGACGACTTGGACAGAAGGACCGGTGAGAGCGGTGGTATGCGAGCCGCAGGTCGAAGGGAAGAGTCGAGATAGAGATGTCCAGGGGCCGTAGAAGCAGTGTCTAGGGTCTGAACAGGGCGACAGAGCAGGTCGAGGCCAAGGACGACGAGGGGAGGACGGTCAAGGGAGGACAGGAGTGAGAGACGGCGAGGCCACGACGAAAAACCATCCACGTCCGGCTTCAGCTTCACTCGGTCAGAGCAGGGCTGAAGTGCAGGGGAAGCGAGACGACGGAGAGAAGAGAAAAAAGAGAAGAGAAGAAGAGAAGAAGAAGAGAGGAGGAAGAGGAGGAAGAGGAGGACGAGAGAAGGGGAGGAAAGCCAGGGAGGAAGCGAAGGAGATCACGAAAGCCCCGGAGAAAGAGGAAAGCTGGGCCTATTCTTCCCTCGGTCACCATGATACATATAATACATATAATACACACCAGTGGGAAAACGGGAAGACGATAAAGTTGGTAACACGGCTGTACCCTCCGCCTCCTCGTCATCTATTCTGTCTCTGATTGGCTGAAAAGCGGGGCCAGGCGTGACTTTTTCCCTTTTCTCCTTCCGCCCAAACAGGAAATCCTCTTCCTCCTTCTGCATACTCTGTAACTATCTCTGTAACTATGGAGTACGGAGTACATGGAGTACGAGCTGCCATAGACAAGAAGAACGATAGAGAAGAGAAGTGAGAGCATTGTTGGCAGCATCCATCCTGGCATGATACGCACATGCAGGGGCTGTGACGGGCTCTGCGCCAGACCTGCCTCCCTGGTCCGCTCGAGGAACCGATGCCATATCGGCTGACTTTGGACCAGCAAATCCCAGCCTGGCGTAGCTATAAACGCCGGCCGCCAAGAGGCTGACCGCTCGCACCGATACGCGATAGGACGAGGAGGGAGACGATGACGTTGGAGAGCTGGACGAGCTGCTGCGTGCTGCCGTATATCGTTATCACAACATGCAGGACTGTTACAGAGTACGGAGTATACAGAGGACGAGAACGGGGGAGGTTCGTCGGTCGAAGGGAGAAGTTACCATCCCTGTTGGTGCCTTTCTCGGCTCGTTCAACGGCCACAGGAAAGTTACTCCTGGATCACCAAGGCTATATTAGGTAAGACATCACCGCCTAGCGCGTGATGATATAGACGGGTTCTCCTTGTACTTTAACGACCCCCGCTCCAGCCTTGTGCTGCCACCTCCTTATATCTCATGTATATAAAGACGCTTACTTTACACCATACTCGCAATAGTGATAGCTTTACTACACTATATAACACGCCCCTTTATCTACCTGATATTACATCAAGCCTCTCCTAACCAGTGTACTACTCATAGGCCAAACTTGTAGCAGCTCTTGAGAACAGCACTTTATACCAAAGTAGAAGCATCGCATATTCCTTGAGCCAGTTTTACAGTTAGTCATGATCACGTGAAGGGGCTACTATATCTCATGTCAACCTCTCCCTCGGTCTACCGTCTTCAACTTCCATATCTAACACCATGACACTGCACCCTACCTTCAGCCCTCTATATTCAAAGGGGAAAAGTTATCTCCCTTCAGCATCTTGATATTGCATACCCTTTTTGGGTAGAGGTAATGCTCTCTTTCTTATCCCTTCTATACAATGCAATGTGCTTACCCGCGTTCTATCTAGGGGTTCGGCCAACAGTTTTCAGCACATCCCTGCCGTTGAGCCAACTTCATCTTTCTCCACCCTAGGACTCCGTATCTTCGCCTGTCATCTTCCCCGGCCCAGTCTGTAGACGAAAGGTTTACCCTTGTCGATGATCATTCTATATATAGGAACCCTGCGTTGAATATAAGGCTAAGGCCGTTATTCGGCATCTCCCTTCACTTAAGAGTTTTAGCTGCACGCTCTATTGAACGTTATTTAGCGATGGGCAGCCGTTGACGGCTTGACTAGAAGTAGCATACGGAGTACGGAGTACATTCGAATATTGACTTGACGGGTTGAGGTCAATGTTGAGTTGTGAAGATGAAACAGACAAAACTAAAACTGGGGGCATAGCGATAGAAACGGTTCAGTATACAGCCTCCATCCCAACTAGAAGAGGAAAACCACCGGACAGAGGTATAACAGTAAAGAGAAATAAGGTTGGCAAGGTAATAAGTATTCAACACGCCAAGGTCAACTGCCTCATGTTCCAGCATGGGGGATATCAGTATCACAGCCGGCTTCAACATCCATCACTCTGCATCACCCATGTCTTCGTCCGGACCGGCATTCCCTTCCTTAGCATCGTCCTCTTCCTCCTCGCTACTCGAGCCGCTGCCCTCGCTCTCCCCGTCACTGCCAGGATCATAGTCGTCCTCCTCCTCGTCTTCTTCCTCTGCCTGCCGATTCTCAAGCTCCTTCTGAGCCTTCTGTAACTCGGATTCTTCCTCCTCTACCTCGTGAGCATTGCCGTCCTCCTTTGCGTTTTGGCCATCGTCTGCCTCTCCGCCCTTGGGTGCGTTGATGTTGAGCCTCTTTGCGCGGCGCTCCTCGGCCAAACTCGCGTCCTGTAGGCCGTGTTTCTTGATATATGCGTCAATGCCGGGATAGTCAGCTTGATCGATCATGGAGAACTCCAGTTCTTGGACTTCATCTGGTTTCGTGGCAGAGCGTGCGGTGATGTTTAGATTGAAGGTACGCTGAAGCACGGCTGTGTATGAGATGGACTCGACGTTTTCAAACGCGATGAAGATGACAGGCTTCTTGAAGCCGAAGAAGATACCCGTGGCGAGAAAGAAGAGATATCCTAATCAGATCAAACGTGACATTGGTTAGAACATGGCCGACAAATGGTCAAATGCTCGATTAATAGCGACATACCTTCTTTACTCCCTCGGAAGGCCTTGACATGATACGCCTTCTCGGACTTTCGATGCGCTTCAGGTGTAGCACTCGCAAACTCCTTCTCATCAGGGCACAACACCTTGACGTGCTTCAGCTTCCCGTTAAACACGCTCTGGAAGTACGTCTGATATGTCTCCGCTAAGCTTGCACTTTCCACGACGGGTGTTCCTGATCCCAGATACGCGCTTCGGGGAGCCGCATCAGGAACCGTCCAAACCATAGGCTCAAAAGTAATCGTTCCATCAGGCGCGCTTGTGATTCCATCCTTATATTCAGGTATAATGCAGAAGCTGAATTGTCGTTGCGCCTTCTCTGGAATTGGAAGACAGAGAACATGTTCTATAGCCAACAATAACTTATAAGTACCCTCCGTAACAAAAATAATAGCACATGGATCAAAGGTGTACGGCTGTAGAGGACTTACGGATTTTCGCAACAGGTACACCAAATTCAACCTCCCCCGATGCCTGATTCCTAGCCCGAATATATTCATTCCCCCCTCCTAAATCCTGCGTAAACTCAAGCCGGAGTTTCTTTCTCTGGGGAATCGTAAAGGAAAGGTCCTGCACGTATAATTGCAAATCCGCGTCTGCCTGTAGCCCAGCGATCAACACGGAATCCGCTCCTCCCACCGCACCAGCACCAACAGACCCAATCAGTCCATTTGCAACTTTTCTCTTCTTGGGAGCCGGCCCTTCAACGGGCGTTATCTGCTGTTGCTGCAACCTTTGAGGTGGCGGCGCTATATTGCTCATGTCATAACGACTGTTCTCGTGGGCTTCCTGTATCGAGCAGACGTGTTTTGCTATGTCTTCGAAAAGGCCAACGCATTGAGGGTACTCGGCTATCGTGTTGATAGAATGGCAGAATCAGCAGGTGTATAGATATAGAGGAATTTCATTTCTTCCATCCCTTTATCCTTGATAGTAAAGTATTTGCGCGTTTGTTTGGTACTCGCCCCGCGCGTCGTAGAAAAGAAATGATAAAAAAAACTTACAGATAGCGTCGTAGATGCGATCTTGTAGAGCGCGATTCTCTTTGAATGCCTTGCTTATAGCCCCTTCATTCACCGTGATGAACCCCATATTGTCTGTATATAATGGAGTAAATAGGTATTAGTGCGGTGGTTGTTGGCTTCAAGAGCTGAAAACAAGAGGTCCGAGAAGTTGGTAAAAAGGTTTTCTTGACCGCGCAAACAAAACGAGATGAGCTAGTGACGACCAGCTATGAGGTAATAGGGTGGGTAGTGTTAATTTACGTCCTCATGGCGTGGAATATTATATTTAAAAAAGGAAAAAAATGTGATAATTTTTACATATCGAATATTATAGCAGGGGTTGCTGTTGCTATTGCGGCTGCAGTTGCGGTTGCTGCGTGGGAGAAGAAGCGTTAAGCCAGTGAATGGGAGAGACAATGGGCAAGAGCGCTATTCCAAGTATCGTACACATAAAATTTAATACAGATTGCCAGATAATACATCCCAATGAACCCTCTTAAAGGAAGTTTAAAAAGACCCATGCGTTGAAAGTCGACTATGCAGCATTCGTCCTGCGCTGGCCTGTCTGCTGCTTCCTGGCCATAAACTGCTCAATAAAATTGGCCGTCTCCCCATCTAGTCTGAAATTGCCATCCTCGTCCTTCGCCTGTTCCCTCTGCAGCCTCCTATCCTCGACCTTCTTTGTCATATATTCGGTTTTCGGAGACACGAGCGTCCTCTGCTTCTCCCACTCTGAAAAGGCCGCCTCTTCTTCCTTCGCGGTGATGTATTCAGGATCATGCTTAGTGCGGAATTTCGAGTATTTATTTCTGAGCTCGTCTATGACAGTGCTAGGCATTGGGTAGGTTTGGAGGGATGGGAGGAAGGTTTTGGCCTCGACTTCGATTTGGAGGGTATCGACTGGATGATCCTTGAAGTCTGGTTCCTCAGTTTCGGGCCAGGGGATCTCGATATCTGCGCCTGCTATGTATCGGGTGTGTCGGGGGGTCGTTGAGCCATACGGGCGGTCGAGGAAGGGGCCGGCTCCATACGCATGTTTGACAACGACGTCCTTGACAGTGTTGGTGACGGGGTCTTGGAGAGGTACAACAAGTCGGACATCGTCGAAGTGGTTTGGAGCTGGATACGGTCGGTACGGACGACTGTCGTTGTCCCCAGCTAACGCAAATGAAGGGAATTCGACATCGAACTGGAGAAAGATATATAATTAGTCAAGGGCCAACAAACCCATAAGGGACAAGTGCTGGAACTCACCATGTTCATTCCTTCAATGGTAACACTCTGCGATTCCTCGTCTATCTGAAGGACCTTGCCAATTTTGCCTTTATCCTTCCCTCTGACCATACACACGCGATCACCGGGAGCAATAGTAACATATTTCACTCGCTTTGCCTCAGGCACCTTGGGCAATCGTAGACGGCCGGTCGAGATCGTGCCGTACAGTACATCACGATCACCGACATTCCTCTTAGGTGCTAGGGGTCCCTTCAACCAGTCCTCTCGACGGGTCTTCCGTTCCTCAATGGCTTCATCTAGCAGGTTTCGGTTGTAGGCAAACTTCTCTCTCAGGTTTGCCTTGAGCTTGTCATGGGCGTCTTTCGCAAGAGTGGCCTTTACCTTCCGCTTCGCCTGGTTGCTCGCGAGAGCTGCTCGCCGTAGAACTTTGTCCATTGGTATCTGGTGGCCGCAATGCGTTCTTCATCCAAACCCTCCAGGCTTGAGGTCTGGTTTCCCATTTGCAGTTTTTGCATTTTTTGGATTGCTTAGGTAATCGCGACTCTGTCTTGGCGCGACTTTTGCCCAAAGGAGATAGTTTGACTACGTAGCATGGTTTTGTCTACGCACACTGCAGGAAGAACGCTGCGGTCGTGTGGACAAGATGAAGCTGTAAGTGACGTATGCCCTCTAGCCATTCGGAGGCAGGCTCCAGCTGTTTGGCGGGATCCTCGCTACTCTATATATTTGATGATAGGCCCTATTGGCAGAGAGGAAGCGAAGCTATGGGATAAGCATAAGTTTGGTTACTCTTGAGCTCTCTACGTTACGCCCTGCTCTCGCGGCTTGTCCACCGGTGGACGCGTCAATCAGCAGCACAGGGTGTCATTGAACGACAAACAACTGTTTCCAAGACATGCTCCAACGGGCTTGAACAATGTGGCTGTGTGGCGGTGCGATTGCGGTTGTTCTCTCTGCCTTGTTCACGGACTCGACTGCTGACATGGACTCGACATGGGCTGACGGCGGCTCAGAAACCACCCCCTTTCAACCCAGTCCAGCCCGTAGCATTAACTATGGGCGGTGTGTTGCAATAGAGCACAAAAAGAAACGAGAGACAAGACGTCGGTCCCAGCCTCAACGTCCAGTGAGATCCAATCAAACACGGCGAACCTCAAACACTGACTCTGATCCAAGGCGGATGATTGGTCCCGGAAGTCAGATAAGGGGTAGAGTGTGGAGGTTTCATCATCACAAGCCACAATCTGCCCCCGAGGGCACCGCCACTATCTGGAGTCCCCTTTCCCGATATCTGTGGCTGCTCTTCTGGCTCGATGGTACGCTGTGATGTGATATTGACATCAACATACGTTAAGAGTCCAGGATACTCCGTACTGGCCGGGCTAAGGACGGCCCAGATCCGGTGTCTAGAGCTGGGTTGAACCTCGCCGGGCAGGCTGAGGGTATTTCCAACTCTACATGTGACCAGGGGCGTGTTTTCTCGACCAAGACAGCCTCATCGTCAGCTCGCTCGCAAGTTTGGCGCAGCTTATACTTTCCAACGAGATCGCATGTACCCCGTATGCACGGCGGCGAGGCAGAGGCAGAGTCAGAAGCAGAGTCAGAAGCAGAGTGCAGGCAGAGTCAGAAGTAGAGTGCAGAGTAGGAGGCAGCAGAGCATGAAACTCGCAACTGTCTCACAGCCAACTGGTCGACCGGACAGGGCTTTGTGAGATGTTGGGCGTTCTCCGACACTGCTAAAGTGACTGGCGGCACCGGCTATGGCGTGACTTCAGCTCTTACACGCCCATTCCATGCCGCAGTAGGAGTAGGGGTTGTAATCTTCCATCTTTCACTATCGAATATCGCGTTAAGGCTGAGCATGACCACGTAATCTCGACAAAACCGTATCGCCACGCAGAACCCGCAAAGCACACACCCTATAAACTGGGCCAAGTTTCGCAGCAGGGAAGTGCGTGGCCACAGGAGGAAACGCAGTGGGCGAAAAAGGATGACTAAGCTGGCAATAGTTGGGCCCACATAAATCGCCCAAAGGATGCAAAATAGCCCAAAGCGGGCTAGAGCCAAAACCAGCGACAATCCTGTCATGCTTCCGTGTGCACGCTCAACCTCCCGTTAAAACAACCTCCCGTTCTCCCCTTCACGTCAATATCATCATCACCACGAAGCAGCTCAGTACGCCCGGCTTCTCCATCTCCAGCACCTCTGTCTGCTCGAGAACCCTCTGCTGCTCGACCTGCTCGACCTGCTGCCGCCTCGCTCCCTCTCTGCTCCCTGCTGCCAGCTCCAGTTTCAAGTCACTGCTCCTTTACCGTATGTAACTACCTGACATCCCTCCTCTGCTCCTCCACGCCTCTTGCCACCAGCTCCTGTCCTATCGCTTGCTCTACGGGCCTCGATAGCTCTGCTGCTGTCCACCCGCTTCGGGGGGAGGGACACCTTTCTACGTATTTCTGCAGAAAACTGATAAGAACCCCTTGATTTTTACAGATGGCTGAGATCCGCCGTAAACTCGTCATCGTTGGTGATGGTGCTTGCGGAAAGACCTGTTTGTTGATGTGAGTAAACCTTTCTTCTCCTCGTCCAGCTAGTCCTTTGCAGCATAGCTTTTCCATGCATGTTTGCTGCCAAGTAGTTTGCTTCCAAGTATATGGGCTGATATCGTCTCCTGCAGTGTTTTCTCCAAGGGCACTTTCCCCGAGGTTAGTCCACTTATATATCTGCCTCCCGTCGATTCTGTTGACTTCGAGCGTTTCGGATCATGATATCACTTGTCGACGTCGACGTTTTTGCACACCTGATGCTGACTCTTTCAAGGTCTATGTCCCAACTGTTTTCGAGAACTATGTTGCCGATGTCGAGGTCGATGGAAAACATGTTGAACTCGCCCTGTGGGATACTGCTGGACAGGAGGATTACGATCGTCTTCGCCCACTCTCATACCCAGACTCCCATGTGATCCTCATCTGCTTCGCCATCGACTCGCCCGACTCCCTTGACAACGTCCAAGAGAAGGTATGAATACTCCTCCAAACAGCCAGGTAAAGGCCGTTAATACTGACTGACCCGGGAATAGTGGATCTCTGAGGTTCTCCATTTCTGCTCAGGCCACCCCATCATCCTTGTTGGATGCAAGAAGGATCTCCGACACGACCAACGAACCATAGAGGAACTGCACAAGACTTCCCAGAAACCAGTAACCCCAGAACAGGTATGCATCAAATATCCCCCGGTTTCCCTGTTATATACTAACAATATTGCAGGGTGAGGAGATCCGCAAGAAGATCGGCGCATATAAGTACCTTGAATGCTCGGCCCGAACAAACGATGGTGTCCGCGAAGTCTTCGAGTCAGCCACCCGCGCTGCCTTGCTATCTAAAGAGATCAAGAAAAAATCCAAGTGTAGGCTTTTGTAAAGAGTTTTCTTCCTCGGTCGATTCTCTCCAAGGCATGCCATTTTATCTCCAGCAGTCGCTCAGGCGGACAGGACTTTTGACAACTGAGATTAAGAAAGCGTGAACTCAATGTTTCCCTTGACTATTGATCCTCACCACGTTTGATGCGGGGCGAGGGTGGTTGTACCTACCAGCAATATGTGCCTCATGACTATTCCTGTCTGGTTATGCCAAATTTGCTCCCACCACCTGTTTATTCCCACCTTCCCATCTGAGACTCCGGATAGCAACCAACATGTCAAGGGAGAAATGTCTCTTTTTCCACATAAGATTCGGTAATCACGCAACTTTGCCCTCTCAAACCAACCACGAGTACAGTTCCGTCTGTTTCCCTTTAACCCTCTTCTCGATTTTCCTATCTTTATCTTTCCCTCTATTCTCTTTCATTTTTCTTAATCTTTCTGCCTTATGTTTTCTTTTAATTTGTGAGCCTGGAACCAAGCAAGCTGCCATCCATCAAACCAACCCAGCCTTCCTCCTCTCCCTTGGACGGAATATTAAAGAGGATAGCGATAAATGAGGACTTTTGTGTTTTTTGCCTAGTTGCCTATATCCCCACGCTCATATTCCTTTACTAGTTCGCTCAATTCTGTCCCCTCTGGAGCGAAAGAAAAATGGAAAACCCCAGAATCGACCTTTTTAACCAACACAGTCAGTCACCCAAAGAAATTAATTGAGAAGCGGAGGGCCAGAGTACCGCCAGGCCAGATGGTCATTGTCCAATGTATTCCTATCTAGACCACTCTATCTATCCCTTTCCAATGTCTCTTTCTTTCGCCTCTACTACGCCCTATATCCTTTTAAATCGCAGTAAGAAACACCTGGTTTGATAGCTTGTGTCGCGTATTGGTTCCATTTTCGCATATCCTTATTTAAACCCCCGATACATCGTGTGCTTCCTATATATCTCTCGAGCCTTGTTCCTACCCCTGCGTTATTCATTTCCCTCCCCATTTCTCTATCTCCTGACATGCATTCCTCGTTCGTTATCGTTATCATCGTGGTATAATAATCTGCCAGCCATATAATTAAAACCCAGTCGACCTGTGTATTTGCGCACCTTGTAGAGCTTCAGACCAAGCATGTAGATAGAGCAAGCTTAGGTTGTAAAAAGCTCCGGAAAGGCTATTTTTGGCGCCAACATCAACAACCATGCGCATCGTGAAGGATCGCATACGTAACTAAATCATCTATCCTTGTCGCTATTGGGGAAATTTATTTTATTTGTTTTAAATAGAATTGTGCTAAGATCGTCGTCTGCATGAGGATGGGGCAGCCTACGCCGTGGGATAACTCGATTGATATCCTATGGTTCTTGGGTAGGGTGTATCTTCTCTTCTCGTACCACGGAGTGAGTGGATGAAGAACTCGTTTACAGCTCTCAAGACCCTCCTAGTGCTACTCTATTAGCTATGGGGAGGCGAGATACGGACACGAGATCGTGGCTACCGTTCTACGCATCACGGGCCCTGTTGAGCCTCATGGTTGATTGCCTCTTACTATCAGTTCAACGACATACTATCACACCAGGCGCAATGACACGGAGACTCTACTGGACGTTTTAAGGCGGTAATGTGATCAAGACTCCATGAAAAATAATTTATGTTGACATTCATTAACGTTTATTATTAGTACTATATATTTCGGAGATGAGTGCAGTCTACCCACTGTTCAGGGGAGCAGGCGATCCCCTCTGCCTCCCAGATCTTCTTTCAAAAAGAAACCCATTCGTACTCCCAGCGTCCGTATAAGCTTCGATTCACCCTCTTCCCTATATGCGGTGTTACGCCGGAACCTCCCGAGGACCGTTATCAGGTAACTCGGTTACCGCTGGCCGTCGTGGCACTGATAACATATGTGCTTTATTGAACATCCCATCATCAGCTAACTCTGACCTCGGCGAGAGGGGTGACGTTGCCGATGACATCGTTTGTGATCTTGCCATCGTTGACAGAGATGGGGAATGCATCTCGTGGGCTGAGGGTGACCCAGGGTGGCCCTTGGAGTCTTCTTCGGATAATTTGACGATTGGATTTCTTTGTCCAAATCGATATGATATAAAGCAAAGGAGGGCTATAATGGCCAGTAGCCCAATAACTCCAACCACGATACCGGTGATGGCGCCGCTTGATAACTTCCCAGTGTCAGGCTGTGGTGTTGGAGTATTTGTTGCTGTTGGTGTAGATGTTGAGGATGAGGATGAAGTACTTTTGGGCGAAGATGTGGCGCTGGAGCTGGTAAATGTTTGAGTGGCTGTGGGTTCGGTCGACGACGAGGAGATATCCTCACCGTTGCGGTTGACGAGATAGGATAGAGATACGTTTTGTCCCTGATATCGGGGTCCCCAGCCTGGACACGACCAGCCATTACGATCCCCACAATGATCGTCTGAGAACACTGAGATGCAATGCATGCTTCCCTCTGGATCCCAATGATATTGTTTGCCTTCGGGCAAATCCATCTTCGTACATTTTCGGTTATCCATCCCATTATCTATATGGGTAGCACCATTCCCATCAGTCCACCACCAGGTCCAAGCATGCGTGAGGCTGGGCAGGAAGGCAATAACGATAAAGGCCAGCCATATCGACTGTTGTTTCGTTTGGGAGAGCATCGTTTTTGCGACAATGGAGGGGCTGATCGTGCCGCAACCGTTACTCCATTATATCTCCGTCGATATATATTGAAAATGCAAGTGTTTGTGACGCGTAGCTTAAGTCAAGAGAGATGATATAACGCGCTGTTCAACGAGAATATTCTTCAAGAAGAAGTGAACCACGCGAGATCTGAGATGATGTAAATTCTCGTATTTCCAAATGGCATGGACGGAAAAGGTTCCGGTTAAAGGGGTCACATCGGTGCCATACAGCAGCGACATTTCGAACCAACCAGCCCATCCCAGGCGTCCTTCTTCCCGTGGACAGGGTATAGGGTGGAGAGACGAGAGAAGGCGGTGGGGACTTATCATCCTCTTTATATACAGATTTCCATCCATTTCCCAGGCATGGTTAGTGAGTTTCGTATATTTTCTAGTTGGTGGAGAACACTGACCTCCAGCTCCCCTTTCTAGCGAGGTTGAGGCTCTAAACATGAACATTTCATGGAGAAATACAGCTATTCGATGGAGGCATCTGGAGACTCCCTTCAACCGGCGACAACTTGGAAGACTAAAAGGAGAGTATTTGAATTTAGAGAGTTGTTGGTCACAGCCCGGACAATCCCGTTTCTTCAGCGGGCGCAACCAAGGACCACATGAAGTCTAACAACTTGTCCAAGGCGATCGGCGCCGAAATGCATGTGGTGGCTGACCAGCAAGATGCTACAGAAACACCGACTCCTCGGAGGTATTACCTATCTATTTCTGAGGAGCAGAGAGGCTCAGAAGATTTTATTCCTTGCAGCCAGCATCTCATTTAGCCACCCAGCGAATATTTAATACGAGCATGTAAGCGTTAAGGAGGAGAAAACTAATTTTGAAATGAGTGCTTGCATCTTTAACACTAAAAATATGTACATACATCCATTAATCCTGCAGACGATTGTGATTCCAGACGGTGGCAGCCTCGCATAGGAAGGTGATACCTTGATACCTCTCAAAAACAGTACTCCGTATGAGAGGACCATTATTTCTTCCACAACCAGAGGGACTGCAGGTTACAGTAGCCCTTTAGCCCGTTAACACCAAATTCAGACCCAATGCCGCTCCATTTATGCCCTCCAACGGGGACTCGAGGAGAAACATCGAAGTGGGAGTTAATCCAGATACCTCCAGCTTCCAGCTGTCTGGCCATTCTCTCAGCACGGACTAGATCCTTGCTCCAAACAGATGCCCCAAGGCCCATTTTAGTATCATTTGCGCGAGCAATGACATCATCTTCATCTGACCACTTGAGGAGAGGAAGGACAGGGCCAAAGGGCTCCTCAGTCACAATGCGTGATGTTTCTGGAGGGTTGTCGATGATGGTGGGCGTGATGAAATAGCCCTTTGACTCTTCAACCTTCCCGCCGAGAGCAGGCTTGACTCCTTCCTTGTTGATAGCTTCCATAAGTGACTTGACCTTCTCGTACTGCATATTGTTTTGGATTGGTCCGAAAAATACGTCGGGGGTATGACCCTCGCCCGATTTTAAGGCCTCGGTATGTTTAACTAGGGCGTCGCGGAATTGATCATAGATCTTCTCGTGAACGTATAACCGTTTAATCATCATGCAGATCTGGCTGGAGCAGAAGAAGGAGACAAGAGCAACCTACAGGTCAGGTTAGCGCACACACACACAAGCACACGCACATGATAAGCCGCTGGTGTTGCAGTTATCTTTCTAATATCCTCACCTTTGGAATGATTGCCTCAATATCTACATCCTCACACACAATAGCAGCGTCGTTTCCGCCTAATTCGAGTGTCACTCGCTTCAGTGTCTTTGAACAGCTTTCCATGACTTTCTTTCCAGTCTCACTCGACCCGGTGAAACTTATCTTGTCCAATCCTGGATGGATTGTCATCATAGGACCCAGGTCATCTCCACCACTAAGGACCTGGAAAACTCCAGGCGGGAAATACTGCAGCCCAAGCTCACCCAATTTCAGACTGCAATAGGGCGTGAAAGGCGATGGTTTGATTATAACTGTGTTGCCCGTGTAAATGGAAGATGCAATTTTCCCACAGGCCAGGAGGACCGGGTAATTCCATGGGACAATCCCGCCAACGACGCCCAGCGGAAGATAACGGCCTAGGATTTTGCGTTCCTCCGTATCCTCGAGGACCTCTTCCGGCAGTTCTAATGAGGAAAGTTCTTTAAGAAAGTTCACTGCCATGTCAATCTCGCCTTTGGCCTGAAACAAGGGTTTTCCCTGCTCGGTAACCAGTAGGTGAGCGAACTCCTCCTTATAGTTATTCAGGCCATCGGCAAACGCATGAAGAGCTTTACTACGCTCGTCAAATGTAGTCTTGGACCATTTCTTGAAAGCGACTCGAGCGGCCGCAACTGCACTATCGACTTCTGCCTGTGTTGAAACAGGAACTTCGGCGAGAGCCTCCTTGTTGGCCGGGTTGATGCCGTGGCGTGTTGTTGGCGTGGTTGTAAGCTTACCATCAATCGTGTTGTGAAATTTCTAAATAAGGCCGTATTAGCCAGGGACACAGAGGGATAGCCTACTGAGGGGTGTCTTACCGTGAAGTCCATCTTGGGACTGTCTACTGAAGCCATGGCAACGAGTTTTTGATGTTGGGGGTTGAAGTTCGTCAGGCAATGTACTAAACCGTTAGTTATAAAGGCCCTCGGAAAGGCATCGACGGACATAGGCTTAAGTACTGTATCTGAGGCGGGGCCGCTTGCTAAGCCGAAGGATTTTATCGCACAAAGCGCAGTTGATTAGTGGTTTCAATCGTATATTCACTCTCATGTCCCGGGGTCGGGCTTAGTGCTGCAGGCATGGGTGTTTAGATGTGATATTGACATGCAATGCTACTCGGGGTAGTTAAGCTACTCTGTACAATGTAAGAATCGGCCATATAACCCAAGTAATAAATGGGCCTCTACTTGTCAATATGTGCGCACATATAGTGTGAATATCATCCAGCTATCGATTCAGATTAATCAAAGCATCAACGTACTTCTTTGCATCCAACCCGACGCCTTCAACAAGTTTGCCTGGGGTAGCAGACCATCCTTCAAGTTCCCTTCCGAAACCGCCTCCTAAACTTCGAAAGAATCCTGGACCGCTTGCACTTCGAAGATGACCTCTGGCCGGTTGCTTGGAATCACTCGCTTTTCGAACTAAGAAGGCTACGTTCGAAGACGCTAGCTGGCCTTCTGGATGCCGATGATATTCGGACAGCTTGGAAGCCTTTTCTCCTGTAGCTTGTGAGCATATACTCCTCGAGCCGCTACCTTCGCCGTCACTGGAGGCAATACCAGGTCCCGGCTGGTCCGGCGTGGTGGGTAGGCGCATCCACAGAACCCACCAGCCACGATTTGTTTTACAGATTCTCTCCAGCTCAGATGGGCGGAGCCTTGTTTCTGTATATGTGTTGATTATCTGCATGTATACGTTCAAGGCATCCGCGCGGGTCCACTGAGGCTGCTGACTGGCATCCTTTGGATTGTTATACGCCCTGATATGGTCAGACGTGATGTCCGGCTCCGGGATGTTCGGTATTGAGGTCCGTATTGTCTGGTGAAACGGTTCATAAATAATATCATATAGAGACTGTCCCGGAGATGGTTTACTCTGACCCCTGGGATATTGATGGAGGTCATAACGTGAAAGCCTTTCTGCCACCTTTGACGGCGAAGTTGATGAGAGAAGGGGTTTTTGGAGCGGACCAAGCTGATGGTGGATGCTTCGGTAGAAACTAGTTGACGAAAGAGCCGTTGTTCCAGGCTCAAATAAAAACGTAAACATGAACGGTTGGTACTTTTAGACGTTGTTAGTAATGACACATGGTGCTACGTACGGAGTATAAACTGTACCAGGTATATAACTACTTGTAACGACTTCGATACCAGTTCAGAGGAATCCCCTGTGAAAATTTTAGTTAGGATATATATCTACCTTCAAGGGTTTAAAGGCCATTTCATACCTTCATGTGATAGCGAAGTCTGCACCATCAACTCTAGTGTCCGCATAATAATCTTGCTAGGGGCCGTGTGTTTGGCCGGTTGGGGTTTCGGGGACTCCTCATCGTCTATACTCTCGCTATCGTTCTCTTCATTTTCGAGGGGGTCACGGAGCCCGATGATGAACCTACCAGGGGACTCGTCTAATTGCTGTAAGGAACTGCCCTGTCTCGCAGAGGTTGACTCAGGTGCCGCCCGTTCTAGGGCTAGTGGTTGGTTAGATTGCCTGTTTTGTTCCATATCTTGTGGTTGAAGGCTATTGGTATCGGCATTGGAAGGGGGAGCGGCCGATGAGTTACCCCACGCAGATCCATATCCTAGAGTGATTATATTCATTAATTTGTCTGTCCCAAATGCAGGCGTACTCGCGGGTTTGTCGTCAGATGCCTTGGAGCTTTTAGCGCCATGTTCTGGATCGCATTTATGTTTCTTATCCGAAGCAACAATCAAGGGAGGTGGGATCCTTGGAGATAATTCGTCATGGTTTTGGCTAGGGAGTTCACACCGGGAACTTGATGGCGACTTAACAATATATTCGGGTTTCTTTCCCACTGACTTTGTCTTCCCCTTACGCCTTCTTCCTCGCTTCCGGCGACGAGTTGATCTGGGGTCATCTCGTACGCCGTATGCGTCTTCACCGTATCTATATACCCACTCCATCCACTGGGAGACGTGGGTTAAGGACTTTCGCGATAACGCCCCAGTCCCGGAAAACATGACACCGTCGTGAGGGCCAGGTGAGGCCATACAGCCAAGCCATGTTGGATCGCTCAACGAAGCCTTCGGCTTGACCGGATCCTTTTTTGTAAGAGACTCGCTATCGGCGAGTGACTTTGGCGCATCTCCGAACCTCGAGACAATCATGTCAACCAATCCCTCAGTCCTTGAGATGAATCCCTCAAGAACTTCACGTTCACCACTCCCCCACTCTTCTTCGCCAACACCTATTCCTAGCTCTCCGCCTCCGGCCAGCTTCATGCTAGAAAAGAGGTCTATTGCCGGGTTCCCGTTAAGCAATATATCCCAATTCCAGACGAATCTTGTCCAAAAGCGCTCGAGATAGATGCAGAAAGACTTCCTTGGTAGGCTCTTGTAGAGATCTTCGAGTGAAGTGCCGTGGTGTATTAGAAATATAGAATAGGCCTTTGATAGTTGTTGGGTAAGGAGGTATGGCGGAGACAGTTCCCTCGAAGAATATTCCACTTTAAGCTCACCCGAGACCCCATATTTGGCATTCTTATGTGATTTGTGAGTAGTAGATATTTTTGTCAAGTCGATGCTCTACTCCATGCGTTAGCGCTATTGGTACTTAAAGAAAGGCGAGGAGTTGGGTATACCGCAAGAATCCACCATCCGGGCTCTAGCTCTTTCAACACGATACGAGAATTTTCAGTCTCGATTGCGTCAACAGGCTCTCCATTTGAAAAGTTTCTAGAAGACGTTTAGTTACTTCTATTGCGAACTGCTGCTTCTCTTCGTTCCCATGATATTAATACGCACTTGGCGAAGCTCACCATTCCTTGCGCAAGCCCTACATGGCGCAGCCTTTTATTCTCTTCCTCGGAGGCATCTTTCCTAACCGTATCACTATCTGGAACGTCCTTCGGCGCATTCGTTTGGTTGGGAGCCGAATAGTAGAATACTATCTGGTCTTGGAGGGTCTCGTCGGTCTTCCCGAGGGACGGGTTGAATATCGCAAGGAACGAAATCTGTGCCGGTATCACTGACGGCGACTCATGGGAAGGCATTGCACATGATGATATCGCCTTGCATACGAATCCTCCCCTCACGCCGCATCAATCGTAGGAATAGTCATTCAAATGCTTGTTCGCTCCTTTGGCTGGTATGGAGGCGTCTGATGTCATTAGTCACGTGAGCAGACATATCGGAGCTCTTTGAAGCTTCAAATGTTGACAAGAGCAATTCAGTGTTAACAACCCTTCATTCACTTAGCAATTAGCTGCAAGGGGAGATGTTGTACGCTCTGGGACGGAGGAGCTCCACTTTACGCTCATTATCCTGGAGGTATACCTTTTCATGCCAGAGATACGCTTCAACCAAAGCTTGCGATCCTCTCCGAATTCTTTTCTGCGGCTCCGATGAGTTCAGCATCGCATCGTTAAACGCGTTACACGCTGAGCGCGTGAGGGATCCAGGCACAATTGCATCTATCGATGTGGTATGTCGACCGGGCAAGCCAGTTGGCCGTGCTATGAAAACGATCCGGGAAGGTGTGTAACACTTGTTGCAAAGCATTTGGACCTCTCCGAGTTGCTAATTAAACTGGAATTTCTAGTACCAATCAAGGCGGTTGCTACAGAACTTTCCCTACCTATACATGAGGTAGATACATTCGTTAAATGGACGGTATGCTTCATCGAAACCCGACTACGCTCAAACAGTTCTAATCGTCATGCTAAATAGCCACCACAACCGGAGGGGGAACCGATAAATCTGGTAATCGCAGTCTCATTTGGGCTCTTTGTTCCTCCCCGAATATTAAGAGGAGCTAAGTATGGAGGACTTAATGTTCATCCTTCTCTGCTGCCAGAGTAAGTGCGCCTCTCTCTTAATGCGGACTTCTAGCTAACTCATATATCAGCTTTAGAGGAGCTGCCCCCCTTCACCACACCCTGTTGGCTGGCGATAAAACAACTGGAGTTACTTTACAAACCCTTGATACCGCTAAGTTCGACCACGGATTAATATTAGACCAAACCCCAGCACCAGGCTTTCCTATCCCAGATCATGATTCTTGCGACTTCCCAAAGCTCCTGGAATTGGCGTCAGAGAAGGGGGCAGAAATGCTTGTAAGGGGTATCAGGAATCGCCTATTTGTTCCTCCATTGAATCCGATCTCTCCACAATCGCCAGTGAATGAAGACACGCTGAGACCTGCCAGAAAGATCAAGCCTGAGGACCGTCATATTATGTGGAGCTCTTGGAGTTGGGATGAGATTCGCCGTCGTCAAATCGTTTTGGGGGCACTATGGAGCACAGCTCCCCTGTCTCCCGCCATACAAAGTACAGGCCAACCTGTTCAGCGGAAACGGATAATCTTTGGGAACATAAAACCCGCTGGTACTCTACCAAGTGACAGCAATATGCCTTCTATGGAGCCTGGTGTCCCATTTACTTTTAATGACCCGTCAAAGAAAAAAGAAGATGGAAAATTATACATATTTACGAGTGACGCAAAACTTCTTGAAATAGAAGAGATGAAAGTCGAAGGAGACAGGATGGCTCCAGCATATCGGTCTGCACTAAAGGCTAAACTGGTTGACTCGACGGCTGCAAGAAGCTCAATATACAGTCCATTCCACGGTCCTCTTCAATGATGGCAACTCCAGTTTTGAACTTGCACAAGCCTCCGTCGTTCCTCACTTTCATGATATTAGAATCTCCTCCCATTCCATCCGTCATACCGGTTGGAAACCAATTTTGGCTGACTAGATGTTACGATCAGGGGTATTTATCGTATAAGGAATCCGGAATCTTTAATTCAAGATTAATTGCTTTACTTGTTCAAATGGGAGATCTTTAACACTTACCAACTTGGATTTCTTGTCCTGTCATGGAGGTATTCTTGGCAATGGTGATGAACACGTCCGCACAATCCTCGACGTCGGGCTAGATAACTGGTTATTATCACTCTGTTGGCCTAGAGGAATGGGGAGTGACTTACCACCGACTTTAAGGCCGTCTTCTCTCTATACCCCTCCTTTACTTCAGTGGTGAATCTTTGTCCCTATCGAGAGCTATCAGCGCCATGGAACTCCTTGAACAGCAGATGTTAAACCCACCCATTCTGTGAGGAGTAACCCGGGAAGTACAGCATTTGTACGGATTTTTGGACTCTGGGAAGAAGCAAGACCCTTCATCATATGCAGACCTACACATCGTTAGGGACCACGACCAGCCAGGTATAAGAGGGATAGACTTATACTTACCTGCGGCTTTACTAACGGAGTATGCCATGCTGCTGCCACCAGGAGTAGCTCCCTAGCTACTAGTTAGTTATATGGCCGAGTGTGAGGTTCAGTTTAGCTTACAGCAACGGAAGATGTGATAATAAACGCTCCTCCGTCAGGGTTGGCGGTAAAAGTTGGCTCTGCCTCTCGGAAGAGGTGCAGATTCGCTTTGACATTGGTGGACCAGCACTGGTTTCTCCCATATATTAGCAATCTATGCTTTATTTTCTCGACTTGACATGCCCATACCTGGTCCCACTCGTCATCCGTCAATGCATTGAGGTCCCCGAATCGGGAAATTTTGGTCCATCCCTGGGAATACGGCGTCAGTGAAGCTATTTCTATTTGCCTATATAGTCGAATTGTTCATCTCACAGCATTCGAGATGATAACGTCGATGCCTCCGAGAAGCTCAATCGTCTTTTTGACCAGATTTTCACAATCCGCGCGGAGGGCCACATCCTATATATACCGATCAATAACGTTCACACCTGAGTTTTATACAGCCTGATGGCTTAGATATAATAGCCTTTACTCACCCCTTGAAGGACAACAGCTTTAACTTTATGCTCTGCCTCGATCTTCGTGGCAAGCTCCTTTGCGCGCTCCTCGCTTGTACAATAGTTGATAGCAACATTTGAGCCTTCAGCAGCAAACTTCTCAGCGACCATGGCTCCCAGGCCGCTGCATCAGACATATCGCCTTGTTAGTCATTGCTGTACGTGGGGTGATAAATGTAGATGCGCAGGGATTTCTCACCGCGAGCCGCCTGTAATCAGCACATTGCGCCCCTTGAGACTGTACGGCATCTTGTATATATATGAAGGTATAGTATTTGAATATGTAGGCGATATCCACGGATGGGTAGCAAGGATAGAAGTTCACTGAGGGGCGCCTGTAGAAATATAAGTAAACAGGTTGCCGAGGCTGAGAGAATCGGCCCCATTATGACCCTGGGGAGTCGGCATCAGCTCTTTGTTTACGTACATATTACACCAACATGGAGAATTACAGATAGAGCGATTGACAGTCTGGCAACCTTAGACAGAGTGTAACCCTGTATATCCAGTCTCCTTTGGCTGGAGCCCAAAGTTGTACATTATTCACCGTCATGTCCAGTATGCAGTAGACTGTGATACTATGCAGCCCAAGATAACTGAAAGGAAGCTCGATTATTTATAATATAGGATGTAAGGGATAGACATAATGCCTAACAAGATCCAGAATACAAGGAAGAGGTTTGAACCGAGAGCGGTAGGAAATGTCTTCACTTCATAAACGCTGATATCGTCCACTTTTTCATACCAAAGGAAAAAAAAGCACCAGGTTGAGTTCCGAGCAAGAAAAGATGGCCCCGTACTTTAGAGAAAATCTCCATAACTTCATAACCTAGCATGATGCCCCGTCGACTCCATATTTGCCTGTTATATTTAAGTAAGCTTCTGCTTGATGAAGAAGCTTCGTAGATGCGAAAATTGCCAGGCACAGGTTGCCAGGAGGACAGCAGTTTGGATCAAGGCCCATCGGACAACGCGGGAGTTGGTAGCTTCGGACTGGTCACGGAATTGGGCTTCTCGCTCCTGTTGTGGTTAAGGGGTAAGGTCAGTTAAGGGCATTCAATTTCACTCGTATCAGTATAGACTTACCCGCTGGAAAACCTGTTCGCGGCGAATATCCTGAAGTCTTCCGTTAAAATTCTTAACCCTTTCAACTAGATCGTCAAGCTTGCTCTTGTCTTCGGACTCGAGGTGGTTGGACTCTCCAATGGCCATGTCAAGGGTCAACTTCACTGGGCCCGAAGCTCCGGAGAGCCATCCGCTGTTGGCATGCGAGTCTGGTGTGAAGCATAGCTTATGTTGTCCCGCATCAGCGGTAGAGAAGGTGAAGCGTCCCTTGTCGGCTCCCTTCTGAGAAACAACTCGGTGGTCGTTATCGAATACTTCATCAACAGTGATGGTGACGGTTATACTCTTATCGGGGGCATATGTATTGGTGTTGGGGTTGTAGACTTCCGCCTGGTAGTTTCCTGTTCTCATGTCAGTATAATCGCATCCGGGGGGCCAAAAGAACAGTCGCAGAGGGCCCGACTCACCGACTACCAGAGTGTCCTTGGGCAATTCTTCGTAGAAACACTTCTGCTGTCGCCCATGGATGTAGAAGTATAGGGAGTGGACAGGAGTCGAGAGTGTCAGGATGGTGATTAGGGAGAAGAACATCGACAACCACGACGGCTGTGACCTTGAAAAAACCATGATGCCGGGACTGCGTGCAGGAGATAGATCCGAGTAAGAGACAGCGAACAGCTTTATCCTCCGCTTGTCTCTGCTGCGCTGGATGTTGTCTGCAGGAATCGGGGGCTTCGAAGATGTTTTGAGTGCTCTCTTCCAGAACTCTTACTTGGCCCCGGAGTGTGGCCAATGGGCGAGCGTGTCTGCAACCACCGCCAAAAACCACTTTCCTCGCCGCGAAAGTCGCTCGACGCAGATACAAGCCAACAAGCCCAACTCGCGCCGCCGGATCACGTCGAACTCTTCACCGGCCAGTTATAAGGACCTTCAAGTCGACGCTTTATATCGTATACGACGGGTAGAAAGCGCCTCCGGAGCACCCAACCATGGCGGCCGCAGATGTTCGCGATATGCTCGATTTGCCCGCAGATGGGCAACCCAGACCAGCCAAAAAACAGAAAGTTGTGGAGAAGCGACCTGGTAGGCTACGAGGGACCCCCTAATATTTGTTATTTCAAGTCTAACAGTCGGTTTACAGAGGGTATTACAAGAGAGCTATACGCTTTATTGGGAGAGCGCGCGCCTCCTATAGCGTTGAACGAGAACAAGTATAAAGGACGACGGAAATGGATGAGCAAGCTCAAAGTGCGGCCCTGGTATGTCTATCGGTGCGCCTAATTGTGTCTACTGTGGTATGACTGACGTGTAGCTCTATAGGGATATTATACCGTTCAAGAACGCCGCCCGAAATGACGACCTTACGCTGAAGCACTGGCAAAGGAAACCGATAGCTAAAAACCCACCACCAAACGATGCACCGGCCCAGGAAGGCGCCTCGGATAAAGCGATGGAAGACACTTCTGCTACGCAATCCGAAGATATGTCGTCCTTTGCCAAGTACAATATTAAAGCTCAACATCCTCGAAGATACACGGCCGAGGAATACGACAAACTCTTGAAAAGTGATATATGGAGTCGCGAGGAAACGGACTATCTCATGGACATCGTCGAGGAGTTTGACTTGAGATGGATAGTAATCGCCGATCGATATGAGTTCTCTCTAAACAACTCTGCGGAAGCGGACGTTAATTCCTCAACAGCGCTCGTCACCCCAGTTAAACGCCGAACGATGGAAGAGATGAAGTCGCGATACTATAATGTTGCAGCCCACATGCTAGCACTTGAACATCCGCTTTCGGAAATGTCAGAGGCGGAGTTTGATATCCATGAAAAGATGATGAAATTCAACCCTGAGCGGGAGAGGGCTCGAAAGGAGCTGGCCAACACCCAGCTGAACAGGACCAAGGATGAAGTCAACGAAGAAGCGTTACTGCTTGAAGAATTAAAGAGGATCGTCGCTAACGAGAACCAATTCATCGACGAGAGAAAGGAGCTATATGCCCGACTTGAAGCCCCAGTCAGCACCGGCAATACCGCCATGTACCAATCCAGTCAAGGCCTATCCCAGCTTCTACAATCTCTTCTACAGGCGGATAAGAATAAAAAGCGTCGCCCACTTCTCGGCCCAGATACAGGCGTGTCGAGCCCTGTAGGAAGCATCCCTCAAGGAGGAGCATCAGCCCGCGAAAGCAGACCGGAAACCCCAGCCCCAGCCACAGGTGCTGGACAAAGTAACAACAAGAAAGGAGCAGCCGCCAACGCAGCAGCCCAACCAACAGTCAGAAACCTCACGCCAAGCGAAGAGATCAAATACGGCGTCTCACACCACGACCGTTTAACCTCCGGCGTCCAATTCCGAAACGACAAGGCCCAAAAGCTCACCCAGGCCAAATCCAACATCCAGTCTCAGAAACTTGCCGCCGCCCTTACAGAGCTAGATATTCCACCGCGTCTATTCATGCCTACTGAAAAAGTATGTAAGGAGTTCGAGAAACTGATCCATCAAGTCAATTTACTTCTCGATACACGCAAGTTTGCAGAGAAAGTTGAAGGGGAAATCCGTGTTTTGGAAGCTGGCAAGCTGGAGAGAGAGAGGAGAGAAAATGAGAAGGCTGGCATCTCTACGGAGGATAATGACAATGCTGACGGGGCTGGAAATTCGGCCGCTGCTGCAGCGAACGCTGCGGATGAAGCTGGGGCCGCGGACACCAATGAAGGGGCTGACGGTGAAGCTAAAAAGGCGTCTCCGTCAGGGAAATCTGCTTCTTTGAAAGTAGGGAAGGCTGCTGATGGAGCTGATGCGGCTATAGCATCGCCTACGAAGCTAGCTGGTGCTGCACATAAACGCAGTGCCAGCGTTCTCAGTGTGGCTAGTGATAAAGGCACTAAAAAGCAGAAGAGGTGAAGAGAGAAGCATTGGATTTTGATTTTTTCTTCTCTGTATTACTATTTTTACTCCTTTAGCGTATAGTATAGTCTACTCAATGACCAATGAGCCCTTCTACTGTTTGAATATACGACATAGTTTCAAGTAGAGAAAGGGTCGAATCCAAAACGATGTCTATTATGAGATGCAAAGATATTTATACAGGGAATGAACTCGACAACATGCATACCAACGCAAACTCCAATTTTGTCCGACATGGGTATCCAAAAGGAAATTGAGATGAAAACGACGGTAGTAGGCCAGGTCAATGGGTCTGAACACAGTCATCATACAGCTTCGACCATACCTCAGCAGACATTGGCCCGGGTTCTACATCCTCCGTTATCTCGTCCACTTCGCTGTAACTATTAACGTCATCACCCATCATTGGGCACATATCGGAGCTCTCCGAGGCCATACTCGAGGGTTCCCGTAGCGCATTGAGAGCTTGTATAATGGCCGGATTGCGGATATATGTGCCACTGTCTACATCCCGACGGGCTGGGTCGAACCCAATAGGCAAATCTATATCTGGGTCAAGTTCTAGCCTCGGAAACTGTTCTAGCTCGCGGGAGTGAGTTGAACGGCCGGATACAGCGGTGGAGCTACTGTCATTCCTCCTGTGCCTGCGAACTTTCTTCGCCAATGATGCAAATGCGTTGCCTACTTTCTTCGGCTGATGGGTGCGGCTGTTGTCATCTGGGAGATCAGGGCAGATAGAATTGCTATCTCCTGAAGGAAAACCTTCTCGTTTCAGATCTTGGATTGGGAGCCTGTAATCCATGGGAGCTCTGTTTTTGAAGGATTGCAGAGTAATTGCTGCTTTATATTTCTCATCGGCTGAGCCCTCGGAACAGGATAGTCGAGGATACCGTTCCCCCGGGGTAAAATTGTAGCCATAGCCCACTCGTTTCCCGCCAGACAGCCAGCCATCGCTACATCGTCTGCCGGCATTCTCCTTTTCGGAATCATCCTTGGGAGGTATGCGGCCTTCACATCTCAGCGTAAACACGTCGTCTAGGTCCTCGATAAAGCGACTTCTTCTAACGAAGCTAGAACTGTCTCTCTGGGCAGTAGATGGTGATCTTTGGGGCTGATTTGCGGGCACCCTTGACTTCCGTACGTTCTCTGGCGGAACGCTCTTGGAAGTCAGGCTCCGTTTCACTTGGTGTACCGGTGGCTTCGCGGCATAGATTCGTTCTAGATTTGATTCGAGCTCTGGGTTGTCAGAGGCTGGACTAGAATATACCGAAGTTCCAATATATCTTCTAGCTTGCAGATCTTGAGGACACGGGCTGGTATCATAGGAAACGTCCTGATCCAGCATATCCCCTGGCGGCTTCGTGACATGAATCTCTATGCTTTCGGTAGACCCAGCCAAAGTGAGGGGGCTAATCTCCTCGTCAGCCTGTTCTAAAGTCCCTGGTTCGCTGGGAGTCAAAATCGGTGTTTTTCTGCAATCGTCGTCTGCATTGGCACAGGAGGCCCTCGATATATGGGTTCTTAAAGGTGTCGTCGGGCCGGAGTCGACAACATGTGCGAACACATCTGGCTGTGATGCTAGAGAGTCCATGGCTGGTACGGTCCCATCAGCCTTGCCCGTTTGTTGGAAATCATTCATCTCAGTTTCGTCGCTCTCCTCTTTGCCAACTGGCGTGCCATCAAGGCCATGGCAAAAAGGCTCGTTCGATTGCTCCCGAGTATCTCTAATGGGCGTTGTATCAAAAGTTGCAAACATGGTACTTCGACTGCCAGGGCTAGTTTTCAACCGCGTTGTGATCTGAGGAGTGAGAAGGTTGTGGGCATCACTGTCGTAAGCCGCCTCACTTGAGTTCCCACTGTCAAGAACATCAAACAACATCTTGTTCTCCAAGCTCAGATGGCCGCCATCACACTTGGGCTGCCTTTCTTCCGGCGCAGGATCCTGCACTGGCACCCGACCCTCGCGCGAGAATCGAGTACGGAGCTTTCCGCCAAAGGACTCCAGTCGAACTAGGCCCCTTCTCGAATTCACACGAGTGACAACATTCTCTGGTCCTGGAGGTGGATCAACCGTTGTGGTACCTTGATTGCCTTCGTTGTAAGTACCAAGATTGGTAGTAGAGAATATTGCATCTAGCATCTGCTGCTCTTCGCTGGCGTCGTCCAACGGCGTGTAAGTTATGGGCTCGAAAGCAGGCGGCAGCGAGTGCGGACGCACGGATTCATCACTGGAAGTGCCACGAGACAATTGTTTCTTTTGTCGCTTCCGCCATGGACAGAATATGGACACCATTTTGGACATGTCTTGGAGCCGGAACTGGTTTTTGAAGCGGACAACGGGTGACAGACTTGATCGGTAACGATCCGAGAAAAAGAGAGACGTAGAAAGACGTATAAGGCTTTATACGCGCAGGGGAGGCTGTAAAAGAAGATAACCTGAGGAAGCGTCTGAGTGGCATGGCGTCCAACCAGGCTGAGCAAGAAAGTGGGCAAAAGGTTGGAGAAACATGGAAGGAGGGAAACACAGGAGCGACATCCCTTCCTTCTCGTTGTTGAACATCAAGTAGAAAATAATCATGGTAAGGCCTGGTTTGAATATACCGTCATTGGTATATATCAAGAGTAGAGTATATGTTGTGGTATGGGCCGCATGGATGGCCGCGATGTTCGCCTTGACGATAACCTGATATACTGACAACATGACAACACCGGCGTATTGCTTGAGTCTGGCAAGAATAGACCGTCTGTTATCGTCATCGTCCATCGTCTTCGTCAGTCATCTTCGTCTCTCGTCTTCACTGACACTCATCTAGTCCTCATGCTGGTCTTTGGACTGCATCCGGGCCGGAGTCAGGTCTCTCATCCTCCGTACGCAGAGAAGTAAACGTAGACCCCTGTCACTTCCACGGCTCCCGCGTCCACCGTCAGAAACCGACTCAAACGTCCATTTGAGTGAATGTTCGGAGGCCGAAGTCTTCGTCTCGTCTCGTCTCATCTTCGTCTTCCTCTTCCTCTTTTACTCCTTTCACTCCTTGATGTCCCGCTTAGTCATCATTGCGTGACCAGGGAGAAAAAACCCTCCGATTCGGAGGTTCTCGCGCTTTTATTTTTCTGCCCCTCCACAAAAGGGAAGCCCCTCCTCCTTTTCTCCCACTTCTTCTTCTCTTCCTCTTCTTCTTCTTCTCTCTTCACTTCTTCTCTTCACATCAATTCAATTGACCTCAGATAAGTCGATACCTATTATATCTACCGTGAAGAGGCTCATTGTTTGAAAATGGTTCAATCGTAAGTTGACTGCCCCGCCCTGGTAAACAGACGGAGGCAGAGCTCGTCGCTGACCTGTTCGTCCAGCTCCATTCTCGGCTTCCCCCGTATGGGTCGCCTCAGAGAGCTGAAGAAGGCTACTGAGGCATACTGGGGAGGCAAGCTCTCGCGCGATGAGCTTCTCAGCGAGGGTAAGAGACTCCGTCTCGAGCACTGGCAGATCCAGAAGAAGGCCGGCGTCGACCTCATCCCCAGCAACGACTTTGCCTTCTACGACCAGGTCTTGGACCACATCCAGCTTTTCGGAGTATGTTTTCTCTTATGCTGATGACATTTGACCAGATGACTGACCTCCTTCTAGGCTATCCCAGAGAGATACTCCAAGTATGGTCTTCACCCAGTTGACGAGTACTTCGCCATGGGCCGTGGCCATCAGACCCCAGCCAAGGACAACGAGCCAGCTGTCGATGTCCCCAGTCTTGTACGTGTAACCCGTGTATCACGCCGTTGACGAGATGCCTCGCTAACACATGTCTTTTGCTCCCCCCTTTTATAGGAGATGGTGAAATGGTTCGACTCAAACTACCACTATGTCAAGCCAACCCTGCAGAATGCCCAAGAGTTCAAGCTCTCTGCCAACCCTAAGCCGGTTGTCGAGTTCAAGGAGGCCAAGGAGGCTGGCATTGCCACCCGTCCTGTCCTTCTCGGACCTGTCTCCTTCCTCGCCCTGGCCAAGGCTGACCGTGGCCAGACCGTTGACCCAATCTCTCTCATTGAGAAGCTCGTTCCCCTCTATGTCGAGCTCTTGGCTCAGCTCAAGGAAGCTGGTGCCGAGTCCGTCCAGATCGATGAGCCAGTCTTGGTCTTCGATCTCCGAAAGGAGGTCAAGGATGCCTTCAAGCCTACCTACGAGAAGCTAGCCGGCCTCGGAGACAAGGCTCCCAAGCTCGTCTTCACCACCTACTTCGGTGACATCGTCCACAACATCGACGTCCTCCCCAGCCTCCACAACCTCCACGCCATCCACATTGACCTTGTCCGCAACCCCGAGCAGCTCGAGGAGGTCGTCAAGGCTCTCGGACCTAAGCAGGTTCTCTCTTGCGGTGTCGTTGATGGCCGTAACATCTGGAAGACCAACTTCAAGACTGCCATTGAGACCGTCGAGCTCGCTATCCAGAAGCTCGGAAAGGAGCGTGTCATCGTTGCCACCTCCAGCTCTCTCCTCCACACCCCCCACACTCTCGAGAGCGAGAAGAAGCTCGACGCTGAGGTCCACGACTGGTTCAGCTTCGCCGTCGAGAAGGCCAGTGAGCTGGTCGTCATCGCCAAGGCTGTCACTGACGGCCCAGCTGCTGTCTCTGATGCCCTCCAGGCCAACGCCAAGTCTATCCAGGCCCGTACCTCTTCCAAGAGAACCAACGACCCCAAGGTCAAGGAGAGACAGAGTGCTGTCACCCCAGAAATGCACAAGCGCAAGTCTGAATTCCCTGCCCGTATCTCCGTCCAGCAGAAGGAACTCAACCTCCCCATGTTCCCCACCACCACTATCGGATCTTTCCCCCAGACCTCTCAAATCCGTGTCGAGCGAGCCAGATTCACCAAGGGTGAGATCACCGCTGAGGAGTACGAGAAGTTCATTGAGAAGGAGATCCAAGACGTTGTCAAGATCCAGGAGGAGCTCGACTTGGACGTCTTCGTCCACGGTGAGCCAGAGCGTAACGACATGGTCCAATACTTCGGTGAGCGTTTGACCGGTTACGTCTTCACCACCCACGCTTGGGTCCAGAGTTACGGTTCCCGATGTGTCCGTCCACCAATCATCGTTGGTGACATCTCTCGCCCAGCTCCCATGTCCGTCAAGGAGTCCAAGTATGCCGCTTCTATCTCCAAGAAGCCAATGAAGGGTATGCTCACTGGTCCCATCACTTGTCTCCGATGGTCTTTCCCCCGTGACGATGTCCACCAGTCCGTCCAGGCCCAACAGCTTGCCCTTGCCCTCCGTGACGAGGTTATTGACCTCGAGGCTGCTGGTATTTTCGTCATCCAAGTCGATGAGCCTGCCCTCCGTGAGGGTCTCCCTCTCCGTGCCGGACCTGCTCGTGACGCCTACCTCAAGTGGGCCGTCGAGTCTTTCCGCCTCGCCACCTCCGGCGTTGCTGACGGCACCCAGATCCACTCTCACTTCTGCTACTCCGAGTTCCAGGACTTCTTCCACGCCATTGCTGCCCTCGACGCTGATGTCCTCAGTATCGAAAACAGCAAGAGTGACGCTAAGCTCCTCAAGGTCTTCGTCGACGAGGCTTACCCCCGTCACATCGGCCCAGGTGTCTACGACATCCACTCTCCCCGTGTCCCCAGCGAGGATGAGATCAAGGCCCGTATTGAAGAGATGCTTCAGTACCTCCGACCAGATCAACTCTGGATCGACCCTGACTGTGGTTTGAAGACCCGCAAATGGCCCGAGACCAAGGCTGCCCTTGTCAACATGGTCAACGCCGCCAAGTTCTACCGCCAAAAGTACTCCAAATAGAGTGCTCCTAATGGCCACAAGTCAGTATGACGAAAAATAAAAAAAATTCACGAAAAATAATGAAAAAAAGGCACAATGTTTCAACATGCATAGCGGATATTCGGGCAGGCTGGTAGTGGAATGGAAATGGTTTTCTCTTTGAATTACAAAAATACCCACGATCTCAACATCGGCGTTAGTTCATGAGATCTTAGCTTATTTCCATCTAATTGTTTTTTTTTTCTTTTTCAACCTCATGACTTTCTCCTTGTTTATTTTTACCCCCCATGTTAATAGAGAATTTCAAAAAATTGCTCGGCTTTTTTTATGTTATTCGAGGAGTCCCCTTAACGGTCCCTACGGTATCAATTATTAATAAAAAAGCATTATTCAACATTTCAACTCACGTTTTTATAACTCTCATAGTATTCTTGCTAGTTAGTAGATTCCTCTATCGTGGTGAATACTCGTTTTCTTCACAACCATTTGCAGTATGGAACAAACGCTCCCCTTGAGCCCACTGCCTGCGCACCAAAGCGCTCAGTATACCAGGCCCTTCCCCAGCGAGCGCGAACCGCCGTAGTTGCCATGATATTCACGAACGTCAACAACGCTGGGAATGGGAATGGTAAGCCACATGTAGTTGTCAGAAATTTAGCGATTGGCGCGTAAAATGGCATTAGAGGTACTACGGCCACCAATGACGTCGACTCCACGACAGGCGTTGAGCTGAAGGTCGTGAGTGATAGCACAATAAGCAGGAAACCCGACCATTCAATCCACTCCAACGCATAATGTGGGAAGAGTATCGAGGAAAAATATCCCTCCGCCGGAGGAAGGACGTAAACCTTCTCATATATCGATTTACCAGCCGCGCTTGCGCTCACGTTCGCGATTCCCTTCGTTTGCTGCCTTTGTCTCCTGTGCGCTTCCTCCTTGCGTAGCTCGAATAGCGTGTTTTCAGACTGAATGTTTCCGTACATTCCAACCAGGAAGAGCGCGAGGCCAACGTATGGTACGTACGCCATGTATCCAGTCATCTCTGGCGCAGAAACGGTCGTCGCATCGTACAGAACGCCTGGCGCATCAGCGGTACCAGCAGTGGTCATGAATGTTTTATATCCAAGTAGCCAGAACGCCAAACAGCTTGAGCTGATGTAGTGGAAGCCTACTGCGAAAAGTACGATTTCGATATGGATAGGTGACATGCTTGGTGCGAGGAAGAGGGGCGTTATGATCGCTCGGTTGACGTAGTGAAGCACATAGATCACAGCGATGACTTTATGCCATGTCGATAGGCCGGAAAAGCCACTGCCTTGATCGGATGTTGAGAGGATGTAGATGAAGTTTATCATTCCGGTGCTTTCCATTATACACCATGTATACCGACCGGGGAGGTTGAGGAAGGATTTAGACAAGGAGGTTTTGCCTTGAGGATAGTACGGGGTTATCATCTGGATGAGTGGGATCTGGAATAGATATTTATGTCAGTATGTTGTTACTATGGCCAAGCTGGGGGGAGGGGATCTCACGAGGAGGAAATACTGGAAGACGGTTAGCAGGACTGTGTATGCTGGTTGAGTAACGGGGAAGAAATCCGCGCGTGGAGGAAGGGAGTCAACCCATCCTGCCACGGAGTCCCTTATTGCGTCCATCGTGCTGAGTGTGTGAAGCGTAGAAGTTTTCGTTGACGTCTGAGGCTCGAGGCTGGAGTTGTTGTTGACTTCGTAGATGGGCCATAAAGCGCTTAGACTCAATTGAGTTTGGCGTGTGGATCCTACCCCTGACTAAAAAAATAGTTCGCTGGGAGCTTAACAGTAAAACAACATCCATATCTACGTACTGATGGAGCACAAAGGCGATTCTAGTTGAGAGTGTCCAGGGTTGTACCATTTGATGTAGAACGTTAAAGCATATGGTTCTGGTCCTATTGTAAAGAACACTAGTCAAACTCCCGAGAGGAAACCAAGTCAAGCCTGTCAAACGGCGTGGCGAATCGAGTAAACAAACATAAATCTATACAATTGTCTACGTCGTCTCTAACCAGGGCCGGTCTCCATTTTATCGCCGTTCTTGACGGAGTCTTTCTCCAGCCTCGCGGCCTTTTTCTCCGCCCTGAACGCTTCGATTTTCGCTTTCATCTCGGTATCTAATTGGACGAATGATTAGCGAACTATATCACGGAGTAACAGTCGTGATAGCGACTCACCTGGAACTACGTCCTCAATCTTCAGAGCGGCACGGTTGAACGGATCATTAGGATCACTGAGAAGATGAGACCGGATGGTTGACCTGTCAATTGTCACCTTTGAACTCGGCAGGATAACAGGGTCTTCCATGAGCGTGCACATCAGAGGATCTAAGAAAACGAATTAAGTTAGCAAACAGATTAAACCTCTCAACGCTACGCCCAAGCATTAAACACGAACCTAAGAATTCATCTGGAATTTCTCCTAGATCCTCCTCCGCACGGTCATCCTCCTCCTTAGCCATCTTCACTGCAGCCCGTAGTTGGTCCCATTTAGCCAAATCTTCAGGGGATTTCAGGGCAAATTTCTTAAGAATTTCGGCAGCCTTTTCAAAATTCGCTGGCTTGTACGATCGTCCATCCCGAGCAATTGCTAGGATGAAACTTTCTTTGCCCATCAAGTTCAGGTAAACGTCGGTGATCTCATTCAACATATTACGAGGGCTGAAGCCATATTCAGCTAGGTTGTCCACGCGCAGGTTCGCGCTCTTTGGGCCGACCATGGCATCGAGGTTATAGTTTATCATATCAGCTAGACGCTGCACAATTTCTTTCATTGTGAATGAATCGGCCAGTGCCTCGGTAAAGAGCTTAAGCATTGCCACTGTTTCGTTAGTTAGTTGCATGGTTGCTTTTGCCCTGCGTTTCTCAGTTGCTAGGAGCTCTTCCTTTTGTTGTCGAGTGGTCTCGTCCATTGAACCCCCGTCCCGATTCAACTCCTCTTGTGTGTCATGGATCTTGAGGAATGAACTAAACGACTCGTCGAGGATATATGTTACATCATTGAGAAGAAGGTTTACGAACTGGACAAAGAAATCCAAGTTTTTCTTCGCTTCAGTAGATAGCTTCTCTCGGTAGACTTGGTTTGGCCAAATGCACTTGATAATCTGGAATATCTCGTATCGGATGTTGAACTTATCGCTGAATTGCGTGTGGGTGCCCGTAAATTCCGCCTCGATGTAGAATGTCATTAGGCCATGAAGAAGGTGGTTTAGGGCGAATGGCATGGAGTTTAAGATGTCAACAAGGACTCCTCTTCCGCCGCTTCGACGAGACAAGGTACCATAGAAAAGGATGGATACTAAGCCAGATTTCAGGAATGGGTTCTTGATATAGTTGGAGCTTTGTAGGAGAGTGATGCATAGCATTATCACCTCATCTCCCTGCGTGGAAGTGACGATTTGCGGCATGTTCAGCATTATGAACTTGAAATTGCTGATTACATCTTCAAGAAAGTATTCTGGAAGGCATTTCAGAGCTTCAGATTGTTGCTCTGGTAATGGCAGCTTAATTGGCTCCTTCGGGAAATTGCGGCCAGATATCAAACGCAGCAACCAGACGACCACGTATCTCATGAATTGCATAGAGCGGGATTGCCAAATTTCATCAAATAGTATCCCCTGGAGAGCATATTGAAAAGCTATGCCTAGGTCAAGTCGGTCCTTGTACTTCTTCAGCGCTTCCTCGAACATCCGCAGCTGCGGAGGGTTAGAAATCCATCGATGCCTCTCAAGTTCAAAACGGTCGATTTGCGTCTGCATATCTCTCAGGTGCCTATCAAGATCACTGAGCTTTGAGGTTAATGACTCACTGCCGTAGTGGTGAGCAGCGACGGTCAAGAAAAATATTTCTGTGATGAAATTTGATGCCCCATCCGCCGTCTTGTCATAGAATGCATCTGAGGTTTCCTGGTCGGCGTTCAATTTCGTTTCATCCCTCATCTGTATTCTTGGTTTCCGCTGGAGATATTCCAGCTCTATCCTGTCAATCTAAGGAGAGTTAGTTAAAGGTGAAGGACATTCCGTATGGACCAAAAAGCATACCTTGGTAAAAGCGGCATCCATAAACGGCTCACAAAGCTGGTCAAGACAGGTAGTAATGTTGAACATAAATCCATCAGAGGATACTCGTGTAGGATCTACATTGAGGGCTCTCCGTTTGTGGTTGGCATTCAATGCCGCTGCAAACCAATCTAAAACCTGTTCTCGTGCAGATTTTGAAGCTCTAATGAGCTGGTTGATGATATCCAATAACTCGCTCTGTAGCAGTTGCTGTGTCATCCTCAGTGACCTCTGAGCGTTTAGAATAAAGTGTTGATCTCGAGTCTTGGGGCTCGAAAAATATTTAAGTGTTACGTCGCGATGTAGTGGAGAGAGTGCAAACCACGGGCCTAGAAGTGTTATTTGTTCAAAGGCAGAAGGTAGGGCCAACAGGTTGAACTTGGGTGATTCCGTAATAGCAGTTGCTATTGCTGGGTAGCGGACGAGGTTACGTAGTGCCTGCATGGGAGATAATAAGTCAGGTATCCATATCAACAACCATTGTGTAGTCTTGCTTAGTCTCTCACCTTCATATAAGGCAGATAATCGTCATCGATGGTAAGCTTCGAAAGATCCTGACTCATCTTTTCGACAGCTGTAATAAAAGCTGGCATAATCGTGTCATCTTCTTCTGTTCGTTTTAGAGCCTCCAGGATAAATTCTTGACCAAGGCCCTGGTCATCATCCGGGTCGAGGAGAAGATGTGGCTTAAGCGGGGCAGGTGGAGGGAATTCGACTCTTTCGGACTTGTCAGTGTAGCCCTTTTTGGCGTTAATGAAAGGAATACTAGTACATACCCGAACATTTCGGGCATCGTTGCTGCGAATATACAGTAGCCCATGCATAACCTTCTGGCTTCCAGAACGATGTCATATTTTGGATCACCAACTGCGTGTTTCTTAAAGCCTTTGATTAGAGTGTTTATTCTCTTCCAACATGGCAGTAGGTATGATAGAGGTTTTTGGTTGTCCGTCTGAGAAGCCGCTTCAAGTAAAGCCTGGTCTAGAACGGCGGTGCTCATGCGAACTGGGGCGCCATCTTCTTCAAGATCTCGTCGCACTCCGCTCACGTACGTGAGTTTCTGGCCGTTTACATCTGTTCGACGATCCTCTTGCAGGCTGATCCTGAATATATTGCATAGTGTCCGATTTTCAAACTCTTCAATAGTCTCTGGGGGTCTTGAAGCTTTGGCTGCCGAGCCTAGGTTTCCCGCTTGAGTAATTCTAATCCGTTTCATATCTGAGGGTTGGTTGGAAGGGTCCGGGTGTGTCCCTGATTCTGTTCCGCTGGAGGAACTAGGCTGCGGTTGTTGCTGTTGCCGTGGGGTTGAAGCGGACGAGGCGGGCTGTGAAGGAGTTTGGGACTCATTTTGCGGCGATGAAGAAGAACTTGTAGCTTGAGAAGCAAGCTTCGCCAGCCGCTTGTTGCGGATCTAGGACAGTCAGTGAGCTTCTGTCTCGGTGAATGGCATCTAGGAATCACAATATAGGGCTATGGCGGGCAAGCTTTACCTGATCTGCGTCCATATCGTCCATGGCTAAAGCAGCTCTAGAAGGTGGGCGGTTCCTCTCTCTGACGCGGAGTTATAATAGTCTATAACACTGCAGCATTTATTTCACAGTAGCATGAAGATGGAATCCCTTGTCAACTTGATGTCTTGTAGTGGAAGCTCGCGCCGTTTACATCGTCATAAATGTGATTAGATAAGCCTAGGCTTCAACGCCCACCTAAGCCTCAAACTATGATAAACGCAGACGAGGAGATACAGCAGAGGAAGTGGGTTAAAAGGTGTTATATAGTGATAATCATATAGTGATAGGCTTGATGAACTATTATACCTTCCGGGTTAACATGGAAAAATCTTCTTAAGAAATGTCTAGAGATGCAATACTAGAGTTGGGGAGAAATATATATAAGCATTTCATAGAGAATACACAGACAGCTCAAGGCAAATCGAGAATAAGATTCTGGCCATATAGACAAAAAAGGAGAATGCACCGAAGGCGGTATGTGCAGGAAACCGTTGGCTCATGTTCTTGATGCCCTCCCCATCAGCACTTGGGATATTAAAAGTAATAAATGCACAGTCGCAAAAACGCCCAGAACCTCTTTCAGCATGAAAATAATGGCTGTCTATTCGTATCAGGTTATAAAAAAGGAAGAAGAAGGTAAAAGTCAGTAATACGTGAGTCGAGCGTCAGATTAGTACCCAAGTTCAGCCGAGTGCCTTTAGCTTCGCACAGCTCTTCAGCTCTAGGTCTTGTGCTTCCCTCATCTTCTCCACGTCTGGGAAAAACCAGCCTTGTGCGTCTTGGACTAAGCGGTCACGATAATTTATCTCGGCCTGGCATTCGTGTCGTAGATTAGAAACGTAGTCGACTTCGATTCTCTGATCTAGTTGATGAAGCTTGCGCGGACTGTAGTCTTCGATATCTGACGGGTTAAGGAAGTACTTAAGTTTGAGTTTGGGCGTCATTCGTTGGAGGGTGTGTGGTGGAGCGGGAGTGTGAAGTCGGAAGGCGGGTGTAGAAGGTGTAGTGCTGCCGAACAGGTTGGAGAGGAAAGGAAGGATAAAAAGTAGGAGTAGTGGGAGGAACTGTGATAGTGAAGCGACACCCGGGGGAGTTTGAGAAGGCTCCGGCTGGTTTGAATCTCTCGGGCGTCTTCGTGGTCGAGATCCTCCAAATTGATGCACGCGGAAACCAGGGCCACCACCCATATTGAAAACGAATTGCGGGCCACCGTCAAAAATGCCACCTCCTAAAGCTCTCATTAGCATACTGGACCTTCAACTGATACTCTAGCATCTGGGGTCATACCGAACGGCCCGAATCCTCCGCCAGCAGCTCCACCAAAGAATCGATTAAACAGCTCCTCCGGAGAGATTTCCTCTTCATACGCATATCGCTGTCCAGGATGCGGCTGGAAGCCTCCAAATCCACTGAAAGGCGAAGATGTCGACGCTCCGGCGTTAAATCTGTTTTCTGGATCGCCACCAAACTTGTCATATTTGGACTTCTTGTCTGCATCGGATAATATCTGGAACGCCCTCGATACCACTATACTCGTTGTTCCCGAATTAGAGCATGATCTCAGGGACCCCTCGGACGGTGTCTAAAGGGCAAATATAATCAATAGGCGCATACTTACTCTTAAATGCTTCATCCGCGCCGTCATATCCATTCTTGTCTGGGTGGGTCAATAAGCTGAGCTTCCGATAAGCCTTCTTAATCTCTCCATCTGTCGCGGTTTTCTCAACAGCCAAAATTTCATAAAATGCTGTGACCGAGCACTTCCGTACTCGTAGTACTGCCGCCTTCTGCTCTGGAGTGTACTTTCGATCTTGGTTCCCTTGGTTATGCTGGCGGGAGTGTGCGCCGCTGGACTTTGTATCCGCGCCGGAAGCGGTGGCTGAAGGCATGTCTGAGTCGTTCCGTAGGTTTCAAGTCGTATGGCGTCCTAAGAAGCGAGCTCCTGGGTATACGCCAGGCGGGGAACAAGGAGACAGGGTTCGGAGCTCGAGGGGAGTGCTGGAGTTCACGGGCGAGGCTTGGAGTCGTCAGGGCCGTTTAGCTAAAGTGGAAAAATGGCGTAGATCGAGCAACACTCAGGACATATCCTGATAAGCAAAAACGGGACGTAGACGATGGCCTTTGGATTCGCGATATCAAACCTCCAAAAAACGTCCGGATGGCGGGCTTTCGTTTCCTCGATTCCTCGATTCCTCGATTAATTCATTTCGTTCTGGCCAGAAAGTTGAGATATCACGTGATGCGAAAGCTGACCAAGATTTTTCCTTGACCATAAACATCGAAACATCGAAAACGCCGACGATATCAGACATCAATCACTTCACTCAAGACGCCAAAGCATCGAGATTGCACCTGGTGATAGCAATTGGACTGAAGACGCTTAATTTGGACACCACCGCAACTTAATACCCGCAGTCTGCTTGACTTCCGTGAAGCAGAGCCCTCCGATAACTACAAAGGAGCTGCGTTGCCACGATATAAGCCATGGCTCGAGAACTCGAAACTTCAACAGCTGCAAAGCCGAAGCAGTCACTGGCTCAATATGCTCGTGCATGGGGAGGTACTCGGTTCCAAGCCAGCCCCCCGAAAGACGTCGTATTTAAAATAGCTTTAACAGCTAGTTGATCCATGAAGCTCACTAACAACTACTGAACTAAATCGCAAATAGAATCGCCTTTCCCGCCGACATTGCTTGCCACATTTGTGACCGCACTCCATTTACGCCCTCTCCAGCCGCTGCCTATGTTATTCCCGCCTATACTACTGCTCACAACCTACATGAATCTGTCAGGCTACAAGAAGGATGCTGCTGGTGCCAGCGCTGCGTGGTCCGGTTTATATATTCTACTGGCAGGGAGGAGGAAGCAGGCGTTTATGAAGAAATGGACTGCCAGAGGGGCAGTGAGGGGTGCTGCTATGGGTATCGGTTTGGTGAACTTGATTAGTGGAGGGATGGTATATGTGCTTGGGACAAGAGCAGACGAAGAGTAAATAACGACATCCTTGAGGTTGATAAGGAGGCTGGTGTGCGATAACTGGATGACATTTTGTAAAAATATATATTGTATATGGAGGTATGATAACATTCGTATAAATGTCATCTCCCGTCAGTATAAAGCTCATGATCCACGATATACTGATATATCCGCGGTGTGACGAGTTTAGAAAGCAGGTTCAGGTCTTCCTGAGAGGCATCTCTTGCGGTGGTAGAGCTCACCGGCTCTCTATCAACATCGTTACTCTCTACCAGCTCAATGCGGTCTGCCCATTCCCTCTTAGCACCGAGCTTCTCTGCTGCCCCTTTAGCCAGGTTAGCAAGGAATGCCTGCTGCTCGTCCCTATCTCCCCAGCTAGCATCAGGCCGTAGCATTACCCTGAGCCTGTGAAGGTTGAAGAAAGCGTCAAGGACACCCAGATTCTCAGCAGGATAATATCTGGGTTCAAAAATCCGGACCAGAGTATCGTATCCTGTCAAATGGACTTGCTCGACCTCCTGAGGGTAGACACCTCCGTTACCTGTTGCAATGGCCACTGCTTTATCGACAAAGTACGGACGTTTTGTAACTCCAATATCGATAGCAAGACCATCGTCTTGGGCGATATCTTTAGATATAGACTCCTGGAGGTCTTCCGCAGCCAGTCGCATCATGACGAGCCGGTCTTCAAACAACGCCGGCTTTGGCTGCTTATCTGCATTTTGGATGGCCAGCAGCAGTAGCAACCTCGACGGCGTAGAACCCTTGGTATGTGCTGCTCTCAGTGCGGATGTTACCATCTGCGCATGCGCGATAGTAGGCGGGTTGAACGACGAGTCCAAGACGTAGAGGTTTTCTGGCTGAGAATTAGAGCCTTTGCCTGAAGATACAGTGTCCAGCAGCTGAAAATAGCCCGAGCCAGCGCTGAACTCCTGCAGAGATGATCTATACCGCGAGCGAAGCTGCTCTAGGGGTACAGTCTGTGCAGCCATACCTGCGACGCCGATAGAGCGAGGTATAAAGATCGGTGTACAGCGGAATAAAGACGGTGTCAAGCCATGCATCGACCCTGATCTTCAGATATCAGTTGTTGTGACGTCTTCGTTGCACCAACTTCAACTTCGCCAACGCCGCCTCTTTCACGAGGCTTGAGCCACAGCCACAGCCAGCGTCTATTTATATTTTGTTTCGGAGTTTCAGACCGTGGGAGGCTGCACTGTCAGGATCATCCCAGGCGCAATCCTCGCCTCTGCTGTGAACCAAGGCGTTATGCGAGTCAACTCCCGTATCTTCGGACCGATGAAACTAGGGAACCAGAGAAGCTGGACACGATAACGACAGGATCGACCATCAGGGCCGATCAAAATCCTCGATCGACAGGGCGGCGCCGAGGATGTTTCCACCGCAAGCGTCTATCTGCCGTGAGATCGCGCGGCACGGAGGTCTGTCTCTACGTTCGGAGCATCTGAAGAACAGGCAGCGCGGAGGTTGGTTACAGAAAAGGGGCTGAGATGGCACGGCTACGACAAAGGACTCTCTATCGCGGATGAGACTATCGGGCAGCAGACCCGGAGTACGGAGTAGTTGTTATATGTTGCTACAGTATGAAAAATCCTTGATGGATACCCAATATCGCCCAGGACCATGGCCGGTTGTTATATCTGTTGTATCCAACAAGCCACGTCAACAGCGCCCTCCTCCGCATCGGTTCTCCGGGCTCGTACTGGGACTGCGAGGCTGTGACCACCAGGCTAGATCGTTTCACCTGCACGCTCCTAGGATCAAGCCACCGGTGCCTCGCGGGAGGCGTCGAAGGGTATAGAATTTTTCACCTTCCTCTCTGGTGTCACACACGCCGTTGCGACTCAAGTTTGCTGTCTGGCGCCGATGCAAGAATACTCCGGAGATTTATATTCATTGCCACGATAGTGCAGGGCTTTATTTGCGGCTGGATTGCCCGATTACGATTACCAATTTCATTTCAACCGCCAGATCCTATTTGCCACGAAGTTGGGAAGGCAGTTTTGGCAAACGAGAAAAAGAAACGAAGACCAAGCACGGCCAGTGCTTATTATAGGCGTGCGGTGCAGAGTCTATATGTAACGAGCTATGTTCTGCCCAAGGCCGACGGTGCGTTTCAGATATTTATCTCACGCTACGTCAGATCTTAGCCAGACACCGGATAGAGCAATATTAGCGACAGCAACGAGAAATGCGCAGAAACGCCATATCTCAAACGGATTCGACCGCTTGTGCTCCTGGGCCTCTGGGTGTACGTGCATGGTTTAATTTAAAGAAGATATCTCGTTGCCGCCCTTGAAGCGGCCTGGACAAGGCAAACCTCCTTCTCTCCACCAGTCGGGGGCCTTTGGTTTTTATACAGTGGAGCGTCGGCGTTCCACCACCACCCGCTTCGCAGCACTGATGTATAAGTGGCTGTTGGGTTACGGCCCTTGCATAAACAACTCACGATTTTAATCTTAACAAGACGGTGTGCCAAAGCAAAAATGAATACGGCTGTGGCGGCGCTGATTTGCCCAGCTTACTGCGTGATGATATGACGGCTCCGTACCGGCGCGTGAATACCTCGCATGAATGGCTGAAGGCACCACGGCGTACAGAAATTAAAATTGACAACAAGCAGATCCTACTTGGTCCCGCCCAAAGGTTTCAGTGAGAATCGAGCCGAGGAAAATTTAGGGTTGGCTGTAACCCTCCTGGACATAGTCTGGCCTTGCCTTTGCTCGTGGAAGCCTCCACTGGGACGAGTCTGTTTGGCTCTTTCATGCAAGGAACAAGATAAACGTCGTGATACGCAAACTCTTAATTGGTCGAGTATGGGCGCAGTGGAGCGGCCGGGCATCAGCTCGAACGAGACAGGACGACGGGAAGGCATGGCGAGAGAGGCATTGAACTGCCACACCAGGGTTCCAGGCAGGGGGTGTCATGTTTATGGGTACCGGAAAAAGACCGCCCAAGCCGGGAGGAGAAAAAGGCCCCGGTTCCTGATCCTATCAGTCTTCCCCCTGACGGGCCCTGAGTTAAATCCGCCTTTATATACATACACCCGCACACCCCTCGCTCTTTTATATACTCTTTTCCCAGTCGTCGTTTTGGTCGTTCAGTCTCTCATTATCCCTGGCAGAGCCATACCCTCATTTTTGCTCCATCTAGCCTCTTCTCTCACTCTTGAGAAAGTGCACCACATTCTTTTAACAGGAGGCCCCCCAGACGAATTGATTTCGTCGACAACCCTCATTCTTGAACATATTTCGACCGATATCCGACAATCTTTGTCCAGAACAGCTTTTCCTCAGCAACTATGCATTTCTTTACCAAGACCTCTATCGCCCTTACTGTGGCACTCGCGGCTTTCTCTGATGCGGCCTCCCACGGACGCCACAGATACCGCCATTTCAACCGCCAGGTCGGCACTGCCCCCAGTGTGCCATTGAGCACTGGCTACCCTTCACCAACTGGCGCGGTTCCAGAGCCCCCAGTTCAAAAGCCAGTCGACTCTTCCTCGGCCGGAATCACCTCGATCGTTGTCCCGACTGGAACGGGAACCAACCCCAAGCCAACTCAGTACCCAAGTGTTGTTGAAGTCACATCGACTGTAACTTACATTGTCGGCTCTGGACCACGCGCCAGTGTCACGACATACACTTTCACGACCACTGCACCGCTAGCTATTGAGACTCAAACCCTCATTCCTGTAAGTTGGAAATTGTAACTTCCTAGCTGAGTGCGTTGGCTAACATTACAATGTAGACTCCCGCCGGCCCATCAAAGAATAACGAGCCAACTGAATACCAAACCACCACCATCTCAAGCACTTCCACCACCACCTCTTGGGTCACCGTCAGCTCCTCCTGCACCACCTCCGCTGCAGGCGGCTCAGGAAGTGCCCCAACCGACGTTCCAAAGGGCCCATCTGGCGGCTCCGGCCCAGTTGGTGGCCCAGGTGCTGATTCTTGCCCTGCCCCTGTCACCGTTACCGTTACACAGGCAACTGCCACTGTTACTGAGACAGTTACTGTCGTATGTCCCTATCCCTCCTGAAGTAAATCAGGAAAACGTTTACTAACTTGTAACAATTAGAACCCTCAAGCCCCAGAGCAAACCAGCGGCCAAAGCCAGGGTGGAAACGCCCCTGCTCCCACCCACGACGCACCAGTTGTGAAGGCTCCTGAGGCTTCCCACTCCAAGCACCACAAGCCCACCCACTCCAAGCACGGCAAGCCATCCACCGATGCTCCATACCCAACCCCTAGCAACGGTATGCCTGTCCCCCATGGCACCGGCACCGGCACCTACCACTACCCAGCTGCCACTCCCAGCGGATTTTAGGGGAAGTCACTAGAGATTTGATATTATGACGGCTTGGGGTTATAAGGAGAATTTTAAGAACACTTTCTACGTTGCATGGTTTACGCAACAATGGGCTATTTCCGTGGTCTGGCTTGCTTTTATTTTATTTTTTTGACTTTCACTTCGATGTTTGGTTGACACCAGACCCTTTTATAACTTCTTCTTCTACTTCTTCTTCTTCTTCAGAATCATGTCTTAGATTATTTGATTTCTGGCTTTTTATGATTAGATATCCCTTTCAGAGTGAGGCGAAAATGGCTGAATCGCTATGCAGTAACTTTTCAGTTGTTCTTTGCCATTCCAACCACGTGATGCCCTGTAAAAGCGAGTCGGCCAAATCATCAAGCTTCCCAATGTCAGCGACGTTGCTATTACCGTCGGCTGTTGAATTAGCTGATGTAGGTCGTTTCTTTGACCCTCGATTCCCGCAATTCCATTTTTCAAGGTATGCGTGTACAATATCCCTTGCGTGGCTATCCTCAACCAGGTCTAGATCCAAGGATACTTCTTGCTTTAGCCTTTCCACGACTCCGCCGCCGTCGATATTCGTATAGCAATCGGCAGCGCTGATGGATCGGGAAATACATCTCCCAATTAAATCGATTTTGGCCTTCTTGCCTTCCTTTGAGCTGACCCTCTTTTTCTTTGGCTCCGGCGTTGAGTCTTCCTTTATCTCGCCGTTTGTCCAATATCTTACCACCCTCTGTGGGTCGACACCTTGAACAAACACGTTGCCGAATTCCTTTTTCGCCTGTCGCTGTAATGTATGGAGTACAGCATAAAGCATGCCTTCAAACACGCCAACGCGAATAGTCCATTCCTGAACCGCACTGCCGCCTCCCGATCGGAATCGCTGCCGCTCAATTAGGACGTGTGTCGGTTTGTACGTTTCCAAAAGGGACGTGATTAGTGTGTAGGCGTGTGAGGCGTATAAATATGGTGCAAAGTGTTCTTTGCTTTCCACCTCTGCATTCCCTTCTTCGTTACTCGGGCATGGTAAAGCTCTCCTTAGCCCGCCTAGTTTTGAAATGGGTATTGTCGCAGGGTCTTTCTCGATATCATATCTTGGGAAGGCAGATATCGCAAGTCGATCCCACGCATTCAAACGTATTTTAGAGGCTGTGAGTGGCATTGATACGTTTCCATCCAAATCCCGAACGCTGGCTTCAGTGGCCGTTCGAGGGGAAACCAGTAAATGCGCATAAGCCAAATTTCGAATTCCCATATCGATGCTCAAAATGCTCATTGGCTTCGCGTGTCTTTCCTGCAGTCTTGACGCGACCAAGTCGCGCTTCGAAATAGAGTCATCTTCGTACGGTTGAGGATTGTACTTTTGGAATGTCTCAATTAACCGATTGGTTAGGTCTTTTTTGGTTCCTGATGATAATATCCCAGTTGAAAGCGCTATCTTTTGCAATTGTCGAAGTTTGAGAGAGCTAAGTCTGGTGACGACGGCTGGCATAGCTCACTCTGTACAAGAGGTAGCAGATGTATTGTAGGGCGGAGATGGGATATAATACGTATTCGCGTAACTTGGAGCCCAAACATAAGGGAAGATAACTATGACATATCCCTCCTTGGACTGCTGTGCATAATTCTGATGAAAATCTGGTTAAGGGGATGATGTTAAGAAGTGAATGTGTAAAATTGCCAATTTATTTCGGGATCTTCAAGAAACTCTAGTTTTACGGAGTACACACAACTAGGCCTCACAGTAAACATAAAATAATATGAATATCAATATAAAAAAACCTCTTATTGTATATTCTACTATGGAGGTATATAAGAAGGAGATTGACAATAACTTATTTTCATTTTTTTCGTATCTTCCTGGCCCGTCTCTCGTAACTACTAAATTAAATCGCTTCTAAAGCGCCGCCAACAAAAGAAATAGCAAAAAGAAACAAAAGGAAAAAGTAAACAGGAAAATAAAACGCAGGGGGAACTAAGGAAAAAGTGCGCTTGAAACTCCGTATTTCGAATCCCATTATGAATCGCCAAATAACGAAGTAAAAAAAAAGAAGAAGAAAACTGGTCAGCAAACATAATATCGTAGCAGGGAGATGTAACCCAGAATAACAAGGAGGAAATGTGCGAGTATCAACAAAAAAGATAGTCTATGGTAAGTAGTAAATATGAAAGCGGGACAAGGAAAAACGTATATGCTTCAGGGCTGCAGAAGTAAACGCTGGATATGGGTGTAGCTCGAGCCGAGAGTAAAAATCTGAAACAAGAAGGACGTTACCGATGCGGTTTTTGGATAAGGCGTGAGTGGGTGACAGACGTTACTCCGTCGCGTACATTGTGCTCATATGGCTTCCAGGCGCAAACGATATCCCAGGTGCCTCGTGGAGGTATAATACAGGAGCCCAGACTCTCCAGTGCAGGACTCCGATATGAGCTAGACGCTTCGCTATGCCATCCACACTCACCAATAACTGTTGAGAGCATGGGATTTTCCTAACGTCGGGGTATTGCCTAGGGCGTTGATCCTCGGCCATCTCCAGTGGTGTCATCTGTAAGTATTTTTTAACATAAGCAAATGTAGCTTCCTCAAGATCCGCTTGGATTGAAAGGCTGAATTCGCGGGATTGACCAGTTGGAGAGGTGAAGAAGAATTCGAGATATTTCTCTACGCTGTGTAAAGTTTTGCCGTCTGGGAAGGTATTGTTCTTGTTGCTACCATCGAGAGAACAAAGGCTTTGTGCAATTTCCAGAGCAATTTGGCCTATGTTGCTTCGCCATTTGTCATTCGCATTCGGTGTGCTGGGGTCATATTTGCGAGCATCAAAATCGGCGGTGATGCTGTCAGGACAATTGTCAAGGATGCAACAGATGCGCGATGGAAGTGCGGCTTTTGCTTGCTGGTAGAAGGGGCTATGCCGGCCTTGTTCTATAGCAATTAGTTCAAACACTCGGGAGCATATTTCCAGTCCCATCAGGTCCTGTATATCTGCCCGGAGGAACCACAGTCGCTCGGCGTCAAACTCGAAAACATCCGGGAATTGTTTTGGGTGCTCAAATGGCACAAGGAGGGAGAACAGCCCCATAAAAAGGAGGGCTATTGGTGCGTAGCTTCCTCTAAGCTCGTGTTGTAAATAAGGGGACTTATACAACGGCTGGTGACAAATCTCCAGATACCACCTCCTTGCTCGTGATATGTCGATAGCATTTGCCGCCATTCTTTTCCTAAAGTCGCTCTGTAGAAACCGAACCGTATCATCTATCAGGATCACTCTAAATGCACGTATCTGATGATTCGCAACATCCTAAAGAATGCATGTTAGGTCACACCACAAACTGCTTACGATTATAAGGAAATGAAAATATACCAGTTTCATCGACTCTAGTGTGCCGAACATTGTTCTAAGCCCGTCCACCATTTTGTATGTATCCCCAGTTGCACATCCTTCGCTAATTTCCGCGACCATTTTATCTGCCCAGGGGTCTCTCATTGGTGCGCAGTGGGTTTTCAGCAAGGCGGCAAGCCATTTCGTGAGGTTGACCATATCTAGGACGCCCTTATGCACCTGTTGCAGGAGAAATGGTACATCCAAATTTTGCATTACGCTTTGCTGATCTCGCTCTGGAACTAGACTGCTTACGACATCTTTCAATGTCTCTAGCATCACTGGTAACCTTGGTTCGAAGACGCCTACTGAATCGCTAGGCATGCGCTTATGCCCTCCAGCAGTCTGATGGCTTGCCTGGCTAAAGGTCTGTTGCTTCTTGGTCGTGGAGTAGTAGCCATGCACGGAAATTTCCAGGGCTATGGCTTCCCAATAAGCCTCTGCCATCTTTCGTTTTTCATGCCCTTTCTCGCCAGCAATAGGTTGGAAATGGAGTTCACGGTCGAAGTTGACATCTACCCGTAAATTGATATTTCTCATGATGTGGTTCAGGTCGAGTTCGCTGAGAGTGCTTGTCCGAATTGGGGGTAGGCGTTCGGCATTCTGAAGTATCTTGATCTGACGTGCATCAAGTTGCATGCCTGCTGGAATCTGGATAACCATGGCTGGAACTGTCCCGTCGTCGTATCGCTCAAGCTCGATTTCGTCAGCCTCTTCAGTGGTTGATGCTTCCTGGGTACTAGTTTCTTCAAAAGCAGGGTATTGCAGCTCAGGGCGATGATGTGGGAAAGGGATTGGAGGTGGAGTTGGGGATGGCGGAAGAGAAGATCGTAGACCATTATACTGAGGTGACAAAGGGTGTTGTGATATTGCATGGTTGCTCATGGAAGAATCACCATTGTGGCGTTGACGGTGATGGCGAGAATGTGAAGTCTTCGGTTGCTCTCTCGAGTCTTGTTTTGGCACATTTTGGGAATCATTATTATTCATCCAAGAATGAGATAGGATGTAACCCGGATCTTCACTGTCCTTCCCGTGAGGCCGTGCCTTTGATGGGTTTGCCTTGTGTGGTGAATCCATCATCCTCACCCTTCACCCTCCGCCCTTCACTCAAACAGAACCTAAGAAGAAAGAAAAAAGATGGAAAATTCAAGAAGAATGTTCAAGGGAGTAACGGAGAAAGGAAGAGGTTGGAGAAAGATGAATAACGATACAACCACTCTCCCTTGCGCAGAAGCCAACTTCGCCCCTCAGACGATGACGTTTGAATTACTTTTTGTTTTGAGAAGGTAAAAAAGAAATGTATCCTTTCTTTTTTGTCACGATGAAGGATTTATTAGGGTCAATACCATTCGAAGGGTGTAAATGGTGTTGTTGTTCATGTCCGCCTCGATGAGTGATGCAATTAGAGTGCGTCGTTCATCGGGTTCGCGAGAATGAAGCGTCTCTATCAGCAAAGGAATAGAAGACGTAGAAGCCCTTGAGAGGGAAGCAATGACAGCGCGAGGGGAGGAGTCAGGCGAGCAAAGAAATTTTTGCTTTCAATGAGGAGAAGAGAAAAAGCAACAAAAGAGCCGGGTGCAGTTTACAGCGAAGCAGACTTGGGCATAGTATGTATGTATGGTTGGGCGACGGGCCGAGGGGGAAGGAAATCTGGCAAATAACCAATGAGTCCACGACTCAAGGCGAAGAGGATTCACGACAGCAATGGGATTTGTGTGCGTAGATGAATTGCTGAACGGGGTGGAGTCGGAAAGCTGGCGCCGCTTGCAGTCCTTGGTCATGTAATGCTGCTGCAGGAAGTGGTAAGGAGTCAAGAGGGAGTTTTAAGACATTAATTTCTGCCACGATTGCGCTGGCAGTTTTGTATAGGGCAAAGGCGAAAATTAAAAAGCAGTCTGGAGCTTATTCACGGTTCCGCAATTCCCTCCCTTTTGAACAAGGGATCTTCGCATCAAAAAGTGAGGCGAAGGCGCTAGAGTGGTTGGTCGGAGTTAAAAAAATGGCGAGGAATCCCCAGCAAATCAGCAAGCGGCGCCGGCATGCATGTATTAACAAAGGATTTTTTTCCAGCCATTGACACTCGCTCGAAAAGGTGAAAAAGATGGATTATTCCGTCAGTGGGAAGGAATTGATTGAGCTACCTTCGTTCATGTCGTGGTTGCAGGCGAATTGCGTGATGGTGAAACTATTCTCATGATCCGGATCCTACGATGAGGGTGATTCTTCGTACAATTGTGACCCTCTTCCGTAATTCGCTGTTGACTTGGGAATGGTCTTCAGCAACGCCTGCCTGACCCTGGATTCTCGCGGGCACAGCCTTGACTCGACATTACAAGCCTGTTTTTTCCTTTAGTACAGCGGACCGTGTGCGAAGTCAGGCTGCTGCAAGGCCCTGTTGAGGCGAATAAAGGGGACCTTGGAGGGCCTGCTATCACCCGGCATCGACGGTACCTCCGTGGAGAGGTGCGCCCGGCAAGGAGCCCCAAATGGACTTTCGCATCATGCGGTTTGCCGCCTGGGTGATATCATAGACCTGCGGATCAATGCCGTAGCCGTCATATTCTATTCCACAGCCTAACGCAAGGTATCTGATGGGCGCATCGAGGGTGATCGTTGGGAAAGAGAATAATGGAGTTCCACTTTCCCCAGCCTGTCCCAGTCGTCTCGTCTCCCTCCCATCGGCGAGGATGGCCCCCTCCTCAGGCCACCGGGGACGAGTGGTATTGGAAGGCATGCATGCGCGCCTTGTATTTGAAATTTTTTTTACTTTGGTAAACGAGGGCAGCCAGTCCCCTCATGCTTACCGTTTGTGTCTCCAAGAAAACGAAGATGCGGGCTGCACTGTGAATGGAAAACCAGTTTCAGCTAGATCACATTATTTTTGGTGGCATGAAGCATTTGCCCATTTGCCCTGCAAGCTCCTGGATGTAACAGCGATGGGCTTGTTGACGGGAACCTCCGTGTCAGGGTTGGATCTCGTACCACCCGTAGTATTTTGTACGGTATCTCGTGGTGTTACCCCTGTGATAAGCCTGTAGAACCAGCAAGGCCGTGAAGAATAGTCTGGCCCGCGAAAAACAGGGTGACTTCATCGAAGAATCATGCTCCTCGCGAGAGTCCATACTCTTGGAGTTCAAGATCGAGGATCTCCACCGCTGTATCCCTTGGTGCAATCGGCTCTTCAGGACCGAACATTGGCCGCTCTACTCCGTATCCTCATGCAAGACACGCTGGTCTGACAGTAGTAGGTAACGCGTTATCCATACTAGGGTAACGATCATTGCAGCTCCTCAAGCCACACAACGCACCAAGGTGGACGTTGGTGAACTATGCCATGGTCCTCAAACACGGCCCTGGCGGTTCATGAACCCCAAACCCGGGGAACCCATCACAACGTGGGCTTAAAAGTCGCGATGTCATGGGCTATTCGCTTCACTTTCAAACCCGCTGCAAAGTATATTATGGATTATCCGGCTATAGCGGTTCAACGAAAAGAGCGGTGACATGGGCAAGCTCGCCATTTCAGCCAAACAATACTAGCGCTGGAGGCGTATCCTCCAGCTCTGAGGGCGTCTGTCGTATAAATTGTATGGGATTGGAGGTGAGAGAGGAAGAAAGAAAAAAGCTGGAGGTCGAAGTCGTATTAATAATTGGCAGTAACTCAATGCGGTAATCTAGGGTTAGCTGTTTAGGGCATCATAAAGAGACGTCCCTCGACCTCGAGAACATTGCAATCCGACCTGCCAACCGCTTCAGATGGAATTATGGCGTTTGCCACTCGTATTTCCTGATAGAACCCTTGTTCGTCGGTTTTCACTCGGCTTGCTAACATTTTCCGTTTTCCAGATGGTGGGCTGGCCGCTGGAGCAAAGGACGAGTTAGTTACGATGGACGACGAAGATGTTTTGCCTATCACCGAGAGGCATCGAATCTCCTGCAGTTGGATCCTGTTGCATCAATGAGGTACTATGCATAGCGGGTAATCGACGGCTGTTGGCCTGCGAGGAACAAAGAGCCCCTCGTCCGTGGAGCAGTGGCCTGTACTACGTGTGGCCGGCTCTTCTTTCATAAAGCTCGAAAACATTGCCCTCAACTATAAAACATGCAGATCGACATGTTTATGCAATTTGTACAGTGTCTGAACCATTTGATCTTGAGAGTTAAATCCATTTCCGCAAACCCGAGGGCCTGAGGGCCTTTACTCCTATCCTTCAAGTTTATGAAGGAGCGTCTCTCTTTACTCTGTTTTTCCTATATATCGACAGACAAATGGACGCTGTTGGATCCGAGCGCGTTGGTTTATTCACTCGGATGGCTGATGTGATATCTCCTGAAAGAAATATTTCAAACAAACGCAGCTCGACTCCCCAATCAATAACTGCAAGTTTATTGATGTGTTGTTGACGGCCAAGTCCGACAGCAAGGCCTATCTATAACTTCCTTGTTCTTATACATAGCAATCTTCTTGATAGTGGATATCCCTGCGGCGCATGCCTCGAATAAGTCAGGAACCGTGACACCTCGACGCTTGTCCTAGCCCTCCGGCTCAGCATAAAGGGTTCTGTCAGGCCCTTAAATGGGTTTCTTTCCGCACCACTCTTCCCTGAAGATAGTTATTTTGCCGTGCTTTTAGCAACATCATCATCGGAGGTACAACGGTACTTTAGCTGCTGCTGCGTGGACTGGGCAATCATGATTGTCACGGCTCTATTATCCCTCCTCTCCCTGGCATGGGCTTCACCTACTCTTAACCCTCACGCGCAACCCATCGTATTACCTGAAAAGTCAAGTTTCAAGACTAGGCCACTGCCAGATGCCCCAGCTCTACCCCAAAACTGGGCCGGTCGACTTAATATCCCTGGGACGCCCGAGGGGAATTCGCTTTTCTTTTGGCTCTTTCCAACCGAGGATAAGGCCTATGATGACAACCTCATAAGTATGTTCTACTACCGTACATTATTGGATGCTTTCTAAATTCTTGTTCTCTTTAGTCTGGTTGAATGGCGGCCCAGGCTGTTCCTCGATTGTTGGAGCATTCCTTGAAAACGGGCCCTTGAAATTCTCAGGAAACTCTACGACCCCCGAGAGAAACCCGTATTCCTGGACTAAGCTTGGGCATGTTCTGTATATCGACCAGCCAGTGGGAACTGGTTTTGCATCTGAAAAGGTCCCCGTTTCCTCGAATAAACAAGTAATATCGGACCTATACAAATGGCTAGTTGATTTCGATACCGTTTTCGAACACATACTCCGCACGAAAAATGTGCACATCGTGGGCGAATCCTATGCAGGGATTTACGTTCCGTATATCGCCAATGAAATTATGAACCGCAAGGACGAGCTGCCGGTGAATTTAAAATCAATTTCTATTGGAGATGGGACGATTGGAACCAACACTGGAATGTCCTCCCTCGGAATCGTGGGATTCATTGAGGAACATGCCTCGAAGTTAAAAATACCTCAGGATATCATGCAGGCTCTCTCATTCGGTGATCATGCGTGTGGCTTCGATACTGTTCGCCAACAAGCAAAAGTATATCCACCCAAAGGCCCGTTTTATATCCCCGCAGGACCCAAACGCCTAAACACCGCAAGACCTGAGGTGGTATTACGGAGAGAGGTAGAGGCAAGCCTAGAAACATGCAACATCCACCCGGACACGCCTGAAAAAATCAAATTATCTATCTTTAACTCTACTTGCTATGGGCAGTGTGCAGTGTACGACACCACCGCAGATTATTTGAACACGCGGAAGTGTTTTAGCGTATACAATATCAACTACGACTGCAATACCCACAACCCTACCCCCGCGCTTGAAACATATTTTAGTCGGGCAGATGTACAGGCTGCATTGAACCTCATGCGTCCAATGGATAAGCTAACCCCATTCAAGTCTTGCAATCGCGACATTCTTGCAACACTCATGGCGCCTGCCAATCGACCAATTCCCCCATCCTACAATATTATCCCAGATCTTCTAACGACTCATAAACTGCCTGTCCATATCTACCAGGGACGTTTGGACCTGCTCATAAACCACGTTGGTGTTGAGATTACTATCCAGAACATGACTTGGAATGGAGCACAAGGGTTTCAGCAGTCGTTGCACTTCGAGTTTGACAGACAGAAGGATGCTAAACCGGTAGGGCTATGGAATGAAGAGCGAGGGCTTAGCTATCATTTGTTCCTCGAGGGCGGGCATCTTTTACCAGCGGATCTCCCGAAAGAGGTATTTCGATATGTCAAAAACGTTATTTTAAAGAATTGAGCGTTGAATGTCCTTACCATGGGGATATAAATATCTTGAGGCGTGAACTGTGTCTAATGTCTAATATTTTTATTTGGCTCATTGATTTGGGAATATAAACAACTGGGTTCAAGATTATTTCGGTAATTTGCTTCTGGTAGTCTTCAAATTTAAGTTACATTTTGACTATACAGAGTACTGCTAAAGATTCTGATGGATCTTCTTGTAAGTTTAATAGAGGTTTATGTTTATACCAACGTTTAAGAGCTACTCTCCCGCGTCTTACCTTCAAGGATAGGCAGGATAGACTGTGATCCGCCTTTGCTGCATTCAGTTTCACTAGTCTATAAGAATTACCTTAGGAAAGGAATAATAAAGACTGTGTAAATGTAGGATCGGGACCATGCAGGCGGCCATTGACAACATATCTCAGCTTTCCCAAACGCCCCTGTGCCCTTAACAACTCAGCAGTATTCGGAGCAAACAATTTCTACAAACTCAAGCAACCGGCAGAAGCTAACATGGAAATTTCAAATACGAGGGCTCATGCGTCACAAAAATGGATAAGCGACCGGCCCAGTTCCCCGTAAAACGAGTGTGGTTTAAGCCGGGGAAACAATATTGTTATGGCCATGGTTAATGGAAGTAGATGGTCAGATTCATATATACCCCCTAGTGTCAAGCAGTATGTAGGAAGTTGGTGGTTATAATTGTTTGCTTGCGTGGTATCCCGTCGTAGCATTGTTCATTAAATATAACCGACCCCTTTACCGACGATGGAGACTGATGAGTACGTAAGAAAAAGGAAAGAGTCGTCAGTTTAAACATTATGATCCATCATCATTCCCATAGACAAATAAAAAGGAAATAGTCGGATTAGAATAAAGACGAAAAGAAAATCGAAACGACATAAGACAGCAACTCGGCAACTCGCTGTGCAATATAACCGGGACCCCGTTTCATCCTAGACGACAAGCCAAAAGCAACGGTAAACAATCAACAGCGCTTTCTTGGAATCTTTTTGTTTTTCGCCATGCTATAACACCGCTGTTCCCAAAAATAAATGTGATAGGCCCAAATATAAACTGCGAGATGATAAATAAGACAGACAATTTTGTGAATTCTTGCTCGACGAGGGAAAATCATATGTGGATATAAGATATGAGAGATGGATGTAAATGATATGGTTGTTTCCATATTCACGGAGGTGAGGTTTAGGTCGTGATAAGTGCGGGTATGTTCGGGCTTGATGGTGTGTTTTGGGGGTATGAGAGTTATAGAGATCTAAGATCTAACTCTAGGATTGATTCTAGCGACGATAAAATAGCGGAGCAGTAGGAGCCATGGAGAGTAATAGATCTGCCCGTTGGAAGACATCCCCAGCGAACATCCGATCACTGGTTGCACTCGCTGGAATGGCAGTAGACGGTACGGTAGCTTGCGCCGCAGGGCCAAGGGCTGCACTCAATGGTGTAGCTGGCATGGTGGCTGATTGCGGGGAAGATCCACTAGCCAGGCTCGACTGCGATGCAATTGATGTGGAAGAGTTGGAGTAATGCAAGTTACCATTGGATTGGTGCTGAGATACCGCGTTCGACGGGTTTGAGGGATTCGAGGTGTGAAGCTCAGCAAGATATGACCAGGGAGAGGTATCGATCAGACGTCCAGCTTCTCGGATTGTCTTTTGTACTATTCGAAGAGTTGCAACGATTTCCGAAGGGAGGAGACAGAAAGTTTTGGCTTCGCGTATATCGAGAACCAATTCAACGAAAGTTTGTATAAATGTTTTGCAAAGATGCCAGAATTCACGCTGGTTCCGTAGCCCGCCACCAGGCTCTTTTAATTTCATATTGGACAACCGGCTGTCTAGAGCGTCAGCAACATCTACGCAGGAACGACAACGAATAAGGAGCTTTCGACATAGATTTCGGAGGTGTTGCGGAGCTCGAGATGCCTCTGCCGCTTCGAGGCATTGGGAGAATTGACGTGCAGCTAGCGGAACAGCTTGGAGTGCTGCCTTATATGCCGAGGAGAGTTGGATGAAGATTCTCTCAAAGATTCGATCTTCTTCTATTTCATCTAGACCGGTAATCGGGTTGATCCTGTTATTAACTGGAGTCGAAAGGATGTTGAACGATTCGCCGGATCGTGGTGTGTTCGCGATGGATGAAGTCCCGGATGAGTGTAAGAATGCATTAGACCTGCTGCTTGAGCGGCTTCTGCCTCCAATGGCGAGGGGTGGAACCGTTGGATGGTTCGAATGTGACGGTATGCCTGTCGGATGAGGAGCGAAAGGCGGCAGTGCAGTGGGGAAGGGCGCAAAAGGTGGCAGGTGTACAGTTGTTTCGCTTCGCAGTCGGCGAGTGGGCGGGTGCCTATCTCTTGTTGGCGTAACCGATGGTTCAGGTTCGCGTTCAGGTGTAAACCTGCTCATCGGCTGGTTGGTAGTGGTGATGGATAGTTTTTTGGCCGTTTTTGGTTTCCGAGGCTTTGGCTTCACGTTGAAAACGGCGCACGCATTGCGAAGCTCAATTAAACTGCCGTAGATCATAAGGAGGAGAGATCGGACATATTTCGGGTCGCTCAAGGCCACGGCTTTGGAAACATTAACACGGAGCTGGGTTCCAACGTGCGTATAAGCAGTGATGCAAGTTGCACATTCATGTTTGACGGCTTCGGTAACCCTTTTGGCAATCTCCTTATCCTGTAAATCTGCATCAGCGATACTTTGCAGCGCCTCATTAAGCTGATCCAGATGAGTTGTTGCATTGTAAAAGACAATTTCGAGGCTGCTTCGTCTGTATTCTTCAGCTTTAATCACGTTGATCAACGATGAAATGTGAGGGTGTATCTGGTAAAGGGCGTAGAGCACACTCCTTGCGGAAATTATCACAGGGTTTTTAGTTGTAGTTTTCACTCTTTGCTCCGGGAGGCTGGATAACCTATGAACGAATCCATCTTTCAGGCGTCTCCTATCCCTTGGACTGCTTGGACTAGACGAGTTACTGCCGTCATTCGGTATACCGCCGCGTTGAGATCGGAGGAGCGAGCCATGGCTCAATCCGCGTAGATGACTGTTTCTATAGGGCCGCATCTCGTCGAGGGTTCCAAGATCTGTGTTCTTTCTGCTGATCAGGCCCATCCGTTTGTTGCGCGATGCCGCCGAGCTCACAATAAACCCTTCACTATTGCTTCGATTCCGTTCACTAACGCTCGCTGAAGTGTTTGAACGATGTATGAGACCGCTTTGACCGGATGCCATCCTATGATGAGATCTCGTGGGTATAGGTGGTGGTCTTGACAAGGACGGCGACCTGGAGCCCGATGTGGACTCTGTCCCATTACTAGACCTGGGTATGACCGGAAAGCGATTCCCTCTCTTTGGCGGTTTGGGTGGCTCTGTCGTTTCGCTGTGAATCGTTGTCAGAAGTAGTTATATATGCGGGTTACCCCAGGAAGTAGATATAGTTACCTAGGGTCATGGTACTCAGGTTCAGGAGACGCCGCAGCCTGTCTGCTTTTTAGAAATCTTTTGAGCTCCGTGGTAATTGCGCTATCTTTTTCATTATCGGCCATATCCAGATGATTGACATCTGCTTCTCTGAGCTCTAAGACAGCTTTCAAGGAACTGTTAAGCGGGTTTCCGGACACCTTTATAACCTGCAATTTGCTCATGTCAGAGAGCTGGCTGGGGAGGTCCTCTAAGAAATTCTGCATGATAGAGAAGACCCGTAAAGAGGACAAGTTGCGGACTTCTTCTGGTAGTTTCGTGATTTTATTCCGGCTTAGGTCAAGGATTTCCAGGAACGTCAGACTGTAGACCTAGGCGGTGTTAATACGTGAACGCGGCCCATAGGAACAAAGTACAAAAAAACATACCACTCGCGGGAACTCCGTAAAGTTGTTTGCTCGTATATTGAGGTATCGAAGGTGAACACATTCTGAGAACCGGTTGGGGATCCTATCAATATGATTATTCGATAATGACAGCCTAAAAAGTGAATTGTTAGCATCTTGCTATCGGTATGCATTTATTGAATAGCGGGTAGTGGCATAAGGACAACCCGCGGCGGGCCGATATCCTTATTAATAGTCTCACCTCGCAACCTCATCCTTTATTATGTTGACCACCGCTTCTGGGACACGGGCAATGTTCGCGTGGCCCAGGTCGATCGTGAGCTTTGGTCGAACAACATCATCCACCGCCTCGCTCCCGGCCAAAGAGCGTCTTGTATCCTGAAGCCCGCTATCCACAGCTCGCTGGGCGAGCTCTATAATCAAATCTTCGGCCAGCAACTTCGACGGAGTCGACTTATGAGGTCTCGCAGCCACCTCATCGCGGACAGGAGGGCCATTATTCGGGGAGACCGTCCTGGTATATGCCGGATCCTTTATTTCATTCGAAGTATCTGTCCGGTGCGTGCGGTGCGGCCGAACCGTATCATCCATGCGACTCATTGTATCGATAATATGAAGGGGAATTTCCCGGTTGACCAGCAACAGGCAATCCACGAGAAATTAAAAAGCCTATCCAGGGGTTGTAAACGCTGAATTTAAATTATAGTGAATTCCGCCAGGAAACTCGTAGGCCGACAGAAATCAAACATCGTTTTCTAGGGCAGCCGACCGGGTTTATAGGATATATATGGTTACTCTTTTTATCTTCGTGGACGGAAGAGCATTGGGAGGGGAGATTCGACAGGTTTCTGGACGCGAGCGAGGGCAGTCCGTATATATCGACACGAGATTGCGTGAGAGCCGGCTTGTTCGAGCTTTTCAGGCACGATTCGGAGGATCTGGGAGGGCTGGGGGGGGCCGTTGGAAGGTGTCGTATGGCCAGGCACCGTTGGCCAAGAGGACGCAGGGTAGGTAGAACAGCCAGTTTCGACGTGCTGGCAGCCGGTCTATCGCAGCAGATGTTCTCGACGGCTGCACTGGTGCTTCTTTGCCTCTTTATCAGCGTCGACGGGAGCTTTCGAGTCGTCCTCGCCGCCGCCGTCGCTCGCGCAAGATGAAACAAACCCATCACGTGAGGTGGATGACATCGAGGTCGGCCGAGGCGCTTGGCAGGAACGCTGCGAAGAGGTTGAAACTAGAGATACGATGGAGCTGGGGAGACGATGACTTGCGGTGAGATGCTATACGGTGTGGAGGTTGAGAAGAGACGCAGTGAAACCGGCTGGGTTTCAGCAGATATATATGCTCCGTATGCTCCAGTATATCCTAGACGACGCAGTGGAACTCGGTCTATGAGACCCGAATAGGCAGCCAGGAAGATCTGACATTAGTTTTGAAAACATCTATAGTGAAAGTACAGATAATATACAATGTGTTCAATGGCCCAGTATCGTGTCATGCATCGAAAATCAACCACGGAGCGGTTTGATGGACTCCAGCAGCTCAGACTCGGAGGCACTCAGGTCACCGCCAGTCGCTGATGGCTCCATTTCTGCTTCCGTGAGCTCGGTGCCAGCGAACGCGGCGCTCCTGCCCTGCTGCATTATAACCTCAGTTTCAGCCCATGTCTTCCAGCGATCATATTCTTGGTTTTCGAGCTCCATTCCGACAGTTATCATGTCGAGTCCGAAGTAGGCGCCCGTTGCTCTGGCCTCCTCTTGGGCAATCCTCCTCTCAACGTCCTCCTGAAGTCGAATCTTGTAAAATTCCCGGCGAGCAATGTCATATGCGGCTTCTTTTGTTATATCGGGCACCGTATTGAGGAGATGTAATTGTCTCTGGACGACACTGTGAGATTGATGTTGGTTAGCTATCTATAAACCACACTGGGAAAGGACTTGAATAAAAAAAATACCTTTCTCCGTCAGCACGCTTCCTGTCTTGTTGCATCTTGTTCCAATCCTGATTCCGATGGTCTTTTCCATCCGTCTCCAACACCACTCTGGGCCGTGCAAGCTCCCAGGGATGGTCACGGTAAAATTCCCTTCGGAGCAGGTCTTCCTCGAATTCCATCTTCACCGGTTGAAACATGCGGCTGGGCTTCTTCGATTTCGGACGACGGCTGGGACGAGTCTCCACGACGATTTGCGGCTTTGACTTTCCAGGAATTGTCTTCACTCTTTGCCTGGTAAGAGTGTGTTGCTGCGGCAGGTTTCGTACCAGCACGCTCGAGGGTGGTATATCTCTAAGAACGTTGACCCAGCATGGTTCATTGGTAATTTTACCGTTCTTTTGCTGTAGGAGGGCAGTCTGCCGGACCCGGAGTGCTGCGAAGTTGAGCTTTCCCATATCTACGACTTGTCACCAAGGGTAGGTGGAAAGTCTCGTAGACCGTACGACCTGCGTGCCCCTAAAGACCACAAATTGCCCAATTGAGGCTTCCTCTCCCGGCACAAATTGACAGAATCCGTGGCGTAGTCGTATCGAAGCTGTTGCGTTGGAGTCGAAGATAGAATCGCGAACGTTGAAGGAATTGCAGATTTCAAGAGACGGGAAAACCCATTTCCGGCCAATCAGCGTCCGGGGTTGGTCACTTTTGCAGTACGCAAAAATTATTCAAGCATTTCAACAACTTCACGAAACACATTCCGGGCACTGGGTTCATTTCAATTCTTCTTTGATCTCGTCCTCTCATACGCTGTTCGTTCTTCTTTATATCCTGTGTTTCTTTTCAAGCGGACCGGACGCTACGATATACGATATACGCTGATTATTGTTGACCTTGCGCACTACAAAACCCCCAATTGCACCTCCCGCGTTTGCTCAATGACACCATGTCAGCTATCTCATGCCTCTCTTTAGCAGCTTGGAAAGGCCGGCAAGCGCCCAGTCTATCGTTAACGCGGGCCAGTTTTGTTTACGATCCGACTCTATGAGATCTATGCGAGCGACTCCCTTCAATACAATGCGGCAGTCCCTTTCGACTCCAGCTGCACGAACAGCCAACGTTTTCATCGCGGATAATCTTATCGGGTGCCTGGTGGCAGCAGGGTTTTGCAAAAAACATGCACCGTACAGGAATATACGGCCGGCGGGGATATCTCGATCGCTTCTGGGTACAGCAAGAAGGCTACAGAGTACATCGAGCAGTGCACTACTTGCAGAACCGAGTGATCCAGCACCCGAAAATCGCGATACGCAGCACTCGAAAACGGAAGAGCAAGAAAATATTCAACGAAGGAGATCAAAATGGCGAACAGATGACTATGCATCAAACGGGCATGGTCCTCCAGCCGTCGTGAAGGGACCTAAACATGCCCTACTGCGCAGAAGCTCACTCCCGAAGGACTTTAATTTAGATGCAGAATCATACAACCGAGCGAAGAACGCGAATACCGAAGAGTCAAAACTACTATTTGGTTTATATGTTGGTGTTCTAGGGAAGGTCGAGGGGACAACAAGTTTGAAAGTTGTTTTGTCAAACCCCCAGCGAGAGGCATGGGTGTCTCCTCGACCACCTAGCCAAGCTGGAACTGACGACCTTGAAACAGCTGGAGTCTCTCACCTTGTCTCCCTCTTGGAACAAGGAGGCTGCACCGACCAAGAGCTCTTTGCAGCATATAGAAGGATACCCTCGCCCGGAGTATCATACCTCAGCGCCAGAACCAGGGGTAGACTGCTTCATCGCTTCGCTAAACCCGAACGTAGGGGCCGTACCGGGGTTTTCTACTATCTAACATTGGTCGACGACATGTGCAATGCCTCGCTTGAGATGTCTCCGTCTCTTTGGACAGCTGCGATCCACCTAGCAGGTAAATCTGCCATTACCGTGAAACAAGAAGATCTTGAGGCTGCAATCGGTGTGTGGCGCCGAATGGAACATGAAGGCAACATTTCGAGCTCGAGTGTAGCTTTTAATATCCTCTTTGACCTGGCTATAAAATCTGGTCAATTTAAGGTGGCTGAGCGAATCATAGCAGACATGAAAAAGCGGAAAGCCAAATTCTCTAGGTTTGGCAGAGTTGCCCAAATATTCTTCAATGGTTTAAAGGGGAATGCCCATGGAGTCCGTCGAGCATACGATGAGTTTGTCAAAGCTGGTGAAATTGTGGACACTGTGGTTTTGAACTGCGTGATTGCGTCACTAATCCGGTCTGGAGAGGCTAAGGTTGCGGAACTCATGTATGAACGAATGAAGGATGCATATAAAAAACTCGAAACCAGCCCCAAGGAGAAGGCGGTCATGTATCCATCGCCCTCCCAAGACTATACTGCCTACCGCAAGGCAAGCAAACAGCTGGGACGGGTTCTTGGAATGGCATCCTACCTACATGATAAGCTTCCAGACCATCATCGGGCTTTGCAGGCTGCCATGCCATTAACACCAGACGCAAAGACGTTCCATATTCTTCTTTCTTACCATGCGCATGTTACGGGAGACCTGGGTCGGTTTTTGGCTCTGCTTGCTGAAATGGAAGGGACCTTGTCGATTCCATGCCATGGAATGGAGTATATCCTTTTATTTCAAGGGTTTGCGATACATGGCTCGAAGCGAAATACTAGGTGGACATACCCTCGCCTACAACGGGCTTGGATCTCGTTCCTCCGTTCTGTGCGTGATTCCGATGCCGAAATTCAAACCAAACAGCGCACCTTACAGAGAAAGGCGAAGTTCACCTGGTCGGCCGAGTCCTCTTTTGTTGAGGGCGAAGATTCAGAAAGAGAACTAACACCGGAGGAAGTAGACGAAGCCGAAGAGGGTTTCAAGGATGAAGCGGACAAAATTTTTCCCGATAGCTATTACTATGCTCGTGAAGAACTTGAAGACGACTGGAAATATGAAAACAGCGTCTATCTAGGTCGAACGGTTATCATTGCATGTCTTCGCGCCTTCCATGCATGTGGAGGACGGCCGGCTGTCCTGGGGGTATGGGAGCAAATCGATCGATTGTGGCAAGGAAACCTGAAGCAGCGAGATATAAATGCAGTGAGAGCAGTTCTAAGGGAACTTGTACCCCGACGATATCATTAACTTCTTGCGTTTACCATTTTGCAAGCGTTCAATTTCAGGGGTTTACACATGCCTCACCTTGACCTCCATTTTCTGTAGGCAAACTCTGCCAAATTATGTTGTACAATATTAGCATGTGCTCTTAGCGATACCTTGAGCCTGTATAAAAATAACCAATAGATATACAATTCCTTCTCACTTTACTTGCAGCTCGCCCTCGTTCTCTCATGAAATTCGCCCTTACAAAGGTTGGCCGAAGAATGGTCACGTGAGCTCGCGTCTTGATCGCGTCTCGAGCACAATAAAGGCAGATGCGATGCAAACGACAACTCCAGGAAGCATCAAGGTCGAAGCCACGAAGTTGACGGTGATGCTATGGTGACGGGATGAATCACCAGCCTATTGATATTGACTTCACACTTCGTCGGGTTTTCGGGAAAAAGTCATTTCGGTAAATATCCATCCCTATTCTATACGTATATGACACCGATCCTAACCTGCTAGTAGACCGCTTCAACGTGATGTTATCCAGGCTGCGATTGAGGGACATGATGTCTTCCTCCAGGCAGCAACGTCATTTGGGAAAAGCCTGTGTTTTCAACTGCCGGCGGTAGTGGCCCATGGAGGTTAGTCCACTCATGGCTTATTGATTCGACAGATCGACTAAGAATATACCCTTGCAACATGAAGTTACTATTGTCGTTTCCCCTCTATTATCGTTGATGGTACGTTAGTTTTGTCGGAATTCTATGATATAACAACTTCTAGACATTCCTAACTGACTACTGCTATTATTTATGCATGTAGGTGGACCAAGTTGCTAGTCTTGAGGCAAGGGCGATACCTGTTGCAACTATCAACTCAACAACACCTGGATCAAAACGCAAGGCAATTCTTGCAGACATTCTATCAGGGCATCCAGTAACCCGCCTTTTATATGTAACCCCAGAATTCTGTCAGACAGAGTCTTTCAGACGCAGTATTTTAACGGTCCACCAACAAGGGGAGCTCACACGAGTAGCAATTGACGAAGCCCATTGCGTTAGTGAATGGGGCCATGACTTCCGGCCAGCATATAAAGCTCTGTCCTGGTTTCGACGCGAGCTCAAAGACCCCATAGTACCCATCACAGCTCTCACTGCTACAGCGACGACTCGTGTTCGCAACGATATCATCACTTTGCTTGGGCTGGATCCGAGTAATCTGAAGAAATTCAGCACCTCGTCATCTCGCCCAAACATCCATTACGAGGTGAAATACCTTCCAATATGCGCGTATGACCTAACAATACCAGAGGACAGTCAGATAGACTACATGGTGTCCTGGTTGCAGGCAATTCATAACCGCCGCATGTCACGACTATCACCGCCAAAAGATGGGCCTCAAAATGAAACTTCTACCAAGTCGCCAACTCTTCCTCCAATGTCAGGGATTATATACGTCCCGCTCAGAGCTCTGTGCTGTGCTATTGCTAGCATCCTAAGCTCCTGCAAGACTCTCAATATTAAGGCTGTCTCTTATCATGCAGGCCTCCCAACCAGTGAACGTGAGAGGATCCAGTCACTGTGGGCAGCTCCCCATAAGACCTATGTTCAACCCAAGAATCTACCAAAAACGACAGCTACGCGCAACCAGAAGGCTGACCCGCCTGCCTTTTACATCGTTGTCGCTACCAACGCCTTTGGAATGGGGATTGATAACCCTAATGTACGTTTCGTCGTGCACTGGACTCCACCGCGCACTTTTGAAAGTTTTGTGCAGGAATCAGGACGTGCCGGCCGTGATGGCTGTGCGGCAATCTCTCTCGTCTACTACAATCCCTCTGAGTGTATGCGGATAATCGATCGTATCCGTCAGACTGGTGACTTTGCAAATGAAACGGTCCGGTTAACGAGAAAAAGAACCTTCGAAAACCTTACTGCTGCTGAAATCAAGGCACAGGAAGAAGCAAAAATCCGTAACACGGAGGCTATACTTCGGAGCTTTGCGAAGGTTGTCAAATACTGCGAAATAACTGATCGATGCAAACATGTCGTTATTCGAGAATTTTCCGACGATCTTGAATTAGAGCTTGCCCGTGAAAGACCCCCACCGTCATCTCAAATCGCATCGGGATCAAAGCCAAAAAATTTAGCTGTATGTGACTATGCATGCGACCACTGCAAAGAAGGTCCTGTCGCATTAGGGAGGAGGAAAAATGAAGGACTGAAGAGTGCCCAGCTGTTTGAGGATGGAGCGGCAGAGGATGATATCTATACTAAGATGAATTTGATTCACTTTGTAGAATCATACTTGGGTAGGCCTGAGGGTTGCTATCTTCCCGATACGACTCCGTGGCAAATTGGATGGCACTAGATATTCCACATCAGGGCAAGGAAAGGGACGGAGGGGGTTTGATAGCTAGCCGCTGCTGATCCAGGAGTACTACTTGTGAGATAGTATATTGTTATGCTATTCCTGCTTACTTCAAATTAAATTTGGTCCTAAAACACTAATACTAAACACAAAAGGCGGTATCAAAACATCGAACGAAATAAGAGTAAGGCTTAGTGTTTCCGCTTCTTTTATATTCCTTGTCTACCCAAATCGAGAGTATCGTTGATCTTGAGTAGATTATGCGCATCTAATTAGAAGGACAAAAGGCCGATTATAGGCCGGGTGGCGGAGGAACCTATTGCGATGAACATTAGCTGATTATTCAATGTCAAATAATTGGGTATTGAAAACGTACTGAATTATATCCTCCGGATGGAGGTGGAGGAGGAGGGGGCGGTGTTTCTGATGAGGGCGGAGGCGGCGGTGGTGGAGGTGCTGCAGAGTCAGGGGGAGGAGGTGGAGGTGCAGGAGCTCCCGGATGCTGTTGCTGCTGTTGCTGTGCAGCTTGTTGCTGGTAGTATTGGTAATATGCAACGTAGTTTTGATAACCACCATATGCAGCATAGGGGTCTTGTCCTCCGTAATACTGGGCATATTGGGCGCTGTAGTCGGCCTGAGAGCCACCCGCTGATGGAGTAGGCGTCGTCCCAGGACCAGATTGCGATGGCGGACTCATCCCCGATGGTGTTTGAGGGGAGGAATGGCTATTGTATCCTCCACCTCCACTATGAGGGCCACCACCTCCAGATGAATAACCCAGGCCGTACTGTTGGCGATCACGGTGGCCATATCCCCCACCGCCGTGATAGTTTCGCTGCGGTGGTGGATTTTCTTTGAATTTTTCATACTGTTCCTTGACATTACCAAGTAGATCCTCGCACAAAGACTTAGCATTTTGGACTTCATTTGGGTCGGGTCCACTATGAAGATGTCAGAATACAGATGAAAATGTTAAATAACGGGTAAGGGAACTCACGCAACATGCAAATACATTGGCTCGTCGCTTTCTTGGTTAGTGCCATGCTCTTTAAATCCAGAACCACGGCCTTTGATCTGGACACGGCAATGGGTTTTTTGCTGGATATGCTTGACATATTGGCCGCCCTGGCCAACAACCTGTGCGCGTAGATTAAAGCCAGGGATGGGCTCCAAATCGATAGGAATACGTTCCTCGGGCCATTTACGCTGTATATTATAGTTAGAAAGTAGGACATATATAATAATTTGGAGTGGCAGCGTCTTACGCGACCAAACTCGTCTCTCTCAACAGGCTCAGGGGGCTCCCTCCGACGGAATCTCCGTTCGTCGACGAGGTTAGGAAGCTCCTGTTTCATGAGCTCTTCAATTTTCTTGATGGCTTGTTCCAGGCCTTCCTTCGTCCTACTAGTCACATGCAGGTACAGCGGCGGGTTCTAACAATATAATATTAGTCTCCAATAACCAAAACAGAGCTAGGGTATTAAGAAAAAAGGTAGTAAAAGCTTACCGAAGGGGTTGCCATGCTTTTATCAGGAAGATAGTTTCCTCTAGTGGTGACATCTTTTCAGAAATTATGAGCATATTCTCTTAACCAATAAATTTGTTTCTAGAATGCAAAAACGGGGTGAAGGAAAACTGTCGTACCGGCGCCGGTTTCTTCTTTAATCTAAATCACGCAGCGGAGGTCAGCAGATGCAAAATAGCGGGAGTTAGGTGCTATGAAGAATCATGGGTAAGCTTCATCTGTCATCACACATAAGTTGACGCAACAAGTGCTTATCAGTGGCCAATAATGTTTAAGGGATGGGAATGATAGCCCAGTGAAGAACAGGTGGTTTTACCCTCCCGTCCATGCTTGGAGTTAGTTCCGGGGGAATTTATCGAGCCACGGGGCGCCTGGGGGTGTCAGCGGATGTATTGTAGAGATATTTACCATCTTTTGTGTAGTGCTTTTAGTTATAGTATATCGGTTTCGGAGATCATTGACTTCGATGTCTTTGATATAATCGCCGTCTGCCATGTATACTTCACCATTTATATGGGCGACCGAGCACGATGCCTTGCTGGAAGGACTAGAGATCTAGGGCTATAGTCAGAACAACGTTCGATAGGTAGCTTAGATTGACTGCAAAGGCCAGTATGATCGCGGTAATTGCGCAGACAAAGAATAAAGCAGAGCCGATTGCGAGAGCTGCTCGCAAACTATGTGATCTACCGAAAGGTGCGGGTGCTGAGACGGGGCCGTTGGAACTCACAGATCGTCCTGGCGGGGTGGAGGATTGTTGGTAGCCTTGTCTTGCTTGTATCTGCTCCTTTATTTTGGCAGCCGCGGCAGCTATAAATTACAGTCGAAGTAGTCAGCTATATGGCCTATAATCCGTGGGAGTGCGCAGTATAAGGGCCAATATCAAAGACTCACCAGCAGCTGCCGCAGGGTCTGAGGGAGTAGCAGGCTTGCTTGCATCCTCAGATCCCTGGCTAGGCCGACGATTTATTGGGCTACGATCTCGCACCGGCTCTGAGATCCGAGCTGAGGGCGAACGCGAACGTCTATCAAATCGAGACTGGCGTTTTGGCTCAGGCTCCGTCTGGTCGAAACGAGACCGTTTGGCCCGTCTGTCGCTATCGGCCATGTTGACGGGCCCGGTTCCGGGGATTGTAGCGCCGTGACAGAGGAGAGAGGTATATCAGCTGCAGAGCGCAGCTTCTGGCATGAATAGAAGCAGTTCTTGTCCCTGGCAAACTCCTTTTTCGTGGACAATTCGACATTCGCGATTTCGACCTTTGGGAAATGTTTTTGGACCCGAGTTGCTTAATCAGCAAAGAGCACGTGGTAAGTATCAGGTGACTATATACGCTAGTCCAAAAGGAGATAATTCCCTTTTCTCCGATCTCGGCTTTTAGTCATCATCACATGATCAGCCCGCCGGCACTTTTATTACTCACACTTCTTCGCGTGTTTCCCTCGACTCAGCGGCCGCAAGGGAGATAAATGCTTCTCACTTTCGCCTGGGACTTGTAGAGGCCCATCCTCTGGAGAACGAGCTAGGATTTTGTTGGCTTCTTCAGCATCAATGGCCTCCAAAGTTGTTTTTCGCGGCCAATTGAGCTGGACATGGGTTGCATTCGAGAATCCATGTCAGCGTCTGAGCTTAAAGAGCTATCAAAGATACCAACCGATTAGACTGTCGTCCAGCTCGACGTCTGCTCTGGCGTACAAAGCACTTCACCGTCGTTCGCCTCTTCCGCTTCCTGTCTCGGACTCATCGCCGCAATGGTCAGCTCCAGCTGCGGTCTCCTCCATTCTCTACGAGACCCCTGTTCCGTCCACAAAACCTCCGAAGCGTCATGTGCTGAACTGCCTTGTTCAGAATGAACCCGGTGTGCTTTCTCGAATTTCCGGTATTCTAGCCGCTCGTGGCTTCAACATCGACAGTCTGGTCGTCTGTAACACCGAAGTTGAAGATCTGTCGAGGATGACGATCGTGCTGCGTGGGTTGGATGGAGTTGTTGAACAAGCCCGCCGCCAATTGGACGATCTCGTTCCTGTCTGGGCTGTTTTGGATTATACAGACTCTGCCCTTGTTCAGCGTGAACTCCTTCTGGCAAAGGTTAGCATTCTGGGGCCCGAGGTCTTTGAAGAATTGCTCCAGCATCATCAGGAAATGTCTACTCCCGAGAGCGATACAAACAACCCAGCCACCAGTGAAGCTCAGCACCGTGAAATGAACAAAGTGAATGGATCACTTTCTCAAATTGCTGATTATCACCCCAACCGATTGGCCGCCAGTGAAGCCCTTCGACATAAACATGAGCACTTGGAGGCTATTACCCATCTGACGCACCAATTTGGAGGGAAAGTGCTCGATATTAGCACCAACAATTGCATTGTTGAGCTGTAAGTTAATCCTCAAGATTGAGAGGAATATAGGGGATTGTTCGACAACTAACTCTGAGTCATAGCTCTGCAAAACCAAGCCGCATCAACTCATTCCTCAAACTGATTTCGCCCTTTGGTATCCTCGAGTCTACTCGAACTGGTCTGATGGCGTTACCTCGTTCCCCATTAACGTCACCTATTGAGGAAACGGAAAAAGAGGCAGCTGATATCGTCGATACAAGCACTCTACCTCCAGGTTAAAGCAAATATACCTTTCTGTCCTCTTTTTATCCTCCCGGAATTTACCTTTAGTCTTTGTAATGTTCCACTTGCTGGCGTTTTTTCAGAAGTATGAGTATAGGAAGCGCAGAGCCAGTTCTTTATTAATCTTCCCAGTCAGATTTAAGGAACCGAGTTAGTGCGGGGGCTGCCGAACCGTTCTGCGTTGTATAGTTGCCTTGGCCAAAAAGGGATATGACAATCTGCTATAACTGTGCATTATAATAACAAGTATAAAGTGTGAAACAAAACTAAGAAATTTCATACATTAAATGCTGCTTCATAGACGAACTGAAGCGGAATTCTAGACCGGGGTGCGAATGAAAGTAACGGAGACGGTCTAAATCGCCTGCAAGGAATACCGTGGGTATATGAGCTGCGAAAAACTAAACAACGGCGATGAAATGAAAGAGTCGGTGGAATAGAGATATGAGAAGAAAGAATGTAATGCAGTCAAATGATCTCTCAACTGGAGAATGGTGGTGGGGGGTTTATACGGCTTTGCCCTCTAAGTAGCCCCTTTGCGAAGTGTGCTAAAAAAAAACATGACAAGTCATAGGTCGTTAATCGTCAAGCATAATCAAACAATCCAACACCTAGCAAGGCCCAGACAGTCGTTCAACTGGCTGGCCATCTCAATTATCAAGGCTGGCAATCTGAGCAAATCCCACAGTGGAGGCGAGAATGCTCTTCGCCCACCTTCCTGGCGCAGTTACAGTCCCGAGAGAAGATGGTCTCGATGGCGCCACACCGATAATAGAGAAGCTTCTTGCACATGGCTGGTATAGGGTTTGTTTTTGTTTAAAGGTCCGGACCGGCTCCTTGAGTTTCTAGTATGGAGATGATGGTTTGTGGGGTGATATGTGGTAGCTGACCGGTTAATGATAGGTCGTAGTTCTGGGATATCTTATCAGGATATTGTAAATGGGGCGTCTTCCCATTGAATTTGATGAATTCTAAATCCGAGTTAGTTAGATGTTGAAGATATGCAGGGACGAGAAGGCATACCAGTTGGTAATTGATTTCTAACCTCGACGGAGAAAAGTGGGTAAAAAGAAGGCTATAAAAGATAGAGAGAAGGAGAACAGGAGAACAGTGATCCGGTGGCCCTATCCCGTATATATATACATAGATGGGATAGGAGGATCAAGGATGCCATCTCGAGCCAAGCAGGGATGGTGGATGGAAAAGGGGCAGTCAACGGCCAACAAGACGACACGACAGAGCAAAAACGTCATGTGTGGTACGGGAATATAGCGTCAGAGAGGGAAAAGAAGGCCATTTCCCCGGCTTCTTGGGCATAAATCTCACGATGGACGCTGCCATTGGAGACGAGCAGCGTTAGAGAATGACTCCACTCAATGTTATCCTTATTTTATATCATGCATTATGCGTTTCGAGGGAAGAAAAAGTCAACTCGCGGATCGCTGGCCGGGGGTGCCGTGGCATGTACATACATACCGCCCCCAAGGACGCATCCCGATATTCAATATGGGTTTAGCCTTGGGCTCAGGAGTCAAGTATCGAAACCGAGGAGGATGTCTCCATGAGCCGTCTGGTTTTTGCCTTTCTTTTTTCCTTTTTCTCTCCTTTACCAGATCCCACACCGGGGGACTCCTAAACACGTAAGTCAACTCTTGTTATCAGAAATATGCTGGTCGGAGATCAAGTCCAGCAGACAATTAGGTTGAGTAGGTACCCAATCGACTGGGAGAAGCATATCAAATCGCCCCTAGGTTGGCCACTCAGGACGCTCAACTCCACCCTGACCGGTATTAAACGAGGGTCTACCAGCACAATATCGGTGAACTAGGACGACGCCGTGCGGTGAGGCGGTAGACCTGAAATCCCACCGTGTTACCCAGCCCTCGAGGAGGCCAGTGCAAAGTGGTCTGGTTTGCTGCTGCTGCTGCTGCCGCCGTCGTCTGGTGACATGCAGATTGCATAAACAGAGGGTGCATAGCCGTGGATTGACGAATCTAAGAATAGGCCTGGTCTCGTATATGTATGTACGCCATGCCATGCATTTGAATACATATATATATATAAAAAATTATACAGGCGATGTCTCTAACTAGCTAATCTTTTGAGGCTATGAAGGGCAGGCTATTTCCTGGTCATTCTACAGATATCGAAGTTAATGAGACACCACGCGAGGCAAGCCTTCGAGGCTGAATATGGCACTTGAGTATGCTTAAAAGGGCATCCTTCTATCACGCTCGGAAGTTATGCACAATATGGACAAGAAGAAGCATCAGCGGGGTCGATGGTACTCGTATTCTCGCGTGGGAAAACATACGATTGGGATGTGGTGGCTTGCTAACTTGCGGCAAACTGCACGATGACATCAAGTGTTTGAGGCTACTGGAATACAGGATAAATCTATCCTAACATGTGATTTGCAGCCGATGCGACCCAGGGGAGGGTATGAAGTTCGCATATTCGCCAACCTGGTACTTGGTGCCTTGTACTTTTTGGCGGCTTCGATGTTTGCTCGAGGACGAGGGAGCGGACATGGACGCCGATAGCTATCAGCTCAGGCTCTCAGATCGCCCAGCAGCCGAATTTCGACTTCACTGATTCGACCCACGTATGCGCCATGCACGATCAAGTCAGCCGCTGATGCCGGGGAGCCAAGCTTACGGACCAGAAGATGCTATCCATACCCTCACGGCTCCGTTTTGGTCAGAGGAAGGCGGGAGTGTCGGGCTGTATATTGCTATGTATCATGGTTGATGCCTTAGGGAGCAAGGGTTGCTACCTCCAGATGAAACGCACTCTTGCTCCGTGAACTGGAATCTCATCCTCCTCTGCATGCATGCAGCCTGCTACTGGCTGTTTACTCCGCCATAGCCTCAGCCATGTTATACCTTGCCTGGGATGGATGGGATAAACCGGCAACGTATTTCTGGGCTAATGATCGGAAGATTTCTCGTTTTTTAGGGAGGCGCCGGAGCTCCTAGGCTGGCAAAGGATGATCAGAGATCCTACCTTCCCCACGTTTTCCTGGCCGTGAAGACCAATTCTTCTGCTCTCCCGCGTTTGGAGAAGCATATTGAGGCGCGATCTCTGTTTTCAGCAAACAGGTTATCTGTGAAATGCGGAAATTAAATGGCTCATTGATCAATTATTCTCTTTTGAATTTCTCCGTATAGAGGATTTGCTGGATGATCGCCAATATACCCTGTTCAGCCACAACCGCTTTTTCAATAGTATGGCGACATCTCTTGGAAATCGACCCCCATTCTGTATTCATGCTTGAGGGGGAAGGAAAACTCCAAACTTACCGCATGGCCTTATCGGGTAATTGCCTTGCTCTCGCTCTGCCTGTAAAGATGGCGCATTCTTCGCCAACAAACTGAAGATGGCATCATTTGATTTACCGCATTTAGATAAACGACCGACCCCTATCCATTTTACTTCCGCTCGCCCTTGATATCCATCGTGACTACGTCCTTCAGGGCTTTTGACGTCAAGGATGGCATATTATATGCCCTCGAACTATAGGCCCACAAGATGACCGTTAGAGGAAGAATTGCGCACGAGCACCTAGGAAATCCAGGCTGCTCTACTGCTAACAGCTCTTAGAGTGAACAGACCGTCTATGCAACCACGGATGACAAATGACAAATGGTCTATACACCAGGTGATTGCGCGTCCAGACTGCCTGATAGTCGGAGGAAATGACATGCACTATACGACATTTGGACGGGGCGTCCCGAGAGCTGATTCACCTTGGGGAAGGATTGTCGTATCGTATGCATGGTTGAGGTTGCCAGCTTGCTACCCAAGCATGCCTTGCAAAACAAGGCTGCCTACCGCGCGACTCCGATGATACGGGAAGGGCGGGTAGTGGATTACTTGAGGCTACTGCCCTCAGGAGAGGGGTAGACGAGATGCTCGGCCCTTGCTCCGTATATCTTAGATGAAAGAGTTGATAGCTACGCTATCTATATTTGGATATTGGAGCAAATTCTGCTGACCTGGCGCCAGGGTTGATATCTATACGAGTACCCCCTGGGTTACATATGCTATCAACCACCCTCGGCCGACTTTCAACCGGGATAACTCTTGCTCAGCATCTACTCCTTGACGACGTGTGACAGAGGAGCAAACTGTCTAGGTTAGCAAACCTATCAGAGGAACCCCGGCTGCTCTAAACGAGAAGATGATACCTCAAGGATAAATCGGATAAGGTTTTACTCCTCAAATGGACGAAAGTCATATTGTTGCAGCTATTTCATCAAAATAAGAGATTGCCTAGCGTAGAGAAGAAGCGAACCAGTGAGTAGTTCCATCGCCCGAGATGAAAAGGGAGCTATGCATTCCTTTTTCTTTTTCTCTTTTACTTTTCTTTTATTTTAGAGCTATCTACCCTGGCTTCATGCGGGGAAGGGCCCCTTGGGGTTTTCCATCTAGACTCCTGTCAATATCTTTTTTTAACCCTTCAATTATAGGGACCGAGCTTGTCATGTTTCTATCAAGAACCAAACTCTTTATCGAACTGCTCCTCAAATATGAAGAATTCAGTTTGAATTTGTTTCCTCATACATCCCTCCATGTCTTTATGTTGCATTGCATGCGCAGTCATGACAGGGGCTATCAACAACCATGTCCGCCGTCTGCTTGCGGGGTGGAATGATGACTTGCATCATACCCAGGGTATTCTTTCGTTCCTTTAGAAATTCAGGATTTCCTCCCGCCTACGTGGATTCGTTGGAAATTTCTTTTATTCATGTCTTATCGCTGCGTCCTCGTACTAACCTGCGAGTTCAAACCTGATATCAGACCCGAAAATAACCTTACAATGAAGATAATATCATTTCTTCCTTTCTTTCTAGCCGCAGGTGGTGCCACGCCTGTCCCTGGCGTTCATGAAAAAAGGGAAGCTGGCTGGGAAGCACCTTTTAATGCCGTTACTTTGCGAGTTATGAAACAAAATCCTGCTCGAGAAGAATATCTCCAGGCGTATAATTCACGTTTCTGGATAGGCGGGATGCCATCGACTTGGTGTCCTGATGGTCAAGGTCCTGGGACAAACGAGACAGTACTCAAAGGAGGCAGGTTAGATTCCTTGGTAAGACGGCCCAACCAAGACATAATGAGATGAATGTCTCTTTTATCGCAATCATTCCCCCCATACCCATTGACCAGACTTCCCAACCTGATTTTTGTATTAGAGTGTTGGCGTTGAAGGTGGCCAACGAATATATCTCGACCCAGACGGCGCCCTAAGATACACAACGCCTTCCAACCCAATGCCACCTCCGGGCTCCTGCACAGACGACCTGAACTACGCATTCGATTGGGTTTTTGTACCAAACCAGCCTGGAACATGGTGGTGGGCTTGCCCCAACTCTAACGAACGGCGTGACTTCTATCAATTATTTGCTCCCTTCAAGAATATAACGGTTCCAGGAGTCAAGGACCCTTCAGTTTCATGCTACAAGGCGGATGTAGCGGGGTTCGAATATAAGGGAGAAACACCCGTTACATATATGTATACCTGAGCGGCTGGGTTAGCCTGTACACCAAATTTTCACTGTCCTGAAGAAGTATAAAATGGCTTCTATTGCAATTTCTCAAGTCTCTGTACTTTATTAACAACTAAAATAAAGTCTCTAATTTAATTTCATTAGTTCTACCCTTATTATAGCTCTTATATAGACTCTTACATTTACTTTCCATTTACTATTATATTCTTCAACTTATGCATGAAATATCTTTATACTTGTCCTTAAACCTGTGCTTGGATTTGCCCTTATGAAAAAGGGTAGGACTTATTGAAGTACTGGAAGCAACTGATAGAAGGATCATAGCCTACAAGTACGTTGCACTGGAACGAAAGGAAATTGACTTATGCTGCCATGCCAATTAAAAAGAAATAGAATGAGATGTATTCTAGCTGTCCGGATATCTAATAACAATTATAAAACATAGAGGAGTATATATAAGAGAACAATATTAGGGAAAGAATGGGGCGCCATGTATTGACCAACATTTAAACGCCTGAATCTTCCTGGAAGAAGTCGGACGGATAGTGGTTGTCGGGATTGCCGTACCATTTATCCCAATTGCCGCACACCCGACGCATCTCATTCATGTCCTCCGGGTGAGAATCAAGGTATCTAACGACGTCAGTCTTGTCTTCTAGCACCTGGAGGGCAAGGCCAGCTGAAGCGTGCCAGGCTATATGGCAATGCATGAGCCATGAGCCAGGATTATCCGCCTTGAATGCAATGACAACAAAGCCGTGGCTAGGAAGCAAGACGACATCTCGACGAGGTGGGTTATCGAGGTTCATGTTTAACGTGGCATTGCTGAATGGTTCATAAGATTGCTGCAGGATGGCAAAATCGTGGCCGTGGAAATGCAGCTATAGAGGGTTAGATTGACACCTTTTGAGAAATAATGGCATTGGGTTTGGTAGACGTACCGGGTGAGCATTCGGAGCCTGTGTTCTATCTAGCTGGTTTAGATCTTCTTGTCCCGTAACGACAAGATAAACCCACTGGTCGTTAGTGTAATCGTTCGCAGAATAAACAACCCAAGTCTCGGGATATTTTTCTTCGTTCATGTGTTTCACTATTGGTTTCGAATAGTTTAGCCACATTGGCATAGGCCCAACTCCCCAGTTTGCAATCTTGGGAGCATTCGCAGGACGGCCCGGAGGATTCCACACGTTAATGCCGACTTTCTGGGTTTTCGATACCAAGTCTGACACCAATCCTGGGTCTGGCACAGTCCATCGTTGGATTGGCTTTAACCGCTCAAACGGTTCATCACGGCAACTGGTGTCATATCCGCCACCTTGAGACGTAGGCAGCGCTTGCGTTTTCTTCCCGTAGTATAGTGCTCCCATCTTTTCATCAGGCTGACGGTCTTTTGGGAATCTGCTGCATCCGCCTCCTGCAGGAGTCATACGAATCCAGTATGAATCCCCGTCCTTCGCCTCAGGAAGAGTGTCGAGGATGACATGGTAACGTTGACCTAGTAATATAAATAAATAATTTATCATTTTAATGAGGGGAAGGGGTAGTCAGGGTTCTCACCAATTCCAATCAGAATGCTTGAAGTACTGTAAGGCTCTAATGGAACAAGGTCGGCACCAACAATGGTGAAGTTGTGATTATCAATGGAAAATATGAACGTGGTATCGGTTGAGGTATTAATCAGTCTCATCAGATATTTTTTGCCCTTCAAAAGTCCTAAATTTAGAATGTGGATGAATGGATGCAACAAGGACAGGGGTACGAACTGCGTTCACAAGTGTGCTATATGGTTTGCGCTTGGGGTCCTTGTTATAGTTTCCTATTCCAATGTATCAGCAACAGGGTTCCGTACGATAAGAACCTCGAGGTCCGCCCATTTTATCAAAGAACGAGAAAACAGTGCAGTTTCTTTACTCTGTCTCTTGATAAAATATATGGGGTTCTCAAGGGCATATGTTGGTGTATTAGGGGTTGGAGATGTAACATACCAATTCCATTCAAAAGCTGGCTATCCATTTCCGGAGGTACTCTAGTCTGTACCTTGTAGTAATCCTGGAAAGCACTCCTATGGATATGGTCGCCCAAGATAAGAGGGTCGATTGAGGCGTCATATTCTGCGCTTGAAGGACCATGGATAGTCAATGGGCCAACTAAGCCGTTCGAATACTGCAAGGAGTAGTGGCTGTGGTACCAGGTCGACCCATACTGCGTAGCTCTAAATCTGTATGTGAATGTATCTTCTGGGGCGATTGGACATTGTGTAATGCCAGGCACACCGTCCATAAGGAGATTATCGAACATTCGAAGGCCATGGCAATGAAGCGTTGTTCCGTTGTACTTGAGTTTATTGGTAACAGTGATTTCTAGCCAGGGTTAGTTGAAGTGAACCACGATATAATGCATTATGTGGAAAACTAACCAATAATATCACCCCAGCACGCCTCTATGCAAGCCAAGTAGTCAATATACCTAAATCCGATAGTCACGGGGGAGGAAGGGAGAACTAACGAAGCCAAGGGCCAGGGTATTGGCCATTATAGAGCATCGCTTGATCGGACGGCACTCCATCCAGGTTGACAGTACCCTCGTCAACCACCAAATTATACTTCAAGTCGGAGGTTAGAGTGTATTCTCGAGAAAAGGGTACCTCTAAAGTCTTACCTTCCGGACCACTCCTTCTGGGTATACCTTCTCATAATCGGTTGAAATGTTGTAGGCCCCAGGAGCTGGTGCTGGTCCACTACCAACCCATTTTAACCAACCCTTTTTACTATTTCCGTCAGGGGCCCAACCTTTCATCGCGGGATAGTTGCATTTAATGACATGTTTGTCACTGTCGACATTTGGAGGAGGGCTAAACGAAGGCCCTTCGAGGGAGTTTCCATTCCTCGGGACTGATGCGGCAGTTCCAATGGTGGCTAAGAAGCCAACCTTGAAAAGGCCAAGGATAAATAGCTGGTTCAACCTCATCGTGGGAATATACCAAAGGATAAAGCGATTGTGAAGTTTTGTAGTCTGGATTCTTGGATGGGGCAACAGTTGTGGGTAGCACGATATATTTATATGCCATCAATCTTCATGAGCCCGCAACACTGAATTTATCAATTGTATCCATAATTCAAGGAAACAATCGGCCATCTGGGACGAACGGCGTCCTCCGGAGCGGGCTTCGATTGCATACGAGCTGTATCCGGTCTTCTGATGGAGACTGGTGGGCTACACCTAACGAATTTGTTTCGGTCCTGCATACTCGAATGTATGTAAGACGGGGAATGAAAGGCTTGGAGATCGAGCGTTGCATCTCCGTCGATGGAGAGGAGCACATCGGGCAGCCTAAGATTCAGCTATCGACGCATTCCTACGGCCCGTGGATCCACAGGGGCAAAGCACCCAGCTCGGTATCGTCGTAGTGGCCAGGCCACCGAGTAAGCGTTCGAATCCATACCATGCATGATATACCAAAGCAGCTATGGAAAGGCATGCTAGGATAACGTCGATCAGGCAAGTCGGGCTAGAATCTCTTAACGTAGGGATAAACCTGCGTTAAGTTGCACTCTCGAAAAATTTGCGATCTGAACCTGAGATTTGAAACACGCGACCAATTGAAGGAGTTCATATACCACATGTTTCTATTTTTAAGCCATCGGTGCGCCCGAGATAGGATTTTCCACGTTATGGGCGTAGCAGGGTACGGCATGAACGTGCAAGGGATATTATTCCCATGTCTCTCAAACTGACAGGCCTACCGCGACATGGCGATAATAAGCTATACGCCAAAAGTCTTGTACAGAGTACATATTTCCAACAAGAAATATCCAACAGTCCGTACGTACGCATATCTCAAAAATGGTATCCAGTCTGCCTCCGAGGGACTTCCCCTAGCCCATAGGAGATGGGCTTTCTCTCCTTCGATTTCTGGCGAAAAGGAAAAGAAATATACATAGACCATATCCCTGCCTGCTGGCTAGGGTGGTGTATGTGCGTGACCCCACCTCAAAATGCCCCATGGCATGGAACAGACGTTTGACGGATATAGAATCGGAGCGGAAGTCATCCTCTGGGGCCTTGTCGATCCACCGTGTGTGTGTGTGTGTGTGTGTGCGTTTAGGTGGCAAGGCCTTCAGCCTCCAAGGTAGTAGTTATGTATGTAACAGTTCGAAGAGATATCGTTCCACTCGCCAAGAGGCTGCATGCAAAGTCTGATGCCGTAGATAGCCAGTTGTTTGAATAATTTTCACAATGGGACACGAATGTTTTGTAGAAGGCGGTCATGTTGCGAGTCAGGCTGGATGGATAACTAAACATCTCTTGGCAAAATCCGGATTAACCGTGGTATTTAACTCGATGTCAAGCTTCTTGTGGAGTTTGTTCTGCAGATTCGAGACGACGACATTCCATACATGATCTCGTGGATCTTTCAGCTTTGCCAACACAAATTGCTCTGGACCTCTTTACGAGCAGGCCGGATAGTCCCATAAAGCTCGGTTGCATTCGAGATCAATCTGCTATTCGGGTCACGATTCGTTAGCCAGTGTGTCCTGAGCGTAGGGAGAGCATCATTCAGATACCCCATACTAAGAACGATATGGCCTGGGCCACCAAAGACATAATTTGCTGGGGATAATTATGCACCCCGTTCATGTACGGAGTAGGCAAGTAGTTATGTATCAAACCCTTGCCACGAGTGCGGAATACGGGTTGCGAGAAGGTCAATGGACAAGGGTCATTGGTGTTTGATGGAAGTTTTCTCCGAATATTGGAGGCTGGAGATAGTTGGATACGTGCAAATTGAGCATGGCAAATACGATATTGAGGTTGGTTGTATCAATCGTATCAATTTCGGGCCTGCTGGCAACAGGTCATGCTCGCTGTGCAATGGACTCCATAGTTAGCAACGGATGCAGGGCTATGCCTACTTCTTGCATAATGTAGTATCTTCGCCTTCCAACATCATTCCATGCATAGTTCTATGAAACCAACCCTTGGCCTCATCCTTCTTGTCATCTGATAATTCTGCATATGGGAAACAACGGTGAACGTCGTTGCATAGGGGTATCCATGATAACGACGCCAAGCAGGCTCTTGGCCGCTCTGACCGGGCCGAAGGGCGCCCAAGGCCGGACTGTCAGCTTACCCGAAGTATACCGGCTACGCTACGGGGCGCGCAGGATGTACGGAGCAGAGTCGAGGGCGATGTATTGGTGGAATGTCGGATTAACACTGCGGTATGCGTGCATCCCTTTCCATGCATGCATAACATAAATGCATACGCGAAGCCGTAAACAAGAACCTTCACGGAATTCTATTAACATCAAGGGTCGCCGGGACATGAGTATATCCAAATTAACCCCATCGTATGTATAACAAACATTCAAGATGCAAATAACCTCATCAGACATCAAGCAAAAACTCCCAAAACTAAAAATAACAGTTCCTATGATGGCCCACCAATTGAAACGCCTCCAAAAGTTCGCCCGTATAAAAGGGTATCCATGTGGGTAAAGGTAGACAAAGCAACGAGGGGGCAGAGTAGGTTACCAACCCACGTTTATCCCTAGGCCCCTACCCGTATAATCTATGGTTTCCGAGTACTTTCCGAGTTTAACTCCGATATCAGCCACCACGTCGAGTTGGAGGGTTCCGCCTAACGCATCTTTCAATGCTTGATACCCCGCGCCTGTCAAATCAGGATTAACAGGGAGTCGTGGGGAAAGAGACGACCCTGGTGGAACCGCGAAAGGGGTGTCATATTGAATCGTTCCAACGGGCGAAGTGTGATTGAAGAGTGATGTGGCGTTGACAGAAGTGACATATAGCGTCGTTGATGACAGTGGTGATACTATCGTGAAGTCGGCAGTAGATGTAAAGAGATGTAACTACTCGGAGCGAGAACCAAGTAAACATTTGCTCTCTAAGATATTCCCACCCATGTATATGAAAATAGAAAACGGAAACGAGGTCAGGGAGGTACACGGATCGGTAAGGTGACGGACACGGCTAAACCAGTGCAACCGAAAGTCCGACTCGGGAACGGAAGGCCACACGGGGGAGTGTGTATGCAAAGTTCAGGGGAAACAGGTTTAAAGATCCCTGTTCTGGAGAAGGGACAATATTACCGTTGCATCTTTAATCAATGATCCACCGCGTCCATCCCTCCCATCATCGCTGCCAGGAAGGCGTAGCTTCGGGATAGGAATTTCAATTTCAAACTTGGACAAGGCCGCGCCAAGTAGCGGGAGCGATGGGATGGTGTCAGCATATGACTTGAGAACAACGGTCGTGTTCCTCCCTAAATCAACGGTTAGCTCACTGGGGTATGTAGGAAGGGGTTTGAGTTTGAGGTCAAATCATCGTTACCGGAAACACATTTCGATACGAGGTCACGTCCCGCCGCAACGCCCTCCTCACCACCGGACTCCAAGGGGTTCCACAGCGCATCAATCTGGACACCGGAGTTTTGTCCTGGGCCGACATGAACGTTGTGACCGATTATATGCGCTACATCACTTGAATTATGAACCAGTTTAATGTTAATGTAAGGGATATGGGCGGTGTAGTTGGTCGGATTGGTGAAATTTACGTTAGCTCGGGCAAGGACGCTGTCCTTTGTTGTTTCCACAATCTCTATAGATTGAATGCGGGGTTTTATGTCGGTGATTTTACCGCCATATGGCGCTATAGAACGGTTAGTATAGCTCGTGCGCATGCATGGCAAGGAACGTACGTTTAACAACAATGTTCCCTCCAGAGGGGATATCTCGGACGATAAAGTCACCAAGAGCTGACTTCAACTCCGCATCCACATGGGCGTCCACCCGGAGAGGAATGTCTTCGCGCTCGAACATCATTTTTTGCAAGACTTCGGTAAGAAGATCCTCATCTGTGACCTGTAATGGCGCCTTTTGTATATCGAACTCCACAATCATTGTTGGCTTTCCATCTGCGCCATCCACGTCCCGTCGAACTGATGCATTTTGCCATTCCTTAACATCTATAATTCCAAGTTTGTGGTCATGATAGAAGACATCGGCTGTGGTTCGCACCCTTGAGACGTTTACCGGGACGTCCAACTGTCTAGGCAGGTCGATTATGGCTCGCACCAAAGCTGAAACTTTGGGCAGAGCATCGGGTGAATTTGGAGCAGCAAACGGGTCGGGAAGGTAGAAGTGAACATTGGTCATCGAGAAGCGTTTGATTAACCGGGAGAATCCGGGGCTCGTAAAAGGGAGAGGAACGGTGACGCTATTCAATAGCTCTTGTAGCCATTGTGGAATAGTTGGGGAGATTAATGACCCTCCACGCACATAGATCGTAGTAACCAGCCCACGAATATATTTGCTTATCAAAAGATCAAGCGGGGAAGTAGTAGTTCCCGGACAATTACTGGTAAGTTGATCTGGAATCTTGGGCGCGAATCCGTGTAAAGAAATGGTCACGGGCTCTCGCGGTTCAACGTTGACAGAATCTGTCGTTGCATTCGCAACCATAATGTAGGCATCGTTCGGGTCACAATTGGGGACGAAAATGTTGAACTGAAATGGGGGGAGAGTCAGGTGGACAGGGTATTTATTTGAAATGGCCACTGAAACATCTGCTTCTATGGCTCTTGATTTTCCTGGGCCCGAACGCTCATGGACGTTCAGTTCGGTGATGTTGAACTCAGGGACAGAGGAAAAATCTACAAGAGAGTATTAGTAGAAGTTTATACAGCTTTCTCATGACCTGTGTGGGATGAATAGAAGGATATGCAAACGGACCTCGGAACACCACATTCTCCGTTATGGACTGCGACCCCAGATAGAGTAGGCCAGATGTCAATGGCACCCTGGCCGTCCCTCTAAGGCTTAATTGGGCGATGTTACCCTCGATCAAATCGGTAACGGCCCCCTTGATCCCATCCGGGTTCCCGGTAGTAAGCTCGGCGATAAAATCGATCTCATTGATATGCCCGTTCCGGATATTGACTTTGATCGGGGGAACAGCAACGGTGGCTAGCAGCGTATCCTTGTAGTCCGGGAGATATATGTCCACCTTTGACTCGCCGGATTCAACCTCCCGCCCTATCCATGTTCCAAATCGACCCAAGTCCCGAACTGTTGGGTTCTTCACTCGAGATGCATCCAAAACAAGGGTGCCCCGCACTCTGGTCTGTACGCCGGAGGGAGTAAATGAGGTTACCGACACCCCGGTGGGCTTGAAGACAGCGGCTTCTTGGACGTATTGCTTCACGGTGGACGGGGCGGCGAATCCCAGGATGAGAATGGCAATCACGGATAGACACAAAACGACGAGTGCGATCAACGTCGGCCACCTTAATCCGCCCCTCTTCTGCTGGGCTATCGAATGTGCAGAGTCCTGTGATGGCTCGTCTTCTCCTAAGCCATCATTCCGATGGACGAGCAAAGGTGTCGTTTCGGACAGGTCCTGATCCAGGTCTGCCGCAGCCTCCCGCCGGCTCGCTCGGTGCGGGGACAGTGATTCCCCCAGCAGCGGGGTGGTGCTATCGCTGGCCATCCTATCTGACTCTCGACAGCGGCCTCAAAATGCGTGGTGGTCAGGAAATGCCCATAAACGCCGGGCAGTCGTGGATATCAATGTCCTGGATGTAGGACGTTTGGGCGGCCGACGATGATGTCAGGGATATCAGGCCCAGCCCTTTCCCACCTGCGTTAGCGCGTGCGTGACCTCCGCAACCGCTATTGCTTATGTAATCCCCAATGTTGTTGAAGCTTGGGGAATGACTCTAAGAACAAGAAAGAACAAGAACAGAATGAGAACAGAAGAAGCAACGAGGAAGAAGAAGCAAGAAGAAGAAATAAGAGGCACGGCAGAGATACTATCCAGGAGTTGACTCGGCCGCTTTGTACCGTGCTCGCCATTGCCAATTCACGCTCGATATTGGCTTCCGCACCCTTGCTCTAGATAACTGGAGCTTCGAACAGCTTGGAGACAGCAAGTCATCGACTCATATACAAGACGAAAAGATGCATTCAATTCTTCGAGCCAGATGCACCGGACAGGTAGCTAAGCTGCAGTGCCGACGATACGCCACTCCCTCCCTTAAAACTCCAAGACATCTTCTCTCGATCGCAGACCTTACCCCGGCCGAGTTCACGGCTCTAGTCCGCAATGGATCCTCCCACAAACAGGCTATCAAGTCAGGCTCCGTCCCCGATTCACTCGTCGGTGCATTGTCGGGTCAGACGGTTGCAATGATGTTCAACAAGCGAAGCACGCGAACCAGAATTTCTACCGAAGGAGCGGTGACACGGATGGGCGGCCATCCGATGTTTCTCGGAAAGGATGATATCCAATTAGGAGTCAATGAGTCGCTCTACGATACCTCCGTCGTCCTCTCGTCCATGGTATCATGCATCGTCGCCCGTGTTGGGCCACACTCGGATGTCGCAAACCTCGCCAAGCACTCAACTGTCCCTGTGATAAATGCGCTGTGCGACACTTTCCACCCACTGCAAACCATCGCTGACTTTATTACATTACAAGAAAACTTTGCGCCTCAGGCGACGTTAAGCCAGCCTGCGTCGTCCTCTCTAGGGTTGGAAGGGTTGAAGATTGCCTGGGTTGGGGATGCGAACAATGTACTGTTCGATCTTGCCATCGGGGCAACTAAGATGGGAGTAGATATCGCCGTTGCCACTCCAAGAGGGTATGAGATGCCCTCCAGCATCGTCGACCTAGTCAATAGTGCCCGCAATGGCGTCAAGAGCCCCGGCACCCTAACGCAAACCTACTCCCCTGAAGAGGCGGTCAAGAAGGCTGATGTGATCGTGACCGATACCTGGATCTCGATGGGCCAAGAGCAGGAGAAGCTACAGCGGTTGAACTCGTTCAAAGGGTTCCAGGTCACTAGTGAGCTTGCGAAGCGTGGAGGGGCAAATGAGAACTGGCGTTTCATGCACTGTTTGCCACGGCATCCTGAGGAAGTCAGTGACGAAGTGTTCTATGGCGAGAGATCCCTTGTGTTCCCAGAGGCTGAGAATCGTCTCTGGGCGGCGATATCGGCTATTCAAGCGTTCGTCGTGCAGAAAGGGCAAATCGTCTAACACATACATTGTACTCCATACGATATAGCGACCACTAGCCAGTACTTAGCGAAACATCTAGCAATGATATAGCAAGAAGAGATCTATCTACATCCACACCTTAACCTCTCTTTACTTTCTTCTCATCCTGTTCCTGACTTCTTCCTTTTTACCTTCCTTCTTTTTTGCCTTTTAAACCGCATTTTCACGTGCTTTTTGCCGTCTTATCGATAAGGTAAGTAGATGGTCTGTGCACCTACATGGATAAGCCCGTTTTGGTTTAGCGCCAAGTCTTCACCTCCCCTCGACGTTTGAAAGTTGGATACAAGTTCTTCGACGGCAGCTTTGGCGTTGGCACCGTTCTGACACTGACCAGATGAGGCCGTCGTAGCCTGCAGAGCGTCTTGAAAAGTCCATTCTAGCCAGATTCCTTTGTCGAAATAGTGTATAAGGCTATTTTCTGGCCTTCAATACTCCACGAGATAGCTCTTGGGAACTACCGACCCTCCTCGGCTTTCACGATTACCCATTGCAATGGAGGTTCGTGAGGTTCCAGTACTGCTACTTATGAAGAGTGATAATTGTAGCTAACCTTGCTGGACAGTCCTTATCCCAACGTGACTCGCATGGGTTCCGTTCCCGCCGTTCTCACACATCATTACAACACATCTCTCTGGCACCACTAAGTTCCCGGTTCCCACTAGACGATGATGACGAGGATGGAGGTTACTTCTCTGTTAATCATGGTGGTGCAGAAATGGACCCTGATCACAGTGCATATCAACCTCATACCATGACCAGCTCTTACCTCTCCAGCATCTCAGTACCCGCCACTCCTTCTCTTCTTTCTCAGTCACGAAATGTTTCTCAAATGAATCTTACCAAGAAGAAGAGAACACCTCAAGGGGCGCCGATGAGTGAATCACACTTGGATGCACTTGATGTTGCGGGGCCACTCCATCATCAACAGCCACGTCGTCACCAGCGGACCAAAAGCCATAACCCACGGAGCAGAAAGAATGGAGCAAGTGGAACAACCACCCCACGGATTCAAGATAACGAGTGGCTATTAAGGACTGGTTTAGCTCTGGCATCATCAACCCGTGAAGAAAAGGGCCAGTCATGGCTGGTCAAGCGGGAAAGCTCGACGAGTCTTGTTTCACATAGTGAAGACGGACCGAAGAACGGTAGCCGTGCTAGACACGACTTCCAAGGACGTCGGTCAGGCCTATCTACTCCAGTAGTCCGGTCAAGAAGGGGCTCAAGTTCCCATGCTGCAAGCAAACGGTCGAGTCGAGTTGATCTCGCCATGACACCATCTTACTCTACCAGCCATCATATCCATTCTGGTGCCGTAACACCACGGTCTAGAGATATTCCAGGACTTGTGCCCGACTTTTTGGATCAGTCCATAAGAGAAGAATTGGCCGCCTTACAAACCCGCTCTCCCGAGCAAGGGAGTGGCGCAAATCACGACCTGATAGAGCCTGATTCAATATCGCTGTACCAGGAGTATCGAGATTACGAGTATGATTCTGACTCAAATGAGGATGACTCTGAGGATGAGGAAATCAGCGAAGCTGAAGTGCACCGTCTTACCCTCGAGCGTGGTTTCGGGTTAGGCTCCTGGATAGATAGGTTGGTTGAATGGACGGTATTTGGCACAGAAGACGAATCATTACAACCACCTACCCTAGGTAGTTCACACTGGCGAGGCCAGCAGGTCAACTTCAACCTTGAAGGCGATGCACAGGCAGGCAGTGAGATGGATCCAACAGACAAGGTGGAGACCGCGTCTGATGCAGGAAGCGAGAGAAGCTATGGCACGGATGTTGACCACGAGACTCTATCGACTGCTATGAGGATAACTCCAGCGGATTCACAAGGTGGTTGGGCAAATGATGTTAAATGGTTATTACGTGCTGCTGGGAATGCTGTGTTATGATTTACCTCCCCACTTTTGCTTCTAGGTAACTCTGTTTTTGTATATATGTATCGCTCTTGGGACTCACAGCTACCTGACTGGTAACTCCATTAACACATCCAACTCCCCTTTTACTTTGCTAGGCAAAATATGTTTTCGCTGCCTTTGAGTTGCATGAACAGCCATCGCGGCTCTTAACCTTCAAGGTATACGGAGCAATACTTCTGTAGTAAGATATTGCCTTCGATCTGTGAGTGCGTTTCGAGGTAATTATTACGGCTGGGATGCAAGAGGATGGCCTATTAACCGTTTAAAGGTAAGGGTATTATGGTTTCTAACATAGCTTTAAAGGAGTAAAATCAAAGCATCACTATCTTTTCATACATCTTTCGTCCTAACCGCTTCTCTCGCCAGCTGTAAATCCCGCCCCACGACACCAACCTCATTCAAATATAAGCTGAACGCCCCCAAGAGCTCCGATAACCCGGTTTTAAGCGCAGTAATCACAATTTCAACCTGTTCTACCGATCGATGTTCCTGGTTTGCTACATCGACATCACTCCAATGTGGCTTCAATCCATCCTTGCTAGTAAATGACTCCAGTGTCGTGATTGTTTGGGTGAACAGTTTAACCACAGTGGGCACGTCAGCCTGGACTCTTCCGAATTGATCTTCCTCTAAACTTGCTATGAGGAGGCTTTTGAGAGACTCGGTGGCGTCGATGATAGCAGCGAGTTTGGAGTGTGGTGAGCCCAACACGATGCCTCGGAGACGATTGGGAAATGATTGTCTGAACGGTAGTCCCAGTGGAGACCGCATAACTTGTTGTATTATTGGGTTTATAACACCGCCAGTCTCAGGCCCGCTCGTTAACAGTTTCAGCTCTTGTGCTGAATTCGATATTGTGCGCTTTTGCTCGGGGTTTAACAGAACGTTGGATGCACGGTCAATAGCAGAGCGAGCTCTGGCTTTCGCTGCAGGCGTCCAGTCCTGGGATTGGCCGTAGGATTTAGCAAGAGGACCAAAAGCGGCCTCGAACTTTTCTGTCCTAGTGCCAGGCTTGGGCGAGCCAAGAAGAATATTTTCGTTTCTAGATGGTTGGGTGATTCGAGGTAGGGTTTGCACCATCTCTTGAGTGTTGGGTTGAGGTTCCTTTTGGCCTACTGGAGCAACGGTGGCTTGTGGCTGGGGGTTTTGGAATTCTTGTATTCTCCCTGTGATGCCTTTGATGACTTCTTCTGATGCCTTTAATATCTGGTTCCAAGCCGAGCCTCCGTTTCTATCAATATCCTTGAATATTTGCTTTCGTCGGTCCGGGAATTCTTGGCTAATCAGGCAAAGCTCCCAGAAGGCGAACGTCATGACCGTCTCCTTCTTCGATTTGAGCCCGTTAATAAGGCTCCCATTAGGGTCAGCTGCACCGTTTGTAAGGGGCTGGCCCTTCTTCAGCGGTGCTTGTCCTAAGAACGCCGAGAAAAGGAAATTGGATATTTGCCATAACATAACGAGCAGAGACCCCGACGTCGCAGATCGAATCAAAATTGATATGTGAATAGGTGGTATAAGGCCTGGGGGATCAGCTGCTGATCGGGGGAAGTTCCAGAACAGCTTTGCAAAGTAGAGTGTCCAGCTCCAGGCGGTCCGTCGAAATAGGAACATGTAGACTATTGGGCCAACGGCCGCGGTAATACAGCCGATAATGGCCGACTCCCGTAGTATTTCTGGGGCGATTTTGCTGAACTGTGTTGGAAGTGGAGCAAGTCGATGTGTTCTCCGGCTGGTGGTTAGCTGGGTTCGTTTTGTGACTGGAATAGGAACTTCATCCCAGTCAAAGTAGAGATGGAGTGACGACTGGACGAGTGCCAGCAAGATGAAAAAGCAGTGAAGGTATATCGGTCGTTCGTTAAGGTGTGACCGCTCATATGATCTAATTTTCACAAAGTATTAGACACCCTACATCCATTGAATGATAATTCCGTTGCGCCACTCACTTTCCGGGTATCACCCAGTTTAATTTGGCATCCGCTGATGAAGACCATTTATAGACCTCGCTAAACCACCATGCAGAGAACAGGTACCATGTGACGGTCTGTGTGGAATTAAAGGATAAAGCGGCGAGCCTGAAGTTGTGAAAGTGAGATGCAGCAATGCGGGCTCCAACGTGCATCTGGCCGACCCGTAGTATAAAAACGCATAGCCCCGAGATAAAAAGAAGTAGAGCTCGAACGCCGCAGGGGCCTAAAGGAAACCAGGACCAAAACACTAAACCATCGTGAGTTAGTAGCTGATACGGTTACAGGGTAAGTTCGGTGTTCATGTCAAGGTGGACGTACAAGAAGACTTGACCCCAATACAAAAGGATATCACATAACACGCCAGCAGCGCAAAGGCTGAAGCATGTACAAAGCGTCTATGAAGCGTAGACGTCAAGATCCGCCTGTACGGCCTCAGCTTGACAGGCGTTGCCATGGTGGTGGGATGATAAGAGAGCTTCTCGAAAGACGGTGGTCGGTTATCGCATCGTTGGGCGGTGCCTGGGGATGAGCAAGCTGTATGGCTAGCTGTAGACGGCCGGATCGAGTGTCCACATAGAGCAATTGATGAGTCTAGGTATACTCAGGGATGTAAATCCGGGGATGGATTCAACTGACGAGCTTCGCCTTCAAATCTCGCGATCTCGTTATTTTTTTGTCTCCAAAACAAAATCAACACGCAAGCCACAGCTAAGGAGCCACTTGTGGCGCCGAATGAAGCTTGCCGTCACGTGGACACCAGGCACAAACTATCTCTAGGTAGGGAGCAGAAAAATAGAGAAAACAACTAAACGAAGAGGTTATGAATCAGTAAGCAGTTTAAAACGCCCTGTCGACGTATTTCAATCCATTGCATAACGCTAGATCAAAAAACATCACTCCTAGGGGATATATATCTGTAGCATGGAGCCCCAGGCCGCTCCTGCTAAGATCTTGTTCCATACTATATTCCTAAATGTTTTTTAAGTAGCTAATATCGCCTATAGATATGGGTCTTCTTGAAGCCTTTTGACCATTCAAGTTACATTTGTTTCCTGTGCAAGAATCATGTGAGGCCAGAGGGGATAGTGCCCGTCACTGCCACCTTCCGTTATCACAGCTAAGTAATGCTTAGTATTGAACATGTATATACAGAGTACATAGTCGTGTTCTGACCTTGTCTTCATGGCTGTTCTCTTTGCCGCCACAACGACAGCATATTCCAGGGGATGCAGCCCAACCAGGGTTCCCTATGTCCGGCATCAGCAGGGTGTACAGTCTTCCATAGGCCAGGAGGTATAGCCTGGGAACCATACATGATGCTACGACTTGTCAAGCTCTATCTCGTGAATATCCAACCCACTTTCACTGTTAGAGAACCATGGTTAAGCCTCCAACAAGTAAGATATTCTTACCGCCGTCCGGCAAGCGGTATAACGTTCTCCTACAGCTAGCTAATAATATCACAGGCCATACGCCTTGAGAATACTTATTCAACCCCTCCCACCTTGCCGTTCGAATAAGGGGCTCGAGCTGAATACCTATTTGTATACATTTATTCATGCGAATGGAACATTGAGTGCATCTAATTTGTATTATACGCGCTGGCCCCCAACATTAAATGACTATGTCTTTATTGCGTTTTATGTCTTTGTTTCTTCTTTGAAGTGATGCATTAAGCCTTGGGTCTATAAACCGAAGAACATGAATACCGCGCTACCTATGTTAAGAGGTTTGACTAAATCTTACGATCTGTTTTTATACCTGAGTGCCTGTGTTGTTATCTCATTATTCAAGTTTGAAGTGTTTATGTCAGGCAGGCATAAGGAGAGGCTCGAGGTTATTAAATAAGGTCAAATTGCTGTTAGACTTATCTTCTCATCTTCCGTTACGGAGTACATTTTCCCTTACGCTTGCCGATATGCTTGTCCTTAAGAAAAATGATAACATATAGAGACACTTAATTTGTGAAGTGCGGGCGGAACGATGGCTTCAGCCGGCTAGGGCGTTCTCCCTGCGCTTTAAGTGTAGCAGTTACCGCCGAACTATGGGGGATAGGGGTGGAGACCTCCATTATTTAACTAGCCGCCAGGGAGGGGCCACAACCACAAATATAGTTAAACTATGCATGCACGGGATAACTGTTGGCGAAAGAGTTCCCCGGGCGGCTCCAGCTCCAATAAAAAACTCGTTACTGGTAACCTTTCCTACAACCCGAAACTCAAACTAAAACTCTGCGCTAAGTGAGGCTAAGACGGCCGAGTCGAATTCTATTTGCATATGTTTATTGTTGGATCACAAAGGACAAAAACACCTAGTATCCAATGGGAACCACCGGGTATAGGAACGAGTCGTACCACAGCACAGAGAATCCGACATTTATTCATGCAAACGGAGGATCGAGTGCATCGACTTCTATCTTATGCGCCGGCCCCCAACTTCAGCAGAGGTAGAACGGAGTATATATAGCGATGTCTTCATCATGTTCTATTCTCTTGCACAAAGCTCATCTCAATCAACTTCATGAGAATATCCAAATTTTCAAGATATATTTACCCATAACCAAGCCTAGTTAAAATCTCGAGGTCAACATGCCCAAAACACTTACCCTAATTCTCTTTGAGCAATCCAAATATTTCCCCAACAATACCGCGCACTGGGGCCTGTAAGTCCGAACCTTACGGCACAAATGAAAGAGTCAATGGTAACCTTTATGCAGCCTTCTTCGAGAGCATGGTTTAAAAACTGGCGAACTTTTCCATGCCGGTAAGGGATCACTGATAACTGGGATGACGGTATGCGCTCATCTCCCATTCCATTCTTGTGTCTTCGAATACCATGCTAATCAAAAGCCGTGACCGATTCCTTGGCTTCAGAGATTCGAGGTTATCCCAGATGTGGAACCGGTAAACTCCTCGTCAATCCGAGCCTCGGTTGAAGTCGCCGCAGAGCTTCACCTTAGCAACCACGAGCTCACGGCGATATGCAAAGAAGTGGAAAAGGGTCGCCGTTTCGATCTTATTGTCAATAACTGCCAGAGATTCTGTGCCCAGGTTTTGGAGCGCCTCGTTGCAAACGGAACCCTTACCCAAGCCCAATACGATGCACTAGCTACGAAGGGATTTCGACCCCTTGTCTAGGTGCCTAAACTCCTCGAATACGTGGGCTTAGTTTGGACGGATGTGGGGTAGAAGAATCAGCTTCGAGAGTGCTGCCTTATTTACTGTGGAGTAGACTTAAGTAGGAGAAAAGGCCTTGGAGAGGGCTAAGGCGATGCATTTTCGGCGTTAAATCTTAAGGAATGAATTTCATTGTTGACTTAATTATTGACCGATTAGCTATCTTAGTAACAGCCAGTTAAAGTTTTTCTAGACGCCATAAAATAACGCTACCATGCTGGACGGCACGGGAAGCTATCGAAACGAGCAATAAGTAGGCCAAAATAGATATACGACGATGGTCTCTAGGTGGTACATCTATAACGAGTCCATACATACGAGTAGTGAGGAGTGCCGGGCCCAGGAGGGGGGCGGTGTAGTTATAACTATAACCAACGGTGAAACTAGGCGTCGAGCGTAGCTCCAAAGACATAATTAGCAATTCAAAATCAAAAATAACTCTAGCAAAGTGAAACCATCTCGCGTGCCTGGTAATCAAAAATGGCAATCCTATACATTATACAAGTAGAGTTAACGGTGCTAATTAGAGAAAGCGAGTTACAGAAACTGGCATTATAGCAAACTATACGGAGTACTCTGGACTGATACAATCTTTAGACTGGTACAAGAAGGCTTTAAAAGTCAAACTCTACGAAAATTATAGTACGGCGAACGATTATTTAGCCGTTTGATCCATCGTTGTCAAGCTCAAGTACACATATAACCACAGAATAAGACTTGTGTTGATATCATATAAAAACACTAATTAGACATCCAAGCACCACAAACTCCACGCTTCAGCACACTGACTCATCACAGACTTGTAAACTTTATCACCTTTCCTGGCTTTGGGCGTGTGATGTAAACGAGAAAGACAGAGAGCGTCTCTGTCTCCTCCGTAGCGTCGGCTTTCCCTTCACTTTCGTGCATCACTTCGAGGGCAGAAGGCCGAAGGACATCTTGCGCCCACTGGGCCACTGACTCAACGGTCGACGGGCTCGAAGCCAGGGGACGTTTCCACTGCTTACGGATTCGTGTCCCAACTTCCTCGAGAAAATTGCTGGTAGCCTCGAACCCTCTGGCAGGAAGTGTAACTGTCCCGATTGGCTCGCGGGACGTCTCTTTACTTCCATGAAGTTGCACGGTAGGATATTTGTCTGTGAAGCTGGAGCGTTCGATCTCGCCAGTCTCAGGGACAAGATGGAGTGCATGAATCATGTCGCCGCGCTTGCTGATAATGAGGAGCACGGAGGGATTTCTCGGTGCAGTAAGTGACTTTATGATGCGGGCGAACATGTTGATGGTTGTTTAGACGCAGATGAGCCACGCTGTTAAGAGCGAAGAGAAGATTTATGGGGAAGAAAGATAATATTGGTTAAGCGAGGAGAAGATTTTATATGAAAGGAAGAATAAATATCAGGTAAATATGTTGGATGGTTGAAAGGCATCCATATTATGCCCCGGCGCTTAAGAAACCCCCTGTGCATATCTTTCTCTTGGCAGTATCACGTGTATATAAGGACTAATATTCTTCCATTCCGTAGGAGTCACGCCTCAACCTATCAAAATATACACTGCGATTATATAATACATACCTACGCCTGTAGGAGTAATGTCAACCAATCAGCAACACCAGCTCCTGATGCTTGGCAATGGGGGCCGTATTGTTGATTGGTTGACATCGCGCCTTAGTTGATATTATATAATCATCCGGCATGGTTTGATGAGGTCCGCAATGGTGCCAAGAAAAGAAATCCCATTATTGCATGCAGGGGACAAAGGGGGCCAGCAACAGGCAAACATATTCCTCATGTCTGCCGCTTAGCGAAGTACGAAGTAGTTATATAAAGAGCATGAGTGAAGGACCCTAGCGTTTTGAACGTTCTTGAAAACAATACCCGAACAACCTTCCATAACTTTCGTTGACCATCCAACTCCCTAGCCTTATCCACCGAATCCATACAAAGTACGCGCCAGACGGCTGCATCAACAATTATGACGCTGCATGACGAGAGTTCTCAGGAACTGGAAGAGATTCCCCGGGAGACATGGACATGGTCTGCTGTCGAGAGCCTCCCTAAACTCACAGGACCAACTGTCCTGAATCTTATACGCATTCACTATATCTCTTCTCCCACCACCATCCTCAAGTTCGGCGCTTGCCCGAGTGAGGGCATCATGACCGTGCTCGCCCGTTCTATCGTGGGCCCTTCTGTTCCTCATGTCGACTGCATCATCACGGTTCCACCCAAGCAGCCACATTTAGAATCGTGGGATGGCATCGTTATGTCTCGCCAGCCTGGCATGCCACTGATCGAAGTCTGGCCGTCACTCTCCCCTTCGCAACGCAGGACCATCAAGGAGGAGATCTGTCAGATGATAGTGCGTATGCGGAAGCGCCAGTTTTCCTACTACGGCCGTCCTGGGAGAAAGCCGTACGTCCTCTTTGGTTCATACCGTAAAGAGGAACACCCCTTCTGTGCTTCTCGCTCGGAGTGGGATGACTCGCGTATCAAGGCAATGCGAGCTTCTGAAGACTTAGAATTGGATCGTGTGCCCAGCCTCGAGAAAATACAGCGTGATACCACTGGCCCGGACGGCTGGGATCGGCCTGTCCTTACGCATGGGGACATATCTGACAGGAACATCCTCGTTGACCCTCAAACGCTAGCGGTAACGGGATTTCTGGACTGGGAGGTGTCCAATATCATGCCTGCGTACTTTGATTATGTTAACGCACGGCTGTCTGGAGGTCATGACCCTGGGTGGAGGGTCGAGCTATTAGATATAATGAGGTCTGTTCTGCGCCGTGAGTGCAACGCTGTCAATGCCGATAAGGGAGAGGAGTTGTATAACAAGACGCTGGCGGCATGGGATGAGATCGTCAAGATCGAGAGGTTCGCGCAGCAGTATAGTGATGACTGTTACTGGACTTTCGAAACAGGCCTTCCTGCTTCTGAGAAGACTGATTCTGCCTTGTAGTCTCTTGATGGGTCTAGATAATGTTCATCTGTTATTTAATGTTAGAACCTGCTACAAGTTTTCTGACTCGGTACAACTTTGTAGAATCTATATGTCGTTCCTGATGTTTTATACCGTCCATAATAAAAATATCAAGCTTGCTCTGCCGTCCAACAAGCGGCGTTATTTTGGCTCAAATGTTTTCCCTTTGGCATATAGTTATCCGTCCTGTCAATCTATGATAGAAGGAAAGCTAGCAGAGACCCAGCTCTCAAATTGGCGGCTCTACAGATTGCATTTTTTGCCATTAGGGTAGGTTCGATGTTATAGATATCTTGTGCGTTCGGAGGTCTGAAGTAAAGATGAAGTTGACGTGCCAAGAAGAGCATAAATGACACGTGAGTTGATCTACACGTGACACTTACATAAGCACATGCGTCATGGAGTTGCTTCGGCGGTCGGAGCCGTTTTAGGTGTTCCAAGGTTCACGGCATCAGCCTACGTCTTGCGCTTCCCATCATATACTAGATTAGACCTCATATACGACTATTTTCTTTCATTTGTATTAATACCCAAGTCAACTATTCCTTCTGAAATGTCATTTGACAGGTTATCGTCGCTGGAAGCCCAGCCACCAGGCAGACGCCAGTTGGACTCCGAGTATCACGATGACCCGGAGTTTCAGCGCTTGACGGACTTCCTCTCCAATAAACTGTTTACTCTGACATCGAATATCACCCGGCTATCGAATCAAATCTCGCTCCTTGGCACGAAGCGCGATACAGACCGTGCGCGTGAGAGAGTACATAACCTCTTAGAAGAGACGAGAGAGGGGTTCCGGGAGGCTGGGGAGGGCGTCAAGAAGATCCAGACATGGGACGATGTTACAGTGAGTGACCTATACAGATACCAAGCGTACTTTTTATGGCTTGAAGTATTTATCGTTGCTAATACCGTATCATCAGCCTGCTCAAAAATGGACCCAAGACAACCTCTCATCTAAATTCAAGTCTACGCTCGACGAGTTTCAGGCCGTTCAGCGACGAGCCCTTGAAAAACAACGCGCATCAACCGCGGCTGCACGAACGGCCATAGAGGAGTCCACTGCGCCCACCGGTCCCGAGGGTGAAGAGGGCCAAAGTCTACAGCAGCTCCAGGAGCAGCAACCACACCTTGCCTCGCAGGATGAAGTCGACTTCCAAGAAGCTCTCATCATCGAACGTGAAGCCGAGATTCGAAATATTGAACAGAGCGTTGGTGAGCTGAATGAGCTTTTCCGAGACGTTGGTCATATTGTTCAAGAGCAAGGAGGGCAGATCGATATAATCAGCGAGAACGTATACAATACAAGGGATGATACGCGAGGAGCAGATCGAGAACTTCGAACTGCTAGCAGGCATCAGAAAAATGCCCGCAACAAGATGTGCTGTCTCCTGGTTATCATGGCAATAATCCTCGTTATTATCGTGTTGGCAGTTGTACTGGGCTGATCGGTCAATGCAACGGGTAGACCGGATACTTGAGCGACGGAGATGTATTATTTATTTATTTTCTTAACAGTTGTTGGGTGGTTATGGCGCATATGGCTGCTCTTTTACTGCGTTGCTTGATACCTACTATTTCCATTGCTTCTGATTTATTATCGATAAAGCCCACAAGCTATAATAATACCCTGGCCGCTTCTGGCAGAGATGCGATGGGAGTTGAATCGTCTTAAGTTTATTTTGTGCATATATCTTACACATGATGTTTTGGTACACCGACGTATATATCTTACAATCCAGACACGCTTATGTCCTATTATCAGTATCATCGAGTTCCCCCAGTTTTATAGGCCAACGAACCGGCTAGCCCTCATCCTTATGCCCTCCCACGAATTGAGTTTCGGCCGAACATCTAGGAAGAAATTCAGTTTCCCACCGCTACCTTTCTGATTCGATTTGCCTTGGTAGAAATCGATCACATATTCTAGCCGGGCACCATCGCACCTCTCGACGACCCAGTCATGTCTATCGAAGGGAAGCTGGTATCCCAATAGTCCATTCCATCTTGCGCGGGGACTTAAATATTGACTCTCAGCACCCAATCCACGAAACGAATATAACTTTGGGCCTCCGCATTTTGAGCTTCCAGGATCTGATGTCGGGCCTTTCGACTCCCAATCTAATATCTCGGACCAGGCGCGTTCATTCACGGCATTATGAATAGGTATTATTGATGCTACAGACGTAGCTAGCTCGGTGGCATTGCTTGTAGAGGCAGGGGTGTTGTTTTTGCGTAATAGTGCATCGAAGAATTGTCGTTCAGAAGGATATATCCAATTTCCAGTTTTGCCGTCAGCGCCCGTTTCAGACTCGGCATTTGATGGAATCCCGTGCGATGCAACTGCGACTGAAGGCTGCTGTGCGTAGGGAGATGTAGGGAGTGACGATGATTGTCCGGAGGCTGGTTTGCTAGAGGGTAATGCGCGTGGAATGTTGCTAACTTCGCGATCGGTGGAGAGAGGCCTTTGAAGCTTAGCGGGGGGTGCTTTGGCGGAATCCGAAGGAGACCCGTGTGGTGAAGCGTTCTTATTCTGAGCCAGCCAGATTTCTCGAGTTTTATGGTCTACCGGGCAGGCGTCAGCCGGTGGTTTGTTGTCTTGGGGTGAAGCCAGCGAGCTTGCACCGGCGCCCATGGTTGAAATTTATTCACCACCGAGGAGAGTCCTGTTAACTTAGTGAACGACAGCCCCTGAGGAGGTCAAAAGAACGATGTAGCGGGAAACTTTTAGATCACTCCTCTCGGAATATTTGGAGTATCTTCTGCCTTTGGACTGAGTATATAACTCAGATACCTCTTGGAGATAATTAACAGTTCAAGCTTCAAATTCAACATCCAAGTGCTTAGTCAGCTCTCCGGTCAATTTAGCCGCGCTCTCTCCGGAGTATATAAAAGCATTTTATCTCGATATGCTTACAGTATTGACGATTAGATTTATCTTAAGTCGGTCACTATTGTCTCCTGCTAATACAGTCTGCTCTATGGCTACCGTAGCTAACCCATCTACTCTGTACCCTCAGGGGGGAGACCTACTAGTTATGTGTCTTGACTCCTAGCGCCTAGTTATCAAAAATCTGCAGCCTGCGGCCCCTTTCAATTTTTTGCTATTCTCTGTTGTTAATTCCATAACAACTTGATACAGCAGCCTGCGTTTTCACATTACTTTTCAAGGCTCTGCTGAACTACCAAGTTGTTAGTGCCAGGCTGACTGAAATTTCCCCCAACGGGCTCAATTGCTGATTGGTATGATGACTTGGATGAACCGCACCTTAAAGGGCCAAAAGGCATCGTACAAGCTGCTTGAGATGCTCAAGGAGCCGTCGCTTTATAAAGCTGCCGTTCTACCATCCTCCACTGACAGCTCCAATCCCGCAAGCACCAACAAATTGTACGTCCAACCTGGCCTGTTCTCTACATCTTGATACATTTATGTATTGACGATATGCCAGCGTCGCGATAAAGGATCTTGTTTTGGAAAGGGAGCTACGGGTCCATCAACATCCGGCAATCCTAGGATGCAAGTATATCCGCCAGGCCGTGGATGTTATCGAAAAGGGCAAGCTAGAAGATTGGTCTCCGTCGCCGCTGTCAGTGAGCAAGCGGATGGCTCTTGAGTGGATGGACACGGATTTGTGGCTCTTACGACCCTATGGGAAACCATTTTCAAATCCAAAACTACCAGCTATTGTCACCAAGTCTATCCTAGAAGCCCTTGTTGTCTTTCAGAATACAAACGGAGTACACACAGGTCTGCCACTACCTTCATTCCCACTTAATAGTCGGATTTCAATCTAATTTGCAGGGCTTAGATGTGAATCCAAATAACATATTTCTATCAAATTTGGAATCTCCGACACCTATCGTTAAACTTGGAGATTTGGATAATGGTATGTTTCCGAAAACCTTTCGGACCTCTAATACACTTCTACTCACTCCTGGATAGCCTTCTCTGAAGGTGTTGCCAAAAACTACCAGGGCGCTCAAACCCACGAGACTCGTGCCCCCGAAGTTTGGAGGGGATTAGGGGTTTGGCATTCATCGGATGTCTGGTCCCTGGGCGTCACAGTGTGTTTTCCCTATTTTATCCCTTTATCAGTGGTGATGATGCCTAACATTGGAAGCCGTAGATCACACATTGGCTAATGTCAGCTACCCTTTTTGGCCCCCGTGACAAAATAATACAGGATCATCAGACGGCATGGTGTCTTGCTAAAATATTCCGGCTTGTGGGCCATATTGAGACACCAGAGAATCCAGATTTTAAAGGCGAATTTGAATTTGCACAGGCCATAGAAGGTGGCGGATACCTAGACCCCAAAACAGGCGAAGCAAAGCCCTATATCAGTGTTGGCACTCTCCGAGAAGAACTACAGAAAATTCCGCGGGAGATATGTTCAGACGCCTGTATCGATTTCCTAGAGCATGTGCTTGTCATCGACCCAGCAAAGCGTCCAACAGCGGAAATGGCTCTGAAACACGCCTTTGTCGCCTCAATAACTGTTTGATTTTTATATTATTATCATCTACATACCTGGCCAGTTAACATTTTTCTCGAGTATATCCCGCAAGGGTGGCGCGTACAAACCACGCTAATAACAAAAGAATAGCAAAAGAACTCATTAATGAGGGACTGGGGTGGCCGAATAATAATATTGCAGCCTATGGACTTGGGTATACTGATTCAACTATTTTAATGCTAGACCATCCATAGTATTCTGGATACCATCATTGCTCAACATATAGAGCTGCATATGTATGTATAATAATAAATGAAGGATATATAGCAGCGGACAAGGGAAGATCGCTCGTCTACTATATCCATTACTATTATCTATAGTATGCAGCTCCTCCCGGCTAATATATCATAGTTCTGAGGGAATCAGATAGTCTTTCCATGCGCCGGTATCAGCATCTCTAAATGTATCAATGCCTCCCTCTACACCAGAATCACCCACAGTCCAAATCCCGGTCTCGACTAGCTCCCTCCATTTATCGAGCAGCCGCTCTAGGCTCTGTGGGTGATGCTCGCCTCCAAATGGCTGAAAGCCCTGTTGGAATAAACCGGATATAGTTCCTCTCTTAACCATATTGCGATCGCCTGTCCGGGCTCCTTGCTCAGACCAGTCATCTACCCGTAGCGGAAAGGGGAGTAGTAGCCAGATGCCCTCCTCATTAGTAGCGTAGTAAGATCCCTGCTCCACTGCCTCGCTATACAAGCCAGCGGGCGTTGAGTGGTCCCCAAACGGAATAACCAGGCCCATGTGTTCAAAAGGGTTTAGGGCCATGTATCTTTCGCTTTTATCAATATTGATTGTCTGGTTAGGATCAGCTGGACCGAAGATAAGAACCGGGGGAATCATTGTGCCAGGCCTGTATCGGTCAACCCTACGTTGTATAGCAATAAACTTTTGATTAACGGCAAATATAGCGGCGTCATGCGGGACTTTGAGACCAGGTGCGATAGTTATAAAGCGTGGGGTTCTTACTCGCGTGAGAACGGAGCGAATAAAGCAGCTTTTAGGCACAGATGCAGTATCTAGCTCTACCTCAGTAAATAGAGGCTTGTCACCGTCGATAGAGAGTAAAGAAGCATCAGACATCCGAGCTTCAATTGCAGCGGTAAGGCGGTCGAATGCCAGCACGGCGCTGTCAACCTGTGCAGCACTATACGGCTGCCAGATCCAGTCAGTGTCAGGTGTTTCAGATAGAGTCACCTTGCCGATATGAATTAGCTTGATCCATTTGGTTAGCATCGTCTCCAGCGGATGCCACATTTCTGGATGTTCCTCCACAGGGAGCACGAAATCGGTATCCTCAAGATACATAGGGAATGCAACACGGTGGCGCTGCTGGTCATAGATGACTCCAAATGAGTGGCTGCCTGTTGCCGTATCATAAAGTAGGAGGAAGAGCGGACGGCCGTCTTCAGTCTCATCTCCTTCATACTCTAAAAGAGTTGTGTCTGTGACGAGCATTTCTTTGGGCTCTACAAGACTTGAGACCCAGTAGAAGAAACCCAGATCCCCACGACTAAAATCAGGTATGATGACAGATCCGAGAAATGATACCATGGAATCATCAAGCTTGTTATCAAGTATTTCGACGTTGTTGTCGGCATATACCTCGAAGAAAGATGGTCGCGTTAATAACTCATCCAAATCCTCGGCCTTCTTCTGATGCGCTGCCATCCAGCCAAGGGCGACAAGATAGTTATGTAACTTCGCGCATCGCTCGAAATCGAACATGCCTTCACTGGCGGGATTGTCTTCGGACACCAAGGCATCTTCGATGTCTAAAAAAGGGTGGAGCATCGCGGTGCTGTTATTATGCTGTTGTTATAGGTTGGCCTTTAAGTTGCTAGTATGATAGAAAAGGTAGGCAGACGGATATATGAAGCAGCATATATGCATTACCCCGAGTAGACAGAGCCTGGAGTACATTTGCATCTCCTAGAATGGCGTTCCTATGTCGCTTGAAGGATGAACCCTGGCTAGTCTCGCTAAGCACCCGGTAGTCAGCTATAACATTTGAGAGTCTCAAGGCCCTTATCCTCGTAGTTAAAGAACTCCTAGCACACCTCTAATCCCTTTATTGCTTGAGGCCTGGTAGAGAATGCGGGTTCTATACAACGCCCTGGCATTTGACCAGCTGGTTATATAAATCATCTTGCAGACCTAGTTTGCCCGTAAGTAAAGATGCGCAGAAAGATAGTTCACGATATTATAATACTCACCTCTTAGCTGGACACGTACCGAGTACAGTCCTAGAATGTTATTGCTGTTGATGTTCGGTGGCTGCGAGGTCGGTCTGCCACTGGCCGAACTTCGTGGATTTGCATCCCTCCGAACTCCTTCATCCCAATAGTTTGCCCCGCCAAAAGCACAAAACTCCCAACTTCACCACCACCCAAGCTCCTCTTGATCTCTGTTCATTCACAGCATTGACCCAAACGATTGCTACTCGAAAAATGGCTTCGACAAATGACCAGAAAGTGTACCGTGCCAGCTCTACGGCGCCGGTAAATATTGCAGTTATCAAGTATGCAAGCTTCCACCCCTTTCTACAACGTCCATATAGAGGGCCGGATTGGTCTTTGGTGGGCATTTCTAACCGTCCTCTACTTGCTGTACAGATACTGGGGAAAGAGAGATGCTACTCTCAATCTACCTACCAATTCTTCCCTCTCCGTGACCTTGTCACAAAGCTCGCTTCGAGCGTACACCACCGCATCATGCTCTGCGAAATACCCCAGCGCCGATGGCGACTCGCTCACCCTCAACAACAAGCCTCATAGCATCCAGGGCTCACCACGAACTCTTGCTTGCCTTGCAGACCTACGTTCCCTCAGACAACAGCTAGAGTCCTCCAATCAATCCCTACCCAAGCTCTCTGCATACCCACTACGCATTGTGTCTGAGAACAACTTCCCCACGGCCGCTGGATTGGCTAGCTCAGCTGCTGGATTTGCCGCTTTCGTGCGTGCAGTCGCGGACCTTTATGAACTACCCCAATCAGCCAGTGAATTGAGTAAAATAGCCCGTAAGGGATCTGGTTCCGCATGCCGTTCGTTGATGGGTGGATACGTTGCCTGGAGGGCCGGCGAGAAGGAGGATGGAAGTGACAGTATGGCCGAACAAGTTGCTCCTGAGAGCCATTGGCCCGAAATGCGAGCTCTGATCCTAGTGGTTAGTGGTGCACAGAAAGAAGTGCCCAGCACAGAAGGAATGCAGTTGACGGTTGCTACCTCGACTTTATTCCCAAGCCGTGCCCAGTCAATTGTGCCAGAGCGCATGGTTGCAATTGAGAAATCGATTCAGGAGCGCAACTTTGATACCTTTGCCGAAATAACGATGAGAGATAGCAACGGTTTCCACGCTACGAATTTGGATACCTGGCCACCAACCTTTTACTTGAACGATACCTCCCGCGCAGCTATCAGGGCCGTCCACGATATCAACCGTGCTGCCGGACGCACCGTTTGCGCTTATACCTTTGATGCTGGCCCCAACGCAGTTATTTACTACCTTGAAAAGGATACCGAGTGTGTTCTTGGAACCTTCAAGTCGATTCTAACTTCCGCAACCGAGGGTTGGGAGTCGTCAAACATCAAGCCCACAGCCTCGCTGCAGCAATCGGTAGATTCTCGAGCTGCGGAGCTTCTGTCAAAGGGTGTTGGAAGAGTGTTCTTGACTGGCGTGGGCAACGGCCCAATCAGCAAGAAGGAGCACCTTGTCAGCGAATCTGGAGAGATATTAACTACCGCTGTCTAGTGTGTGGCTGCCATTCAACCCCTTTTAATGACAAGAGCACATCGCCTAGCAGAAACATAATATATGAAGCGTAATATTTCGAAATATTGACTTTTCCTTGATATGCGGCGTAAAGTACAAAGAGAAACATATAAACATTGCCCGTCGTCAGTTAAACCCTAACCACCCAGCAGAGACAGCTTTTTGAAGGCTTTTACGATAGGTGGTTCCCGTCCTTTGCCATTGAGCGCCTCCATGCTCTCCAGATAGACACGCTCTCCGCTCGAAATCGCACCCGCGGGGGGTTCGCCATCCTCCTTTGGCTGCCCATCTCGATCTAAGCTGGCATCCGATGAAGTCTCAAAGACTTCGCTTAAACAACCCCTACACATACCCAAAACCTCATCGAGATTTCTCTCAACAACAGCAGCTCGCTCCCGCATGCCTCTCCTTAGCATTGCCTGCACAAGAGCTTCCACTTCCTCAATTGAACTGTTCACCTTCTCAATCAACCTCCTCACGCTGTTGACAAGGTACTCCTCTTCGTAAACGGTGCCCTTCTTACCCTTCGCTCGTCTGCGTTCCTCTCTCTTCCTCATCCGGCTACTGGATCTCGACGTACTGGTTCCTCCCGTGTACCTGGTGAACAGACTCCTGCCGGCCATTGTACTTGCATCTGTAGGGGCGAGAGAGATGTTGTCTGGAATATCCACATCCCCAGCGCCTGCGCCAGTTGGGTCACCACCATAGAAACCAAGCGGATCAGCAGCGCGTTTAGCACGCAATTCTTGGATTCGTGGTACTTGTGCTTGTAATTGGCTTCTGCAGTCCGCTAGGAGTTCTGTCATGGTGCCCATTGTCTCTGCGAGGCCATGGTCGACAATTTCGGCGACCTGGTTTTGGTGACCGTGTAGGACAAGTAGCCGGCATGCATCGCCGAACTGTGATCCTCGACAAAGCAGACGTGCTGCAGCAGGGATATCGTGGAGATGATCCGCTTGAATACGCGCGGCAGACACGTAGTCTTTGTTTTCGTCTGCAAGGGTAGTGGCAAGTGAAGTAGCTAATTCCTTCGTATCGGCCTCTGATAATGGAACCATGGCTGCACAATAAAGGCATTCTCGCCACATGTGTGCGAGTTTGTACGATTCGTAGGCAGGTTCGAATACTCCAAGAGACTCGTAAGCTGTAATACATAGAGTTAGCCTATGGGTTAAGTTCTCGGATAGGAATCAAGAACATGATCTCACCGATTGCAGCTTCTTTATAGTTAGACTGGTCATATAGATAATCGGCATGTAGCTGGGTCATGTCTCGAAGGAGATCTGGCTGATACTTGTATAATTCCAGTGCATCTTTATAGAGGCTATGCTTGATCGTGTATAATTTCAGGTCGTCGTAAGACCCAAGTGCATGCAAACTCTTCAAGGCCTTGGTGAAGCGGCCAAGGTGGTTGTCAATTTCATATTTTCGTTGAAGCTCTGAAACGCCCTGTAATTTTTGAAGAAATGGGAGGTATTCTCTTGGATCCTATCGTTTTGTTAACATGGCCGACTTCTATTATAACTAGAACAGCAATTGACTTACCCTTTGTGCTTGCTGGGCGACCATCAATGTTAACTCTAGGTCATATAAGCCTAACGCATAGTTGAATAGTTGATGGGCATCAGTAAGGAAACACATATGCTCAACAGCTTCCTCAGCCTGTTCCGCACTTCGTTCTGTTTCAAAAGCGTTAGAATTTGTCACCGTAAATGATATAAAGGCCAACTTACCACGTAGCTTCGCAACAAGGCTGAGGCCAGCATCGAGATCCGGAGGGGACTTGCAAACGTGAGAGGTTACAAGATTTCGTAGGTTAGTATCAATTCGACTTGAAAGGACAGCAATAAAAGCATCGCATATCTTGTTGACTTTGTTAGGAGAAATAGTTGCGCCAAAGCCCGTGTTTGGCACTTGGTTTAGTCCTGTAAAGTCCCCTTTAGCGACTTCCGCTGGCTGCGAGAGTTTAAGTGTGTCTTTGTAAAGTGTTTTGGTCACATCCTCATTCCTGTAATTGGAGTTGGTCAGAAGACAAGCAGTTGGAATACGTGGTTATTTAGTTGAACTTACTTGAGACGAGATAAGAACTCGTCAACGAACTCGACCTTCTTCACCTGATCGAGGAACAAAGGTATATTGTTTAAAAACTGCTCAGGCATGTAGTCATGAAGGATATTCATATCCACCATTTGTGACCGGCAGACCAGGTAGGCGGATTTGTACTTCTTGTTTTCGATATAACCACGGATCCCAGCAAGGACAAAGGCACGGGGGTAGATCGTCTCTATATTTCCTCGTGGCATTTGTAGGGTAAGGCCGAATTTTGAAGGCATCGCAGTGACCAATCTCGCTCCACGTTCGACGCTTCTGCATCGTTCATCTTCCTCTGGAGTATCCCCCGGGGTCTCAAGTTCTGCAACCGTTTGTTAGTCACATTTTATATATATACTAGGGCCTAGATTTTATCTACCGTTGACGTTGGTTATATGAACAAACTTGAGCAGATGCTGTGTAGTTGTATAAATAAGGTGCGCAGCAGTCAGGAGGAACGAGGTAACACTCTTAGCTAGCAATCGCTTATTCGCATATAGGGTACCAGATCGAGAAAGTGTAAATAGGATGTCCTAACATTTAAATTAGCAAAAGAATAAGACTATATTATAGGTATGTTACTCACATCTCCACCAGGAAGCTGAATCGCGCGGGCCCAGCTCGTGTCATTCGCAGGGCTCTCATGCCATGCCACAATGGAAGCTTCACCTCCGTTGTTTTGAATAAAGCTATAGCTTCTGGCTTTTTGGTTTTGGATTATTTGGGCAATCCAAAGTTTGTCTTGCCCAGAATCGGGGAATATTGAGGAGATGTGAACCGTCTCTTCGGGAACGAAGACAGTCTGCGTTTCATTGGCCTCTAATCGCGTCCATTCAAGAGCCTCCCCGCCAAATTCATCTTGAGTTGTGACATAGACGTCGTCCTCTCCTAGGAAAGCAATTTGCCTTGGGCGTCTGGACTGAGAAATAGGGTGAGAAGAACAAAGTTTTGCCTCAAGAGGAGACGTAGATTTGAGGTCCCATGAATATATCGCAAACGCAGTTGCGGTAAGAATAGCCATTTTTGCGCTTGTCCTACTGAATGCCACGTCTATGATGTTAGAGTCATGGGAAAGTTCACAAAGCGCCATTGGAGGAGGCACCGTTGCTACTTTTAGAGGAGACAGTTTCAAGTTGCCTACGCACAAGAGTTAGCAGTGTTTTAACATCCTAAGAAAAATAGGAGATATGACATACGTCCATCGATAACGGCGATAGAGCCAAAGTCATTAGGAGCAATGGTCGAGCCGGAGGCAACATCAAAAACCCAGTCGGTATCAAGAAGTAAGCCTATAATTATAGTTAGCATACTAGGACTTTGTGGTCTAGATTGAAGAATTGACAAATCGGGGGGATATACTTGGTGAGCTTGCGGCAAAGCGCATGGATTTCTCATGATGCCAGCGGAATGTGCGGAGCGCAGAGGCTTCAGACTGAGCGATTGATAGAGGAATCTCTTGTTTGAGATAATAATGATAGTTCGCTGTGGTCCAGAGCTGGATCCTATCCCTGAACTGTACGGCAAGAACAGTAGAGTCGGCATTCCAGGTAAGATTGATGTCCGATGCCCAACCAATTCGTTCCTCCTCGGTTAACCTGAGAGTAAACTGTCCATGGCGTAGGCCATTTCTCTCGAAGAAAACGACATCGATCCTATTGTCCAGCTGCTGGATTCCGGCAATGAGATTCCCCGATGGGCGCCAGCTCAAAGCACCCTCAAGCCCGTCCACGGGCTCACTCACGCTATCCAGCGTGCCTTCTCGGGAAAATACGCGGATGACCCGACGTACACCATTTTCAATGCTATTGACAGCAAGATATGCGCCGTCCCCCCTCCAGCTGAGGGTAGTTTTGCCATCGTCGAGGTCGCTTAATTTTCCTTCGTCGACTTTCTCTGGCATTGTCGGGTCACGAAGGGCCTTTGCTCTTTTCCCTTGGAACTGGGTTTCCTTCTTTCCCCAGCCCACGGAGACGTGTTGGGAGATCTTGAGATCCTCGTTGCTGAAGGCGGTATCTGCGGCTCCTTCAAAGTCCCTGGTCATATAAAGTAGAGTATTTGCCTTCGTAGAGATGGCCAGTAGCTCCTCGTCCGGCGACCAAGCTGCGCCAGAAATGCCAGCATCGACACTACCGACGATTTCAATCTTATCCTCCCCTGGCTGGGGCTCTTCGCGTACGATGACGATATCCCCGCCCTCCAGCACTAGGCATATTACCGATGTGTCTGGAAAATACTGTAAAGACAATATACGATCACATATCATGTCCGGATTTGGACAAGGAGCATCCCAGGACGCGATAAGGGCCATGTCACCAGGCAGTGACCCCGAGATGACATCTTCATGCTGCGGTTTTCTCCTCAGTTCGATCACCGCATTATCCTCCGCGGGTCCAAATGCGCATATCAACGAGTTTGTAGTGGCATCCCACGCAGTGGCGGCCAAGGGCAGCCCACCTTCAAGTGGGATTTCCGAGAACCGAATATTCCTGAGGTTGCGCATCGTGTCTTGGAATAACTATTTACCATGCAATCGTCGATATCTTGCATGTAATCATGCTGGAGGCTCCTTGCAAAGCACCCAAAGGACTGGTTGTTCTATATCTAATGGTGATGTATGGTTTTGGGTGCAACCAGGAAATTTTTACTTTTGTGTCATAGAAATTGACCAATGATCTCATCTCTAAAGACCTCACAGTTTAACGACACAACTGCCGGACTACACTCAAGTAAAGCTGAAATGTACAAGGCAAAAATGGAGTTGAAAGTAATACAATGCTTGATTCTGATTTAATCTTTGTACAAATTGTCCAGATATTCCGAGCCACCCATTATTCCGCAGGCATTGAGAGGTTCTCGGATAGCAACCAGCGCTCGGCGTGTCAGGACAAGTGAGGAGGATCCGATTAACGAGACTTCTTGGTTTGCCAGACTAAGAAAAGTACAGTAGTTAGCAGCCGAGCAGAGTATCAAGGACATGGGCCGTAACGTACCGGCAATGGCGAATGGCAGACTGAATCCGGTAACTAGCCACAAGTATTAGTGTCGTCTCGGCCAAGCGAACAGGGCAGCAAAGTGGAATGCTAACTCATGAAGGCCCAGTATCTTACGAAGAAGAACTTGGTCAGGGGGTTGAATGGGATGTTGGAGCGAGGTCCCTCAGGGTAGTGGAAGCCGGAGGCGAGCTGGGAGCGCGATGAGGTGAAGCCTCGACGTCCGATGATGGAGGCGGCCGTGTTGGCGCGGAAGGCAGATCGGACGAACATCTGGAGAGTCAGGCATATCCTATCGAGACGGACCCAGTGAATTGGCTACATACCTTGACTGGTGACGGTGCAGGGTCGTGTTCAAAATGTCTTGGAGAGTTGATGGATATATTGACATCTCGTCGCCAACATCGAACGATTTTCCAGCTACAGATGGACTGGTCACGTGGTGTATACGCTGAGTAAGCGGTACTTCACTGCAGCAAAACACATAGAGGGAAGGAGGAACAGGAGAGATTTATACTCGTAGATATGAGTAGAAGAGGACGAACGAGAGAAATACTCATCAATACTCATTCTGGAGGTAACTAATATATGAGATAGTAAATACTTCACTGCTACTATTTTGTTGATATATATCACGTGACAGCACGCAAAGAAACAGCAAGTTTACCCGAAAAATATTTTTAGCTTCAGGTTCAAATCTACAGGTTCAATTTTATGTCGGCGCAGAGCTCTGCGGTCCTCAACCAGCGATAGTAGGATTCCGACGCGATGGACGACCTGTTTGACGTGTTCGAGGACAAGCCGACCTCGAACACTGCTTCCAGCCAGCCCCCCAAACCGCGGAGAGCTAGAAACAAGAAGCGACGAGCCAACGGAGATGTCAAGATAGATGCAGATACATCCAATGGGGCAGAATCGCCGGCGACTCCAGATATCACGGCCGATAAGAGCGATGCGCAGGATTCAGAGACCCGGGAGGACCATCCAGATATAAAGCGCCTGCGCGTTGACCAAGAACCAGAACCAGTCGTTGCGGATACCTTCGAAACCGAACAGTCTCGTGAAGTTGCTGCATCTGCTGGATTTCAGGGACAACAGGACGGGAAAGCTGTTGTCCTATCCCATCAAGTGCGACATCAAGTTGCTCTGCCCGCCGGCTATGATTACGTGCCAATCTCACAGCACAAACCGCCAGAGAAACCGGCGCGAGTATGGCCGTTTACCCTCGACCCCTTCCAGAAGGTCTCGATTGCGTCTATCGAGCGAGGAGAGAGTGTTCTTGTCTCTGCGCATACCAGTGCTGGAAAAACAGTGGTGGCAGAATATGCAATTGCGCAATGTTTGAAGAACAACCAACGAGTCATTTACACAAGTCCGATCAAAGCATTGAGCAATCAGAAATACAGAGAATTTGCGGCGGAATTTGGTGATGTTGGGCTAATGACTGGCGACGTGACAATCAATCCTACAGCTACTTGCCTAGTCATGACTACAGAGGTAAGATCTCACTACACGATGATGGACTGAAGCGTGGGCTAACAACGGTGTAGATTTTGCGGTCCATGTTATACAGGGGCTCTGAGATTATGCGCGAAGTTGCCTGGGTTGTCTTTGACGAGATCCATTATATGCGTGATAAAAGTAGGCTCTAAATATCCATCCACGCGTCAACTACAGCATCACTAACACTCTATAAAGCGCGCGGTGTTGTATGGGAGGAAACCATTATTCTACTACCGGATAAAGTTCGATATGTGTTCCTTTCAGCAACAATCCCAAACGCAATGCAATTTGCAGAATGGGTTACCAAAATGCACGGTCAACCTTGCCACGTTGTGTACACAGATTTCCGTCCAACCCCCCTCCAGCACTACCTCTTCCCCGCAGGCGCCGAAGGCATACACCTTGTCGTTGACGAGAAAGGTGTTTTCCGCGAAGAGAACTTCCAAAAGGCAATGAGTTCGATCGCAGATAAACAGGGAGCCGATCCCGCCGATGCCATGGCCAAAAGAAAAGGTAAAGGTAAAGACAAAAAGACAAATAAGGGTGGAGATAAGGATACGCCCTCCGACATTTATAAAATTGTCAAGATGATTATGATCAAGAACTACCACCCAGTTATCGTGTTCAGTTTCAGCAAACGAGAGTGCGAATCATTTGCGCTAAAGATGAGCAAATTGGCATTCAATGACAATTCTGAAAAGGAAATGGTCTCCAAGGTCTTTAATAGTGCTATTGAGATACTCTCCGAGGAAGATAGGGAGTTGCCTCAAATCCAACACATTTTGCCCCTCCTTCGACGCGGAATTGGTATACATCACTCCGGACTACTGCCCATCCTTAAGGAGACCATCGAAATTCTCTTCCAAGAAGGACTTATCAAAGTTCTTTTCGCTACTGAAACGTTCTCTATCGGTCTTAACATGCCTGCTAAGACTGTCGTTTTCACAAACGTCCGCAAATTTGATGGCGTTAGCTCACGATGGATAACGTCTTCAGAGTTCGTCCAGATGTCCGGGCGTGCAGGTCGTCGAGGTCTTGATGACCGCGGTCTTGTGATTATGATGATTGACGAAGAGATGGATCCTACTGTCGCCAAGGAAATTGTACGCGGAGAGCAGGACAAGCTGAATTCAGCCTTCCACTTGGGATATAATATGATCCTCAACTTGCTTAGGGTTGAGGGAATTTCACCTGAGTTTATGCTTGAACGGTGTTTCTATCAGTTCCAAAACACAGCTAGTGTTTCTGGGCTTGAAAAAGGTGAGATATAGATTCATAACATGACCCATTTCGCCCACTCTGAACCTTTTTGCTAACCATACCAGAACTTGCTGAGCTTGAAAAATCGCGAGATGATATGGTAATTGCAGATGAAGGCACGATCCGAGAATATTATGATTTACGGCAGAAGATTGATACCTACACAGCTGACATGAGGGCTGTGATAAATCACCCCAATTACTGTGTCTCCTTCCTGAAGCCAGGACGCTTGGTCCACATCAAATACCAGGATTTCGACTTTGGATGGTCGGTGGTGGTCAACTGCCAAATGCGAAGACCTCCGAAGAATGCGCCGCACGAGGAATACCCCGCGCACGAGAGCTACATAGTAGACGTCCTACTTCCAATATCGGAGGACTCGTTCCTAAAGACAAAAGGAGTTCAGCCATTACCACCTGGCGTCAAGCCAGCTAAGAAGGGAGAAAATTCGAAGCTTGAAGTTGTCCCCGTTCTCCTGAATTGTATTCATGCCATTGGCCTCATGCGCCTCCCTCTTTCTAAAAACCTGAAACCCGATGACAGTAGGAGGGAGGTCAAAAAACAGATTGAGGAGGTCAAAAGACGATTTCCTGATGGGATAGCGCTTCTTGACCCCATCGAGAACATGAACATTACGGACGATGCGTTCAAGAAATTATTAAGGGTATGCAAGGTCCTTCCCTTCCCTATTACCGCATAGCTCTAACATTAAAGCAGAAAATCGAAGTCCTAGAGTCTCGCCTGGTATCAAACCCTCTGCACAATTCCCCCCGACTGCCGGAGCTATACGACCAGTACGCCGAAAAAGTAGAGCTCATCAGGAAGGTCAAGGAGACTAAGAAAAAGATCACCGAAGCCATGTCGATAATACAAATGGACGAATTAAAGTGCCGTAAACGAGTACTTCGCCGTTTCCAGTTCATCAATGAGGATGAGGTTGTACAGCTGAAAGCACGAGTTGCCTGTGAGATCAGCAGTGGCGATGAGCTCATGCTTAGCGAACTTCTATTCAACGGTTTCTTCAATACCCTCACACCGGAGCAATGCGCAGCGGCGCTCAGTGTGTTTGTCTTTGAAGAGAATGCCAAGGAAACCCCTGCCATCACGAATGAAGACCTTGCCAAACCTCTCAGAGATATTCAGGCGCAGGCCAGAATTATCGCCAAGGTTTCGCAAGAGTCAAAACTTCCGGTGAACGAAGAAGAGTACGTCAAGAGCTTCCGGTGGGAACTCATGGAGGTGATGTTCGATTGGGCAAAGGGCAAATCTTTCGCGGATATCTGGTAAGTTCAATCTTGGACCCCACGCACCACACAGATACCAGACTACTAACAACATCATTCATGCAGCAAAATGACCGAAGTCTTCGAAGGAAGTCTCATCAGGGCCTTCCGGCGCCTCGAAGAATGCATGAGACAGATGGCGCAGGCCGCGAAAGTAATGGGCAGCAGCGACTTGGAGACGAAGTTCGAAACGTCCCTTACGCTGATAAAACGAGATATCGTTGCTGCGCAATCTCTGTATCTTTAGCCGCTTGTTACCGCTATCTTTGCATTGGGTATGTGTTCTCCGGCTGTACAAAACAAAATGATACATGTGTGGCGTTGTGTGTGTTATTCCACCTATTGGAGAGAGTTAGATAAAACTGTTCCCTTTAGCGAGCCAATATGATATCGGCAATCAGCGTTCCTTTGAATCCTCTCAATCCTCCCCAGGGGCTGATGGCAAAATTAAGTACTGCTTAGTCATCTATCGGACACAAAATTATGTAGAAAGCTTATTTATTTAAGCTTATGACGTAACCAAGAAAAATTTATAGAGGGAAAAGTAGAAAAGCCATAGATATGGATGACAGTGCAATAATGCATTTACATGGTTTTATGCGAGAGTCTAAGGTGAGGAATACGCCGGAAGTTGGCACAATTAAGTGCAGGAGTCTGGCGAGGGTTTCGTCATGCCAGCAAATCTAGATACCCAGTAATATAGGTGGCCCATCAGCTATAAGATGGATGGTATCACCCTTAAAATATTCTAGAAAAGGTAGATGCTTCCATCTCCATAAGTGTCTAGTTGACGTTTCACAGCTTATTTAGGAGGGACAAAGTATCACATTGGGTGGCGATATGCCTTGGAGGTGTTATTATATGAACCCTGATTAAGATCTACCCCAGCCCAAAATGTATATTATTTCGAGCAGTATTAGGTATCTAAACCAGAATAACAAGGGTCGGTCACATATGATCAGGGATAGCTTACTGCTACACATCTAGAAGAGGTGCTCTGCAACCCTAGCCAGGGGCAACCGCTTTACTTTGAAAGGGGTTCCAATCTCAGACACCCCATATAGTATGTGTTATAATAGTAGAGCTCTGGCGATGGACCGTACTAGATATAAGAATGTTCTTCAGGGTGATACGTCGACTACACCTGGGAGCGTACGATAAAAATGTTATTACCAAAAAGAAGATCTCCAAGCCTGCTGAGGCTAAGCAACGCCATCGACGGGTATAAACAAACATCCGTCACTATGGCACCCGGATGTACGCAAGCGTCTTTCCTACCTTAGCTAGTTCATAGGTAGACGACCATTAGCCTCCGTTAAGCCAAAGGTTTATACGTTAATATTGCCACAGTTCCAGCATCGAGGCAAGCTGGGCGCATGAGTGCGAGCCTATTGCTGATTGTTGCCTACCAGTTTACTTTTTCTTAGTGGCAGCCACCGCGGTATTTTATGGTGTGTATGGTATGGTCACGCCGACCTAAGCTCGGGCCCATGCCAACTCAACAGCGCCTGACTTTCTCTCTCCTCTTTTTCACTTCCACTCCCATTTCTCCTAACCACTGCACAGCATCTACAGCTCTGTATCTCTCCAGCTTCAGAGCCCGCCTTATACTCCCTCTCTCGCTGCCGAGAAGCCCTCGGTGATCATGAACAGCCTCGTGGCCACACCGCCTGTCCCTCCTCACTTCTACGAAGCCTCCCGTCGCTCTCCATCATATTCCAGTAGGACCAACTCCGAGCCGCAGAACAGGCCGATATAAAGGGGGAACTTGGGATAGCTGACTTCACTGTTTATTATTAGTGTCATCGACGAACGCACCTGTGAACCGAAAGAGAAAGGCCGAAGATGACTGTCTGCCTAGTGACGACACCCGCATGTCGGCATCGCCTTCAGGGTCTCCTGCTCTCCATCCACGACCCTTAGCTCCCCGTCACCTCAAACGGTCAAGACCAAACGTTTCCGGCCGGCCGCTATCTCTCCCCCGGCTAATGGAGACGCTCGACACTGAAGCCCTGAGATCCGTGTTGCGGTCTCTCTGTGATCGTCACCCGGAAATTGCCTCGGAAGTCATGCACACTGCCCCCCGGCCCAGCGTCAGCGCAGCTCTTGAGGTCCTCAACAACTACCAGTCTACCCTACAGTCCTCTTTCCCGCTGGGCGGGAACCCTGCTTCCGACTATGCATACAATCGAGTCCGCCAGCACCTTACCAATCTCCTTGAAGCCTTGAACGATTTTACACCTCATTTCCTGCCCCCGAATGAATCTCAGCCATCGACATCCCTTAGCTACTTAGACGGAGCTACAGACATCATACACCGCCTTCCCCGATGGACCACACCACAACATAATATCGAGAAATACGCAGCATACGAAGAGATGAGCAAAGCCTGGAGCCTGGTGATTAGAGAGGCAGCAAAACGAGGAGGCGGTATCCAACTGCAGTACGGAGGCTGGGACCAGAAACTGGCAAAGCATAACGAAACAGCCGGAGGGAAACTTCAGGATGCCGTTCACGAGCTGAACCAGAGCCTCGGGTGGATTGGGGGCAATGTCGGCAATCAGTGCAATTCGAATAGCTCCCAGGGAGACGTCTCGTCAATACGCCAGCAACTCATGTCCGGAACCTACGGAGCTGGTCTGCCATTAAAAGTTGGGCCATGGTAATCTATTCTACGCCAGTCTTCCTCCCGAACCTTTTTTCCCATCCAACTACCCGTCCATCCGATCGCCTTCCCGCCTTCCCGCCCTCTTCCCACCACACCGTCCGAGTAGACGACTTTTGAGCAATCTTTTAATGAAACGATTACGATACCCATATGTTAAATACTAGATCGAGTTTTTCATCTGCTCTGTGGATACATTCACCTTTATTTTCAGCTCAAGCTTCATACACCTCTGGACCATTGTGTGGCGACATGTTGCAACGACATATCTTCCCCCGGAATAATACTCTGGCCCCAACCCATATTCCTCTTACGTTTCTTCACCTACCTCCCTTTAACGTTATTACGACATTCATATTCCATCTGCCTGTTTTTTTATCACATCAACATGGATCTCTGGCTTTTTGGGGGGCGTTTCTCTTCTTCCCTTTTACCCTGTTTGGGATACACCGCCTTGAACAAGTTTAAAACCCCGGATCACCTAGCCAATTATCGCAGGGAACCCCCGATAATTAGGTTCTCCACATTCAGCAGTTGTATTTCCCCTCCTTGCACATCAACATCTTGATGTGAGGATAGTACCATAGCCCTTACGGTTACCATCAAATATAGACTTAATAGAAGGAATTCCGCAATCATCTTTTACCCGTAGATGTTATTTCCTTATCGTCGACAGTGATGTAAGACCGGGATTGAAGGTTAAATCGTTGTGTCTTTCCAAACATACTCTTACGACATCGTCAGCCTTCGCTAAATCTCGCTGGGTAGCCTATCCTCGCTAAACAACCCATATCTGCATACCCGCTATGAATAACATGTTGCTTCCGCACCTGCTACTTAACTTATTGGCTACTCTAAGGGGGTACTATCTGCTCTCATTGCATCCTGCATTCTTTGAAATTCAGGAAATCCCCACTGCTGCATCCAGTCACACTGCAATATTTCCTCAATCGTAGCCCTTTTACTTGGTTCAAAAACCAACATCATTTTCATCATCTCCCCAAATGCCTCTTGTTCCTCCGCCGACCATAATCCAACATTCAGAGTTGGCCGGTCTCGTGCTTGCCGAATATATTTTGGAAAGCGTTTCTCCCAGGTCTCATAAAATCCATGCCAAGGGCGGTACTTTTCTTTCTTCACATTTTTCGTTCCATCATCGTCAAACCAATCACTTCTGGTAGACCACTTGTTCCACCATCGATCAGGAAGTTTACCAAAGACTTCAACATGTTCAATCGTAAGTTCTTCCCAAGTACCAGCGAATGTTTGGAAAAGTGGACCATCACCAAATAGCTGCCAGATAACACACGCTAATGACCATATGTCACTTGAGAAGGAGAGATATTCCCCATTTTCGGAGTCTAAGAAACGAGCTTCTGGTGGTGCCAATATAATTGGTGTATGAGTGGAAGTTCGTTTTGTAACCAAAGGGTCATATGCCTCTCCAAAATCGACAATTGCAATTTGGCAATTGGTCAAAGTAAGCTCATCGGAACCAAGTCCGAGCCAAGCAGGAATAACGACTTGTGAGGGAACACCAGGATCAAGAGGAGCGCCATCAGTCCGAATGACGGATTTCTCCATTGTTTCTGTAAGAAGCTGCTTGCAGCTCTCTCGCATATTGATCGGTAGGCGGATTAGAATATTTTGTAAATGGAGATCTTCATGAAGTTTTAGTATATATATATATGTTAGAAGTAGAGGGCAATATACATACCACCATGAACTATTCCTTGAGAATGAATAAAGTGTACCCCTAATATAAGCTGCGCAGCGATTGCTCGCGCAACTGGAAGACTGATAACTCCAGGAGAACCACATTCTTTAGCAACAGCAATGCTGGCTCTCTCAACATCCATAACTAAACATCGATGAGTTCCATTTGGCCCGGTAAAGACAAATGAATCATGAATAGTCTGCACGAGTTCCTTTCCTAGCAGCTGAGATTTAGATCTGGCTAATAGTAACAACATCTGTTCCTCTTGTGTTCGATAGGCAGATTCCGCAGTGGATATTTTGAGAGCGACTAATCGATGTATTTGCGCTTCATCTTTGGCAATCCAAGTCGTGGCTGATCGACCGAACCCGAGTTTGTCTATAACAGTATACCTGCCTGCACAAAACTTATCTCCAATATTGACTGGATGATATCCGCCAGGGACATAATAGTCCAATCGTTCAGAGTCTTCGATAAACTGGTATGTGACTTCGCTGGGTTTCATTGCAGTTGTACTAATTCTCGCTGTATGGGTTATGGTTTTGGGTATCCGGCTGTGTGAGTATCTGATAAGATGCCCAACACACCTTGTCCGTAAAACCATGTAGCGAGCATAATTTATCATGATACTTGGAAGATAAAATAACCAGACACATATTGAAAGAGGTAGATTTGAATAGATATAGACAATATATAAACAAGCAGCAACTCATAACGGCGCAAGACGTTTCTATAGATCATGTGACCTATATTTGGATCTAACTGATTTAGTTAAGCTCGATCTATATCTTAGCTGTGGCTGGTCTTCTGAGCGCATCACAAGCCATTTTCTAGTGTAAATTCCGCCTTTACATTTGTAATAATCCGATTAATCTGTATTAGCTAATAATAAGCTGGTATTGGTCCGGGTTATCGCTGTTCGGCCCTGGTAGTCAAGGATCTTCCTCTCGGAGGTTTAGTCACATGGTATAACCTCATCACCGCCTGGGCAGGGATTATCTAGGGAGATAGTTGGCTAAATAGTAATATTATCGATGTCATATTTTAGAGCATTATGGCGACCAGCTTTGACCCTTGCTCAGGAGAGATGAGAAAATAAGGAGATGAAGTCAACAAACTGCGCATTAACATCGGGATAAAGCTAGGAAAAGGATAAGATCCGTTAAAACATAATGTACTAGATAAGGAAATGTAGACAATAGGCAGTAGACAGTGGGAGGAAAATCAACATAGGAAATATTTGAGTCCCATGATACATCATTGGGCGGAAGAGGTCTGGAGAAGGGAGGTAGGAAATGGCCGTGAGGCCGACCTCTTCTTTCCGAGGCGTATTAGAGGGGATGGAAAGACGAAACGACTCCAGCAAAACATAACATAACCGGTAGGAATAGGAAAAAGAGCTAGAAATAGAAAGGAGTTATCAATCGTCATGCGCAGCAATTGTCGGTGCAAAGGTAGGTAGGATGAGAGGGGGGGAATCTGGATATAAAAGGAACTAATCTTTAAGAGGCGAAAGGATCTAGAAGAAGATATACGCCAACAGGAAACTAAGCAGACATAAGGCTGCCACAGCCTGTAATGGTACTCCTCCCGCCGCAGCAAGCTGAGCAGGAGGGTGTGCCTGCTTGAGGGATGATTGACCGCTGGCCGACTCTCCTCCTTCAGCAGGCTTCTTTCGCTGTCGCAGTTCGTTATCTGCTATCTGTCGTTGCAGCTGTTCGATTTGCAATCTCGCTTCCGCTAGTTGGGAGGAGACGAGGTCATCTGAAGTTTGAGAGGGCTCGGTGCGGGAGGACATATTGGCAGCGCTGAACGTGTTGCTGCCGGTCTCGGGCGAGGTTTCAGATGCGCTCTCTTGCTTCAGATCCTCAGATCTCGGTGGTGTCCTGCTGCCAGTGGTTGTGGGAGCGTGGGTCCGGTGGACAATAGGGGTGGTGAACTGAGGAGGCTGGGGAGAGGGGTGTGACGGGGGTTCAGCGTCATGCTCCTGGAAAAGAATTATGGGCAATTAGCTCTTTTTATTGCTCATTAACTTGACCCCACGAAAGGGGGAAAGGAGCGGGATAGAATTAGCTTGAGACCACATACAACTCCGTTCGTGTGAGAGCTCTCGCTTGGGAGGAAGTTGACTCGAATTTTCCGTTCCTGGATCAGAGACTTGGACTTCTTTTCAACGTCCTGCCACTATTAGGGTGTAAGCAACCGAAATTCCATCAATCTCATGCATGTGAAAGGGTCGAGCATAGGTACGCACAATAGAGGCCACGTTCGAGAACTCCTTATCGGCGGAGACAGCAACGGACTGAACAAGGAACTTATCGCGGCACTTGGCGTCAAGTGGAGGTTCTTCTTTCATCGCTTGGAGGAGGACTGTTATCGGTTTGTGATTAATCACTGCCCACATCCAAGATCGAGGGGTGGGACGGGATGCGATTTAGCATTACCCTGGACTTCAACCTGTTTCCCCGGCTCAATGCGGCCGGAGTTTGGGCGAACGCAGTAGCTGGACGTCCCTGGTTAGCCCACTGAAACGGCTAAGGTTGAGATATTGTGAATATTGTAGCGCAACTCACTGTTTCGGAGCGGTGGTTTTAACCTGGTATTCCCGGGTGGGTTTTGGTGAGTAAACATACAACAAATAGCTTGTCCGGGGGAGTATGGGACGTACTTTGAAAGCAACCGGATCGCTGTTAGGATTCCGCAAGTACAGCGTCTCGCTGACTTCCTTGGTGAATGGGCCTATATGTAAAGTGGTTAGGCACAAATCGCGGGCGTGGCGGGTGCTAGAAACCGGCGAACGTACGCTGGAAGCCGAGCTCGGCGGGCTCTATTTCAACAGACATGGCGGCGGGTGCAAGATGACGGCTATGATTGTGTACCGAGTATGTCTCTGAGAAGTGGTCGTGGTGATCGTGGTGTCTGTGGCAGGCGGCCTCGACTGTGCTATCATGCAGATGGATGTATGATGAACAATCAGCAGCCTGAGATGTTGTCGAACTCTAAGCGGCTTGGTAAGCAGGAGGTCATGTGATATATACTGGATTATGTAAGATGGGGCTCCCTTGACGCCATAGACTTCTACTTCTACTTCTATATATCACTACACACTCTACACGAAGAGCATATCCCATCGAGAAAAACGCAATGCCGTCATGAAGGCACGCTATTTACGTTCCATAGCCTTGGTTACTCGTCGACACACCATTGTCTGGCGTGGCGGGAAAGGTTCAGGCCAAGGACGGTATACACGCCGTCACGGAGTAGGCATTTGGTCATGTTCACGTCTACCAGCCAGGTAATTTACATAGAGGTTTTCCAAAGATGCTCTTAGGCCTCTTCGAAGACCTCGGCGGGTTCAAGAGCTTCCTTAGCCTGGCCGAAGAACCCTGTTGATCGGAGCTCCTCGCGCGCTAAGTCCTTTTGAAGCTCCCTTTGGATTCGCTACTCTCATGCAAGCAGCCACCAACACCTCCCACCAGATCGTGGAGCAGCTGGTTTAGATCAGACGCCCCTGATGCATCAAACAAGCCTGCGGACTTGTTTCTCGTTGTCTCTCAGATTGAGAGATCGTACCTCGTTCGTCCGGTGCTTCTCTCGAACAATGGCGACGCGTGAGTCCTGCACGATTTCCTCTTTGCTGATGACTTGAACTTGATCGAACACCAGATACTTTTTCATCAAGGCACCCCAACAAACGAATACCTCTTTTCGTACACATCAGGACGATTCTTGTTCAATGAGGACCGCCGACGCCAGGAACGCTATGTCGAGTTTGACGTTGAAGCCTTCAAGGAACTGGCTGCACAGGGCATTGAGCCTGGCCATGGCAAGGTCGCGCATATCGCAAAGTTTGCCGAAGGCGGGTTCAATCGTGTTTTCCTTCTCACGATGGACGACGGCTTTCAGGCGATAGCCAAAATTCCATATAAGATTGCCCTTCCTAAACGTCATGCGACCGCGAGCGAGGCTGCTACGTTAGAGTTCTTACGGCTGAAGGGTATCCCAGTGCCAAAAGTTTACAGCTACTCTGCGTCGGTGGATAATGCAGCCGGAGTCGAATATATTATTATGGAAAAAGTCAATGGTGTACCAATTGAGACGAAGTGGTTATCGATGACAAAGCGAGAAAGGCATACGCTGGCTTCCAGCTTCGTGGAGATTGAGAAAAAGCTCTTTGGTCTGCCATTCCATTCGATTGGGAGCATCTACTTTAAACATGACTTGCCTCCGGGTCTTCAGGCACCTCTATACTCCAGTGATTGCAAGTCAGATAGTACTTCAGAGAGCTTCTGCATTGGCCCTATTGCAGATTATATGTTCTCATATGGGAAGAGAGCAGGACTAGACATATATAGGGGACCATGTACGACCTTTTTATTAAAGTTCTTGAGAATGTCCGAACAATCTAACATCTACGTAGGGGGGGATTGGAAATCCTATCTCTGCGCAATCGGCGAGAGGGAAATTGAATCAACTCGTCGGTATGGCAAACCACTCGAGCTAGACTTTCCACATAATGGACCTTTTCCTAGGAAACACGATCCAAAGCAATACATCGCACTTTTAGAAAAGTATCTGGCGCTAGTTCCTTTCCTCCTCCCGAAAGATGATGGCCACCAACTAAACCAGCCGACTCTCCGTCATCCAGGTATGTGAATGCTCAACCTTCCCTTGCCACGTGTTGTGTATTTATTTTACCTAATACTTGACTTATAGATCTAAACCCCAATAACATCTTCATATCCCCTGAAACCGGTGCAATCTCCAGCATCATCGACTGGCAGCATGCAACAATAGAGCCACTACTTCTCGTGGCCGGCTATCCCCGCGCTTTCGAAAATCCGGAGGTAAATGAGTCGCCAGATCTAAAGGAGCCACAACTCCCGTCTAACTACGACTCACTACCTTCCGACGAAAAGGTTGAGGCTGATGAGTTGTATCGTCGGCAGACACTCTATCATTACTATCGCGTATGCAATGGAGTATGTAATATAACCCATCTCAAGGCCCTGCGTGACCCAATTTTACACCCTCGAAAACACCTCATCGATAGGGCAGGCCGACCGTGGAGTGGGAATTTGATTACATTGATGGGCGCACTGGTCAGAATGACCGAGTACTGGTCCCTTCTCCCGGATACAAAAGGGGTTGATTGCCCCGTTAAGTTTGAAGCCGGCGATTTGGAAGAATTCCACAAAAAGGAGGAGATTTGGTTTGCTATCAATGCTGTCGTGAATCTCTGGCGGGACAAGATTGGAGTGAACGATGATGGCTGGGTGAGCAATGAGGGATATGCAGATGCTGTCAAGACAGCAAAGCAGGTCAAAGCTGAGCTTTTAGAGGAGATGATGGGGGGCCAGGGTGACGAAGAGGATATTGATTCGTTACATAACCGTTGGCCCTTCCAGGACCATGAGGAAGTCGATTAGACGACAACATCCCTGTGTAAACGTAGGATGCAAATGCCAGGATGTGTATACTACTATTCACATATTTATAGAGGATTTATGCGATTCTCCGTTTTTGAGGGGGGAAATGACCGTCTAGGTTGAAATCGTAGTTTCGACCCGTGTAAATCGTTCTAAACGTATGCCTCGGGGAGCCTGGAAAGTCATCGCATGTGGCATGATATAAGTTTGTCCCGGGAAGTCCTTGGAGTCGTGTGACTGTTGGTTACTTCGTAGGTAGTTTGGGTATCAAAGAGGTGGTTTGCTGTGGCTTTGCGGGGTGGATGAGTAGATGGCACCAGACTCCGATTGCTCGTAGCTACATCACATAATTACTATGTGATGCTGGGGTAAACCAGAATATTAACTTGCATGTCAGTCGCCAGGCGGAGTATAAATTGCTCGTTAAATCGACCGCTTAGAGTTCGTCCATACACGCTGATCCATTCAAAATTCAATAAAAATCCCCCCTCTTCCATCAAACATGCCACCACCATGATCAACTGCAACCAATCTCGACCCCGACTATGCGCAGGAATTAATGCAAAATTCCCTCGTTCTAACACGATTGTCCTATCGCTCTCCGTTTTTCGCATTTTACCGGAATCATGACGCTCGGGTTACTTCCACAGGAAGTCCTTGACCACATTGTTCGGGAACTCCCGAAAAGAGATTTGAAAAATGTTAGGCTAGCATCCAGCTGGCTGTGCCTCTCAGCAGACAGATATCTATATGAAAGACTATTTATATCATCTAATCCGCTGGACCTGGACGTATTTGACCGTGTTATTTCAAATCCTCGGCTTTGTGGACATGTTACCGAGCTGGTCTGGGACGATACCTCGTTTCCAGCATCTTCCGGACGCAAACAACATTTCTTAGAAAGGGCTACGAGCGAACTGGCAAGACTTCCCCCGGGTTCCTTTCTCAGGGATCCAGATGACAGCAAGAAGCCGATTCAAGAATCCTGGGAGAAGTTTAGTGAGCTTGCGGAACAACACCATGACATCCGACTTAGCAGAAAAGATCACGCTATGCTTGTCAGGGGCATCCCTCTTCTAAAGAGACTTAGGCGGGTAGTACTCACTAACCTCACCATACCGGAAGCTAAAGCTCAGGGTCTCTGCTCCCCAACGTTTAGACGATGGGCGATATGGGAGGAGCGCGGGTTATATATCCCATTTTACTATCTACCGAGCTGCATCTGGGAGTACCTACCGGACGATTGGCTGCTGGATGGCTCAGAGCCACCTGCCATCAACCAGCGTTTCATAGATGACCTGCATAGTGTTGTAAGAGTCGACGAACCTGGCGTTGCGGTTCATCGTCCAGCACGCGGTCTTTATGTCCTCCTTTCGTCTTTCAATTCTCTCAATAAGCAGGTTGAAGAATTTACTACCATCGCATCACGGCGCATGCTGTGTCCAGGCCTCCTATCATACATGTTCTGGCAGGGCCCCCCGCAGATTGTCCAGCAGCTCTCCAGCTTCGTCCCTTGTTTACGGACTTTGAGTCTCACTTTGGGCTTCGTTAGTGACAATTTATGGGGGAAAAATGTGATGAATCCAGAAGTACTTAGCAGGGTTCTGATGGAGGCGACGGAGTTGGAGAGTCTTCAGCTTGAGTTGCATTCTACGCATATTATAAACGCGGAATCGGAGATCGCTGCGGGTTTAACACAGCCGCGCGGATACGCAAAATCCTCTGGAGCCATTGCCAGAGGCCATAGATGGAAGAAGCTATCAAGGGTAAAGCTATATTGTGGCCATGTTGAAACCACGGCGCTCCTCGATTTTATACGGCTCCACCGTGGTACCTTGAAACTCCTAGTTCTTGGGAACTGCTACGTAAACACCAGAAAAATGCCATGGTACTGCCTCGAGGACAAGATTAGAGCTGAGAGGCTTACCTTTGAGCTTCGCTACCCAGAGAACCCGCGCATCCATGAGCTCTATAGCTGCGTTTACAATAAAGGCCTAAGGAAAGCTGATAGTTGGGGGTTAAAGACAATCAAATTTGGGTGAAATGAAGATACTCTTTTGAATTATCTCGGCTTAGCTATAACGTCGAATAATCCGAGGACAGGGTCCCAAGGAAAGACGAGAGCCATAATCGCAAATAATAGTAGGTATAACCTGCTATCAATAGACGTAGCAACCGGTGAATATGTAAAGCTCAATCAGCTGTTGTCGAGCTGGTATGAGAAGCTCTTGATAGAGTAATATTGATGCTCTATATCCAAAGGTAACACGTAGAAGCTTCCGTAAAAAAAATTTTTTTTTAAATAAATAAAAACGTACGGTATTAAATATTCCTTGTCTCCTTGGCTGGTGGAAATCTCTATAGTTCTGTTCTGTTCTTCGTGATAGAATCGTCCAGAGTGGCCTTGTTGGTAGAGTGGGGAGCTTATGGCTTTAGTGGGGGTAGCCTTGTTAGCTATTTAATCCACGATTCCGTCATATCAAGAGAGAGCTTCCATTTACACAACTCAACCACTCTTTATCATAAATTGCTCACTACCCAGGCCATCTCGAAAATGCCTTCGGATCTTGAGGTCCTCGCTGACATGGGGTTTGACCCCGAACGGGCCAAGTTAGCCGTGTCTAAATCCGGAGGCTGTGAGTCTTACCTGTAACTAGGATTGAAGATAGAACCCGTCGCGCATTCGACCTGAATACATTGGATACTAACTCGTTGCCGTCTAACTTAGTACAGGGTGCTCTCGAATGGCTTGAAGCCAACCAAGACAAGTCGCTGGAAGAAATCAAAGAAGCTGTAGCTCAGAAGCAGGACGAACAAGCGGGCGAGTCAGATGAACCTCCAGCATTAAAACCAGGAGAAGTAGCTCAAAGCTTGGTCTGCAACGAGTGCGGCAAACGGTTCAGAAGTCAAGCACAGGCCGAATTCCACGCATCCAAAACCGAGCATGTCGACTTTTCGGAATCGACAGAGGAGATCGCTCCGCTTACGGAGGAAGAGAAGAAGGCTAAGCTTGAAGAGCTACGTCTAAGGCTTGCTGAAAAGCGATCAAAGATGTCGGAACAGGATAAGCTGGATCAGAAAAGGAATGAGGTTGGTTATATTCTCCGTCTAGAATCCTACCTAAATTACTAACATATTTTATCCTCTCGCTAGGAAATCCGCCGAAAAAGTACGAAGGAGACCCAGGATATGAAAGAAGATCTTCAAAGAAGAGAACAGATGAAGGAAGCTGCGAAGAAGAAACGCGAGAAACAAGAAGAAGTCGAAGCGAAGGCGCGAATAAAGGCCAAGATTGAAGCAGACAAACAAGCTCGAAAATTGAAAGCGGAGAAGGAGAAGGCAGAGCGTGAAGGTCGAGTCTTGGAGGAACAAAAATCACAACCTACGCCAGCCGCGGCACCGATAGCCTCGAAGCCTGCCTCAGCATACACGGAGGCGAGACTACGCCTTATGACACCATCCGGAAATGTGATCAAATCCTTCCCCGTTGATACAACGCTTTTCGAAGTTGCCGCCGCACTTCGACAGGACGGCAATGAAGTGAACAGCTTTACACAGACGTTCCCAAAGAAAGTATTTAACCAGGAGGACTTTGGGTGTACGTTGAAGGAGCTGGGCTTTGTACCGAGTGGAAGCCTGATTGTGGGTTGAGATACCTGGCCAATATCGGCATACAATGGACCGACATATGGTTTCCGCCGCCCTAGTTGTTCCTTCTTGCCTTCATCTTGTTGCATTGCATTGCACTAGGCTTAACGTATCTCACCACTCGGTGACCGCCACCACTCGATGACCACCCATCAAAATAAACACCGATATCACCACCCCCCCCCTACATGTATTAATATATCCACAACAACGCGAATAACAAATTAAATTAGATATTAAATAACGATAGTAGAGCTCTAGTTTACATATTAATTAGTTAGGTTAGGAAAAAAAACGAGTGTTGGGCTTGATAGTTCGGCCAGAACGTGTTTCTCTGCCATGGGATAAGAAATTGGGTAATGAAGGGACAGGATCGATTAGAGCCACCTTTATGGGTGACTTCTTCTTCTTTCCTAATTTAGAAGGTGAGATAGGGCTCGGGGCGTTGATTTAGGCCTTTTTGGCCTTCTTAGCCATTCGCTGGGCTTCCTGTTCACCAGCCTTACGCTTCCTTTCTAGCGCTGCTTGCTCGCGCTGAGCAGCTGCCTCTATTTAGGCCTTCTCACGGGCCTCCTTCCGTTCCTACTACTCTTTAAGCCTTTAGGCCTTCTTCTCTGTAGCCTCTTAAGCCTTTGTATCGCGATATATTAATCGCTAAAGCTTTAACTCTTTAGCCTAAGCTATCTAGGCCTGTTTTTCTTACTCAATATCTAGAGCTCTCTTCCTTGCTATATCAACTTTAGAAGGAGAGAAGAACTAGGCCTGGCCGGCTTTCTCTTTATTAAAAAGGCCTAATCCTTTGCCTCTCTTCCTTTGTTACTTCTTAATAATTAAAGCATCACTAAGAGCTTGATTTTTATACTATAAAATATCATTATTAAAGACAAGTTGCTTACTGGCTTGAATTATCTTTTAGATATAGTCTCTTTCTACAAAAGACTAGCGGAGATATACCTTTTTGGTTATCTGGCGGAGGCCTCGTATCATAATAGGAGTAGAAGGCTCTGCAGCTACATTTACTAGAGTAATTGGCCGTTCTTACTAGTGTTACAGACCACCTGCGGCGCAGCCCCAGGATATACACTCATTGGACAACAAGATTCCGGGACGGAATAACTACACATCACGTGACCATAAGGACAGGTCCCAGATGCCAAGACCAGGGACAGGTCCCTATGGGACCGAACATGAAAGGTCCACGAAGGGACCGGGACATCAGGTCCACGATGGGACCTGAGGAGAATCAGGAGGAAGGGACCGGATATACCATGTATATAAAGACACTCATTTCCTCAGGATCAAGAGTCTTATACTCGCGATCAAACCAGCCACAGTTTTACCATACTGCTTAATACAAAGCACCATTCCAGTTGTCTTATACTATATTCACCGAATACCCCTTTGCCCATTGACGCAGGTCAACTTTGTCTTCACTGCTCACAAGGACCTTTAGCCTTCATCCGACCCAGGCACTGACTGAAGCCACACTTGGAACTGAGGGATAGTCTCGCTATAGTATTCTATCTTGTCCTGGTACCGAGCCGTCTCCTACAACGACTCACTTCCAACCCAAGCTTTCCCTAAGACCTTCGTACCTTCTGTCTTACGGCAGGTGTGAACCTCTGATCACCTTTAGGTAATCAAGGAGCGCCGTCAGCTTGTGACATTGATTGCCCCGACTTCACGGTTACAAAGAGGCATAATCAATTTCGACTTGATAGAGCCCCGACTTCACGGTTACAAAGAGGCAAAAGTAATTCCGACTTACTAGAGCCACCATACTGTCATAGACACTTCGACCCGAGTGACTTACGATTATATATCAAGAAGGACAAAACTAGGTACGTATCACCCTACCCCTGAGAGCATACTAACTACAGGAATATACCAAAGCAAGACGAGCCAATATGTCATCAGCAAGTGGACCAACCACCAACACCAACGCCTTGTTAGGGCAAATGCGACAGAAAATCATCGAGTTGGAAAAAAGAGTCGAAGAGCAACCCAACGATGAGCAGCTGGATGAGACCAACAAATAAGTAGAAGAACAACGAAGATTACTTGACGAATGCAAAGACATCGTCGAACAGACTTTAGAACAAGTTAAAAGTCACAAAGACGCCATCGACGTACTCAGAGTCAGAACCGGAGATAAGAGAACTACTGTCAAGATCCACGAACCCGATACTTATAAAGGAGACCGCGCCAAACTGGAACACTTCCTAGGGGAATGCGACATCTATCTGGCAACTAAACCAGGAGTCACTGATATGGAAAAAGTTATCTTCGCAGGATCCTATATGCGAGAGGCAGCGGCAACATGATTCAAACCATACCTCGAGGACTAGACTAACACCAGAGGACGACCTATACTATACGCGGATGTACTCAACAGCTACACACGATTCAAACAAGTACTCAGACAATTCTTCAGAGACACCGACAGAAAGAGGACCCTACAACGCAAACTACAGGGACTCAGACAAACCAGGGACGCAGCACAGTACGCAGCGCAACTACAGCAAATCTGTCAAGAACTAGGAATCCACGACGACGAGCAGAAAATGGCTATATTCGAACAAGGACTAAAACCAGAAACCCAATACGAAACCATCAAGATGGGACCATACAACAGTTTCGAACGAATGGTTGAGATGGCAGTACGCATTGACAATCAACTCTACAACCTACGAAACATATGACAAGGGAAGAACACTTTCTGGAAAGCAAACCAATACAAAGGGTCAAACAAACGCAATGATTACGGCACCACACCCATGGAATTGGACGCCACCGAAAAACGACCTTATAATACCGAGAAAAGCAAAAGATGCAGAGACAAGAAGCTATGTTTCTACTGCGAGAAACCCGGACATATCACAAAAGACTGCAGGAAGAAACAAGGGGATACCAAGAAACACCTCAACGCTACCACTACGTCTAAGACTAGTAGCAACGAGAAGGAGCAAGGTAGAGGAGGCTACCAAGACTCAAAGAACGTCAAATAATACCTTAGGGCAACCAGCAAGAGACCTACTCTGATACGACAAAACGCAGTCGTAGGGTATGGATCAAGTTCTAACGGACTCACGGAGGAAGAATACTGAAGACTCCTGAGATGTCGAACTGACGGAATCATAACAGAACAACACAATGATCTATTACGATAAGAATTACAAACACTAGAAAAACACAGACAAACCGTCACGGAAAGATCGGAACTACCAACAGACGTCGAACACGACTTAACGACAGGGCCCAACCAAGGAATTGTGACATCAGGACAAACAGACTCGGAAGGAGAAACCGAATCAGAATACGAGGATACGCAGGAAACGAATAACTGGGAAAACGAAGCACCACGGATAACGTTCAAAGATAGTTATGAACAACTACGGGAACAAAGAGAGAAATGCGATAACCAGATACCCGACGAACACTGGACAGTGTGCAAAGAGAAAGGACTATGCTTCAGACACAACGAGGAAAAACAGACAGAAGTCAGAGACCCCAGGCACCCATGCCACGATGAATATGGATGGGACTGCCACTGCGAATACCACATCTTTAAAGAAACATGGAAATCAGGACGAAGATTTCACTACGAAAACTACATGAAATGCCCATCGTGCAGAGACAGCAAGGACATCCACTGGAGGTATTATATAGACAAGGAGTGTCTGGTACACATCGACAAATACTCAGGATGGATAGATGGAAAAAGTGTCAATATAACGGACCAAGAAAACATAACGCCACACGAACGACTGGAAATCTTATACTAGAAAACAGACAAACAAATCACTATATAGTATGAAGGACACACCACACAGTTTGAAGGAAAAGCGGCAACCAGATATTGGTTGAAGACGACACAACACTTATGAAAACAACTACAGCTCCAAGAGAGTTGAAAGGATCGAGCAACACAGACAACGGAGTACCCGGACGAGGACTCAACAGACGAACTTAGTTGGGAAGAACTGAATAAGGAAATCCAGGCTTTAACTAGTGCTGAAGGACCGTACAATGGAACTCATGATCAACAAATCAAGACGATAGGAAACAGACGATTTCGACAGTCTACAGGACTTAAAACAGGCAGAAGTCTAGCTGCGACAAGAGGAAAGAATCACTTGGCGATAGTAGTCCAATTGGCAGGGCTAAACGCGCGAGCACTGATCGATTCAGGAGCTACTGGAAACTTCATAGATCTGGAATTTGTGAAGCAGTCAGGGATTCATATCCAAGCAAAGAAGGAACCATACGAACTGAGAGGTCTTAACAAAGACTGGAATCAAATCATCAATAAAGAAGCCAGAGGTATGAAGGTACACGTCAAAGGACGGTACAAGGGAACAGAATGTTTCGACGTGACAAGCCTAGGGAGTTACGACATTGTCTTGGGATACCCTTGGTTAGCGAAACACAACCCGACTATTAACTGGAGAGACGGCACATTGTGACTAGATGGTGGAAACCGCCGCTCTGACCAGAAGACTGATACCCTAGCGGCCACCCGCACCGGAAGAAGGGATCGAGGTCAGATACTGGGCAAGACGCCCCAGGTCGAAACGGGAACGACAGGAACTGCAAACGATCGATCAACAAAGAAGCAGGAAACGGTTCACCGAACGGAGGAAGCTACTGAAATGGACAAACTACGACAACAGATACCGAAGGAGTATCACGACCTAATCGAGGTATTCAGAGAACGAGAACCATCAGAAAGCTTGCCGGAACATCAGGCATGGGATCATGAGATACCCCTAGTGGAAGGGAAGACGCCTGCATACAAACCCACATACAGACTAACCGAGACGGAACTCGAAGCATTACGAAAATACATTAACGACAACTTAGCAAAAGGATACATACAACAATCGCAATCACCAGCAGGATACCCAATCATCTTTGTACCAAAGAAAGATGGAAGTCTACAATTATGCGTGGATTACCGACAACTTAATGATATAATGATCAAGAACCGATACCCATTACCA